TCACTACCACCAAGGCCATGAGTGCCAGAGCCATAGTTTCCAGAGCCGGTGCCATATGTATCACCTCCAGAACTAGCACCATAGCCATGAGAGCCAGAACCATGAGGTCCATGGCCTATGCCAGCTTCGGAGCCGATACCACCAAGCCCACCACCAGAGCCAAGGCTTCCAGCAGGAGGTTCGGTAGAGCTGGTGTGATGTCCAGTTTTAGAGCCATGGTGGCCGGTGCCGGTGCCAGAGCTGTAATCGCCAGTTCCAGAACTGTAGCTGTCACCGCCAGATCCGTAGTTGTTTGATCCCGCTCCCTGGTAGCCAGAGTTGGTGCCGTAGTTGTCTGAGCCATGTGTACCAGTTGATCCACCATAGCCGCCGGAGGTACGGTTCTCTAAAGAATCACATCATGGTTAGATTGAATCGCAAGTAAAAGGAAGATGGAATAGAACCGACCAGGGCCACTGTCATAACGCTGGTTTGCCTTGTTAGAGTGCGAGTCGTGATGGCCAGTCACGGCATCCTTGACCTTGTGTATGATGTTCGACATGATGAACGAAGAATGGTTTGGTATTGATGAAGGGTGAAATAGAAAATAATATTCAAGTCAAGTTAGATGGACTAAATAGAAAATGTTATTGTTCTGTTGTTTATTCAAAGTCAATCGACAATCGAAACGTTTATATAGCATCTGCTCTCCCAAATTTCTATTTTGGGAGCAGTTCAACTCCAGACCCAGTGACGCCATCCAGCTGGGTAGGATAGCAAGAGCAACCAGGGAAAGGGAGATTGAATGCTGGTTGGTTCCTCTAGGAAGATCATGACGTTCTGATGGTATAACCGTCTGCCCAACTCCACAGAGTCTGAACGCGAAGATGATGATGATGAATCATGTCATCCAGCGTCATCGCAACGTTAACTGGGAAGCCTCTCCACCAGCCACAGCAGAGTGGCCGCCACAGTAACCCCGCCGGATGGTCTCGATAAGGCCAAGAATATTATAGATGGGCTGATCACTTATGGTATCATTGGGCAATTATTGAACAGGGAGTGTGTCTTGACTGCGATGAGTTGTGTCCTTGTGATATGACAGTAATATGACAGTATGAATTGGCCGGATTATTAGTATTCCGGTATTTACGCAGCATACAGCTGTCAATACCTTACTGATGCTCTGCCTTTCTTTTCTACAGCAAAAAGTACTAGACATCACTTGCTGCTTCATCTCTCACCCTTATAACTTTAATTCTTAGCAACACTGGAGATACATTTGACTCTGCCGATCATACCTCGATGTGTAATACATGATGCAGTGTGGGACCCGATGATAGCATGATCTGCGGGGAGACGGAGTAACGGAGTCATAGGGTGAATGAATCCTTGGGTGGAAGCCGTCGAACCCGTGTTGTTAATATCCCATGGAAAAAAATGAAAAGGAGTAGAAGAGTCGTTGATATCATCCACGTAGAAAATTCACAGATAGTCTGATAATCGACTATCAGAAAAATCAAAGCATCAACGATGAAAACCGGGAAGACAGCCTGACGTTGTTGCGGCCTGAGGCAGCCATATCCCGTGACTCCCGAGGCTGTGCTTGCGTGTTGCCCCCCCATGGAGAGCGACTGCGAGACTAAGAGAGCGACAGACAGAGAGAGAGAGCAAGAGAAGTCACTCCAGGCAGTGGTTTTCCATCCTCTCCTCTGCTGCATCTGATCATCCCTCTTCCTCTCTCCCGCTTCCTCCTTTTTCTCCATCTCCATCCTGGTCGCAAGTCCCTTATTTCGGCTTTGTTTTTGGCTCTTGTTCTGCTTCTCTGCTGCGTCTTCTGTCTCCTTTGTTGCCTGCTTGCTGCTGCTCCCTACCTACAGCCCCTCTCATCTCTGTGTAGCTATTCTCCATGACTGCCCGTTTTATCGCTCTTCGACGACCGTTGAATGATTGGTCATAGTTGAGACACAGCTTAGAAGATTTTTTCTTTTTTCTTTTCTTTTACTTATTGTCCATCCTGGAAAATTTCCTTCTTTTTTTCATACTATTTTCTTTTTCTTTTCTAAAGGTCGGGCAGGGCGTTAGGTTCCCTTTGCCAAACCAGAATCAAATATGCGACCTCCTCGTTTAATTCTCCTTGTGTTTTGCTTTATCTTCTGTCCTATCTTCTTCACCTTCTTCAACGTTCTTTCGTCCTCCCCCCGTGTGGCAACTCCCAATGCGCTCGCAGGTCGACAAAGTGGGCTGCACGCCCTCTTCTCCTTCAACATCCCCACCTCGCTTTTCCCCCCGTCGGCGATTATTAGCCTGACCGATGATAACTCGACATTCTTCCTGGCCAGACCTGCAGCGTTTGGCCCTGCTATCCCCAGCAAAGGATTGAGTAGCCAACTTTGGATTGGCAGTGGGTTTGGGGATGGAGGCCCCGCTGCGGGTGTAGAAGGAGAACTAGGATGCTCGGATATACCGGGATGGGGAGAGGGAGACACTCCCCATCACAAGCAGGACAAATCTACGTCGAACTTGGATAAGTTGGCCGGGAAAACAGCATCTGGTGCCGGGAACGATCCCTCGCAGAATAAGCGTCGGGCGGATTCCCAGCAGGATTTCGATTTACCAACGGCCGCCAGTGACGAAGTTTCTCCACCATCGACGAACGACGGTACCGATGATCACCTCCACCACCCCCTTCCCGAATCCCACGGGATGGACAACACCGCCTTTGAAAAACGCGGGGATTACAGCCAAAACAGACCGGAACATGCAGACATTCAATCCTTACAAGAAAGCGCCGAGATTGCAGGCAAGGTCGTTCTGCTGAGCAGAGGCGGCTGTGGCTTCTTGGAAAAGGTCAAGTGGGTTCAGCGGCGAGGAGGCGTCGCCTTGATTGTTGGAGATGACACCAGAGGCGGGAGTCTCGTCACCATGTATGCGCGTGGCGATACCTCCAACGTGACGATTCCCTCTCTTTTTACCTCCTACACTACAGCGCACCTGCTATCATCTCTCATCCCTCCGCAGGCCGGGGAAGAACTGAGCTTGGACGATAGTTTAAAAGCTTCTCGCACTAGACTGGCCAGCCAAAGCGCTACAAAAGATCGGGTAGAAACTTCGACAATGACCCCTATTGTCCCGACCCCCACATCCGCACGCCAGTCATCGGTCAGTGTGCCACAAAGCAATTCCGGGTCAAAGGCCGGGGTTTTCCACGCCCTTATGTCACTGCTAGGATTGACTAGCAGCGACGGGAGCACATGGCACCCTTCAGATAGTCGGCGCCCGCCCAGCAGTGGAAATATCAACTGGGTCCTCATGGATACTTGGGATGAGGAAGAGACATCGTCGTTTGATGATCTGGGTGCTGGCCGGCCAAAGTCTGGGAGTAGCACCCAGGGCACCAAGAAGTCCGGATCGAGAGCAGGCGCTGTTGATGGCGATGGGTTCGTTATCGGTGTTCACGATTGGCGAGATCCTGATCTAGTGGCTCCGAAGAGTAGCGCTCTCCCGTCGTCGAGTGCCTTCCCTGCGCAGGAGGACGTCAAGTCTCAAGACAATGATAAGGGTTCAAATTACGCTTCAGCTAGTCTCAAAGGCGGCAGTATCACCCCGGGAAGCGGTGAATACAAAAACGTCGAAAAATCCAGCATTAACAGAGATTCGAGTGTTAGAAGCTCTAACTTTGGGAAGCGGGCTGTAGATGCTCGAGTCGGCTCCTCTTCAACCTCCGAGAAGGGATGGTTTTCTAGGTACTTTAGCTTGACAGACGATGAGGATCTCGAATTTGACCGATATCCTAGGTCAAGGCTGCAAAGCCGCTCCCAGGAAAGAAAAATAGACGGTGTTCCCCCTACTCTGGATCGGCAAAGAATCGAGACGAGTGAACATGAGGGCTTGTGGGTCACTTTGACCCCAACAAGCATGTCTACGAGCCCCTTCTTCGACACACTTCTTGTCCTAGTAGTTAGTCCGCTCCTTACTCTGACTGTGGTCTATGCTCTTCTTTTGCTCCGGTCTCGCATTCGACGAAGACGATGGCGGGCACCTAAATCTCTCGTGGAACGTCTCCCCGTTCGAACCTATCAAACTATGGCAAGGTCATCGTCCTCTTCCGCAACGAGCTCCCCCCGAGCCTCTAGCCCGGACACCACTTCTCCAACTTCTCCTTTGCTTGTACCCGAAGACCATTCAGAGGGCCCCGTGTCTAGGCCACGGTCTCACAGGCCGACTGGAAATATTCCTGATCCCAAGCAGGCTTCCAAAAAAGCCGAGTCATCAAAGGGAGAAAAAAGTGGATCTGGATCCACTTTGTGGCGGCGCAAGTACACTGGACGACAAGTAGAATGTGTTGTCTGTCTTGAAGAGTATGTGGATGGAGAGAGCAGGGTGATGAGCTTACCCTGTGGACACGAGTTCCACGCCGAGTGCATGTGAGTATTTAACTTATGGTCTGGGGTCAAAGAAGGAATTGCTAACAGTCTCGTAGTACTCCTTGGCTGACCACGCGCCGACGGACTTGTCCGATTTGCAAGGGAGATGTCGTCCGGTCGATGTCCAAGTCCACCTCGCCTGGGGCTGAGAATGACGTCCATGAGGAATCACACCAGGGTGCATCATCTGCCCCTGTTCCTATTGCCTTGAGCGAGGATGAGATGTCGGACATGGAGCACCGCGCAGGCTCCGATCCAGGGCTTCTGGAAGGGCAGGCATCTTCTGCGCCTCCATCGACCTGGAGGAACCTTGCATCGTCGTTCAATTTCTCCGTTCTCAGTGGAGACACGATCTGGCATCAAGCACGCGCAGATCGAAGTAGATGAAGACTGATCGCTCATTATTTACTTTTCCTCTCACTCATTTATCAAAAGGTTGCGAATAACCTTGGAACATCTCCTTTTGTGGCTTGACAATTACTGCATTAGCGACCTTTTGTGCCTTTCTTTTCTGTTTCTGTTTAATATGGCTGGCGTTTGATGGCACGACCGGAGCGCTGGCGAAAGTACAAGGCAATTGAATCATTGGTTATGGGACACGGCCGGTATATACCGCGGCTTATATTATATGCACTTTTCTGGTTTTTCTGTTTGTAAATGAGCCCTGAATGGATATTTCTCGACGAGTAGCTAGAATCAGCTCAATCAGCTAAAATCAGCTGAATCTGAGAATCGCAAACATGGGATTACATCATAAAGTATACGCCCCACATTCAGCCGCATCTATCCCGATCTAGCAAGAGCAGCGAGCCGAGCTGAAAGTGATCCACTGGCCGTGATTGGCTGCAGGCAGAGACATTAAATCAAGCTAAGAGATACATCCATCGCCATTTTGTTCTGCTGCTTTCTTCTTTTTCTTCATGTATGCCCGTTGCAGTGCAGGGTGCAGCACACTACACGACATATCCATTGATCTGCGTTGGTCACACGCTATGACGTCATCCTAAACTGCTTATTTGCACTTGTCCATTTCTCGATTTTCATCTCACCTCTGCCACTTGACTTACCATCCACCATGACTTTGTCCCAAAAGTTCATCGATTTCCTCGTCGAGGAGGCCCTGAGTCTGAGGGAGACAGCCGAGGATGTCGCCAGGTCAGGGGCATATCTGTACCCAGTCAAGGTAAGCCAAACAAACAAACATACGGACAAGAAATGATGGCTGACTTGAGCGATAGGGAATCATCTACTTTTCCTACCACAAAAGTCTCTGGCGGCCTCTGCTCTCTCGATCCTCGCAAATTCTCACTCTCGGCATGGGTGTCACCGGCACCATGTTCTTCTTCACCTACCTCCCCCAGCTCGCCATCATGAGCATCACCAGCGGCCCTCTCGCCCCGATTTCCGCTGCCCTCCTCGTCCTCAGCGAAAGTTCCGCCGTCACCACCTTCCTCTCCACCGCCTCCCTGGAAGAAGGCATGGTCGACACCTTTGACGGCGCGCTCGTCTCGCGCGGGCAGGAATCCCTCGTCGCGCAGGGTCGCACGATCAACCCCAACGCTTCGGGTGACCATATCGCGCGACTAGGCAAGAAGTTGAAGAAGCCTCTTGCGCGTCTCCGTCCCAGGGCGCTCCTCCGCTCGCTCATCCTTCTCCCGCTGAACTTTGTTCCGGTGATTGGAACATTCATGTATGCGATTGCGCATGGCAAGAAGAGAGGGCCTGCGGCGCATGCTCGCTATTTCCAGCTCAAGGGGTGGAATGAGGATCAGAGTGAGGCGTTTATTAAGAAAAATCGCGCTGCGTATACAGGGTGGGTTTCACTTTCTTTTTTCGAGTATCGAGTATATGCTAACGGATTTGATTAGACTTGGTGTTGCTTCGTTTGCTTTGGAAATGGTTCCTTTTGCTTCTATTATCTTTTCCTTTACCAACTCTGTTGGAGCGGCTTTGTGGGCGGCTGATATGGAAAAGGCATTGCAATAATGTGTCTGGCTCGATTAGAGCATGTTGTATCACATGTAAATATCACTCATCAGTCAAAGCCTGGTATATATATGGTGAATTTGTGCAATATTAAAACTGAAAGAGTAATGATTCCATCCTTCCCCTCACTTCTGTCCACCCACGGTCCCACCCTCCCATCCTCCATCCCATGCTCGTGTCCAAGTCACCGACCCAAAACTAGCAGCTCGCAGAATCGTCATGGTAAAGCTATTCAGCCGAGGAAGACGAGTCGACAGATCTGTCATATCAGAGGTAGTTGGGAAGAGCGCACGGAATGAAGTATCCTGGTTAGAGATGGACTAAAAGGTCAGCTTGTTGAATATCCTCAGACAGAAAAAGAAGGAAAAAAACTAACCCCAACCTCCACAGCCTCCTTGGGAACACCGACAATCTCAACCGCTTCCAAATCCTTACTCCCATTTCGAAGAGTATCCAACAAAGTCTCCTTCTCCTGGACCAGCACACTAGCAGCCAGAATCGCCAACTCATTCTGTGAACTGAGAATAGTGGTAAGTTGCTCCAGACTCAATGTATACAGAGTACAATCGAGCATTTTAAGTCCTCGAGGACCAGGACCAGAGCTTGGACTAGAACCAGGCTCAAGGCTTTCTGGCCCATCATGTCCCGCCAACTTCTTCATCAACAGTTCCATTCCAGGATGTGCTGGGTGAAGAGGGATGATGCCCTGCGGCTTAGCACCAGGAATCCGCACTCCATCCACATCCACATCCGCAGGGTCATCGGGGAACTGGGACTCTCCTTCCCCCTCACCATCAGGAGACACCAGCATACTCGACAGACGAAACGAGACTGCCACAAGCGACGGTACCAATAAACCCGGTAACTCATCGCCCGGAATACGAGCCAGGAATCCCGAGTCCGAGTGTCCGCGATACGTATACGAAACTTCAAGAAGACGGATCAATGCATTCGAGCCCATATCATCGAGAATATCGCCAATTCCTGACATGAGCCCCTTTCGAGAGAACACATCAAGGAGGTGTAACTGTCTCAATCCACCCCCGTTCTCCTTCTTCCCAACGAGAACATTATGGAAAAACTCCCCCGCGTCCTTCCTCGACCCGTCACTCACCCCGTCAACGAGATGCGAGTATAGCGTCAACGCCCGAAGACGGGGTAACCCCCGACTCAAACTATCCAGGAAAGAAGGCGGGTAGCCCAAGGAAAACAGCTCAAGGGTCAGCGACTCGATACTCGCTGGTAGAGAGGATGGTATGGCATCAGCTGATAGAGGTGTGGCGAGCAGATCCGCGTACTCTGTCGGCTTTATGTCTGAGGTGAGGGTTAGATCTTTGAGCTGGGATGCTTGAGGGGGGAAGGAGGGGAGGTGGAAGGTTTGGAGGGGGATTTGAGCGGCGTTTGGAAGGGGTTGGTCGGGTTGAGGGAGAGGCTGGAGAGAGTCGGGTTGACGGGTGTCGAGTTCAACTGCCATGGTTGATTGATTGATTGATTATTATCACTCAACGTAGATGACTGAACAGGATTGATTCAGCTATTTATACATGACTGATATATATCAACCCCTCTTCTTCCAATTCAGACCAAGCCACCCCCAGACCCAAGACAGACAGCTGCGGGGAAGCAGAGCGGAGATGAATGTACAAAGAACAAAGTACCACGATGGTCATTCTAGTAAGTGAGTGACATGTTTATAAGCGTAGGTACAGTCTAGTCTAGCTGTTCATCCCGGTCTTGAAGATGGTTATTGGTGGCATCTTCTGCTGCTTGTGGAGTTGACATCCAGGTTCCCCTCATGGGATACTAGTATCCCTGTTTTAGTTATATCCAGAGTGCTAGGCATGAGGGGATGGACTCTGTAGATACTCTTGAAATATGAGAATGAATGAATAAATATATGCATGTTAACCTTCCCTATAATATAACACCATATATAAATTTACACCAGTATTCAACACCAGAATCTATGGAAATGATACATGAATCAAACACGCCAAGATGAGCATATACAGTAGGTAGACTCGAACATATAATGACAAACACAAACTCCGAACAATATTCCACCTGTTTAATTACCAATACCAACCAAATCCGACTCGTACTACTCAACCGTCTGGTTAGGCTGCTGAGTCTGAGGTGGCTCGGGGACACACGACAAGCTGCAGCCCAGTCTCCGGAAAGGAAGAGGTCGGAGTTTCTCGCCTGGAGATCGAGGCCCCTTGAGTCCATTCTCGTAGGTGGTGCAGTCCCACCACTCGAGCCATTCAGTACGAGGGATCACGAAACTCCGATGACAGACGGAGCAGCATCGTCCACCGATATTTCTGACCTCCCTCGCTTGTCGGACTAAGCGGGACATTAGCTCTGGGAATTCGGCGATTTCGGAATCAGGGAGTTGCTCAAAAAGAGGTGATCTGCTTAATGCGACAAGAGATGCCTCGCGCAAAGACGGAACGCGAGATGGTTCGTTATTTTTATCGTTTGAAGGCATGCCAGGCTGTCCGTCTAGCATGGGCATGCCCTCCATGTTGAATCGGCGGACAGGACTAGTAGCAACGTGAATGGGAGCCCATGCCTCTTCAGGCGCTGGGCCTTGGTACTCGCAAAGCTTCAAAGCATCGGTTGGTTCGTTCACTCCATCTGACGAATGCCATTGGGCGATTTCCGTCTCGTCGATCTGGAGAAGGGGGTTAGGACGGACGATCAGATGCTTCAGGTCACCCTTTTTAATCAACCATAGCAGCTCCCACGGAAGATATTCTAATCTGTTAACCGAGACGTTGATGTCCTGCAACATGGTCAAGGTCCGAATGGCCGGGGGAATCGAGGTTAACTTGTTGTTTCGCAGACTGAGGACTTTAAGGGTTCCTAGTTCAAAGATTTCGGAAGAGAGTGATACGAGGGAATTGCCCGCGAGGAAGATTCGGAGGAATGGTTCTAATGAGCTATAGACGTCTTCGCTGATCGGGGGTTCATTGATAGCAGGTAGCTTGGTGAGATGTTGCAGGGGCCGTAACAAGTTAAAAGGAATCGTCCTCAAGTTGCCATTGCTAGAAATGTCAGTACCTCCCATACCCAGACTGTGTATTCAGAGAAAACTCACCTCAAATCAACACTATCCTGCCCCTTCTCCAGACAATCGTTGACAATTGCTCTAGCCAACTCATGCTGCCTCGGTTCCCCAGTCTTTCGAAGAGTCCCCTGAGACGGGCCCATTGTCTGATGCTGCAGCCCGGATGGACCATTAGGCATTCCCATAGTCACATCAGACCTCTTCCCTGTCGTCACCACCGAACCGCGCATATTCTTGAACAAATCCTCCCCCCAAGCCCCATCCTCAGAAGCCAGAAGCGAGTCCGCGCCCGACTCATCACTGCCCATCCACACACCACTATCGACTAGGCGCTTCTCCTTGAAGTCCACCCTTTTCTTCTTCGGATCCGACACTGTCTCCCCCCACCAAGTCCCGCGATACCGCCTCTTCCTGCCTGCCCCAGTCGACACGGGAGCATTGTAATTCTCCAGCCCCGACGCGGGAATATCGTCGCTTGAGAAAAGGGCCGGATCGCTGGACGGCTGGCTGGATCGGTCGTCGAAGCGAGAGAGTCGGTATGGCTTCGACACTCTCGCCGACAGCGCAGGGGAGGATGCATTGGCGGGAGAACGGTGTCGGATTCGACGGGGTGGGGGAAGAGGAACTTCGTTGTCCATTGTTTGCAGTGGCACGGACCTCGTGTTTGTCGAACGAACGTGGTTGAATTTGATTGATAAAAAAAATGAAGAATGTGTCACCCCAGATTCTTTGTCGCAAGTGTGTGGACTGGAATTCGGAGATGCGCGTCGGTGGGGGAGGGGAGATTACGGACGACAAAAGGAACAGGGGACGTTAAAACCAATTCAACATCCTTCCATTGACGAGAGAATTCCACAAGATAAATATCAAAATGGTATTCCAGCCTCCTGCATCCCAACTATGCAGTCGGATCCATGACGTCCGAGAAGTCGCAGGATCGTCTGATGCTGGTCGGATGAAGTCAGTCGACTGTTTACCCGAAGCGGCACAACGCGTTGCAACGCGCCAGGGCCAATCAGCAGCGGCGAGGGGGCGGTCCACGATGATCGTCTTCCACGGTGAGTATTGATCAATAACGATCACCAGGCAGGATGGAAGAATCAAGATCGGCATTCAGAGACGGGAGATCAGTTATCTGAGTTTGTGCCTTGTGGACTTCATCTGACCGTGCTAATTCCAACGTTGCTGAAGTGACTGCTGCTATTACAACACAATACTGCATCAGACAATGCATCAAATCAAGAAAAAGGTTATTTATTTATTTCAATAAATACGATGAAGGTAAATGTGTTGATCATTGCTCGGTCGCACTGATTCTGACCAGCAAATCCAGGCTGAGATGAAACGATTTGAACTGACATCGACATCGCATTCCATGCAAACAAAATGGATACCTTGTGGCAGTCTCATTCCCATCTGGTGTATATACGATCAAAAACAGCAATGATCAACAATAATAGAAGAGAACACCGTCAACTCGTGGCTATCCAGAAAGTCATCAAAAGGGGGGTATATGATATCATTCCCAAAACACCTGGACTTCTCCTCTCCCAACTATGTTCTCCAACAGGATAAGAAGAAGTGAAATGATAAAAAGAGAAAAGAAGAATAAGAAGAATATGTCGTTGAAAGGCATGTCATATGCCGACTGGGGTAAAGTTCCCAGAAGAAACCGAGGAAAGGCCCTCTACCCGGAGGTGATCAAATTGCAGATATTAGCCATTATAGAGTATATAACGATCTGGCTACTGCAGAATCTCAGGTCGCATTGCGCGACTACAGGGCCGCGCCCAAGACGAGGGCAAGCGATCCCGCGAAGAGAGCAGACATGCTGCTGTCTCCAAAGCTAACCGCGCCGCCAGTCTGAGTGGCAGCTGCGGGCTTGGTCGAGCTGGCCACTTGGTGAGAGACGAAAGAGCTCGAAGCAGAGGGCACAGCAGAGGTAGGAATGGCGCTGGAGGAAAACGCAGTGGACGAAGCGTTGACGGCAGTGACGGACTTGACCCGGACAAGGGTCTTGGTGATGGTCGTCGTGCTGGTGGAAGTGGTGGTGTCTGCAGCGACAAACGGGGCGGCTGCGAGGCAGAGGACAGAAGCAATCGTGGAGACCTTCATTTTGGCTTGGTTTCGTTACCGGATTGGAGGCGTGGAAATATGGACAGAATCAGATGAAATGCGCAAAGAGGGACTGTTGTCACCGTGGTAATGAGGCCGGCACAGAGACAGAGGATCGAGCAGCGCAAGATACAACGAGAGACAGCGGTGGGATAGAAGCAGAAGCAAAAGCAGCAGAAGCTGGACACGAAAGAGTGAGTGCCGCAGGTATGTATGTGGAATGGGGTAAAGAGCGTGGGTGGAGCGCTGCTCGAGATGAAACGAGAGTGAATGAACGAGAGTAAGAAAAAGATCCGGGATAGATTGAAAGAAGGACTGGAGGGGAAGAAAAGAAGATTAAGAAGGGTTGATGACAAGGGGGGGGCGACTAAGAAATGAAGGCCACGAGTTGTTGAGCCCTAGACAGCACCCAATCGCAAGGGGCAGCATTTCTTTGTTGACACTCGACTGCTACGTGGTGCTACTAATATGGAGCTAATTAACAGCGGAAATTAGATGCATTCGATCAACAAATGGCATATCTATCAGGGTCTGTTCCTGGATGCGATCCTGGGGAAAAGCCCGAACTATCGATGGTGGTGGAACCTTTGTTCGTGTGCCCTACAACACATCAACAATAACAACACATCTTGTAATTATCTTTTAATCGTCTTCTTATTCTGGATTGGTTTTTATTCTCAGTTATTATTCTTGTTCTCAATTATTCTCCTCATGATGATATGAATATTGATGGATAGCGCTAAACCTCGACCGTCTCTGAATGGTTTCACTCTAAACAGTCTAAACCCAGTCCAGTCACCCATTGACTCTGGCACGGGCAAATAGACAAAATCATCCCTAGCGCTGAACCATCCAGATTGGGAATATGAAGACACGAAAATGAGGCCAAAAAAAAAAAAGGCCGAAAAAGAAAAGAAAGAAAAATCAGATTCCTCGGCTGCAACGGAAAGTTCGTATTAACAGTTCGCTAGTCCCAACGTGAACCTGAGCTGTACGACCACAAAAGCAGCCAATCAGGCTGCCTCCGCCGGTTCCTGGCTGGAATGGAGGAGCAAGTCAGACCTTGCAGTCTAATTAAACCAGCTCATTATTCGGCTACACCCAGTGCTACTAGTACTACTACCCCGCTATGCGACAAATAATAGCACCATCAGCACTTGCAGTCTTCTGCGCATGTGAGTCATGATTTTGCTGAGCTGTACAAGTGATTTTATTGAACTTTATTACGGAGTACTCGGCAATGACAGGTCAAAAGATATACATTTACGTGGCAATTATTGAACTATCCAGTACTCCGTGCTAAGTAGATGTGTATATATTCCCGCAGAAGAATGTATACTCATTCCCTCCCTATTTCTATGGGGGATATATAGTGGTCCTCACATGCTCATCAAAGTTTAAAACACTTAAACCTTCGTAAGAATGCTATACAGTCTGTTGATGGAACTTCTCCGTAGTTGAAAGAGTATTTGACTCCCTTGACGGATGTGTTCAATCAGTGTCCATGACTGGTAGGGCTGTAGGCCTATAAACAATGCAACCAATCAATAACCAATAAACCTTAGTGTTAGATGTCCCATAATTATTGTGGATACAACCAGTGCTGAAAGGTGATGCCATTATAGCTGATTATGTCGCTAACCCGATTATTTCAACCTCCCTGAGTTGAGTTCTTCCTGACTGATCATTGTTGACTGCCCAGTCAGTCTGATCACCTCGACATGTCAGGGAATATCGCATCGTTGGATCAAAAGCCTTTCTCTTCCAACCCGTCAAATGCCCTGAATTATATACACTGGGTGGCGATTTTCCGTTGCTTCATATGGTTCCCCCTTTTCATCCAATAAAAAAAATGCTGATCGATTTCGAAACTATTGTACAAGACAACCCCACAAATCTGTCATATCACGTATCCTCCGATCGATATGTCGAAGATAGTCCATCTACTGGCGCATAGGCCGCAGAGGGCTCTGTCGGGAAAGCATCATCGGGGGTCCGCGAGCTCGGAGCCAGGCATCGCTGTGAGGTCCTTCGTTGCGAATAACGCTACCAATAGACATGAAGAGACTGTCCAAGTACAGCATTAGCAAAGTTCAACCAGTTCAGAAAGTTGGGAGATAGAGAAAGCAAAGGGTAATATATGGATTGGAACAACTGATTGTAAACATACCCGAAAGTAGCACCCGAACCCAGCATGAACTTTCCGATGGTTCGCATCACACCGTTAGGTCCACCGCCGTACTGGAAGACAGTGACAGTTCCTTATATTGTATAAGCGACGTTTAATCGAGAATATCCTCCAAGGTATATAACTAACCCATGATGAAACCCATGATACCACCGACAGCTAAAAGTGAGCAGCAGTCAGTATCAACCGAAAGGATCAAGACGATATCGGAGTCAACATACTCGAACCCATCAGGGCACCCATCTTCACTGCAGAGATAGTCAGCTTCTGTCCAAAGACCCTCTAACATCATCTCACGGCGGAAATTTCGTTCTGTCCCGTGCTATAGAAGAGGCTTCCGAAACTCACTCTTGTCAAAAGTAGAGGGACCATGCTGGGGAGGACCTGCAACGACGGGCATTTTGAAAGCTGAAAGGTATTCGTAGCTAACTCGAAAAGAATCACGTTATCGAAGCAGATGCGCTGAAACACGGAATGCGCAAGACAACTCTTTGTTCAATCAATCGCAGAAGCAAATCGAAGCTCCTGCGGGTTAAGCCCGAGGCCCAATTCCGTCCATGTCACGTGACACAGCTTCTCCACCGTTATATAATCCACACGTGCCTCATCTCACGTGACATACGTCCTGGAGCGTTAGGGAGCGCAGTGAGATGATCCTCCTCCCGCTGCAGTGGCCACCCATGAGAATTTGTCCGGGACGTTTGACTTTTGTGCGTCGTCTTATTGCTGTTTTGGCGGCCTAGGAGCCTGTACCAGGCGGAATTTCCGTCTCGTGCTTCCCTCTTTTTCCCCTTGGCCGGCGTGCTAAAAGCCGGTCGCTGCGGCGGTTTGGACCAAGTTCTCCACGCCTCCTTGGTCTGAAGCCCCAGTGTATTTGTATATGCCCTTTTGTCTCGACTTGACTACGTGGAGTTGTGTCAAAGGTAAGCCTGACGTATTATTTCCAGTTCAGGACAGCTTGCATCATCTCCAGAGCCTTTTTGCTAGTCTGAATCGGATGAAAGTGCGATCAAGTGGCATCCAAATAATGCTAACGTGACCCTTTCCAACAGTTGGCCGGACCCAGAAAAACAAGGGTTATTGCGCGCGCCGACGCCGAGTATACACCTCTCCCCAACCTCCTTACGCCGATCGATATCTCAAATCGACGTTTCGCGATTATTTTTATTCGCACACTTAAGCGCCTCCCCGTTTACTTTGTTTATTCGACCGGCGCCTGTGATCTAGGACGGTCAGGAACCCCCCAGCCATTGATATAAACGGTCTCCGGCATCCTTCTCCATGACTGCTGTAGCATCTCCGCCTAGTGTGCAATCGGGGCCTCGTTTGGGATGGTACAACTCTGGTAACGGAGGTCAAGGAGCTCTGTCTTCAATGAACGCGGACGAGGTTTCTCGGATATTTGCGCCACGAAAAAGTGTCCAGAGATCGAATTCTTCGTCTTCTCTGGGATCGAACTCTTCTACTTCTACCGCGATCGTTTCCTCGCAAAATACTAATGCCGGCCAAAATTCAAACGCTGAATCAAACACCTGGTCTTCAAAGAAAAAACCCACGAGGAATATTTGGCCTAGCACCAAGTCGGAACCGGTATCTGGGGTAACCAATACTCGGTCTCAAGTGGTGCCCGCCTTTTCCTCAGGGCCTTCGCCCTCTACGATGTCCGCGATGCATCAACCTTCCAACATCGTCCCTTCTCAGCATATGCTCCAGTCTCCTCAGCAGAATGGGGTCCGGCCGGGCGGCGGGCCGTCTGGGGACCCGCCTGCTATATTGACACTGCTGCCAATCAATGGCACTTTCGAAAAGAAACAAATTAATGTTCCCTACTTTCCAGAACTATTGCGGATTGGTCGGCAAACAAACGCCAAAACGGTTCCGACATCCCTCAATGGATATTTCGACTCAAAGGTTCTTTCTCGGCAGCATGCGGAGATCTGGGCCGACAAAAGCGGCAAGATTTGGATTCGAGATGTGAAATCCTCCAATGGTACTTTTGTTAACGGACAACGACTGTCCCCCGAAAACCGCGAATCTGATCCCCACGAGCTCCGCGAAAACGACACCTTGGAGCTGGGAATCGATATTGTCAGCGAAGATCAGAAGACCATTGTTCACCACAAGGTTTCCTCCAAGGTTGAGCATGCTGGTGTTTACGGAAGCATCCCCAATATCCTCGATCTTACCCTTGGGGATCTGGATCCCGCCTCTGGAGGTGGACTTCTCCCGTCACCTTTGAGTCAGCCACTTTCCCACATGCGTGGACGAGCGGGAAGCTCGATGAGCAACCGAAGTGTGCAGAGCAATGCGAGCAGCCAGATTAATGCGCTCCAGCAACAGCGCCAAATGAATTACTGGAACTCCCCGATTTCTATCGAGCAAGTTGTCAAAAGACTCACGGTATGGGCACTGCAGTCTAACAATCTATGCCGCCTGCTAATTCTTGTTTAGAGCGAAATGAAGCAAGCTAAACAGCAATCACAAGATCTCCACCAAACGGACGATTTCTTGACAACGCTAATGAAACCGGGCCACCCAGAAAAAGAAAAAATTAAACCCCCACCGGCAGAGAACAATGTGCCTCGTCAAGTAAATGGAAGGCCAAAGATGCCGCGTGTCGATTCCTTCTCGAGATTTTCCGATCCTCCTGCACCACCACCTCAACAACCTTTGCCCGAAAAGCCCGATGCTTTACCGCGCAACACTACCGATGCCGTGTCACCTCTCAAGCGCACCGAGACAGAAAAGCAGAAGCCAGCCGTTAGCTCGCCCATTACACGCGAATCCAATCAGTTCCAAAGCCTTCAGGATGCCTTTAACTTGGCCAGAAGGGAACTCGAGAGTCAAGGTGCCCGCGTGAAAGAACTGGAAGCTCTATTGCTCCAGGAGCGAAGCGCTAGGGAGTCGGCGGAAGAAAGAGCTCGAAACCTGGAATTGCAGTCGAGCAACGCTAGCCAAGAGCCAGAGACAAAGGCCGCCGCGGAGCCGCTTGTTGACGGTGTTCAAGAGAATGAAGCTGAACAGGAGGCTGTCGAGAAGTCTCATGAGTTAGAGAATGGCATCCTTACTTCTGAAACAGACATGCCCAAGCCTGATGAAAACGCGCTGGCTGCAGAAGCCGAAAGCAAACAATTACATCGCCGTCTGGAGATGATGATGGCGGAGATGGAGGAAATGAAGCAGCAGGTCTCTGCCTTCAAGGACCGTGCGCAAAAGGCAGAGGACGAGACTGTTTCGACCCGAAAGTCGCTAGCAGAAATGATTGAGACGCTGCGTCGAGAGCGCTCAGAAATGCGCGACACAGGGAACAAGTCGGTGACTAATGTGTCCGACTCGTCTTCTGAGGCTGCTCCTTCAAAGAAAAATGCCACGTATTCCAATGGTCAAGATTCTGGAGTGTGTCAAGAACCTGTGAAATCGCCTCACACCACAGAGGGTGAAAGTGCCGCCACATCCTTCGCAGCGCAACGGCACAAACAAAATGCCCTCGAGCATTCAAGCCCATATGCATCAATGCTTGGTGTTGTACTTTTAGGAGTAGGCCTAATGGCCTATCTGAACGGATGGCAGAAGATGGACAAATGAAGTTACGGTCTTTTGCTTTCTTAATGAGCAACTGGTTTCGTTTCAAATTACAATTTTCAACAGACAGGAGCGCTTTTGGCCTATGGCCGGTTCATATCCAAGTCTTCAGACTTTTTTTCTTTTATTTTTATTTCCATTTTAAATCTTTTTATTGTTTGATTGATTCGTTTCTCATGTATTCTGGCAAAAGGCCCCGGGGCTAACCGCTGGGTTTGGGGGTATCTGGTGTTTATTGTTTCTCTTCTATCTTATTCTTATCTTTTTATTGTCCTCGCGGTTATCGGATTCCATAACTCGCATTACTTTCACTCATCTTCCATTTTGTCATCGAGTACCAAATTACCCATATCAGGCGCCGTCTTGCTTCCAGTTACGATTTCCTGGCAAGCAATGACCCCCCTCATCCTTTTTTATTTTCTATGTTAATGTCTCCTTCTCACGGGCAGAAGCAAGTCATGTAGGGCTCACCCGCCTTTGTGTGTATTAGTTTCATAGCAGCGTTACTTCTCTTGACAATTCTAGGCAAAGCGATGAATGACCATTATTACGTTTTTTATTTATTCAAATTTACATTGAGGGTATTTGTTGTTCTCTGTGACTGAGCTAATTTAACAAAAGATCTGTTTAGGTTGACTTTCTGATAGAATTTGACTGTTTCTGACTTTTTGTTCTTCATCAACTTTGATAGTCCCTCCTTCTGGCCGAAATCAAGTTTGAGATGAAGTATGGAGTAGTTGATACTTGATATTCCTGCACAAATGAGATAGATGTACAGCCCGGTTGACATGTCTCAAGAGTGTGCAGTACTGCAGTACTTTTGTACAAAAGTGACATGTTTCATGCATGTATGTACATGTATTCTGATGAGTGAGATCATCCTTGAAGATCCACTCAGTGTGGATTTATATCGCATTATCGACTTTGGTGGCTGCTGGGGAGGCGCAGTGAATTGCGGGGTTGAGCGGAGTCGCCTGTTTCAAGGCCGGAGATCCAAAACGTCAATTCATGTGAGGGTGAGTTGTTAAGCTCGGAGATGACCGTCGAGGATGGTGGGATATGTATGTAGTAGGCCTTTGGATCTCATGCGAAGTGGTGGCTTGCGTATGGCGGAGTCAAGGTTTGAGGCTGGAGTTTGAGGAAGCCTCCCCCCGAAAGGGATAGATGGTGGTGACAATCTTGAGACCAGCGAAGTTTGTTTTCAGTTGCGTATGTTGTATGGCGTCTTCCTCATCATTTCAGAGCCACTGCAACCTCCACCATATTCACCCATCGTGTGCGCGTTTCGGGGAGTTCCGACTCCTCAGCCTCAGCCACTGCCCTGGCAGCCCGTTTTCTCTTCTTAATAGCAGACTTGGACAGTCCAGACTCGGCAGTGGTATCTTTGTCTTCCTGTTTTTCTTCTTCTTCTGCCTGCACCTTTTCCGCCTCCGCCTTCTTCACCCCCTCATCTTCCAGAATATCATCCACAACAAGCACACTCCCCGTTTTAACCCTCACCACAAACTCATCTCCCCTCTCCTCAAACCACTTGCCCACAGAGAGTACCTTATCCATCGCCCTCCCCGTCGCCTTTACAAACACCTCCTCTTTGACCAACTCCTCCTGACCCCGCACCAGCTGCGCAAATTTCTGTTTCTCGCTCTTCTTCCCATTGGATAGGTTGACGGACGCGGTGGCGCGCTTTTCGGCCTGTCGGAGTAGTTTCTGCACGCGCTTGATGACGCTCATGAAGGGGGTTTTGGTGGAGACGTAGACGGTTTTGGGGACAGAGGGGCCGGCGTAGGGGGATGCGATGGCGGCGTGGGGGATGGGGCGTTTTTGAATACGGGCGTCTGGTTTGTTTATTAGAATAAAGGAAATATGTATAGGTGAAAAAGGTATATGGGGGAAACGAACGTTTAGGCAGCTTGAGCATGTCCTGATTCTTTTTCTCGAATTGGAGATCTTGCGCGAGTGGTTTTTTGGCCATGGTGGAGGTAGTGATGATTATTTTTGTTTGAGTGGGATTGAATGTATTAGCGATAGAGGGGACGTAGATATTATTCCTATCACGATATGATTGTATGAATTATGCGTGGTAGGTGTTGTATGTATGTGGTGGTGTCGCGGTAGAGAAATTGAAGCTGGAAGAAGCTGATCGGCAAACCTGCCGTTTTTCCGTCGAGATTTCCTCACCAACAGCACGTTTCTATCCACTACTCAACACGGTAATGTCGGTGTTTCATTTCCTTGGACAAGCATTCGATAAGAACCATCATCAGCTATTGATTGGAGAAACTATAGATAGTCTCTGTGTGATCCTTTGTTGATCCTGGATTACTGGAAACCAATCATTGACGATTACTCCTGATAGTCATTGTCACAAGACTCAAGATTGAGTGAAGAACTCCGGACCATCTCCTATCTTGTGAATGAGATACTCCTGTTACTCCATAAACCATCGGCTAACTATCTGATTCTCAGCTGCCCAATGCCCAACGGCCAACGGTCAACTCTTTTTGAGCAGGATGACTTCATAAAAATAACCTGACAAGACATATATAGGCTACCCCTATCTTGTTCTCTCCGATGGCCTCAATCAAGTAATCGCACACGTTACCGGTTAACCACAGAGCACAAGGCAATTAAACCAGCCATAATATCATTATCATCATCATAATAGAAGATCATTATGTCACGACCACAATACTGGGTGAACGGGTGGCCAAGACGACAGGGGAATGTCCTCCGGAGATGTATCAACTTTGATTATTATTTTCTTCTTTTTTCCCCTGGAACTCGGGATGACGATGCTTATGGTGCTAGTGTCTAGGATGCTGATCCTGTAATTCCCATAGAGCCGGCTCAGACACTGCTGATCATCGTTGGTGATCGTCTGCACATTGCCGTTTTAGGTAATGTCTTCGATTCCCGGTGGGCGTGAGGCACGAGGATCATCTCCGCGCCTTGGAGACGTTGAACAGTGTGACAATTATGTACTCCAATAACTCCATAGTTTGCAATTATACATACGTGGACACAGGACACAGGACATCTATTGACTTTATACAGGTTACGTACTGAACTCAGTCTGTATAGTGGCAAGCCACTATAAATATCAACGGCTGAAGAACGACCCGCTAGAACCAGAGGAACGCGAAGTTTTGACGGCGGAAGATCCAGTCTGGAGTCTGGACAGAAAGATCGTCGCATTCAGACAGTCGGTTGTGCTATCTTATTTGACAGACAGTGCCTGATGATCCCTTGTCCTCGGTAAGTACTTTTGGCTGCTTACTGGAGGATTCTCCCCCTCTTTCTAGCCTCTTGTCGCAGATGTCAACCCAAGATTGCGTGTTCTGAATCAGACCCACTCGATTCAGCTGAAAATATCTACACTCGACAGTGTGTGGACAGTCTGTATCTACTATCTAGGGGTTCAGCTGAATGCATTGTACAACTTCAATCACTTGATCGGGTCTGAAGGTCCAATGATGCTGCCGAGGGGCAATTCGCTTTCGCATCCTTCATGCAGGACTAGATCGGTCATCACCTCTGCATCCTGCAGTATGCACCCTGCACAGTGCAAATTGTGATCGGGGAAGAACCGACAGAAAGAAAAAAAAAGAAAAGAGGGGGAAATAAATGGGTTAAATTAAACGAGCGAACAAAAAGAAAGCACTAGACCCAAATATCAGACCTCCTAATCAGTAGTCTCGACGACGCTCCCAGTGCTCTGGGGCCTGGAGTTACGCGGAGGGCCCCAAATCGCGGTTGTTCAGCGATCGGAAGGACGGGCGAAAAAAAACTGTTGCCCCTAGCGTGGTACTAGTAGGGTGAGCAATCCTGGGTATCCGACTGGATGATCGGATCGGATATGGATGCAGTGCACTTTTGATTGACTTGATGGTCATAAATCCAATCTGTCCAATGTGATGTAGTATTTGTACATCTCAACTGGTACTTCTGGATGCGACATAAACAAACATAAAGATGATACTGTACCGTACTTCGTTGGTATACATATACCGTACCGTGGTCCATGGAACTGGAACGACGGCTCCCGAAAAGGAAAGTGACTAGGCCAAAGCAGGAGGCAGCGTGCCTCTTAGGGCAGTTTAGCCGGGTTTAGGGACGAGTTCCCGTGGGTCCATCGGCCGCAGTCCAGACTTTTGCTCAATACCAATACCGCGGATTACAGTCCCCGTACGGTACAATACCCACGCACACAACGCTCCGTGGGGATCCTCCAGTTATCTGTCACTTGCGATTGTCCCGTCATCTCCGTCGCCTCTTAATATCTACCCTCTGCTCCTCTCGTCTCTTTCATCTTTTCGCCTTCATCTCTCTCCAGCATCTGTTTTCCTTCCCGAGTCTATCGCCTTTCTTTGTTTCGCCTGCTTCGACAGCTCTTTTGCGCCACTTTCGTTTTTCCTTGTCTTTCTTTTGGATCCATCCAAAACAGACACCACCAAAAAAAACGCCCCTCGGTTCTTGTGGTCCCCCGATCTTCGATCTTCCATTCCCCGTTTGCTTTGACAGCAAACCACCCCCCCATCTTTTCTCAATTATTTATCTATCGGTTGATCAGTCGTCTCGATCTCTCATATTGCTCTTCTTTTCAGTCCTTTTTGAAACAAAGAAAATAAACTTCCCCATCTCAGAACGTGTGTGTGTGTGCTGCGCGGGTGACACGGAACTCCATCCGCTTTGCTACCAAACAACCACTTCGACCCCCTCACGCAAAGAAAGGGATAAACTTGACTCACTGATATCACTCACATCCTCGAGGTGCAGTCCGTCAGTTCAGGCGGGTTATGGAAAGACAGGTTACACGCAAGTAATGCCAGCCGTTTTTGCGATCAATTTATTGCTCTGCTCTGCTCCGCGTCACTATCACGTCGCACATTCGATCCCTTGGAACTTCTCTCTCTTTACTTGAAGTACCTCTCCCTAGCCTGCTAGGTTTCATCCTTCTTTATATCTTCCTCATACCTCGATTCTTGTAAATCAAAAAAACCACATCTTTTTATTACCTTTCAATTTCATCATGCCACACTCTCAAGAGCCTTTGGATGCCCCGGATGGCTCCGCTCTTACTTGGATCTTCGACCACTGTCTTCGTTACCCCGGATCCTATGAAATTCCTCTGCGCACTATGTACGCATTGAACTGCAATCCCACCAGACAAGCCACCCCTGGATCTCGCCCAGAGACCGCCTTCGGCCACCGTTCGACCGGTTCCAACTCCTCCAAATCTTCTCTCTCCTCCCAAGAAAGCAAGTTGGACCTCGCAGCCGACTTCAAGGCTCAATTGACTCATCAAATCTCTCGTCTCCCCTCGCAACCTTGCTCTCTTCCTCCCAGCTTCATCACTACTTTCTTGCGTCGCTGCTTTGCCCCGCAGCTGGAAGATGTCGACTTTCCCCAGGCCTTGACTGCCCTGGACTATCTCAAGGATCTCGATGTTCGACGTAACAGAGAGGTGGCGGCTGCCTTGCACCGTCTGAGTCTGGAACCTAAAGATGTCCAGGAGAAGTCGGAGCTGAGAAAGAAATACCCTCAGGTTTTGGCCTGGATTGAGTCTGTCAATGTCAAGGGTCGTAAGGCCGAGGCCCTCTACACCCAGATCTACATTGGCCTGCGCCGTTGGGTAAGTACCCGAGACATTTTATCATTATGCATCCAAAGCCCCTAACATTTGACTTAGACATTGATCAACGAAATGCTGCTGGAGCCCCACAACAAAGCCAACTGCATTGCCATGCTCAACACCCTCTTCCCCCCGGTTACCGACACAACCCCCACCCCCACACCCCAATTGACCCCGCAGATCTTGAAGTCCCAACGGGATGGGTTCTTCCGCTACATCTCAGCCTTTGACACCAATGGCAGGAAGATCCTCGACAAGATCATTGCTCAGGGAGCTCAGGAGGGCGAACCAAACGGATGGCCGCTGGTCCGGGACGCATTGGACAAGTACCTCCGCATTGCCAATGAGATCATTGATGAATGCTCGATGGTCAATGTGGATGCTCGCCCCGCCAGCATTAGCGAAGAACAAGAAGAACAAGAAAACACCCCACCTAAAAGCCACAAAGGCCGCAAGGTCGATTCCGGCATCAGCTTTGCCTCGACCGAGAAACTCCCTCCTCCTTCTATCAGGAGCAACAGCAGCAACGAGGATATGTGCGACAAGCCTCTTCCTCTCCCACCCTCTCCCTCCTCCAAAGCCAAGGGTGGCTCGACTTTGGAGCGGCTGGCCCGCGAACTCCGAAAACTTGGCGATGCCGGTAAGACCAAGAACCTCAAGAAAATGAGGTCCACAAGCGCTCTCAGTGCTCGGCCTGAGAACCTGCCTACCAACTCTGCCGACGATTCTTTCTTTGAAATTGACGATCAGAAGCGCAAGCGCCTGATCTGGGAGGCTAGCAGCCGCAAGAAATCCCATTCCAAGCAGTCCAGCTCGGACTCTCGTTAAAACTCTCTTTGATTACATGCATCTTTTGTTTACACCCCCCCAAAAGCAAGAAAGACAAAAGTTTGGGGTTGGCATTCTTTTGACACCCGGAGTTGATTTCTTTTCCTTTTTTTATCCTTGAAAGGATCAAGGAGCACTGTCTATCATTTTTGTTTTATTTGTTGTTTTTAGCATTCGGTGCAATTGGGATACTGTATTGGGTGGATTGGCGTATGGAAGGACGATGTCACACAGCCAACAAAAAAGGCAAGGAAGCTTGGTGTGTGGACTACTAATGATTAACATGTTTTATGAACCAAATTTGTCAAATATACCATTCAAAAATTCAAAAATTTATCATAAATCTACTATACACGTAATGCATTAAGTCTGCTCTATCACCTATTAAGTCTCCGCAGTGACTATCAATAGAAACGAAGCGGAGGTGCTGCGTCTTTGGCCGCTGCGCCCACCCTAGCAGCTACGGTCGAGGTGTCCAGACGGCATCAACAATCATCATCCCTCTTCGTTCAATCCAGCCTGAGATGTTGGGGGCGATTTTGTTTATTTCAAATTGATCATTCGCAGTATTGTGACTATATTCCCCATCCATTACTGAGCCCTGGCTCAATCGTCCGTGATGCTTACTACCCTTCATCAGGAGTAGCTAAACAGATAAACCAGCTGCCCCATCTATCTATCTACTTGGGGCAGATTTCATTTCGTAACCTTTTCATTTTCTCCCCCACATTCTACCTCAGGGCATTGAAGGTGAATATAACACCGATACCAGTGTTAAAATGGTGTTAGCCACAGGCATGATGGCCTCGTGGCGATTATATGCGGTAGTTGTTACTGCAGCGCTGGCATGTTTGGTTCGCGCAAGCCCCTCGGTCAATGTCGCTTTACAGGCTTCATTTGATTCAGCGCCTTATCTTCTGGAGCTTTTGTATGTGACTCCTATCTACCCATCCATCTATTGTCTTGCGTGGGGGTTGGCCGGATGAATCGCTAATACATCCCTTAGAGAAACAGCCGCCGAGGAAAACCCAACCGCCTACTTCCCACTTCTGGACCGTATCGCAGACGGTATCTTCGACGACGCAGTTACTGACAAGGAGCTTTACGACCGATTCCTGAAAGTCGTTCACGAAGATGGATACCTCGCAACGCCGGAAAGCCTCTCATCCTTTAAGCTGTCTTTGGCGATTCGATCGGCGACGCCTCGCATCGAGGCTCATTATCAATTCTACAATACCTCCGTTCAGCAATCTTTGATGGCGGCGCAGGATGCGGCGTGTCCTGTGTGGGCGCATTCGGAGGGAAAGCAGTACTGTTCTTCTACTATGGAGCGTGCGCAGCAGGATGTTTTGGGAGAGCTGTGAGTTGTGATTCTCTGGTGAGGGTGCGGCTGGATGGATGGTTGGCTAATTGTTTTTGCTGATGTAGTGATCCACGAGAGCTTCCGTTTGACCGAGTCTTGGGCGATGTTTCTTTGCCCCCTGCCATTTTGTATGCGGATGTTGCATCGCCTATGTTCAACGAGTTCCATCAGACCTTGAGTGCCCTTGCCAAAGAGGGCCAAATCTCATACCGAGTGCGCTACCGACCTCCCCAACATTGGAGCTCTCGTCCTCTGTTTGTTTCCGGCTATGGAGTTGAGCTTGCGTTGAAACGAACGGACTATATCGTTATCGATGACCGGGCTGCTGAAGAGAGAGATAGCCAGGAAAGCAAGTCCTCCGAAGATGCTCTTGATGATCTCAAGCCTCTGTCTTCATCAGAAGTTTCTCGTCTGGGTGTAAACACCGCCAGCTATGTGATGGACAGCGCCGATCCTCTGGACACCCTCGTGAAGGTTTCCCAGGATTTCCCCAAATACTCATCCCGAGTCGCAGCTCATAATGCAACCCCCGAGCTTCTGGAAGATATCCGCTCGAACCGCGGCCGAATGATTCCTCCGGGCGTTAATGTCATGTGGATTAACGGTGTTCAGATGGATGCTCGGAAGATCGATGCATTCTCTCTCCTGGACCACCTTCGTCGCGAGCGAAAACTGATTGAAAAGTTCCGCAACATTGGGTTTTCTGCCCAGGAGGCAGTGGAAATTCTGTCTCATCGTTTCCTTGGTGAGGCTTTGGCGAATGACGAGCCTGCACGTTATAACTACCGGGATGATATCGAGGGTGGCGGTGTTATCATATGGATGAACAACCTCGAAAAGGATGAAAAGTATCAGAATTACCCTAGGGAGCTTGCAGCGGTACGTCCCTTTGAATGAACTTTCTTGATCTGTCATGCTGATTTACCTAGATTATGCAACGAGTTTATCCCGGTCAACTCCCCCCATTGGGTCGTGATTTGCACAATATTCTTTTCCCGGTTGATTTGAGCGACGCGGAGGACATGAATTTGGTTGTGAAGACCGTCAAGGCTTTCGTGAAGAACGGGATTCCAGTGAGATTTGGCTTGGTTCCTACTGTGTCCTCGCAAGGGTCTATTGCACAGCTCAAGGTGGCCCATTACCTGCATGAAACTTTTGGACTAGGTAGTCTTATAAGCTACCTGGAGGAGGTGGGTGTTATTCTTGATTCCAAAGGATAGGAGCAAATGCTAATTGGACTAGTCTGCTTCGAAGAACAAGATCGCGTCCCCTGACAAGTCTTGTTTCCAGACTGCGATCAAGGACCGGAATGTCCGTGGCGAGAAGCAGAATCTTGCATTCGAGGATGTCTTGAAGAGCGAGGAGCTTGACACCACTGTGTCGCGAACAATCAGCTACCAAAAGCGACTGGGCATCGAGCGTGAAGGATCGCAGTTCTTCGTTAACGGAATTGCGATAACCCGTGATGACAACTGGGTAAAGGAAATGAGTATGCGGGTCAACCAAGATCTCCAAACAATCCAGGAGGGTATCATGGAGGGTGTATTCGAGGAGGATACATGGTTGCCAGGATTCTTCCTCGCTCAAGCCTTCGATAGACGCAACCCCCTGATTATCCCCGCGGATCCTAAGGATATTCGGATTGTGGATCTTGCAAACGTTTCTGAGACAGCGAAGGAAATCTTGGATAATACCCCCCGACTCGAAGCGGACAAAGTGGACGTCCTTGATAGCGCTCATGTGGCCGTCGTGGCTGATTTTGACTCTGAGAAGGGCCTCGAGCTGCTCATTGCCGCCCTGAACTTCCGGAAAGAACATGACCAGGTGGAAGTTCTCTTTGTTCACAACCCCGAGGAGCAGGCGAGCCCACGCGCATCTGCAAAGTTGTACCAGTTGCTTAAGAAGGGAAGTGGTGCCGATGCTGCACAGATTCTGGCTGATATCGAGTCTGAATCTCAAGTATCTGATGAAGAGGCCCAAGAGATCTCTCATTTCTGGGCGGTACAGCAATCTCTTGCTGGCGACCTTGGCTTTGCCCCTGGAACCAGCGGTGCCGCCCTCAATGGAAGGGCGATCGGACCTATCCCTGACGATTCTGTACTGAACAAGGATGACTTTGCCGGGTTCCTGGACCATGAACAGCAGAAACGGATAGCACCCATCACGAAGGCTGTCAAGGACCTTGGGATTGGCTCGAAGCTTTCTGGCCCTCTTGCCCTTGCGAAGCTCACCTCTCTTACTGCTCTATCAAGAATCTCAGACGTCCCTGAAGGAATTTTCGAGTCTCTTCCAGATATTCGGTTGAACCTTTTCGACCATTTTGACAAGCCTGGATCGGTTATTACTGTTTCCAATTCTGAAGACCCAGCAATTACTATCGTTGCCTCCATCGACCCAACTTCCGAAGTAGCCCAGAGATGGTTGCCGATTCTTAAGGTGCTTTCTGAGCTGTCCGGTGTTAGACTCAGGTTGTTTTTGAACCCGCGGGAACAGATCCAAGAGCTTCCGATCAAGCGCTTCTACCGCTATGTGTTGAATTCCGAACCCTCATTCGACGGCAGCGGATCGATTTCACGACCTACGGCATCCTTCTCTGGTGTTCCAGTAGAGGCACTGCTCACTCTGGGCATGGATGTCCCATCATCCTGGCTTGTCGCTCCCAAGGACTCTATCCACGATCTCGATAACATCAAACTGAGCTCGCAGAAGGCAGACTCGGATGTGGAAGCTATCTACGCATTGGAACATATCCTGATTGAAGGACACTCCCGAGATCTGACGACCAAGTCTCCTCCAGCAGGTGTTCAGCTTACTCTTGGGACCGAGGAGAACCCCAACTTTTCTGATACCATCATCATGGCTAACCTGGGCTATTTCCAATTCAAAGCCCAGCCAGGATTGTGGAAGATTAGCCTGAAGCCAGGACGCAGTCAGCGCATCTTTAATCTCGACAGCGTGGGAGGACTGGGCTACAACCCGCAACCCGGCGATGAGAACACTGAAGTGGCACTGCTTTCTTTCCAGGGCCAGACTCTCTTCCCTCGCCTTTCGCGTAAAAAGGGCCATGAGACGGAGGATGTTCTGGAAACAGGTCCTGCGCCTGGCTCGCCGATGGACTATGTCTCCAAGGGGTTCAACTTCGCACAGGGTGTTCTATCCAGCGTCGGAGTCGGCTCCAAGAGTAGCTCTGAGAAGCAGGCCGATATCAATATATTCTCCGTTGCAAGTGGTCATCTGTACGAGCGGATGCTGAACATCATGATGGTGTCTGTCATGCAAAACACTCAACATACCGTCAAGTTCTGGTTCATCGAGCAATTCCTCTCGCCGTCTTTCAAATCCTTCCTGCCACACCTGGCTAAAGAGTACGGCTTTTCATACGAGATGGTCACGTACAAGTGGCCTCACTGGCTTCGGGGACAGAAGGAGAAGCAGCGCGAGATCTGGGGATACAAGATTCTCTTCCTGGATGTCCTCTTCCCTCTCTCCCTGGACAAGGTGATTTTCGTCGACGCAGACCAAATCGTCCGAACAGACATGTACGACCTCGTCACCCTCGACCTGGAAGGTGCCCCGTACGGCTTCACCCCAATGTGCGACTCCCGCGAGGAAATGGAAGGCTTCCGTTTCTGGAAACAGGGATACTGGAAGAACTTCCTTCGCGGCCAACCCTACCACATCTCGGCCCTCTACGTCGTCGACCTGGCTCAATTCCGGGCTCTCGCGGCAGGCGATCGTCTCCGTGGTCAATACCAGATGCTCTCCGCCGACGCCGGCAGTCTGAGTAACCTCGACCAGGACCTACCAAACCACATGCAACATTACATCCCGATCAAGAGCCTGCCGCAGGAGTGGTTGTGGTGCGAGACGTGGTGCTCTGACCAATCGCTCAGCCAAGCGAGAACCATCGATCTGTGCAATAACCCACAGACAAAGGAGCCCAAGCTGGACAGAGCTAGAAGACAGGTTCCCGAGTGGACAGCTTATGATGATGAGATTGCCGCCTTGTCCAAACGGGTGGCCCTTGCACAGCAGCAGCAGGAACAGGAAGGCGAGGAAGCGGAATCCCCTGAATGGAGAAAGGATGAGTTGTAGGATGTGTGAAATGAATTTGGTATTGGTTTATAGATCTATTCTGGGTGTATTTTAGTACTATATTCCAATTACGAGTATAAATATTTAGAACAATCCATCCGTTCGTTATAGGGGGGTATAATTTTGAATATCATCTTTGACAAGCTAATTCAACATCCCAGAAAAGAAAGCAAAATTGCCCAACAAAGGCCAAAAATGATCGTAGTAAGTGGCTCGACATATACCAATTGCCAAAAGAAATACACACAAAGAAAGACAGACAATTTCATTAATTCATTTCACTTAGTCTGAATCATCCTCAGAGTCGTCATCGGTAGTACCCTCTTTCTTGACGGGGGCAATCGAGCTCGAACGACTCGAGTCCCCCTTGGTGTTTATCCTCGGTTTCACGTCTAGTTCACTATCGCTCTCGGCTTCGCCCTTGATATTGCGCGAGGATGAACGCGAGGGATTAGTTGACGAGGTGTTTGAGGTCGAGCTCTGGCGGCTCTTGACAATTGGGCTTTGGTGTCCTTTGGACTTGGGACGAGAGTTGATGGATTTGGGGTTGGGTTTTGTGTCGACTTCTGACTCGGACTCGGATTCGGATTCGGATTCAGAGCTGCTGGAGTCGCTGGAGTCGCTGGAGTCGCTGCTGTCGGACGAGGATGAGTCTGGGGAGGATTCAATCTTGGGGCGTTTGGTGTCTTGTTGTTTTCTTGGTTGTGCTTCTTGTTCATGTTTCCTCTTTGCACTGGTGTTGAGAGTAGGTTTGGTTGTTGTCTCGGTTGGTTTATTGTCGTCACCATCGCTGGAGCTAGCTGTTGATTCGTTGTCATCGGATTCTTCACTCGATGAGTCCGTTTCGTTGCTCGAGTCGTCATCAGACGAACTATCCTGGGAATTGCTTTTTCCATTTTGAGAAGGGGGCGTGGGTGCCTTCGGTGCCTTGGGAGTTGACTTGGCTGTCGATTTCGCTGCAGGTTGTTCTGACTCGCTATCTGCGTCATCCTCGGACTCGGACTCGGAGTCGGACTCTGACTCTGACTCTGAGGTCACTGGAGACTGTTGCTTTGTCTGGGCAGCTTGATTTTGCTTTTGTGAGGCAGGTCCTGCTGGCACGGCTTTCTCTTGAACCTTCGAGTGCTCCTTGTCCTTCGACTGAGCTTTGTCATTAGGCTTGTCCTGCGTCTCCTTAGATTTCTCTTTTACGGCGTTTTTAGACCTCGCCTGGGTGCCACTTTGAGGGTTATTGCCATTCGCAGAATCTTTAGCCTTCTCTAAGTTGGCTTTTGTCTTTGTTTGGGGGTTCGAGGCAGCATCGCCCTCAGACTCAGATTCTGAGTCACTTTCAGATTCGGATTCGGATCCAGAACCAGATTCTTCTTCAGAGCTAGACTTGTCCTCAATGGGTGTAGGCTTTTTGCTTGCTTTTGTGGAAGCCTTGGGTTTATCTTGAACCGCAGTAGACTTGTTTCCTTTGGGTATAGATTTCGGTTGCTTGGAAGGTGTCGCTTTCTTCGGGGACTGAGACGCAACGCCACTGTCATCCTCTTCTGAATCGTCCGAGTTGACAAATTCAGAGCTCTTGTATCGTGCGTCCGACTGAGTCTGTGCGGCGACGGTAACTGCGGGTGACTTGCTTTTCTTTTTGGGCGACTGTAGTTCTGAGGTAGGGTTGTAGATGGCATCTGGGTTTCCTTTGTGGCGCAGGGTCAAAACTTTCCGCCTGATCTTGCGCCATTTATCTGCACATTGCTGTCTCGATCGGCAGTTATTGATTTTGTCGCTCACTTGTCCCCATCCAATTAGTGACTCGTCCATCTCGTAAATGTCCTTCCCTACATCATGGCCTGCCTTGGATAGGTTTTTCCGTGATTCATCCAGAACCTTTTGTAAGCTGCGAACTTCCTCCTCGGACCATTGTCCCCGTCTCATGGTCTCTCGATGTTCAAGACGGTTCTTCCATCTTTGAACGACATCGTCATCACTCCGGCCTAGGAGCTTAGCGATATAAGCGAATTTCGGGCCATGTTGAGTATGAAGAGAGACCAGCTCGTTATCTTGTTCCTTGGTCCATGAATGCGGCTTTTGCGTCGAAGGTTGGAAATGCCGTCTCATGAACCGATATGTTGATCTCCGGTCTCTGTTCGGGATAGTCTCGTAAATGTTTCGCCAAAACTCTTGCTTCGAAATGACGTCGGCATCGCACGGGAATGGGGTACCCTTATCACGTTCCGAATGCTGAACCATAGTGTCGAAATCGTCTCCAGAGAGTAGATGGGTGTTGCAAAACTTGAGTTTAAAGCTCTCCAGAGCCTGGACTTCCTCTGGCGTGAAGAATCCAGTCGTTCCTCCCTTATTGCTCCGAGCAGGCTTTCCCTGCGCACCCGTTGTAGTGCCAGTGCTCGACTCTGGCGGAAGTGACGGAGAGGTTGTTTTCGATTCGCTTATGGTTGGCTTGGGCACTGGCGCGGCCTTCTTCTGGGGTTTCGACGCTGGCGACGCTTTTGTTTTGCTCTGCTGTTTCCCCTTCTGGCGTTCTGGATTCTCCGAAGGCTGACTATCCACGACTTCCATGGCGGCATTTTTATTCCCCACTCCCAGTGTTGACTCGTCTGCTGCTGTGCGCCCCTTCTTTTTCTGCGATGATTCAGATGTTCGCTTTCGTTTCATCGGACGGGAATCTTGTTCATTTTGAGGTTGAGATGGACTAGAGGCTGAAGCAACAGGGGGCTGTTTTTCAGGGTTGGTGGTGACAGGAGAAGACTTTCTCTTCCGCTTCGATTTGGGCGCATCTTCCTGCTGCAAAGTTGATTTTTCTTTCGATCTAGGAGTAGTAGCATTGCTATTATATTCTAGAGAATCTCCGACATCATTGTCTTCTTTAAATGAAAGTGAAGATGTCAGCTAGTTATCAAAGGTGATATTTTCGCAACCCGTGCGTTCTTTAGGTCCAGACAAGCTTCTCCGCGAGGACTTACCGATATCATCTGTAAACCCAGCATTAACTGGCTGAGAAGACCCTTGACCCATCTGAAAAGCAAAAGAAGAGGCAAAAGCCTCTAGATAGTGCGATAAAAGGTGTGGAGGAATTGGACGCAAGTTTTCAGGAATGAAAAAAAAAATTGGCCCGGAGAATCTGGAGAACGCGGGCGGCGCGTTTTTTTGCGGCCCTTCCCGCTTTGGTCCAAGTGAGCCTTTATTTCGCAACGATAAGTTCAGAAGATCTTTAAGATATATTTGCTTTGAAGATATATTGGGTATAATTGTATATGTCTAGACAATAATGTTGTGCTCGAGGTCTTTAAATTAATTATACGGCAAGGGAAATAGCAGTGAAAACACCCGGATGCTCATTGACAAACTGATACATCGTTATAATCAAGAAGCTATTTTCATTTCTCGTAAAATCTTCGAGACCAATTTCCTCTGGTCTGCTGGATTCAAGTTGTTGTCGTCGATTGTATTCAAACATCTCCCAATTGCCACTGTCGCCTTGACAGCAGAGTCGCCGCCATTCGAGCAATCCACCCAGATCTTGCCGTTTCTCCCTACGGCAATTTCGAATCCTCCTACACTCTCGAGCTTCTTCCCTAATTCATCGAGAACGACCAGCCCTGCGAGAGCTTCTTGCTGTTCGGGCGACGACGAACTTGCTCTCAGCAACCGTGCAGCCATGCCGGTAGAGACATCAAACACCATCCCGCTTGTTAACGGGCCCAGTCCTCCATCTGCCTTGCCAGTTGCAGGGTTCACACAGGTCAGTTCGACTTCTGCACCAGCGCCGAGTCCAACCGACAACACACGGGCATAAACCAGATCGCCTTGCTTCAACATTGGCCTTGTCTTCTTTGTCGCACCCTCGAAGGAAAGCTGTCCTAATAGTGCATGAGGAGCCTGAGGTGTGATCATGCAGTGGAAGTAATCTGCACTGGAATGGTGAATCTGCGCAATCACGAGATCGTTTTGTGTTGGGATATATCGGTGATTGGGGAATGTTTGGAGCGACACAGTGTTTCTCTTGAAGTCGGTCGAAAGAATACCGGCCTGGGTCGCGGTCAGGACATGGCCGGTTGATTTGGGCGCAGACGATGTAGATGATTGTTGCGAGAGCAGACGAAGCCCAGGTCCCAGTCTCAAAGGAGCTGATGTGGTGGAAGGAAGATGGTCGGATGGAACCTCATCATTGGGAAGTAATATGAGAGGCGTCGTCATGATGGGCAGACCGACAGCAAGACGCCAGCTATCACAATTGATAGGTTGAAGGGAAACTTGTCGAGTTCTCAACTCCCCATCGAGCGTCGAAGTCGTTTCTTTCGCAGCGTCGAAATCGTTGCAAAAGACGCCTTATCGGGCTATCAGCACGTGATGAGCAAGCCCTGATCGTCGTTGGATTAACAATCTGTTTGCAGTCAATTCTGACAATATTAAAGCTGGGAAAAAGAGGCAGGAAATGGTATAAGGAGTAATTCCTCTTTCTCTCAACCTATTCCAATCCAATTTTCAGAGTAGATACCTACATAATATCCAGTCGAGCGCATTCTGCCACTTAAGAGGGGCCTGCACCGCCACAGCGTCTATCGATAACACCAGCCACAGTTGCCGCCTCTTCGTCAAACGAACCAAAAGATTTTTTTTCTCCCAGCGAGAAGAAGCGAAGACGAAGAAGAGCAGCGAATTTCCCTTTCCACGCCTCCATTTTGCGATTTTTGATCTCCTTTTATTCCCGAGATCTTTCTTTCTTTAACCCATTTTCACTATACCCTTCGATATGAGTAACGAAACCAACGGTGTCGCTGCGGAGAAATTCGCTATCGGTATCTCCTTTGGCAACTCCTCCAGCTCCATTGCCCGTGTCACACCTGTACGTCAATAGCAAGTCGATTAATTTATCATCTCGAATGAGGGAATTTTTTGGGAAATTGTCAAAAATAGTCACTGACAGAAATGTTTCTATAGGAAGGCAAGGCTGAGGTTATTGCCAACGAAGAGGGAGGTTCGTATTGACCCCTCCATGCCATTCCCGCTCGAATTGGCTAGTTGAGAGTATATCAACTTACACCTTCCTAGACCGTCAAATCCCCAGTGTTCTCTCTTACATGGATGGAGAGGAATACCACGGCACTCAGGCCAAGGCCCAGCTTGTTCGCAACTCCCAGAACACCGTTGCATACTTCAGAGATTACCTTGGAAAGGAGTAATTACCCCCAATAGTTGCAGGATAGTCATATAAGATGAACACTGGTACTGACCTTTTCCCACAGCTTCAAGTCGATAGACCCTACCCCATGCCACAACTCGGCCCACCCCCAGCAGAGCGACTCGACTGTTGCCTTCTCCATCCGTGATACCGCCAGCGAGAACAACAACACAGTTACTGTTTCCGAGATCTCTACTCGTCACCTTCGTCGCTTGAAGCAGTCTGCTACTGACTACCTTGGCAAGGAGGTCAACGCTGCCGTTATCACCGTCCCCACTGACTTCACCGATGCCCAGCGTGAAGCCCTGACCGAGGCTGCCAAGGGTGCTGGTATTGAGGTTCTCCAGCTCATCCACGAGCCCGTCGCTTCCGTCTTGGCCTATGATGCCAGACCCGAGTCTGTTGTGACTGACAAGCTTGTCGTGGTTGCCGACCTCGGTAACACTCGTTCGGATGTCGCTGTCATCGCTTGCCGCGGAGGCATGTACACCATTTTGGCCACCGCCCACGACTACGAGCTGGGAGGATCTTCTTTGGACCAGATTGTCATCGACCACTTCGCCAAGGAGTTCATCAAGAAGCACAAGACCGACCCCCGCGAGAACGCTCGTGGACTCGCCAAGTTGAAGCTGGAGTGTGAGGCCACAAGAAAGGCCTTGAGCTTGGGTACCAACGCTAGCTTGAGCATCGAGAGTCTTGCGGATGGTATTGACTTCGGCTCTACGGTCAACCGCACTCGCTACGAGTTGCTGTCTGGCAAGGTCTTTGCCCAGTTCACTGGTCTGATCGAGCAGGTTGTCAAGAAGGCCGAGTTGGATGTTTTGGATATCAATGAGGTTTGTGGTTTCTGTCGCCACTTGCTGTTAATTTTCTTCTGACTTCAAATTTCAGGTCATTTTCTCCGGTGGTGTTTCGCACACTCCTAAGATCGCCCAGCTCGCCCGCAACATCTTCCCCGAGACCACCTCGATCCTTGCTCCTTCCACCACCACCACCGCCATCAACCCCTCCGAGTTGGCTTCCAGAGGTGCCGCCATCCAGGCCTCCCTGATCCAGGAATTCGAGAAGGAGGACATTGAGCAGTCGATTCACCCCGTCGTTACCGCCACTCCCCACCTCCGCAACGCTATTGGTGTCGAGTTCACCTCCGGAGAGAGCGTTGACTTCAAGCCTCTCCTGAACACCGAAACCGCCCTCCCCGCCCGCCGTGTTGCTCAGTACTCTGCACCCAAGGATGGTGGTGACGTCTTCGTCCGTGTTGTCGAGGGTGTCCGTGAGATCAAGGTCACCAAGCCTGAGCCCAAAGAGAAGCCCGCTAAGACTGAGGAGGACGAGGAAGACTCCGACTTCGACTCGGATGAGGATGAGGAGGAGGAGATCCGTGAGGTTGCATGGAAGACCGAGAAGCCCGTTGCTGAGCTCGCCGTCAAGGGCGTCAAGGCCGGCGGCAAGGTCGAGGTTATGGTCCACATCAACGCCGACCTGGGCCTGCAGGTCACCGCCAAAGAAATTGGTGGCCAGAGTGCTGTCCGTGGTGCTGTTGAGGCTCCTAAGGCTTAAGCATAACCTTGGTCATTCTTCTCTTTTCCTATTAAAATTTTTGCAACGTCATGGTTAACGCTTTTCCTTTTCCCATGAATTTATCTATTATAACATCTGAACATGATAGAATTTTTCTTTTTGACCTTTTCCCGCTTGTATCTCCTTTGATTTTAGGCTCTGGGCATCTGAATGTTGAGGAAAGGTTTGATCGGAATTCAGTCGGGAAGATTAAACGTTGTCCATGTTTCATGCCATGATTGTTTGATAATGAAAGCATTGATAGAGGTTGTTGAAAGTATATAGACCATCAGACAACCAATACAAAAAGTTGATAGATTCATTTCTTGGTTCCATTATTTCGAGTAGGTCAGCAGGGCATTGAAAGGTGCTACATACATTTCTCAAGCATATGCTGGAGAACTGTCAAGAGCATTTGGATACGAAACATGGTATAGAATTATCATTATTTTATTTCCCCCTAGAACATTTTGGATTTTAGTATATTACAATTATTATTAGGTTCAAATAAGATAAGGGTAAAAGATATCGTGAGATACATGTCATCCAATTCAAACAGATTCAGACGTAATTGTCACATGAGCAGGTAATTAAGTAGTAGAGATAGACAGGTGATAAACGTAAAACGTCAAGAGTTCATAACAACATTAAATGAGTGTGTGGAGGATGGCATCAGTCGAATATAGCAAAAACAGCAACATAACCTGGGAACAAGTTGAGACATGCCTGAAGGCAGGTGCTGGTAAGCCCAACGGAATTGAAAACGAACAGGGGTAGTAGGGTTGCGCATCCAGATTCTTCCGGTTTTTATATAGCGAGCGAGCGAGCGATATATTTTCGAGATCGACTGAACGTATACTTCGAAGTCAGATGCGAAGAAAATCTTGCTAGTTGACCAAGCGGATTGCGCTGGTCCAGGGCAACTCCATCACACGATATGCCTAGTCCTCTTCTAGATGAAAAAGACCATGGGCTGTGTTTAGACTGCAGTTTCTTTGTGGACGCTTCCTGCGCTCGCCCGTCGGTTAGAAGAGAAGAAACCACGGCGTCTCTGTTCTCGGCCGCTGTAGCCACCGTCTTTTCTGCCGACAGCTCCTCCCAGACAGTAGAGCAAGCATGAGAGGAAAAGACAAACCGACGCAGTCCACATGAAGGCAAAGGATTTCACGCCTAGTCTGGCCGTCTGGTTGTTCTTGTTGAATTGGTTGCGTCCCTGGACGAATACGGCACTGTTTCAAAGTTAGCTAGTTCAAATAACGTTGCGCAGAGGCTGTTTCCCCCGGATGGTGATACTCACGTCATCAGACAAGTCACGATGACTTGGAAAATCAAAGCGATCCATGCCAAAAGTGCGGAGAGATAGCCTCCGATCCGTGTGCACATAGCCAGGAATCCGGTGAAGAGCGAGCAAACGCCGAAGAACAAGGCAATGATCAGAAACGGAAACATGAACCGGGAGGTCAAGAAGTAGTGGTTGGTGCTGCGACACGTTAGTTTCATGACCAGAAAAAACGCTATAATGGAAAACTACTTACCCAACAAACGCCGAAGGCACATTGGTGGTAGTGCCAAAGTTGTTGCTGTTCGGGGGGTCGAAGGGATAATCAGGGTGAGTATCTCCGCAATCACTCTTCCCAGCACTATTCACCCCACACAAATTCCAAAATGTCCATCGAGACAAAGCCGGAGCGCCTGGGATATTGCTTGTATCGGCTTGGAGGAAGTAGATCTCGTTGAGAGGTCTTGTATTCGTCGCTCCTCCCAAGAGCGTTAGGAACATCAACAAGAGGGCTGAAGCTATGAAGAACAGGCCAAGAAAGCCCAAGGCAACTCCTATGTAGAACGTACTTATTAGTTCTTGTCCATATTCATGTATCACAGCCGGATGGGCGAAGGGAGGCCTTACTGCTTAGACCCATTGTGTTACTAGTTTAGTATAAAAATATCTCAGTGGTAGAAAAGTACACAATATGACCGACCAGTTGAAACGCTCTTCAAATAGTCAGCTGCAGGGATATATTCAAGACAGGTAGCTAACGAAGTAGTCCGGGAGAAAGATGAAAGAAAAGAAATCAAAAAAAGTATTCGAGACAGCAGGATGTGAGAGGTGCAGGGCCAGGGTTGCTGGTATTAAAGCAGATTTCCGAAGATCCCGGCGGGTAACCTGCACGGAGGGAACCACAGGGCAGCAAGCTAGTAGTGATATAATGGTGAGAGGGCATCATCGGTTTCTGTCCCTCTTTTTTTCCTGTGTCCTCTCGTCTCCTGCGGTTGAGGTCGTGCAATAACTGAGTCTTGCGCTGGAGAACAGCTGATCTCGACGTCATCGTTGCACACTCTCCGCTAGCCGCCTCTGGTTAGCGTGGGTGCTAAACACACGCTAAGCCCGATCGGCGGCAGGTCCATGACGTTTGTTGCAGAAGCCAAAAGACACCGTCCTTCGTGCCAGTTGGCGTCCATCCGGCTCTTGACGTTGCACTCGCGCAGCCAACGGATGATCGATAGAGTTGGGCTTGGTTCCGCTAGTCGGATGCACTGGATCGACGTGGATCAAGTGAGAAGTTTATACTGAATTTTTCTGCCTACCGACTGCTTTCTCCACAGGGGCAAGGGTCTTGGATTCTTGAGTCCCCGAGGCCAATACTAACTAGTAGCTACCCTACTCGAGACCAGTCGCGTCCCTCTTGCGGTTAAGGTCAACCGCTGATAAAAAGAACAGGGAAAAGATAGGGGATAGGCAAAAAAATGGCAACTTGGGCATACCCACCATTGCCGCCAGCACGATTGGAGCAGGAGGCAGATGATGCGTTGGTACGCCTCTTTTCCGCTTGGGATTTCCCCCCAAAAATCGGACTATCGAGAATTAGGGCGAGTTACTTACGTGGGATGAATCTTGATTTAGGCAAGAGAGTTGGAATGGCTTTTGCGTTCCTTGCAAGATTCCCTCGCCTCATTGAGGGAAGGTCTTCGTGACTGCGCTGCCCTGTTGGCCCCTAAAGAACCTGGTTCAACATTGGTTCTATCATCTCTACGGTCTGAAAATGTGAAAGGCTTTGTGACGAGAGTTGGAACAAAAATCGTAAAGGGGGTATGTCATCGGCATTTTTTGTTATGAATCCCGACTACGATACCATGGCACCATTGTTGCTAGCTGCAGAACCAAATGAATCCGCTAACCAATATGAATGGGATAGGATGTTCAGCTTCGCCTGAACTCCCTCGCCTCTGTCCGGGGCACGCCTAGCACCCGTGTGTGCTTGTCGAACTCTCCTGGTGCCCCAGAACTTGTGCTTGATCAGCTGGTTTCGGTACGAGACCTGGTAAATCAAAGTCTGGATGTTGTCGATGTTAGTACCTGGACTGGTGACCCGCTCAATGCGAGTTTCATTTTCAGCCAACTGCATCTCCTGCATGAGACCATCACGGAAGCACGCCAGACGCTCAAGGGCGAGGAGGACGGCATGAAAAGCAAATGGTGGGAAACCAGTGCGACTGATAATGTGAGTTATATCTGGCATTTTCAAGCTTAAGTAGTGACGTGCATGTTAATTGTTTTGCTTTTTGAAGATGTTCGACCCTCCGTTGCCACCATCTCTTTCATTTCACCTCTCCATTGCTGATTCGGCTCTTGTGCTGCACCTGAGGACTCTGGAGTCTTGTACGCCTGCACACACACCCACGGCATTTGCAACCGACATTTCTTTGACTGGGTTTAACATACGAGACCGGCTGTTTGGGTCTCGGCATCGCACTCATGATGAGGCCGGTGACGTCTTTGCCTGGAAGGGTGATGAAGTGAGAGTAAGGGAGAAAGTTCGCGTTGAAAGTCAGGACCCAAGCCTGATGTCTGTGATGGCCAAATTAACTGCTCTTCAGCACGAAGTGCAGAAATGGTTGTCTGCCCTGAAAGTTCTTATGGGCAATGACGATGGGGAAACCGAGTCCTGATCTTCCCCATTCTTTACTTTCGTTTCTTGCAAGTCTGTACATATAAACATGGCGATGTAAATATTAATGGCCAAACATACATACCCTTCCATATTAATTTGCTTGGAAATTTTCAATTAACTGTAGATTAATAGTGACAAACTCATAGTTCCTACCAATTTGTTATGTAAGCACTTAAAAATTCATCTACCAATGAGAAACCGCCAATTTCTGATGGACGCATATCTTGGCGAGACTTTTCTTGGACGCTGTCTCGAGTGGCGTTTTGTTCGCGTTCACAATTCTCCATCAATTCTTGCTTGCGGACGTCCAAGGAGCTGAAGATGCTGTCGAGACCCCCAGCATCATCGGCCAGCCGGTCATGTTCTCGTGATATTCTCCGCACGATCTCCCATTCGCAGGCCAGCTCGCGACAGCTCCGCGGCGGAGCTGCGAGCTTCATAACCCAAAAACGCAAACAGACCCTTTCACGACAAGCGTCGCCTGCAACGCCGACTTCATCGATATCAAGAGAATGTATTACTCCGAATCGAGTCCAGCGCTGGCAAGCAGGGAAGAGGCTTGCGTCTACTGCAGCAGCCGCGAACGACACCGTACCGAATGACACGACACCTCAAGCGGACCGAAAAGATGAAATCTACGATTTGATTGATACCATCAATGAAAATGATGAGGAACTGGCTGAGCTTTTGGATGATGCGGATTTACTCCATGATCATCACGGTGTTTTGAATATTGATGGTCACGAGCTCGATCATGCGTTTTCCCAGACAATCGGTCACCGAGACGAAGAAACGTTGGAATCACGGGTGCGAATGGCACGGCAACAATTCGGCGAGATCCTACCCAAGGATCATTTAAACGATGTCGAATTGAAACTATATTCCCGATTATATGGAGAGCCAATTATTCGAGATTTAGACTTGGAAGTCGAACACGAGCAAGACGATGAAAAGGACCCTAACCGGCTTTTCCGCGAAGATGGCGAAGGTGGATGGGAAGAAGTTGAGGTTGAGGAAATAGAGGCACAAGAGGATACTCCGGTGGTTTATGACATGGAACTCGGTCCCCAAGAGGATGAATCCATCGCAATGCAGCGGACAAGGGAAGTGGCCGAACAACTTGGTGGGAAGATCATGCTTGAGCAATTTGAGGACGAAGCCGTGCCAGACTCTGCTCCACGACTACACCCTTTTACAACAGAAGGAAAGTTTTCTACGGACCCTAGCACGGTATTTCTGCCGAAGGACACAGTGACCGGTCCCATCTCTGCCATTTTGTCCAACTTCTCCAATAAGCACGTCGCAGATACCGCTCATCGTTTATTCGGTGGCAGGGGGCTTCCTCATTCCACTACTACGCCACCTCCACGTGCGCAATTGCCCCAGCTTCCGATTCCTTTGGAGGCTACGCAGCGTCATATGGGCGAGATGGAGGCCAATGCGTACATGGCGGCTCTGTACCCTGGAATGTACTCGTCAGTCCTCAGCGTGTTAGTTGAGGTTCGAAAGCGCTTGGGAACTGATTGGATCCGTAGCCTCATTTCACAAGAAAATGGGCCAAATGTCTTGGATGCCGGTAGCGCAGGTGCCGGTATTCTTGCTTGGAGAGATGTTCTCCGTGCGGAATATGAAAACATGGTCCCTGGTCACCCCGAAGGAGCACCTGTTCCTGTGGGTCGATCAACGGTTGTCACTGGATCGGATGCTCTTAAACTTCGTGCCAGTGTCATGTTGGAAAACACGACTTTCCTTCCTCGGCTGCCCGATTATCTTCATACCCGTGAAAAACCAACCTTGGATGACCAAAGAGCTCCTCCCAAGAGAAAGCAGTACGACATTATCATTGCCCCCCATACACTTTTGGGCATTGATGAGGACTATCTTCGGAAGGAATATGTTGAAAATCTGTGGTCTCTCCTCAACCCCAACGGTGGTGTTTTGATTCTGCTTGAAAAGGGACGTCAAAAAGGATTCGAAGCCATTGCTGGTGCTCGTGATATGTTGCTTAAGCGTCATATTTCAAGCCCTGGCTCTACACAGTACGAGGAATTCCTCGAATCGCCGAATGAGGATCGACGTGTCGAGAAAGAACCCGGTATGATCGTTGCCCCTTGCACCAACCACGAAAAGTGCCCAATGTACCATGGCCCAGGACAATCCAAGGGCCGCAAGGATTATTGCCACTTCTCGCAAAGATTCATCAGACCGCCATTCCTTCAACGCATCATGGGGGCCAAAGACCGAAATCATGAAGATGTACAGTTTAGTTATGTCGCTGTTCAGCGCGGAGTAGACCTGCGTGAGCAGCACGGAATCGTGCAAGGCGATAAAGCTACAGAGTCGGCTGCCGCTGGTTACGAAGATCTCCACGATATGACGGCAAATGAAGCGGAATCTGATGCAACAGCTGATGCTGTGAGCGAGGTTCCAGATGCAGAGAACACCCAGAACTTCCATACACTCTCTCTTCCTCGCACCGTCTATCCACCAATGAAGCGACGTGGACACGTCATCTTCGATCTCTGCACACCAGCCGGAAAGATCGAACGCTGGACCGTTCCCCGCTCATGGAGTCGCCAGGCTTACAAGGATGCACGCAAGGCCCAGTGGGGAGACCTGTGGGCTCTCGGTGCGAAGACCCGCATTCCACGAAACCTGACTCTGGGAGATAAGCACGGGGAAGGAAAGAAGGAAAGACTGGCTATGCGCGCAGCTGAAAAGGCGGCAATGGAGGAGGAAGGAGACCCTGATGCACAGGAATCAGAAGAGCGAACCAGCAATCGCCCTAACCTGCCGATTCCGACAAAGAAGAAGGGCCAGACCATTCCTAGTTGGAAGAAGCACGCTGACAAGAAGACGCTCAGACAGGCTTCGAAGAAGTATTATTCTGCTTCCAAATTGACGCAGGATGAATCTTAATTCATATCAACTGTTATAATACATTTTCGGGGGGTAGAAACAGCATTATTGCATGGCGCATTGGGCTTATGATCAGGTATACTTTCGAGTGAAAGTGATCAAACACGGGAACTGGGAATACACGATTGTATTATATTATATTTGTACGATATTTGGACATTATTTGTGGGATATAAAACGCAACATAGATCTCTCTCTTCACTCAATGTTAATATCTCCATTCCCACTTCACAGCATGAAATCAATCAACACATTCGGGTAATTCCGGTAGCGCTATATCCGGATACATGGACTTGAACAAGTCTGTGAAGAGGATAGGTGTGGTTACTGAGAACAGTCGCCCCAGAGAAGTTGCGCAGTAGCTCGGATTTCTTCAGCCATTTCTGTGGCCTGAAATGGTAGCTGCGATAGTATAATGTCGCGACGTACTGTGTGTCTGTCATAGAAAGTCGTTTAAAAAAGCGCATTTGACCATCATGTCGGAGTATTCGTTAGGCGTGATCGTTTTGGATTTTCATCAGTCTTAACATTCCGAACTAGTCGAGATCACAGATAAAGAAGTCGCACATTCCGACATTATCTGCGTCTCTCAAAGACAGTGGTTTCCGGAAAGTCGACCTCCAGAATCGAATTAAACGTAGAGCAATCGGTTACTGAACAGCCATGCTCTTCCTCAACTGGCGCTCTCTCTGTCTACCTTGAAGCTCCAGTCTCTCGACTGCATACTTCAAGCGCTCCTTCTTCTGGACCAATCTTCTTAGTTCTGCCGCCTTCGCAGCAGAACCACCACCTTGTCGATCCCGAAGTGCGCTGCTCTGGGCGCGATTTGAAGCTTGGCGACTTTCATTGGAGCTCATTCTTCCCTCTTGGAGTTCACACTTCGCCTTGAGAGCCTGTTCGCGACGGGAGAGCTTCTCGACATGATTCGTTGCCAAGGATAGAAGATGGGCGATGCTGGGGGTGATTTCATCTAGGAGGGATTGTTGGGCTTCGCGCAAGGTGGGCTCGGGAAGAAGTTCAAAGTGCTGTAGTATATGATGTTAAACAAACCAGAAAATGACATGGGGTGATTGATATCAAATGGCACTTACTCTTGTCGTTTGTAGGACTTTGCAAAGCCGCGGAAAATCACTAATCCCAGCGTCCAGTGTGGAAATCGAAGAATCCAGCAGACCAAGGGATGATTGTAGCGAAGATACGGAGGCTGACAGAGATGAAGCCATTGCGAATTTACCTGCCTCAGAGGGATGAGCTTGGAGATAATTGCAACGAAGGTCTATTGTTGTTATCGTTGTTTACTGGTGGAGGGGCTGCGATGTTAAAGCGGCAAGGGCGGTGTGCCTAAAGCGGCTAGGAATCGGACCTCCGGACAAACCTCGTTGCATCCGCTTCTCCTCGTTGCACCGTCCCAGCAGCATCATCCTCAACTCTTCTCCGCAACCAAGAACTCCGTTTCGAATTGCAAGAGCCGTCATTATGCCTGCCCTCCCCAAGAAGTTCCCCGCCCCCGTGGGTAAGTGATCCTGGGTCTTTGTTGCGTTTTTTGATCGGAATGGAACACGAGAAACTGACAAGATGCCTCATTACAGCCAAGCCCATGGCTCCTTTCTTCGCTGCCGGTATGCAATGAACTATTGACTCCTGATATGAGCTTTTGAAGCGAGACGATTTATTTTGCTTTTCGAATAATGCTCGATCGAAGCTGCTACTGGACATATGGTTCTAATGATGTTGGTTTAGGTGCTGTCATTCTCTACGGTGTCAACTCCCTCGCCAACGCCTTGTCGCAGAGTGAGTAACCCCAAATACGCGAAAAGGAACATGTGTCTGAGCATATTGTTCCAAACCTTCAATCGGTCTCATGTTGAGAGGGCCATTCGGAATCATCACTAACCTCGGTCAACAGCCGCCGAGTTCAAGAACGACCCCCGCAACCCCAACGCTGGCAAGAGCAGCCACTAAATCGATACCAGAATAGTCAGATAGCACCCTGATGGCGGAGGAAATTGGAATGAATGAATGGCCTAGGGTGGCTTGACGCTTGGATCGCTGTTTCGCGTTTGTTTCGAGTTTGCGAGCAGTCACTTTGTACAAGCATATAGACTTTCCGTCATAGGACATATTGACGAATTCAAAGTTGTACCACTATTTCCTGACATGCAGTCTGTTGAGTTTTATCTTTTGATCGGTTTGGTCCTGAGCGAGATATCAAGATACCTATTCCGCCCGAATAGACTCCAACCAGGCTGAACAGTACCCTTTGGCTTTTATTTGACTTGATGCTATGCCATTGATCTACGTATATACCCTCATGAGCTCAAATATCTTGTCGCTGTCTTTACTGTCGGCCCGGTTTCCCCCATAGCCGATAATCAGAAGCACGTAAACTATTCTTTACTGCTTGTTGAATCTGAACAGCAAGGGGCCTAAAATCGTTTGCACAGTATGAGATATTCAGTTTATAAATGCGTAGTAACTCTCATAGCTATAGTCGCTCTGAATAGCAGTCCAGATATTTGCGGCCATTCCGCCCTAGTCTCCTTCGGGAAGGCAATTTTGTCCTCCGCCGCTCCGCCAAACCGCTTCAACAACTGACATCTCCGACCAACACCAGCCAACCCAGTCAACCCAGGCATCATGTCGCACTTCAGATCCAAGAAGCTCGATCTCAGCGGGTTTGTCAATGCCCGTGTGATGCGCGACCACACCAAGCGCAAGGTGTTTGAGCAATACGAGCCCGAACGGTATGAAGTCCTTTGCTTCACGATTCTTGTTGTCACGAATATCCTCAAAGACCCAATGGACTAACACAATTTTATTCGGGAACTATAGCCAGGCTCTGCGCTACATCATCCGCAACACTACTCTCCCCCAGCGTACCCGCGCCCAGGCTCAGCTCCAGCTCTCGCAGATGCACGCCTACACCCGGCCGACGCAGATCAAGAACCGCTGTGTTGCGGGAGGTATAGCCAGGAGTATCTTCCGAGACTTTAGAATTGCCAGAGTGAGTGAGGGAATGGTTCTTTTTGAATATCGGTTTTACTGACGCATGTCTTCCTTTTAGTATCAATTCCGTGAGCAGGCGCTGGCTGGTGAACTTCCCGGTGTGAAGAAGGCGAGTTGGTAAAAGGTCGACTCGACTGGTTATATTAAAGATTTGGCACGTTTGGATCTGCCGGTTTGCACAAAGGCGTTTATTCCCTTTCTTTTGTTCGAGAGCTGTACAATAAATTACGAGGTTTGGTCGATGTATACTACTCAATCGATCCTGAATTCCGCATCTTCTGGTATCAATTGGTAAATATTGGTCTTGATGAATATGGAGAAGTGAGGATAACTTAAAGGAAGTATCAACAAGCGACTCCAAATCATTTTCTTCCATTCATCTAAAGCGCTCTTTTCACCGTTTCCTCAGATGTGACTGGAGACTGGGAAATTCACTAGTCGAGCAGTCGTTTGGCTTGCATTCATCGGAAAGCTGCATCTATCCCTGGCCCTCTCTTTTTCTCTTCAAATACCCAGCTTCCTTTTCTTTTCTTTCTTTCCAGGATTTTTCCCTCCACGTCTAACAAAAACACCGACAAGCCTCAAGACTCAAGACTCAAGATGTTCGTCTTTCGTCGAGAAGATCTCCCTCCTGACGCTGAGTTTCCTGCAAATCTGGAGAAACTAGGGTAAGATAATCATGACAGACAAGAAGAAAGAATCTCAATCTAAGACACAAATACAGATACTTCATCAATGAAAAGGACCAGATCAGAAAGATCTCAGACCCAGAACAGGAATTCCAGTTCAAGATCAACCGCAACGCTCGTTACAACGAAGTGCATCGAGAGATGATGAATAGTACGTTCACTGACCACCAGAAACAACAAAAGAACGGTGACAAAGGATAAGCAACTAACAATCTTGACTAGCATGCATCCGCACCATCGTCTCATCTCGTCTTCAGGATCTCGGCCTGACAACACTACGCCTCCCCCTCTCTTCAACACCCAATGACCCCCATGTCCCAATCTGGGTCTCCCCAAACCTATCCACAGCCTCACGCATCGTGGTCGTTTTTGGTGAACCCAACCAGGATCTGGGCATCTGGGCCTACCGCAGCATCGGTACGCAGGGTATCCACGCAGGCTCAGCCGTCTCCTTTGCAAACGCCGTCTTGGGCCGTAAAAACGGAGGAGACCAAGAAACATCTGGAGACACTGCCCTCGTCCTCGCAAATACAGGCCAGCTAATCTGGAACTGTGGCTCTCGACGCGCCGTCACCCATCCTTCCTGGATTGCTCTCCCGCGTCGTTCGGCGGTTGATCCGCCCATGACCATGTCGCAGCGGAACAAGATCCCCGGTAATGCTAACTGGCAGGAACATGTTGATTGTGTTTTTGATGAGATTCTGGGGGCCCGTGGGAAGCTTGTCAAGGCGGATGCTAAAATCGATATCATCGGTTTGGCAGAAGGTGGACTCGGCGCTATTCGGTACTTGGCTAATGATTGTACGTCCCTCCCCCTCCAATTAAACCCTTAACGCCAAAAAAACAAAAGTAGATATGCAAAATACTAATATCATCACAAAGGGGAAATCTGGCGCCCCTACATATCCGGAATCTGCCTCTCCAACCCCCTCCAATTCACCCACATCGACCTCCTCGATACATCCGCCTCGTCGTTCTCAGCTTTTGTTTCCTCCCGATGCCGCGCGTACGTCCTCTCCGATCGACCACTTGGTATGCCTGTCTCCGGGTTCCGGGAACATGGCTGTAACTGCTATTCGTCTGGCGAGGAGTTGAATATCGAGTGTATCATGGCCAGCGCTTGGGAGAGTATGCTTGAGTGGTTGGGGAAGGTGCATGCTGACCCGGGGTATTGTGAGAAGCAGTTGATGGTTCAGGATGTGGAGGTTGATTTGGAGACGAGTGGGGATGGGCCTAGTTCTTAGTTTCTTTATTTTTATATTATCTGCTTCTGCTATGGTGCTTTGGTGCTATCGGTGCAGATAGAGGGGATGGTTTGATTGCTTTGCAATACTGCATACACTTGATGTTGCGTGGATATGCTGATAGATGATTGATATTGGCTTCATTTGATCACGGTGAATATCTAGAAATAGGATCTAGATATCCAGCATAAACCCAGATTGAAGAATATAGCTAACCCTCAAAATCCACATAATCCCTCCTAATCTCCCTCTTCCACTCTTCCAACGAAATCCCTTTCTCGCCATACGGCACATAACCCTTAGGAATCTTACTCATATTCACCTCATCCCATTTAGGAATATGCAAAAACTCATGATCCTTACCGCACACATTCAGCGGCAGCCATCCATGCTTCAGTTTCTGGTAACACGCCCCGTCGAAGGTGATGTTGATACAATCCTTGCACCACCACATTTCACTAGCTGAGTTCCAGCAGTGGCCGCATTCACCATCACAGATGGCGAATACAGAGGATCGAGGGCGGTTGTCTTCGTAATCCGATTCTGGTTCTGGGGTGTCGGAGTTAGAGTCGGAATCTGTGCTGCTTTCGTCGCCGTCATAGTTGCCGTCCAGGATTGCCTTTGGAGGAGTTAGGATTCGTTTTGGTTTTGTTAGGGGTGGTTCTTCGTCTTCGGCTTCGGCTTCTGTTTCTTCGGTTTCTTCGCTGGCGTTGTCGTCGAAGGGTGTTTCATTTGCTAGGGCTGCCATTGCAACGGCTGCAAAGGCGTTTTTCTCGTCTCCTAGTGGGAGGAATACGAGGAGAAGTCTCCAGTAGGCGAGGTAGTCGTTTTCCTCGTCGTCATCGGAGAGAATCTCCAGTGCCATTTTTACTACGCTCCTCGCGACTTGTTTAGCCCTCAGCACGTCGCCCTGGACGTGGTAGTACCGTGCTAGGTACAGCTTCGCAGGAAAAACCATGTTATTCTCCGCCACCTCACTAGGGAGGATACTCAGGATTCGACCGAGGTATGCATTTGCGGCCTCAGAGTCACGGCCTGCAGCACGCGCTTTACGCAAATACACCGGAGCCAGTTTCACGATGAGACCCGGGAGTGTGGCTTCCAGGTCTAGATAAGAACGGGGAAGGTCTTCCTTTAGTGCTGTTTCCCAGATATCAATGGCTCGTTCTTCGCTGTCGGGGCGCTGGTAGAGAGCATTGGCGTAATGGTAGCGGATGTAGTAAAGGTCGACGAAGGCCTTTGTTTCTGTCGCATATTGTATGGCGCCATCGTATATTCTGACCAGTAGGTCGAATCGGCCTGTTTCGAGGGCGGTTTGAAGGAGGATATCGTGGATGGTTTCCTTCCTGGCCAGGTAAACCAGCATCTGGAAAAGATCTGCCTGGGGAGACTTATCGATCATCTCCAGCATAGCGACGATATCGTCCCATCGGTCTTTACCGCTGTACTGGTCAAATATATTTAGAACCCGGTCGTAGCCGGTAAAGTTAGTTTCAAGGGATTTAGTATGAGACTGCGTAGCCAGGTCAAACTGTTGCGCCGCCCAATACTTTTGTCCCATTTCGAAGAACATTTGCGCGAGTGCCTTTTTGTTGCAAGGCTCCTGCATCCACTTCTTGTTCGCTTGAAGTCGTTCCGTGATTGCCTTTAGGATTCCGATTGCTTCGGTGTTGGAGGCTATTACACGGGCTAGATAGTAAGAAGCGCGCCAGTTGGATGGATTGAGTCTCAGGGCATGTCGACATCTATTTTCTGCATCGCCTGCAAAGGTAAATCCCTCTAAGATGATGGCCATTTGCACCTCCCAGAGCGAATCTTTTGTTTTGATTTTTAGTAGCTCCTCGGAACATGCCTCGATTTCGTGGATTGTTTCCAGGGTTGGGTGGTCGTGCTCGTGGTGTTTCTTGCAAACTCTCTTTGTATGATTTGGGATGCCTTTAATGTGGTCCATCTAGATATATATCAGTGATCTATACGTTTCGGCTTAGACGGTACGCAACCAACCTTGTTCATAAAGCGATATATAAAATAAAAGGCATTCCGGGCCAGGTTCAACTGAGACGGCTCTCGCAACCAATGCACAGCCATTCTCCTCGCAAGGGGCTTGAGCAAGATCTCACCTGGCTGAGGGCTGGCTACCAAATTGGCAATCCACGCTCTACAGGCCTGGTCAGTGATTTTTGAGATAACCGCTGAATCCCGGAACCATCTCAGGATCTCGTTGATAGCATCTTCGCCATCTAGCCAGGCAGAACGAGTCTTCCACCTGAACATGGGTGCTTTTTCCGGGACATCAGTCCAGACCAGAGAGTCGATGGACGGCTCATCTGTGAATAACTGTAAAAGACGAGGTCCCACGGCACTTTTCCACTCCCTATCTGCGAAAGCGAGATCCACCGACGAGAGATGCTGCAGAAGATATCTCACAGAATAGGGATGGAGAAGATCTCGTCTTGAATCCCGTTCCTCGGTTAGGATACGTAAACAAGCAAAAGCGAGCTTGATCTCGGCATTATCCTTGTCATCTTTGCAGATTTGCCCTTCTTTACGACTAAGCTTGTTCTCGAAAAAGGATTCAAAATCAAACTTCTCGTAGACTTCTGGTGGACAGACTGTCGTGAGAAAGTGTCGAATCATTGACACCTCGGTGGGCTGGATTCGTTTTGCACTCTCTGGGCTAAAGCCATCGTTCATACTCCTGCTTCGGTCAGGAATTATCCTGGCCATTTCCAGTGACCGAAAGTCGATATCTCCATCGCTGTCTACTTCAAACAGGGTATATCTGGTTTGGAGTTTGGTATCCAGAGGCAGTAAGGAGAGCTCCCCAGTTTTCAGGTAAAGTACAGAAGCCATCAGTGGGGGTGTAAACCATTCTCTACCGTATATAATCCAGATGATGATTTCATTGATCTCGGCAATTTCCTTAGAGCTACGGATGGTGTTCAGCTTTTCAATCTCTCCGAGGATCTGCTGAGATCTCTCCTTCCCAGCATCTTCAAGGACCTGGTCGATATCCTTAACATAATCCAATGTGTTGATGTGTTTGAGAATAGTGTTGATCTTGAAGTAGTCACCGGTCGTCTTCTCGCAGAGGCTATCACGAATCTTCTTTCGTAAGGCCGGAACACCCAGCCGTTCTGTATCTCTGAGGGCATCGACATCATTCATCCTTGACTCGGTATACAGCTCCACATCAGGACGGTTTTTCGCATTGATGGAGATCTTTGTATAAGATATACCCCTAATGGTAGCCAATTGCTCAAAGACTGCTGGATGGCCCGTCAAGAGGACTCGAACATGTCGGTTCGGGGTGGATACTTGTTGCAAGAATTTAATCATCGGCTCGGTGATGGTGCCCCTGATACCATCAACGATTATATAGAAAGTAGCATCAATATGTGGCAGGTCAGCATTGTTGAATAGCAATCGGCTGGGGATTTCATGGGGATCCAGATCTTTGGCCTCATCACAAATCCCAGCAACTGATTTAAGATACGAGGCATCACTCTGAACAAATTGCCAGACAAATGACTTGGCAATAACATCGAGACTGCCGGTCCTCTTCAGCTCCTCCTTCGGATCACCTTCAAGGAAATAGAAACCCACTAGATTCCTGGGACCGGAACTCTCAGCGCCACTACGGTTTCGAAGATTTCGAATAATGGTAGTAGCCAAGTAGCTCTTGCCAGAGCCCTCCATACCTTCAATGGCAAGGATGGGTGGGGTTCTAGGACGAAACTTTTCCCACGCTGTGTAATCAGGATCGTTAAAGATCCATTGACCAGTGTTCGGGACCACCCATTTTCGATAATTATTGTAGGTGCGCTGCCAATAGGGATCTGGCTCTTTGGTTTTACGGTCAATCTTGTTGTCATCAAAGGCCAGTGTCCGCAGGATGGCTTCTCGTCGCCGTTTGAGGTCGTTCTCTTTGCGCTGGTCGAAGCGGTCCTCCATGAGAACATCCATCTTGCTACTCATGCGACGATTGATGGAGAGAGTCTCGCGGGTGTTAGAGAGGGTTTCGGAGGTAAAGTCGAATATTTGTGCAGTGACCAGACGACCCTCTTGATCGACCAGACCCTCCATCATCCCAAGCAAATCATTAATGTCATTATCGTTGAGGAAGAAGATCTTGGAGAAGACAAAGAGCTTCCTTCGCGTGGAATTTCGGAGCTTGATGGTTCTGTCGCATATTTCAACGAAGAGCTGCAAATGTTGACAGGCGACCTTGGACAGTTGGGCGTCCATGCCTCCGTGAATATAGTATTCCAAACGGCCGAGATACTGGACACATTTGCTTAGTAGACCCGCGAGGCTATCGAAGACGCCCTCGTAGCCCTGCCATGCCCGAATGACAAAGCTCAAGGCATTATAACAGAGTTCTGATGGAGGAAAGGCCTGATCAGTTAGCTCAGTAGGCACTGAGATCGGACTGGGTCACTTACCTCGGAGGAAAGACGAGCGAGGAAACCCCCGCAAGTCTTGATGAACTTGAGGGTGCTGTGAAAGGTGGAACGAATGGCGGCATATTTCTGGTCGGAGTGACGCTGGGCCTTTTGGGCCTGGTCGAGCTGGAGGAGGACTTGGTCGATGGAGAGATTGGGCTGCAGGACGCTGGGATCACCACCGGCCAGTTGGATGACACGGGCTTGCACCTGGGACCAGATGGCAGCGATTTCGTTGGCGTTTGCGATGGGGGCTGTCATTTTAATATTCCATGCTCTATAGGATAGGATATCATGGTTCTTCTTACTGTGATTTGGAGAATATGGGATGCTTTAAGAGGGCTACTGGGGATTTGATCATCATACAGTAAGGCTGAGTTGGCATGCATTGCGGTCAAACGATAGCCAAGGATGGATATATCATATTTTTAAAATTATATTATATTCATATTCATATTCATTGTTAAGAGTTGACCAAGAGTCGACCAAGAGATGAAGTCCAAGTAGGACAGAAATAGAGTAGAAATAAAGATGGTTCTGCAGTGACGATGATTCGACCAGCGTCTAGTGGCCGGCCGGGTTCAGGGATCGAGAATAACACGGAGTTTTAAGAGTCACGACGGTTATAATTAGTTCTGATCGAGTAAGCAAAGATGCAGTTTAGTTACGATCGAGTAACAAAATCGAGTAATCCAGAATGCAGGCGAGGTCCGATTCTTCTGGCCGGAAGCGCCCGACTGATTTTTTTTTTTTTTTTTTCACCGATTTGCCTCTGAGGGGGATTGAGTTGGGAATGAGAGAGAGAGAGAGAAGAGAAGATGAAGAAAGGGAAGGATTATAGACACAATTGTAGAAATTCAATTAATTTGACAATTCTCATTCAGTGAATAGAATGAATCTGGAATACAGGATAGAATAAATAGAATAATCATCGAGTAAATCCATCGAGTAAATTAATCAAATTAATCACTATCAACTCCGACTTCCGATCGCTCTATTTATTCCCCCCAGATTCTTTCTTATCGGCTTCTTCTTCTTCCTCCTGGTAAGCCTTGTTTCGCCTTCTTTCTCCTTCTCTTCTTTCTTTGCTTTTTTTTTCCCCTTCGTCTTTTCATCTTTTCATCTTATCTTCATCTTCTTTCTCTTCTTCTCTTCTATCCTTGTCGCGGAATCCTCTTCCGGTGACGATCCCCTTATCTCACACTCTCTCTTATCGTGACTCCATTCACAATGTCCGCCCCCTCTATCGCTGTCGTCGCCTCTTCGCGTGCCGTCGTTTCGGGTCGTCTCACTTCTGCCACCATTGTCATCTCTCGTCTCACTGGCAAGATCACCGCTATCTTCGACTCCGTCATCCCCGCTGACGATTTCCCCGTGGGCACTCTATACACCGACTATTCCCCGCATGTTCTCCTCCCTGGTCTGGTCGATGCCCATGTCCATCTCAATGAGCCTGGCCGGACAGAATGGGAGGGTTTCTATACTGGAACCCAGGCTGCGGCCTTTGGTGGTGTCACCACCGTCATGGATATGCCCTTGAATGCCATCCCTCCCACTACCACCGTCGCTGGCTTCAAGGAGAAGATCCAAGCTGCCGAGGGTAAATGCTGGGTCGATGTCGGCTTCTATGGGGGTATCATCCCTGGAAATGCCTCCGAGCTCAAGCCTCTCGTTCAGCATGGTGTCCGTGGCTTCAAGGGCTTCCTCATCGACAGTGGGGTAATTTTCCCTCATCCTATATCCCTTTCCTTGTCTCTTAATGCTGATTGATCAGGTGGACGAATTCCCCGCTGTAAGCTCGGAAGATATCAAGAAGGCCATGGCTGAGCTGGCTGACCAGCCCACCACCCTCATGTTCCATGCTGAGATGGAGCCTCCCACAACTGCATCGGCAGACGATTCCGCCCCGGAAGGTCCTGCCGAGGCGTATTCTACCTTCCTGGCATCCCGGCCCTCTGCCTTTGAGACCTGTGCCGTTGAGGAGATCCTGTCCCTAGCTCATTTAGCTCCCAAACTCCCCTTGCACATCGTCCACTTGTCTGCCATGGAGGCTATCCCGTTGCTGCGCAAGGCCCGTGCCAACGGCGTCCCCATCACTGCCGAAACGTGCTTCCACTACCTGTCCCTGGCCGCCGAGGAGATCCGCGATGGTGACACCCGTCACAAGTGCTGCCCTCCAATCCGCTCCCAGAACAACCAAGACCAACTTTGGGCTGAGCTGGAGCGTCACACCGAAGATGGTGTCATCCAAACGGTCGTTTCGGACCATTCCCCCTGCACCCCGGATCTCAAACTCTTGCCCTCGCACCTTGCTGCCGAGATCCCCAAGGATAGCAAAGCTGCAGAAAACGAAGGCAGTTTCTTCTCTGCCTGGGGTGGTATCTCCTCTGTCGGATTGGGTCTTCCGATCCTCTGGTCAGAGCTCAGTCGTCGCAAGGGCCTCACCTCCGCCCCGGATGACGCCAACACCAAACGTGCCCTGCAGGATATCGTCCGTTTGTGCTGCACCAACACCGCCGCCCAGGTCGGTCTGGAGCGCCAAAAGGGTGACCTCGTCGTTGGCTTCGATGCCGACATTTGCGTCTTCGATGACTCCGCCGAATGGACCGTCGAGCCTAGCACCATGCTCTTCCGAAACAAGTGCTCTCCATACCAAGGCCGTACCCTCCGTGGTATGGTCCGGGAAACTTGGCTGCGTGGTGAAAAGGTGTTTAGCCGAGATGGCGGGTTCAGCGACAAGAGCCCTTCGGGCCATCTCCTGTTGGAGAAGCGGGAACGGGTTTGATATCAACCTTCCTATTTGACCTCCCTTGTTTCTCTCCGTTTTTGGAACGTTGACCGGGCTTGACAGTCTGATGACAACATGAGACAACATAACAAGAAAACGACATACAACAAAGACTTTGACGACATGACTGCTTTTGATATGACCACTAATGACTTGCAGCATATCAGCTAGATTAATGTTTACACGAGCGACGGTGTAGATTTTTGCATCTTTTAGAGAAATACCATATGTTTTGGTTTTGTTCATTTCGACCCTTCCATTGTATTTTGTAGTTGATTCACATCTCAGACAAAGTCTGATATTCTGTCATTCTCATCTGAGCACGTTATCATACAAGCTGGATCATCAAGATCCGCAGTTAGAATCTCCGGAAATCAATCCGGGGGTTCACATGTATACCGACACACGGCAACTTACTGACTCCCATCCTGTTCTCCCTTCTCCTTCTCTCTTTCTTCCCATCTTTCTCTCACTCTCCTCCTCACTCCCCCATTCGCTCCTTTACCCCAAATCTCCTCTTGATCCCCACCAGGGATCTTAACCTCTTGTGTCGTGCCATTCTTCCCTCTCACCTCCTCACTCCCAACCACAACCTTCCGCTCCTTCATCTTCTTCTCCCGGCCCCGCGCCAACTCAACCTTCCTCAGATACGCCGCGTAGAGAAACACCTCCGCGACCCCAACTACCAACGCCACAACAAACGACACCAACACCTTCACCGGCTCCGACGCACCCCGTCTATTTTTCGACCCCCACGCCGATAAAACCGACGAAGTGAAAAACTCAGGAGTTTGGAAACTCGTCAGAGCCCAGTAGACGCTGAACCCGGTTATAACGACGGAGAGGAAGATGTTGAGGACGAGCGACGGGGTGAGTGGGTCGGCGTATTCGGGTTCGCTGGTTTCCGGGCTCGAGGTCGATGTCGTGAATATCGGTGAGGGGGCTTGGGTGGATGATGTGGAAGGTGTCATGAGGCGGTTGTAGGCGTCTGCTTCGGCGGCGGCGAGGAGGCGGGCTTTTGAGGCGAGATATTCTGGGGACTGTTATATGTCAGTTTAGGCGATAGGTAAATTTATCAGGCATGTGGGTGATGGGTAATGGTAATATCGCGTAGATTGTAGATGACGTACAGGTTCAGGTTTCTTCGGCGGAGGAGGAACGTAAACCTTGGTCCCCTTGAGCAACGAGTTCAAGCTCCAGCTGCCATCGTTTTTCTGTGCAGTATGCAGATACTGCGCCAGTCGAATCAACTGATCGTGCGAAATGGGTGAGTTCAAATCCAGCGAGTCAGGAAAATTGAGATCCTTGCGACACGAGGATGGGATGGACTCGATTGCGGAGAGGATGCGGGTGGTGGTGATGAGCAGGACCATTTTGATTTCGGCCGTATTATTATTAATGTAAGTTCAAGAGATATCATAAATTCATATTGAGTGGACTGTAAATATATTACCCAAGTCGAGGATGCATCCCGGTGGTGTGTGAAGATGAACGATGATGAAATCAATAAATATGCTCGGCCAGCCAAACCAACACCTCCGACTGGAAGCCTTTCCCAAAGAAGCAACCAAGCTCTCCCCCACACCTCTTCATCGCCATCCAAAGCCCAAATCCAATCCCTCTCAATCATCCTTCCTCCCTCTCTTTCTCTCCCCCTCATTCCCTTTTCCCCTTGACATTTCCTAGCAAGAGCCATATCCTCCGGCTCCCGCCTCCTCCAACAATGGCAGACAAAAAACCCGCAAAGTAAGTCGCCGAAAATTAAAAGAAATTTATCTATTATGCCACTCCCCGTCATGCCCCTCTATCACCTATCCCGCAAATTATACTGCCACGAAGACTAACGTCGCCCAACAAAAAAAAAAGGACAGTAACAACACAAACAAACCCCCGCGGTATTCCCGTCGCTCCTTTCGTCGACAATGTCGCCGACTACGTCGCCTCCCGCGACGATGTCGAACCCACCCTCCGCTCGTTCCAGGAGATGATCTCCAAATACCAGTTCATGGAGGTTAACAGCCAACGGCGCGGACAGGGTCTGCGTGAGAAGATCCCGGATATCAAAAAGACTTTGGAAATGGTTCGATTCTTGAAAGTACAGAAAGAGGTACATATTTCCCCCACTTTTATTTGTTCATGAACGAGACAGCATACTAACTTGACCGTCGGGGGAAAAACAGTCTTCTTCCAGTTTGGAAACCAACTTTGAATTAAATGACACTCTCTACGCCCGTGCTACCATTTCCCCCACCGACACAGAGGAAGTCTACCTTTGGCTAGGTGCTAATGTCATGCTGGCTTACCCCATCGACGAGGCCGAGACCATGTTACAGGATAAGCTCTCCGCGGCGGAATTGAGTCTGTCAAACTGCGAGGAGGATTTGGAGTTTTTGAGAGAACAGATTACGGTATGTGCCCTATCATCTAGGATTGCGATAATCGTTCTCGTACATCTGCTAACATTAATTCTAGACACTAGAAGTCGCTACCGCTCGTGTCTACAACTGGGATGTGGTGCAGCGGCGCAAAGATAAGGCCGACGGGAAAGGTGGAGATGATTAGAATCAAAATAAGAGACCGGGTGGTTGAAATGATATCATGCTTGTATGTACTTGTTGAATGGTTTCTCATAGATTATACTCTAAATTACTCGTTTCTCCCATCTCCTCTGTTTGGAAAACAAACAAGATATATGCTATACACTGGTTGGTAAATATAAAGAGAAAATCCCCATTCAATTAGGTAGTTATATCTGATAAGACATTTCATAGTATGTACCTCAACGCCAGAATCCGTATATCTTCGTCTATCATTAAAACCATAACTCAAAAGTCTTGTATATAGCTCTCAAGTGTCAACCCCCATCCAGACCAGAAAGAAGAAAAAAAGAATGCATCATCACAAAACGAAAAAAAGCTGTCCATTCATTATTCATCAATCCCTGGACATCGCTGGACAATAGTCAATCGAGTCCAAGGATCTTATGTAGATTGACCTGAGACTCTCTGCTCAATCTGCATGCACAAAAAGATAAGACGATGCTCTTGAAATAAAGAACCTGTGAAAGCGGAGAGAGAAAATGTAGATGTCATAGAATCGTTAGGCATAACCAAGATGTATGGATATGCAATTATAAGATGACTTGACGGCGTCCTGTCCGCCAGGGTAGCAAGTTCTAACGGCGAACCGATTCAATCCCTAGCCCAGATTCGGGAGAACCAGACTTTCGATCAGGTATCATATCAACTTCAGATACCGCTCTGCTTCGCACACGCTTGGAAATGTCAATATCGGTATCGTCACCCACAAAGGTCCACTCCTCAATATCGTCATCATCGGGCTCTTGGCCACCGGAAACTTTGGCCGAGGGTGTCGGTGAGAATGGCGTTGAAGAGGCAATCGAACGCTGTCGGGCGAGCGTTTTGGCATATTCAAGGTCACGGTAAATCGCCTGGATTGCAGTTCCCACACCATCTTCCTATAATGATATATTAGCAACCCATATCAAACGTGTTTGGCGCTGCAAGGTGTTACTTACATTCCGGATCTGTTCGCCCAGCTCATGGGCCTTCGTGATCATTCGTTGGCTATGAGTAGCCTCCCAGAGTGCCCGCGAGAATACGCTCACGTTGAGCTTTTTCATGCAAATCCCTACCCCCAAATCTTCAACCCGAGTTCCAAAGAAGAACTGGTCACCGAAGAAAGGCTTGATGATGGTTGGTACCCCTGCACGTAAGCTTGCTCCGGTGGTTCCAGCTCCCCCATGGTGGGCTGCAGCGTCGATTTGAGAGAACAACCAGTCGTGCGGCGCAGATTGAATCTGAATGATTTCAGGTGGTAACGGAATCTCCGTCTTAGTACTGGCGGGATCACCAAGACGATCCGACCAGCCTTTGGAGAGAATACAGCGAACGTCGGCTTTCTGGACAGACTCCACTACTGTCCTTGTCAAAGCGGATGGGTCTGACACAACGATAGAACCAAATCCAATGTACACGATCTTCTTCCCATCCTCTCGAGCACGCTTGATAAAGTTGGCCAGCTCTGCTGGGGGTGTCCAATCCGATCCCTCACTGAGGAACCAGTAGCCAGTAATCCGGATCCAGTCCGGGTAGTCTAGGGGCGGGGGAACCACTGATGGTGAATAGTTGTACAAGAATGGAACCTTATTCGGTTGCATCTTATCCAACGTGGTCGCCTTCAATCCAAGTTCATTCTTTCTCCATCGGTTTACTTGCCCTGCAATTGCCTTCCAGAAGACATTGTCAAACATAACGTATGTGATGTAGTTATAGGCACCACCCATTTTATGCTCTGGAACGGCAAAAGCATGGGGGTATGCCCGCGTTCTTGACCATGGCATTGTGAAGCCACGGAAGTAGGGGATTCTGAGTGCCTCGGCGATGTGAATGCCCGCCATTGCACTGGGAGATTCAATCAAAAGATCGCTGTCCTGGCAGCTTCGCCATGCAGAGGACAAAAGATCGTCGATCCAGCCTCGAAATTTCAGAGATGCTTCCTTGAGGAAGGAGTATGTGAACATCCCATTTTCCACGCAGATCCGCATCAGTTCTGCAGGATCACCATCCACCGGTGCGAAATCAATACCGTGCTTTCTCACCCAAGGCCCAAACTCTGCGTGTGTGGCGATTTTGGGTCTATGGCCTTCTGCAATCAGTCCCTTGCATAGAGCAATGTACGGCTGCACATCTCCTCGAGAACCGATTGTAAGACAGGTAATCCTCATTGACTCCGTGGGTTTGAAGTTGATAATTGAAGCGCGAGGATCATCGAAAATAGGGTGGATCTCAGACGACTCGTTAAGTTCTGTATCGTTCTCGTCACCCTGTCGGGCTTCCTGCAGCATGCGGTGCTCTGCTTGAGCTGCTTCGGAGTCATCTTTCCCTTGTTCCGTGAGCATGCCAGATTCGACCAGAAACTTCATGGATTCGAGGTTTTGGTGCAGTGTAACGGCACAATCATCTCGGGCATCAGACATATTGAACTCGAAGAACAACTCCTCGTGGCCCCGGATTATGACAACGAGTCCATGGTAGCCAAACCTGAAGCCTTTTTCTTTGTCCACATTTTCAATGTCCTTGAGTGGGAGAATCATCTTTGTACGAGTCCCTGGGATGAGACTGCGGAAACACAGTTTTCGTTGACTGACATAGATCTTTCCGTAAAGCGGAAGCACACGATGCAAGTGTGCGTAATAGGTAGCCTGAAGTTTCTCCGTAGGTGGCAAGGCAAAGTGAGCGCGGAAACGATCGCCATAATTGCAGCCATCTTCTTTGTCTTCAGGGTCAACGTCCTGATCCTCTGACAGTATACCTTCGGTCTCCCCGTAATGCCTTCGGCCACCAGCCCACATTCCAGAGACCTTTTCAATATAACCCATTGACTCAGTTGCCAGAAGGCTGCTCATCTTTCTCGATCGGCTCGTCAGATATCCTGCGAGGCCAGCGGCACGCTGGAGAGGATAGGCGCCCGCTTTAACAATCTCATTCAGGGTCGGTCCAGACGAGTAGACTTTGGAACTGTCTTGGGCATCATGATCAGACTCGCTGATGGGGTACTCTGTATCTTGTTGGCCATTTTTCACGATATCCCTAGTCGTCATAGACCGAGCTGTATCATCCGAATATCGGCGGCCAGTGCCCTCACTTTCAGAAGGTCGCCTTCGCAAAGTATGAATGGTGGGGGACTGAAATACATCGCTTCGGTTTAGGATTTGGCTAGCAGATTCGGTAGTTTCTGTCATCGACTGCCATGCAGCCGAGGACTCGGTTCCTTGCTCAAGAGAGTTTACAAATGAATCCGAGTCCTGATGCCTTGGAGGTGGGGATTTGCGAATCATGTCGTGTCCAAGGCTCAGGTTGCTTGCACTGGCGCTTCTCCTTCGATTGGTACTGGTTTCACTGTCTCGAAGTCGACTCAGGCCACTGGTGATTGACCACCTATTCCGTGCGTCTCGAGTGCGACCAGAGTGAGCCGTATCTGGCTTAGAAGATAAAGTCTGGGAAGAGCGCTGTGTAGGCATATCGTTGATGAGGCCTTTCAAGAAGTTGAAGGCGTCTTGACCAGAGTTAAAGAATGAGAAGAAGTACTATAATAATCAGTGGCGAGCAGATGTATAAATTTGATGAAAACATACCTCGTCAATCGCAAAGGTCTCGCCACTCTCCATCACGCGAATCTTGAATGTTTCTGAAAAATCAACCATAGGACTTTCCTCTATGTCTATTATATTATCGATGGGGAAGGATATCTTGACGCTGTCACCCTCATTGTGAGTTCGAAAGATAACCTTTTGTAAAGCCTTAACCCATTCTTTTGCGCTCGCAGAGCTATCCGCTCGAAAAAGGTATGTCCGCTGATCCGTGGTGACTTGAAAGTCTCGAACTTCTTTGGTTTTGTCCTTTTGCTCGGCTAGTGACGCAGATATCCCGTACCGCAGATCGACATGGCCGCTGGGAAAGTATAGGTTCGATTGATCCGCATAGTAAGAAAGAACATCACCTTTCAGCGAGAACCAATAGCGGTTGTACTTTGGGTTCTTTCGACCACGTTTGTGGAGATACCCAGACTTGATAGCCACAGTGGACTTCTTGGGAAGATAGGCGTAGAAGCAGATATGCCCCTCCGTGATATACATATAGCCCTGCAAAAGCATACTCTGTAGTAGGGAGCAAGCGTATTCGACGAGGACCTTCTCCGGCTTGTCAAAGCCAAACATTTCCATCAGTCTAGTTGAAAGGGCTGGTGCGGATTCTTGTTGGGATTCCTTGTCGGTACTCTCTTCTTCTGTCGAAGGTGAAGAATCCTCTTTTGGAGTTTCCTTAGTATCAAACTGAGCACGCGCTTCAACCATTCGACTGAGCACGGGAGCTGCCCGGGGTGTCAGACTTCGAGGCCGTCTGGAAGGAGTGGCCTGCAGTAATTCATCGTTTGCCGATGGTCTCGTCTGGATGGTCGACTTAGCACCTTGACCATTCTTGAAGCCAAATTTTGGGAGCGGCCGCAGGAACTTGTGATCTGATATGGTCCGATGATGACGACGGCCTCGTTCTTCCGAGCTGCTTTCCAATTTCTTCTCCGCTCGCGCAGACCCCTTACCCCCCTTTGATGATTCTCTTTGTGTATTATCCTCTGTTTCTCCATCACTCTCACTCGATTCGTCAAAGCGCGCGTGGAAGTCGGATCTGGAGCCAACTGCTGCAATCATAGAGAATATCGACTGTTGCATGTACTGGAAATGGCCATCTCGAGGCCCAACACCGCCGGGCGGGGCACTGAAATCAACCTGATCGTCATCGTGGTCGTCCTTGAGTCGCTCAGGCAGGGTATTGGGAAGCATGCGGCTGGTGGTCATCGACTTTCTGCTTGAGCTGAGTCTACGATCCACCCGCCGTTTTGCATCGTCTATAAGGGGTCGCATATTCGACAGGAATGTATAAATTGGTAAGGCGAAAACAATGTGGAAACTGCGGAGATTCTCCAAAAGAACTGGTGTTGAGATCTAAGAGTCGATCTGGACTAGTGCAGGTGACAGTCACAAGCCGGTGTGAATCACTTTCTACAAACAAGGGAGAGGCAAACGACTCGAATGTGTCACGATGGAAAGGAACTGCCAGAGAGCAAACTGTGGTAAGGGCAGATGACCACATAAATCAGCTCAGCTGTCACCTACGTCAGAGGAATGGAGAGAATGGGCAAATGAAAGAAGGGGGTATATTTACGATGAATGTTGGATCTTCAGAGGCTCCAACTGATAAGCGCCGTCACGGCTCAAATGATAGTAGGATATCGGATAGAACGGGGCGGGTATCAAAACGGCATCAACAGGGAACCATGAACCATCGCTAAGAAGAAGACAAGAGCATGATGCTAGAAGAGACGACTGGAGGATAAAAAACGAAAGAATTTGAAGCGGTCGAGCAACGTGCGTTGTTGAATGACTGCAAGAAACGAGAGACGCAGCGAATCTGGCGTCACTCGCCGGTATCAGCTGTTCGGCTGGGCAGCATCTGGCCAATCAGCGGGGCAGCATGTGATGGGCGTTGCGATCTTGGCCAATCACATGCCGAATTTGAGAGCTCTCTGGCTTATGTCATCTCAGCCTTGGACGGGATTCTCGTTGAACTGTAATTACAGCACAGTTATTTGTAAGTTAACACCAGTAAGGGATGCTGAGCTGGAGTCTAATGCTTGATAAAGGAAACTATCTACGAAGACTTTCATAAAGGGGTAGCTATCCTCCTGAACCAAGTGTGGTGACACTACTTTGTTGAGTGAGGACCCATGCCGCCAGGCGGCTTAGTGGCTGCGCTTATTTGGTTGATCGACACGATATCCTGGTGGGCCTCTTCATGATTCATTTGAGGTCGTACGGATAGATAGAGGGTAGCACAAATTGGAAACTGGCCGATATTGTTGACAGGGCCAGGATAGTTGAAAGACTGACAGATGAAGGAGAATCTACAATGGCTAGCTCTTACTGGCCAGCTACCTCAGACCGTCCTAAGGCTTGCAGACAAAAGGAGCAGTAGATACTCAAACAGATCTAATCCATATCTCAGGTATAACATTTACAAACGGCATGATAATAAAGAAACCCAGCTAGACCAATGCATGTATCAAATGCCATGATATCAACTTTTATAAACCAATAGAAAAGAGACCTTTCATCCACAAACCCCGAACTCAGTTCAGGCCTTTTCTGCCTTCTTTCGTTTCTTCTCATCCCGGCTTTTGCTCGATTTCTTGGACTTCTTTTCATCCACCTCCTCCTGGGACGATGTTTGCTTCTTGGACTTCTTCCGGGGCAGCGCAGCTGGTTGATTCCCGTCTCCCTCCTGGTGCTTCCGCTTCCGCTCGTCTTTCTCCTTGCTGGATCCTTTAGGGACCTTGAACGTGGGTTCCTCTGCTTCTGATTCCTCCGAGCTAGAGCCAAGTGTCTCTACTGGGCCCTGTCCACTTCCCACAGGTCGGAAGCGCATCTTCAGATGCTTGGGCTGTTTCCTCGGGGGCTTGGCGTAGTCTTCTGCTGACAGTGGTTTGTCTTCATTTCGAAGTGTTTCCGGGAGACTGATCAACTCCTGCACATGGTAGCTCTGTACATCGCCGGCCGGGGCATTGTAGTAGGTTTGGGTCTTTGAGTCGTAGAGAAGAAGCTTCTTGCCGCCATCTGCTTGGCCCAGATTTTCCGCGGGGATGCCGTAGTTCACACCGTTGTGCTTCAGCACTGGTTCACCCTGCATAACCTTGGCCAACGAGACCTCCTTGACTTTCGAGAGGGGGAGAAATGCGGGGGCCGTGATGTGGAGAACTTGTTTGCCGCGGAGGTTGGAGAGGATAGAGGAGGTATTCGACGATGGAGCAGACTGCTTCTTCACAGATTTGAATCCGGTTGGCGGTTTGAAAGCTGGCGCGGGGAAAGCGACAGAAGACCTTGTATAGCGAGTTAGTTACTGCAGCCAATAATTGCAAAGCAAAGACCTCACTTCTTGGCAGGCTTCGAGTCTTTCTTTCCATTGTCCTCCTCTGAGCTCTCACTCTCACTTTCACTGGAGCCACTCGATCCCGATCCTTCTTCCTCTGATCCCGAGCTCGACGACTCTTCCGCTTCGCGCTTCGTTTCCTCCACTCCCTCCATGGGCTCGGGGGAAGTCGATCTGCTGGACGAACTGTCCTCAGACTCTGGTGTAGGCTGCTTAGTCGATTTGCGTGCCATTGTGTTCTGTCAAGGAAGCGCAAGAGTGCGCGTTCGGAGGTGGTGTAAAAAAAGAAGAGAAAAAAAGTTGCCGCAGCCTCGATGCGCAACCACTTGCAGTCAGAGAATTATGACTGCAATAGTTCGATGTGAATAAATCAAGGAGCACAAATCTCCTGGTAAATTAAAATCGCAAGTCAATCACAATGCAGGATCTCTGCGAAGAGTTGCCAGAAACCGTTTCTGGGACTTTGAAGCGATAACCTTTTTTTCTGCTCCGCGGAGCACAGACCAACCGAAAGTCCGCAATGAACGAACTTTTGACGGTCCCGCCGACTGCATCAATTCGCCTCGATTCTCTACAAAAAAAGCAATTGAGTGAGCTGTGGTTTCCGGAGGGAATATATTGAGTATTTCTCTTTCGGTCTACCATGAAGAGAAAGGCTGAAAAGCAAATGCCTGCTGCTGGTACATTCCCAGATTTTTTTTTTTTCTGCTTCTCGCATTTCGCAAGACAAATTAGCTTACTGAAATTCTCGCAGCTCCCGTCAGCGCCTTTGCGGCGCGCAAAGCTCGTCAACAGCAGCTGCAATCTGCAGTCTCTGTGGAGAAGCCAGCAGAGGTTGAACCGGTTCGAGAGCCACCATCAAAAAAGCCGCGACATACATCGGAAGAGGACCATGTACAAACGAGGGGAGCAGCAAAGAAAAAGGCAGAGTCTGTAAAGACCAAAGCTGCGCAGAAGCCGGTGAAATCTCAGAAGTCTAGGGAACAAGTTCCAGAACCTGAGCCAGTCGAAGATACTAGCCAAGCTCCCTCGGATGAGGAATCGGAGCAGGACAGTGCTGTGGAGGAGATCAATGGCGATAATGACGTTCCCGTTGGGGATGATGAGAATGGGTAGGCCGTCAGTGCCCCCACTGGTTTTATTCATACTAATATATCGCAGGTATGAATCCCCAACGGAGATTCCTGTGGAAATGCAGAACTTCCCTCTCTCCAAGGCCCGTTTGAACAAGAAGAGCATAGCTTACAGCGACGAACAAACGCTGTGTGTTCGCATAAAAGAGAAGATGAATCTCGCGCTTATTGGACATTATGATATCTGGGTGAAACGGGGCGTGGTCAGTTTGATGGGTGCAAAGCTGCATCCTTCCGCGCGGATATACCGAGTCTATGCTCCTTCGACACATTCTTTGCCCGTTATCAAATGCGTGACTGGTGTTGATGGTGAGGCTGAAATTGAGGTCAAGTCATGCCACAGTGGCATCTATCGTCTTAGAGATCTATCGCCTTTATATCAACGGATATGGAATGGCAAGAATACTTCGGCGGATAAGCTTACCTTCAAGGGAGGTCAAAACAGCAAGAGGACATTCTCAGTGGTAAGAATCACCTCTCTTACTATTTAACTTGCACATCATGTCTAACTTATACAGCTGTATACATCAGCGGATGATCCTCTAAACCGCCATTTGCGGCCGCTGCATCTCGAAAAACAATGGAGCTCTGCAATCAGATCTCTTTCTCAACGAGGTGGACAACTCAGGGCGCTGATCTGTGGTCCTAAAGCATCTGGAAAATCGACATTTAGTCGGTATCTTTTGAATCATCTTCTTAGCCCCGCCCCACAGGTCGAAGCCGACTTCAGCAACACCGACGGAGTCGCTTTTCTGGACCTGGACCCCGGGCAGCCAGAATTCTCTCCAATGGGTCAGGTTTATCTTGCCCATTTACGTTCTCCCTTCTTTGGTCCTCCGTTCACCCACCCGTCGCTAGACGATTCTCTTGATGGAACGATGGTCCGAGCCCATCATATCGGGGCAACATCTCCAAAAGACGACCCTGACCATTATGTACTTGCAGCAATGGATCTGATGGACCGCTATCGGTCTTTGTTGGCAACCTACCCTCAATGTCCGTTAATCATCAACTACCCTGGCTGGATCTTTGGACTCGGTCTGGAAGTTGCTACATGGCTGGTCAAGTCTCTTGGTCTGTCAGATGTGGTATATATGAGTGAAAAGGGACCAATGGAAGTTGTGGAACCTCTGGGTCAGGCAGCGAACGAGGCCAGGATCCCTCTGACTACACTGCCATCTCAGCCAACCGATTTCGTGAGCAGGTCGAGCGCTCAGCTGCGCTCGATGCAAATACAATCCTACTTCCACATGTCTCGGCCAGCCGAGGTCCACAACCCTTTGTGGCTCGACACGCCAACATCTCGCACACGGCCCATCCTTGTTGACTACTCTGGACCGCGGCAAGGTATTCGGGGTATCATGGTCATGGGGTCTCAAATCAACCCCGAGCTTCTTCACGAGGTTCTTGACGGATCTATCGTGGGAGTGGTGGCTGTTGAATCTCCCAATGCAATCCTAGGCCAGGGAGCGGGTTCCGGTGTGCTGGATGGTCTTCCAGCGGGGAAGAAAGACTCGGACAACGAAATGGAGAGCAGCGAGAGTGACTCTTCCTCTGAAGAAGACGAAGATGTCAACATGGACGGCCCTGACGACGCCGCCAAAGATCCCGCTTCAGCTCTTCCCTCTATGGAAGCCAACATTGCCCGAACACCAGAAGACCTCCCCTACCTCTTCATCGGTTCTGGAACCAACAACCCCCTCGACCCCAAAGCCTCACACTGCCTAGGCCTTGCAATCGTGCGCTCCATCAACGCCTCGTCCCGCAAACTGGAACTAGTCACGCCCATCCCGGGATCGAAAATCCGCGGTGCCATTGAACAAGGTCACGGGATTGTTCTAGTGCGAGGACAGCTGGATAACCCCAACTGGGCGATCAGCGAGGATTACCACGCCGCACGGGCTGCAGAAAAGCGCCATCAGCAGAGTGTGGCCAAGGCGAGGAAGAGCAAAGACGCAGATGGACAGGACGATGCTTTCGACTCGAAGATGCAGGCTAAGGTATCGGCTACTCTGCGGGATAGAATACGGCGTGCAAGCAAGGTGCCGTGGATGACGGTGATTGAGGATAACAGTCGGAGGCAACGAGAGGCAGCGAATCGGGAAAGGTCGTTATGGAAGTTACGAAAGAAGGCATACCCAGGTAGTGAGAGTGAAACTGACTGGTAGATATATTACGTTACTCTATCATCTATCAATATTTAAACCATCCCAAGAGACTTTTGCTGCTACTAACTGCATTGTTCATGTCATGTCACATCCTGTGTATATATATAGCTATATCTTCAAAAAACAAAAAGCTCACCCCGACACCACCCCCTCGAGGAGGCAGCATCGCAGCTACGAAACCACCCATCTCGTCCTCCCCTACACCTCGCCAAACCCCGGGTAACCAAGACCGGAGTTCAGCTCGGTGCGCTGGAAAGAACCAGACGACCAGTTTTACAGTCGAATCTGCGTGCAAGCGCACACCCTTTAAATGCGCTGCAGTCGCATTTAAAGGGTGGCCCCTGTCCGGATTCGAACCCAAGACTTCCATCGAACATGCAGTATGTCCTAGACCACTGCACTACGGTTACCCTGGGTTTATTGGGGGGAGGATTGGAAGTGAATGATAAGAAAAGAATGGAAGTGGTTGGGTGGTTGCCTAAAGGGGAAGGCGAGGGTTATATGTGTCACGTGATTAGTCAGAGCATAGGCGGGGGAATAGGTAATAGGTACCTAGACAGTTGGGACCTTGTTCCTTGTTGTCTGTTAATAGAATAGGTTATTTGAATACTTCAATCTCGATATGGATGTGGTTAGTGGTGATAGTAGATCAAATCCCGATGGCGCTGATCAGCGCGCCTAGAACTGATAGGTAGACGAGCAACAAAAGTACGTGTATCGAGTGAAATAATCATAGCAGATCTCTATCTCGATAGGTAGGAAACGAGAACAAAGTACATACTTATCTCGTTACTCCAGCTCAGCCGCGTTCAATATCCAACAGACCAGCTGTAAGGAGAGCATGGATGATCTACTCTGCACATCCCCAACAGCACTAGGCCAGATGAAAATAGATTCCAAATCCATGGAACCAGAAGCACTAGTTAGGTAGGTGATGTTGATTCCGTGCAGTGCACAGATTACTCGACAGTACAGTACAAGCTGACACCGTGGGAGCAGGCAGGCACTCTTCATATCCATGTAGGTAGCCTCAAACCCTCCGTGGATAGATCACAATTCGTATTGCTTTTTCTCACTTGTGCAACTGTTACCACCAACCAGGATACGATCAGACTATTGGCATTACAAATATGCAAGGTAGATGGATGATTGAAATGTACTACCTTTACTGTGTATATGTAATCTGGTGACTTAATCGATCTACTGGATAGGTAGGTGGTATATATATGTAGCCAATGAGGATGCTCTGCTTACCGGCTCGATCGATGCTATGCTAAGCTTGTTGCTTTTCCTAGCTAATGGCTGGATTTAATATACAATATTACCCTGCATATTATCCCTGTAGGTCTGTATCTTCTATTCTGATAATCATGTCACATGGGATGGTGAGAATGACACTGTAGACTCATGGCATAAGCAGTAAGGTAACCAGCTATTGCCACAACGACACAACAACTGACTCATAATTCATGATTGACATCTACTTACGCATACATTACAGTTGTCGCACACATATTGTATGTATTGATATGCGTGGGGGCGTCACAATAATCAGCATGTACATCCATTCCACATAGACATAAAATTTATGTCCGGACTACTCCGTCGCAGAAGGAATAAGGACCATAGCCCACTATCCACAGCTGAATAGCGAATACAAACCTTGACCCCCACCAAAGGATGCGCGAACCACAAAATTCATCATACAGAAACGATATTATTGATGCTTATTAGGCGAGTTCCTGTAGATCCTGTCGCGGCCAGACAGGATGTACAGATCATCATTCAGGATGTACAACAAGACGTGGATATGTACATAATTGCATTACATACGAATGCAACAAGGGCGCCGAATTCGGAACCGGAAAATATTTCCAAACTCCTGATATCCATTGAGAGATTGAATAGACAGAGGCAGAATAAGTGGTGATATCATTGAACTGGCGTATGTGGCGTGTGCAGTTCCCAGCTGGAGACGGAACAAAATAAATGGAGTATTCTCCACTGCAACGACAATCACACTCGTGACCTTTTTCACTTTCTCTTAAATGGTGTGGCTGAGGATGGGCCCCGTCTTTTGCGGATCCAATGCCGATTGCTGATGCTTTTTATCGGGTGTACGGATGGATAAGGAAGGTTATCGAGTGATGATGCAGTCGGGCTGAATTGGCGATATTCGGCGATTCTTGATGGCCGGATGATCGTGGAATCCTTCGATCTATGTACGAAGTAGTACAATATTATCAGACAAAGAGTTTACTAGGTACATGGTTAGATTGAGATAATTCAGTCAAGATTAGATTCAATTCGTGTATTTAACCCGACAACATACTTCCGACTACATAGTTAGTACATCCTTTGACATAATTGACAAAACTTAACATACTATGTCTATCATAGAAAGAAATCACCATGATTCGTCCACGTCAATGCTTCCATCTTATTCACATGCATTCGAGACCATCAATGCATAGACTCAATATCTCGACCGGCATTGAGTATCCGGCCAGACAAGATTCGCCTGACTTAACGACTAGTGTGGATGATTTTCAGGAACTTGGCAGCTTTGGCATAACCGACTTTATCTCGATATTGTATCAATATCATCTAGGTAGATATCATGAACTGATTGCTTTGAACGATGAATCGATCCAGATATGATAACTTATCGGCCGATAACCGATAATGTATGCAAATGCCACACAAAACATGTATCCGTCTTAAATACTGGTAAAGCAACTAAATTGACTAGCCATACAAAACAATGGAGCAGCGGGGCTGTGGCTGAACTTTAGCTTGCAGAAGTTCAGTTCAGCCTTTCAGCCCTTCCGCCTCATCCTTCGTTAAGACTTAACTTAAGTTAGCGTACTCGGTTGAGTTCCACTATGACAGACAGTCGTGGAGGGGTATGTCATTGGTGATGGATAATTGGATATGCACTTATGCAGCTTAATGGAGCTTGGTTTTTTGGTTGATAATGGGATTGTTAATACTTGATACATTTTCAGCTAGCTGCTTAGTATTCGTGTAGACGGCCAAAAAGAGAAGATGTATATTCCGTAGTATTTTGAAGACAAGGCTCAAATCATGTCTCACCTATTACGAATGTTTTTTCATCCACTGATGTACGTACTGAAAACATTCTGAATAATCAATATGAATTCCTGCGATTCAACTGGATACAGTGGGTTTCGTACCCGAGTATTCCCTAAGATAGAGATGTTGGTATAAACATACTTCCGGGAATTAACCAAATGCCGATTCAGACCCTAAATGCTGGGACAATCTACTCCATACCACCGAGTCAGGGTCTACACTATAACTAGACAAAGCCATAATACTATGTATCCCGCAGAGTAATTACAGTTAACGGACAGCTAACTCGTCCGGTCTTCCCTGATCCGATCATCCACAGAGCGTTGGATAAGATAGTGGAGATGACAACGACGCTTTGCTTCTTTGAACACACCCGATAGCGAGTCTAACACTAGACACAGCATTAGACTGTCCAAGACTGAGTTTAGTGGATAACGATGTTCATAGATATTACTCAGCAGCACTGTTCAAAAATAGAGTGAGAGAACCGTTTCTGGTGGAAACAGGATGCACAGACCAGAGATGATCCAGACCGTGTTCTGTTCAACCTGAAGCAACCTAGCGAACCGGTGCTCTTGGTGTTATCCGTTTAACTCCGTGGTCTTGGTCTGTGGGTGTGTATATCGTTGTCAAGTCGAGTAGGAGGAGGAGAGAGGGGAGTAAGAGAAAGAGGAGTATGGGGATTGGATGACATTTGCCACTTGGAGGACAGACTCTCTTGTTATTGGGTTGGGCTGGCATGGATTATCCCTGTCTATGGGCCTCGGAGTATGTGGGATGAGTACAAGATATGAGTATCTTGACCATAAGGGCTCAACAACTACTATGCAACAAGTGAAAAGGACAGAGTATCAACAACATACTGTATATAGTAGCAGTGTAAACAACATGTACCAGGCGAACAGTGACCACATCTCAACATCTCCGACCCACCGTCAAAAGACGTGGAAATTACCAAATTGATCTCACCAAACAACTAGTAAACAGAGTTAAAAGACAGAATCCAATCGACCAGACTAACAAATCAAAACGCGACCAGACAACCAGAGAAAAAAAAAAAAAGCTAGTCTTGAACGGGTTACCCGCCACGTGGAGACCCTCGTTTATCCAAATCGATTCGATACTCCGATGGAGTTGCTGTTTGTTTGTGTGCCTGGGCCGATGGGGGCGTGGGGACAGGCAGAAACAGTGGAAGCGAAACGAAAAAAAGGCGCGATTATCGACGACCCCGACCGAGGTCGTGTGCTTGCTTGCCGTTCAGTTGGGAGTGGCGAATAAGATGGATAATCATCTACAGGGGGAGATTTCTTATTTCATACATTGAATATTTAACTTACATGTATGGACAGTAATAATATGGAGAAAAAAGTACGGAAGAAAAGAGTTCACTGCACGCAATGACATAATAGACAGGATGAAAGTCTGAATACGAGGAAAAACAAGATCAAGTTGATGCTTTTATGACATGTCTCAACAGGGATCAGGGATTAGTTTACTTATTCTACGGGGTAGTTGATCCAGATGTAATTATTACTCTCAAGAGGTTCATAGTTCATACCAAAGTCTGATTATTCTGTAATAAGCCAGGGACTGAGGATTATTACCTTATTCTCCGTCTGTCAGGGAGTTATCAGCATACATATGATCTGTAATATATTCCTTGAATCAAAGTCATCATCCTGAATCAATCTCTTTGTTTCCTGATAGCTGAGATCAACCAGTCAGATCATCTCGATTACCATGACATCAAGAATAAACCACCTGCAGGGAATCTGACCGATAAACTGGTTTCGATGGAATACTATCCAACATATTACATAGTATGGAGTGTGTCTGTCGGAGCAATGCCGTTGCAATAGGCTTGTTTGCTGTGCGAATTAATTAATTACCTTCTTCCTTACAGCGGCTGCACTCCGCACTTCCATGATGATGCGTAGGATGCAAGTCGCAGGAGGCCTGAGATGAGGGGCCCGCGTGGGTTCTAAGATGGAAAGAAATAAAACAAAAGAAAAGAAAAAAAAGAAAAGGAAAAAAAAAAAAATAAAAGAAAAAGAAAAGACGAGATCAGCGAACCAAAGCGATTGATCACCAACTAACCGCGACAAAATAATAGTCTACCTACCCCAATCTGTCTGCTCCGTACAGACTTACCGTGTATTGCATTGATCGCCCGTTGATGAAGGTCGGATGGATGCCGCTTTGCCTTTTGGCTTTTCCGACGTCGGGATGGTCTGTATGTCAGAAAAAAAAGTCGTTGGGAACAAATCGGAGAGAAGGGAATGAAAATCCCGCTGCTTCTTTTTTTTCTTTCTGCTTCTGTTTGTTAGGGATTTGTTTCCAGACAGACTACTGTTTTCAGGTGAGTCAAGAGATCTCATCTTTAGATCCTTTGTATGGAGTAGTATTCCGTATGTATGAGGAGTAAGTAACTACTCCGTAGTAGAGACGGCCTTCCGTTCTCCCGCCATGGGGGCGAAAGCAAAAAAAAAAAACCACATCCGAAATGTCCCAGACGGACCCGGAGAGTAAAAGTCTGGAGTCGGCTATTCACTTTCAGACATCCCATCGACTCCTACAGACACAGACCTACAGAAGACAGTGGTTGTGGCTGGCAACGGGATGTGAACCCACCGTTTGCAGCAGCCACCCATTCCCAATTTCCTAGCCACCCGTGCACACGACCATCCAGGAGCTGTGGAACAACGAGAACAGACAGTCTGTAGGAACCAAGAGACCGGGATGCTAGGATGCTACTATCCCAGATCAATAGTTGATAGATATGACCCGGGCTGCTGTTCACATGCGGATACGATACGGATATGCGGGATGGCCAGGACGGACTATTGCAATTTGGCCGTGATGCCTTGGGCCGAAAATATAATATTAAAAATAATAATAATATTGACGATATTACCGTAAATTGCCGCGGATGAAGCCCGTTTGAAAAAAAATAAAAAAATAAAAAATCACAAGAAAAAAAGGTCCCATGGCAGCTGAAGCCAGAAGTGACCGAACATGACCCGATTTTTTTCTTTTTCCTTTTTCCTCTTCGTAGAAGCAGAAGAACGGGGTGGATCTAGATGAATATCGTTAGTCGATGGGCAAAAATCGGGACCCGATGGAGTCGCCGGTGGGATCTGGAACGAATTGACTTCTTCCATTTATCATTCCACAAGCCTTCTCTTGCGTAAAACGGGGTCTAGTGGGAGGCCGCGCCGTCAGAAGCGTTTTGGTTTTGGGATTCAGATGCGGTCAATCATTGCTCAGTTGGATTACCTCTTACCTCCGTTACCTTTAAGATACCTAGGTATGAATGTTAACCGTTTTCTTCTATCTCTGTCTATCTGTATCTACTGTAGCTCAGATGTATGAGCATCTGAGATGAGTTAGTAGATGTGGGTGTCTGCAGCTGCCATGCAGAGCCTAAACCCCCCTAAAAAGGCCTACTGCTTCTAGGCGGGCGTTGGGCTGCGCGGGTTGGTAAGCGTCGCAGCGGTAATACCGGTATTTACCGTACCGTACCATACGGTCGTTGGGCCTCCTCCCCCTTCCGGCATGCCTCCCGGCCTTCGTTATTATTCCGCTTCATCTCCAGATTTATTATTATCCAGTAGCTATTGGTTCTTCCACTGGATCTTAGTATTGTTTCCTGTACAGAAAATAAAACTCCCTGCTTGTCCACTTCTGGTCCTTTCTTCTTCTTCCCTTTTTTTTTTATACTTCACATCTCTTCAGCTGGCCTTGGTTGGTTCAGTGACAGTGGTTCAATTCACTGTCTGGATTCTGTCCCTCCTCTCCTCTCCTCTCTCTTCTCTCTCCTCCCTCTCTTCCCATTCTCTCTCCCTGTGGTCACTCTGCGTCATTGCCACTGGTTTGCCCATCATTTTTTTATCTTCCCACCCATCTTCACGAAAGCATGTATCGCAACAATGGTTTAAAATGGCTGTTCGATGCTGCTAGACGGTAATTTTGTTCGCAGATATGGATTTCATTGTGAGTCGTCTTCCTCCTCTTTCTTGGCTTCCTTTTTGCGCATCGCATGTCCTCCAACTCCGCCATTTTTCACATGCGTTTAGCTTTGCGCTCATCACTTGCGCTTCCGAAACTCGGGATTCTGCTCTACCCATGCTTTTTCTTGGGAATCGCATGCGCTCGGTGATCTGCATTGGGCGTGAACTATATCCTATGGCCTCTACACACCCTTGTCTGGAGCATCACCGCTAACGACCCTCTTTCGATAGCTTTCTTTGACGCATTTCTGCGAGGTGCATGGTCCCACCTCGATCATCTGCTCGCAGGTCCTGCCTTTCTCCTGCTCTCAATGCTACCCCGATAAATCCGATTTCTCTCCCGAAGATACCCCTGCTACTTCTCACGACACCGTCTTCTCCCGGGAACTGCACGATCACCCCGCTGGTGTCAAGGGCCCCCTGTCGCCCAAACAACCCGAAAAGCCTCTCGATGGTGCCAACTGCTCCAAGATCGAGGATCACCCGTACTTTCTCAAAGCCAACAATGCCCCCGCCGATGTCGAGAAACCGAGTCGCGTGGGCGGCACCGATGGCGATACCTGCGCAAGCTGTAGCTTGACTTTACCTGACGATTTGAATAAACAACTTTCTTCTGGCCCTCCCGATGGAAAATGGAAAAATGGCAGCCCCGTCTTGCGATCCAGGGAGATGGTCTACTCTTGCGGAAATAGTCATTCGGACACCGATGACAGCGCACACGATTCGCACCTTCACGCTTCCCTTCCTGATTCCCTCCATTCGTCCTCCGTCGCCTCGGACGCTTCATGCCATACGCACATTCTTACCTATCTCTCTCTCCGCGGCCCTCCCAACCCTGCGGACTACGCCCTTCTCCGCCGCTCCTCTATCCGAACCTTGAGTTGCGAGCTGCTTCCTCGTGGTCTTTCTTCCGGCCCTTTGTGTTTTGGTGACTCCGCCGCTGGCTACACAGTCGCCTATATATTCCGCCTGCCGGATCCCATGGCCCGTGGCAAACGGCGCAGTTACGCTCTCGTGGCCCTGGCTGGAAAAGATGCCGGAAAAGCATTCCGCGCCTGCCCAGCCATCTGGCGTGCCTTTGGTCGCATTGCTGCAGGCATTGTCAACTCGGCCGAGAAATTCCAGGAAGAAGAAAAGCGGCGCGAAGAGCAAACCAGCGGCGCGAATAAGGCTGGCAACCGGGAATACACACCCGTATCTTCTTTTCTTACGGGCCGGAAAGCCGACCCTGCTGGCCAAGCCCGTCGACCTGGTCAGATCCGGGCGAGAAACCTAGCGGAAATCGTCGGCAATCCGTACATTTTTACTGAAATACACGCCCATTTTGTGGCCCTTTTGCAACAGCTGGGCTCGATGTTTGGCGGCATCCCCGTCTCCGAGGAACAGTTTGTTTGCAGTACCGTGCGAGATGAAGACGATGCCTCGGCACGACGAGCGTCACTAGTGGCGCATGGAAGGAAAGACTCCAAGCAGCACCCTTCCCAGAAATACGACGGCAATGACCTCGGGCTATCCAATTTAGATATATCCTCGGGTCCGAAACCCATTCCGATAGCGCCACGCCGGTCGGTCATTGCATAGACAGTCCACCTTTCTCTCGCCCGAACAACCGGGATAGAACCCAACTGCATATTCATGCGCATTCAACAATTCATCAAACTACCGACATTCGCTCAACAACCGCATGTGGCCATTGAAGAATCCAATGCCACCAACGACTCTTGTGTCCTGTTTCTTTACTTCGCATAACGGCCTGGGTTTCTTCATGAATGGATTTCGAATATAGACTATGGCGTCTTTCAGACAAGGAAACGGAGTTCATGGCATTTTCTGGGAATTTGTTCTTTTTTAGTGTTTTCAGCGGGGGCAAGCGATCTACCTTTTTGTTTCTTTAAACGCATTATCTCGCTATTAATACTCGTGGAGGAAGCGGGCGCTTGTTATGATTTGAATGTCGTCACGAAAGCGACGAAGCGCTTGCAAGGTATCATATGTATTTTATGCAGCCCTGCGGGGCCTGGAATTGATCTTCACTGGTCTTCAAATCAATTTTGACCTAGTCATCTATTCGTTAATCTGTGGTAACTGTTTGAGTATTTCGGTTGTACGATGTATTAGTATCCGTGGTGTACCTATAGGGTTGCTCTGATTTTCATCAATAAAGCCAATCTTGCATATCCAAGCAAACAAGAGACTAGACTAGCCAACATGCACATCTACTCAATCTATTCAGTTGCAGTAGGTCCCTCGATATCATGACGTTTCTCGTTGGTGTAGTATATCCCCCCGGAAAAACTTACCCTTCCGGGACCGGAACCACGGCCATCGCGCACACCAACAACCCGCGAAAAAACCCACCAAAAAGAACGTCCCGCATAGAACAAGCACGAACGTCGAATTGCGCGCCATTCTTCCTCCCCTCTCCCCCCCCTCCCCTCTTCTCCTCCCCCTTCCTCTCATTTAATACCCTCGAAATACCAATAAATTAAACCCGACGACAAGATGGGTGTTGCTTTTGACAAGTGCGAGACACGGCCGGAAAATATCGAGGTCATCCTCAGCGGCCTGGACAGATATAACCCCGAGACTACTACAGTGTTCCAAGAATATGTTGCTCAGCAGTGCGAGGACCGAACATTCGACTGCTATGCTAACTTGGCGCTGTTGAAGCTGTGAGTTGTTGCCTTTCTTTTGTTTTGCTTGAGAGAGAAGCTCTAGTGGGGGATGTTGCTTCGGGTTTCTTTCTTTCTTTCTCTTTTTTTCTTAACATGATGGAGAATTTTTTTTATAATCACGTTTCCTATTACCTGATACCCGATAATTGGGAAAATGTTGTGAACTCAATATCTTCTGAAAAAGAAAAAAAAGAAAGAAAGAAAAGAAAGAAAATACCCCGGGCATGTCCTTGTTCAGACTCGAATTGAGCCGCATGCACAATACCTTAAAAAAAGTTTTCTAACACTGACACTGTTGGGTTTGAATAGCTACCAATTCAACCCTCACCTCCTCCAGGCGGAGACCGTCACCAACGTCCTCGCCAAGGCTCTTACCGTCTTCCCCTCGCCGGCTTTCTCCCTCTGCCTTGCCCTGCTCCCCGCCCACACCCAGCCTTTCCCATCCGCAGACCCCGAAGCTCAATCCGCCGCCCAGGCCTCCGACTTTGTTGAATCGGTCCAGAAGCTCGCCCGTCTCTCCACACTACTCGAGTCTGCCCAGTACGCCCAGTTCTGGTCGACCCTGAACTCCGACGATCTGTACGCCGACCTGGTGGCCGACGTTGCCGGATTCGAGGAGCTGGTGCGCATCCGCATCGCCGTCGAGGTTGGCAAGACTTTCCGTGAGATCAACGCCGATGTGCTCGAGCAGTGGCTGGACCTGAGAAGCCGCGAGGCTGTGGAGAAGTTCGTCGTCGACGTGTGCACCTGGCAGGTCGAGAAGGGTGCCGACGGCACCGTCGTCAAGGTGCCCACCAACCAGGAGAACGAGGCCCGCAGCGAAGTCAAGAGTGAGCGGGTCGCCTTTGATATGTTCGGTCGTGTCATCAGACGGGGTTTCGAGCAGCCTGCATAAATGATATAAACGATATCCAAATGTTTATTCTGTTAGGTTGATTTGGGATTTCTTTTTTTTTTTTTCTCCTCTTTTTTTATTTCCGCTGCATATGTATGGGAAGGAAACAAAAAGCAGCGCTATCTCTCTTCTTCCATTCTTGCTAATATTCTTTCCTCTACTACCCTTTTTTTCACACTCAAGATCTTGGAATCTTCATGTGTCTCTTGTCATCCTTCCCAACACCCCAAAAAGAAAAAAAGCAAGAAAGAAAGAATTACGTCCACCATGAAATGTGTCATGTGTCCCCCCCAAATGATGATGACGATGATGATGGGGGAAGATTAGAACTAGCATGGGAGAGGGGAAAAAAGGGTTAGGACAGTTTTTTCCCGGACCTGGCGCATTCGGCGTTGATTCTTCTTTATTCTTTTGCACAGTTTAAAACTTTTGAAATGGTTGATGTCTCTATCCTATCATATTAAATTACTGTGTGAGGAAAATAAATAAAAGATAAAAAAGAGAGAGAAAACTTCGATCTTCGACTTTGTATTCGATTTTGATGTCTATTTCTTTGGAAGATCTAAATGCCTATTTGAAGAAATGATATCATTGTCTAGTAATCCCAAGGATAACTTTATCTGATATATTCCAACTAGAAGAAAAGTCTATGGACATCAACATCAATCAACATTACTTTTTTTGTTTCGTGAATAATCATCACCTCACAACGCCACACTTCATACCTCACTCAACCATCTATTGGCTCGTTTCTTCCCACTGCACGCCCGCCCACTCCTCACGCCAACCGACGACGTTGACTTCCTCTGGTCCGCAGTCCTTGGAACAGACACCGAGGATGATAGTTCCCCATTCCATGCCGTCGTCGTTAGGACCCAAGCCGACGCCTTCCCGGCCTTCTTCGAGGAGGGCAATGGCATGCGGCACGAGCTGGAGCTCAAACACACGTTCGCTGCCGCAGTATTCGCAGCGGGGGATGCGGCTCGCGCCGTTCGGGATGGTCGTTACATGGCCGGCGCCGGGGCCCTGAGAATCGTGCAGTTTCTTGCCCACGGCATCGGTGTACGAGGAGAGGAGCGGGGTCCCGCGGAATTCGTACCGCAGGATCTGTTCTGGGTTGTGGCCCAGACGGGTGGAGAAGCGGATGAAGGCCTTGTCGACTTCGGATTCGAAGGTGTCCTTGAGGTCAGCGCCGGCTTTGCCGTCGTCTTCGTCGGGCTTTTCGATGGTGACGTTTTCGGGGATTGTGGGCGTAGATGGGCGGGAGATGGCCTCGTAGTCTGCGTCAAGGTAGTAATTGGGGTAGGGTTCCGGGAAGGCGGACTGAGGGGGCCAGGGTGCAGAGGGACCTGCGGCCTCGGGGGCCTTGGTGGTTGGCGCGGGGGTGGAGATTTTGACCTTGTCTGCAAAGGATTCAGCAAGGGTAGACGGAGCTGGTGTTGCTGGTTTGGGGGACAACTGCGATGGGCCGGTGGCAGGGGCCGCAAATGGGTTGATGTTGTTGGCTTGCGCGGGAGACGAATTCGACGAGAAAGGATTGGGGTTGGCCGACATACTGCCTGTGAGGGACGCGCCTCCAAACAGACTAGCTCCTAGATCCTGTTTGGGAGCTTCGGTCGCCGGCTCCTCTTTCTTATCTTCGTTTGCTTTCTCTGGTTCGGCCTCCTTTGTTTTCCGCGGCTGCTCGATTTTGAACTTCCTTGTTGCGCGCAGAGCTCGAATACTGCCTGGCTTTCGGTTGCATGCTTTTCTTGAGCATCCGAATATGTATAGTCGTCTCTCGTCATTGGGGAAGTGTTCGGGGAGGTCGCCGTTCAATTCAAGGAGCAACAGCATAGGGCGATTGCAGACTTTGCAGTTGGCGAATTCACCTGGAGGCGGGGTAGCATCGTCGAGCCACGCCTGGAAGGTTGAACGGTCAGCGAACACCCAGACAAGATTCTTTGAATCGGGTACATACAGGCCAGCCTCCAAGGTGACTGATCGTGTCATCTAGAATCTCCTCCGAGCCATATCCCAGAAGGACGCCGGTCTCAGTGCACCCCTCATCATCGAAGGAAGAGTCACTATCATATGGATCCATTGTGATGGGATGACAAAGTAACTGTATGAAATATAGACAGAAAGGGAAGGTTCAGGATATGATTGAACACTTTTCTAAGCCCTCCTGGAGGATCGTTATAGTCGACTCGTGAAAGCAATTCTTCACAATCCAAAATCGAATCATAAAAAAAGATTGGCAGCGATAAGCGATACGGGCTCAGGAACGCCTTAGTCCGGAGTAGGATTAGCGCGGTACTACCCCATGTTCGTGTTACCATTTGTTACCTGTAATATTACACCATGCATCATCGACGTCGACTTCCCTTTGTGATGCTTCGTCACCATCTTCTCAGATTAAGTGGTAAACATCATCTCTCAGAGCTTTGCATCACCTGAACTCAACAGGCTTCTCTCGTTTTCAGCTTTAAGGCTTCAAGAATTAACCCTAGACATCTACTGCCATACACCGACTCTTCTGCCCTGGGCGGATGTCCTACGCCGTGAATCTATCAGGTCAAGATATCTAATTGCCCATGGACTCTATCCCTAGGAACGGCTTTCCACAGCTGTTCTCACACTTCACTATTATATACTATGTGGTGACGTTGCTTTTCGTTCCCTTCAGCAATGCAATTGAGCAGCAGCCGCTGGGCACATCCTCATACTCGGAAACAACGCCCAAGCGGGTTGCGATAATCGGTGAGATTTCATCAACCGAACAGTGAATACATGAGTAATTGACCTTTGTATACTAGGAGCTGGAGCTGCAGGCTCCTCTGCTGCCTATAATCTGCGCAAGTACGCGGATGCTCTCCAAGTCCCAGTCAATATTACCGTATTCGAACGGGAGTCCTATGTTGGAGGTCGATCAACCACGGTCGATGTCTTTGATGACCCGGCCTACCCTGTGGAGCTGGGTGCATCAATATTCGTTGATGTTAACTACAACCTCGTCAATGCATCTAAAGAGCTTGGTCTTTTGGCCAGCAGTGCCAGTCGCGCTCGACCAATGGAATCCGAAGACACTATCGGAATCTGGGATGGAGAGCAGTTTGTGTTTGTGCTGCAAGACACATACAGCTGGTGGAATATCGGAAAACTACTCTGGAAATATGGCTTGGCGCCGATACGAGCTCAGAACCTGATGAAAAGCACTGTCAACAAATTCCTTCAACTTTACAAGGAGCCCGTGTTTCCTTTCAAATCACTCTCTGATGCTGCCGCTGCAGTGGGATTGTTGGATGTTACCGCATCTCATGGTGATGCATTCCTTGAAAAGAATAATGTCTCTCCTGATTTTGCCCGGGATATCATACAGGCGAGTACTCGCGTCAACTACGGACAGAACTTGGCCCTGATCCACGGTCTCGAGTCTATGGTTTGCCTGGCCACTGATGGCGCAGTGGCCATCCATGGCGGGAACTGGCAAATCTTTGACGCGATGCTCAAATCATCTCGAGCAAATGTTAAGCTTAACAGCACGGTGAATTCCATTGTACGCAACAAAAACGGCACCTCGACCATAACTTTTAAGTTAAACAACCTCGTTGAAGAGAGTCTCGTTTTCGACGAAGTTGTGATTGCAGGACCTTTGCAGTACTCTGATATTTCAATCTCCCCCTCGCTTGACAAGACTCCAGACCAAATTCCTTATGTGAAACTTCATGTGACTCTGTTCTCTTCCCCATACAAGCTCTCACCCAAATACTTTGGTCTTGAAGGTCAAGTTGCCGAAACCGTCCTGACAACTCTTCCAAAAGGAATGAATCTTGGTCCCGTTGAGAAAGGCGTTGGTCCCTCTGAATTCTGGAGTATCAGCACCCTGCAGGCAGTGAAGCCTCCATCTACTTTTCCCGGAAATCACAAAAAGCACTATGTCTACAAGATATTCTCGCCGAAACAGCCATCAGCGGATTTTGTCGCGCAGATATTGGGAATTGAGAAATCAGAGAAAGAGGACTATACAAAGAATTCAACCATCAAAGACCTTCCAAGCCATGATATCAGCTGGTATCATGAGAAGATCTGGCATCCATATCCTTACCTTTATCCACGGGTGACCTTTGAGGAGACTTCTTTGGCCCCGAATATCTGGTATACTGGTGGAATCGAGAGTTTTATTTCGACCATGGAGACCAGTGCACTGATGGGTAAGAATGTGGCGGCATTGATGTCTCGTTCGTGGCAGACGCAGGGGGCTGAGAAAGATGGCGTTAAGGGACATGAGAACAGAGCTGAGCTCTGAATAAGACCTGTTTCTTTTCTGCTGTCATATTTCTATTTTTTATTCTAATCAGAAACATATTTGATCTCATAAATCAAGGTGTATATGGTGATTCTTTGTTCATTCTCATTGTCCTAACTTATATGGGATAGTGGCCTGAGATCTCCCCTCTGCGGTGACGACAACATGCAGTGAGGACAACAGCTGATGTGGTGTAATATGCAAATGTTGTCACACCTACTTAATTAGTAAATGAGTGATGTGTACCAATCTACCTCTATCATAATGCATTGGTTAAGCTCAAATCTGGTTTTCCATTCATCGAGAGAGCAGAATTAGTCTTATCACTGACCAATGTATTCTTCCCTCCTAGCCCATCAGACTTGACAGCTCCGGTTTAAGTACGAAGAATTCATACATGGTGGCTGCATCGCCATTCATATAGCTCAATTACACTACGCTAGCTTTCGAAAATGAAAAACCATGAATATTCAGAAAGGTCGCCAGCCGGCGCCGGAATGTTGAACTTTTGCTGTTTAAAAAAAAAACCGCCGCTGTTGAAAAAGCTGATGCGGTGCTAGTGCTCGTTTCTCATGCTAAGTGTATCCATAACCCATGACCCGCGTAAGGTTGAAAAAGCAGACCGGTATAAACCCCTTGTAACACTCCCAACTAGTATCCTTTTTATACGCATTAATGTTGAATAGACGAAAAAAAAAATTATGCAAAGAAAATAAAAGAAAAATAAAAAAAGATGAAAAGGTATATCCTTAAGCATCCAACGAAATCATATCACTCCCAAATGCCCGGCATTTAAACGGGAAGAGGGAAAGAGCTGGCCCACTGGGCCACCTCCTTGCGGAGCTCGAGAATCTCGGGGATGGTCTCGGAGGCAACCTTGGCCTTGAAGTCCTTGAGCTTGTTGGCCTCCTTGGGGAGTGAGTCCTGAGTGGCTCTGGCGATCTTGACAGCCTTGTCGACGTATTCGGCAATACGCTTGAACTCGGCCTCACCCATGCCACGGGTGGACATGGCGGGGGCACCGATACGGATACCACCAGGGGAGAGGGCAGACTTGTCACCAGGGATGGCGTTCTTGTTGCAGGCAATGTTGATCTGCTCGAGAACGGCCTCGATACGAGCACCGTCCAGCTTCTTGGCGCGGAGGTCGACGAGAACCATGTGGCTGTCGGTTCCACCGGAAACGAGCTTGTAGTCCATCTCCTTGAAGGCGTTCTCAAGAGCCTTGGCGTTCTTGATAACGAGCTCTTGGTACTGCTTGAACTCAGGGCTGGCGGCCTGCTTGAGAGCGACAGCAAGAGCAGTGATGGTGTGGTTGTGGGGACCTCCCTGGTGACCGGGGAAGACAGAGAAGTTGATGGGACCCTCGAGATCGTACATGATCTCCTTTCCGGTCTTGTCAGTGCTGCGCACACCCTTGCGGAAGAAGATCATGGCACCACGGGGGCCACGGAGAGACTTGTGAGTGGTGGTGGTCACAACGTCAGCGTACTCGAAGGGCGAGGGGATGACACCAGCGGCAATCAATCCAGAGATGTGAGCCATGTCGACAATGAGGTAAGCGCCGACCTTGTCAGCGATCTTGCGCATACGCTCGTAGTCAATCAGACGGCAGTAGGCGGAGGTACCAGCAACCAGACACTTGGGGCGGTACAGCTCAGCGTTGGCCTCAAGGGCATCGTAGTCGATGATGCCAGTCTCAAGGTTGACACGGTAGGGGAAGGTCTCGAAGTAGGTAGAGACAGCGGAGATCCTGAAACTCAGCATTAGCAATCTGGCTCAGACTCAAAACAAGCACCACAACTTACTTCTTGGAGGGGATCTGGTATCCGTGACTCAAGTGACCACCGTGAGGAAGGTCAAGACCCATCAGACGGTCGTGGGGGCGCATGAGGGCCTGGTAGACCTGCAAGTTGGCGGGGCTACCACTCAAGCACTGAACGTTGACACCCCACTTCTCGGAGTCCAAGTTGAAGGCCTTCAGAGCACGGGCCTGGCAGGTAAGCTCGATGGCATCGATGTGCTGGTTACCACCGTAGTAACGAGCTCCGGGGTAACCCTCAGAGTACTTGTTGGACATGGGCGAACCAAGAGCATCGAAAACAGCGCGCGAGGTGAAGTTCTCAGAGGCAATCAGGACAACGGATTCACGCTGACGCTGGATCTCTTTTTCCTAGAGAGAGAATACAAGTTAGCATGGACAGAATACTCCAGAGTCTTGAAAACAACAATGTCCACGTACCATGACCTGCGCAATCTCGGGGTCAGAGTTGACCAGAGAGTTCTCCATTTGCTACATCGACTGAGTCAGTGATGAAAATTTACACCATTGTACTGAGAAGATGGAATACTCACCTCCCGGTGGGAGGACGACAGAGCGTAGGCGGCCATTGTGATGTAGTTTATCTTCCGGTAAGAAGGGAAGAAGGATAAGAATGAAGGATGGAAAGGATGGGAGAATAGAAAGAAGAAGAGAAAAAAGAGAAAGGAGGAAAGGTTGGGGATGAGGAGGAAGAAGAAGTGGTGGTGGTGGGGCAGGCGGGATGCTTGCCTCAGGCAATGACACCTCGATTTAGCTTTTTTTTTTATTGCCCCCCACCAACTAGAGGACGACATCGGAGGTCAGCTTACCGCGAGTGAAAAAAAAAAAAAAAAAAAAAAAAAAAAGAGAAAGAATAAAAAATTTACTAGGGATTGCCATTCTTGAAGCGCTTAAGGGTGACACAGCATGGCTCTGGTGATATGTATTTCTGGTCTGGCCGGCCATACAAAAGGGCATGCCAATTGCTTTTTCTGCAGCTATTATCATCATCTGATTCCAAGCCAGATATTACTCGTTATGCATTCCTCGAGGGGTCGGGGACCGTGGTAGCTTCTAAGCGACAAACCCCGCGACTCGACTCAATTGTAGCTATCTCAACAGTGTTTCAATTCATTGATTATTATTGTAGAATCTCCAATCTGCTGCAACGCCAATCCATACTATGACAGTCATCTCGAGTATGTTTCCTGTCCATGCCCACCGGACGGGATGCACCAAGTAAACCCTTGGCAAGAATTGATCTTGTAGCAGCATTATTAAACCCATATCTTTCTCTTGACGGCTGGCTGCAAAAGCCTCAAATATCAAGCATGCCTGCTCCTGGCTAACTTTGCGAAGATGTGGTGATATGCAACCTATGATAATCGGCCTTGCTTGACTCTGGCAATGTGTTCCCAGCCAATTGCTCTTGCCCTTCATGATCCTATAAGGAACATTATACCTTGGTGCACTGGAGACGCGGGGTAAGTGATATGCATCTTTCCCCCAGTGTCCCTCAGAGACAGAAGTGCGCAGACTAGTTCAAATTTCACAAGCTGTAGGCTACCAAACCTCAGTCATGACAGCGGTCGGAAATGAGAAAATCAATCACCCTGTTTATTCCATATCTTTCTCAAGGTTGATCCATTATTGTCCTTTTAGAGCCCTCCGCACCGGCCCTCTTCCCAAAGTCGGAAATAACAGACTGCAGTCTTGCGATACGGTCTTCAAGCTCTTCAATCTCCGTTTCTTGCTCAGCAACGGAACGTTCCACATCTGGCAAGTTTGATACCACATTGTGTGCCTTTTGTATCCGAATTTTTATCGAGCTGGCTTCTGTGGGAAGGTCTTTGATATCCAGCGGCGGAGGAGCGTTCGAGCCCAAGGCAGCGATTTCGGCCGTCACGGAAGTAGGGCCCGGTGCTGAAGATGAAGGAACAGCATGTGAAGATCCATTGTTCCCATTGCCGCCAGATGATTGTTGTTGTTGTTGAGACTGAGACTGAGTTGGAGCAGATGATGATGGCCCAGGGCCAGTCACTCCTGTCGTATCTCCACCCGCTCTTGCGCTGCCCGAAGAGTCCTCGGTATTCGTCTGGGGAGAGAGTAGACGAATAAGAAGACCGTGCAACGGCGGGATGATGTCAAATGTTTGCGGTGGAGGAAATGGTACTGCTTGTGGTGCCGTTGTCGTCGTTGTCTCTTTCAAGGGGGTCTCGGGCGCAGAGGTTGGTTTCGGCAGTGGAGTAACCGCCGTGGGAGATCTGGAAGCCATGATCTGCGGGAATTCAGGAATCCAAATGCTGCAAGTGATGCTGCCCCAGATAACTTGATTTGTATGCCCCTTCTGCCCGCTGGCTGGGTAATTGTTTAGGGAAGAGTCGGAACGCGCTCAGAACGGACGAGAACGAACGGGGGCCAGCCGTGACGTCGGAAGTCGGAGACAGGCAGAACGTCAAAAGACCAAAAGCGTCACCGGAGCAGCCCCTCCCCCTCACTATTATTTTCACCGGCCAGCGATTTGCTTCTTCCGCCATATTATTTCTTCTTGGTTCTTTTGACCACCATTTTGCTTTCTTTCAATTACCTTCTTGTGAGTGGCTTTCCCCTCCCCCCTATAATTCCTGCTTTTTAAGATTGATCTTTATGTTCAACGATTGACTGTATACCACAGGTATTTTTTCTTTCTGTTCACAATGGCCAAGGTCGACCAGAAAGTCGTTCTGAGTAAGCTTTTGATCATGATAAGATTCAAGTCAAGGGACAAAGCTAATCATTATCTGCTTAGTTGTCATCGATGGCTGGGGTGTTTCAGGCCCTGAGCCGGAGAAGAAAGGCGATGCCATCCATGCTGCGGAGACCCCCTACATGAGCGGTTTTGCCGACTCCAATTCGAAGACTGCTCAGGGTTACACCGAGCTGGAAGCCTCGTCGCTGGCAGTCGGTCTTCCCGAGGGTCTTATGGGCAACAGTGAGGTTGGCCATCTCAACATTGGTGCTGGTCGTGTGGTCTGGCAGGACAGCGTTCGCATCGACCAAACCCTTAAGAAGGGTGAGCTGAACAAGGTGGACAGCATTGTCAAGTCTTTCACTCGTGCTAAGGAAGGCAATGGCCGTCTGCACCTGTTGGGTCTGGTCTCTGATGGTGGTGTTCACTCCAACATCACTCATCTGGTTGGTCTGCTCAAGGTCGCCAAGGAGATGGAAATCCCTAAGGTCTTCATCCACTTCTTCGGTGATGGACGGGATACCGACCCCAAGAGCTCTGCCAAGTTCATGCAGGATCTCCTTGACAGCACCAAGGAGATTGGCATTGGTGAGATCGCAACCGTCGTTGGACGCTACTGGGCTATGGACCGTGACAAGCGCTGGGACCGAGTCGAGATCGCCATGAACGGTGTTGTCTCTGGTGTTGTCAATGGCGAGGGCGAAGAAAGCGACGACCCAGTCAAGACCATCAAGGAGCGCTATGAGAAGAAGGAGACCGATGAGTTCCTGAAGCCCATCGTTGTCGGTGGCAAGGAAAGACGTGTGCAAGGTACGATATTCCCCCAAGTCTTGGCCTGTTAGATCTTGTCTAACTTACCATCTTCAGACGATGACACTCTCTTCTTCTTCAACTACCGCTCCGACCGTGTTCGTGAGATCACTCAGCTGTTGGGTGACTACGACCGCTCTCCTAAGCCCGACTTCCCTTACCCCAAGAACATCGACATCACCACCATGACCCAGTACAAGACCGACTACACCTTCCCTGTTGCTTTCCCTCCCCAGAAGATGGGCAACGTCCTGGCCGAATGGCTCGGTAAGAAGGAACTCGAGCAGTGCCACGTCGCTGAGACCGAGAAGTACGCCCACGTCACCTTCTTCTTCAACGGTGGTGTTGAGAAACAGTTCCCCGGTGAGGTGCGAGACATGATTGCTTCGCCCAAGGTTGCCACCTACGACCTCGACCCTAAGATGAGCGCTGCTGGCGTTGGCGAGAAGACCTCTGAGCGCATTGGTGAGAAGAAGTTTGACTTCATCATGAACAACTTCGCTCCCCCCGACATGGTTGGCCACACTGGTGTCTACGAGGCTGCTATCCAGGGTGTTGCTGCCACTGACAAGGCTATTGGTGCCATCTACGAAGCCTGCAAGGCCAACGGCTACGCTCTGTTCATCACTGCTGACCATGGGTAAGTTTGCAAATCTTATACTTTTCCTACCATATTTAGCTGACCATTTTCCTTGCAGAAACGCCGAGGAGATGCTCAACGAAAAGGGCACCCCCAAGACCTCCCACACCACCAACAAGGTTCCCTTCGTCATGGCCAACGCCCCCGAGGGCTGGAGCCTCAAGAAGGAGGGCGGTGTTTTGGGAGACGTCGCTCCCACTGTTCTCGCTGCCATGGGCATTGAGCAGCCCGAGGAGATGACTGGAACAAGTCTTCTGGTCAAGGCATAAATGTCTAGTATATAATTTTCTCTTTTTGTTCTTCCATGTTTTAGATATGGTGGCTAGTTATGAATAAATGAACGGTTATGATGAAGCATGGATTGCAGGACTTTCGTGTCATAAATAGAGGTTCAATGCATGCCATTAACAAGTAGTAAATGTATATTTATATTTCAATCGCTGCAACAGTGTCTCTTTAAATAAAACGCACAGTTTAGAGTAATATCATGATTATCTTTCAGTTAGTCCACCAGACATCATGAATATCATACTGCTATAGCACGAACGACAGCCAGACGGTCTAGTAATTACCGTTGACATACCAATAACTCAAGGGTATATAAAAAAACTCCACAGAGTGCTTTTACCCTAAGACTTGCGTCCAACTCCTGAATGAATCAGTTCAGGAAAGTCCTATGGGGACACTCCTAGATCTATAGTCTTCCCTTATAGTTCTCCCCATGGTTCAATGACGTTTAAGAAATTTGTGATTGTATGGACAGCTCAGCTGCTCCTGTATAGAAACATCATAAGTTCATCAACTGTTTTCTCTCCGTGTGTACCCCGGCGCTATGAAAAAAGGATTGGAGTTAGGATTCAGTGTTTAAGCAGAAGCGGATGCGGCAGCCGCTTGTTGCTGGATCTGGCTTTGGAATTGGACAATCTGGATGATAGTTCTTAGCATACGCCTTTGGATTGGGTTGCGGTGATTTCTTCTTGTTGTTTCTTACCTCTGTGCGTTTCTTGTCGCTCTTTTCTTGTGCCTCTTCGATTTGCTTCTCAATTCGCTTGCTGCGAAGATCATCAGTTTAAGCTCATTTCAATATTGCGCTTCATGAGGGTGACAAAATAAGGGAAAGCATACATCTCCTTCTCAATGAACTCAAGACGACCGTTGACGGCCATGACGGCCTCCTTCTTATCTTGCTTCAACAGGACTGGTCCGATGAGCTTGTAGATATTTGAATCATCGTCCAAGGAGTCGAATTCAATCTGGACACCCTTGTTTTCCTGTTCCTGCGACTCGAGCTTCTGGCGAGCCTCAACAAAACCATCGAGTTCTGGAGAGAATCAGAGACACTGGTTAGTGCGATGATGCCATAACGATTGAGGGGCGCAAGCTGCATACCGGTCTGCAGCTTCTGGTATTCCTCCGAGAGAGCCTGCATCTGTTTCTGTGCTTCCGCCATGGCGTCTGTCTAGCTGGACAATGTATGCCACAAGCTGCGTTGAAACTGAGGTTGTAGGTTGGTTGGAAAAAAGGTGATGGGCCATCGGCGTTGGCGGGGACACAAATGCTGATAATCTGCGAGCGGCGGCAGAACCACGGTAAACAGAGCCAACTTGGCCGCCCGCTTTCCATTCTTCCTCTGTCTATCATACTCCAAAGAACCCAGAAAAGACTTCCTCGGCGTTCTCCCCGCTAATTCTCTGCATCGACTCATTCTATCTTACAATTCTTACTTTAGGCTGCACTTGTCCGTCGCATCATAGCCCAGACAGCGGCAAAGCGGGCACCTGTCGAAACCCTCCCCCGCCTTGTATCATCGCTCCTCGTTCTCCTCCTTGGCCGACCTCTACTACCGCCCCCTTGAATAACGAGCGAGAATAAACCGAATATATCCATCATGAGCAATACCGATTTCTTGGGACGGGCGATTGACACCGTCAAGAAGGCCATCGAGAACGACAATGAGGGAGAGTACGAGAAAGCTTATCAAGGCTACTACTCCGCACTGGAGTTGTTCATGCTCGCCTTGAAATGGGAGAAGAACCCCAAGTCCAAGGAAATGATCCGCGCAAAGGCGGGCGAATATATGGACCGTGCAGAAAAGCTCAAGAACCACCTGGCCCAGTCTGATCGAAAAAAACCGAGTGCTGTAGGCGCGAATGGCGGGAAGGTGGCGCAAGGAAGTGGGAAAGGCGGGTATGTGTTGATTCTTACGTATTATTGTATCTTGCAGTATCGCATGCTGACTGGCGCCTTGCGGTTTATAGAAAAGAGGATGATGACAATGAAGACGCCGATTCCAAGAAACTACGATCAGCCCTTGCTGGAGCAATCCTATCGGACAAACCCAACGTGAAATGGGAGGACGTTGCTGGTCTCGAGAGCGCAAAAGAATCTCTCAAGGAAGCCGTGATCCTTCCTATAAAATTCCCACACCTATTCACTGGCAAGCGGCAACCATGGAAGGGCATTTTGCTCTACGGCCCTCCAGGTACCGGAAAGTCGTATCTTGCCAAGGCCGTTGCGACAGAGGCGAACAGCACATTCTTTAGTGTCAGTAGCAGTGACCTAGTATCGAAATGGATGGGTGAGAGTGAAAGGTACCATTTGACTCCCCAAGATATATTGCCTATGTAACTAACGCTCTCGCAGACTCGTAAAACAGCTCTTCAACATGGCCCGAGAAAACAAGCCTGCAATTATTTTCATCGATGAAGTTGATGCCCTTTGTGGACCCCGTGGCGAAGGTGAATCGGAAGCATCTCGCCGCATCAAAACCGAACTGCTGGTACAGATGGACGGTGTAGGCAAGGACTCGAAGGGTGTTTTGATTCTGGGTGCAACCAACATTCCTTGGCAACTCGATGCAGCCATTCGACGCCGATTCCAACGGAGAGTCCATATTAGTCTTCCCGACATCAACGCACGGATGAGGATGTTCATGCTGGCCGTGGGCCAAACACCGTGCGAGATGGCGCAAGGTGATTTCCGGACTTTGGCAGAGATGAGTGAGGGCTACTCTGGAAGTGATATTAGCATTGCCGTGCAAGATGCACTCATGCAACCAATCCGCAAGATTCAAACGGCAACACACTACAAGAAGGTACGTCATCCCCAAACTAAATGTTGACACCCGCGAAATTGACTAACGTTTATGTAGGTTATCTTTGAAGGCGCAGAGAAACTCACCCCGTGCTCACCAGGTGACGCAGGCGCAACAGAGATGAGCTGGGTCAACGTTGAAGCAGATCAACTTCTTGAACCACCTCTTGTTCTCAAAGACTTCATCAAGGCCGTTCACAATTCCAGACCGACAGTCAGCCAGGAAGACCTCAAGAGAAACTCGGAGTGGACCCAGGAATTCGGCAGCGAAGGAGCTTGATGGATTCTTCTTCATTCTCTATAATTGGCACTTATCTTGTGACCTGCATAATTGCCTGCGTTGTTGGTGTTTGGAATTTCTTTTCTTGACTTCTTCTCTGTTGGATCGAAATGAACGAAGGGAATGTGCCATGCTCTCTATACCTAACTCTCATCTTGTGTTGTTTTTTCTTTTATTCTCCCCCATCTGACCCCATTCCCCCTTCCCATTCTTCACATTTATCCCTAAGAGTCCGGTGTTCAGAAGCGTTATGTTTGTTTGGCAAGGCGAGGCGTTGCAGTTGTCATTTATTATCCTTTTGTCTTCGCATCAAACCAACCCAGCCTAGTTCAAGTCTACTTTCTCGTGAGACTTGTTGAAATACTCCGCGAGGCGCATCTTTGTATCTAGGCATTTTGGAAAATAGGCCGGGCTAGACTTGGAAGCATTTTATGATTGATTTCAAGGCAAAAAGAAAACTGGACGACAGAATACCCCAGCAGAAACGATTCAATATTCATACAGAAAAAAGACCAGCGATTCTAGTATTTACTCTTCCGTACTGAGTGACTATCGACATCTCTCATTTGGCTATCCTAATCATCAAAGCAAAAACAACCTATCCCTGTCATAAAAAATGTATGCACAAATTTCCAAGATTCTCCGCAAACAAACAGCAAAAGCCACAAAATAATGATATAAAAACCCCGGGTTGATAGCATGATTCATCCGACTCAAAACGCCTTTCAGGAACGAAAACCAAAGATAGGTTGATATACAAAGCACACAGGGGAATCACTTCAATAAGGTCTGACAGAAAAGAACAATAGGCTTATAAGAGGAAAAATAGCAGGGGGGTGGGGGAGAAAAGAAATATAAAATGGAAAAAAGACAAAACGAAGGATAACAGTCAAATCACCCCAAAAACATCACCTGGACTCCATGACTTTCTTGCTCGAGCTTTCCCTCCTCCTCTGCACCTCGTTCTTCACACGTTTGAGGTTCTCACCCAATTTCTTGGTCTTCTTCCATTCTCGGCCCATTCTTTGCATCCGGACAGTTGCCATGACCATGGACACTGCAGATCTCAGCTTCTGTCGCGGAGTCCGCACTTGGCTACGATCACGAGATTTAACGCCCATCTCAGAGATCATTCTCAAGTCGGCTTCGTTACTGTATAGTCAAAGAAAGTCAGTAAATTATACTTGCATGTATAAAGGAAAAGAAAGAAAGGGGTTTCACGAACCAAGCCACGCGAACCCGTTCTCCAAGTTCCATTAGGCCTTTGCTCCAGGCAAGATCACGGCGGAACTTCTCCTCTCGCTTCAAACGTGCTCGAAGCCAGATGATTTCTTTGCCTAAGCCCAGAATCTCCTTGTCATGCCGGCCCTTGTCGTCCTTTCTGCTCGTAATCTTCTCCACCATCTGGTTGTAGCGATCTTGAAGAGCTTCCACTTCTTGGGCCGCTGACTCGGCCTTCCTCACACAAAACGCACGCTCCTCGCGAATCCTGCGCACCTGGGCTTTGAGTTCATTCAACCTAGCATCTCGCTCAGATAGTTTGAGTGCCATAGACTCTGCCTCCAAAGTAGATGATTTAAGCAACTCGTGGAGATCCTTTTGATCTTCCTCCCTCATTGCAGCCCGCTCAAGGTCACGGTTCTTCGTTTTCAATTCTTTGAGTGATTTGTGTGCGTCTGACAGTTGCTTTCGCAAGCTGCGCAGCTCTGCGTGAATTTTATCTGACGGCGACGATTGGGGCGAGTTGGTCTCGAATTTCTTCATCAAAGTATCGTGCAGCTCTCTCTCAAGGTCGGCAATGCGTGATTTGTGGCTACGAACAGATGACTTGTGTTCGGCCTCGCGCTGGAGCAAGGTCCTCTCTCTCTTCCGGACCTCGTCCAAGTTGTGGCGAAGAAGTGAGATGTCTGCATTCGCGGTAGAATGTTCGTTGTCTGCCAGTGGCTGTTGCTCGCGAAGCGCCTCCAATTCTTGCACACGCCTTTCGAGACGCTGCACCTTACTCTTTGCTAATGAGAGTTCTCGGCCCTTTCCATTCGAGGATGATTGCAGTTTGTCCTGAAGCTGGTCGATTTCGGCTGACAAACGATTTTCTTCTGCAGTTGCTCGCTCTATCTCTGAGCTGAGCTGCGTTTCGAGAGCTTCCTTGGCTTCCAAAAGCGAAGATTTGTCATCTCTGAGTCGCTTGAGCTCATTTTCCAGGCGTAAAGTAGATTTGCGGAGCTCAACTTTCTCTTGGTCGAAACGGGTTGTATCGTCGAATTGATTCTGGGCCTGATCAAGTTGGATTTGAAGCTCGTCACGTTCTGTCTCGATCTCAGTTGCAGAGGTCCGGAGATCATGCAATTCAACATGGGCATTGGCAAGTTGATCACGAAGCTTCTGCTTGTCGGCTATCAACCTCTGCAGCTGATTATCTTGATCGGACGTTCCTTTCTGCGATCGACCCTTGGCATACTCTTGTTCCTCTTCTAGGCTGGCTTGCAAAACAACGATTTCGTCCTCCAGAGCCTGCACCTTCTCCCTCAGTGCCGCCTCTTCGCGTCTGGTGACACGGAGTTCCTCCTTAACAGAGAGAAGTTCACTCCGCTGCTCGTCGATTATTTCCCTCTTTGATGTCAGGTCATCGTTCAATTCTTTGACTTGGCGGCCGAGGACGGCCTCCGAGTTAAAGTGTCGTGCTTTCTCACTGTCGATGACTTCCTGTAGCTTGAACTCTTTTCCTGAAAGTGTATGTTCCACTTGTTCAAGCTTCTCGATTGTACGTTTAAAGCCAGCAGCCTGGTCTTCTGCTCTCTCTTTCTGCATCTGGAGGCTTCGCTTAGCACTTTCCCACCTGTCTTCCTCGAGTGCAAATTGGCCCTCTTTATCCTCGATTTCGTGATGAAGAGACTCGATTTCTTCTTGAAGTCGCTCAAGTTCGTTCTGGTATTGTGTCCTGGTATCGTGTCCGACATCGAGAGCCCGCTGCTTCTCATCCTCTACACTCTGCTGAAGCTCTCTGATTCTGAATTGTGCCGTGGCCAAGTCGCGCTGCAGACTTCCAGATTCGTCAGTCAGAGCGTGATGCCGAGTCTGCAAAAGGTCTTTTTCTTCTGCCTTGCGTTGAATCTCATCAAGAGCTTCTTGTAACTGCGCGGACACCCGGTCATGTTCTTTCTGAGCTTGGTCGCGTTCACGCCTAGCTAGGTCGAGATCATTTTGCAACCGTCTCTCACCATCACCCATGTCCGATTGAGCCTTCCGGTATTGCTCCTCAAGATAAGCTTCGTTTCGTGCCTTTGTTTCAAGCTCTTCCTTCAAAGCATCATTCTCACGTTGTAGCTCTTGAACACTTTCGTCCAGTTTGCTCGCTCTTTCCTCCAGTTGACGCGTGAGGCCCTTCGTACTAAAAGATCTGTTCGACATTTCTTCATGTAGCTCCCTGAGGTTTTCTTCGGCTTGCTCTTTCTCCTGCACTGCCTGGTTTCCAATGCTTCTTGCCTCTCTGGCCTCAGATTTGGCCTGGTCCAGACTCTCATGTAACTCTTCCATCTGTTCTCTTGCGCGTTGAAGCTCCGCCTCGAGTTCGGATACCGCGTCGTTCTCTTTACCTTCCCTGTCCTTTATTTCTTCGATTTCCTCGTCGCGTTCCTCGATGGTGCGATCCTTTTCTCTCAGCGATGCTTCAAGGTCTTCAATTTCATCTCGTAGTTTTTCAACCTCCTGCGACTGTCGATCTTGTACATCCCGAAGCTCCTCGCGAAGGTCATTCACTTGGTTCTCCTTTGTTTGTATTTCTTCCCGCATCAATTCCATTTCGCGCAGTACCGTTTCGTCTGTATTCCTTCTTCGTGACTTCTCTCTAAGGTCTTGGAATTGTAATCGATAGGATTCAAGGTCGCGTTCTGCCTGTTGGAGGCTCTTTTTGTATCGGGAAATGTCTCGTTGCATCGTCAATTTCAAAACTTTCAGTTCGGTGTTTTCTTTGAGCGCTGCTTGGTTGTATGCTGGGCCGGCCTTTTCTATTTGCTCCTGTAGGTAGTGGATCTTTAACTTTAAGCCAAAGTTGTCTTTGTCCAGCTTGTCAATCATCTGTTCAAGTCAGCAAACATCTTCCATGCATTTTTATCTGGCTGCCTAAGTCAAATAAGCAGATGGGCTCAGATCCTTACATTTTCTTGCTCTTTCAAGGTCATGTTTTGTCCATCGCCTCCATCTCTCCCTGGCAGCAGTGGCAGCGGCGTGCCCTGTGGACTGCTACTCGCAACATTCGGAAGCGGGGTGGGTTGATCGTCTGTCGCGTCTTCTTCATCAATCCCAGTCATTTCCATAGGAGGCAATCCAGGAGTGTTGAGGTTGCTTCGATAGCTCGCTCTCAGGTAGGCCGGGGTTTTCGGGGCCCCACTTCCTCGCGCAGTAGACAAGTTTTTCAAATAGTTATTCTTTGTTGCGCTTTTCATTAACGGTGTAAACTCTCCCTTTGCAGGCGCTGCTGCTGGAAGGTGTCGTCGGTCGTCCAACGCGCTTCTTGTCGACTTGGGACCGGATCCGGCACGCGGCGTGCTGAGCTTGAAACCACCGGAACTGCGCCTTCGCCCATTACTGAGCGCTTTGAGTATATCTTCATCCTTCGATGGTGTCTGAAACGAGTTTTCGACGGAGTCAAGTGCTGACAGGTTGTTCCTTCCCACGCTGCGAAAGCCGTTGGTGAGGTAAGTCGCGTTTCCGTCGACTTCGGTGCGCGGAGTGTCGATGTACGGGAACGCCATTGTCGACGCGGAATAAACGAAAATATTACTGGAATTGATCTAGCGAAAATAAGATATCTTCAATGCACGTCCATCTCTGTTCTCACAATGTAATAAAAAGAGGAGAGTCGAGAACCAGGCGGATACAACAACCACGCAGAGAGCCAGCCATCCGCATATGGACGTGTTTTGGGCGGTGACAAAAAGCAGGCGTCGGGCTCGCTGGGCCATGTTGATATCTAACCGCAAACAGCCTAGCGCAACGGCGGGCCGGGAGATTCGCCGCGTCTCGTTCGGTATGAAGTCATGACTGTAATTTATTTCTTTTAATCGGACTTGGTTCTGATAAAGGGATAAACGCATTGAACTGCACAGCTTCAAACATGAATCCTATGTCAGAAGAAGATCTCGAGTGGTTCAAGTCCACATTCCGTCCCATCCCGAAACCCGAGCTTCCTGACGATAGTATCGAGTATTCGATATATTATATTCCCTCTGACCCCGCCCCCGCTATCGTGGATGAAGCCGCAGAAACACGGTCGCGATTAGCAGAGGTACAGCGGTCCGCAGCAGAATTGACAAAGGAGCATCTGAGGGATTATATCTGGCAACGGGAGGGATTTCGACTCGAAATAACCAAAGAAGATGGTGCGCAAACACCGATTCTATTCCATCGGTGTGAGAATGCGGTGTTGACTTGCTTGTCACTCTAGGAATCACTTCGTTGCGCGGGCGAACGAATTTTGGCGACTCGATTGAGGATGAATGGGTTGTTGTTTATCTCCTGCGAGAATTGACAAAGAAGCACAAGGATATTTGGGCCCAAGTTGTGGATGGCGATGGACAATTTCTTCTTGTTGAAGCAGCTGGCGCTCTGCCCGAATGGCTAGAACCTGAAGTAGCTGATAACAGAGTGCGTTGGCATTACTCTAATATCTGCACCAGCGCGCTTGCTAATATAACTGTGATACTACAATTAGGTCTGGATAAACCAAGGAGAACTTGTCATCATCAAGCCGAAGAACCAAACGAAGCGAAAAGTGACGGAAACCATTTCCCTTCCAGAATCAAGAAGTATCATAACAAAAGAGCCCAAGCAGCTTATGCGCTCTACGATGATCCAAGAGGAGGCATTTTACCGGTTGCGCAATTATCCCAAACAAATCAGCGAGAATCTTCACTCGGCGCTGGTGACAATTCCACGCAAGATAGCCTTTTTATTGCATCAAAAGCCCGGTTATATTTCACCGGCTGTGGAAGCATTCTATCTAAGAGATCCGATTGCGCTACGACCCCTTCGATCTAAAGACACCAAGGATTTCACCTTCAAACCCGAGGATCTCGTTACTGTGAGCGTTCGATTTACTAGGGTCGGTTACGCGCAGCTAAAGAGTCAAGACTTTCCAGTGCCGAAGTCATGGGAAGGATTGTTGCCCTCAAAAGAAAATAAAAAGGCATACGACCGTGCTGATACGGGGATGAAGCTCTCTTGTGGATTTGAAATGCTTATTTCCGATCCACAAAACCAAGATAAGCCTTCTGTTAGAGAAATAAAACTTGTGCTAGAGGACCTGGACACAGAAGACGAAAAACTCCCTACAGATGAGGAAATCAAGGGCTGGGGCCAACGCGAAGATGATGAGAAATGGCTAGACATAAGCTTCGAAGATCTAGACAGGGAACTAAAGGGCAAGGGTAAGGACAAAGAACAAGGACCTAAGGCCGAAGGTGCGTTTGGAGATGCAAATGCCCAGGAAAATCTCCAGCGTATCGTGGCCCGTTTTGAAGAATTCCTGAACGACAACTCAACCGGCTTCGAAGGAGCTGGCTTTATTGATGACTTTGGCTCCGACTCCGGTGACGGGGAAGACGATGAAATGAGCAGTGATGGAGAGGATAAGGAAGCCTCTTTCGATGAAGAAGAGTTTTCCAGGATGATGAAGGAAATGATGGGCATGCCTTCAATGCCCGGTCTTCCAGATAACTCTCGGACATCGTCGTCTCGCAACAGAGTGGAGGAGCTGGACAATGCGTCGGATGAAGATGATACAGAGCAAATTCAGCAGCTCTCAAAACAAATGGAAGCTGAACTGAGAGGCACAGGAGTCCTAAATTTGAATCGACCGAAACCATCTTCAGGAAAGGAAGTGACGGCCGGGGAAAAATCAAATGACGCTCAGGGCGCTGAAAATGCGGACGAGCAAGATGCTGAAGACGAGGATGCTAATATAAACCTTGCCAAAAATCTACTGGAAAGCCTTCAGGGGCAGGCAGGTACTGCAGGTCCAGCATCAAACCTGCTTTCTATGCTGAACCTGCCTATACCCAAGGATGACCGCAGTAAATAAAACAATGGACGATAGTTTCGGGGTAATGCCTTTCGCAAAAGGGGATGAGACTCTGGTCGATTATGACATGGCATACTACCAGCATAAAGACATAACTCTCACAACGATTAACAATGGTCTGGGCTTTTGCTGGAGTACCAGCTATATTGAAAGCACACTGTCACCATAGTGTATCAGCTTTCGGGAGATACTCTTGCAGGTGCACGAAGTCCCTGCTGTTTTATAAATAAGAGGGGAGAGAATTTGGACCCCGTGTCCTTAAATCGAGGTTCACGGGTACTACATAAGAGTCAAATCCGATAAGACAAAGACTAGATCATTCCTTTCATATTAAAGGAAGATACTGGGTTATGGTCCTTGAGTATACCGCAGCCGCTGTATATATATCCTAAGCCTAGTAGGTAAACAGTGACGGCCTTGGTCCTACGAGGACATTTTAAGGGGCAAAACCAGTCGACCATACGATCAAGAATGAAACATCTGCACTTGCTAATAGAATATCTCATTGGATCTCCCAAAGTTGAATGATGACGATTGCAATGTCAATGGCAAAATGTCATGGGTGGACCGATAAGCCTTCTTATCACGTGTGGCTATCTTATCGTGTTCCGGATCGCCTCCGCTTTTCCCCCTCTTTCTGCCTCTTTCCTCCAGCAACCGTTTCATCCCCCCTCAGACGGAAGTTCAGACAGTTTACTGCGTGCTGTCGATTCCGTTAGATTCTCCCTCAGACAAAGCTATCTCATACCTGCTCAGAATTTGCTTTCAAGTGGTGGCTCTCGTGCCCTTCAAGAGATCGCAACCTTCCGTGAATAAGGCTGCAGAGGTATATAAGTAGCAGTCATTGGCCATATCAACAGACAATCGCTGCGGGGTTGTCCAAGAATACAGCACCAGACTGGACATATCTCAGATACAGCATCATTTCGCCTGGTTGAGCAAAGCTATTCGAGTCTTTACTTCTTGCCCCGAGTCTTTCCGAGAAGATGGCAAGCCCGGCCCATTGCTACTATTGCTTCGAGTCTCTTTCTGCCTCCTTTGAAGGGTATGATCCTATAAAACTCAACGTTTTGGAGGATCTCTGGGAGCAGCATGAGCAGGTTAAGAAACTTGCTACCCTTCAGGACAAGAATGAGTCGGTTTCTCTGAGGGAGAACGACAATCTAAGCCAGCCAATCACGGAGGAAAATGACACCCAAAACAATGACGACGGTGCTGCGGGCCAGAGTGCGACTAAGAGAAATCGACCACCGGCCATCAAGATGCCCAGTATCAACCGTCTTCAAAGCGAACTTTCATCAGACTCTTCCAGTGCATCGACTACGCCGTCAACCAATTCTGTTTCATCTAGTTCCACAGCTATCACGACACCAGGTTCGCAATCTGATATGGCGGGTTCAAGGCGCCAGAAAGAAGAATACCGAGAACACCCGTTGTTTGTTACGTGGAATACAGTCTCGAAGCATGGGCACAAATCACTTCGTGGGTGCATTGGTACATTTGAGGCGCAGGAACTTGCTGCAGGTTTGAATTCCTACGCCATCACTTCGTATGTTTTACCCACGAGTGATGGACAGGTTACTCATTCCCCTTTCACCCCTCAAAACACTAACTTGCAAACAGCGCCTTCCATGACACCCGCTTTTCTCCGATTCCCAAATCCCTCTTACCTTCGCTTTCCTGCTCCTTGACCCTTCTAGGGTCTTTTGAACCTTGTACCAATGCAATGGATTGGATTCTCGGAACCCATGGAATTCGTATATCTTTCATACACCGCGGTAGACGCTACGGGGCCACATATCTCCCAGACGTCCCAGTGGAGCAAGGCTGGACCAAAGAGGAAACGGTGGAGAGTCTGATGCGCAAAGCAGGCTGGGACGGGGCGACTGGAGGCGTTGCGAGGAGACTACTTAGAGGAAGTAACAACAGTAGCAGCTCGAGCTCAGGCAAGCCCTGGGACCAAGTCTCGGACTTTCGAGCGGTCAAGTACCAAGGCCTCAAGGCTAGTGCTGATTACGCCGAATGGCAGGAATGGCGGAAATGGGTTCTGTCTCTGGAAGACGGAGAGGAAATGCTGTTTAACTCGGCTAGATGATTTAAAGATGACAGACAGCTTGTCAGAGACAGCTATACTTTGGTCTGGAGGGATAGAGGCCCCAGTCTCGACGGGATCTAGATATGACATGATGAGAGGCAAAGGCGTTTATGGAAATTTGAATTTATTCTCTACCAATATCAAGAATCTACTACCCCCCCCCACTAGTCACTACCGTCATTCCAAGGTATAAAGATGAAAGCCAGCCTCCAAACTAATGATGTTAACAATAAGTGGAATGTACAATCAGTATATTATTCTTTTTGCCAATGCACAGAAAAAAAGAAAAAGCGACACTGGCGTATCTAAAGCCCGAAACCCAAAAGAGTCATGATAGCATCATCATTCCAAGAAAGAAAAACAAGGCCAACCAACAAAGAAAAAGGAGATGCTTGTGGAATCCCATCATTTCTTGACGGATTTACTCCATAGCCCAGCCACCATTTCTTTCACTCTTCGTTCCTGAGCTCGGATCTGCTCCTCAGTCTGCCCACGAGCGTTGCTACGGCTGTCAATATCCATGTGTCCATCGTATCCGTGGTTTTTCTCCTCGATGACATCGTTTCCATTGACACGTTCCGGCTTCGGGTCGACACTCATCACACCATCCATCATTAGCCCGCCACCCTCGCGGAGTTTGTTGATTGCCCGGACAGTATCGATAGCTTTGTGTAGTGTTCGTCGGGCATTGAAGTTCTTCTTGACGGTCGGGAGTAGGTCTTGACCGTTTTCAGTGACAGGGTCGTATGGCGGGTTAACCCAGACATGCTGAAGTGCCTCGTGGGCTGTCATTCGCTTCGAGGGTTCGATAGTCAAGCAACGATTGATGAAATCCCGAGCTGATTGTGAGACACCACGCCAGTACTCAAGAGGTGTAAAGGAATAGTCAGCTGCAAGGATGGCCTGCATCTCTTCCAGGTTGGAGTCGCGATCAAAGGGTGTGTAACCGCATAGCAAAAAGTAAGTGATGACGCCGATGGCCCAGATATCTCTGAAGAGGGGTTAGCGGAGGGTCTATTTCTATAGTTTTTTTAGTTTAGGATGGACATACACTGGTTTTCCATGGCCACTTTTCTTGAAAATCTCAGGTGCCATATATCCCGGCGTACCACATGTCGTTGTGAGAACGTGAAATTGTTCCTCATCCATAATTCTCGACAAGCCAAAGTCCGCAATCAACAAATCCGCATTGTCCTCTGGGGTACGGAACAACAGGTTCTCGGGTTTTAGATCGCGGTGTACGATTCCGTGATCATGGAGATAGGCGACCGCAGATAGAACGGCACGAATGAGGTCCGCAGCATCGGACTCGTAGTAGCTACCTTTACGGCAAATGCGATCAAACAGCTCTCCACCAAGAGCGAGATCAGTAACCAAGTAAACTGGAAACCGGAAGGAATCCAATCGTCAGCGCCTGCATACCCAACACCAACATGTGAACACATACGGTTATTCATAGTCTCAAAGTAATCGACCAAAGTCAGGATGTTTTGGTGTCCCATCGACACTCTCTTGAGCACCGCAATCTCATTTCGAACCTATACAGCTCCCCGAAAAGCCTTATCATCAGCCTTCCACCGCTAACCAAGGATAGTAGACAGTCCGGTCTCATAATTACCATGTGTTCACGCCCTGCCATCAATCGTTTATTGATGACCTTTGCGGCATAGTACCGGCCTGTATCGATGTGCACACATTCCTTGACGACAGAGTAGGAGCCAGCTCCCAGTGTCTTTCCTGTCTTGTAACGGCAAGGTTGAACCTTGGGTCGCTGGTTCGTCGGAGTTTGCGAAGCCATTTGCGGGGAATGACAAGCGACGTGTATACTCAAGGGAGAGTTATAGAGCGTTCAAAGAAGACGAGGGAATGCAAGCTGTGATGACGGTGATACGTGCGGGATCGGAAGAGAAAAAGAGGAAAGAAAGAGAGAGAATATCTGATAGGGATCTGCAAGTATGACCATTCAGTCAGAAAGAGTAATAGCAATAGTGTGTTGATCACGGGTGAACTAACCGATGATGTTTCCCCGGGATGTATTATGATTTGCCCTCGAAGAGACTGTACCTTCACGATCGGACGAAGCTGGAGTCTAGATGAAAAGGCAATGTGAATTTTGCTTTCCTCTGATGCCTCTTATCGCAATCGGTGGGATCCCTCGCGCTGTGGATTGCGGGGCTGTGGGAGAGGGAGGTGGATTAGCGCCGAGTCCCCAAGCCGTTGCACTGCAGGTGGTCTTGTGCAGATCTCGACGAGGTTGAGGCACGTATTCGAGTGAATAATTGAAGCCAGGTGGTCTTGAGAGGATAGGGCACTGGGTATCTGGACGTGAGGTTGATTGCTGGACGTCGAGTCTGGCGAGTGTCTGTCGTTCCAGACTCGCTGACCCCGTCGTCCCTCGGTTTTCGCGGTGCCCGGTGAGTGGATCGGTGATCGACTACGATGGAGGACCCCTTGCTTAATATTGGTGTCGTTTTCTATAGTGGACGTGAGAGCAGCATTATGATCGTGACTATGCAGAATTGAATGAATTATGCTATTGTGGTATTCAACAAGTTTCCCAACCGCCTTAAGAACGCCTGGTTTCAGTGTTTGCCTTTTCCCTTATACACGCCGCAAAGACACCATGATATAGCCTTTGCCAACTCCCAAATATCACCAAATAACAACAACAGGAATATAAAAATAGCCATTACATGTGACCAAGCACTCCTTCAACAACGCCCTCCAGTAGTTTGAGACCGTGGAACTTGGCCACGCTTTCCAGGACACGCAGCTTCTTTTCCACGTCCCGCTTGTCCATGGTTTCAACCCACACACCACTGCACGAGCAGTGTTCCATAAAATCACTGATCTTGAGTCCGCCACACTTGGAACACTTCAGATCCTGAGTCTGCCACCCGGCAATCATGCCGTGCACCTGACCGATGAGAACCTCTTCCTGAGCCAAGCGATCATACTCGCTCTGGCAGAAAGGACAGCGCCAGGGCTTGGCTGATGCTTTGCTTGGATCCGATCCTGGGTCTGGGAGAACATCTTCATCCCTGCAAAGATCCAAGTCTCGGATTAGACAGCAAGCGTTACATGTCAGTTCTGGAAGCTTCAGACTTGCGCTGGGGTTTTCAAATCGACCTTCTTTGCTGAATTCGCGGACTTCGAACAGTGCCAGCAATTCCCGACGGAGAAGTCGGGACTCCAAAGTCGTCATCTTGGATAGACTCAAGACTTGCATGAGGAGCTTGACAAGCTCCAGCACGGGGTTACGTTTGTCATTCTTGGGATCAACCAGGACTCCGGGTAGGACTGGGAAAGCGTAGTCGGACGCTAGTTCCGGGTGCAACATTTCGTCACGCTGACGGCGGATGAGCCCAGAAATTTGCTTCTTCAGTGGCTTCGAGAAGCGTTCTGTTAATACGGACGTGATTTCATCGCTCTCCGCATCACTGGGGCGTCCGATAGGAATCTGTGTCAACCGAGGAGTCGACGAAAGCTCACCATCGGGGTGCTTGAGACCGTGCATCAGTTCGACATATTCAACCACCCAGTCGTGGAAGACGGTCTGCATGGGCACTGGCAGAAAACGGCCGAGTTGCCAATGCATGACGGTTTCCAGCTCCTGATCATCCGATTCAACGACTTCCCGGCACCCTTTGCCTCCGTAGTTGTACTCGTCATACCACACCAAGTAATCCCAGTACTCCTTGATCTCAAGATCAATGAAGTGGAATGATGCGTTGGCCCGAATCGACTTCAACACATATTGACTGTAGGCGTATGCGTTTCCTACCTCAGTCTTGCTTGTTTGAAGAAGGAGGCGGGTGGAGCTTGCAAAGATGATATTCGATCCGACACGCCTGAATTCTGCCATCAGTCGCTGGAAGGATTTCCTCGACAACATCCGCACGTAGTGGTGTAAAGATCGATCATAAAGACATGAAGATGGACTTTCGACCCATCGGATTAGATGCTGTACCATGATATCGGCCATGTTGTTTCCTTCGCAGGCTTCTGTCCACCAGTGCTTCACCATCTCCCGCAGGACAATGGCACCAGCAGAGGCAAACGCTTTCTCTGAGTAAAGAACGCCCGAGCCTCCAGCTTCTACTGAAGGTTCTGACGGTGCCAAAAGCGTATCGGCACCCTCCATTTCATTGATAATGGACGATGTCAGAATGGTGTTGATGGCAAGATTACGAACCTCCAGTTCAATACACACAGTGGTATAAGCGTTCGGTGCATTGACTGACGGCATGCCCACCTTCTCCAAAGGACCTGTAATGTCATCTTTCTCATACCCTGCGTGATCGGGCCGTGGGCCAGAAGACCACCAAAGGACAACGTTACTCTGCTGGAGTCGTCGTGCGTATGATATGTCAATGAGGTATCGTGGGTCATCACTCTCCAAGTTGCAGAGAGGGACATCGCCATATCTTGCTAACAGCATCATATGCTGAATCCAAGATGCGAGATACAAGTAGTGTGTAACAATCCGCTTCGCGATGAAGGACTGCCAGCCGAGAGGTGGAAGATCCATATCGGACACTTCGGGTTTGACTGGCAGAATTGGGTACTCGTTCAATACCGGAATATCATGGCACAGTCGGTGTCTTTGCTGAGACTGTATCACCAGCATGGCAGGCTGGTTTTCTTCGCTTCTTAGTTTCTTGATCAAGTCACCAACCTCCAAATGAGCTTTCCTTCTAGTCATCACCTGGGTGGTTTTGAAATGAATTTTGTCCTGATACTCAAACGCAGTTTGTGACTGGTCCCCTGCCATGGCTTGCATCCTGCGGCCAAGGAGTTCCAAATAGATCTTGTCAACATTAGGTAGTCCCTGGACATCTCTTGTACGGTTCAGAATGACAATGTGTGCTTCGCTCTTCGCAGTCGAGAAAATCGCAAATATTTGTCTGTCTCCAGAAACAACATGGTACAGATAATGGTAGACCAGCCCCGAGTTTGTCAAATAGGGCTGCTCAGATGTCGTGCGGTGTAGTACAGATAGATCGAACCCTTTATCCAAACCCTCACCAAGAACTCCTCGCTGCCCTTCGTCAAAAGTACATATACTGCCCAGTTTCATGACAGCCCGTACACTCAATGGTATACTCTTTTCATAGACACCCTCAATACTAGGGTGTTGCAGGAGAGTATCGATCTTTTCTGCTTCCTGCAAGAAGGTATCCTCAGACAGAGACAATTGGAATAGGTGGACTGAAGGATGTCCGTTTGGCAGTGTGTGGTTGACCTTTTCGACTTCGCAGTCTGGAACGTCGACATCGGGCAGCGAGTCTTGCTTCAAGTTAATAAAGAACTGCCTTGGGACCTTGACTGTAAGAGCATGAATCTTTTGGTCGATCAAAACAAAGGCTCGCACGATTCCGGGTCTGCTGGTCTCACAAAGCTGTATAACTTGCCAGGTATTGATGTACAGAAGTTCGGCTTGGTTTCTGAAGAAATTACTCAGGGAGTCAGTAGTGACGTTGGTCCTCTCTCCGAAAAGTTGTCGCCGGCGGACACGAGCCTGTTTCTGGATCTTCCACTTTTGCTTCTGGTACTTCAAAAATCCTTCATAATCTTCGGTCATTGATGGCATTTTGGCGGGTAGACTCGCAAAAGGATCAAGCGAGGTTTTGGGGAGGCCTTCGGGGAGTTTTCTCTTCTGTGAAGTCTTGTTATTAGGCGATGATATCAGTTTCTGTGTTGATCCTGCGATCGCCTCGTCCATATCACCAGCATGTTGCACACGATGCTCGAGAATGTTTGTTGATAGATCAGACAACGGATTCTTCTCCGACTTGCCAAAGAGATCTGTCATCTTCTTTTGTTTGAACTTATCATCCTTGGTGTTGATCCGTCGCTGCAACCAGTCTGGATGGGCCACTCTGGGGCACGGATTGCGGATCTTCTGAAGAGCAGCCGGGATTGTAATCAGCTTCTGTACAACGGATCCCAATCGCTCGAGGTAGTAGTCCCAATCGATCACAGTTCGAGGGTCCATGTCACCGGGATCTTCTTTCAGCCACTTCCGCAAGAAGTACCGTTTAACATTCTCCTCGGCGGAGAAGATAGTCACTGGAATGGCTCTCTCGGTGACAGGTGTGTTCCTTGGCCTTGAAGATATAATGTATTTACAGTTGAGACCCTTGTCCTTGACCATTTGCTCGCCCAAGAATTCTGCCAATCGTCTGGCGGTTGTGATTGAAGTTGATTTCTGATTTCCATATTCCTCAAGAGTCTTTGTCATACTCCTGTTCTCGGAAATCAAGTCGATTAGCTCCTCATCAGCCAGAGTCGATCCATGCTCGTAAAGTACGTCCAGCCATCTGTCAGCCACACGGGCCACGGCGGCATACGTTTCTTCGAGAGTCGTGCCTTCCAAGAAGAATCGGAAGATTTGAGTCTGGAAAATCTTGATCAATTTCAACTCTCCTCTTCGCTTGACTTCGAATCCTTTCAGTTCAGCCAGAGAGCCATCATGGTTAAAGACGGCATAACGCTTCTTCAAGTTCTTGTCTTCCTCCTTAGAAGTGGGCAAGATCATTGCCCTGTAAGGTCCATCGACTTCGAAGAAAATGGAGTTCTCGCTATACACATTGTACTTGAATCTTTCCGGGTCGACAAGGGTCTGGTATTGGTGGTTTGTGTACTTTCCGTGAACAAGATGGTTCAGCATAACACAAGGGTATGAAATCCCAAGCTTCTTGCCATTTTTCAACGTAAATGAAAAGTTTTCAGGGAAACTCCCAGGAAGCATACACCAGATACCGTCGGTATCGAGTTCCAGGGGGCGACCAATGCGGTCGACGAGCTCTCTCGCCATTTGAATGATGTGTGCACCTGTAAGACATGTAACTCCCGCCATCTCCATGGAGTACCATCGAGATCCCTTTCTCATAACGTAACCGTAGAAACTGTTCAGAATGACCTTATGGGCAAGTTGAAGAGAGTCATAAAGGACGATCATTTTCTTCGCTTCGTCAACCTCTCCTGCAGGAGCACCTGATGACTTGAGGGAGTCGGTCTTGTTTTTCCAGACTTTCTGCTTTCCCTTGAAATCATATCGTCGATCTCGGAAATCTCGCACGGTATCGACATAGAATGGATTCTCTCGCTGACAGATAATGGCTTCCCGCTCCATTGTCTTGCTGTCGTGAATTTTGTGGTAGATCTTCTTACTGTAATCTTGAAGTCTTTTCTTGACAATAGAGGCTTGTTCCTCGATACTCATATCAGCGAATGCCCTCATCGGGCTGAGCTTCGTCTTTCCAGGAAAACGTTCATTTGCAACTGCTTGCCGAATCATATTGTATTCGTCACGCTTGGCAGGAAGGAATTCACCTCGCCATGCCCATGGCATTCGTCTGTCGCATGTTTTCCCGGGTCGGTTGAAATCACAGGAGGCGCAGTTCGACTCTTGAATCATTGAGTCCGGCTGCAATCGATTCGTAATCATGATGTTCGGATACATGGATGCGACGTCCAAATGGTAGATAAAAGGCACCTCGTCCCTGTGGGGTCTCTCCTTTAGGTCGAGTAAGTTCTTTGCGATCTGGCCCTTTACTTCATCGTAGTTAACGACATCGTCCATTGACTTCTTTTCTTCAACCTCGATACTGAATTTCAAAGCTGCATCAAGATCTCTCACAAGCTCGTCGATGGCAGTAGGATCGACATTGAAAGTAACGGGGATATCACTGCGGAATACACCAGCTTCTATACTCTCGACGTGACCACCAACATAAGTCTCCGATTCAAGCAGGTGACCCTCATAGAAGGCTTCTGTAGGATCTTTGTGTTTGTTCGGCAGGATGATCTCTCCTTTGTATGCTTGCACCATCAGAAGCATCTCACAGAGTGTTCCGGTTCCTTTCCGCAGTGTGTCATCGGGATTAATAGGGAGAATCGTGCATAGCGAGAAGATGAAAGGGTGTACATATTTCATATACAAGTAATATGTGGCGACAGCATCTGAAACGGAGTATTCAGCGAGAGTCTGTGGGCGTTCACTTGCATACGGTGTCATGAGTTCGGGGTCGAGTTCGTCGGGGTCGTAGCCAAGTTTTGCGACTGTAACAGCTTTTAAACCACGACTTCCTTGGGGAAGGTAACTGTCACGGTTGACCCAAGCGAAACAATCCATATGTACGCAGTTGTCACTTTGGTAAATGTCTTCGCTGTTCTTTCGAAACCCAATTTCGGTGTACATGTCGATTCCCAGGACACTTGCTCTGGCCTCAACGAAAGGCCAATCGAAAAAGTCACCGTTATATGTGGCAATGACCGTTGGTTTGGCCTCTTTGATGTGCTCGAAAAACCGCTCCAAAACACCTCTTTCATTAGGCTCGTTGAAAATCATAAACGGTCCACTGTACTCAGGCTTTGGTGTATACTCGAAATCGCTGATATCTTCGGAGACTATCTCACGATTTGTGATCAAGAAACCTTGGCCATCAATCATATACGAAATCATCATAATCTGGTCAATGACAGAATCCGGAAACTTGAGCGGTAGTTTTGTCGTTTCAATATCGAACGCAAGTACAACAGGATCGGCACGCTGCAGTCGTTCCTCTATGCAAGACAATGAAATGACGCCGTGCTTTGCGTCTACAGTGTACCATTTCCCTATACGGATATCTTCATGACTTGTAAGCTTATAGTCTCACCAAACGACCAGGGTAGCAAACCTTTGTCAATTGACACTCTGACATGGTAAGGGACATCATATTCTCGAATATCAATAATAAAATCGCTTGCATTCATATTGCCGTTAGATCGTGGCTCATTAATTAATTCGTCATCAAAGAGATCAAATCCAGCGTTCATGCTTCATGTCACGATTAGTACACCGCTTCCAACGATATAACGATAGGATCGACAAACCTGGACATCTCAGCGTAAGTATCCATCACATTGACGGTTTTTTTATTCTTTTCCGCGAGTGGCAGCAGGGTCCTCCGAACTTCCAGCAAATGGCTCACGTTGGCAAAGTTCAGTTGCAGAAATGTCCTCCGAAGCCCAAGCAAATGGTTTGGCAAATTGAGGTCCTCCCTCTCGACTCTTTTGACTTTCTTCACAAGTCCTTCGAACATCCTTCTGCACCATTCCTCGACTTCTTGTTCGCGGCCTTTCTTCACGGCGATGAGAAAGTACGGATCATATTCAACGGTTGCTTTGAAACTTCCACCCCCATCCTCAAGGAAATAAAAATCCACACCAGCACGGCCTCCGGGGACGTTTGGATCTTCTATCGAGGTGCTATGCATGTTGATGAGCCAGCCGACTCTCTTTTCACCAGACTCAAACCGCGGGAAGCCCAGGTTCTCGTCGATGCTGTTGGCCAGCCGAATCGCCTCGAATTTCTCATCTTGGGAGGTTGCTTCTGTCGACCGGAGAGAGGAGAATTCGACAGTCTTTGTCCGTTTCGGGTTCGAGGATGCGGCGCCTGATCGAAATTTGTTTCCGTACTTGCTAGGTTTTCTTGAAGGCATTGCGCCGCGCACGCCCACCGGGGGGGACTATGTAGTCACTCTATAGAGTAGGACGAGAGACTCTTTTGAGCATGAAACGCGCAACTATATTAGTATTAAGAAAAGCTGAGCATAACTGCTGCTGAAACGAGACTTGAATCAATTGGGTATATGGCAGAGTCGCGAGTGATATAATAAGGTGATTTTGATCAACCAATTATCCAGACTCAAAAAGGCATCCAATTTTGGCTTACGCCTTTCAGCGGGTGAGCCCGACGCGTCGCGTTTTCTACTTTACGCGTGCCCTTGGGTCGCGGCCGGAAAAACTGGTCGTTTTGAGCGAATCTGGCGATTTCCGGATTATATATTCACCCGACCCGGCTATTGTTCGCTGCCAGAGTCTGTCCGAGAGCTATCTAGTAGTCCCGGTGGTTTTGATGTTTGGAAGTTCAACGACCATCTGATATCGATAAAAATGGCAGAAGACACACGGGAGGCAATTGCCTCGAGCCCTGAGGCAAGTGGAAACGAACAAACGACCCCCCAAGACTCCTCGTCACAGCCCAAGAAACCAAAACACGAATTGCCCAAGTCACAAGTCGGAAAGCTATGGGATGCATTTGGAGGCCCCGAAGAGCGCGCAAATGCGCTGCCGACATATAATAGGACAGCCAAGAATTCGAACGAACCCTCGGTCACCGAAGCTATGAAGTCTATATCCTTGAAAGATGCCACATCGTTCTACAAGGCGCCTTGCGCGCGGGACTCTTTACTGTTGGGAATTGGTGCGGGATTCGGTATCGGTGGTGTGCGGGGTGTGTTGGGAGGTAAAGCAATTCATCAGTTCGGCCCCATGTGGAAGTAGAATTTGGTGGCTGACGTTTTCATATAGGTCTGCGTTCGATGTGGACGGCCTGTAACTGGGCGGTTGGTGCATTTGCTCTTACTTCTCTGGCAGCCCACGAATTCTGTCAACGGCGCCGGATACAAGAGCTGGACGGGATGAAGCAAGCGGTCGAATTGATGCAACAGCTGAAGGTTAAGAAACAACAGGAGAAGGAGAAGAAGATCGAAGAGGCTGCCCGTGCGGCCGAGGAAGAAAAGAAACAGAAGAGCTGGTCCAATCCATCAAACTATAAGTTTTGGTAGACCCTCTGCTTATCGTCCGGAGTCACGGAGTTTGTTGGATACTCATTGTATAGTGTAGATGGGTTGTAAAATAAATATATCCTCTAATTGGGTTGATTTCAACCTTATTCAAATTGTGATAATGTCTTGATCACATGCCAGTATTGATCATGTCAAGCTGAAATGTCGCTTCCCAAACGCCACTGAAGAATTCCAAAACGCCCCGTATACCAATGCCTAGGAGAGATAAAGTGCACCATTTAGACCTCAAGATTCGAATTTGACCCTCTTTTGGATAGCACCATTTTGTATAGTGCGCATTTTGTCCGTTTCATGGCCATCGCGCCTCTCTCTTCGCCTTTCTCGAGCATCCCGTGCCTCGCGACTCTTCCAATCGGCAACCTGCCGTTGTCTTCTCTGCGACCTAGCCCAGGCCATTGCTGCTGTTGGTTTAAACCCAACTCCATTGATACCATAGCCATCGTCGGTCGGGTCGGTTGGGTTGTGCCCAGTAATCTCGGAATCATGCCATGTAAGCGGATTTTCGGTTGCACTCGCAGCAAGGGGCGGGGATGACCTCCGTTGATTGCGCGCCTTTGATGTAGCTATTGGATTTCGTTTCCTGCGGGGGCTTGAGACTGATTGTTTCTTCGGAGACGGTGTAGGCGTGGTTTGGGGTTTGTTCTCCGGTTGAGTTTTTGCGGAAGAGTCATGCGTCCCACTCTGATTGGGATCGCTTTCTGCAACAGATAACGGTCCAGACATATTATGAAAGCCGCTATATGGACCAAGCCAGCATTTTGTTTGTCCTGGTTCCTGCGAATGGCCACTTGGGCTCTCGTAATTGGAGAAATGATCTCCGCGGATAGCGAGTTCTCCCAAGCGGCGAGCGACGGCGCTTCGGGGGCTATATCGCCCTAAGTCCTCCTGTTCCCGAAGCCGTGCTTCTTGAAAACTCGTGATTGAAACGGCAGAAGGCGACGACGGGGCATCTGAAAGGCTATAGCAGTCTGGTTCCGAACTCGCTCGTCTTCGCCCAGACGAACTGTATGGCATTATGGCCGGGAGACTGGCTGGAATCATCGCAGGGCTGAGAACGGATGTGGGGGTGTTCACGACTGATAAGCGGCCTGGGAGATCAATCGAGGAGAAGGGGATAAGGTTGTAGGTAGTAGTAGCTTTCAGAAGATAGACCTCGATGAACGTTCTGCTCTCGAGCAAATGTCAACGGCAGCCATTATTATAACTGAGATGCTTCTGCTGAGGGCACGGGGCAACCGGATCGTCACCAAGCCTGGGGGGAAGGGAGAGAGGCAGTGGAGGGGGCCATTGGGCGAAGTTCGGGAGTTTGTCTGGCTTAGTCGCCCTTACTCCTCCTTCCCCTCCGATAGTGAGAAATGCAATACATTTCTTGTCCGGGGCAAGTCGGGGTGACACTAAAAGCTGTGGTGTTTGATGTTTATTCGTGTGGCATTTCTGTCCGGTCGCAAGTTTAAAATGGATACTTGGTTGAGGTGAAGCTGAAATGATGTCTTGATGAGGCATTTCTACTACCTCATTGCACTTTCATCAGACATTCTGTATATTTTAAATATATTCTAATGGCATTTCATCAATATTGGCTTCTAAAATACTAGTATACAGACTGTCCATGTAGACTCAGGTGTATCACAAAAGAAAGTCACCTATATCGTGACTATTAAGTGCTGCCTTGGTCTAAGCTGAGGGGGACAGTGTCAAACACCTAAATTTGGACAGCCATTCCTTTCCATAATCATTCTCTCAGATAATTTTATAACTGGCATCCTCTGCTCCACCTCATTCATATATAGCCATCAATTCACATCAATACTAGATAGTCTTTGCATTGATCTGGAGGGTCCGCATATAGAAGACCCATTGGATACAGTATCGTTTCAACATTTGGACCTCACATTTAACCTCTCAGAGACTCGAAAGCACTAATTGCTATACTTAGAATACAGCAGAAAATCTATTTTAAGATCAATCGCAAATCACAATGCAAAGAAATGTTTCCTGCTTAATCTTGTCGTCTACCTAGTTACCCAACCTCCAATGTATTTCTTTCTCTGCTGCCTTCTTTGTCTTGATATTTGGCACCGAGGACGTTGGTGGCATGATATAGCCGACTTCCTCTAGTACTGATCGTGGCGACAAGTATGAGCCATCCACCATCACTGTCTTCTCTAATCTATCCCATTCAGGTGAGACTTCCATGAATATGGAGACTACCTCCAATCAAAGAGCTGGCAACTCTCTAGTCAAGATACCCACCCACCAGGAAGCCCTAAGCTGCATTTGATCAGTCCTCTATTATCTATTCCATCGAGGCTAGCCAGCATGCCATGTTTTTATGAAAGATTAATATATTAATAGAAGGCAGCCCTGTAATACCTGCAGTCTAGTTCTCAGCACATCTGTTTTAAATCCCATATAGAAATTGATGACAAGATAAGCAAAAGATATTCCTACTGAACTAGAAACAAATTTTAGCACGACAGAGGCCTAAATCGAATAATTTACAAATACCCAGCCCATCAAGTCGTGAAGGAGATAAAACAGAAATGAAACGGCAAAAGAAAAAGATGGCAAACATAAATCAACCTTACAACGCCGCGACGATGACGCCCACCTGTCCCAAGAGTTGGTGCGATTAGACCTTCTTCTTCTTCTTGGACGGCTCAGCATCGCTGTCGTGCTTTCGCTTCTTCTTCTCGGATTCGCCATCGACATCCGACTTTCTCTTCTTCTTCTTCTCTTCCTTCTCACCCTTGTCCTTCTTCTCCTTCTTTTCTTTCTTCTCCTTCTTGTCCTTCTTTTCCTTCTTCTCTTCCTTCTTGGGGGTCTCGGCCTTGGCATCCTTCATCTCATCGTCGCTTTGGTCATCATCAATGTCCATGTCGGCCAGGACAGCATCCATGGCGTTTTTCTGTATTGGTTAGCGATTATTTGGAAAAAATGAAGAAGACCATTATGACTGAATACATACCATTGCGAGCTCGTTCTTCATGGGTGCGGCGCCAGTAGCGTAGAACTCCAGGCGCTCTTCGACCTGGTTCTTAAGGACCTCTCCGAATTTTGTCGATGGCTCCTCGGAGAAGTTATCGATTCTGGAGGCGATAGAGCACTTGTTCGCAAGGAAACGAGAGATTCTGCCCTTGTTCTTGGGACCGGCTCTGCCAATGAAAGAAGAGTGGTACAGAAGTCCGTACTTCGGTGTGTTTCCCTTGGTCTTCAGGGCTCTGAAAAGGGCCTTCTCCGCACCGAGAATTTGGACGGTCGATGCGGGGTACTTGGACAGGTTGGTCAAGCTACCAGCGTGGGAGATCAAGCGGGCACCGACGATCTCTCCAATCAGCGCAGCAAGGTTAGGTGCGACAACGCTCATCTTGGAGACCAGGTAAGTGTGCAAAGACTTGCGGTACTTAGAAAGGCTAACGACTCGGTGCGCAAAGGAGATCACGTTCTCCATGTCAGACTCGGAGATTTCCTGACCCATACTGTGCTTGGCAGCGTCAATGATGCTCTGAGCAACTCCCTCATCGTCTTCCACAAGGGCAGCAATGTCGTGCAGGTTCTCGTCAGTCAAGTTCTTCTTGTCCTTCACGAAAAGGGCAAGCTGAGCGTAGCGTTGGTTGTCGGAAACAATCTTGACGAGTTCAGGGAAGTGCCACGAGTACCATTCTCTGACTCTCATGGAGAATGTGTTGATAGCCTTGTCGAGCTGGTCGAGGATAGCAATGGCCTGAATGATGTGGTTGTCATCGCGCTGCACGGAGAACTTAACCTTGGCACGCGAATAGGCGTGACCAAGACCAAGCTGCGCGGTATCAATATCGCCCTCACGGAGTTGCTTCAAGAGCTTGCCAACGTGTAATCTAAGTCCACGGAGCATATCCTGAACGATTTCACTGGTGTCTCCGGTTTCGCAGTCAACGAAATCAAAGGCCGACTTGATACTTCCGGCAAGAGCCTTGTCAGCAACTCCCACCACGACCTTCTTCTTCTTGCTGGGCTTAGGAAGATTCAACTCGAGGAATGAGATCAGAGTTTCAGAAGCAACACCTTCCGAGACGTCGTTGATTTCGCTAAGGGCCTGCTTGTTGTTTCTAAAATTTTTGTCAGCGATCTTGAAGGTCCGGAAAAAAATTAAGAAAAAATTATAAAAAATCCAAAAACGTACTCGAAAGGCACAAAACTGCTAAGTTCGACCATCTTGCCAAACTTGGCAAGGTCATTAACACCCTCCTGAACCTCCTTGAGGCGATTGCCAACGCTGTCGGCCTGGTGGGTGACCTTGAAAAGAGAGTAACCCATAGGGCTCTCATGGAGGAGAAAGTCGGCCATGGCGAATTGGGATTGAGGCCAGAAGATCAATCAAAAAATATGATCCTTAAATGCCTGCGACTGAGCCCGCTGCCCAAACTTCCTATTTCTGTAATTATAGGAAGTGCTGTGCGCAAACGCGGAGTTGAAAAAGGCTGGAAAACGGAGATTTGCAAAGTCGAGACGTCGGAGCTCTTTTTTTTTGCGGCGCTAGTGCGAACATTGAATGTGGGCTTTTTGCCAAAACTAGAGCTCACCGCATTCGACGGGAAACACCACCAGGTTCGTGCCAGTGCGGGCATCTTTTTTGGGTCGATATCGCCAGCAAGCTTAATTTTCTACGAGTAGTTTCTCGTGGATCTTGTTGTCTATCGTTAATTCATTCCGCAGAAATGTCTGCAACTCAGTTGCTCAACCCGAAGGCAGAGTCGAGGGTATGGACATGAGCCACCCCCCAATGAGAGCCCCTCAGTGACCGGACACACACTGACAATATACAGCGGAGAGGAGAGGCTCTGAAAGTGAACATTGCCGCTGGAGAAGGTCTTCAGGATGTGCTCAAGTCTAATTTGGGTCCCTCGGGGACTCTGAAGATGTATGTTTTCCACTCCCATGATTCATGCATTCGACGTAAAACTGACAAAACTTAGGTTGGTGGATGGTTCAGGCGGAGTATGAATTATCTCCTTATGAAAAAGCGGAATTCCGATTTCTAACGAGGATATAAAACAGATCAAGTTGACTAAGGATGGAAATGTATTGCTGCGGGAAATGGTAGGTGGTCTATTATCTGAGATATCTTGAGCGACTGCTAACTTTCACAGCAAATCCAAAACCCGACAGCCGTAAGCTATCCTAATTCCTCCTATCGAAACCGTCCGTTCTTACTGACATGCCCAAGGTCATGATTGCCCGAGCCGCGACCGCACAAGATGATATCACCGGTGATGGAACAACATCAGTCGTTCTGTCGGTCGGAGAGCTCCTGAAGCAGGCTGATCGACACATCTCCGAGGGTCTGCACCCCAGAGTTATTACGGATGGATATGAGATTGCGAAGACAGAATCCCTAAAGGTCAATTTTCAGGAAACTTTCGGGGTGGCATTGCGCTGACTTTATACCGGTATACAGTTCCTCGACCAGTTCAAACTTGAGCGGAATATCGATCGTGAACTGCTGCTGTCCGTCGCTCGTACCTCCCTCACGACCAAATTGAACAGGGCTCTTGCTGAAAAGCTCACCCCTGATATCGTCGATGCCGTTCTTGCTATCCACAGAGCCCCCGAAAAGCCCGATCTGCATATGGTTGAGATTATGGCTATGCAACACCGAACATCGTCTGACACGCAGCTTATCCGTGGTCTTGCTTTGGACCACGGCGCGAGACACCCTGATATGCCAAAGCGTGTCGAGGACGCCTTTATCCTGACATTGAACGTCAGTCTGGAGTATGAGAAGTCTGAGATTAACTCCGGTTTCTACTATTCCAACGCAGAACAGAGGGATAAGTTGGTGGAGAGCGAGCGCAAGTTTGTGGATTCTAAGTTGCAGAAGATTGTGGAGCTCAAGAAGCAGGTTTGCGGCAACGACCCCAAGAAGGGATTTGTTGTCATTAACCAGAAGGGTATCGATCCCCTGAGCTTGGATGTCCTCGTCAAGAACGGAATCATGGCTCTCCGGAGAGCCAAGCGGAGGAACATGGAGCGTCTCCAGCTTATCTGTGGTGGTACTGCCCAGAACAGTGTGGAAGATCTCTCTCCTGAGGTCCTTGGATGGGCTGGCCTGGTTTACGAGCACCAGCTCGGTGAGGAAAAGTTCACTTTTGTCGAGGAAGTCAAGGACCCTAAGTCTGTTACCCTTCTGATCAAGGGTCCCAACCAGCACACTATTGCGCAGGTTAAGGACGCTGTTCGTGATGGTCTGCGCTCTGTGTACAACACTATTGTGGATGGCTGCGTCGTGCCCGGTGCAGGTGCATTCCAAGTCGCTTGTGCCGCGCACCTGTCGTCTGAAGATTTCAAGAGAACCGTCAAGGGTAAGGCTAAGTGGGGTGTCGCAGCATTTGCTGACGCTCTCCTGGTCATTCCCAAGACCCTTGCCGCCAATTCTGGACACGACATTCAGGACTCTCTTGCTGCCTTGCAAGACGAGCGCGCAGAGGGCAATGTGGTTGGTCTGGACCTGAACACTGGCGAGCCCATGGACCCCGTGCAGGAGGGTGTCTTTGACTCATTCCGTGTCTTGCGCAACTGCATCGCCTCCAGCACAGGTATCGCCTCGAACCTCCTTCTGTGTGACGAGTTGTTGAAGGCCCGACAGATGGGTAAGCAAGGTGGACCCGCCGGCATGGAAGAGTAATGCAGCAGTTACGTACAGGAAACAGGATATGTAAAGAATTCAAGAGGATTCATGTTGAATGTCAGGTGTTGAAGAAAAAAAGTCTATACCTAAAATGTACTCAATAAATGCTAGTTGCCCTCTTCTTGGAGCTATAAGCTACAGAACAAGGGTGCATCGACACGCTTTACATCTAATGACATCAATGCAAATGCGCTTTTGATGAGACTCGCTAGTATTTTGCTGCCTACAAGTCATAACCGTGTCGCAGAAAAATTGGGTACCTAGCGGTCTGGATGCTGAAGGTAAGGTAGGGTATGGCAAGGTGTGGTGTAATGCTTGTTTCAGTTCAAGAATGCATTTGCCTAAGGAGTATACTGAGGCCGCAAAACATCAGGCCCAGTAGACACATGTCATTAAATTTTTCTATTCATACACTGGTTCATAATCATAGCATAAACAGCATGCAAGACATGTATTCTTATCTGATCAAGGAATCGATCAGAGAATACTCGTCTCAACGTGATCAATAATACAGAGGCATCGCTAGAATATCAATCCCCTTCTATACAGGGGCATTATTCATCCTCCTCAGGACTCTCAGTATCTTGCCCTTCATCGTCTTCGTCGCCTTCGTCTATATTATTCGATGCTATTTTGCCCAGAAATCCTTCTTCTCTTACAGGATCCTGTAGAGTAACGCGATGGTCTTTGGCCCATTCTAATACATTAGACTTCCATATTGTCACAGTTGGGCCGTCGCCATTGCTTGTTTCCCCGGAAGATTTGCGTTTTTTGTTCCCCGAATCGGATTCAATAACCTCCATACCCTTGAGGGCGGTGATTACATCCTCCGTGAGCATTCCCGTTGCCAATCCGATGTCCTGTACCGTCATGCATGTGAACGGAGCTCTTTTCCGAGAGCCTTTGGGGGTTCTTTGCTTCTGCTGCCCAGGCTCGTCTGAGTTGCTGTCCGGCGATGGCCGCAACAAGTGCCTTGACATTCGCTCTTCCCAAAAGCGAACATAACTCTTGTGGCCCATTTCACTGAGCGGCTTTTCGGGACCGCCAATTAACCCTCCCTCTCGTTCCCAATCGCTTAGCTTATAGCTTACGCCCATCAACAGCTTTCCCAGCTGCTTGTGTTGATACGGCGGGAAGATGAGAATACAGGCAAGATTGTTCGCATCCCATGACAACTTCTCTTTCGAAAAGTATCCCAGGATATAGTAGTTGACAGGGTCCTCGGGGTCGGTAAACGTGAGTATATAAAAGAGGAAGGTCGCGACGTCGAAAAAGACGGATTTGTGGTCGACGAAAAGTTTCGCAAAAAGTGACAGGTTTTGTGCAAATAGTTTATGATCCCCCCCATCTACCTCCCATACAGAGTATCCGCCATGATCGTAGACTTTTGTACCGAGAGGCGTCGCTTGGTTTTCGCAGGAACGCGTGTGTTTCGCATAGAGGTCCACGTCGCACGAATACCGGAAACACCAGCGACACACATAGAGCCGGTCTGTATCCTTGCTGACGAGTTCTTCGGGATAAATTGATTGATACCACGTCTTGAACAGAAGATCGCCGAGCACGACGTGTTCCACGTTGCGGTTGGTCGGGGATTTCGCGTCGGTCGACGAAGTGTTATTGGGAGCCATTGAAGCTTTTCGGAGGCGATTTCAAGTAAAAGCCACTTGACAATCGATTGGTCAGCTAATAATCGAGACTCTGCTGGTGATGCGCTTTCCCCGATGGACGGGCCATCAGCCTCACTGTGAAGTGAAGCGGCTTGACGTCGCGATTGCGATTGCGGTGGTGAGAAAAGGGTTCACGGATTCAGCGACATTGGGCGAAAGGGGGAAAATATTAGACAAAATAGCAGGTGTAATTGTCTAAGAATAGCATGTTCAAATCCTCAACGAGCGCAAGAACAGCACATGACGAAACAGCGACGGTCGATACAAACAATCAATGGTGGTGCGACCCGACACCAACTGGAAGAAGAATGTCACTGACCCGACCAGCGACTGCTAACTGGTGGTGGCGACCGCGCGGGGTGAAGCTTTCAATAGTGACGACGACGGGAGCTGCCATCAACGCCGACGATTATTATCCTGTTGCCTGAAGCGTTGCATCCCTTTTTCATTCTGGACGATTGCTTCATCCTTGCCTACCTCGATATTTCAGATTATTATGTCCTATCAAGCCCTTACTGTCTTTGGGTTGGCATACTGAAAGAGACAGGCCCATAGGCAGCAGCTTAGGTACGACCGTCAGCAGCAACTCATTATCCATCTATCGCTTTGGTCTTGATTCCAATACCACACGCAAATTTTCTCTTTTTAACACTTTGATTTCATCAGCGGGATCATTTTAAAATAATAGTTCCCGTTCTCGCATTATCCCCCGCTCTCTTACAACCAATCTGCTTGCTCCTGTGCCCTGGCAGCAGCCCAGAACGCGGGCAGTTTTCTTTGCTGCAGAACCCGGTTACATCAACGGTAAAAAATGATGAATCCCTTTCAGATTAGAGATCTTCATGGATCTCCATCTAGGACTGCAGAAAGCTCGGAGTCTAGGCGTCGTGATGGGGTTGTACAAGTCTCTGCCTCTCAGTATGAGGAGATAGCGTCAAACCATCCTCGGGCCAGACTGACGTATGCGGATGATGATGACGGAGAACTCATCACAGTGAGTCCAGTGGCACAATACGCTTGATTCATTCTAGCTAACAGTTAACTTTAGGTTGGATCCTCGCTCGAGCTTTCTCAGCGTCTTGATGAACCCATCGACGTTCCGTCGCAGGAAGATAGCCATGAACCAATGCATATCTTTGATATCCGTCGGTCGAACTCTGTAACTGAGTTATGGAAGAAGTACGAGTACAGGACACGTTCTCCGAGTATTCAGAAGACAGAAGAACCTAGCGCTGGATCGGAAGTAGTAGATACTACTCCTGGCCACGACAATGAAGGTCCTTCTGGTTCTGGCCAAGCTAATGCTGGCCCTGCTGCGCAAGATGAATCGGAGACCCTTTTGGCAGCTTTCGAGACTGAGCTGGCCAAGATGATGAGTGCTTCAGAATCTTCAGATAGGGCAACGCCGCAACAGGATCCCTCATCTTCAGCTGAAACACAACCCGGAACAACCAGTTCAAGTAGACCCCCGAACCCAGCTGAAGCCTTTACTACGGCTATGCACAATCTATTTGATGGGGCTGAAATGCTTAGGTCGGGCATGAGATCGAGGATTCCAGAGCTTGAGCGCCAGCTACACAATGCCCAGAGGGCCCTTCCCGAGCAAGTTGGAAGCACTTTGCAATCTGCTGTTACAAACCTGGACTCTCATGTGAGAAACCTGGCCACTGCTCTTGGTAACGCTTCGGTTGCAGGAGAACAGACTCTCCGCAACGACTTGCAAGGTGGGATTAGCCCCGGGTCGTGCAGTGTAGACGGTTTGCGTACGATGGCGTCCGAAATTGGCCAAATAGGCCAAACATTATTCACTGCCTTCGAGGCAGAATTCGGACGCAGTCTCTCAGAGAGTAATAACCAGACTCCCGGAGAAGGTACATCTCAAACCGGGCAAGCCAGCACTGCAACACCCAATCTTCCAGCGGAGGATTCGGGGAATGCTCAGGACAATTCAAAAAATGAAGATGAAAAATCTACTTCAGCTAATCTGGAGAACCAAGAAAACAACACAGTGCTTAATGAAGGACCAAACGATGAAAACATTCCGTCGTCTAGCGGTTTCGATGCTGGCCATCGGATGCAACAGCCTCAACAAGTCAATCCTTTACCCCAAGCCTCCACGGCGCATCTAGCTGGTCAACCCCAGCATTCCGGCTCACACCTTCCTGGGGCCCCTGTTCAGCCTCCTATCCCATATCCCTTTTCTCATGACCACAGTCCTTTCCATGGTCCTATGCACAGGCCTTATCCTCTACAGGCACCTCCACTCCCACCTCAACCACCATCCTATCCTGCTCACCCTCGCCCACATCGGCGACCTCATCCTCCCGACCATCCTTCTCCATACAGTCGACGACCATGGCATGCTGGTTGGCCGTCTTTCTATGGGCCTAATGGCTCTGCACCACCGCATCGTCCCCCGCACCATCACCACCATAATCACGAAGTGCCTGCGGGGGATAGAAATACTTTCCCCCGAACTCCTGCAGCTTCACAGGAACGTCAATTTGCGGGTAGAACATTGTTTGTCGGCAATGTAGGATTTAATGTCACCGAAAAGATGATCCAGGACGTTTTTGCTTCCAAAGGGTTCTTAGTCGACGTGAACTTGCCATTGGATTCTGAAACAGGAAAACATGCAGGATTTGGTTACCTGTATTTCCTTTCGGTTCATGCGGCCAAGGCAGCGTTGGAGGCTTTGCAGGGAACTCATATTGATGGACACTCGGTCAATCTCGAGCTCAGCGATCACTCGCCCATCACAACGCTTCACACACCGCATGACAACCGGCAGCCTTCCAGTGTTCCTTCGCGTGCTCAGGAACCAGAGGCATTCCAGCGTCGACGATCTACTCAATTGAGGCGCACATCCCCCGAAGAACAGAATTCTGGACAAAACAGTGGCATTCCCAAGGGGGAAAACAAATCTTCGGGTGAGGATTCGAATAATACGTCGCCAGGAAATACCGCCCTACTCGACCGAGATGATCAGGACTCTGAGTTCTCTACGCGTTATCCATCGCTCTTCCCAGAGGGGGCCACGCAGCGATCACTTCTCAATCGCCCTTCATCTGGAAATCTTGCAAGCCTAAGTCCACGGCTAGAAATGGGCCGATTTCCACCAGTATCTCAGCTCGACGCACACATGTTGGCCAATCAGCGCCGTGATACAGATTCATCATCGAGCACATCCATGTCCGAAGTTAAACCGGATAATGATTCTGTGAGGCAGACAGGACAGGTACCAGAGCAGGCGAACCAGGCCAGTTTTCATCAATATGGCCTCCATCGATCAAACACCACAGTGCCTGCCAATCCAGCGTCAAGGCTCCCGGGTCCCTTTGACCCTCTCGTTTCACAAGACACCCATAGCACAACGTCGCCATTGAGGCGACGAGCTACCGAGCGCCACCCTCCGCGGACCGATTCTGGTCGTGGGCCAATGCGCTGTGGGGGTTTTAGACACCGGCCGCAATACTCACGTACTGATCTTCTCAACATGTCTCGAACCCAGGGGATAGCTTCGGCTACAAATGGAAATGCTCGGCAACCCGATGCAAGAGAACGCGCTATTGATGATTGTGTCACTACCCTTATGAGCCTAGGCTATGGAAGCGAAAAGGATGGTGGGCGCCAGAGAATCGCTGTGTATGCGGCAGCGGCGGATGGCAAAGTAAATGATGCAATTGAGATGATTGAAGAAGAACGAAAAGCGTATGAGCAGCAAGGCTCGTCGACGTGATGGACGGTTTTCTATTTGCCTAGCTTCAAAGCATTAATTTGACGGTCTTTTGATGAGGCTATTGCTGTATTGCTCTTGTGTTTTGTGCTGCTTTGTACCTTATTATGGTCTGGGTTGGATCTTCCCTTCTTTTGCTACTTCTAATATGTAATATCTTCTGATGTTTGAATGAAATGAAAGTCGTTGCTATCTCCATGAAATATTAGGGTTGACTCCCCGTATCTGTAAGTCATTCTGCCGTGCGGAACTTCGGTCGGAGCCGAAAAGATGCGCCATTCTTCAACCCCGTCATAACCATCTCAAGCAAACACCATCCAACATTCCTACGAGACCTCATACAATTCTCAATTACGAGAAATGCAGATATGGCGGCGTTCCTTCGCGACGTCTATTGCAAGACTGAATAATCAACCACCAACCAGAAGTGCTGGTCCCGCACTTCTACGATGCGCGCAGATCCTCCAAGAAAGTAAGAAGAGCGGTGCCTGCGCTCTTGAAGAGCAGGAGATCAAGGTACAAGGCTTCATTCGATCAGTACGAAAGCAAAAGCGCTTTGCTTTTGCGGAGATCTCAGACGGGTCGACAATTGAACCATTGCAGGCTATTCTGAAGCCTGCACAGGCGGCTGAGTAGGTTGTCTTGTTTAGCGCGACATGAGCCTCATTGATTCTGACTGTTTTCTTACTAGTCTATCTACTGGAACAGCTGTTGAAATCTCTGGTCTATGGAAAGCTTGTCCTCCGGGTAAGGAACAAAGCCATGAGCTTCAGACGACCGACGTAAACGTCGTGGGCGCAGCAGATGCAGAGGTGAGTGGGATGGACCCTGTAGCATGGATTGGGGGCGAAGGAAGCTGACACGCATTGCTTTAAAACAGACATATCCTATCCAAAAAAAGTATCACAGCCCCGATTTCCTTCGTCAGATCCCACACCTCCGTGTACGAACGCCATTCAATTCTCTCCTCTCGCGGTTTCGATCAGAGTGCTTGTATCAGTTGGGAAATGTCTTTCGCAGTCATCCAAGCGGTGGGTTTACGCAAGTACAGCCACCGTTGATCACCTCATCGGACTGTGAGGGTGCTGGTGAAACATTCACAGTCATACCGCGTGAGGCATCCGGGTCGAATGTTGAGGAGGATCACTTCTTTCGAGCACCGAAATACCTGACTGTGTCGTCGCAACTCCATCTCGAAGCGTATGCGGCCGAGCTTGGCAGTGTATGGACGTTATCGCCGATGTTTCGAGCCGAAAAAAGCGACACGCCGCGTCATCTGAGTGAATTCTACATGTTGGAGGCTGAGATGAACTTTATGCATGACCTCGACACGCTTACTGACTCGGTTGAGCATATTCTCCGTGACCTGACTCGCCGGTTATACGATTCGCCTGTTGGCCAAGAGATATTATCCGCGAAACGATCGGGCGAGGCCGGACAGGAGGGTACAGAGGAATCTTATTCGGTGCTTCGACAAAGATGGCACGACTTGATGAACGGGCCTAGGTGGCAACGCATGACGTATAAGCAGGCCATGGAGAGCCTCGAAGACGCAATCTCCAAGGGCAGTGCATCGTTCGAGCATGCCCCCACTTGGGAAGGTGGGCTGCAGCTCGAACATGAAAGATACATTGTCGACGTCCTGTGCAACGGTCGTCCGGTGTTTGTAACAGACTACCCCAAGGAGATTAAGCCATTCTACATGCTGCCCTCCGAGGCAGTGGAAGGGGAGCCATCATCTACAGGCAAAACAGTTGCCTGTTTCGATCTGCTGCTACCTGAGGTTGCTGAGGTCGCAGGAGGGTCTCTCCGTGAACACCGACTGCCCAATATCATCCAGAACATGCGTGATCACGGGCTAGTCAAGCCACGCACGCAACCTGAATCTCCCCCGGAGTCCTCCTCGGCCAGTGAGAGTCCCGAGGCCGAGGAACCACTGTATCCTTATCTCCAAGCCAACGAAGATCTCGGTCACCTGCAGTGGTATGCTGACCTCCGACGCTGGGGAACAGCCCCCCACGGCGGCTTTGGACTTGGATTTGACAGATTCCTGGGCTACCTGGCCGGCGTATCGAGTGTCCGGGACGTGGTATCATTTCCCCGATACTTTGGCAGAGCAGACTGCTAGGAGCATCATTCCGGGCAAGCTACCCGTTTATCTAGATGTATAATAATGTATTACTACGAGATATCCATGCAAATAGACCTCTCAACCATCCATTCACAGGATATAGTTTAGACGAGTAACGTGACCAGGTCATCGGCCATGAGCAACCCATCTAGAACCTGTTCTACCAACGCCATATTCGTATAGCACTCTGAACACAGGGTAAACGACGACCCGTGGACAGCGTTCAGACCGCCTCCCAGCCACTCGGGTTGACTAAGAAGACGAAGATCTGAAGAATCAACGTGCGCAGCCTAGTCAGACAAATAAGCCTACATACTTTAAACAAAGAACTAAACTTTCTCCCAAACGAAACGATTATGTAGTCTTCATCAGCACGAAACTCAACCTTAGGTAACCGGTGAGTGGGATCGACCAATAAAACATATAAAGTTACAAGAATACGGAAGGGCCAAAATGAAGATTTGCAAGACGGCAAGTGGTCAATATTATGGGGGATGAAATTACACAGTTAGACTCGCCTGTGCCTTTTCCCAGATGGGAAATATGACATGATACCTTAAGATGATTAAGGTTGATACAGCATGACTGCATTTGCACCGCCACCGATCATCAAATAGCAATTATTACTACAGTAATGATTAAATAATAAATAAAGCGTAAATGAAATAAATGCCGAGACACTCACCGAAACCTCGTATTGAAGAAACCTCGTAGCCTAGTCTGGGGGCGATGGATTCACGCCACTGAAAGTTAAGCCCATGATATATCGCCGCACAAGGCCGGAGTATAAAAAGAAATTAAGAAAAAAAAAAAATTATAAAAATAAAGAAAGAAAGATATTCTTAATTCCAGACTAGTGATGTAATCTATCATAAATAAATATAAAATAAATAAAATAATAAAAAGGAAATAATATGATGCAGTGGCTTGGCGACTAGAACAAGGTTACCTGAGAGACGGGATTGCCACATCGAGACGGAAAGAGACACACAGACGACAACGAGAGAAACAAAGTTCCACGTGGCAGGGCCTATCCGGGGTACTCTTATTCTTATTCTACTTGGCAGAAGTGAAGTAGAAGTACTATTATTACTATTATGTAGTATGTATGGTCTATGTCTGTATGAGAATAGATATGTGAATACTAATCATAGGTTTCAGCCTGCAGGATCTACCCTATCAAATGGGCTGATAAACCAATAGTTACTAGATATGGAATGTATGTGTCCATCGTCAGCCGGTTCGGCCAAATAATTATGCCAACCTAGAAGGAATAATACTCTGAATGTGTATACTGTTTATGTTTAAATTAATCCTGTACTACTTGAATAGGATAATAAACTTAGTCCAAACTCTGTCAACAGAATAACTCTGACTAACCCAAAACACAAGACATAAAATTAAAAAAAAAAAAAAAAAAAAAACGTGGATACTTTAAAATGCAGCGGAGCTCGGCTGGTTGAATTGGACCAGTAGTTTGCTGGGTTATTGGCGATGCACTCCACCTCGTTTAAATATTGTTTGGGAGATTGCCGACGTCTTCTTACTTCCATATTGGAACAGAGAGAAGATATTACGAGATCCAGTCCCATCCTAGCCGAACTTGGCAGTTTCTCGCTCCATCTTGCCAGAGTAGGTCAGGAGGCCGTAGGGCGTGTAAAATACGAATACCGTACGCGGGGATCGTGCCAAGTTGCCAACCTTAGTGGTGTTAAGCATATCTCGGTCTTTTCCCGGCTTTTGCCACTGATTACCTAGGCACTCCGCCGTCTGTACAGATACCTAGGTATGATTTATAATACTCCGTACACCGTACACTGTTCAACTAGACGGGATGATTGGTTATAAAAGTGACAGACCATGGTCAATCAAGCCTTGTGGCGCAGGAGATCCCAATATTGTAATATTCGTATGTACAGAGTACAGCGTATAGCGGATAAACCGGAGAGCAGGCAAGAACAGGAGAAAAAAGGGTCTTGTGGGAGTTGTCAAGTGGGCTAAGCCTTGGCCGAGTCAAGGCGTTCTGTATCTAACAACTAGCGCCGACCTTAGGATAAGCCTCTTTTCTGCCTGTATTTTTTCCAGCGGGGATCATCTTGGCTTTCTGCAACGCTTTGACTTTTTTCTTTTTTTTTTTTTTCAACTTATTAGTATTTTTTTCTCCCCCTCCTTTCTATCCAGGGATAAGGATCCTCAGGGATGTTTTGAGTTTGGTCGCCAATGTTTCAAGTGGCTGTATCATCCTTGACAATGGTTGGTTAATCTAAATTAAATTGCAAGGAAACATGTCAGATGAAGCCTTGGCTTTTTGCTTTAAAGTGTTGCCTGGAGCCTTGCTTATTCTTATTATTCTCCTACACACTACGGAGTACTACACAATACTAAGGTATGGAGTACAGTACATCATAATGTTGTACTGTACCTACTACCTATTCTCATAACTCGTACTTGATTGACTCGTAGGACAGACAGGCGCATTCCAAATCGCCATTCCATCAACACCTTAATTATGCTAGTGGAGATAAGCTCGTGCAACGTTTCACAACCCAAATCCCTTGGCAACCTTTAATTCGAATTAAAGGTTGCATTGGAGCATCCCAGGACTGCATGACAATACATGAATACAAGAGTACAGAGGTACAAAACCACTCTATCTTAGAGTTAAACATCCTGTATTCCCATGCAAGGGAACATCATGGGCCAACTGACCCGGGGTATCCCCGTCTAGGTGACTCCAAGAGAGATCAATAGTAGCGAATAATAAAGTTCACCTCAAGAATGAGACTGGATTGAGAGATCAATCAATCAATAGTCATGAATAGTCCTGTTGCTCTTGCATGTCTGATTCATGTCCCGTACCTTAAAATGCCTGTTTACTGTTACCGGCGTCCGGAAACGACGGATGCCGACGAAAAACTAAGCCAAGTGCGACCCGACCGGAGATTATTCACTGGTTGGAAAGTCTCCGTCTCAGCTAGCAATTAGCAATCAAGTATATTTTCTTATTTTGATGCTCGCAACTCTCTCCACAGATCGGGTCGCAATTTTGGATCGATGCATGAAATAAGGAGAATACTGTCGGACTGGCCGTCTATCTTCTGTTGTCCTACTATTCCTCTTAGCGAGTACTCACTACTACTCCGTAGAAACAGTAGACAGTTCTTGAACCCCACTAAGATTGAGTACTGGGGCAGTTCGGATGCTCGGAGACGTCTTACAATACATACCTACACAATACGCAGACGTATTACCACTTGCTTAAAATCAAAAATGCATTCCTAGCATCGCCAGGAATGTGACAACGATAGTTAGGAGTGAACTCTCTCCATTCCGGCTGGATTTAAAATGCGCAGTCCACGTAATTGGCCAGGGACGTTCCAAGTAATCAATATAAAATTCAATAGTGTTGGAGATGGTGTCATCCTTCCCACCGGACTAGGCCATTTGCAACTTATTATGCTTATCTATGCCAATCTTCAGTAGTCCACTGCATCGGCATCAGCATCCAGCGCTGTGTTGTGAACAGCTGTACAGACTGCTGTAAATAGGTGTTGTCTCCATACATAGTTAGTAAGTACCTCCATGCATATGTCGATGTAGGTGATATGTCTCCAGCCATATCAGATCTGATGGATGGTGTGATCTGCCGCGGTTGCAGTTGAACGTTGCCACCGGTGCTACATATCGACGTACATATGCACCTATTTCCTATTTAGGCAGTAGACCCATGGAGTACTCCCAGGTCATATCAATAGCATGCTGTTGTTTCTGGTAAACATACCTCCGCTGTCACATAAATATCAACATCAATAAACGCTGTGGTATAAATAACACCATGTGACTTGTAAGACATCAGCTGCAGATAAAAAGTCACGCTGGACCAGGATTAGGGGTCGAAGTGGGCCAGCCAAGCAAGCCAAGAAAGGCAGAACCAGGATCGTACAGACTTTGTTGGCGATACGCTTAAGTTATGCTCGAGTCAGTGGGATGACAGTGTTTTTAGGTCCAACTTAGTTATGTATGTACTCGTACACTAGTTATGCACTGGATAAGATGGCTGCTATTTAAGATGTACATACCATCTGGTCAATTTAAGTAGGAGTTACAGCGTACAAGATACTTGACTGAATCTTCATATCTTACTCCAAGTGCATAAAACTTGTCAGCTGCACATGTAGTCAACCTGGGATGGCTATCGCTTTCCGTATTCCGTGCTCCATACCAAGACCACCAAGACTCGCTGTGCATGGATAATCCTCTAGCCGTAAGGCTGAGTCTTGCTCCATGGCTGAGCAATGAACGGTACAGAATCATGAGTACGAGTACAACATATGCTCGATGTTCGGATGCAGAGTTTTATTCTGTCTTCTGACTGTTGTTCTCCTGATTACCTGATTATTTAGATGCTTGCGTACTTCTGGATCTGAGATGACTCGGAGATAACGAGTGTGGGAATAGTATTTACCGTTTACGGTGGCTTGTGGCGCGGTGCGAATACGAAGAGGCCACAGTGGCTTCTTTTTTGATTATGAATAATGATTAAGCAGAAAAAGGAAAAAAAGAGGGGCGGAATTAAGACGGAAAGCCCCAAAGTCAGTTTAGACAGGCTGACTGGAGTGTAAATCAGTGTCGTCAGCGCGTAGACATCTAGGTATCCCCAAGAGGGCAGCTGTTCGGGGCTTCGGATGGAACCGCTTGCTTCGCAACCCTGGCATGAGTTTAACACTAGTGTGGGCTTTATCATCAGGCGCAACCATGGGCAAGATGAGAGATGAGGGGGAAAATGGGCCAGGCCAAGTGGGCCGGGGTGGATGGCATTTTTCTCTAAGCGAGCTAAAGACACTTTCCTCGTGTTGGATTAAGCTTAAGCTTCAGAAAGTCGCGCACTAATCAATCAGGTTCGGGATCCAACGCGATCAGAGCGCCACCTTTTCTTTTCTTTTTTTTTTCTGGTATTATTCGGACATAATTACAGGTTACAAAGTACAAATGTCCAGTAATATTGATCTAGTCTATTGAATCGTATTTGACTAAATGAAACTGATCCATCCCACTCCAGCAAATCACACATTCGGATTTAATATTCTTATTAATTCCCGGCTTCTCCAGGCGAGCTGAGCTGACAAGTATGAGTTTATCCTATCTCAGCGTCAGTCAGCATCGTATCGCAGCCCAGATCACAGAAACTCTCCATACGGGGTATCGTATCTGTTACATGCTCCATCCTTGCTAACTGGGGTATGTATGTACGACAGCTTCCCGGTTCTCGTACATGATATCAAAAAGAATGGATTCAATAATCGGTGCATCCAGCGCATAAACATCCATCATCATTCCTGCTCCCCAGTGATCCGTCTCCGATCATTTGCTCCTTCAGTAAGCTTAGTTTTGGTCTTCTCCACTGCCTTGTCCTGCTTTCTTTTTCGGTGTTTGCACCATCGCTCGGCCGTCCAGGATCATCGCCTGGAGCCTTGGAGAGGCTTGGAGAGAGGCTTGGCTCTTGTCCCTTTTCTTTTTTTCTTTTTTTTTTACCTCTTTCCTGTACTGCCATCCTTGTCATTATTATATCAGTTCCATGGATTTAATCAAAATAAATAAAAAATTAAACACGAAACGAGCAACCTTGTTTTATTTTATCTTTAATCGGTACCGTATTATATTATCTTTTATAAATATTTCTGTCACTCTATTCTTACAGTTACTGACATAGTTTACAGTTATTCTGCTGGTTCTCGGCACTGAGACATTGGCCGGCGCCTAGAGGGCCCAAGCAACCATTTTTCTCCCAAGGGCCAAAAAAGCCCTGTGGGGTCTAGAGTTGAGGCCGTTCCCCACTCTATCTCTGATGCTCTTCTTTAGGTTCTCCTCCCCCCTGCTAAAACGGAAAATCCCCTCTTTATGTTTCTGTTTCGTCTTTCTTTCTCTTCGCTCTTCGCTCCTCTTTTTCCTTCCTTCTTCTTTCATCTTTCTTTCTCCGTTTCAGTCGTTCTGCAGTCTGTTTTATTCTGACTGTTCTTGACTCCACTCGACCAATCACTCTTGGATTCAGCTCACCTGTTTCTGACCAAAGCACTGTAAGTGTTGCTATTATTGCTTTTTGTCTTATTTCTTATTCTTGTTTCTTATTTTCTTATTCTATATTTTATTTTCTGATACATAATAAAATACAGCTTTGACCCAAGCCTGGTGACGTAAAAGAGACCACTATTGTGTCTTGCATCTTACACAGTAGTACACACCCTGTACGGTCCCCACCCTTTTTTATTTTATTTTATTTTATTTCCTTTTCTTTTTTCTTTTTTTCTTTTTTTTTTTTTTTTTCTCTCTGTTCTTTTTCTTTTTTTGGCCTTGCGATCTCTGTGATACGGCCTTGTCTTGACTCGGAAAGCCTGCCTGCATTCTTCCCTTTATTCTCCTATCGGTTCCCCACTCTCCTTCTAACTTAACTCTCTTCTCTCTCTCTATTATTACTCTCTGCTTTCTCTCCTCTCTTCCTCTTCTTCTCTTCTTTCCTCCCTTTTTGTCACCCTTGGCCATTCCCTCCCTATCGTCTTTCTCCATTGAGATTCACAAAACCAATATTAACATCGCTTCTGCCTTCAGCCTCCTGTTTATTTTCTTCGGGACTCGGTTCCTGAACACCTTATTTTCCTGTTTCGGAAATATACCACGTCGCCCCCCTGGAGGAGCTTAAATATACAGCAGTCTTCCAACTTCAGGGCCACAGTTCTTCAATATTTCTCTCTCAAAGCCATCGGTTCTGGCTCTGAAACCAACCACGACCAAAAAAGGGTCCCTTATCGATCTACGCGGGTGGATGGAGACGTATCACGGCCACGTCCGCACTCCTGCGGACGCTATCATCTTGTTCGAGGCTTGTCGCATCGGTCTCTTGCCTCGTGTCCAGCGTCGACTGTCAGAGAAAGAACGCCAATCTATCCGGTCCGGTTCGGTATTCGTCTGGGATGAGCGGGAAGCGGGGATGCGGAGATGGACGGATGGGAAGTCGTGGAGTGCCAGTCGGGTCTCGGGCAGCTTTCTAACATATCGTGAGATGGAGGGCAAGCGGGGAGGAGGCGGCGTCGCACAATCTGCCGTGTCCAGGGCTGGAAAGACACCGGAGAGCACGCGGGGCAGTGATGACGACCGCGGGGATGGGGGCGATGAGGGCCCCGACGGCTACCGGTATAAGCCTGACGGGCTGATGAAACAGTCGTTCAGTATTACCACATCGGCCGGTCAGCATCTGCATCTCATCAGCTATTACTCGAGATCTCACCCATCCGCCGCAAACCTCCAGCAACCCTCCACCGACCCAGCTCTGCGAAACGTCCGACCCCAGAAAGGTCTGTACCCCGAGTCGACCGTCAATGACCAGCAGAACCTCCCCGTCGTGACTCGTGGGCCCATGGCTGGAGCTACCTATCCGATTACTCCCCATCCCATTGGAAGCTACCCGCGTTCAGGCGCTACACATCCTCAGTCATATACTCCACCGTATGCGTGGCCTCCAACACCGCTGGCGACACCGCCTGTTCCCGTCCCGTACGGTGGTGCCTCCTACCTCCCTCCTGTGTCCGCTACCAATGGCCAGGTGCCATATGCTCAACAGCCTCATCCTGCATTGCCTCCGCCGCCTCCGCCTCAGCCTGGCTTGGCTTACGATCGTCCCGTACACCACCAGGTCGAGCCCACACTGCCGCCGGCTATGCACGCACCCGCAGGACAATCCACACATCTGCCTGTCATGGCTGGTCGCTCTCCCCGGTTAATCGCCGAAGCTCATGAAGTGCGCCAACGGAGTCCTCCCAGTTATGGAGGAGGCGTCCACCCTCGCATGCTATCCCCACGAAGACAGCCTCATGCCATCCCGCCACCAAGCAATGGACTGGAACCTGCGATGCGCAGCCCTCATTTGCTCAAGCAGGCACCTCCGAGCTCGGTGCACCTTAGCCCAGCCACTGCGATTAAGCAGGAACCGCCAAGCTCCAACACCGTCCCCAGCATAGGAGCTCTGATGAACGGTGCACCCCTGCCTTCCATCTCCGCCGGACCCGAAGCCCCTCGACTGGGCGGCAGTCCCGGAGCTGCCGCTGAAGGGCCTCGGGATATCCCGAGCGAGAAGATCGGGTTCGGAGGCGAGGACATGCGAGCACTGCGACAACTGGACCGAGTTTTCACAGCGTGAAAGGCATCGCCATCGGTCCGACCAAAAATTGTTACTTGTTCACTTCTTGTTTTTCAACACCCTTGCATATAGGTTCAGCGTTTTTTACCTCCGCATTCATACGGAACAGAGAATGGCTCATGTCACCACGGTTTGATTTTCGTTTTATTTTTACTGGGAGAAAGGGTACGCGGCGTTATGTACAGAAAGAGGGATGCATTGCTCATTTAGCATGGGTGGGAATACTTGCATTGCTTCATTGCTTCATTGGCTTTTGATTTCTTTTTCCTTCTTTCTCTTTTACTTTCTTTTCACTTTGTTGATAAATATGCATTGGGTTGGGTCTTAGGGTTTCTTATATTGGAATCTATCACATTGTACTGATTATCTATGTATATGTAGTCGTAAATATATCTGACTTGATTCAGTTGCATGTCGTAAACTTCCATTAACCATCCTAACCATACATTATACATTACTCATACATATCATAAACATCAAGCATACTCTGGCGCACCACCGTCCTCATCCCCTAAATCCCCCATCTCGTAACCCTCACTCCGACTATTACCATTACCCCTATTAAGACTCCTCCCCTCAACCTCCCTAACAAAAGCCCTCAACTGCTCCTCCTTCCCATACAGACCCTGAAATCCCCTCTGACCCCTTCCCCTCCCAAACACAAACGCATCATCCCTCTCCGCCCGCAGAACAAGCAACGCCTTGTCTTCGTTTAAATCACTGAATCCACACACATTCAAGACACAGATAATCAGTACCGCCGGCGCATGGCCTAGCCCATACAACACAGCCGGATGGACATTATACCTCATCGGGGAAATGGAAAAGTCATACGCCGCGGCAAGAGCATACGATACCTTTACAGCTAGGAGGATCATCACGAACGCTAGACGCGGGGGAACGCATTTCAAACTGGAAACCAACTTCCCCCGCTTCGACTTTGACTCCGCAGGCAGGTAGCGGTGGATACTATGCAGAACGCTATATAGTATCACCACGCAGCACGCGAGGGATGCATACCCCGCCCCCTTGAAGCGGGGATCAGTGGCTACTGGCTCCGCGATGAGGGCCTGCTGTTCTGGACTGCGCTGGAGCGGGATCTGCGCCCATGGATGCAGGAGGGAGAGGAGGAGGGTGGTGAGTGCTAGGGCGTAGAAGAGGAGGGGGAGGGTGTTTTCCTGGTATGTCCGGGAGGAAGGCGGGGAGAAGGTGAAGGCGTAGGGGTCTCGGTCGTGGATTTGGCGTTTTTGCCAGGTGGACCTGTTCTGTTTAGGTTTATAGATGGTGAGGAGATGGGGGAGGGTACCAATGACGAACAGCCTCCCAGACAGAAGCCATTGAAGCCGGTGTGACAAACATGTAAAAAATACTCTGCAAGACCAAGGGGTCACTCTGCAGATAATCTCTATCGACATCAACGCCCATAAAGCAGCTTATCGCGGCTAGCACCGCAACGGCGAGGAGCCAGTAGTACGTGACGACACGGGAGAAGGTGCTATATCGTCCATCTACGGGGAGGTAGCGCCGACCATGTTTCCTGATGTTTACCAGGGTGAAGATGATGGTGAGAGCGTAGAGGAGGGCAAAGGCTAGTCCGAGGGAGGCGTGAGCGCGGATCTCGTTGATGGGGGAGTAGCAGGAGGTGGCGTTGATGAAGGAGCCATTGGAGAAGAGGTGAGGGTGGAAGGAGTTGAAGGTGAGATAGCAGTGGGTGGTGTTGGAGAGGGTGCCGTTTGAGTAGAGGGTGTAGTTGAAATGGGTGAGGGTGGATTGGTTGAAGGGGGTTTGGTTGATGAGGACATTTGTGTTTTCATTTTGGTAGGGGAGGATGGAGCGGATGAAGAGCATGGTGGTGGTGAGGCATGTTGATGGATGAAATGGATGAAGCTGAAGAAAAGTGTGGTGGTGATGGATGGTGTAATGGATGTGCAATGATTCCTCTGATTATGGCGAAATGACGATGTGGAGGTTGTACAGACGAACCATGGAACGGATGAGGTTATCTTAGCTTATCTCTTCTTCCATCTTCTATCAATGTTCCATCTCTTCTTCCATCTCTATCGTCTATCTCGATCTCACTTGATGTCATCCACACTATAATATACTCACCCTCTATAATACCCTCACTCATACCTCACAATAAGGTTGATTCTACGACCTTCCATACTACACTCAGACTACAGCAAGGCAACCAAATCCGGGGGCGGGTCAAAATGCCTCATAGCTCTGTGAGACATCATATGCCTCTGCGTGTCCGAGTGACCAGTAAGAAGGAGGGTATTACAGAGTCGACCACCTACTGCTTTGAGCCAAGTGTCGCTCTCAACCTGTTTGACTCGATCCAGGTCACATGTTCTGTATAGACAACCCACGCCGCTAGTCCGCGTTGGGACTGACCGGCAGGCGACTAAGGATTAGCTGCATTTGAATACACCAGCTGTATTAGTGTTAGCGTTATTGTAGTTATTGTAGTATCCTCCGTCTATGAGATGGAAGAGTGACTGTGGTTGAGACTCGGACAACCTTCCAACACGAGGGTCATGTGGCCGATCCCCAGACTTGGCGCTTATAGGCTAGTGTTACGTACAACATTAGTGGTGTATTAATTGCTGCTGTTTGTGAGGCCAAAGCCGGCAGTATGATCATCTTGATCTACATGTTTCAGGATAATTAATTCGTACTGCCTGTCGGTGGTCTGTGGCTGGTGCGGTACTAATAATATCGAAATTATGATGAACATGGTTCTTCTCCCCACTGGTCGACGGGAATACCCTCCCGCGACCCGCTTTACATAATACTGTATCCAGGTAGTGTACTCGTCTGAGGATGTGTACGTGCGAGTCTAGAGAGTGCTAAAGTAGTGGATGGGACTATGGGTAAGCAGAAATATCAGGAATGGGATTGCTGGATCGGAGAGTCGGAAATGAAGCTGTTGATGTAATTCGATTTTGCAGTGCGGCAATTGGAAGACTGCGGTGGGGGGATGTTTCACGGCAACCTTCCTGCCGATTTACTCGGATTGAGAAAGAATATGAATTATGCGCCCCGGATTACTAGTTGGGTTATTACCTACTCTCTAGTCTACCTGCTCTATTAGGAAGTACTATACCATCTATTAGCACTCTACCTACTCTACCTCTACTACCACTCTACTCTCTACACTACGATTACTCCCTATACTCTATACTACTATATCAGATATTCTCCTCGGTCTCTGTACTTCGTACAGAGGCAGAAAGAGAGAGAGGCCCACTTCCCCAGATTACAGAAAAGAAAAGAAACAAATCGATCTGGCGATCATATGAGCCATCCCAGCACCAACCAGGAAATTGCCCTGTCTCGCACCTTCAAGCTTCATCCTGCATTCAGGCAGACAGATGTCGCCCAATCGAGCGTGGGGGATGCAAGTAATCTCCTCTAGTCGTCTCCTCTAGTCGTCTCCTCTAGTCTTCCTCCTCGTATACTAACGAGTTGCCCGCTTTTCCTTCCAGTCACACGGCGAGGATCATCCGCCGTCGTCACCCGTGCGCCTGGTTGGGAGCCTCGTTGCTTTTTCTCAAGTTCTCTCGCTGCCCTCTCCTTTCGCTCTGTTCCGTCTCTGGTCCTTTTTCTCCGTTCTGGTCGACAAATCAGCTATACAGATCCAACTTTCCCCCGCATAGCAAAGTTAATCCTCGATGGACTAATTTGCCTTGTTGCCTCTGTACGTATACGTATGTATGCTCTAGCGTACCCCTGTCACGACGTAATGACTAGTCCAGTGGTAACGATCCTCCGGTTGGGCTGGTGAGGATTGTCATTATTCATTCCCATTAGTTTGCTCTTGGTCGATACTTCTGTAGTCCTTCATATACTTTGGTAGTTGTGAATATCTTATGATCCCTAATATACCTCCTACCATGCTCCGACTGTTTCTCCTCCACCCGCGCTCTCTCTCTCTGACTCCTCTCGCTGTTCTTCCTCTCTCTCTCTCTCCCCCCGCTTTAGAAACCTTCAAACCCCCATCCTTTGCTTTTAACCTCACCTTCCCCTCTTTTTTTTTCCCTCTCCTTTTCCGTCTTTTCTTTTCCCTCTTTTTTTCCCCTCCCTTTTCTCTCCCCTCCAATGCTGGCCATGCACAGTCCCACCTTTGTCCTCCCGGATTACGCCCAAAATAACTCCTCCTCCACCCACAATGGCATCCACTCCGACTCACATCAAACCACGGACCGTCGCCACTCCACCCTGTCGGAAATCCCCGCCCTGCCTGACTGTCCGTTGATGGATGACGCCCTCTCTCACCGCGCCAGCATCAGCACCGATGACTTTTCCAACTCCAACGACTCGCCTGGTTCTTGGGATGGCGAAGGCCCCTCGGACTCTTCGTCCATGGCCGAGTCGCACGTTCGCATTCACGATCCCTCCGCCGCTTCTGCCTCGCACCACTTCCCCTCCTCCGGTTCCGTCTCGCACAAACCCACCTTTGGCTTTAACATCATCGCCCACGACCCCGACGTCTCCATGGTCGAGGTCACCCCCAAGGTCGAGGAGTTGGATGATGTCGATGACCTGCAAACCATCAAACCTGCCGGTGTGGAGGCCATGACTGATAACTCCCATCTTTCTTCCTCCTCCTCGGGTGCTCCCGTCAATGTTCCACGGAAACGTGGGCGACCGCGCAAACATCCGTTGCCCGTGCCCGGCAACCAAGTCAAAATCACAAAGGGCAGATCCAAGACTGGCTGCATTACTTGTCGTCGGAGGAAGAAGAAATGCGACGAAACCAAGCCTGCGTATGTATTTCCCCCTGAATCTCAAGTTTCACCGCATGGTCGCTGACGATTTTTTTTTTCTTCTTGTGACAGGTGTTTGAACTGTCAAAAAAATGCCGTCGTTTGTGAAGGTTATCCACCCAAGGAAATTTGGAAGAGTGGTCGACAAAAACTCGAAGATGGTATGTCTGATTTTTTAATAAAAAAAAAATTTCTTTGTCTGACTTTTTAGCCTTCCGGAGTCAGTCCTTTTTACCTCGCTCCCTCCCCCTGTTAATCGACGGTGTGGAATCCGACATCGATCGCCGATTTCTCGATCATTTCGTCTACGGTTTCAGTCGTGTCCTCACTCTCATCAACGATGACTCCAACCCGTTTAAAGAGATCCTCCTGCCGATGGCTACCCAACATCGCGGTCTGATGCACTCGCTCATGTGTCTGTCTGGGTCGCATCTGTCGGGACTCGACCCTGAGCCCAAGTTGAAGGAACGAAAGTACTATCACTTTCATCGTGCGATCAGAGATCTCAAGGATAATATCAATACATCGTCCAAGACATCAGAGGAGGAACCCGAACTCTTGGTGGAGGATCCCATTATTGCCTCGACCATCGCTCTGAGTTTGAATACCATCTGTGAAGGAGAGACAAATGGCGAGTACCGACCGCACATGGACGCGGCCAGGTACTTGCTGGTAACGCAGCAGCCGCGAAACGAAAAATTTCGACAGTTCATCGTCGAGTTCTTCCAGTACCACGACGTCTCGAATTCCATCACCTCGCTCGATCGCCGACCGGCCCTTCTCCACGGCGACCTGCGTCTTCCCGACTTTGTTCCACACGCCCAGGCGGGCATGTTCCTCGGTGTGTTTGACGGTCTGTTCAACTACATTTCCGAAGTGACTCGACTGCGCGATCGCATCCGGCAACGATTCAACGAGGGATACGAGCCTGCGGTGGACTACCAGATTCTGAGCGATGCCGTTTCTATCGACTCGGCCATTCGGGTCTGGGAAACCTCGCACACTCCTGACACGCCCAACTGGTTCCTGGCCCAGCTGTACCGACAGTCGACCTGGGTCTATCTCTACCGGACAATCCGACCGTCGCGACCGAGTGACAAGATCGCTCAAGTGGTGGACGACGGTCTGGCGTATCTGGACCAACTACCCCAAGACGCCGGAGCGTACAGTATTGTGCTGATGCCGCTGTTCCTGCTGGGCTGCTCGGCGTTTATCCCTGAGCAGCGAGAGCGGATCCAAAAAGGGTTCGAATCGCTCAAGGCGTACTCGAACCTGCGCAACATCGAGCCGGCGTTCACGGTGGTGCAGCGGGTGTGGGAGGTGATGGACACCAAGATCGAGGAGAGTTGGGACTGGGAGAAGATCATCAAAGATATGAACATGGATTTTCTCATCACCTGATTGTGCCTTGCATCTTGCATTTGCTTACATTTGCTACATTCTTGGTTTGCATTTCTGCATTCTGCATTCATATTGGCTACGCTTATGTGTTTTATGATATTCGATTCCCCTGTTTATTTTCTCAACCCACGGTGTTACGCGAGGCGTTCTGAGCATGCATCCTAGGAACCAGACCAGAGCCGAACATACTGAACAAACAGAAACAGAAAAGAGAAAAAACAATCTGATCTGAGCATTCTCTAGCTACCAGCAGAGGACCGGCGTCGGAGGAGGTGAACGTACAACGGACTACGGAGTAGATGCAACAAAATCTGGGAAGGGGGCTGATTCTGATTTAAAATGGGTTTTTATTTGACTGATTTACTGATACCTGTGTGTTATTCTTATTTCTCTTCTTGGCTGTATTTATGTTTCATTGATTGTATGTATTTTGATGACCTGTGCTTCGTACATAATCCTGGCTACAATCCATATAGTGCATACATGTACCTGATAGTTAAGCTTCAGCTACAATCCGTCGATCTACGATATCGAACATCGATCAACACCAGGGTCCTTGAAGTGGACACTGGACACTGGACACAAGGAACGAGTCGAAGTCCACGGTGGATTCATTACGTATGAATCCCCGCACGTCACTTTTGTGGATACGACTGAACTGAAGTTGAACTGAGCTGGAGCCATATGGTGCAATGTGCACTTCCGATATAGACTATTGTTAGTATCACATTGATATTGGTGATAGTGGCTGCATAGATAGGAGTAGGTACCTGACTGCTGGGATAGTATATTTGTACGAGGGTTTATTCCGGAGAATATTTCCCCTATTCATAAAAGTAATATAATATAATTAATAGATAATGCACAGATACCTTAAACGGCACCTAACTAATTACTTGCTGTATGTATGTACCCCATGGGGCTTCTATTTGCATATTACAGTATATTAATTAACTGTCGATAGGAGATAATTGCACTGGCACTTACAGGCACGGTCACTCGGGGATTTATGGTGGGTCTCTGGCAGATGGAGATATTGTCTATTTACCTATATGGGAACTGATAACAATGATTGTGTAATGGGTATCAATATGGTGATAATTTTGATAGTGGTGATATGACTATAAGCGATGTCGACGTCTAAGCGACGAGCTATTATCGATAGTCGAGCTGATCAACGCCAAGTCTATCTCTTACGACAGTATCAACTATCAAGGATTTATTCTATTTCTAGGAAAGGATGAGAATGAAGATCAACTCCTGTCAATCCTCCATCTTGTCTATCCTGAAACGATTCGCCTCGCCCCCACCCCAACCTGAATGATATTCCATTTCCATCATCCCACATCCCACACCCCGCTTCACACTTGAAACTGCAGTCTGACCGTTGGATGATCTCAGCTTCAGCTTCAAGTTGTGATTGACTGTGGATCAGGGTCTTCCTGGTTAATCTCGCCCCTGCTGAGTGCTGATGATCGGTTGCCTGGGATATGATGTGGGGATGACATCAGGGGTTGAGATGGGTTTGGTATGTCGTCTCTTCTTTTTCTTCTTGGGGTAAGGAACTGATCAGGTTGATATAGTATCGAGTCCTACGACGAGCTCAAGATGGCATACTCTCGTTCCGACCCCGACCGAGTTTTATATGTTGATATACTGGAGTTGCGGTCTGGTGAAAGATCATGCATTGAGCAGCGGCCATGTTCTGTCTGCTTCGTTGGACAGAGACTCTGGTTGATTTGCAACTGATATGGTTGATGGGACTGTCGATCTCAGCATCTGGGGGGTCATACTGAGCTTCACGCAGCATAGTGATCTGGTCAATTGACGCAGTCAGTCGCCTACCAACAAGCTTACGCAATTGAAGATTCTCGAAAAAGAAATCGTCTGAGCCAGGATGAATCAGGATAAAATGCAGATGGACTAGTATCCATAACATCATACACTGGCGTATGTCTACTACCGAGGCTGAATTATTTGCTATTTCCGAACCCAAGAGATGAAATGGAATCTCGGTCAGAAATAGCAGCAATTCTGCTTCGGTGGTAAAAGCACTGCCAGTGTTTGATTGTTCGATCAATCTGCATTCGATCCTTCAATGCGATAATGTCATACAATGACTTCTTATGGTCACTGCAAAGCCTCACATTGATCTAGACCTAGCTATTCAGGAAAGGTAATTCATTGATCTACAATAAATTGACCAAGCTAATCATCTTCAACTAGTTCTCCATCTTCCTACCTCTCGCATGCACGATAACTACGGCTACATGGAGAAGAAAGAAACACTCAAATTGAGGGATTACTCGATGCGGTTGACGGCGATACTCCGAATGCTCCGATGACATACGGCCGAGTGGATAACCGAAACGGATAACATAGAGTTATGATGATGATGTAGAGCTACTACGGGGTAGTTGGAAAAGTCAGTCTGAATACATCCTACTCAATATTCAGTCAGTCTAGACATGTGTGGGTATACACTCCACACTGACAATGGCCTCACTATCCAACAGGGTCTCACCGTGTACACAGACATCCAACGCAGCACAAGACGTCATCTTGGCCTGACTCGACTGCACGGTCCACCGGGATCACGATACCGGCTGCAGAATGCAAGGTCAGAGCAAAAACTGTTGTACAACGGGCCGGTGAGGGCCGTGCCATGATTTGATTCTGATTCTGCGTCTGGTAACACTGCAGCGTGGTCATGTCTGTGCGGACGATGGAGATATGGCCATCTTCCGATTCGTGTGAGTACTGCGAGGGATTATCCTGCTTATATCTACAGGTGTGGATTGGATGTAGATGTAGAGGTACATATGTCCTGGATTCGGGTTAAGGGATATCTGATTCGATCGAGGCAGTCAATCAGGATTATTCTGTTACTACTGGTGATGTCTAGATTAGATGCGTTGATCAAGGGATGATCATGATCAATCAAGGGATGCTGATATCAACCATCCGATCGGGTCTTCCAGTGTCTTCCCTGCAGCTATCTGTAGTTATGCCCGGGGAAGTATCTCACCATCCTGACCTTGCTGGATTACCAAAAACCGGAATTCATACATATTCCAGTCTACAGTCTACAGTAACTACATCTGGTCAATGCTCAACTTCCTCAACCATCCCATATAGAGACATCTTTCACATGCAACCCAACCAGCCAGATTCCAAACACCGAGTCCAGTCTGCACTACAACATGATTGTACAAACAACACAGCATCTAGACTGTTTAAACCATGCTGCCTAGATACTGACTATTGCATCATCTACATAGCTACCTAGACCCTGACCTGGCTGTCATATCTGCCATGGAACAGAGCTGGAAATAGCCGGCTGGACAGACGGGATGGCTTGAGTATGAATGGCATGAATGAGCATGGTAGTATGGAAGTGGCTTATTCTAGACTATGCCCAGCCTTCTAGATATTCTCGATAAAGTGAACAAAGCAAGGCCAAGCAAGGAAAAGCCTAGACTGGATGATTGAGTGAGGGATATTCCAGTCTCTGAACCATGGAAATAATGAGTAATAAAAATGAATAAATCTGAATAACTATCTTCAAAAGAAGAAAAAAAAAAAATCACAAAATTGGGTTTAAAGAATCTGAACAAAACCCACATCAAAAGAACCAGTCAAGAAATAAGAAATCCCAGCTTCCCTTGTCCTGGTATTTTCGACCATGTCTAGAATTTCTCTGGTTTGCCCCACTTGTTAGGTACAATTGTTGAATTGTGATGTGAGCAGCCAATCAGACTGCAAATAAAGCGGGGCGTGCTCCACTCCACCATGTTCCGGTGCGCCACGTTTATTGCGCTATACCGCTTTGGGAATTGTACACGGCTGACTAGGGCTTGGTGATTGTTCCTACATGGATTTGCGGTCAGTTCCTGCATAAGTTTTTTTTTTTTTTCTTGTTTTCTAGTTTTTGTTGGGTGCCTTACTTGGACTCATCACATGCCAACTCATACATGACTGTTTTACTTGTACAGGTCAGAAGATAGTAGAAGATAGTAAAGAAAGTGATCGTATTCCATTGAAAACTCCAATCCAAGAATCAAACATCCAATCCATCCAATTTCCCAACTCCCATCTGATCCTCTATCGTGAACATGAGTCATAAATTTTGTCGATATCAAATCGAAGACAAAAAGAGCCAACTAGTGGCTCAGAGCACAAGTGCTCTAGACAGAAGTAATAAGAAAACAATCAACATAAACACAGAAGTAAAACAAACAAACTCAGCCAGGAGTCAGAGTCAGGGTCAGACATTCAAGCGAGAGTCAGGAGGGCTTAGTTGCCATTGCCAATCATCAGCTTGAAGGTGGTGTCGATCGGGCAGCCGTGAGTGGCATGGTTGTCGTCGGGCTTGAGGTAGGCCTCGGCACAGGCAGAGTCGCCAGCCTTGCAGTTGACGGCCGGGCAGTTGGCGGAGGTCTGCGAGGGCTCGACGGTGAAGCCGTACTTGGTGAACTCGGAGTCGGAGCCCATGTCGATGCAGGACATGTCCCAGAAGATGGTGTCACCGGACTGGGTGTACTCGTACTGCAGCACCTTCTCCTGGCTGGGAGAGGTGGACAGCTTGATGGAGATGCCGCCGCCGTTGGAGTTGGTCTTCCAGTCTTGTTGCATTGAACCACCGCCCGCAGAGAGGGTTTGCATGTTTCCAGCTCTATTGGAAACAGTCCACGCGTAGACGTCTTGGTTCAAGTTGTTGACAATGGTGACACCACCGGAGCCACCACGGCGGGAGACGGTGTGAGGCAGAGCCGAAGCGACGGCAAAGGCAGCAGCCATAGAAAAGATCTTGGAGAAGAGCATTTTGAAAGATAGATAAAGATAGATATGTAGATCAGACAAAGATATCAGAAGTATCAAAGGATAAAGATAGATGATCGCGTTGATCAAAGATAGTCCAAAGACAGAAGAAGTAAAGTCAAGTAAAGAAAGAAGTCTGATCTACAGACAAGGAATGGCGAGAATCGATCTCGAAAGAAAGAAGGAGTGACTGAAGAGTCTGACAGAGCAAAGAGAATGTCGTTGATGGAGAAGAGAAAAAAGGACCGGAGCTGCAGGTGAAACGAGGGGTTTATATACATTCACACATGATACCGAAACACACAGAAACCACTGACAGCTGCGGCAAATCCCAGCGAGTGATTGGCCCAAAAAAAAGGACGAGAAAAAAAAAGACAGAAAAGGGAAAAAAAGTATAGACCCCACTTTTCGGGACCAGCCAAAAAGCCCACTGGATCGCCTGGATCGGTCAAGAACAGGGGCGGGCCAATCACAGCGCCTGTCAGGCTCCAGTGAGGCGTTCCTGAAAATCTCTACACTCTAAGTTCAGCAGCACAACTTACAGCAAGTATAGTCAGTGTACATGATGATAATATGATAATATGATAATATGATCGTATTGTCGAGTGTTGACTATTGATAGATCCATCTCCGTAGATATCATATCATCTGCTCGTTTCAGTCGTCCTACGGCTGACTGACGTGGCAAACAAAACTGCAACAACTGAGCAGATCCGATCCCCCGTCATCCCTCATTCCCAACAGCCAAACCCACCTCCACCCGACAGCCCGACCCATGGATGCATCGAGGCAAACCTTCCTCGCATAAAAGAGAATAAAAATTTTATTCCATTTCTCTCCATTATCCAGACTGACTTTCCTCCTCCTACCATTATCCAGACTTATCCTCGCGTGGGAAACCATCTGTGGGCTGAAACACCAACCAGTTCTGGACCGTTTCTGTTTCATCCTTGGCCTTTTTAGCCACTTTGGGACTGTCTGACTGGACCGGCAGATGGGTTTTTTCAGCGGCAAGTTGTGATTTGATTAGTGATGAAGGCTTTTATTCGTCTGTCTTTCTAGTCTGGATTTTTTGCTTATTTCTCTTATTCAGCGGTTTCGGTTTCTATTACGTTCTGTTGATATTTGCGTCTGGATGACTCAGTCGGTGAGGAGGATTGAGGGGTTCGTTACGGATTCTTTACCGTTGTATGTAATCTTCGCCTCCGATCTGTCATCTGCACGTGAGGAGATTCAGGGTCTGTATATGATATCATCTACATATTCATATGCAATGGTGATATTTCTGTTCAGTTATTCTTATATCCCTACTATTGAATATTTTGTTTATAGCTACTGTATTCTTATTTTAAATAAATCAAAGTCTAGATCGATCGATTGGGCACCGTCGTTGTTGGTGCCTCTTAGAGTCTCTTGGACGCGGTTAGTCCGAGTTTATTCCTCACTACTAGCCCTACACAGCCATGCCCCGTCGACGTCACGCTGTATTTTTATTCAACACAAGATTACTCAGATTACTCGGGAATTACTTTGAAGAGGAAGAGTGAAAAATCGGGAGTACTCCGTAAGAGATTGATGTAAAGAAAATGTCTGAACTACCAATACTGCGGTGACAATCCTGCCAACCCCGATAACCCCTCGCCACTCGCTTCCTCCTTCTTCCGCTGTCCCGCCAGTTCCAGGTTGATTTGCCGGTGAAGGTGCACCAGCCAGTCCACGTAGCTCTGCGCCTCGTTGTTCCGGTCTTCCACCAGCATCCGTGCAAACTCGTATTCCGCCCCGTCCAGTCCCTGTCGCGCCAATTGCACCGTCACCGCTTTCGAGCCCCGGATCGTGGACAGGTACTGCAGTAGGTTGCGCACTTGGGCGTTCAGGTGTGTCTCCAGTATCGGTACCGTCGACGTCTGTGGGCTCAGCCCCTGCAATGACGATTGGCCCTCCCCAAACAGGTCCTCCAGTAGGTTCGGTGACACCTGCGAGTGCAGCCACAGCAGGCACACCTGTCCGTTGTCCACCAGGTACGCCCCTCCCTCTTCGATCTTGGAAAAGCTCGCCCGCAGCGTCGGTGGCACTTGGAGCTGCCCTTGCTCGTTCGGGAATCCATCCTCGGGTTGCATGTTGTGGATCGGAATGATCCGGGGGTACAGGTACAAACTCAACTCCGTGCATCCTATCGACCGCACCATCCGCATGTCGTGCACCCGTCGGTCTGACGCTTCTTGTCCGCCTGTCCGAGTTAGCAACCCATTTCACCATAGACGGGTAGAACTTACCCTTGAATGCTCGCGACTTGATCAGGCTCAGCATGTACATCGAAAACTCCTTCAGGTTTTCAGGCAGCACAAGCTGTCCTGGAGGGTGTGACCCCGAAAAGATCTTGCGATATCCGCTAAAGATATCAACCGTCTTTTCCGAAATGCTCGCTCGGATGTCTTTGAGCGATTTGTCCAGGATTTTCGACGCGGCTGCCACCAGTTAGTTGGTCGTTCAGACAGTTTATCTGTAAACATACCCTCTTTGGCCATAATTCCAACTACTGCATCCTGGTCAATAAACTTCATCGTGTCCAGTCCTCCCTGGTTGACCGCGGCCACCACGTTGATACACCGCACCCGGCGCTGTCCATCCGCTGATGTATACAGCAACGCCGCCTGGAAATGTGCGTCCAACTTGGGATCCAGTTTCCCGTCGTAGCTGAACATGACGCCAATCGCCTTGTCCGCATCGACAGATCCGATCTCCAGGTCTGCTCCAAACGTATGTTGCAGGAAGTTTCCGTGGTACCCAGACACTTGAAGACCGTTCGAGCATCGCACCTTCATCAATGCCTGGTAACCCGTCTCGCGCTCAATGGTGTGTGCCATCTCTTGCGACAACTTCAGAACATCCCGCGGGGCATGGAAGTTGGGGTAGGAAAACGTCTCACCACCGGTGACTCCAGTAACATGGCCTAGAATGTATTAGCCAGGAACATCTACCAATGTATCCGACCTACCGATCGTAGCAACATCCATGTACGCGCCACCAGGTGCCGCAATGAATGCATCAACACCAATTCCGGCCTCGGCCAGCTTGACGGCCGTCTTTCTCCATGCCGGATTCTCCGTCGCGAACAGCTTCTTCTCCGCATCGGTTCCGTGCACCTTGGGGTCTTCGCGCATGTGCAAATTGCCAGGTCCCCATGTTGGCAGGCTAGACAAGGAGCATACAATCTTACCACCTGTAGACTGCAAAGCACCCAATGCCGCATTGAGTGCAGGAAGCAATGCAGGCTCTGGGTTTTTCACGTGTGAAAAGATCTTTGGAATTCGGTCCAACAAGGATGAAATCACGTTCCTAGTTCTGTTAGCCAAGATCTCTCTCATCATACGATACATACTTGGACTCATAGGGATCTACAAAAAGTCCCTCGCTCAAGGGAACAAATGGTTCCTCCAGATCGGTCATCACCATCATTTGCGCATCATCAAGTTCCGCCTACGCTTGTTAGAAATTGCCGGTAAAACTACGGATGTACTTACGCTGAGATTATAAAAGTGCACCTCCCTATCAAATGTGACGATTCCAACCTTGGATCCCTCTGGGACTTTTCGTGCTGGCACTTCATCTGGGTTCTCTGGTGTCTCAGACTCATCTCCGTAGAGAGCATCCTTAATTCCTGTACAGACTCCCTTCAGGAATCCCCGGTTGACTGCCTCCTGACTAACGTCAATGACAAACAATCGTTGCAGGCCAACGGGCTCCTTGTTCCAGTACTCTTTCGGAACCAGGAATTCGACAGTTCCCATCATCAATTCAGGGCGCTGCATGCGGTCGACGCGCGATCCTGACAGATCAAGGGGAGCAAAATATTCCATAGGAACATCGTTCGGGAACGTGCACATGTTGCAGACAAATTTGTTTCCACCCGACTTAAACGACATAAAAGGATTAATGTACGCTCTGCATCTCCGACATCTCGGAGGTCCCACGTCGCCGAAATCCAACACTGGAATCGGTTGTTCGCCAGGATCCAGACGGGCCAGCGGCTGTAGAATCATACCCATGGGCAAGGCGGTAGAGGCAAGGAAATCGGAGTTTGACGGGATATTGTTCAACGTAAGACGAGCGTATTTCGGGGAGGAATTGCCTTGGTCATGGGCCACATATGGAATAGTAGATGGAGGTGGTAGATGGCGCTCCATCGTCGGGTATACATGATTGAAGTAGTACTGTGCCGGCAAGTCGCGAGACCGGGGGATACTGGGGATTTGCTCCGGGTCGATTTTCCCTTGGGTTGGGACGGATGAGCCTGGTGCAGGAGCCATAGGTGTGGGCTGAGGCACGGCTGCTGGCGAAATAGGCCGTGGATCCTGGTTCAACCCGGTGTTCAGGAACTGCGATGTGGGTTGCATGCCTGCCCCGGGCATCATCGCACCATACGGTTGCGATGGCGCGGCAGCAGCAGCAGCAGCAGATCCAGCACCGATATCATGGTGAGCATGTCGATGCTTCTTCTTGTGCGGCCGAGCAGCCCCTCCATCTCCCATTATGCCCAATCCTCCCATCTGCGACGTCAATCCAGCCATCCCAGGGTCTGCGGGAGCTCCCATCGCAGGTTGCAGCCCTGCACCGTAACCGACATTTGGACTGGGGGCAAAGTTCGTAGGCGGCTGTTGGTGTTGATGTTGTACTGGAGATGGTGAACCATAGGCGGACCATTGATTCGGGGCAGCGGTTCCGTAGTAGGCACCCGGTTGCGGGGGAGTGCTTCCAGGAGGCGGAGGGGCTTGATTCGGATAAGCCATTCGATTCGGATTGTTGGGATCTTCACCAGGCGCGACGCCCTGGCCGTAGGCGTTATACATATTAGGGTCCATAGTGCCTCATAACGCGGGGACAAACAAGGCGGAGAGGGGGGATATCGGAGGTAGACGAGGGATCAACACCGTCTCATCACTCGACACGGAGGTGTTGAGAGAGAAGAACCGGCGAGGAGATAGGAATTGAAGACCCAGACCACGCTGGGAGAGCAGAAGCAGCGCTGGCGTCTGAAGAAGCCAAGTTTGCGATCGTAAATAATCAGGTCTTTGGGAATTGACCACCTAATGGTTTCGCGGAACATAGTCGCTCCGAGCACGTGTTATCGATCAGTATAATTCAGTGCCATCAATAACATTGTTATTTCTTTATTTTATATTTGCAGATAGATATATACATATCTATATATGAATATTTTAGAGTAAATATATTCAATGTTGTAATTGTTGTTGTAGTATAGTGTGTCGAGTTGTCACTGTTTGTATACAACTTCCCCTGAACCATAAACTATACAGATATAAATTCTGCCATTTTCATGCTTCATACTCCATGGTACATGATCCATATTCTTATATGGAGTAAACATCCTCATAGACTCAGAATCGTACATTGTGATATCGTGGCGTGACTCCTTATCAATTATTCCACCGCATCGATAAGCCTCATACTGTCTAAACAACATCTCCACCTTGCTTCTCCAACTCTCATCAATCCATCGCCATCCTCATTTTAAATACCCTGTCTTATCTCCTTGAATTCACTCGAGACCTGCTCATCCTCCATGCAAGACCATGCCAACGCGGTCTTGAACTATTGATCTTCCGTGGGGCTCCTTCACCGTCTCTTCCTCCTGCTCTGTCTCATTGTGATGTCTGTATGGATCTAACCTCCCATACAGTTGACTAGTGATCGCAATGCCTTCAATGCATGATGACGACGAGCTTCTTCTCGCTCGTATTGGCTACAAGCAGGTATTCATATCTGATTCATCCATCTTATCCTCTATACACACGCAGCTAAGAATGATATCAGGAACTACGCCGCGAATTCTCAAAATGGTCCACCATCTCATATGCCATCTCCATCCTCGGCGTCTTGGGATCCGTTCCCGCGACCTTTGGCGCGCCTCTAGCTGCAGGAGGTCCTGCGACCGCCGTCTGGTGCTGGTTCCTGGGCTCCTGCATGGCCATGTGCATCGGCAGCTCCGTCGCAGAGCTGGTCTCGGCGTATCCTACCGCGGGAGGAATGTACTTTGTCACCAAACATGTTGTCCCTGAGGAGCAAGTGCCCATCTTCTCTTGGGTTCAAGGCTGGTGTAATCTGCTCGGTCAGACCGCGGGAGTCTCTAGTGTGGCGTATACAGTGAGCCAGATGCTGCTTGCATGTGCTAGCATGAATTCGGACCTCGTCGATGGCAAGTACTCGTATTCACCGTATGCAACGATATTTTCCTGTCAAGATCTGATCCAAGCTGATACACTCGTAGGACGGCATTGGAGACTGTGGTCGTGTCCATTGTGGTTCTGTGCGTCTTGGGAGTCATTTGCTCCTTGACCACCAAGACTCTCCACCGGATAATTCTCTGGTTTGCTCCTATCAACAGTATGAAATAGCATATTCTATCAGAGGATTATACTGATTGTCTTTCAGTCTCCGCGACCATCTGCATCTGTCTCGCTCTTCTCTACTTTACCCCCGAAAAGCAACCAGCCAGCTGGGTCTTCACCCATGTCACCGATGGCTCAGGATGGGGATCAAAAGTATTTTCATTCTTTCTCGGTTTTCTGTCAGTTGCATGGACTATGACCGACTACGATGGCACGACGCAGTAAGTAGAGTCCAAGATGAATATGACCGCTTTCTCACAAACCAACAGCATGTCTGAAGAAACCCACGACGCTGCCTCTCAAGGACCTCTGGCCATCCAATCCGCAGTCCTGGTGTCTGGAACACTAGGCTGGATCCTGACTGTTTCTCTGTGCTTCTGTCTCACTGATCTCGACGACATCCTGAACTCTCCTACCGGTCTTCCCGCTGCTCAGATCTTCCTCAACGCCGGGGGAAGAACAGGAGGCACCATCATGTGGGCATTTGCCGTTCTAGTCCAGTTCTTCACGGGCTGTTCAGCAATGTTAGCAGATACACGAATGGCATATGCCTTTGCACGAGACGATGCCTTACCTTTCTCCACGTATTTTCCCCTGAACCTATCCATCCCCATCATCAAAGCTAACCCACCCAGCTTCCTCTCCAAAATCAACAAATACACCCACACCCCCATCAACGCCGTCTGGTTCGTCGTCTTCTTCAGCATCTGCCTCAACTGCGTCGCCATCGGCTCTACCCAAACCGCCACCGCTATCTTCAGCATCACCGCCCCCGCCCTGGACCTTTCATACGTCTCCGTCATCATCGCCCACCAACTCTACAAACACAGAGTCCAGTTCGTCCAGGGCCCATTCACACTAGGCAGATGGGGGACCCCCATCAATGCCATCTCCGTCACCTGGGTTCTTTTCATTAGTACTGTGCTTTTCTTCCCGCCTCAGGTGCCGGTTACACTGGCTAATATGTGAGTTTTTTCGTGGGTTTGATTTGGTTTGAGAGTTGGACTGACAGTGTGTGTCTAGGAACTATGCTATTTGTGTTGGTGCGTTTATTGCTGCTTTTGCGCTTGTGTGGTGGCGGGTGGCTGCTCGTGGGTATGCATCTCCTTTCTTTTACTTGTTTGAAGATACTTATCTCGTGGTTTAGGAAATACACCGGTCCCAGGACAAATGATTATACCCAGCAAGTCCCGACGGAAGACTTGGGCGATTACGGAACTATTGATGATGATGTGGATAGACCATAGATTGGTTTGCAATATACATTTGGGCCAGGATATTTAGAATTAGAAGAACATCTAGAATATAACGATCATGAATGAAACCAACGAATGAAACCAGCGAAATCAAAATACAAGCCAAATGAGCAGTACTAGAAGACTGTGTCAACTACCTCAATCGTTTGAGGCTTGGTGAATTTTACTATATGGATATGAACTGGACACTATAAATACATCTCCATGCCATGCATTAGGCTCCAAACCAAATCAAATATCTTAATTGCCAGCAACAACAGCAAGACCTTCATAGACCTTCCTCTTCACAGCCAAAAAGCTGAGTGCTGCCTGTCCTATGGGCTGGTTGGCCGCCGCCGATTGAGCAGCTGCTTCGATCTCAATTCTGCCCGTCCCGGACTTTCTCACGGCGACTGATCCGTCAATCAGTAATGTTCCTTCACCTCGGAATTCTGCCCTGTGGCCGGCGCCTTGCATGATCTTGCGCAGGTCTGCCAGTCGCATGTCACCGACGTTCAGAGGTCGGGTCATTGATCTCGTGCCGGCTGCCATGTTAGCGGGGAGAATGTCCAGCATGGGGAAGACATCCGACTTTTCTGCTGGCGGTTTTACCCCGTCGGGAGTTGGGGCGACCTCCGTGCTGGTCTCGTCTGTTAAGAGCTTTTGTTTCTTGCTAGCCGATTCTTCTGCTTCTTCGGTGGCGTCGGTAATTTCAGGTCCTCTCAGCTGGGCAGTCAGTGCCACAACACCCAGGGCACGAACTTGCTGCCATTTCAAGCGTCGGACCAGGTTGTTGCTCAGCTTGACCATCCAGGCATTGGTGTCCACACTGGCATCGATGAGTTCACCATTTACCGGTGTGAAAATGACCGCAGACTCTGCGGAAGCGGTATCAACACCAGCCTTGAGAAGCTTCTTGCACTCAGTGGCCAATGCGCTGGTCTCTTCTTTCATTCCACCAACCAGGATCAACTTGCGTGGTTGAATGAGTGGGATGAGCATCTCTAAACTGCGCTTATCGTGTAAGCCCGCGAAGTCAATAAATGCAAGGCGGGCGTTGACTGTAATCGTGGCTTTCTCGTAGACAGCCTTTGCGGGTCCTTCAAACTCCTGGCCATCAGCCTCATCCTCTGATGACACAACAGCATCGCCATCGCCATCTTCTGCAAGACTGAGATCATCAGCAATGCTTGCATCCCTTCGGTCTAGACGCTTATTCCCAGACCCAGATAGTCTGCGTCCATTAGGTCCTGTTTCGTCCCATCGCCGTTTTTGGCCAAGCTTCATCGAGTCTGATCCGCGCTGGTGCATGTCCACTTCTTCACGCTCTTCCGCTCGCAGGTATTCCTCCGGTCGAATGAACTCTCCGAACTCGTCTCCCTTCTTCCTCGGCGCTACATAAGGGTACATTCGTTCACGGCCCTTCTTCCCGCGGACATCGTAATCGAAGACATTCTTCCGCCGCAGAAGAACGTTTACTCCGAGATCTTCATCACTCAACCCAAGCTTGTTGCGATTGGCGTGAGCCAATGAAGTAGAAAAGTTCAAAACCCTTCCTTGCTGTTCTGTCTCCGAGTCTTCAGATGTGGTGGAACTGGACCGGTCATCCAATGCGTCGGCTGTGGTGTCGAGACTCTCCTGTCCTCGTGTTTGGGTAGTGTCTTGGAGTTGCCTTTTTGTGGCAAGATATTGTTGGTAAAGTAGTTGTTCCCCTGAATCAAGCGGAGCACGTTGCACGTTTGTCCATGAAAGCTCCCTTCCTCCACCATGGATCTGCTCAAGTAGACCACCATCCGACGCTTTCTCCAACGCAACACCATCACTTCGTTGTTCATACCATTGCCAAATCATACCACCCAGAGTCATCCGCTGGGAAGTCTGGGCACTATCCGGAATCTTTTCCTTATGAAGAGAATCAGTGAGCAAGAGCAAGTTATTAGGGCCCTCGGCCACCATGCGTAGAGAATCCTTGGCGAAGCCCCAGTCTAGCGAAGAATCCGAAGCAAGAATAACCTTCGGCGTCCCGTCAGATATAATTCTCTCCAGCTTCTTTCTCCGTTCAATGATCTTGAGGTGCTTGAATGAAAAAGGACCGGCTCCCTTGGCTCCCTTGTCCTGACTTTGACCCCCAGATCTCTGGTTGTCTGTCTTAGACTGGCCCTGAGTTGCTGCGTCTCCACCCTCGGCCGCTTCAAACTCGCGCACAATATTCTCATCCATCCATTCCAACATACTCCTTGCTAGCCTCATAGTGGTGAGGGATTTCCTGCCCGCCAAATACAGCCCAGCGCCTTTGAGCACATCGTTATCGCCATCTTCTGTATCACGCCACGCATGCTCCAATGAATATGCCAGTTCAAGGACTCGGGCACTGGTATCCGTGGGAATGAGAACAGTACCCCCCTTAGCAAGACTACTCCGAATCATATCCAGAAGCAAATCATCACGCTTCTTCCGCCCTCCAGGAAGAGCAAACTTGTCTCCACCCTTGGTACTGCAGACCAGTGCAGTGGGCTTGCGTAGCTGCTCAATAACCTCAGTCCCACTAGCTCCGGAGCCTCCAAACCACGCAGCTCCCGCCACGACACTTTCTCGCGCTTGATTCCAGTCGACTGCATATACAATCGATTCCATTCCATGTTGAATGTGCCATATTGTGCCTCCGACGGTATGTCCAGCGTTGTAAGCAGTAAGCGTCAGTCCATTCAGAGGCGGCGAGAACGGAGACGGACTTGGCTCGTGTGGTTGCGAATACTTCAATGGGTGAATCAACGAGAAGTACCGGGCGATCTCCTCTCCTGTTGGAGGCTGAAGGAGAATCCGACCGGCACCTGTCGCCTCTGTTTTCCCCTCACCACCTTCTGTCGCGGATGCTGCGGCGGATGCTGCCGACGAGGACGCGCCCGGCTCTGAGATCGAAGCTTTTGGTAGAAAGGTGGAAGCTAGCGGTGATGAGGCGTATAGGTCTTGTAGAAGTGTACGTCCGAGAGCAATGACGGGGCTCGTAGCGTAGACGGGGATTTGAGTAAAGAGGGGGAAGGTCTTGCAGCAATGCGCAAAAGCACCGAGATGTGAGGGTGTCGCGTGAGTCAAAAGGATGAGCGATAGAGTGGGAACATGTCTATCCACGGAGAAATTATTAGCCCAAGTAATTCTCAGATACGCAAATTCAAACAAGCGAAGCTCACTTCTCCAATTCCACCAAGTCAAGGGTATCAAATGTATCGTCCCAACCCACATCCACGAGGATCTTTATCCCACCATCAAGCTCCAAAATGGACTGCGAAGCCTTTGAGGTCGACGACTGCGCTCCGAGCAGCGGAGTAAACGTAAACATATTTGCGATTCTTTGTCACAGTAGTTCGATAGATGTAACAGGTGTAGTCGAGTTTGTCTCGGAGACTCGGCGGTAGGGAGGAGAGAGCGCTTCTCAGCCTCCAGTCATGAATCCGGGGTAGAATTAAACCCTGGAGCGATTAAATCAAGGCATAGCATTCGAATAGTCCCTATTGAAAAATCGAAATCGGAGGATTTGACGGCGAATGGGAATCAGTTGACGCGGAGTCGGCAACGATGCGATGTGCCTTTCTTTCGTCAACACCGACTTGGTGTTTGTTCCGTTTGCATCCATTATAGATGTCGCCAGTTACGACAATGAGTTTGCCTATTCTTTAAGAAAATATTGATTATATCCTATATCAGAAATTTGGTTGTAATTCAATTTGATAGAAAATATCTTCTTGACAATATCCATCAGTCGTGTGGCTACATTCTGTTGCTACACTATTTGTCCTTGCAATTAGGGCTGATATCAAAAGCGTCCATGTCTATCAAGATCAACAATCATATGAACAACTATCACAAATAACTATAAACAGTGAAAACCCCCGAGCAGTATGTGCAGAAGATCAAGATATAACCAAATTTCAAGAACGCGGGCAAGTCTATCCCCTTCTATGTCGTAACGAAAATTCATAAAAGCCAATGCCTATGCTTCGAGAGTTAGCATAAGACTCAATAGGAGCAAATAATATTGTTAGACTTACATATGTGCATTAACAACACCCCCACCTCCCCTATCGTATTGCAAACTCATATCGAGAACGATTGGACTGCAGCATGATATCTGCCACTCCACATCAAACCACTTGTACTAGCAACGAACGAGCTAGGGGTCTCGACAGCCCCTTTTGGGATTCCGTCTAAGGGGAGGCGTGTTACAGGTCGTAACCCTAGGCTCCCTTTTAGGGGCTACAGCAGGCGTGGAACTGGAGCCCTGCTGTGTAGGTCTCGGGGCCCTTGTCACACGATTAGAGCGAGTTTTCTTAGTAGTCTTCGCCTTGGTAGTCCTGGGACGACCGGTACCACGGACTGTCGAGTTAGCAGATGGCCTCTGAACTGGCCCAGAAAAAGGTCTGAAAGAGCTAGGAGAATCAGACAGGGCCTCCAGTTCACCCTCCAAGATATCCTCTTTGGCAGTATAGAAACTTTCGCCCGACCATCTCCTCATTCGCCGAAAGGTACGTCGAGGAAAGTGCTTCTCGAATGCACTTGGATCATTCAAAAGTGTCTCTTTCAATTTTTTGACAGCTTTTGCGGCATCCCTCTGGGCTTGAGGCCAATTATCAACCGGTGAATTTCGACGGCTTGAGCCTGTATTGTCAGAAGATGTCTCAGTTCGCTGTGCGCTTCCCATAACTTGCGATCGGCTGGTTATAGTGGGCAGCCCATGTGCCAGTGGGTCTGGTGATGTACGACCACCAGCTGCACGCGTGAGGTTGCCATCATTCGAGCCTATAACATAGCAGCAAAGTTAGCCCATCGACATTCAAGCCATGGAGAATGCTATATGCAAGGGGGAATCAGGAATGCTAGCAAGACTTCGTTTCTCCGATAAACATGCAACCAATCGACATGCTCGCTGCATATCAATCATGTTTTTGATAATCGGACAAAAGGATAAGTCTTGCATTGACACATTCTTATTTACATCACCTGATAATCCCAAACGCATACAGAAAAAGGCACAAAAACATGCATAGGACTAGGATGATCACCCCAGACAAGATAATAAACCTGTACTTACCGATTGGTGCCGGCTGTCCGTCATCTCCAGATGTCTTTTGTGAGGAGCGCTGTCCACTTTCAAGGTCATCCTCGTCGCTCTGTCCACTGGACGTTGTTTCCAGCTTGGAATCTTCACTTGAGCCTTCGCCTGAGCTATCTTGTGGGCTATATCTCGGGCTATCTCCTGAGCCATCATGTGACAATGATGCCTCTGGATACCCTTTGATTGATTTGATGAATTTGGTTGTCAAGTCAGAAAATTTGGAAGATCGGTGAGGTGTACCTGGACTGACTAGTGGCGATGGACGGCCAAATCCTTCGTATTGCAGTGCGTCAGCCGCAATGCGCTGCAATTGGGAACTGGACTCGAAATAGTCCGTGGTTGGGGCTGGTGGCAGGTCTGGTAGCGGATCTTCATCTTTGGGTACAATTGCCGAATGTGGCCCAGACATGATCGCCGCTCTGATATGTGCTCTGATAATGGGCAATCCGAGCGAGTTCTCAAGGTATTTGTACGCATACTCGTAGAGTTGGTCCGACTTGAACCCGTTCCACCCCGAGGGATCACCGGCATCGAATCTCCACTGCAACATGTTCGATTCAGGGTGATGATGTGCCAGTCTGTCTGCGAAGGGTCTCATAGGTCTTCCTAATGTGACCGAGCTTGCAGACGTCAGCTGAGAGTCTGGAAACCCTTCTACCGGGTGCTGTCGTTCAACCTCTCGAGGAATGGGTTCGATCAGCCATCGAGGTTGCTCTGCACTATCACCAAAACAGATCTTTGGGCCCGTCAGTTTTGCTGGAGAGGGCGTACGAGCTGGTTCTTTCTTCGGCCTCCATGGCGCTGGGCCTTTGGGAAAAGGCGATGCGCGGTCGTCAATCTTAACCTGAGGAGGCAACATGGAGATATTCTTGTGATCAGTTCCATGGGAAAATACATCCGGTTTATCATTTATATTCTTGCATATCTGCTGAAGTATCGTTTGAACGGGATCCATCCCTCCACCTAAAGGAGGCACTTGACTTGGTGTGACTTCATTTTTCAGAGGTGAAGATGGCGTAGCCCTTGACATCCCCCTCGCTCGTCTCTCTGGAGAAGGGATTATTTCCACATGCTCAACCTTCGGAAGCCCCAACGAAGAGAGAATCTTCTCTGCCTCGTCATCAAAGGATTTGGCTTGTCCGGGCGGTGGTGTCATATTGACGGAGGTATAAAGTATCGTAATACTGTGATTCCTGTCAGCTCATAAGAAACATGGTGCGAAGGAAGATTGGTGAGACAACATACTATACACTTCTTTCGGTGCTTTCTGATATTCTCAAGGTTTCAATGTATGTTGTTGCAAACTAGATGTAGCAGGTTTTTAACCCATCCGAAACCACAACTTGCTATTAGACTTGTTAATAATTCATCAGCCTGGGTATTCATGGACTTGTTAGAAGCGAGAAACATACCAATGTCCAGCTGCGTCAAAGCTTCTTTGACCCCTTTCTCTATCAGATATCTTGATTTATCGACTGAGACAAAGAGCTTCTTCCTTTTGTTTCCAAACCAAAAATAGAGAATTCGCATATATAGAGTGCAAGGGCTGCCTTTTCTTTGTGCAAGAGTCGTCTTTGTTGATGCAAGATGGCTGTGAGGTAAAATGCTGATAATGAAACCACGCGACAGGAATATCAGGATTAAAGCGCTTGACTATATCAGACCGAACCACCCATCAGCATCATCAACAAAGAAATTAATCCATCAAGGAATCAAATCTTACCTCGTCAACTTGGGTCGAATGTTGCACTTCTTCCTCCAAGAACTGAATGGACAACCCATCTAATAATAGTAGGGGGAAACCAGAAAATCCCCCTAGAGAATCGACGATAGTAAGCATTCCCGGTGATACCTTAGAAGCTATACCAAGAACCTCCCAAACCCCCTCCACGCCATCACACTAGTCAGTGCAGATGAGCAAAGCTATCCAGAACTGACTTGTTTGCTTCCCGGTATCCCGAACCAGAGAACTCAAACCAATAGAGCGGGGAGACATAGAAGCAAGAATCCGCCATAACGTCAGCAAAGCTCTGTGCGTTCTGTTGTCGCTGGTGCCTTTGTGTGGCCGGGAAGGCAATACAGACCCTCCTCTGTGGACATACGACAAGCCTCCCATGATTCAGTGTGACATCAACAAAGAAAGGATAAGCCACATTCCTCGGGGGATTCCTGATCCTACTCTTTAGTCGATGTGTTTCTTTTACCAGGTAGTGAAACCGCAGTGGGTGGGGAGAGACTGGGCTGGAGGCTGAAGATTGTGTCCCTTTTGGAATCGTTGGAATGCTGCCCAGTGTGCTTCTGACTGTCTGGGAAGAAATCCAACACATCGACCGTTGATCGATTAGATGTGTTGATTATTCCTTAAGCAACCATTATAGAAATGACGATCTGACCCACACTGGAATTCTCTTTCAGTTTCAGAATCAAACGAGAGATAAAGAAAGAGCCTACTCCTGGTTATCTGGGAATATTAACAAAGAGCGCATCCCGCTTGTTGTTCCTCAAACCAAAGACCCCAAAATAAGGAATCAGATTTTATCACCAGACTCAATATCCGTATTTCTCACATTCCATCGTTCCATTGATCCATTTTTGAGTTTAGAATGTCTGCTCCTTTGGAACTAATACATGAGAATACCCATTGATATTCAGATCTATATTGAGGGAAGAATTTTAGGGAAGCCTGCCTTCTGAGCAATTTGTGGCCATTTGACCATCGTATACCTTTTGCCCTATAAGGTTCCGGCATATTAAATTCCAATGACACGCTACAGAGATTCGTCGGTCGTTGGATTGTTCGAGTCTTAATCTTAATGGTAAGAGTGGCAAGCCAGTAGCAAGGCGAACTGAGAACAAATTATTTCCGATTGAAGATTCACAAGAGTACATAGATAATAATAGTCATAGCTAATAATCGCTGGCGACCAGTCATTCAAATATCGGAATGCCAATGGTCCCTTAATAAATACTATACTCAGCGACGCGGTGAGCCCATCTTTGCGATGGTCAGTTGAAGGGTGATGAATGATGAATGTAGCCCTTTGGCAAGTATACGGAATCGCTTATTGCCAGTATCTTGGCTCGTTAAAGACGTGGTAGCGGTGTCCACGGACACCATTTCCACGGAACAGTGCCGGAAACCGGCGGCCCTCAGGAACCATTCCCTCAGGGATCATCATCTCGTTCTCGGGTTCAGGCTCCCCAATGACAAACTTGCCAACCTGTTACGAATTAGTTAATAAACCACTGACTTTAAATAAAACATCGGAAACGTACCTGAATCTCCGTGTCCGTAATGCTGTCTCGGCTGACTCTGGCGTAGCCTGTTCGCTTCAGGCCCTTGTAAAGGATGTATTCACACCATCTATCCCAGTCGGTAGGGTCGATGTCCTTCATGCCACTAACATCACTGACATAGGTGTTGTAGTTGCCCTCAAGTGGCTTGGTGACCAGGTAACTCAGCAAGACCACGGGACGTGGCGATGAGCCCATCAGGTTGGAGAGATATTCTGTTTGGAGACGACGGTCTTCCGGATCTTCTTCTTGGCCAGAGTGGAAGACAACAACATCGACAAGCTCTCCATACATATCAAGAGTAGCGTGGATGGCCGGGGCCAACTCACCAACGGGAGAGGGGAGAAGGTGGTGGGTGGAGTTAACAATAGGGAACTTGGAGAGCAGAGCAGATCCCCAAGTGTGCTTGTTGGGGCCCGGACCATAGTCTGCGTACATGCCCAGGTCTTCCGCGAGGAACTGGGTAACATCGCGGTTGCCCATGATGATGCGCTGGTTATCCGACTCCAAAAGACCGATGACGTCAATCTCAAGCTCCTGGATCACATCACGCATGCGACGCTCCGAGTTCCACATATCATTGTCGAGACCGAAGTGGACAGTCCAGATACCAAGGGTGGCAACCTTGTCCTCCTTGTGATAAGGAGTGTAGTCGTTGGTGGGGAAACGCAGGTAGGCCACCGAGATGGACAGAAGTTGCAATGCCGCGAGAACGTAAACATAGTACGAGCGCTGTCTCTTGCTGTTGGGGCTGACGGACTTGGGCTTAGGGCTGGACGAGTTCGAAGTTGCAGCCGAGAAGACACCAGCTCCGATAGAGAGCATGGTGATGGTCATAAGCCAGTCAGTGTGCTCACGGACGAGGGGTCCTCCAGGAACAAAGGCGTAGGCGACAACCCAGACATGGAAAAGAACCAGGAACATGAATAGCAGGAATCCGACACCAAAGGTAGTTCCCGGGGAATGACGGACCGCCGAAGAAATCAAAACTGGGGTAACGGCCAAGAGGTAGAACGTCAGAGCCAGAGCACCATAGTATCCAGTCCAGTGGCTGTAGCCTGTGAGCAATGCAGCACCAACAGAACCAATACCATAGGCAGTCCAGCTTCCAGCCACGCGGGGGTTGAAAAGTCCATACACAAGTCCAGCACCCATGGCAAAGATCGTAAGCGCACCGTGAGGTACGGCAATAGGACCTCGTACGGGGTAACCCTCCCAGACCCAAGATATCATAGTGCTGGAGTCAGAAAGAAGGGCATGCATCGAAAAGACGAGACCTCCGATACCCAAACCGGCCAACACTGGAGAACCCTTCTTACCGCTCGAGGGGAAATAGTCCCCTCCACTAACGGGTGCTCGTGTTCTGTGTGCCCTCAGAACAGCGAGAACAGCGAGGAAGAGACCCAGCTTGTTCCAGCCGCCATTTTCGGCATGCATAGTAGGCCAGACTGGGTTGTTGGTCGAGCAAGCAAACTTGGCAACGCTGGACATGATCAAGCCGATACCCCATCCAAAGATCCGAGATTCAAGTCGTGTAGTCTGGGTTCTCTCCGCATACCAGGTGCAAGACCATGCGATAGAGGTACAAGCGACGGAAAACATGGTCATGAAAAGTCGGTTTGCGGGGTTTTGGAACTTGTAGGCCAGAAGACCGGAAATGGAGAGGAAATGAAGAAGGCGAAGGTTCTTCGTAGCAAGGGACCTCACGGAGGGGATGACGAGAATCACCGGCGAGACATAGCTGAGAATGGCCAACTCATATCCAGAAATACCCATGTGCCAGAGAGGGAAGTCTAACACGATCAGCTTAAGATTTCCATGAAAAGTGAAGATGACTTACACCAGACCAAGACACCGAGGGCAGTCCAAACAGTCCAAAAGACAAACTACAAACTGTCAGCAACGACCCAACCATCCAAGGCTCTATGGGAAATTACCCCGGTGTAGGCATCCGCAGCAGCATCGATGACTTCCGCCCAGAAGAAACCTTCACCGAACGTGTTTCCAACGGGCTTGCCCTTCCTGGTGCCGAGGTTAACTCTCGGGTTCAATAGCTTTGGTAAACGGATTATACACACTCTTTTTCAAGAACCGAGTCCGCGGTAGTCTTCAACTGCCTGATGAATTGGAACTTAGAACAGGTTTTCATCTTTAAACCCCCACAACCATTGTTTGGCAACTATACATTTTCGTCCTTTCCTTTGGTTTACTTCGGAAGCCACTGTACATACCCTCTACTGACCCCCTTCACATCCCTGACCACAATTTCGAATGCGTCAAAGTCAAGTGCAGTGACCGCATCGAATCCAACATCGAACAGAACGAGAGACCACTCGAAAAAGGCGTACTTGGTGTAGGCTAGATGCAACGTCAGAAAACATATAGGACAAGCTAGTATTAAGATTATGCTTACCACCAGGGACCTTGTGCACCTTGTGCTGGATGAAAAAGTAGATCAATGGAACCAGAGTACCAAAGAACAAGCTGGCCATAATCTTCCGGTATTTAACAGCACGACGGTTGTTAGGGCTGAGCGCAAGACATCCCAGAGTCCATGGCAAAGTCGCAACCAAGTAGGAAATCATGAAGATGTCGTGCCAATCATGGTCGTCGGTCGATGTAACATATGTCCAACCTCCGCATGTGAAAGTCCGAAACACACCAACACCAGCGACCAACTTGGGCAGGTTCGAGTTAGGGCGAGCAGTCAGGATATACCACAGGCAAACGAGGGCGAACCGAGGACCGGAAGTGAGAGCGATGAAGACCTGGAAAAAAGAGCGCTCAGGGTAGCGATCACCGATAGTAGCGGACACGGAAGGAAACCATTCGTCGGGGTAGCCGTAATGTTCGTTTTGGACAATCTTCTTAAAATGCAATGCCATGCCCACCAGCAGAGCACTAAAAAAGGCGGCATATGCAAAGCCGGTGTGGATCCAGGACACCCATTTTCCATTCACCTGCGTCTCGTTCAGCAAGTGTCAAGTTAAGATTAGGGCTGTTAGATGTCGACACGTACCGCAACAACGGCATCCCCATCTTTGACTCTGGGTGCCATGGCGGCGTAATATGGGCAAACTGCCGCGCTTCAACAGAAAAAGAAAACAAAAGAGTGTCGAGAAGATACAAAAAAAGAAGAAGGGGGAAAGAAAGAACACATAGACAAGAAAAGAGAATAGCAAACAACAAAAACCCCTGGATGAATTGACATTCGGAGGTGATGCTCGGAACTCGCGGGCGGTCAGCGGGGCTAGTCCGAATATGGGCAAGCGGCCACGAGAAGTTTGTCTGGGCAAGTCGGAGAGAGACTCTGCGGGATGTCGATGCTTTTTTTTCGATGCTTCAGGAATAACCTCCCAGCATCAACGACAACATGTCTGCCGCTACAGATAAGGCACGGTTCTTCCTGGAACAGTCGGTGCCAGAGCTGAAGGAGTACGAGAAGAAAAAGCTTTTCAACAAGGTATTTATATTCGAACGATTCCTCTTGCTCATGAAATTCATTAGTAACTTTTTTTTTCTACAGGATGAAATCAGCGCAATTATTAAAAAACGATCGGATTTTGAACACAAACTCAACGCCCGCGGTGCCACACCTGCCGACTTTGTGCGATATGCACAGTATGAGATGAACTTGGACACTCTCCGGCGCAAAAGAGTAAAGCGATTAGGAATCAGATCGGCCGGTTTCAGCGGCCAGCGACGGATTTTCTTCGTTCTCGATCGAGCTACTCGCAAGTTTCACGGAGATGTTGGATTATGGATACAATACACTGAATATGCCAGGCAGCAAAAGGCGTTCAAGAAGCTTTCGTCGATCTTTACAGATGCTTTACGGTTCCATCCCACCAACGCAGAACTGTGGGTTTACGCCGCCAAGTATGCCCTAGACGACCATGCGGATATGACACAATCTCGAAGCTATATGCAGCGTGGATTGAGATTTTGCAAGAGTTCGAAGTTTCTGTGGGTTCAGTATGCCAAGTTGGAATTGATTTATATCGCCAAGCTGGTCGCTCGTCAACGGATATTGGGACTCGACAGAGAAATTGAACCCGCCAAGCCCGAAGAAGACACTGCATTTGATGACCCTGACGCCGACATGATTGCACTTCCAAAAATTACCGGTGAAGATATCAACCCGAGCGCTGGAGATGAGGATGGAGTCGACCAGGTAGCGCTAGAAAAGCTCAAAAGCTCTCCTGCACTGAGTGGCGCTATTCCACTGGCCATCTTTGATTCGGCCTGGGATCATTTCAAGAATGACACCCGGTTCGGCCATGAATTCTACGATATGGTATTCGAATTTGGCGACTTGCCGTGTCTGCGCAAGATTTTGGGGCATATTATCGAGGCAATGATGGGGGCCAAGTCCATCAGTCATCATGCGCAGATCTGCTACATCAAGTTCCCAACTGCAGGAATCCAAGTCACCTCACCCGAGTTCCCACGAGCACTGGGTGCATCTCTTGCACGTATGAAAGAGCACCGACAGCAAGGCGAGTTAGCCCAAGAGATCATCAGCTGGTTGCAGCCGCTCGAAAAGACGGAGGGTCTGGATCCTTCGCTGCAAAGAGTCATTGCTGCCACAATCCGCAGTTCCGAGCGTACTCTGCAGACAGAGTAAATTACTTGCATCAATTGTTTTTCGGGGCGTTTATCGGGGGCAAGAAAAAGTTCTCAGGTCTTGAGTGTTTAGTTAGCTCCTCCCAGTTAATCGTCATACTTATTACCCCGCCGGCTGCTCTTTTTGCTGCTGAGCATTTTCTTCGACTTGATCCGAGCCTCGTTCTCTGCTTTTTTCCTGTATCCATCTGTTAGAAATCACCTCTAGACGAACAAATATGAACATATAAGTCACACTCATACAATTTCTGCACCCTACCCCTTTGCGCATCAGATGTTTCACCAGGGATAGCCTCTTTGGCGGAGCTCGTAAGTAGCTGGTGGAGCTTCTCAAAACACGACTCCACGTTGGTCGCCCGTTTCCGCGACTCATCCGATTGTATGACCAGGCTCTGCGCTCTTTCTGCAGCATATCGGGAGGATCGGAGGTGCGGATGTAGAAGTCTCGGGACAAGGGGGAGGAGCGAATACAGTGGTACTTTCAGCGTTGCTTTGGAATTTACCCTGCGCACAGTTCACACACGATCAGCTGTTGTTGACATTGAAAGATGCGGTGACGACGGACTTATTCACATTCTGCCCTCCCGGACCACTGGAGCGACTAAAGGAGATTTCACCAATGTGGCGAGGAATGGTCTTGGGATCGAGTTTCTCGGCCCATTCACGGGCAGCGGTCAATTCCTCCTCTGATTCTTCGGGGGCATCTCGTCCGGACGCGAAGGATCTTGCGGAAATTCGCGAAAGTGAAGTATTACCATATAGATTGGATATAATGCGACGATTGAATAGAGAATTCAGCATTCTTTCCAAGTCGAGATAGACCTCGCGTGGTGGGCAGACAGCTCTTTTGAATAGGTTACGAGTTCACATTAGGTATTGCTGCTTCAACGTGGTAGAGGAATTCCCGACCCACACAGGCAGATTGATGTCTTGGCGGCTGTACCGTTGGATCCACAGCTGTTTATATCTCCTCGGCTTCATTTTCCGTTTGAACAATAGAACCACTGTCATCCATGGGCATATTGAAGACAATTTTAAGCTTTACGAGACGCTTTTAGTAAATTAAGTACAGATGGCTGATAATCTGGACCGAGACTCGTTAATTTGACTGCCGATCTTGGAAAATATCACATCCGCGGTGATCCATCGATGGAGGCCTGACAGCTGACACACCGAAGCATCGACATCGCTTATGTTTTTTTTACAATACTGCATAGACTGGTGGAATGTATCGTGGTGGTAATGAAATGATTGTTCATAAAATGCAGAAATGATGACAGATTGTCGATATATTTGACACTTGACAGTCACCTGGACCATTTCTTTCGATTCTGCCATAAAGCACAGGACTATTATTTAGTATAATTTATATTATTTAGTCTATGATTGCTTTTGTTGAGACAAGGATTAAATAATCTCATCAGTGACCAGTCCATTTAAAGTCATGTGTTGTGTGTTGACTGTGCATCCCACTCTGATGAGTTATTAAACTAAGAACCACCTACATATAAACTACTGGCACTATTCGCAATGGTGTATGCCTATCTTAGAAGACTGCATCAATTCTTAGGTTCCAGATTATCCGTCTCTTCCCTGTTCTTGCTATTAGACAATTCTGACCCCGGACTCTCGCAGATACAGCATCCTTGCTCCCATGCCACGGGAATTCCCGATGAACAGGGATAAAAAGGAGGGGCGGCTGAATGATTATTATAATAGCAGCCATAGGATATGCCGGATGATTACCTGCAGAGCGGGAGAGATCAGCAGAGAACAGTGCGGAGAAGAGTTCCTAGACAGTCAATACGCATAGGACAGCATACCAGGATAAGTTACTTAAAAGTAGACGGGATGTACCGTACTACATGGATAGGACTGTAAGGTACCAAAAGGTCTATTTTAAGTACGTAGAGCAGCAGACGAATAACAAGCACGATGCAAACAAGCACGAGGATCATTTCCAGATGCCCGACATCCCAAACTCAACGGGGCTACTAACCACGTCCAGTCACCCAGCCGACTGACTCGCCCTGCCAGAGTCACGGACGGCCTCCGGGCTCCAAGAGGGTCTGGCCCCAGGGATTGCCAGGCAACTGGTGCTTTCTGCCGCCGCTAGAGGGCTCGATCCCACCAGTCACCGCCCAGAAGCCTGCACGGTGGGTGGGTCCCAGTGGCCACCCTCTGAGAGAGCACCACTTAATGCGCAAACTCTGCTAGCTCACTAACTCAACTCCGACTGAGAAAATGTGAATCTTCCTTCTTTTCTTCCATCCCTGCCGACCACAGCTGAGAAAAAAGAATTTTTCTAAGAAAACACCAGCAAAAAAAGAAAAAAGAAAGCAAAAAAAAAAAGGGAAGAAGCTGCAAGAAGCAGAACACTGATCGGGAAACACGGGACATTCACTCGACCTAAACCTCAAACTAGATCCCTACTTCCCCCCCCTCCCCAGCTCACTACTAACCTCATCGTCTCCTCTTTTTTCCTCATCGTTCTCCATCGCCTTCAGCTTCATCTTCATCTGTTTTTTATTACAACATAAAATCGTGTCTTTGATTTGGCCCTTGTCACTTCCCCAGAAGGACCACAGGGCCAAACTGTCTTTTTTTTCCCTTCCATTTTCTTTCTCCTCTCTCTCCCCCGACGTGTTTTCTTTTTCTTTCTCCACTACTACTGTATTCGGTGTACGTGTTTTCTTCCACCACTTCATCCTTTCATCATCTTCTCTCTCTCTCTCCTTTACCGCCCCGGGCTTCCAACGGCCCGGTTCTTCCTATTTCTCGAGATAGCCCCACCTTAGCTTCGTCGATTTTGAAAATCCCCATCGCAGTGACCCTGGGATTATTTATCTTATCCTTATTTTTTTTTCTTTCCCCTACCGCGCTTGTAGATGAATCCATTTCTCGTCCCCCTTCTACATGACGCCAGGTTCCCCAGATGAGGCTCTTCACTTTCGAGGAAAAACTCTGACTCCTGAGAGCCCTCGCCCGGTACACATTGCGGAACCGGCCAACATCCCCGTGCTGCAAAATCAAATGGACCCCGTCTTCAATGATACGTCGACGTACGAGATACCAGAGAATGTCGCCCATGGCCATACCCCCCAGACGCAGGATGGCCGAATGCCCCGCGGACAATATGCAGGATCTGATGGTGGAGGTGGTGTGAGGGGAAATCAAGGTCCCGTGCAGAGCCAGGAGCAGCAACAACAGCGGCAGCAGCCTTATCCCCCAGCAGCAGGTAGCTTCTTCCTCTTCCGCCCTACCTCACTACTGGTAGATGGATTGATGGACCAGCATGATTCAACATCAACCATTATTCAACCTTATCCATCAATCCCTATACCTACCATGACTGAGACCTCTGTGGTCCAAGATCCAACAGCACCACCATCATCAACAGCAACCATAATCGCAGCAAACTCATCTCTAACCGCTTGTCCTCCTCCAGATACCGCTACTCTTCTAGCTCAAGCTATCCCTAATGGCCCTCCCCATGCTCCTCCCCAGGGCATTCCCGTTGCGAACGAGATAAACAACCCTTCTGCCGACTGGTCCGCCCAGCCAGCTTCTTCTCATGATCATCATCGACTAGAGTTTCAAAACAAGAAGCCGGAAGATAATGCATCCCATCCGGAGGACGGTGTGGATTTCCAAAACCTCCTCGATAATCTCCCCCCTCCCTCTACTGCCGCTCCCTCTGCCCCTACAGTCTCGGAGACGGCCCCCTCCGCGGACGACCCCTCTTTAAACCCTCAACCGGCAGCTACTGCTGATGAGTCTCTCAAATCCTCCTCGGGCCTCCCTCCTCGCCCTCCACCCCAGGAGAAGCCTTCTATCCACCCCAACTACAATCCCAGCGATAACATTCGCTCCTATCACCAACTCCCTCCCTCTCATTCCAACACATCGCCCACCCAACCTGCCCAGCAGAGTAATTACCCCTCCCAACTGGGTCTTCCCTCTTTGGTGGCTGCGGGTGCTCCCGGGACTGCATCTGGAGCCAGCTCTCTACCCCCTCCCCCTGGTCCCAGTTTCCAACAAACCCCGCCCTCGGGCACTGAATCCCAAGAGGCCGCGAATAATAAAAATGGCCGTCTTGATAGGCAAGCTGGGCGGCAAACCAAGTCCGGGGATGACGATGCCCCTTGGGGCCCAGAGGTGCAGAAAAAGTATGATGACTTTTTGCACAATGAAAGAATCTATGTAACAGAGGGTCTATGGGATCGTTTCCCCCCTGGCTCTAGATTGTTTGTTGGTTAGTATTCCGTCGCCGTTCTTTTTCTTCACAACTAGGAAGCTGACTGTTTCTTTCAGGCAATCTACCAACGGAGAGAGTAACCAAGCGGGATCTGTTCCATATCTTTCATAAATACGGCAAATTGGCCCAGATCTCTATTAAACAGGCGTACGGGTTTATCCAGTTCCTTGAGTCTCCTGCTTGTAAACAAGCCCTCGATGCCGAACAAGGAGCCGTGGTGAGAGGTAGAAAGATTCGTAAGTACATACAGTTTGGCACCTCATCTCTCGAATAATGTGCTGACATCCACCAGATCTCGAAATATCAAAGCCTCAGAGAAACACCAGGCCAGCTCCAGCTACAGCAGAGCCTCCGCGCGCCGCTCCTCCTCGACGCTCAAGATCTCCAGAATTCACCAGGAACGGTCCCACCGGTCGCACCCCGCGACCTCCAGGGGATCGCTACGATCGAGGCTATGAGCCTCCTGGTAGACTGCCGTTTAGTGATTTCAGGGATGAGCCGACACACCGCAGGCGAGATGATTATCGACCTCCCCCGAGATCTCCATCACCGCGGGTATTCCGGGGCAGAGATGGATACAGATCGAGGGATAGAACCCCGGAGAGATATGATCGGCGTCGACGTTCTCGGTCGCCGTATGCAAGGGACCGAAGATACCGGACTCCCAGCCCACGTGGCCGTAGTGCTTATGATAGCGACTCTGACTTGCCAGTTCCTAGAAGAGCCCCGAGGGATGTCCCAGAAGTGCAAATTCTCGTTCTCGAGGAAGTTGATCGGTAAGCGATTATATGCCATAAATGTCTATCTTCCTTGCTAATCACCGCCTAGCAACTTTATTTTCCTAGTTGAAACCGCGTTCCGCAACAGGGGTCTTCGAGTGGATGTCTTGGTACTGGGCGCACGTATCCCTCTCAATGCGGCAGTTCAGCGTCAGATAATGGAGGGAGTACTTGCTGTTGTCCGACTGTCACGTCCCAACCAGTATTCGCGAAAGATCCCAGTGCAAGTTTTTGATCGAAGTGGTGGGCCGGACAATGTTCGCTTCAATGGTGAGATTGTTTTATTCGCATCTTTTTGTAGCGCCTAGCTAACTTCCTCCTGAAGAATACCCTGAAGTTGAACCCAACATCGCCGCCGAAATCGTCTTCCATGCACAGTCTATGCACCGCGGTGGCCCCCCTGTTCCTTTCCCTCCTAACCCGGCATTTGGAGTCCCACCTCTGGCGCCAGCCCCCATCCCGCAGGCTCCACTGCCGGCACTTTCGAACCCTCCAAATGTTGCGAGTATGATCTCTTCGTTGGATGGACCAACCCTCCAATCTCTCTTGTCTGCACTCCAGCAGCAGCGGCAACCACCCATTCCAGCGACTCAGCAACCGTTCCCAGTCGCAAACGCTCCTCATGCTGCTGCAGATCTTGCGAGTCTTCTGACCAATGCGACACGACAGCCTGTCGCACCCAACGCTCAGCAACCTCTCCCTTCTTTACCCCCTCAACCATTCCCTCTTCAAGGGCCCAGTACTCCGGTCGTTCCAGACCCTAATCTGATCTCGCTGTTGACCAAAGGCCTCGGAGGGCAACAGCCGCAGAATCAGGGTGCCGTTGGTCCTCATGTTCAAAACATCATGAACCAATTGACCAAATGGAAGCAATGAATTATGAATCTTCTTTTTATTATTCCCATTTCATTTATTAGATCACTTGGTGACAGGAGTTTGTTGATTGAGGCTGTACGGTATGGGAAATTTGATCATCAGCTCGCAGCTCGATGGCATTGGGAATTGCTTTTCTTTTCTTTTTCTTTCTCTTCTCTCGTCACTTTCCTGCAATTTGTTGCGATGGTTCACAAATTGCGCAGGCGTATATGGATTAGCTTATGCAAAGGGCAACAGGGTACTAGATATTTGGGGAAAACGGTGTCTATATCTGTGTTGTTCGTGATTTTCATATGGATTTTTTTTGCTCAGCGCTTCTTGTTATGCAATCGGGCGTACTCCGCCCAGCTGGAAGAATGGCGAATACGATTGTCATTATAATACCCGGATCCATGATTTTTGTTCATCAACCACTGGGGAAATTTGTTAAATATTGCATTAGAAGAGATTCATCATAGTACATATGGTACAGTTACAAGATCCTCCTCTTGTAATAGTCATGGAAACAATCCATCCTTTCTATTTTCCTTTTTTATTTATCTTTGAATTTGTACTCTTCTCACTTGCGACCTTGCGATCTCAAGTCCGCGAGCTTCTCCGCATCTTCCTTCTTGATCCGCTCGATCGTCTTATCCCGGTTGTATTCCATAACCCGCTTTTCCTTGAAATATTTCACCTAGATAATTGCACCGTTAGCTATTGCTCTGGGGTATGGCCCTCGAAATAAATATATCTAAGGTAAAGAGAAAGCATACCCAAGCTCTAGAACACGCTGTTTCAAACTCCGCAATCTCTTTCCCACACTTGTTTCGCGCCCCCTTGTCATCCTTGATAGCATCCAAGATATCGTTGTTATCCAAGCAGGTGAAGAAGAGGTCTCGGCCTTCCCAACATCGTTGACGAGAGGTCCGGTCAGGTGCGATGCGGCCGCCGTCGGAAGCTTTGGGGGAGTCGGAATCGGAGGACCAAGGGAGCCAGCCCATTTTGGATGAATGGAGGGGTATTGAGAGGGGGTAGTTAGGGGATAGACTCGCCGGAGATATCTATCGATGTATATTTGTGGATTTGGAGTCGTAGCGATGTGATGGGGGGAGCTGTTTGGAGGGATGCTTTGCTTTTGGTCGAACTGGTTGCGGCTCGGGTTGGATGTGGCGCTAGTTTGTTTAAGGCTTCCGCAGTTCTTCTGCGCAGGAGAGGCCGACTTGTTCATTCAACCAACAACCACTCGATCTGGTTGCGAGTTTTAATTGCAGCTGACGAAGCGGTGGTTATTCGTCTCATCTCATTATAGAGTACTTTATATTGCCCCTTCCAGAAGCGCAAGACCAAACACTACGACGACGAATGCTACGACCCTCCGTGCCTCAGCCTCGAGCCCGTCCCGCTGAACCCTTAAACTACCTATACCAATTATTCAATATAACACAATAGTTCATGCCCCCGCGCCGCCGTGCTCCTCCTGCGGGGGCTCGAACGGACCTCCCGCCGCTGAGAATCATCCGTCAAATTCTCCTGCTTCAAGTTGCCTACTATGTTATTGCGACGGCGTTGATTCTGTTCACGACTGCGGTCTACGGAACGGTGTTCTCGATTGACTTGATTCTCAGCTGGGATTCGTTGAGAGGTGATACTACGCTTGGATGGATGCTGGGTTTGGTATGGATGCTGAATAGTTTTATCTGGTGAGTGACTCTATTGGACTGTTGCCACGTTCGAACATTGCTAACTCTGATGCCTACAGTGTCATCTTCCTTCTCCTCCTCGTATCCCGGTCTAAGCTCATTCCCGACTTCGCCCTAACAATCCACTTCTTGCACCTCATTGCGACGTCGCTTTATACGCATTCTATTCCAGGAAATCTGCTCTGGTGGGGACTCCAATTCGCGAGTGCAGCCTTCATGACCTTCTTTGGCATGTGGGCTTGCCAGTGGCGTGAACTCCGACCGATCAGCTTCGGTGGTCATGCTCAACCGACTGGCGCTTCTTCCTCCCAGCCCCAAGCAGAGGGGACAGACGATGGTCAGGAAGTTTCCGTCTCGCGAGGTCGTGGACGAGGACGCGATGTGCGGGCTGCGAGCGATGAGTATGAAATGGTCCATATGAAGGGAATGGGCGAGCAGGCTGTATGATTTGATTTCTCTTTTCTGTCGATTGTCAATGCCATCAGGCATGACACCGATGACTTGGTCTATGTGGACTTTTTTATATTTCTTTCTCTGTATACCCTAGTATTTATGCATTTGCATATGGCGTTTTTGACATTAATTTGTTTCATTATCATTCTCGGGAATGTCTATATTACATACTTTTCTTTTTTGATACCTTACTGTATATCCCTCTGTGGATATATGTCATGTATTTTGATATGCGATCTGTGGCCTTTTCAGCTATTATATTAATAATATCTTGTCTAATACCAACCATCCAATTTAGATAAAGGGAGTATCATCGGACTATTCTCCGTGCTTCGTATCTGCGCCTTCTACAGACAAGCGGATGCGGGGTTGCAGATAAGGATATATATTGTGGGACAGCAATCAAGAAGTCGTCTTTCTTCGAATTCTTGCAGTATCTACAATTGAATAAGATTCTTCTTTCGTGGGAAGATCGCAATAGATCGACTGCCTACTTGATCTATCATCAACGACAAAATGTCCACCATAACTGTGACAGAAACCCAACCCACTCGCCTCGTGACACAGAACCAACCCCAACCCATCCCTGCAGCAGCAGACGATGCCAAATTCCAAGCCACTGCCCGAGGCGATCGAAACGGGACTCTCAAGCTCCCTGGCATCCCAACTTTTACTGATCCCCTCGAGAAGCGCAAATGGATGAAAGAGCACATGGCGGCGGCGTTTCGTTTCTTCGGGAAACAAGGGTACGGCGAGGGGATTTCGGGACATATTTCCATGAGAGGTATTTACTTTTCTTATATATATACAGTGATGAAGTGGAGAGTTAGAACACGGTTCAACTAACACTCAATCCAGACCCCGTCCTAAAAGACCACTTCTGGATGAACCCCTACGCCAAACACTTTTCCGTCATGAAAGCCTCCGATCTGGTCCTGGTCGACAGCGAAGGATATGTTACAGAAGGTGGAGCGCAGACACCCATCAACGAAGCCGGATTCATGATTCACTCTGAGATTCACAAGGCGCGACCGGATGTTATTGCCGCGGCGCATACGCATGGGATTTATGGGAAGACGTGGAGTGCGTTCGGGAAGCCGGTTGAGATGCTTTCTCAGGGTGAGATTCACTATATCTCTCTACGTTTGGTATTTTGGCTAATGGATGAAGATGCATGCAATTTCTATGGTAGATTGAGTATCTACGATGACCATGGAGGAATTGCGCTGGCTCAGGATGAAGGGGCGCAGATTGCCAATGCGCTTGGGGAGAAGAATATTGCTTGTATTTTGCAGAATCACGGGTGAGACTATATCTGCATCTGCATATTCAAGCGGTTTATGCTAATTGTCTAGTTTGTTAACCGTGGGCTCGACGGTCGACGAGGCAGCCTTCCTGTTTGCTAGTTTGGACCATGCTTGCCACTCGCAGTTGATGGCCGATGCTGCTGCTGCTAATGGTGTGCCTAAGAAGATTATCAACCATGAGGTTGCTCAGTATACGGCTGATGCTGTTCAGAATCCGGTGAGTGAACCTACTGGTCTGAGTGATATATCATGGTCTAACGGATCAGCATAACTTTTACACCGAATTTCAGCCGGAATTTGAGCTAGTCGTTGAGGAAAGTAATGGACGGGTTCTTCAGTAATTTAGTTGGTTTTTATAGTTATGACTATGATATTGCAATTGCCATCTTATGCTGCCAATATAGTTGAAGTGTCTGTAAAATAGAAGTCTATTTTCCATGTGGTATGCACGTGACTTCCACATGGCATCAACCGAGTTGAGAAGACAACTGGATCAACACGACAGACCGTGATACGATTCCTCCTCCACGAGACAATAATCTGCAGTATCAGAGTCAATCGGATAAAGAATGACACTGTCTTCTGCCTTGAAGCACATTGAATGATTCTGTGTAGGCTACGCTGCCGGTCCGACTGACGGAGCAGCATTAAGTGCCGTTTAAAGGCAGTCCTTGATACTTTTGACGTTGTTTCTTTTTGATACCCAATTGTTCTTTTTTATTTATTTACTTTTTATCATATATTCTTCTTGAATTGTTTCACTGTGGACAAGAAAAGTTGCATGCATTGAACGCCACGATCTATCAACATGACAGAGGAACCATCATACATAGACTATGAAGTCTTCCTGGACCCAGATTTCTCCCCCTCCTCATTTGCGAATTCGCTCGTGGTAGCAACAAACAATGCCACAGACACGCCACTGGACCTGTCAACTCCGCTGTCACGGGTGCTCTTTGACCTCCAGGAGATCGACACGCACATCCACACGCTGACGACCAGGTCGGCGCTCCCGTTACTCTCGCACACGCGGGACCAAACGGATGCAGCAGATCATGTGCTCAAGGAGGCCGACGAGCAGATTTCCTCTGTGATGCAGGGGTATGAGCGGTTGGAGAAGGAGGTGCTGCGGAAGTGGGAGGTGGCGGATGAGGCCCGGGTGGCTGCGGAAAAGTCGCTGGCTACGGTGCGGTTGGCTAGGGCGGTTGCTCGCTGTCTTGCTTTGGGGAGGCAGTTGGAGGGACAGGTTGCGGAGATTACGGGGAGGGGAGGAGGGGCAGGTGGTGGTGATGCGGCGGCGGCGTCTGGGGCTGGTGATTATCGGGCATTGGAGAGGGCGTCGTATACGCTTTTGAATCTACGACGGATGTTTTCTGCTACGGGAGTGGGGGAGGAAGGGCATGGGTTGGATCGTGTCAAGGTGGTGCGGACGTTGCGAGGTGAATTTGTGCAGCCGGCGGAGACTCTGGTCAAGACACGGGCGCAGCAGGCCATCAGTCGATTCACCATGTCGAGCATTTCGGCCGATTCTCACCAAGCACAGTCGGGCTACAAGAAAGCACGAGAGGCAAGAGCGCGGTTGATATCTGCCGTCACCACGCTGTATATCCTATCCCCCGTGCCCAAGACAGGCGTGTCAGCGTCCGAGTACCAGCCTGAACTTCTCCTCTCGAGTTTACAAGGATACATGCAAACCGCCATCAACATGTCCTTGGCAGGTGTTACCCGAGGGTTAACTATGTTACCCACGCTCGATCGGACCCTGACCGATCTGTCTGGACGATGCCAGGATATCGTCGCGTTGGAAGCCATCCTCAGCAACCTCCGACCACCGTCTCATCCCATGTTATCCTCGAGCAGCGACCGACCGACCGAGCAAGGCGCGACGAGCAAGAACAACAACAACAACCTCCTCCAACCACTACTCGACTCCCTGGACACGCCATCTCTCCCGTCGTATTTCTGGCGGACGCTAGCCTCGTCCCTGACGGCACGGGTACCGGAGATCGTGAACCGGGGCGGGGTATCAGCGCGGACACTGCGATCGAATCGGGATCGACTACGGGCGGACATCAAAGAGTGTGTGCTGGTAGGCTCGCAGCTCCCAGCAGCGAGCATGGCGATAGACCGCGGACGAGTGGAAGGGAACCGAAACTGGGAACGAGAGGCGGCGGTGATGGTCGGTTCTGTGGTTGGGGCATTTGAACGATGACCTTCACTAGATGGCCTTACAGCTAGGTACAGGTAGGACTCGGTACCTCGATGTATTTAGTGGCTATTCTATTTAATCTAGAATACAGGATAAATGGACTCGTATTCAGCACAGACCCAGGAACCAAGAAAGGTACCCAGTAAGGTACACCGGAATTCCCTGGACAATCCGTATATCTGCAGCCATGAGGGCGTCAGTGGCTTTGCATGTGATTGCCACTGTATACAATCTGTGTATATTAAATGGCACGAGGGTGTATGTGAAAGTAAGGAGGAATATGAACATGAGGGTGTAGGAGGATACCCCGCCAAAGATCTTCACACCAACTTCCCAAACGGACACCCACTGGAGACAAGTCGAGGACGTCAGCGAGCGACAGATTCCCGACGTGGAGAACAGAGTGGAGCCATGTCGATCGATCAGGGTCACAAGAACGAAGGATGAAAGACACGATAATCGATAGCGATAGATTAATGTGATAACGCAGGTACGGGGCTGTACATCTTGGAGCTGGGGGAGAGGGGTAGAGTATCTCTCTACTGTCTTACATACTATTGACTAGTACTGTATGTAGATAGTTACTCTGTATAGAAGACAGACAGTTGAGCACATCATTTGTGGCGTGAATCAGTGTTTCATCTTTTGTTTGGAAATGTCATGGAGTCATTCTCTTCCGTTTGCATCTTGACTCGGAGTCTATACGGATGCTTCGGTATTATAATACCTCTCCCCTCTGGACTACTCTGGACTACTCTGGCATGCTATTGATACTATTCATCTTCTTCGTTGATGCTATATATGATCTATTCATATCCACGGAGAATTTCCTCTCGTATCTGCATCTCAACGCTGACGCGGACAGATCGATCCATAATCCATGTCCCTGGCCTTCAAAGTGGTAACGTCAGCCTTTTTCCTGGGATCCAGAGGATTCATGAACCCGGGATATCTCAACCGTCGATGATTCCCTCTCGGCCCAGTGGATCAGTTCCTGTGCCTTCTTTTGCCTGTCCATGTTCTTCCCGGCGCCTCGACTATCCAGACTTTCCCAGTCGGTTTTGCCTCAACTTCCCCACTGCAGCGCTTATTTGGTATAGAGCCCAGGTCCGTAAGACTGACTAGAATGGTAAGAATAGTAATAGACTCCTGGACTCATCCAAGTCTATGATTCCCACTGAGTAGTTCCTGGCAAGTCCAGATTCCTCTTGAACGGATGTTTCTTGTTGTTCTTCCCCTCCCCCTCGCTTCAGCCTTTTTTTTTTTGCCCCCCGCCGACCGTCGTTTCCGATAAGCCTCCTGTATCGTCGTCACCATTCATGCTCACTGCTCTTCCTCTCTTCTCCCTCTTCTTCTCTTCTTCTTCTTCTTCCTACTTTTTTGTCTGTCTATCTCGCTTTCTTCCTTCTTTTCTCTTCTTTCCCTCTCCTCCCATCTGACCTCTGTAGCTATCTCAGGTCTTGGCTAGTTCCTCTGCGTCCGCCAACTGATCAATCATTGCCTGTCTTGGTCCATCGAATCCACCACCTCTCGTCATCCCACATTTTACTCCATCTTCCTCCATCTTTCCATCGTCAACCTTCAGCTTCATCAACTTCCTATCTCTTATCCACTTGGCTCCCCTGCCAGTCCTTTCCTCAAGAGACATGTCACCCAGCTCATGAGCTCATCATCTGTCTCTTTTACTCGCCTCGTTGTCATCGTCAGCTAATCCCCATCGCTTTTCCTCCTGCATTCCTGTCCATCCCCTCTCTCTCTCCCTCGGTTCTGGATTCGGCAGTGGCGGGCTTTATTGGAAATTCTTTTTTTATTTTCTTTTATTTTTCTTTTTTGTCGATTCTTCACCGTAAGATCATAGCTCCCCCAATCTATTCCCTCCGATCTTCATGTGTTTCTTCCCAGGATGGCCCAACTTGCTGACCCTGCGCAAATCTGTCCAGTCAGCCTCGCGATCGACACCGCGTTTTCCCTCCCTCCTGAAACTGCCCCCATAGCTGCTGCGTTTGATCATTTTCGCCTCCTCCTGTGTTCCATACTTGGTTTACCCACAAAATACGTATCCGGTCTTCACCTAGGTCTGTTGTCGGTGGGGTGATAGGAGAGGTCGCAAGAAAAAAAAGAAAAGAAAAAAATTTATTCTTATATATCACATTACACACCCAAACTCTCGCCCTCGCCCGGGTTTTCCGTCAATATGTCGTCTTTTTTACCTGTCAATAATATGTCCTCGCCCCAGGACCGTGTCATGGAGGATGCGACAACACCGACCACGCCTCGCCCAAATTCACATACTCTTTCCGCGCAAGAGAGCACGGATGATACCGATTCTCGATTAGGAAATTCCAATAACGGGGACTGTGCTCGATCCCAAGGAAGCGCACCGCCCATGCCCGACGACTCTGCGCCCGGTGATTCAGATGGCGAGCGCGACGGCTCGGACCACGAGACAGACCCCGGGAGCACCGCTCCTCCATCCAAGAAGAAAAAGGGCCAACGGTTCTACTGTACAGACTTTCCTCCTTGCAATCTGAGCTTCACCCGGAGTGAGCATCTGGCCCGCCACATCCGAAAACATACTGGGGAGCGCCCGTTCCAATGCCACTGCTCGAGGCGATTCTCCCGACTCGATAACCTGCGACAACATGCTCAGACCGTTCATGTCAACGAGGAGATTCCCGGGGATTCCCTGGCCGCGACGGGGACTCGTTTTCAGCGGCAGATCCGGACTGACCGGGTTCGTCCTCCGGGTCGAGCGAGAGCGGGTACAGCTGGTAGCCAAGGAGCTCACAGCAGAGGTCACAGCAGAAACCTATCCGCTTCTAGTATCACTTCAACTGCATCGACTTTCAGCCAACCCCCGGAGATCCGTCGTCGACCTCCGCCGTTGATCATGGCCAACGACGGCAGTGCAAGAGCTCGTTTGGCTTTGGACACCATGGCCGATCCCCCGAGAACGCCTCCGGGCCGTGGTATCGGCCCATCTGCTGGATCCCCGTATACCCCGTCTAACATGTTTGGTGGTGGAAGCCCTCATGTCGGGTCGCCCATGTCCACTGCCTCTCACGCTTCGGGATTCTGGGATGGCAAAACCGCCGCTCGTCGGTTGTCAGTTCCCACTGGGACCAATCCATTTATTCCGCAACACGCCCACGCTTATCCCCCTGGTTATGTTGGTCCGGCCGCTACAACCGCATATCCCAGCGCGGGTGGGGTGTTTGCAAGCCCCGTCAGCTCCAACTATTCCGTGTCCCGAGATGAGGCTAGCCAAGGTGCTGAAGCGGATCTGCGGAGAAGAACTTGGCACCCAACAACCTACTACCCGAGGCCCGCAACCAGTGGCTTAAACAATTATCAAACTCCTGACGGATACCAGTCGTCACTTGGCTCGAGTGGATCGGCGGAGCAGCCGCCACGATTACCGGGCATTGAGAGTTTCGACAAGGTCGTATCGCAACAGCGACCTTTGACTCCTCCGGTGCGAAAGCCGAGTCCGATGCAAGTGGATACTCACAGTCGACCACCACCCGGTTACGCTTTTGGGGGAGGATTCAACTACAACGCGCCGGCAGCTCGTCCTCCGCCTCCGGTGTCTGGCCCTGGCCATCGACGTGGCCATGTGTCATGGGACATGTCGCTGCATACAAATCTGACTGGATTGAATATCCGGGACAAGCCTCAAAGAGACGCATCGCATTGGGGGCAGCAGACGATCGCAGAGATTCAAAATGTCGCTTCTCGGCCTTCCTCCTCGTATCAGGCTACTGTACCTCATCCTCACGAGAAGGTCCACCGGTGGTCTCATGCGACGCGAACATCTCCCGAAGATTCCAGCAGCAGTGAAGGTGTCAATACACCTTCGACAGCATCGCTCGAATACCATCCAGCTATAGTGCACAATAATGGATACATCGAGCCACATCATCCCCCACTGACCTCCGATTCGTCCCAAACTGTACGCCCCCGTTATCCGAATGACCGATATGCGGCAGGCCACTGATTGAACTGCAGGTTTGCGCTCCCGTGCCCTCCCCGTCCGAAAACTACCATGTCAAACATGAACCACGATCGGAATTCTACTCCAATTCATCTAGAGAGCCTGGAATGGGCAGGCTCGAAGCTCTTGTAGCGGTTGCTACGAGCGAAAACAAAAGCGCCAAGGTGTTCGTATGAACAGTTGTGCGATTGTCATTATATAAACCACCTCGCCAACACGGTTGGCATTTCATGATGTCTGAATTGTGATATCTCCCGACTTCCTCCTATCCGAAATACATAGAGTTCTTCTACACCGCCGACCTGATCTCGAACTCTTCCTTCGCTGCGCATTGCGGAGATGTTATGAAGTGATGACTGATGATTGATGCATAGTGACTTTCTCACTGGGGGCTTCTCTGGATTCTTCTCTGACCAATGGGTCTTGTTCGGGTGTTATATTCTATTTGTTCCATGTCTGTGATTTAAGCTTCTCCTTGTTTTGCATGTTCAGGCGTTGTGCGAGTGACCGTGTTAAATAGTGCATGAAGATACCCCCGGCCTCGGCCTCGTTCAGTTACGAGGTTTGGGAATGGAGTTTCCTACTCTGGTCGTGGTGTGGCTTCGGTTGTTCACTGCGCTTGTTTTCTTTGGTTTTGTCTTATTGTGTTGTATTACAGCTGTTGTTAACTCGGTGCGGAAGCGTTTATTTCTCTGGGTATGTCCGGCATCGCTAGTAGATACGATATACACAGTCTGAGTGATTGCATCAATGAATTCTTAAACAAGTTTTTTCCCAGTATCTAGGTAGCACCCAGGACATAGTCCATGAGCTCATGGAATGACGTTCTCGGCTAGCTACAGCCCCACGGTTATGACCACGGAGTGACGTCGAGAGGCAATCACCTCTAGTCTCGAAAGTATAAGAACCACTACAACTTGCACCTAATAAAACAGCAGAATAACGGATACCAATAATAAAAACATCCACCATGTCGAAAAACAACACCGGACTCTACTTGGGTCTCGCCGCCTTCGGAGCAGGCGGATACTATCTCTACCGGGGAGGAGGGAGTGCAAAGGCTGCCAAGGAAGAAGCGAAGAGTACGTCCATCTGATCTACACCATACGAGATGCTACATATGAAGAGAGAGAGAAGTATTAACATATACGACAGCCGACGCAAACAGAGTAAAATCCAACATCCCACGCGGCGAAAAAGCCGAAAACCTAGGCGAACGGGTTGGTCTTGAAGCAAACGCACAGATCGAGGAGGCTGTATGGCCTCCCCTACCTCCCCTACTTCTCATCATCTATGATTAAAGCAGATTAGTTTAGCTTTTACTGACGATGGATGTATGTAGGTTGACAACGCCCGCACAAAAGCGAAGGCGGACGAGCGAATCCCCGAAATCGCGCAAGAAAGCATCAACAAGATCGATGAGATACGACAGGATGCAGCGGGGAAGCTGGGCTCGGGGGTAGAGAAGTTGGATAAGGGGGTTGAGAAGTTTGATCGCGAGGTGGAGAAGAAGGCGGCGGAGGCGAAGGGGACTGTGCAGGGGTGGTTTGGGAAGTAGGTATCATCTAACTACTCTATTTAGCTGAATCTGAATGTAATCATCATCGTTGATCTTGTGTTGGTGTTGCAATGGTTTAATGGTGGAGTTGCTGTAGCTATGGTGGAGTGGAGCTAACTGCTTTGGGTTATATGGCAGATGGCATCCTCGGGGCATTCCTGTATTACCGTAGTGATGGAATGCTATATGTGCAGATTTCTGTTATTTTATTTCACTCAATTCAATTCTATTCATCTTCATTTCATTTCATATACCATCTCTATTAATTATCTCTTAATTATCGAGTATATACGAGTATCAATCGTCTTATACGTACCTGACGCGACACGAACACGCGATCGCGACGCGTCCCAACGCGCTCCACCTAAAAAACTAACGCCGTTTGGACCACCTCCTATTCTCACATTAAGAACCTGCCCTACCCTCTCTTACCCTATCTTCAAAACACCATCGAGCCTTCCAATCCATATGTCCTTATAATATACGATACATATTTATCAATTACTCGGACAGATAGGAAAGAATGCCTCGCACAACGAGACGAACCCCCCTTCCCCGGGGCCAAGGGTCGATTCAAACCTTTGCAAGAACCACCAAGCCCGGCATCACGGTTTCCTCGAACGCGAAGGATGGGATCAAGGCTCCTACCAAGACGCCCCTGCTGCCCATTTCGCCTTCCAAGAAGCGGAAGTTGAACGAGATTGTCGAGCAGGTGCAGAGTACGGAAAAGGCTGTTGGTGGAGAGGTAGGAGAAAATCAGGTTCAAAAGGAACAAGAGGAAGAGGAAGAAGAAGCTGCGACTCCGTCCAAGACTCTCCGGTTTAGTGATTTATCGGTCAATTCGCCGCGGAGTGCTCGGTATGCTGGACGGTCACCGTCAAAGAGGACACAGGTGATTCATGAAGACTCGGTACCAGTTCCGTCTACGCCTTCGAAACGAACGGCTGTTAGGAAGAACGCACCAAATTCGAAATCAACACCCACCGTTACTACCACCTCGATACCCCGTCCGCAGAGTTTCCAGGATCTGTTGAATCTGCACCTCGCTTTTTCGAAGGCGTTGACAATTCACTTCGCACACAATGGTGCCACGACACCCGCTGACCTCCGCGAATTCCTCCCTAGTATCGAACGCCTCTGGAGGAAGCGCAAGGTTGTCGTCAAGGATTTGCAGCGATTGGTGTGGATTTCAGAGCAGGGTACCCAAACCAGCGGACCTACTTTTCGACTTGCGAATTATGGGTTGGGAAAAATCTGTCTGGAGAGGGTGAACCGGGATCGGGTGGATGAGAATGAGATGCAGGAGCGCTTCGAGCAGACTGTCGAGCTGCTTTGGGAAAAGGCCGAGGAGAGTGACGATGGGAGGGAGTTTATCGAGACGCTGGGCGTTTCGCTGATTCATGAGTCGTTGACGCCGTTTTCTTCGTTCCGGAAGGGTCAGCAGCGGTTGCAGGATCTCAAGGGGGGTATTATTCGGATGAAGACTGAGAAGTTGAAGGCCGAGAAGGAGGATGATGGGTCGACGAAGAAGCCCGAGGCTACGACTAATCGTCGCATGGGGCTGTTGGATCGGATTAAGAACAAGGAACTCCGACAGTCGAAGCTGCCGCCGCCCCCGTCCAAAGATATGCTACTCCGTCGTGCGGCTGCGGAGCGAGTCGAGGAAGTCGTTGGCATCGTGGCCTGTCTGAGACCTGTTGGTTATGTCGGAACTGGAATCAAGGCCATGTTGGCGGCACAGAGGAAGCCGTTTCGTCTCGAGACCATGGTGCAGAATATCCAGGATTCCATGCGGAACCCTATCTCGGCGCAAGAGGTGGAAATGTGTTTGGAGTTACTGGCACGGCCGGATGTCGCTGGCCAATGGGTCAACCTCGTCGCCGTCAACGAAATCAAGTCGGTGGTGTTAAAGTCCTCTGCAGATGTCTCGCCCAAGGAGATCGGGGCCAAGGTTGACCAGATCAAGGCGAAATGGGACGAGTCGGCTTTCAAGCTGGACACCTCTCCTTAATGTATTTGTCATGGTTGGAGTACTTGTTGGATACGATACTGGATGCTTGTTGGAATACTTTGTTTGGATGGTTTTGTTCGATTGATACCCCGTGGAGCCTGGTATGCTTCCGGCCTTACTGCATATGTCATAGCATCATCTATATTAGCGTTGCATGCTACCTTAGCTAGAGAATCAGAATAATATGATAATACGATCAGATCCGAGTTCATGTAGGCTGAGCAACTCGCATAAGATAATGGTATTCAGTTCACCAACTCTACATTCACCTGTTCTTTTATTAAATAAAAATAGCAAAGGTGTTTCTCTCTTTTAACAAAAATATCACCAATATAAACAAGTGAGGCTAAAAACCAGAAAGGGAAAAAAAAGATATCTCATGATCCCCCGAACCGGAATCGAGCCGGTGACCTGTCGGTAACAATTTAACATTACAGCCGACCGCCATATCCAACTAGACCATCGGGGGTTTTGGAGATGATCGACGGTCTTTTTCTTAAAATATATACGTATCCATCAGTTAAGGTTTTGTGCTTCGTTTATAGTACTGGTTTGACCAAGGCATATTTAAGTGTTTTGTATTGGTTATTGGCATAAATAAAGCAAGTCCTGAATATGTATACTCAGCACACCGAGTCGACGTGTCATTTGCTTTACTACTCTGCATTCTTGGCCCTTAACAGCTCATTTCAATGCGGGGAAACCAGAATGTCGAGGGCAGGATGCAAGTAACTGCATATGGTGTGAACACCACTGATGATTAATCCAACATATCAGCCATCCTTGATGAACTGGAGGCATATGCATGCTACTCTGCTCTGCGGTGCGTTATGTACGGAGCAGAGGATCGTACAGTGATTACGTGGTGCATGGAAGAGCTGGTACCCCGCTGCTACGTACATGGCTGTGTTGCTTTCCATGGCCACCTTGAGTGTACGACGAATTGATCTGGATTGGGTGTTCTGGCTGTACTACTCGATATATTCTCCTTGCTTGGGTTTAGCTTTCTTGTGTGTTTTCGCTTCTCAGCTGCTCGAATCGTATTGGAGTCTGCGGGATATATATCACTAGACTTGGTAACATTCACTTGAACATTCACTTGAACATACACAACAATAACATTGACACCTCACAACACAGCCCAGCAAAACGACTGAGATACCACGGATATTTGTTTCCATCCCTCCCTGTCCAGATGCACTCGATGCCGACAATGGCCGAAATCGTCCCCGTTGGTGGCGGCACTGGTTATCCCCAGAAAGTCTCGACTCACCATTACTTTTATTTCTGCTACTTGCCGATACAGAGACCGAAATGGCATGATAGCCACAGGAAATCTGGAAATGGCATTCGTCATGTTTCCCCGTGACCCCACAGAGCCACCACTACAGCCGACATGGCCCGACAGCAGGAGCAAGCAGCACAGGCAATTAAACGCAAAGATTATGCTACCCAGGGCAATGAGTATAACTCCACCCATAATTAACCAAACAAAACAAGAGCCAACTCAACAGTAATAAGACCAAGAATATCGTGCCCAATGTCCATACCTTAGCATACTACGCCTACATATGTTCCCAACACCAGAACGACAACATATCCCACCATATAAAATGCCAAAACCACGATCATGGAAAAGGCCATCCATAAAAAATCAAGATAAAATGTGTCTTTTATTCAAGGGTATATTGGAAAATAGGAAGCGAATACTGTAGCTCAGATCGAGAGGTACCCTGCACCAATACCAAGGAGACCATTGACACCAAGCATTAAAGCCAAAAGAGAAATATAACAGCGACGAGAGAAAATATTATACGCAGGGAGGACCAGATAAGCAGGGAAAGCAGTAGGTGCTTATACGAACTGAGTGGGAGTGTTGGCTATCGTGTCATACACTCGATTCAACCTGACTCGACACGACTCGACTTGCAACTCGAAAACCCGTGAGCTCAACTCAAACTCGATCTCGTCTTAAACCTCGTCTCAACTCGAAAGCTTGTCGAGTCGACTTGACTGGTGTGACATGCCGGTATAAACAATACAAAGCAACCAGCCTATGGGGCAGCACACCCAATGAATGCCTTCGTAACTGACATTTCGACATAAAGAACTCGAATGAAAACCGTACTTATATACTTACTATAAATCCATCATAGTATGGAAAAGAAGAAACCCAGTTGACCTGCAGTGAGGTAAATTCCAAGCAAAATGGACGTCGTCTATAAGGTCACTACGATTTTTTCTGGCATATAATCCCATGTCTGAATTGGGTTAGTATCTCACAAAACCCCCGATGGTCTAGTTGGATATGGCGGTCGGCTGTAATGTAAAAATTGTTACCGACAGGTCACCGGCTCGATTCCGGTTCGGGGGATAGAGATACCTTTTTTTTTGTTATTTTTGGCTTCATTCTTTTCTGGTACCTATTTAATACAGAGTGGTTGTGTGCTTTTGCTGCGAATCTGGACATAAAGTATCTTATCCTATAATCGTTATTTTATTGGAATCTCCGCCAGCCGTTTACGTTGGAAATCAAACCCATGAAATGCTCACCTAGGACATGACACCAACTGAATGCACGCCATAACAAGCTTGCAGAAATATGCGTGTCATGCCAGTTATGTGTGGGGAATGTCATCCCGCATGTCATTCCCCCGCAGCTATCTTGAATGATCGAATCCCTTGCTTCTTCCACGTTATGATATACTGAATTGACCTCAATAATTCCCCAATGCTCTCTAGATAGATACAGCTCAACGGAAATACAAGATAGATCTAGATAGACACCATGGTTAAAGACCAAGACGTAACTAGTATGCGCATAGGCTGGATGATACATGCGACTCCCCAAAGTAGAAATAGGGCATGGTATTAGGGTTTCTATCCTATCTTCTAACTTGAGTATTCAACCAGCCAAGTTGGGTCAACTATTTCAAAATTACCTAGGATTTGATGGTATACCCTATTGATAGTATTCCGGGTAACAGATGTCTCCCAAAGAGCTATGCTTTCTATATCCCACTATTCCAATACAGTTCTAGCTAGTCCCCAGAAGCTGACATTCTCCTCGTACAGAAAACTGGTGACCAGACGAAGCATTATCGCCTCGATGCTTTTCGATGAAAAAAGCACAGCCCATTACACAGCCATTGCAAGCAGGACACATCATGCTTCCTTCCATCCCGATGTATTCCATACCTCAGCTATCCAAGAGCACGTCCTAAACATTACTTTCATAGACGAGCCCTTCTCTTATACGGATATGGACCTCATATAAGCATGATGTTTTGGTGGATCGAAGACACCACAATGCAAACAATATAACACCAGCTGCAAAGCACAGCATCAAGATGGCAATGGACGACAGGCTATATATAAAGCACCCCATTATTTATATAGACAGGACAGGAAATTGGCAAAGGGGAGGCCCTATGGGTATACAAGACCACGGAGTCGAAGATGTGATCCATGATACTCGATGAATTGTTACGCATGAGATACTCGTCAGTTGTCCCCTTTGACAGCACCACCACGATGGTATTTGACGGGCCATTTCCCTTCAAAACACTGCCTATTCTGACTCATGAAACGAGATTGTCACTTCTTAGAGAGCTAGGTTGCTCCTTTGAAGAATTCGACATACTATGACCGAGCATCCGTTCTTTGACGAGCTGAGGAGTTGGTGGAGTACCTAGGGAATCCAAATAATCCAAGTGTTGGAAAAGAATATCGTATTGGATTTAATCCAGGCGTAGATTGATGCGTTCTCGGTTGCTCTTTGATTGTATCCCGCTGATTCGTCTGTTGAGGCGTGAATAGCTGACTTCAAAGTCACGGGCTACTTTGACTGCATTTGCAAGTAGCTTCATGATGTTTTCGTCATTATATACCTACATAGCATTTTTCATTTTTATTTCTTAAGAGTCATAAGTAGAAGACGTGATGATGGTGGGAAGTTTCATGAATTTCATGACATGTTTTGACGTTGAGGCCGTTGACAGAGTCGGTTTTTCAAGTTTGGGATATAATCCAAATAAAGATAATAACAGTTAATCTCACAAAGCCCCCGATGGTCTAGTTGGATATGGCGGTCGGCTGTAATGTTAAATTGTTACCGACAGGTCACCGGCTCGATTCCGGTTCGGGGGATACGAGATATCTTTTTTTTCCATCATATTTTTTTGTCGATACTTTCTTTTTGCTGTCTTCCCCCCCCCAACCGCTGCAAAAATCCATTTTACAATTCAAGTGTTACTACTACTGAATTCCAAGTCTGAAGAAATATGCGAATTTTTCATAGGAGGTCTGCTAATCAAGTCTCGACCTGCGAGGATCAAGTAGCCAAAAATGTCGTCGGCGAATATCTCCAAAACCCCCGATGGTCTAGTTGGATATGGCGGTCGGCTGTAATGTAAAAATTGTTACCGACAGGTCACCGGCTCGATTCCGGTTCGGGGGATCATGAGATATCTTTTTTTTTTTTTTTTTTGGCTTTTGTATATATTTTTGCATATTCAATTGAAGAGCAGCTATGGTGTACTAAGCTTTTACCACGCCATGGAGCGGTAGGCAGTGTAGCGTCCGCTGCGTGGAATCCATGCTGCCAACCACTTAATGGGGGCGCGCGAGACGCGATTACACGTGACCGCGTCGCCACGGTGCGCGTCTCCCGCCTAGTATCTATCGATGCCATCAATTGACAGCAGGACAGCAAGTTGTCAACCAACTATCATTTTGTTTTGAAATACCCGGCACCATGTCTTCTCGACCTGACCTCAGGGTATGTTTGAATAATATCGGTTTAGATTTCCATCCATCTAACATTTCATAGGTCGACGACGAAGTCGGTTTCATTCGTTTCTACCGCTCTCTTCCTTCGGACGGCAAAGATGACACAATTCGAGTATTCGACCGGGGTGACTGGTACTCTGCACACGCTGCCGATGCCGAATTCATAGCCCGTACCGTTTACAAGACAACCTCTGTCATCCGGAACCTTGGCCGCAGCGAAACTGGGGGTCTGCCATCCGTGACCATGAGCGTAACGGTTTTCCGAAACTTCCTTCGCGAAGCCCTCTTCCGACTCAACAAACGCATTGAGATCTGGGGATCAGTTGGCCACGGCAAAGGGCAGTGGAAGCTGGCTAAGCAGGCTAGTCCCGGAAATCTGCAGGATGTGGAGGAGGAGCTGGGTAGCGTTGGCGGGCTCACCATGGACTCGTCGCCTATCATCCTGTCCGTGAAGATCTCGGCCAAGGCATCTGAGGCAAGGAGCGTGGGTGTCTGCTTTGCGGATGCGAGCGTTCGGGAGCTGGGTGTGAGCGAGTTCCTGGATAATGATATTTACTCTAATTTTGAGTCGCTGGTTATCCAGCTGGGGGTTAAGGAATGCCTGGTGCAGATGGATACAAACAGGAAAGATGCCGAATTGGGAAAGATCCGGACTATCGCAGACAGCTGCGGTATCGCTATTTCAGAGAGACCCGTCGCGGACTTTGGGGTCAAGGATATTGAACAAGACCTGACTCGGTTGTTGAGGGATGAAAGGTCCGCGGGAACCCTGCCTCAGACGGAGTTGAAGCTGGCAATGGGCTCGGCTTCTGCTCTGATCAAGTATCTGGGTGTCATGTCAGACCCGACCAACTTTGGACAGTATCAACTTTACCAGCATGACCTGTCTCAGTACATGAAGCTGGATTCCTCTGCGCTTCGCGCGCTTAACCTCATGCCTGGTCCGCGAGACGGGTCGAAGAGTATGAGCTTGTTTGGCTTGTTGAATCATTGCAAGACCCCTGTCGGTAGCCGGCTGCTGGCCCAGTGGCTGAAGCAGCCGCTCATGGACTTGAAGGAAATCGAAAAGCGACAGCAACTTGTCGAAGCCTTTGTTGTGAACACGGAGTTGAGACAAACCATGCAAGAGGAACATCTCCGTTCCATCCCCGATCTATACAGATTGGCTAAGCGCTTCCAACGGAAGCAGGCGAACCTGGAAGATGTGGTTAGAGCCTATCAGGTTGCTATTCGCCTTCCTGGATTTGTCAACTCCTTGGAAAACGTCATGGACGAGGAATACCAGACGCCTTTGGAGACAGAATATACTTCCAAACTGCGGCAGCATTCCGACAGCCTGGCTAAACTGGAAGAGATGGTTGAGACCACAGTCGATCTCGCTGCCTTGGAGAACCACGAGTTCATAATCAAGCCCGAGTTTGATGATAGCTTGCGGATCATCAGAAAGAAATTGGACAAGATTAGACATGACATGGATGTCGAACACCGCAGAGTGGCCAGAGATCTCGACCAAGAGGTGGACAAGAAGTTGTTCATGGAGAACCACCGGGTTCACGGCTGGTGCTTTAGACTCACCCGTACCGAGGCGGGATGTATTCGAGGAAAGAGGGAATACCAAGAGTGCTCGACACAGAAAAACGGAGTCTACTTTACCACATCGGCTATGCAGTCGTTCCGTCGGGAACACGACCAGCTTTCGTCCAACTATAACCGAACCCAGACCGGATTGGTCCACGAGGTTGTCAGCGTCGCAGCTTCGTACTGCCCCGTTCTTGAACAGCTGGCCGCTGTGCTGGCCCACCTCGATGTCATTGTTAGCTTTGCTCATGCGTCTATGCATGCACCGAACGGCTATGTTCGCCCTAAAATGCACCCACGGGGAACTGGAAGCACGGTGCTTAAGGAGGCACGACACCCGTGTATGGAGATGCAAGATGATATCTCTTTCATTACCAACGATGTATCATTGATCCGGGATGAATCATCGTTCCTCATCATTACTGGTCCTAACATGGGTGGTAAATCTACTTATATCCGGCAAATTGGAGTTATAGCCCTCATGGCCCAGACGGGATGTTTCGTACCTTGCACTGAGGCTGAACTGACCATTTTCGACTGTATCCTCGCCCGTGTAGGTGCAAGCGATTCTCAGCTCAAGGGTGTTTCGACATTCATGGCCGAGATGCTTGAGACTTCCAACATTCTCAAGTCTGCTACATCCGAATCCCTCATTATCATCGATGAGCTCGGCCGTGGAACCAGCACATACGATGGTTTCGGTCTGGCCTGGGCCATTTCCGAGCATATTGTCACCGAGATCCGCTGCTTCGGCCTCTTTGCAACCCATTTCCATGAGTTGACAGCCCTTGCTGACCGCTACCCCAAGTCTGTGAAGAACCTGCACGTCGTGGCGTTCATCGGAGATGGTGCCGAGAACGAAGCAGATGAAAAGTCAAAGCAAAGACAAGTTACCCTTCTGTACCGCGTTGAACCTGGAATATGTGATCAGTCTTTCGGTATCCATGTGGCTGAATTGGTTCGCTTCCCCGACAAGGTTGTCAACATGGCCCGACACAAGGCCGAAGAGTTGGAAGATTTCACCACTCACTCTGACAAGCCTGGCCAGGAGCCCACCCAATCCGTTGAAGGCTATTCCCAGGAAGAGGTCGAGGAAGGCAGCTCTCTTCTCAAGGCGATGTTGTTGAAGTGGAAGGCGGAGATTGAATCGCCAGACAAGAAAGACTTGACAGTCGAGGAAAAACGTCAGATCATGCGCGATCTGGTCACGGCTGATGAGAAATTGCAGGCGAATAAATTATTCCAGGGCATTAAGGGTTTGTAAAAGCAGGGATACAGAGGTTCTTTCGGGTTTATATAGCGTCATGGGCGTTTGGGAGTGGCAACCATATGTTATGAGTGATATTACCAAGCCATTAGAGGCATGGAGATTTAATCTATTTATTCAGACACTTAAAGTAGCTTTGTACTCTGCACTATGGTGTTGCTTCGAGATAATGATACTGGCATCCATATAGTAGGTCACGTGGAATTGCGGAGCTGGAACGGTCCAGCCGTTAACGTTTCCACTGCTTGTCCAGATAGCAGGAAGAACATCAACAGTGATCGCAACGTCTACTCGCACTCAACCTCCTCCATGACCCTGGCAGAATCGATAATTGCGCTTCGCGATTAACACAGATTTACCTCGTCTCCATATCACGCGGCTTCCGCCTAACGCTCTCTCGCTCCGAACCCTTCCCCTCAGCTATGCGCGCAAACTAAAGGCGGAAACACTCGAACGGCTTTGATTCATGCACCCCTTTTCCATCCTCACACTTGGTATATTCGTAGCGGGGTACACTACCGCGCGGTGGGATCTTGTTACCCGGCTATACGAATTAGCGATTTTTGCGTGGGATCACGGCGTTGTGGTACGTGCTTTTACATCTCAATATTACTTGGTGGTACATTCAGCTGACCCTTTGTTAGACCCGGACCGCAAAAGGATTCATCCTTCTTTCTGTGTTCTATTTCCTTTTGATTATTCCCATAAACCGCCTTGCTACGAAAGAGGCTGAATTGGTAAGTTGGCACAATATGCGGACTCAATTCATGATAATGCTGGATTGGGATGGGCACTAATTGCTGGCTTGGACATTAGCACCCCCGATACGTCAATCTGGGCGTCTCCGCTCGAGAACAACTACGCCGCCGAGGCTCCTTTTAGTCCTACGTGAATAATGTCAACATGATCATGAGCGATGGGTTGCTGCGGGTATTTTGGCCATACGACCTCCCGCGATCTTCGGCGCCGGGGGTGATTGTCGGATGGCGGAACTCGGAGCTGGATCTATTTGTTCTGACCGTGCTGGAGGATGTTGAGGCAAGTTGGTATAGAATCTGGATTGGTAGGGACGTTAATTGACCATTTGGATGTATAGCCTCGAAATGTCGACAATGCGCTGCGTGCCGGGATTCTTTTCCGCAATAGTCCACACCCTATTGTGCGGATTTTCACGCTCTGTGGAAGATCTGCGATGCATGTTTTGGGGTCGACTAATCCTCGAGATCCACCGACAACGTTCAACTCGTCTCACCTATATGTCACAACACCTCCGTCATGCAAGGTTCCGAGGATATTCTGTCCTCCAGAGGCCAATCTCTCAGTTCAAGTAATCATGTTCCACCGCCCTCATCCGACTAGAATGGAGTACATGTCACTGGACCCGATATCCCTCGCCCTGGGTGATAAGGTGTCGACAGCTGAAGGATCGGGGGCGGTGCTCAAGAAAATCGATACCGAAGAAGAAGGAGACAAGGAACGATCTCGGATGCTGGTTGAAAAGCTCAAACTTCACACTGTGGTGAAGCACGTTCCGTCGCATAAAGAACAAGCGCTACCCCTCATCGTCAACCAGGTTAATTGTGCGTATGAAATGGGAAAGCTTATGGAAAAGAATAGCCATCTTATCGGGATACGTGTAAAGAGAAGTATGAGTGTTGGCGAACGGGTTGTCGAATCTGCTTCTACACTTTGGGACCTTTTTGTGCTTGGTGTCTCTTATGTCTTTTGGCAGTGGATCTGGCCTGTCGTGACTAGGGTTTTTATCACCGGTCTTGTGTTCCATCGGACGATCGCTGAGGTTGTTTTGGAAGTCCTTGAATGGCGTGCCCGACCTGATGCGGCAGCTTTGAAGGATATTTCTGCGACGGCTCAGCAAGTGGATATTCGTCTTCAACAATTTTGCTATTGGCCTATTCAGTATGTCAAGCTGCGTCAGAGAAAGGACAACTGGGAAAGTGTGACAACCAGTCATCCGGATTATATTCGGTTTTACAACAGTCTATGGCTTGTCGCGAATGATGTGATCATTGGAATCGCTTTGGGTTCGTATATTATCGACAATGCGAATTGGGTGGCCTATCAAATCAACACAGTCCTTACTGGCTGGACCGTGGAAGGATTGCAGCGCACTATCTCCTGGTTGATGGATTGGCCGGCAGGTTTGAAGCTTAACAACGAGCTTGCTGCCTTCTTGGGTGATCTTTTTCTGTGGGTCATTGAAAACTGGGCAGGTTTGTTCTCCTCGATCTTGAATACTGGCTCTTGGCTAATAGAAACCAGCCTGCATTGCAAATCTCCAACCATACCTTCCCCATGTAATATACATCGTGGGGTGCTCCAGCTTTGCCGGGGCAAGTATGCCTATCGCGCTCTTCTCGGATCTGGTCTCGATCCTGACCGTGCATATCTACTCGTTCTATATTGCTTCTGCCCGCATCTTCAACTGGCAGCTTACTATCATAATATCTCTCTTCCATCTCTTTCGCGGTAAGAAGCGAAATGTGCTACGCAACCGAATAGACTCCTGTGATTACGACCTCGACCAACTGCTTCTCGGCACTATCCTGTTCACAGTCCTCTTCTTTCTCCTACCCACCGTCGTGGTCTTCTACCTGACGTTTGCATCTGCACGGATGTTGATCATATCACTCAAAGCGGCGCTTGATACTTGGTTGGCGTTCCTCAACCACTTCCCGCTCTTTGCATTGATGTTGCGAGTGAAGGATTCCCAACGATTACCAGGTGGAATTCGTTTTGAGCTTCGTGAAGAATATGACAAGTCGTCCAACTCCATGTCCCCTACTTCGATCCCCTATATTCACCTCGAGGTAAGCTCTCCATAGACCATGCACTATGAGTCGCAACTAACAAATACAAGTCCATACCGCTTCCCCTCCGCGCGATGTTCGACCAATACTTCCAGTTAGGCCATCGCCTTCGCAAGCATTATCTCTCCCCTAGTGTCATATTCTGCCTTGTAACAGGGCGCTTCGTTCCACCCATCCACCGTCGCAATTTGTACAGCATGCAGTACAGCATGCTGCCTGCCCGCCGCGCCGGGATGGCAGATGTGTGGGAACTACTGACTCAACCTAAAAAAGGAAATGGAGGGAGCGGTGGCTCTTCGTCAGCTGGGGGTGCAGGAAATGGACTACTCAAGGTTCCGGGTGGGTTTGGACAAGGAGATAACCGGAGACGAGGGCATCGGTGATGATTTCCGAGATAGACGTTTAACTATGCATATACCCTAGGATATGTAATATATTAATAGATTAATTGCTCAAAAATACTGCTAATTCAATTGGATTGAGCATGTCCAGTCATCGACAGCGAAATCATCTTCCTTGATGAATACGTCAATTTTCTTTCAGGCCGTAGACTTGAATGTTATGTATGATCGTAGTACATATCTCCAGATATAATAGAGAGGGGAAAATCGATATATACAAAAGAGTGGAATGGTAATGCACAACCAAGCCAAGACGCCATAAATGAAACGATACCAGGACGCTGCTAAAAATGCATGTCATCGCTGAAGATAAATCAAAACTCCATATTGATACAAAATCCAGACCGACAAGTCTTATGCATGTAAGTTGGTGTACGGATGCATACTCCTGCAAACAATAGGACTTGACTCATGACTTTTTGAGAAATTCGGCATCGCTTTCTCTGTTACTTCTGCGAGCTTCTTCGACCATAGATTCGATGCCTTTTTCTTTCAGGGAGATCTTTGGATGGGTTAGTAGGCGAAGATGTTAAGATGGATAAACGACGCACATTTAGACACTTCTTGTACTTGGAGAATAGGTCTTCGCATTCATTTGAGGTGGTGTTGCCACGGAGATATTCTGCCTGAGTTAGCTAGATATTTCTTTTGCCAACTGGTTAAAGCCATGATTCATACTCTCACTGTACCACTTGAGGAAACAAGAGTCATATTTCCTGGTTTAAGGGTTAGTCTGGGTGTTGAAGCGAGGTTTTTCGGACAATGTGATACTCACTCTTTGATATCGTTACACTCGGGGGCGATAGAAGCTGACATATTGGATGCAGGCTTTTCAATGTTTTGAGACATGAGCTGTAATGTGATTTCGCCAACGCTCTGTATTATTTTCAACAAAGACTCGTCAAAGGTAATCCTTCTCAATCCTCATTTCCTTCTGTAGATGAAGATGATCGCCGCCGTACCTTGACTATTCTGTATCCAGTAGGCGGTCAGCTGTCCGCCGGATCCAACATTTATCCACTTCCGAATGTCTCCAGCGACTTTTTTTCCGGGCCAGAATTGTTATCGAAGAAAAGCACCGACTGCAGACATTGTCATTGTCTGTTTGTCTCTTATTTTCTTATTTTATTTTGTTCTGTATCTGGCACCAGTGTCAGCTCATACAGCACCATGGATTCCCCAGCGGATTTCCCCCCGTTCCAAGAACGGTTGACATCTACCCTTGTGCAGATGACGCGCACTGTCGGACAGCTCTCTGCTGAAGATCTCAACTTTCACCGATCGTCGAGTGCAGACGTTACCGACTCCCTTGATGAGCAGAGTGGAAGGCTGCTATCCTTGACCTCCTCGATTCTCAAAGCTGCAACGGCCGGAACAGATTTGTCAGCTCCGGCTCTGCATGATGAAGACTCCGTCGAAGACAATTGGCGCGGGGTGGTGGATGTGATTGATGCGCTTTTGGAAAGGGCAGATGCGTGTCTGGACGAGTTTACCGGTGTGATCAAGAAATTGAGTCCGTCCCAGGAGCAGAATGCGAAGCCTGCGAAAAAGGCACCCGCCTCGAAATTCCCCTCCATTTACGACTATGGCCCGTCCAAGATTCCCAAGCCCCAGCTGCAATTCGAACGTCTTGTCGATAATGCCAATGTTTCGTCATTTCAGCCTTTGCTTAGAACTAAGCCACATGCGATTGTTCCACTGGAGGATGCAGTGAAACCAGCCGACCAAGCGCACGGTTCTAGAAACCCTTACGAGACTGAAATTCGCGCCGCCAAGTACCCCCAATCTACTTACACTGCTTCTCCCCCGATTGACTACCATCCGTTTGAATCGACGACTGCGACATTTGTGGATACTTTGGAAGGACTGAAGGAGATGCTGGGTGAACTCAAGTCTGCGAACGAAATCGCCATTGATTTGGAACACCACGATGTGCATTCGTACCATGGTCTTGTGTCTTTGATGCAGATCAGCACTCGTGACAAGGATTGGGTTGTGGACACACTTAAGCCATGGAGAGAAGAGCTTCAGATGCTCAATGAGGTCTTTACTGATCCGAAGATCCTTAAGGTCTTGCACGGATCGTCTATGGATATCATTTGGTTGCAGCGCGATCTGGGTCTGTACGTTGTGGGAATGTTCGACACTTACCACGCGGCGTGCGCTTTGAACTACCCGAAACGCAGTTTGAAATTCCTTCTTCAAAAGTTCGTCAATTTCGAAGCCGATAAGCGATACCAGATGGCCGACTGGCGAGTTCGACCCCTCCCGTCTGGCATGTTCGACTACGCTCGCTCGGATACCCACTACCTCCTCTATGTTTTCGACCACTTGCGCAATGAGCTCGTTGAGAACTCCCTTCCCGATCATAATCTCGTCGATTACGTTCTCGAGCAATCAAAAAACGAAGCTTTGCAGCGTTACGAACGGCCCGTCTATGATGCCGCCACCGGACAAGGAGCCGGTGGCTGGTATGACTATCTCTGTCGCAACCCGGCAGCTTTCAGCAAGGAGCAATTTGCTGTCTTTAGGGCGGTTCATCAATGGCGCGACGAGGTTGCGCGAGCTGAAGATGAGGGTGTGCAGTGTGTTTTCCCGAAGCATATCCTGTTTAAGCTTGCCCATACCATGCCGCTTGATCAGGGAACCCTGTTCCGGACACTGTCGCCCGTGACACCGATCACCAAGGACAGAGCATCGGACCTTTTGGAAGTCATTAAGAATGCGAAGATCGAGGGCGCCACAGGACCAGAATGGCGGGACTTTGCCAGGCCATCCAAGACAACCCAGGCGGCACCCGAGCAAGAGCCGTTGACTCCTCCAGTCCAGGAAGATGATCTCCCTACTACTTCCCGCTTTGAGATTTCTCAATTCTGGGGTGATGTTCTTGGCCCTCAGGAGGCACTGACTCCTCCCGAGTACTCGATCGTTGCATCGGCCGAAGCTCTTCGACTTTCCCTTCCCTTGCCGCCCATGCCCAAGACAGTATCAGAGGCGCGCGAAAAACTCGGTGCCTCTGCCCCCGCTAAGCCTCCGTCTCCAAAGCCTGCCGCCGCTGCCCCAGCACCCGAAGAAAAGAAGATATTCACTGTGAAGGAGATGGGTGGTCCTCGTAAACGAAAGGCCCTTCCGACTGAGGCTGCCAAGGCACCGTCTCCCGAAGCCGACGATCTCAGCAACGACATTGTTGCGATTGAAGATACAGAGAAGCCTTCCAAGAAGCAACGCCAGAAAAACAAGAAGAACAAGGCGTTGCAGGCTGAGAAGGAGAGTCAAGAGGCAGCGCCTTTCGATTACGATGCAGCAGATTCCGTGCTTCACGCCAAGCCGGCGCAGGATACCAGAACCAACCCATCGAAACGACCATTCAACCCGTATGCAAAGGCACTCGAGGCACCGTCCGGTGTGCGCAAGCAGAAGAAAGAGATGCCCGGAAAGACATTTACATTCAGGTAGTTGGGGAGATATTTATACATTGGCGTATGTTTTGTTTGTTTGTTATACATGCAGTCATGGGCATGATTATGGACATAGTGTTTCGGTAGCATAGCGATACCCGGATAAAAGTTTTTATGATTAAAGAAGTGTAGATGTAACTACTAGGAGTCACCTAACAGACATGGCTATCGGCGTAGACGCAACTGACAAAGGTGCAGACAAACACTGAACTACACCATACTTAACCCATCAACGTTCCACCTTCGTCTTTCTTCTCCATCCTCTTCTTCATCCTCTTCTCAATCTACACCCATCTCCATCTCAATCTATCCATCCATCCATCACCAAACAATGGACACCCAAATCCCCCTCCTCACCTACCTCCAAACCGCCCTCCCACGCCTCCCCAAAACCCCCCTCCCAGAACGCGATCACTTCCCCACAGACGACTACAACCCAACCGCCATCACCACCACAACCCCCTGGACCGACTTTACCCTTACCACCATCCTAGCCCGATACGGCGATGTCCTCAGAAACGCACGTATCCAGAGTGATCCCTTTGCTTCTTCCCCGCCCCGCTCGATACTGTGCTATTCAGTCCTGAGGGCGAGGGTGTGGGACTTTGTGCATCCGCGTGTGAGGAGGGGTTTAAGATGTGGGATTGAGTATCTTTCTACCGATGGAGAGCAGGCGGGGATGGTGCCGTTGTGTTTTGATATCGACGCCGATGATAAAAAAGCGCATACGCCCGATGCGGGATATTTCGATTCGCGGGCTCTGGTTGGGGAAGCGCCGAATCGGGCGCCGGGGGTATATGTACCTTCATGGGTTTGGGGGTCTGATATGGTTACTGCTGCGGCTGAGGGTGAGGATGAGGCTGGTGAGAATGCAAAGGCGATGTATTATGCCGTTCTGAGTCGTGTGGCGTTTTACATGGAAGAGAATGGCGCGAAGTACGGGTTTGTACTTACGGATGAGGAGCTGGTGGTTGTGAGGTTGGGGGGTAGGCTGGGGGAGATGGAGGTTGGGGAGAGTGTGAAGTGGGGAGTTGGAGGGAGTGATGAGGAGCCGGTGATGACGGTGCTTTTGGGATTGTGGTATTTGGGGATGATTGCGAGTGAGTAGATTATCTGTATTGTACATGTGGTAGGCTATGCTTTGGAGAGTGTCTTCTTTCGCTGTTTCACCATGTAGGAATACATCATGACAGCACCTGTGCATGTTAGATGGATGTGAAGATAAATTGGCAATATCAGACTCACCAGGGACATATAAACCCAGACAGAAATAAAAGATGCCCTCTGCAGTCGAATTACTCGTCGACTCTGCAGCCTTGAACATCATCCACCATTCGCCACCGATGCCAATGGGATAGAGGACGAAGAAGAGGGTGTACCTATACCATTAGTATTGATTTAGAGAAGAAGAAGGAAACATACCTCATCCACTTCAACAAAGACGGCACCTGCACTCCAACCAACATGACGACAAAATACAAATAGCGTACTACATCCGCCGTGGACCAGGCCAGCAGCATCGAGCGATACATGGGCCCCTCGGCCGCAACATTGGGGAAACCATAGCAGACGGCCCAAACCTGAACGCAGCGCGTAAAGATTTGAGTAAAAGTAGTGAAGACGGCAGAACGGGTGATTCCTATTTTGTAATGTTAGTTTAATTATTTAGGCAGAATAATTTATGGTAGGATGAGGACTACCAGTGGCTGCGTGGAGAATCTCAAGGACAGCCAGGGTTTGGGTCCATCTTGTCCAGGGTTCGAGAGTGGAGTAGAGTGAGGGAGGGGAGGGGGTGGATAGGACGGTGACGAGGATTCGGAGCCAGAGGAGGGCGCTGAGGGAGTTGTAGAGGATGAGGTATTTTGATTTGAGAGACATTATATATGGTGGTGATGTTGATAATGTTTTTTTTTCGGAGGTTAAGAGTGAAGAGTTGATGGAGAAAAATTAGTGCAATTAGGGTGGACTAGCTTTGTCATCCACAATACAAATAACCAGATAAAAAGTAGCAGTATATTATTATTATTATTCCATACAGTATGTAGTATCATGAATATACTGCTATGTATATTAATTAATGTTGCTTATTCCGTAATTGCAATAGATATAGTTATCGGATGACTCGTACAAGATAGGATGCATATGCAGTGTATGAATCATGGAAGATGAATGCGATTGATAATTATAGTGCAAACTAAACGCGGGATACAGGGATACCATATCATACTACAATCTACATTATGATATTCATACTGTTTATTCCTAAGATACGGTGAGGCGTTGATGTGTCGATCATTGGTGTACTATCTGTAGACATTAAGAAGGTTGTATAATGATTTTATAGAGTATGGGAGAGTACTATATAGAGTAATAGAGTAAATAGAGAGTCTGTACAATTACTTGCATGATGATATACATGAATACGTGCTTATGGCGTACAGGTGATATATCATCTTAATATTATCCTGGATAGACAGTAGACAGTGGCGGGGACTATGTATGCATTACGCTACATGCGGAGAGACGACGATCACCCCTGATCCATCCGTCCCACTCGGATGTCTTACCCCTGAATTCTGCATTGGCAATGCAGTAATACTGCACAGAGGCGATGATGGATTTAATGAGGGTTGGAGCGATTGGTCCCAGTGAGAAAAACCCTGCGTTCCAGGGAAGTGGATATCTCATTAACACTGCAGAGACGATGATATCCATGGTTGAGGTGGAAATAACGCAATGGGTCTCGTGGACAATGCGGGCGAATGGACGCAGGTACCAGGAACATTATTATTATTCTTATTATATTAATGATATTATGTGTGATAATATTATATGATAATATACTATAGTCGACAAAGAAACAGGCACTCGAAACGCCCAGAAGAAGAGTTGATCCAAGCGACTAAACCAGGGTTTTAGTGGAGTTCCCCTTGCGTCGACTTACAGTAGTGAGCAGGCGTAGTAATATAGAGGATAAAGAGAAGAAGAGAAAGAGACAAAAGAAAAGAAAACAGACCAAAAGAAAGAAAAAGAAAGAAAGAAAGAAAGAAAGAAAACGGAAGACGATCATCCGAATGGCAAGAGAGACTCGAGGGAATCAGAATCCTTCCGATCAGAACCAAACAGGAGACAATCGAGGTTCGATGATTATCTCGACATACAATCGAGGTTATCCACATCCCTAACTGGAGCGAAACCACCCAATTTTAATCCCCGTTCCTCAACCCCCTCTTTCTTTCTTTCTTTCTGTCTGTCTTTCTTACTTCCTCTCTCTTCTTCTCTTCTTTCTCGTCTTCCCCTCCCTAAAAAGACGCCCTAAAGGAATCCCCTCTTCTTCTTCTTAATCCATCCTCTTTTTATCTCTTCCTTCCTACTTCTTCTCATCTCATCTCATCCGAGCCCCCTTCTGTCCTTACTTTGCGCTCCCTTGGTTCTCCTCCGAGCTACCTCTCCTTTCACTCTCGCCTCGTTCGTCGTCGCCTTCCAATCCCTTTCACCTCAGTCTGAATGCGACCGTTGTCTGATTCTCTCCCCAGCGCTCTCATCACCGTTTCTTATTGATCGCTCCGTTCCTCAAGCCCCTCCGTCGTGAAACTCCGTCCTGTCGACCCAACTTTTTCCCTTGACCGAAATACCCACGGGTTAATATTTCCATTCGACCCGCTCCATTTTTTTTTTCCCTCTCTCCTTCAAACCCTTTTTTTCTTCTTGACCACCGTCGCTTCTCTCAAGGGTGAATCAATTGTCTTTATTCTATCGACTGGGATAAAAGGGTTTCCAACGCGTGCGATAAGGAGGTACAACTCGTGGCGCTCATGTTCGCTAGCCAAACAATCAGTCCCTCTGATGCTTGAAATACTAGGTCGCTCTTCGTGATCCTCGGGAAATAATTGCTTGCTTGATTGATTTATTCTCCTCGTGGGAATTCCTGTCAATCTAAGTGGACGGTCGCCGCGTTTCGGTCGTTCCCTGGTATCCCCGAGTCAGCATGTCCGTTGCTACTATGCTCCAACCGGCCTCGAGAACTTCTAGAACTTCTACTTCTTCGTCTTCGTCTTTCCAACCCGTCACTCGTCAAAACACCATGTCTTCTCACGATACGCGGTCTTTCCGCCAATCCAAGCGGTTGTCCGTCACTGCGCTATACTTGTCTATGTCCGCAAAGGACAAAGACTTGGAAATTTCAGATGATCTCGCCAGAGGTGAGCGACCGTTCTCCTTCTCATTCATAGTTGTGTATTGACTTGGGCAGCACAAAAACACCTGCGGGAGTTGAAGAGCAAGATCTCGTCGCAGTCCAAGAAGAACTTCGTCCTGGAAAAGGATGTCCGATATCTGGACTCGCGGATAGCTTTGTTGATTCAGAATCGCATGGCTCTCGAAGAAGTAAGACTCCCTATCTCCTGAGAATATGTTCATTCGCTCACAATCGAAGCAAAATGAGGTCGCTAGCCATCTCGAAGATGCGATTGATCCCCAAGAGGGCTTCTTCCCCAACGACGAAAAGACCCAGAAATACGGCAACCTCCTTTTCCTCCTTCAGTCCGAGCCCCGTCACATCGCCCACCTATGTCGACTAGTCTCCATGTCCGAAATTGATTCTCTCCTCCAAACCGTCATGTTTACAATCTACGGAAACCAGTACGAGAGCCGCGAAGAACACCTGCTGCTTACCATGTTCCAATCCGTCCTGACATACCAATTCGACAACACCCCGGAATACTCGTCGCTTCTGCGCCAAAACACCCCCGTGTCTCGGATGATGACCACATACACTCGCCGAGGTCCCGGTCAAAGCTATTTGAAGCAGGTTCTGGCCGACCGGATTAACGGGTTGATCGAATTGAAGGACGTGGATCTGGAAATCAACCCGTTGAAGGTATACGAGTCCATGATTAAGGATTTGGAGGAGAAGGGTACATTGCCGGATGACCTGGCCAGATCCGTCACCGCTGAGACTGCCGCCGAGAACAAGCAGGTGCAGGCCATCATTGAACCTCGACTGCAGATGTTGACCAAAATCGCCAATGGATTCATCTCAACTATCATCAACTCCGTGGATGAGGCCCCTTACGGTATCAGGTGGATCTGTAAGCAGATTCGGAGCTTGTCCCGCCGCAAGTACCCCGACGCCCAAGATCAGACCATCTGTACGCTGATCGGTGGCTTTTTCTTCCTGCGCTTCATCAACCCGGCGATTGTCACCCCGCGTTCGTACATGCTTATTGATGCGACACCCACGGACAAGCCGCGCCGTACACTGACCCTGATTGCAAAGATGCTGCAGAACCTGGCCAACAAGCCTTCCTACGCCAAAGAGCCGTACATGGCCAAGCTCCAGCCTTTCATCCAGCAGAACAAGGAGCGGGTCAACAAGTTCATGCTTGACCTGTGTGAAGTGCAGGACTTTTACGAAAGTCTGGAGATGGACAACTACGTGGCACTCTCCAAGCGCGACCTTGAACTGCAGATCACTCTCAACGAAATGTATGCCACCCATGCCTTGCTGGATAAGCACAGTGAAGTGCTGGCCCAGGATCAGCACTCGCACCTCTATGAACTCCTGCAGGAATTGGGCAGTGCACCCCCTCAAGTTCCACGCAAGGAGAACCGGACCATCCATGTGCCCCTATTCAGCCGGTGGGAAACCGCCTTGGATGACTTGACGTCTGCCTTGGATATCACTCAGGAGGAAGTGTTCTTCATGGAGGCCAAATCGACCTTTGTCCAAATTCTACGGTCTTTGCCACCCAATTCGTCGGTCGCCCGTCGACCTCTGCGTCTCGATCGCATCGCAGAAGCCGCGGCCACCCTGAAGAACGATGCTCTTATGGTGCGCAAGGGCATTCGCACCATGGAGCTGTTGAGTCAGCTCCAGGAGATGGGAGTTATTGACCGGACCGACGAATTCCGTCTGCTCCGCGATGAGGTGGAGCAGGAATTGGTGCACCTGGGCTCCTTGAAGGAGAAAGTCCTCGATGAGACAAAGAAGCTTGACGAGGTCTTTTCGACCATCCGCGACCACAATGCGTACTTGGTGGGCCAGTTGGAGACCTACAAGTCTTATCTGCACAACGTCCGCAGCCAGTCCGAGGGCAAGCAAAGAAAGCAGCAAAAGCACCAAGAGCTTGGACCCTATAAATTTACCCACCAGCAATTGGAAAAGGAGGGTGTTATCCGGAAGAGTAATGTTCCGGAAAATCGGCGAGCCAATATATACTTCATGTTCAAGAGCCCCTTGCCTGGGACTTTTGTTATCAGTCTTCATTACAAAGGTAAATGATATCTTCCACATATTGTGGGTCATAATTATGCTAATACCGAAATACAGGCCGTGCTCGGGGTCTTTTGGAGCTTGATCTCAAGCTCGATGACTTGCTGGAAATGCAAAAGGACAGCCTCGAGGATCTCGACCTCGAATACGTCCAATTCAATGTGACCAAGGTGCTATCGCTCCTGAACAAGCGTTTTGCCCGGAAGAAGGGCTGGTAAGCTTTATCCAACCATTCTCTGCGACGGCGTATAATGACTAGCGGAGAGGAGAAGAAAGACAGAAAAGCTAGTATAAATACTCAAAAAGGCGAGAACGCCTGGGCTCCAGTCCCCGAGTTTCTTTATTCCTTTTTCGTTTTTCGGCCACCGATTGAATTTGATGCACGACAACCGACGCCCAAGCATGTCATTCACGATGCAGCGCGAGCTGGTTTGGCAACTTTACGTTATGATTTGGAGATGGATACCCCATTTGACTTTTTGCCTGTCTCATGTGGTGGATTAATGACGGATTCGCCACACGAACAACCATCCACCTATATGACCTTTTATACTTCCCAACTCGACATGTGATTATATGGAGGGACTGTAATTTTTTGGCGAGGACCTAAGCACATATCTCGAATCTGGGGTGGGTAACGGACGACCGCCGCTGGCTCGGAACCAGTCCTTTCATCCCAGGGAATTGCAGTTATACCCCGTTTTATGATTGTTCTTTTGCGTGTGCGATTTTGCTTGAAATTTATTGATTTTTGATGACACCACGTTCAATTTCTCCTTGATCTTCAAGCTGTTATGTCACTTTTATACATGGGCGGACATCATCATGCCCCCCTTTTCTGTAATCTTAGTCGTGTGGCGCCTTTTCCATCTCTTTTTAATGTCTTGGTTTGCTGTTCCCCCTTTTCCATTTCCTGGTTAGGCAGGGGGGGGCTATCATTATTCCCATGGTTTGTTATCAGTGTTTTATGCTTTGTTTTCTTTTCCTTCCTTTTTTTCCCTGATGATTGTCGCTGAATCGAATACCCGTATACCGCATAATTGCTGTTTCTGATCGAGGTATACATACACAAAGAGGTATACAGACTTTATGAATTGAACACGTGTTTATTGTTATATATACTAATAATTATTGATTATTACCATCCCTTGATTATTTATACCCTTTCGTCTTACTTGGTCCTATGAAGTTGGTGATGATACGTCAGACCAACCAATACTGTAGATCTCGCACTCGGTAGTTCAGGCAAACCAAGAACAATGCCTCGTACTAATCGAGAACAGCTCCATCCAGCACACGCAACTCCGTGACTAGGGGGTCTGAAGCAGATCTTCTCACCGTCATTCAATCGTTCAATAATAATAATAAGGTATCCATAATGCCCATCCCATATGGTGCCCACTGCGTTAGCGTCACCGCCTGCCGTTAGCCTGTTAGGAACCCAGACACGGAGCCCCTCCCACTGTCCGTTGCAGGCGGTTTCCGTCCCAACTGGCGCTGGCACTGACTGTATCGGACCCTCCACCACGCACACTCCTCCACTCCTCTCTCTCCTCTCGCCTTCTCCCCGACTCTTAACTCTCAGTCATTTCCCCCCTCTTGAAACTTTCTTCTTTTCCTTTCTGACAGCCAGAAGGAAATATCGTCTTCATCTTTCACTCCCTACCCGCAGCCATCCATCCGACCTGTAATTTTCCCTAGTCTCCCTCGTCTCGAGATCGACATACGGGTAATCTTACAACCACCTTTCCTCTACTCTCCTCTCTCCTCTCTTCTCGAATTTATCCAATTCCATCCGATCAATCGATCACACCTCTGTCACCATGGCCGCCCCTTCCAAGTACGACGACTATGACTTCCCCACCACCGTCTCGGAGCCTCAACCAGGCCACCCTGGCCACACAACCCCGGAGCAGGACTCGAAGGTGCAGCAGCTCCGTGAGGAACTGGAGAAGGAGGGCTATACTGAGCGTCTGGACACCTTGACCATCTTGCGGTTTTTGAGAGCGCGCAAGTTTGACGTTGCGCTGGCTAAGGCTATGTATGTATCGCCCCCCCACCCCCCCCTTTTCTTATGGCCTAGTTGGATTTGAGCTGATGGTTGCAGGTTCGTCGAATGTGAAAAGTGGCGCAAGGAATTTGGTACAGATGACCTTCCTCGTACCTTTGAGTACCCCGAGAAGGCTCAGATCTCCGCATTTTACCCCCAGTACTACCACAAGACCGACAAGGTGCGTTTATGGATTTTATTCTTTTATTTTTGATGGGGTGTTAACGGTTTATAGGATGGAAGACCCGTCTACATTGAAAAGTTGGGCAAGATCGACCTCGCCGCTATGGAAAAGATCACCTCCAGTGAACGTATGCTGCAGAACCTGGTTACCGAGTACGAGAAGCTCGCCGACCCCCGGTTGCCCGCCTGTTCGCGCAAGTCCGGCAATCTGCAGGAAACTTGCTGCACTATCATGGACCTCAAGGGTGTCTCGCTGACCAGCGCTCCCTCTGTCTACGGATACCTCAAGCAGGCTTCTGGTGTCTCGCAAAACTACTACCCCGAGCGATTGGGCAAGCTGTACTTGATCAACGCCCCCTGGGGTTTCAGCACTGTCTTCAGCATGGTTAAGAGCTTCCTCGACCCCGTCACCGTGAAGAAGATCCACGTTCTTAACTCCAGCTACGGGAAGGAACTCTTGGCCCAGGTTCCCAAGGAAAACCTCCCCAAAGAGTTTGGCGGCACCTGCGAATGCCCCGGTGGCTGTGAGCTCAGCGACGAGGGCCCGTGGCAGGAGGCTGAGTGGGCCAAGCCGCCCAAGTGGGCTACCCCCAAGGAGGAACAGAACGTGATTAAGAACGAGGACCCAGGCCTCGAGAAGAAGGATGAGGAGGCCCAGGAGACCTCCCAGCCTACTGCATAGTTCTCTTCTATCCTTTTCTCCTCTTTTCTTTTTTTCGTTTCTTGTGCACCAATTATTTTGGATCAATATGGTAAAAGCTTGTTGCTACGCTGTCGATCTATACTTTTTATTTCCCTTTTCGTTCTAAAGAACCGACTGGAACAGGTCACATCAAACTGTGCTTTGCTTTGCTCTCTTTTTTGGGTTGGTTCATACGTCCTCGCATCATGGATAAATTCAATAGTTGATCTTGTTACCTGATGGATCGACGTATAGAGTCTATCGGACCCTTTTTTTCTCCTGTTATCTTTTTATTTTCCCTTTTTTTTCATGTCTTGGCCTTCGGGCTTTAGATGCTAAGCGAGTCAGAACGAGCGGCGTGTGGTGCTTTGATAGATGGGAACTGGGGATAGTAATTACGGGAACAGAATACAAAAGCGCTGGTTTATGTTGGTAGATTGGATGTACGGAGTCGAGATTATGGTGAATAGCCGTACGGAGTACATAAATCGAATTGCCTATATCTGAAACGAGTCATGTAGGGTTGAATACCCATAACTGGATTGGTATCATAATGCCTAATCAACGCCATGAAATAAATCAAAACCAAATATATCCCAAACGCATCACATATTTTCCACGACCTCGGCCGCCCGACCGGCTCTTTCAGCCTTGCCTACTGTCGTGGCTAGAGCATTATGCGCTCCTCCGTCTGCGTTGGCATCGGCGTCATCCGCATCACCTTGGAGTCGAAGCAAAGTGCGCAACGCATCCTCGTAGACCTCGGCCATTTCCCCATTCCGCCACCGCTCCGCCTCATGCTGTGTACCGAGCGGAACCTGTAATTTCCAATCTTCTTTGGCGGATTTGCGCGATTGAGTAGCAGTACTCGCACTCGGTTTTTCATCCCCATCAGCATCAGGCATCTGGACATCCCCTTCTACTTTCTGCGCTTGCCCTTGCTCTTGCCCTTCACCTTCCCCTTCACCCTCCCCATCCTCATTTTCATCCTCATCCCCCTCCAATGCAAGTTTCAGTTGATCGGCATACGCCCTCGCCGCGCGCCGGGGAGCATCCCGCCTCAACTGCGCAACGCTGGTCGTGAGCGACTCCAACTGTGCATACAGCGAGGTGACGCGGGCCGCGAGATTGGTGTCGTAGGCTTCATATTCGACTGTTTCTGTGGGGGTGGTGAAGGCGGCCGGGAAGGGGAATTGGGGGGAGGAGGAGTCGAGACCGTTGATGCTGATTGAGGAGGAGGCGGTGGTGAAGGTTTTGAGGATGTACTGTTTATATCAATGATGAGTATTTTATATATATATATAAATATATATATTTTATTTATATACAAAGGGATTGGTTAGAATTAGGGGTAAAGGGGATAATACCTCATCGACTAATTCCCTTACACGTTCTCGCATCGGATCGGGCTCGTCATTGTTGGTTGCGGAAGGGGGGAGATGAAGATCTAATTTTTGGCGAGAGGCTGCGACCGTGTTGGCGTAGAGGTAGGTGAAGTCTGCGGGGGATTGGAGTTCGATTTTGCGATGCATTTTCTTTTCCTTTTTTCTTTCGTCTTGCTATCTGCTGTATTTGATGCTGTGTGGGTGAAGAGGGAGGATGTTTTTCACGCGTACCAAAACACGGCCAGCAGAACTGGAGCGGAAGTCTTGGTCGATCCTCCGCCCCGCAACGATGTCATCGCGAGAGTCAGACACCGCCAGGGTTGGCCACTTCAAAGTTACTGCGTTCTCTCCCCCTTTCACCGTCGGTGTTTGGGCCTTTTTTGGAGTGGGACTTTGGGTTGGTTTAATTTAGTTTGATTCAGACTTTTTTTGGGTTCTTCATACTTTTGCGTTTCCTTACTAGATCGATCTTAGTGCTTAATTATTATCGTGGATGCCTTGATTCTTCTCTTTCTACTGGTTTAGTCCCTTTTTTTTTTTTTCCCAACCTCAGCGTTGGATATCGTCATGTTTTGTCCAACCCATCATACATAATGTCTTAATTGTCTTGATTATCTTGATCGTCTTTACTGTCCTTTGATACACTACTCTACTTGACCGACTCAGTCGATAATCAATTATGGAAACACCTACTAATATCGTCCTTTTCGACAATACCCTCCCCTCGCAACCACTTTCAGACGATGAACTCTCCCCACAGACCTCGACGGGCGAACTGTCGCGGAATCTCTCTCGACGATGGACGAGACCCTCGGTACGGGGAACGATGAAGAAGCGGAAATACGCCAAATGGCAACCTCACAAGCTTGGCCTGGAAGATACAGGGGCGGGAGGACCCTCCGATATACGTCGGCAGTCTTCAGTCACAGACTCGCTGGGCGCGGAGAGTTCGCGGAATAACAGCACCACACGTACGCAGCAGGAGATGGCGGATGGTACAGCACCCGAGCAGCAAGGGCAGACGAACGGGCATTCGTGTTCGGACGACACAGACCCGATCAGCGAATTGGATCTTCTATACGAGAACCAGCGGGGCTGGTTTGTCTTCGGCATCCCGCTGTATTCGCATAGTTCGTTGCTGAATTTCGATCCCAGTGCGTGGGTCACGAAGGATCGGCGGGACAGTCCCGTGAATATCACCAATGCACAGGTTCCCGATCCGAGCTGGGAATGGGCCTGGAAGACGTGGTATGTTGATATGTCGGGCGACGTGGACGAGCAAGGATGGCAGTACTCGTACTCATTTTCCTCGTCGGCGTGGCACGGGAATCACCCGTGGTTTCACTCGTTTGTGCGTCGACGGCGGTGGGTGCGATTGCGGGTGAAACGGGCCTGTGAGAGGAGCCATCGCGACAGGACTGGGTTTGAGCTGGCCCATTTGCTTAATGAGGATTATTTTACGATTCATTCGTCCAAGGATAGGAAGGCATCGAGCACGGTTGCGGGGTCGAGGGTGCCGTCGGCGTATTTGAGCTATGTCACGACCAAGGTCGAGGAGGAGGTGCATTTGGAGGAGATTGGGAATATTCCTACCTTGATGTATGCCTTGAAGAGCGCCACGGTGGATCGGGAAAAGGTTGATGCTCTGAAGAGGTTTGTCGCGGACGGTGGTGAGGAGTTGTTTTATCTTGATGGAAAGGTATGTCCACTTCCCCTTTCCCCGTCATTTGGTTATTGTTACTGACTTTCAGCTTAGATCCCTGAAATCATGTCGATGTTTGTCTTTCAAGCTTCACGATGGCAATTCTTAGCCCACTTGGTCAACGTCATCAATGAGCTCTCCGAGCAGACAGCTGAGAAAGAGGGCAAGGAAGCCATAGAGATTCAACGTAAACATGACAATCTCACCAAAGCCGCAGAGACCACCAGACGACACATCACCGGGCCAGAGTTCTTTGGTGATTTGAACCGGTCCTCAGTATCGGATATGCTGGATCTGACCCCGACTTCGAAGCGGGTGAGTTTGCTGGACAGACACTCGGCCAACTTTACAGGTGAACCCGTCAACCGAGGCGGTCCTATCAAGGGTATCCCCAAGGAGGCAGAGATTGGGCGTGAAGGACATATTTTCAAATACACATCTTGATGTCTGACATTTTGGGGGTTATCATGGTCTGGTGTTTGGTTTGGTTTGGTTTACCGGCTGTGGTGTTATGTGGACAAAATGGGATTTGGTGTTTAAACAGCGGGATCTGGGATTAATCTTTATTTTTTGAGATCATACCAATATGAATTATTCAATATTTAATACCATCTTGTCGATCTTTAGAAAGTCATGTCTATCTCTCTCGACTTCACTGCAGTTAGGGGAGGCATATTCACCGCCTTCCGCTTTAGTCCGCAAACAATTTTCTTGCCATCCGCCCATCTAGATAGACCGTCACCCGGCAAGACCAACACGACACCTTCAACACACCTCTCCGGCGCCCCTCCTCTTTCATGCCTTGGACGCTCACCCTGCGTCATTCCCTATGTTCACGCGTGGCCGCCCGTGTCTGAGAAGGCGTGGTCTGTCTGCCGTCTTGGACAATGTCGTGGCTGGCCCCGAAGAACCCCTGCTCTTCCTCTATCCTCGCTGGTTCACCTCGGCGGTCCGACAACAGAGATCAATCGCCTCGATAAATACCGCTACAGCTACAAGGAGACAGCCCGGTCCCGATCGGATTCTGCCTCGAGGAATTCGTCCTTCCCGGAGGTTGTCTTTCGGCCGTTCCGCGAGACGATGGATTTCGTCCAACGCCGCAGTCACTGCCGGGTCTAATAATATTGACGTGTCGGCTCGAGATGGTTCTTCTACAGGTGTTCAGGATGACGGACCGAATAGCCAATTACCAGCTGCGCGATCCGAGAGGTCCTCATCGACCGTGATGACGCAGGACAGGACACCATCTACAGACAAAAAGCGCCCGTACAACCTTTTTGCCGACATTGAGACAACAGACGTACAACCGCCGTCAGACATTGGCAATGAGAATACTGGATACACACATACCAGGCCATTGGCCGTGTCTCCGACTGCCCGGGAAAGGTTGGCTATAAGAAGGTTATCGGTCCGAGATCGGAGGAAGTTAAGATATCGCTTGTTCCAGTCCAAGCGGATTCCGGATAACGGTGCGAAACGAGCATGGTCTCAATGGAACGATATCAAAAAGTTGCTGGAGCGGTTTCAGCAAGACGCCCGCACGTGGAGTAAGAAGGGCACCAAGCAGAAGGAGCTGCTTGTCCCTGAGGAAACGGTTGCGCTGCTAGCCGGTATCACGGACATGGCGATGAAGGAAAATGTCTGGTACGTGGCGGTTCACAATGGCTGCCGGGTGCATGTGTTGCACCCTCTCGAGAGCGAGGGTCGGTTCCGAAAGGTCATCATATCCGGGTCGGATCGAGTCGTGGAGCTAGTGGTGGACCGTATTAAAAAAGCGCAGGCCCTTCAAGAAAACGGTGATCCGTTGGTTGATATCAGAAAACCTGCCGTTACGGTGTTTCCTTCAATCGATGCCATGAGGCGTAAGAATATACCCGTCCCAATTATTCGAGGGGTTTGGGATTTCTACCAGGCTCGGGAACGACCTGCACGGCTGGACCAGCTTCCGTCTACCTCGTTTACGACTGTCAGGGAATTCGCCGAGCACATAGAAGACTTGACCAGGTCTCAACCCTCTGTTTACCGGAGGAACGATAAGCAGCCTCGGGTCCCTCATGAAACTCAGGTTGCCAAAAGGCTTGTGAAGCTATTCAAGAACGAAGCGAATTACAGGCTCATCTCAACTGCCGCGTTGAATAGAGCCCTCACCTTTCTATGCGAGCACGAATTCCTGAGGTCGTCTCGCGCAGTTTTCCTCAGGGCCGAACACGTCACGACAGTAGACACGTTCAACATCTTTCTGAGGGCTGCTGCTAGACGCCAGGATATCCGGGTTTTCCGTCGGTTCCTACTTTCCATGCATCGAGCACATGTTCGACCGGACCCGTACACCTGGCTCGCCTTTCTCGACTGCCTTGTCTCGCCCAAAGCGAAAACAAACCTTGTCACGCACATCCTGCAGAAAGGCTACCTATCACAAACCAGTGCTATACGGACAGCTCTTCAGTTGACTATACAGGATACATTTTATATCCATTTGAAGAACGGTCAAAGTGTGGATTCGTTCATCGAAACGATCCTGGACACTGGAGCCAATTGGTTTCCCCCATCACTACTCAATCAGATGTTCAGTGTCACGGCCCGACTGAAGGACTTTGACTCCATGGATCGACTGCTTGAGATTTGCAACCAGCAACGCCTTAAAATAAACAGCTCCACTCTCAACCAAATCATCCTGTTTTTCCGCGCCGACATCTTTTCCGCACTGCGTTATGTGTTCCGGTGCAATCGCCCCGGGCTTCGACTCGAACGAGAGACGTGGGAGAGGCTTTTCTTGATCGCATTCAAGGGCCGACACTTCAATATCTGCCGTGTGATCTGGAGATATGCATGTATGAATGGGGGCGTGACAGACAAGATGACGAAGACAGTCCTGACATCCCTGTCGCGTAATGTTGTGCGGAAGAAGGGGACCGATTTTGACAATCTCTGGCGCATCAGTGCGGGCAATGTCATTGTCGGTGTCGATTTTCATCTCTCCCACTATCCTCTCCCGGAGTCTATTTTGAGCAATATTCCCTCTGAGTTTCGCAAGAACCCGCACCTGTTCCTGACGAGCGGATTCAAGGCCGAGGGAGGAGACCGTGAGACCCAACGGCGTCTGGCATCGGAGCTGGTGCACCGCGATATTGAGGTGGGTTCGATGTACAGGCCTGTCGAATCACTTGCCATCATGCTGGATGCTGCGGCTGTGATTGACCTGGAATGGAAGGGAATACCACGACCGGTTACATGGTTGATGCAGAATGCGATCCAGGTGCCCGTGAAACGCAAATTGTATACGCGATGACCGTCTCATCCATTGATTGGCTTGGAGAACCACATCGAACTCGATCTTATGACCATTTTATGCCAGCCATGGCTGGTCATTTACCCCTGTGGGGTTGACATTCTGCGTTTTATTGAGCGTGCTGCATACGATATCCAATGGAGCATGCTTTGGAACTGGCATTGGCGAAAGAACCTTGTACTATTTATTTTGTGTTTATAATCCCATCTAACCCATTGCATGTGTTGTACATTATGTCAATATACAAAATTCTCCAACCTTGTCTTTCTGATCATGTGGAATGGCTCAATGTATATATAGCATCAAACATTTAATCATCAATAGAATAGAGATCAATCAAACATCCTCTCTCCTAACTGAAGTACGAGCAATCATCAATCATTCCGAGTCTATTGTCATTATTGCATAATCTATAAAATTCCGCCATTCCCATGAAGCACGGCCGGTGGAGGAGCAGCAAGTGCCTCGGGCAGCGAAGGTCGATGTTCAGCGATAGGAGCACCATATGGATCCATAGATGTTCGAATAGCTCCAACGCCTTCTTTCAGATATAAAACCAGCCGGTAGGCAGAGTTTCCGTTCAAGTAGTATCGATGTAGACGTTTACTGCGCAAGAATCCCAGTCGCTCGTAAAGTTTGATAGCGGCCGTATTTGTGATTTCGGTTTCGAGCACGATCTATAGAGTCAGTAAGTATCGAAGCACGAATACGCGGGTTACTCCACGAACCTCATCCGCATCCCCCGCAATCATCGCATCGATAGCCATCCTCACCAACCGCGTCGCTATCCCCCGACCCCGATACTCTTCGCTCACGGCCAGCATGGCGATGTAACCCCTCAAAGGCCCGCCGCGGTGCGGCTCGAGTTTCGAAACGACGACGCCGACCATGGGGTCATCGGGTCTCTGGTCGTCCATGGCCATGAAACACAGTTCGCCCCATTGGTAGAGAAAGTATCGGTAGACGTAGATGCTGTAGGGTTCGGAGAGGTCTTTGGAGATCAGTTGGCGCATTGCACCGAGGTATTCGTTCTCGCGCGAACCGTCGTACTGCACGTAGCGGAGGTCGGACGGTGCCGCGGCCCCGCTGGCGGGAGAAGCATCCTGGCTCATTGCGGCCGCCTCAGCGGACTCATGGAGTAGAGGCGGAGAGGGGAGGGATGGTGCAGCTGTAGCTGTAGCTACTGGTTGTGGGTGGAGGGCGAGGGGTTGGATGGCGGAGAGATGCAGTGGTGGTGGTGTGGGTTTTCATGACGTCTAAGGGTTCCTTACCATGTGATATCCCGGCGTTGGCGGGAGTGTCGAGAAAAGTTGCATGGTTTATTTTTCTGTCCCAACCTTTGCTTTCCTCCCTATCCCTGGGGTATTCTCGTGCTCATTACCCATCCATTATCTCGGTTTATTAAACTGGCATTGACCGCCAGACCTGTCCTTCAACCCAGCCCTTTTCCTGGCGGTCGCCCTTGATGCTCCGCCGTCGCTTGGCCAAGGACGATGTCCAGTCCACGGACTCGTCTCGCGACGACACCAAAACCTCCCCCGCCTCGACGGTCGCAGCAGCCGCCCCCGATGCACAAGTCAAGCAATTCGTGCCGAAACCGCGGAGCAAGCGTCGGAATGGACTGATTTTTGTACTGGGGGGCATTTTTGGTGTCTTTATCGCGCTCTTCTTCGCCAACCAGCAGGATGTTATCAGTCTCGATTCGCTTCTGGATTTGGAGTCTTTGATCGATGTGATTCCGCAGGGTATCGTGAAGGATGCGAGGGAGTTTTCGGTATGTCTATACTCAATTGCGCAGTTACACAAGATCCCGTGTGTCTAATTTCAGAATTGTAGCAACATGAACGCGAAGCCGTCAGTTACGACCCCTTCTCCGTCGGTCTACACCTCCAATCGCAGGGTATCGAGGCCAAACACCCCGTCGTCATGATCCCCGGTGTAATCTCGACCGGTCTCGAAAGCTGGGGAACTGGGGCGTCTTCGCGCCAGTACTTTCGCAGACGACTATGGGGTAGCTGGAGCATGATGCGGGCTTTGGTTATGGATAAGGCGGAATGGAAGAACCATGTCATGTTGGACAAGACGACTGGTCTGGATCCTCCGGGGGTGAAGCTACGGGCCGCGCAGGGCTTCGACGCTACCGACTTCTTCATCACGGGGTACTGGATTTGGAATAAGATCTTGGAGAATCTCGCGACCATCGGATACGACCCGACCAATGCGTTTACCGCCGCGTATGACTGGAGATTATCGTACCCGAACCTGGAGATTCGCGATCAGTACTTCAGTCGGCTCAAGTCGTACATTGAAACGGCCGTGCAGGTGAAGGGCGAAAAGGTGACGCTGGCTTCGCATAGCATGGGCTCGCAGGTTGTGCTGTACTTTTTCAAATGGGTCGAAAGCGAGGACCACGGGAAGGGAGGCAAAGACTGGGTCAACAAACACATCGCCTCCTGGGTCAATATCAGCGGATGCATGCTAGGCGCCGTCAAGGGCCTGACAGCCGTGCTGTCCGGTGAAATGCGCGATACAGCCCAGCTGAACGCATTCGCCGTGTACGGGCTGGAAAAGTTCCTCTCCAAGGAGGAGAGAGCAGAGATTTTCCGCGCGATGCCCGGAATCTCCAGCATGCTTCCCAAGGGCGGAGAGGCCGTCTGGGGCAATTCCACCTGGGCGCCTGATGACCAGCCCGGTCAGCCCATGACATTCGGGAACCTGTTGAATTTCCGCGAAAGCAACTCGTCCCTGACGCGCAAGAACCTGACCACAACGGAAAGCTTGTCGTACCTCTTCAACCACAGCGAAGCCTGGTACCGCGAGCAGGTCCTGGGCAGCTACTCGCACGGAGTCGCGCATACAACCAAGGAAGTCGAAGCCAACGAGAAAGACCCGCGCACCTGGCTTAACCCCCTCGAGGCCCGTCTCCCGCTCGCCCCAGACATGAAGATCTACTGCTTCTACGGCGTGGGCAAACCGACCGAACGCAGCTACTTTTACCAGGAAGAGCGCGACCCGCTGGTGAATCTCAACGTGAGCATCGACACCACAGTCACCAACAACGAAGGTGTCGACCACGGCGTCCACATGGGCGAAGGCGACGGCACCGTCAACCTCATCAGCACGGGCTACATGTGTTCCAAGGGCTGGAACATCAAACGGTACAACCCGGCCGGGGTGAAAATCAAGGTCTACGAGATGCCTCACGAGCCTGACCGATTTTCACCCCGTGGTGGTCCCAACACAGGTATTTCCTCTCTTCCAACTATCCATCAAGTCATTCATGCTGATCAAAACAGGCGACCACGTCGATATCCTCGGCCGCGCCTCTCTAAACGAACTCATCCTCCGCGTCGCAGGCGGACAAGGCGACCTCATCGAAGAAACCTTTGTCTCGAGAATCAAAGAATACGCCGACCGGGTCCAGATCTACGAAGAGTAACCGACAAACAGTAACGACCGTCCCTCGATTATTATACACCCGCACCCATGTCAATATTACTAGATTAATGTATTCCTATGATAGAGGTCAATATCAATATATCCATCATTGCTTCTGACAAGGTCACAAGAGTCTCAATCACATGCAAGATATCTAGCATGCTGAAAAAACTAACTTTATGATATGATATGGCACGATATGATGATATCCAAAAAAGTAAACATGCATACACAGATAACTAACTACCCAGCTAGATACTAACTGCTCGGATAGATAGCAGTCGTATTCGATCGTATCGTATCCCATACAGTACTTACTGATCCTGGTCCTGTGCGGGGAAAAGTCCGAATAATCCCATCCATCTCATCCCATCACATTCACATTCATGATTCAGCCAAATCAAGCTCAGCTGTGTCTCTCTGCCCAACAACACTCCCAACCACCGAAAATAAATCAGACCAAAACTTAAACCTGGCCAGTTAGATGCCCGGGTGCGTAGATCCTAACTTCACTATCTGGTTGAGCTAGTCAGTCTAGTCTGGTCTGGGTAGTTAGTCTAGTGTGCTAAGGGCTCGGTGCTAGGTATGCATGTACGAGATGTCTGTGTGGTCACGGCGGGGTGGCTAGCGTTTTCCAGTAGCACTCTTAGTCTCCTAGTCAGTCAGTATTCACTAGTATCTATGCAGTCAGGCTTTCTGATGATAGCGGGGTTCGGAGACCTATGCATCCGATGATCATTTGGGTGATCGTGGCCTGTGCCGCTCGTTTTGCTCGCGCTGCATCTTGCCGCCCAGGCGAGATGATCGCCGTTGCTGGATCAGGGAAGCTCGAGTCTCCGCTCGGAGGCGAGTTACCTTGGATCCGGTTTATCCATCTACACGTTAGTCAGGTTTTGAAGAATCTAAATCGTGGATTAAATGTATACAAAGGGAGCAGATATTAATGTACAAAGTTCATAAATCATAACACTATCTGATTATTATTAATGATATAATAATAATGCTAAGGATAGACCAACAATCCCACGACCACCATCGCCAAACTTTAGGTATAGGATGCTCCAACCCCAGAGTAAGAGACGCAGACAGGTAAAAATAGTGTCTGGCTTGTATATAAGTCTTGTGCAGCGTAGGATGTCGAAAGTCGGTGTGATCCCGATAGCGTGAGAATCAAAGCAAGTCGTATGGGTATAGATGTCTCCGTCAAGCATCCTTCCCCTTGGCCCCTCATGGAACCAAATGCAATTGGCCCAGTCTCCTCCAATTTGGTCATCCGTGTTTGGCCTGACAGACGAATCCACGGTCCAGCAAATTTCAAACGAAGGTATGTTTCAGGGAGGACCGTCGAATAAAAGAAGTGTAGAAGGTCCTCCCGTCCCCTCTCTCTATATGCCCAATGCAAACAGTCGTTAATTAAAACATGAATCCCTTCTAATGCACAGCGAGTGTAGTGCAAGCAAAGGCGCCGAAACTTTTTGTTTCCCATGATGTGTCCCAATCCCAGGCGCCGTGTGTGAGCGATCGACACGAAATAAAGTTTGTGCAGCTGGCCGAGCGTAAAAAGGGCAAAAGAATCAAAAGTGCCCGACCAGTAAAGAATATAAAAGCGAATGACGAAAGTCGGAATCGAATAAAAATGTTCGTTCTGGATGCCCAGAAATAATGTGTACAAGCGAACGTCTCCAACAGTGAGGCGGGACCGAGGCAGCCGAAAACCAAAAGGCTGGACGGATTCCATCATCACTGGAATTAATATTATCGACGGAGGTTCGATGGGTCATTCCCATCTGGTTGAATGAAAAAAATGCATGTACAAGTCGAAGAGAAGAGCGTATCCAGGTAATCCCATCCAAAGCAAAACGAGGCGTAAAAACCACCATACAGGCGGTTGGTGTATTAAAATTTGTATGTGTCGAAATCTGCTCAATGCAAATAAACCAGCAAGTCGTCAATTAAAACGCCGTCCCAAAAAATAATGCAGCAATGCGCAAGGCTGGACCGGAATGGTCGGTCGGATCAAATCATGGACTGATCATATGTCGTCCAGATTCGAGGTCGGAGCCAGGAGAAGCCAAGGTCTCGCCCTCCCAGGAGTAGTGGTCATCCACAGGGCTCAGAGAGCCAGAGGAAATCGAAGATGAGGAACCAACAGTCCACTCATCGCTGTCGAGGTTGAATTCTCCTTCAAGACCGGCCAAGTCGTAGCCGTATTCGCGAGCGGAGTCACCGAATTCCACGTAGTCGTAGTCCCAGCGGAACATCTTGTCGGTTTGCACACGGGGCATGAAGCGGGTTTTGGCAAAGTAAAAGGCAATGGTGGCCAAGAGACCGCCACCGACCAAGTCAACAGCATAGTGGTGCGAGAGGTACATGGTTGCCCACCACATCCAGAGGGTGTAGGTGACAAACAAAGGCTTCAAACGGGGGAAGACCTGGCTCATGAAGAGAGCCGCCAGAGTCGAGTCTGCTGCATGCAAAGAAGGGAAGGCGCCAAACACGACCGGGGACTGTTTGAAACCGGAGGTGTACAGGTCGATACCCAGGAGCTTGTCAATGCGAGCAAGACCGGCGGGGTTACCCTGCATCGAGTAGTCGGCCGGAGCGAGGCCGTACAAGTTCTCGTACCACGGGGGCGAGCAAGGGAACACAAGCTGGATAGTCACAGCGGCCATGCTGATGTAGCCGAAGGTCCGGGCGAAGAGTGGGACAGTGCCGGGAGGACCGAAGATGAACATGATCATCGAGACCACAAAGGGCGCACCGTAGTGGCAGAGACCGTAAGGGATCCAAGCCAGAACGTCGAGAACCACATTCTGATGAGCAGACAGGATGTTGCTAATGTTGGCACCGTAAAGGATGTTTTCGAGAGCCGGAAGCACGCGGACCCAGATAGCGGGGCGCCATTCACTAGGGACGAATCTGTTGAAATGAGCAACCATTCTTTCTTTTTGCTTCTTGGGGCAGACTTACTGGCAAGCATAGAAAAACAAAAGCCAACCAGCGATTGGCAGAAAAGGCAGAAAAAATTGACGAGTAATGGGCAGCAAAAGCGAAAAGACGAGCAAAGTGAACATGGAAGTCTTTCCGAGCGGGCCGGGCGATTCGATGATGGTGAGCGAGAAAATGCACACGATCAACAGCAGCAAGTATTGAAAGTCATAGACGGTCCATCGATGACTTTGTAGCGACCGGAGAGTATCGGCGGGGGAGAAGGAAGTTTGCAGGGTGGAAATCGAGGTGGTAGGGGATATCCGACTGCGCAACTTGGAGCGGATCTTGCGGCGCATGCGATGAGGAACGAGGAGCTGAATTGAACGCCATGGCACCTGGATCTGAAGCTTGCCAAACTGGTTTTGCGTACGGTCCTTCCAAGAGGGAAGGGCGGAATTCATGGCGGCAACAAGAGTCTCTGGAATGAGACTCTATTGAAAAGTAGCCTCTTTTGTTCTTTTTCCTTTTTCGATCTATTGAAGCCGCGAGGGCGAGAATATCGGAAGAAAGAAAGGGTAACAAGCCGCCCAACGGGGGATGGATGGAAAGGGCAGGTTTGCCAGGCGGAGACGAACAGAAAGGGGGTCGTTCAAAGTCGAGGAGAGGGGGAGGGCGCGGCTGAAAAGGGACGAACAGCTGGCACGCTGGATCCGACAGGCGCGTCGACAAGGAAGAAGCAAAAGTGAAACAGTAAGCAAGCAAGCAAGCTCCGGGTCTCCAAAACGAGGATGTTGTGGGAGGTCACGTTGCAAGGGTGTCTCTTCTGATGCAAGGCGGACAGGCAAGGGCGTCAGAGAAAGAAGCACCGGAGAGAACGCAGGAGAGAGCCGGAGAGGAGAGGCGTAGACGGGAGAGTTGGAGGAGAGAAGATGGAGGGGAGAAGAGAAAGAAAGCAACGAGGACGAGAAAAGAAGAAAGAGAAAAGAAAAAGATGGGATACTGGATAGCGAGAGAGAATTTGCTTGGTGACCCCATAAAGAAAGGCTCTATCGTTAGTGAAGAGCGACGGAGCAGGGCGGGTACAGTCGTATTCGTATTACGGGGCCTGGTAAGAATCAGGTATCATGAGGTCAACGACTAGTCCTGTTGTAGTGGGCTATCGATGCGGCTTAACCCCATTGGGCGCAGAGCCAGGGAGGCCCATACCTGTTTGGGGCGGGAGGGCACTCGGATTCTCGGCGCGGGCATTGCTGTGTCCCGAGGTGCCTGAATTTTCCAGTGGTAAATTACCCATATTTACACATAGTTTACCCATATGGTGCATGTTCTGCCTCAGGCACATGACGCGGATACAGCGGAACAACCGGATGGAATCAGGATTCAGAGGGAAATGAAAATATGTGACGGATACCGGCGATACGCTGTCCCTTTTCCGGCCCACTTGTTGAGAAAGGCAGCCAATGGGAGGGCGAGGATTGCCAGGACCAATTTCCAGAGACCCACCGTCAGCGGCGGCGGACCAAAGAAATCGCCGACTGGAGCTGCGGCCAAGATCCGCCGGTCGTGGATAGTGAGGGTAAATTGCAGTGCTTTTCAATGAAGGTCCCAATCAAACATCCCTGATCGTAGCTACCTGCTACCATAGCTATTCGGATTGATATTTATTAGCTGTATACTCTGTTATATTTTATATTCTGTATGCTATATGCTATATGCTATATGCTATATGCTGATTGAAGATGGTTGAATCAGATGTGAGATGAGATGATTGAATATTGAATATTGAATAATAGATATTGAATTTTGGCTTGGACTGCTGCAGGTCTCACACGAGGGAAAAATACAATACGGTACTGCATATGTAATAATGTACAGGAGATCGTGGCAGTCCGGCAAGCCGCACGGGATGCAGCAGCCTAGCAAGGCTCAGCATTCAACAGTAGGCTATGCTGTTTCTCATCTGAATATTTAATAAAACACTGTCTGAACATAATTTAAAGAATACCGTTTAAGAATACCGAATAAGAATAAAATCAGGATGATTCAGGAACAGGAGGTTATTATTATAGAATACGGAGGCCTGGAGTGGATATGCCGATGGGTCAAAGCTTTGGAGTCTGCCTTGATATGCAAACTTAATATCAACACACAATATTCAGACTTCAGATTATCAGGTTAGAGTAGACTGGATACAGAGTACAATATCAATATCAAACAGTTATCAATATCATATCCATATCAAGATACAAACCATACTGTGTAGTAAAAGTAAATCATGCAACATACCCACATTACATCATGCCAGACTCATCGACGACATCATGCTACATCACCACTGCAACATCGTCGATAAGGCCATCAACATCATACTCATTACGGTTATATTTCATAATGCGGGGATATTCCATTTCCATTTCCTTCTTCCATACTTTTATCTGTATCTATTTTATTGACCATGTACAAGTCAACATACATGTAGATGAGGCGGTGCAGCACCAAAGTTTAAGCAGCTTCATGCTATTATTATCCCTCGTGCTGGTCTTGATTGGCTGCTGATGCTGAAGCTGAGGTGAGATGATTTCATTAAGCCTTATAAAAGCCATAATACAATATATTAAGATGAATATATATATCTTCTATAATTCAACTGCCTAATCCACTGACTCCTACTGACTATATATTGTCACTGCCATCTTGGCAGTTATGAAACAGCCCTACATATATCCATCAGCATTACTGGATAAAACATCGATTTCTATATTCCGACTAATGAATACAACAATGTTTCAAATCGTTCAAAAATGTAACTGGCATGTATGATGTCATGCATGTATGACCGTAGCATTCTTCATCTCGATCTATATGCGGAAATATCCGTATAGAACTACCTACACATCGAGCAACCTCACAAAACTCATCCTCAAATCCAACGAAGGCGTAGTCCCCGTCTGCCTAGGAACCTGCTCATCCTTAGTCTCTATCCCAAACCTCTCCACAATTAACGCAATCTGTCTTCACATCTGCGCCAACGCCCCGTCCGCGCCCGACACAGCTCCGCGCCCCGTAGATGTACGACAGCATGCAAATCGCCGACGGGGCGCCCCTGTGCGCGTTTATTTTTGGCCGCGCGGCGTCAGATCGGTCGATTCAGCGTTCTGGGTTGAATGTCGTGGCGTCGGGCCCCCAGAGGTAATGGGCGTGGTTGATGGCTTTCGGGCAGATGCCGATGTAGGTTCCTGTGGGGACGAAGCGGTTGGGGATGGTTGTGTTGCGGATGGCTTTGCGGAGGAGAGAGAAGGAGGGATAGAAGCGGGTGGTTTCGATGATGAGGGCGTTGAGGAGGGGAGGCCTTCGTAGTTGTCTTCGGAGATCTGGCTGTGGATAGCTCTTCTCGTAGGGCTGTCTGGATGCCTGGATGGGTGGCTAGAGCATAGATGGCCCAGCTCAGAGTGCCTCCAGTCGATTCATAGCTGTGTCTCATCAGTATACCTTCATTTTTCCAAATGGGAATGGAACTCACCTCGCAGCTAAAATAGTGAATATCTGCGGAATAGCGTCCTCATCAAACGACTTGCTCGCAATCAAATTCGACAAAAAGTCCCTCTCCCCAGCTTCTCCTTCACCTTGTTCATTCTCTAACGACCGCCGTAACTGTAACTAAGATAAATATAGAATTAGGAAAGATATCCAAGAAATGCAAAAGAGACCAAAAGGCTGGTTGTCCACAGAGCAAAATGTTAGAAGAATCCTGGTTTATACGGCATATTGATATATAGTAAATATAGATACTAATGATAGAGATGTACGTGCAGACTACGATCACTTCATTTATATTCAATCGAGCAGATTGATTCTGCTGAAAGTGACATGGCTGTGTAACAGATATATAACTTGATATAGTTGATATAGTTGACAGTGACATCTTCCATCGTCAGACGGATGTTAGTACAACTCATCAAGGGATGGAAATCATCACCGAATAACGCCTATCTGGATAGGAAATAAATTCCAGTTCAATCATATCTGCAACTAACGTGACCCGATTGATAAGTTGACTTCCAGGAATGAGCGAGGTTATCCCCAACATGCATTCCAATGCAGAGTTGAAACAAGTGTGGTCACACAATCGTTAGTTCAATCTCTTGATCTTTTCTTTCTTTTACTAGTAATAAGATGTTCTATTGCACATGTAGCATAACATTGTAAAGAATATATACCATTAGACTGATCTAAATGTATATAAGGAATAACCAACAACATTAAACAAGTAGATCAACACATTATACAGCTCATTCATTCATTCAAAGTACACGCCGGCGACTTGCTCACTATCATCTCAGCCAGTGCCATCAATGACCCACTGGACAGCAGCTCCAGCACTTGCACATTGGCATTGGCCTCACGAGCAATCCAGTTGCGAATCTCAATCGCCACCAACGAGTCCAGCCCTAGCGACGCCACCGTGATCGACCCATCCATATCCTCCAGCGATATCACCAGCACTTGCGCGAGCTTGGCGGCCAGCGCCTCGTAGCATGCTTGTAGTGCTTCCTCTTTGGATGACGCTTTCCGTAACAATACCTGGAGTGGCACCGCTGGCCCATCACGGTTGGCGCTGTCGCCCTGCTGAGCCTTGGCTGCCTCATACAGCACGCTGAACTTGGCGTCTTGTGCCCAAAATGTCTCCAGCGAGTCTGCAAGGCTGAGCCCCGTAATGCATTGTCCGGAGCAGGACTTGTCGAGGTTGCCTGAAATAGCCGCTGCCAGGAGCGCCAACACCTCTGACTCGTCCACCGTTGAACTACCCAGGTTCTTCAACACTTCTTCTCGTCGCTTAGAGTCAATATCGGCCAGGTACCCCACATCGCGAATCGCCGCCAGGTCGATCGATGTTCCCGGCAGACCCAGTCCTCGGCGATATTCCATAAACCCGTCAAGGAACACATTAGCCGCCGAGTATGCAGCTTGTCCACGGTTGCCAACCACACCCGCCACCGAAGAAAGAGCAATGAAAAAGTCAACGGGTGACTCGGCCAGCGCATAATGTAGGTTCCATGCTCCTTCGACTTTTCCTGCGGTCACAGCTTGAAAGTCATCCAGAGTCATATTCTCAAAGAGCATGTCCTAAAAATGTCAGTAAAAAGGAGCAAACAGAGTAAAATGGCGGGACTTACACGAAGCACCATTGCACCGTGTACCACGCCACGTACAGGGGGCAAGTCCTTCATCTGCTCCTTAACGAGGGATTCGACGGATTGCCGACTGCCAACATCACACGCCTTGACAATGACTCGTGTGCCCTTGGTGGCGAGCTCGTCGATCAACCCCTGTACCTTGTCGTTAACAGACGCTTTACGTGACACGAGCACAATGTTCCTTGCACCCTTCGATGACATCCACTTGGCCATACTTCTTCCCAAGCCTCCAGTGCCACCGATCAGGATATACGAGGCATCAGGCCTCAAAGCCGCGGAACTGCTCTTGGGTGTCACCGCCTAAAAGAGTCAGCGTGAATGTTTTGACATGTTTTGACATGATTGACATTGCTTACCTTAATTTGGTCACCTGGATGAGGACAAACCACAATCTTTCCCATACTCTTTCCTGTTTGCAGCGTTCGGAAAGCTGTCTCAATATCTGAAATCGGGAATGTGGTCACAGGGGATATGGGCTTCACAGCTCTGTAGGTGAACAAGCGACAGACGTCATTCAAAAGACGCTTCATCAGTTGAGGCTTGTACTGGGCAACCTTGGTCAAGTCGACGGACGAAAAGGTGACATTGTACTCGAACGGAAGCATGTCCAGACGAGTATTCTTCGTGATATCTGCCTTGCCAATTTCAATAAACCTGCCAAACGGCGCCAGGCTCTCCCATGTCTCCCGAAGAAGATCGCCTGCGAGCGAATTAACCACGACATCTACCCCCTCGCCATTGGTGGCTCTCCGGATTCCACGAGCAAATGAAGTATCACGACTGTAGAAAATTCGGTCTTCCGGGATGCAGTACTGCGACATGAGGAACTCTTTCTTCTCAGGGCTGCCAACTGTCACAAAGATGTCGGCATCGATCATCTGTGCCAACATGATCGCAGCCTGGCCCACACCACCAGCACCGGCATGAATCAGAACCCGTTCACCGGGGATCAGTTTCCCCAGATCGAAGAGCGCATAATACGCAGTGCAGAACACAACAGGCACCGTGGCAGCCACTTCAAAGCACATGCTGGCCGGGATCGGCACGGCACTCGTGCCGCGGCATCGTGCGTATGTTGAAAAGCCGCCATGTGGCATAGCCATGACTCGTTGGCCAACCTTGAGATCCTTCACATTTGCACCAACAGATGAAATGACACCAGTACACTCGATACCGATGTATGGCTGTGCCAATTGGCCCATGGAGACCACAATGTCTTTAAAGTTAAGACCAGTAGCCTTGACTTCGAACTCGATGTCATCGTCGCCCAAAGGATTCGGCTCGTCATCCACAAAGTATAGAGAGTCAAGAGCACCCAGGCTACCAATTTGGATTTTGAGACGCCGATCAGGCTGGCTGAATGGCTGAGATGATATTGTCAAGTCATGGGTTTCACTGTGGACGAAGGAGTTGGCCGCATCATCTTCCACGGCACGTAGGACGAGGAGCTGGGAGTCTTTGCTCTTAAACTCGAAATCCCGACAAGCTTCTGTACCATCAACTGGCCATAATGCATCCATGGCAGCGAAAACCGGCTCTGCAGGCTGCTTGAGGTCCTCAGGGTTCAACCCAAGAGTGGCGATCTTGGCCATTCTCTCAGACCGCAAAGTGCGAGCGAGACCGACACTCATCTGGGCATCAGGCATATCCGTTCGATATACCCAAAGAACATGGGAGGCATCAAGTAATGTCTTTTTGATACTTTCAAATAGGTCTGGCGTAAGATCCCGCAGCGAGCTCGCTCCGGTTTGAAGAACGATAACGTGTTTCTGTGTGCTGTTGAGTTTATCCAACTCAGAGATTGATGGCCTCCAGGGAAATGGTGCACTGTCAATGAGACCATTTAATTGATCAGCAATGCCATCAGGCTCACCAAACTGTGTGATTAAAATATCCTGCGGGTTCTCAATGCTGTCATTTCCATTCACATGAACATATCCATTAGCGAGAGTTTCACCGTTCGTCTTGGATTGACCATTGGAAGTGACATGACCGTTGGTTTCGACTTCCCCATTGATAGAACTCTCAGGCTCGGGTAATGTCTGCCACTGAAACTTGTAGCACAGTTTGCGGGCTTCTTCGCCTGCACCAGCACCAGAATCTCTGATTGGTGTCATGACAAGACCCTCCATCGCGATCAGTGCTTCGGTGGAGCCTTTCGGAGTTGCAAAGAGATCGAATTTGGTGGGTTCCACCACCGGTTGACTGGGCTTTCCCTTGCCGTAGACTTTGACGGACTCACCAGCCGCAGATGGTACATGGCGAGTGATGGACATGTGTTTGATCATTGTTGGCATGTAGAGTGTATCTAGTTCCATTCTGCCTTGACCAAGAATGGGCCAGACAAGATGCAACAAGCCGTCAAGGAAAGCTGGATGGACGACTAATGGCGTTTCGAACTCTTTTGGCATAGCGCTTTTTGTATCTCGGATGTATAGATCCGCACGCGAGTGGTACGGGTCGGCGAAGCAGTTTTCAATGCCTTGGAAAGTGCCGCCGTACCCGGCGCCCAGGTCTGTGAGGACCTGGTACATGTGCTGTGAGTCTATCTTGTAAGTGGCAGCAGCCTGTACTTTGGAAATTTGAGTCTTGATGTGATTGTGTTCAGTCTCAGTGGCGCTCGAAACCACAACAGCCTGTTGCTTTGGAGCCGCGCGAACTCTAACCATACCGGAACAATGCTCCGTCCAGCCTCGCTTGGTATTCCATGAGTGAATCCGGAACTCATCCCATGTGTCTGAGGTGCCGCGAGTGCCTTCGGCATAGGGCTGAAGAGAAATGGTCGTTTCGACATCCGTATCATCGGTAAGCACCAGTGCTGATCCCACAAGTACCTCCCGTAGTTCGTAATGGGAGAATTGAATGTCATGTTGCGCTGCACGTCTTTGAGCAGCCTCAATGGCCATGCTTAGAAAGCCAGCCAATGGATAAACAGTCATTCCTTGCATTTTGTGGTCTCGGAGCCATGGAACATCATCCAAACGGAGGATATTTCGCCATGTTGGTTCTAGGTCGTTGGAGTAGTTTGCCATCAAACCTAAGATGTCGTTTCTCGTGCCGTCTCTGGTCGTATGCTTTTGTGCAATGCGGCCTTCATGCCAATACCGCACCCCATGCTGCCAAGGATATCGAGGCAAGTCAGTCAAGAATGAACGGTTCTGAGCACCAGTGCAAGGGAAGTTTATGTTTGTCATGTTAAGAACTGCCCCTCTCACGTAGGCAGCGGTAGCGGTGTCAAGGATAGATTGAACTGGGTCTGCATTCCGAACGACCGTGGGACAGTAACCGATCTTCGAGGCTGCCGGCCCTAAGTTCTTCAAGGTATCCATAATCGGGCCCTTGAGGGCAGAGTGCGGTCCAACCTCGACAATAAGATTGGGCCGGCTTGACTCATTAGCGCAAATCTTACCGAGAGCATGGGGGAACAGAACTGGCGATGTGAGATTCCGAACCCAGTACGCTGGGCCCAGATCCGAAGGGTGTGCGATTTCACCAGTGACAGATGAATAGAATGTAGCTGTACTCGAGCTGGAGGGGTGGATAGCCTCGATTGAGCGCAAATACGTCTCGCCAACGTACTTCATATGGTCGGAGTGATACGCAACGTCAATCTTCAGGCGTCGATTAAAGAGCTGCTTGCTTTGTAGAGCCCTCTCCAACTCATCAATTGCTGGCACATCTCCGGACACGGTCACACTTGAGGGACTATTGACACAAGCCACGGTAGCGTATCCACGGAGACTCTTCAGCATCGGCTTGACAGTTTCGTAGCCAGCACCAACAGCGATCATAGTACCCTTCAAATCCGGGAAAGATTGTTTCAGCAGCTGCGTTGTCTGTCCCCGGCGATATGCAAGCGTCATGGCCGCCTCCAAGTCATAGACACCAGCCGCATAGGCTGCACTGATCTCGCCAGAACTATGCCCCATCACAGAAGTGGGACTGATGCACCAGGACTGGAGCAGATCAACAAGTGCAATTTGTAGTGCTGTGCAAGCTGGCTGGCTTAGATGAGGGAAGTTGATTTCAGAAGTGTCGGTGTCCTTCTGCAACACCTCCACAAGGGAAAAGTCAGCTCCTAAGTTCTGTAGCCAGTGATCGGCTCGTTCCAGAGACGATGCAAAGACAGGGTATTCTTGCATAAGAGGAATGCCCATCTGAGCCCATTGAGCTCCTTGACCGGTAAAGACAAATGTGATGGTGGGTGCTCCGAGAACCCGACCCGGATTTACTTTCATCTGTGCCAGGCGGATTCCAAGCTCATTCAGGGATGTGGCAGACACTGCGACCCGATATGAGAGATTGGACATCTTGTTACCCACAGTGTAGGCGAAGTTTCCAACGAGAGCCTTTTCAAAGACTTCGGGATGCTGCTCGAAGTAGATACCATAATCTTTGATCCTTTCTCGTAAGGAATCCTTGTCGTTGGCCGAGATCAGAAATAGTTTGCGTTTGGGGTCCATTCCAACATCATCTTTAGGTGCTGCAGCTGGCAAGGGCGGCCTTTGGAGTACAACGTGGGCATTGGTACCGCCGAAGCCGTAGTTGGAGACACTCGCATACTTCTTCCCTCGGGGCCAAGGCCGCGTCGTTGCGACAGCCATATTCCATTCATCCAGAGGAATATTGGGATTTGGTCGGCGAAAGTCTGCATTGGGCAAAATTAACCCACGTTCAAGCATCATGGCTGCTTTGATGATGGCGACTACACCACTTGCACCCTCGAGGTGGCCGACGTTGGATTTGACCGAGCCAATATAGAGCGGGTTTTCCGGTGACCGGCCCTGTCCAAGCGCCCTATAAACTCCTGCTGCTTCAATAGGGTCACCAGCTTTGGTTCCAGTGCCATGCATTTCTGCAAAGCCACACTCTTCCGGGTTCAGATAAGCCTCACGGTACACGCGACGGATAAGCTCTTCTTGGGCGTCGCCATTCGGCAGTGTAATTCCCTTTGTCCTTCCATCTTGATTTACACCAGAATTGGCAATAACTGCGCGGATGGGATCTCGGTCTCTCAGAGCAGCATCAAGTGGCTTCAGCACCACAACACCTGCGCCCTCACCTCGTGCGAAACCAGATTTTGCTCTTTCTTCAAATGCGAAAGTTTTGCCGTCATCGTTGAACAATCTGACTACTGTTAGAAGAATTAGAAAGGATGGGGGGTCTAGACACTCACTGTGACATGGACATGGAAACGAAAAGATCAGGAACGATATTGAGCCTGCATCCACCAACTATGGCTTCTTTGGACTCACCACTACGCAGACTCTGGACGGCATAATGCAAGGCGACAAGGGAGGATGAGCAGGCAGTGTCGACAGTGAGACTTGGTCCGCGCAGGTTGAAAAAGTAGGAAAGACGATTGGACTGGAGGGAAGGCGCACAACCAGTAGCCTGGTACAAGGGGATAGTCTCGACATCGCGGACATTATTTAACTCATAGTCAGCGAAGTTGCCGCCCACAAACACGCCCACGTTTCGTCCGGCGAGATCTTCCTTGGGGACACCGGCACTTTCCAACGCTTCGTAGGAACATTCCAGTAGTAGTCGCTGCTGAGGGTCCATCGATATAGCTTCTTGGACCGTCAAGTTGAAGAAGGGGGCATCAAAACGAGCTATATCCTCGTCCAGGAAGTAACCCCCCTTGGGGTTGAAGGTCCCCGTCTTGGAGGGATTAGGATGGTGAAAGGATTCAAAGGAGAAACGGTCTTTGGGGATGGGACACCAGCCACTGCGGCCCCGAGTACAGAGCTCCCACAGATCAAGGGGAGATGTGACATGGCCTGGCAGTCGACAGGCATAGCCAATGATGGCAATGGGCTGTGGCGCACCATTATCCCCACTGTTTGTCTCTGCACCGTTCATGGTTGATCTCGGTGCAGGATGTGGAAGAAGATGAAAGAAGGGACATCCGAAGATCGTAGGGGTCGAGATGAGCCGGCCATGATGGGTTATGTTATAAAGCGTGATCTGGCCACGAGGATCCGAGCCTGGCTGATGGTACGGTATGAGCTGCAAAACAAAGCTGAGCTGGATAAAGGGGGGGCTATTAACGAAGGCGAAGCGCAGCGTAAGGTGGCAGGCCTCTATTAGGTTTCAGATGGGCAAAACAACATAGCAGATGCGCCGTTCTGATTGGACAGGCTTACGGTTTTGCCCTCACATGATGGATTAGATAAGCTCTTCTACTATGGCATACAACGTAGGGGATAAAATAGTTTTTTTCCTCTGCTTCTCTTTCTGATCTTTCGATTGCAAACTGATGTTCTCTACAGTGAACTCTCTGACCCTCCATGTATCCAATTGTATATCGAGCATTCCATCAAGCATTCCAGGTACTATTTTATCAACTATTTCATCATGCATTCCATCAAACATTCAATCGAGCGTTTCGAATATATCCGCCTTTTAAGTGGCAAGGGAACAAGTCCGAGCGCTATATCGATGGTAATAATACTACCTTAGTCTCTATAGCAGAATCACACTTCTCTAATTCCGAGATAGTAACTGGGTAGTAGTATAGTACATGCCAGCCTGCTTCTGAGAAAAAGGCTGGGTCTGGGGGAGGGGGCACAGTGCCCCTTGCCTGATCATCAAATTCGTAAATTGGGGCCCATTCACTTCTTCGAGTCTTCCTTCTTCACCTTCTGCAGTCCTTGTCATCGCTTAAAGTTCAAGTTCCTATAATTAATGCTGTCGATCTCGTCTGATCTCTCCTGCAGAGGCCCTTGATAGACTACAGTAGTTTCAACCTGTGTTGACTATCACCATGGGATACGCAGTGCAGTGCCTTACTTGAAGTCTGCTCTTCCATATTCTATCTCTGCTCTACTTGAATATTCTGTCCTCATCACCAGCTAAGACCAACAAGATGAAGTTTCTATGTCTTCATGGCGCCATTGGCAGCATCGAGGTAAGCTGGGTGGAAGCCGTCGAGGTCGAAGGACCCAGCTGATTATCACAGAACATCTCCATCCAGCTAGGTAGATTCTCAGTTTGAAATCCCGTCCCTGCGATTGACAGTATCTCACTGAGTTGAAACGTCCAGGACCGCTGCGAAAGGAAATGGAGACGGACAACGCGGCTTCTTTTCACTACATCAATGCTCCTTTGCCAGTGTCTCCTCCGCAAGGTACGTACAGACAGGCCAGTCTTTGATTGCGAGTGCAACGTTCTAACAGCCATGTCGCTCACAGAATTCGATAAGTACTTTGGAGTAGGCCCATACTACCGATGGATTGATGATGGAGGAGTGGCAGAGAACACGGTGATCAGTCGGGTTCGAAAATCCCCCATCGGCGAGACACCAGAAGACATGATGAGGGATCTGATGGGGGATAGCCCTGTATTCTGGCATAACCACCAGTCAGCCATGGATTATTTATACGACACCCTGGAGGAGAACCCAGACATTGAGGGTGTCATTGGCTACAGCGAAGGTGCCTCGGTGGCAGCCAGTCTGATTCTGGACGAGCAGAGGAGGCTGTGGGATACAGGACGACCACGACGGATCAAGTGCGCGGTATTCTTCACGGGGTGGCCACCTGTTTCTTCAGACGGGGATTTTATGTTGTCAGATGAGCGTGACATCCTCGTTGACGTCCCAAGTTTGCACGTGGTCGGTGCCTATGGTACGTTTCTTTCTTTCTTTCTTTCTTTCTTTCTTCTGGCTATTTGCTTACCCATACTCCTACTGCAGATCCCTTCCGGTACGGTGCCTTTGCTTTATACAATACATGCGACCCAAACAACGCGATCATGTTCGATACTGGGAAAGGGCATACACTTCCTCGCTCAGGGCCAGTGATTCAAGAGCTTGGGGAGGCTATGCGTACTTTAATTGGGCGGGCATACTCATAATATACTATACTAGTCAACTACCTAGCTGTAGCAATTGCATTGTCCTTTGGACATATAGTACCTTGAAAAATATACGAGCTCTTTCCCGTGCCAATAAGTTTATAGATAGCTAGCTATAGAAGAGAAAGAAGATGTTTATGTTAACAAGAGACAATGATCATAATAGAATATTTATTTATACCTATTGACGCGTGTTATGCGCAGAGCTTGTGAGGAGGTTTGAGGCAAATATGTACATGACATGCAAAATACCTAGCGGCTCTCCACATATATACCTGGACATATTGCATATGCTATCATTTAGCATTGTATAATTTCGCTAATTCTTTTAATAAAACCAAAACACCAACCATGAGACGCTAAATAACAGATCATACACAAATCATACGAATCATATTACTGTCCATCAGAAGCCAGCAGTTGAAACCCCTTGACCAAGCCCATAGCAGAGCCAGCCGCAATACCTCCTACCAGGACCATTTGCAATCCTCCAATCAGACCTCGTCGGATATTTCGGGAACCTTTCCAGCCACTAACAAAGCAGGTCTTGCCGTACCCAAACAGGAAGAGAGCGACGATCATCGTGGCAATCGACCAACGCAACGCCAGAAATGCGTCATTCGGTCCTACGAAGAAGTAAGGGAGCAATGGCACAAAGCCGCCGATAAAGTAACCCAGGGCGATTGTCAAAGCGCAGATCACGGCCCGCGAGTCGGATGGCTCTGGGAGGGTGTGGTGAAAGTTCATGAGGAATGAAGGGAGCATGGGGGAGGAGGAGAGGTGAGTTGTGAGTTGGGCGACGAGTTCCGAGGGGATTTCATATGGGGCGAAGATGTCGGAGATGGTTTCTGTGACTGAAGATGGGTTTTTGATGGTTTCGTTTTCGGTTTCTTTTAATGTAGCACGGTAGGATTGTCTGTACTGTCAGCTTAATCCTTTTAGCTATTTGGCAAAGCAATTTATAAAACTCACTCTTCACTTTTTGCGCCCAAATATCCTCCCAGTCCCATTGAAATGGCGCCCGCAATCAGCTCCGCCAACCCACCAAACACAACAACTTTGGTGTCACCCAGCGCGGAAAGACCGGCAGTCAGAGCAAAGGGCACTGTCATGCCATCTGAAAGACCGATGATGGCGTCCGACACTGTTCGTCCATCGATGATTTTGGACTCTTTCGGCTTGGCAGCCGAGCCGGAAGCTTCGCCGTCATTGAGAGGAGCATGGGCGTCCTTCTCCAGATCCGCAGGAAACTCCTCGGACACTGGAGAGTAGTTGGAGAGAAGGCCTTTGATAGAGGAGAACGACATAGTATCTATCTATCTTCTGATCGACTGGAATGGGTGAATAACAGAGAGACTGATTCTTGAGATGGAGGAGAAGCTGGGAATGCCCGTCTTAAAACGTGCGCCTGATTACTCACCCCCATGCCAGTCAGAGCACCGTGAATGGATGCAACGTGCCTCTGGTGCCTCTCTCTTCCCTCGTCCACCCAAGTCACACGGGCCTATCGAGGCATCACAACCTGCAACGTGCTTTCCTCTTCTGGCGGTCATCTGCAGGGTATCAGGCACGTGGGGCTCTGATTCGCAGAGATCCTGGCGGGGCTGGCCAGGCGGGGTTTAGTGGGGAAGCTTAAGGTGTCTAGTCCCGCGGTACGGCCTATCATATCCAGTGCTTTTCTAAACCCCGGTTGGCTGGACCGTCGATATGCTCACACTTTCATTAAAGCGAACTGAACAATCTGTGCTGGTGCCATCGGCTGTTCCCTTGCATCACGTTGTCTTAAATTTAGAGTCTTCGATTGCTTCTTTTCCATCATGCGCGTACCACGATCACGGCTGTCTCATTTTCTTTCCTCACACGACTTGGGTATTATCTTTGTCGGTTACTGACCGCCAGTGGAGATGCGAAGTCAAATCCGACGATGACTCGCCCCCGTGCAGCAGTTCTGCATCGATATTGCTCTATGATCCAGTATGGGTTGACGGCCTCCACAGATGATCTCCAGTCTCTATTGTGCGATGCGAGGAGATGTCTCTCCTGATGGCTAGATAAAAGCCGTCTTTCCCAGCAGGACTGGGGGAGACACACAAAGCTTGAGAGACACAGACAGAAGATGAAGTCGGCATTGATTCTTCCAGTTTTGGCCGTATTGGGCTCAGCTCTCCCTCATAGACGAAAGGAAGATACCTGGAGTCAACTCCGGTCAAATGTATGGGGCTTACCTCTTTCTCACAGCCAGTCACTGACAGAATAGATCAAACATGTCGTGTACCTGATGATGGAGAACCACTCCTTTGACAACATCGCCGGATACTGGGACTTTCATCCAGATATTGACAACCTCCGCAACATCAATTACTGCAACGAGTATACCAATCCCAACTGGACGGTCTGGGATGAGCCTCTCGAGATCTGTGCCTCTCCATTCGAGACTGAAGTGCCCCTGGCAGATCCAGACCACAACTTTGCTGGCGTGACATATCAAATCTACCGCAAATGGAACGCTACAAACGACGACGTTCCCAACATGGGTGGCTTCATTGAACGGCAGTCGGAAAAGTACAGTGCCACTCCTGGTGATTCGTCTTTTGTCATCAAAGCGTATGATGAGAAGAAGTCGTCTACGCTAGCTGAAATCGCAAAGAACTTTGTCTTTTGGGATTCTTATGTATGTCGCTGTTCATGAGTGGTAATGAAGTGAGAAGTACTAACAAGACAGTTTGCGGAACATCCTGGACCTACCAATCCCAATCGTCAATTTGCCACTTCGGGATCATCATGTGGGTATCTCGAAAACAAGGAGCAGTCCGCTGGGTTCTATAACAATGTGACTGGAACCGACTGTGCGACTTCAATTTTCGAGGCTCTCAGCAACAAGAACATTACCTGGAAGAACGTACGTTAAAAGACCATGCTGCCGGTAACCTGACTGACATGTATAGTACTATGAAACGGACATTGTTGACGGCTATATGTACAAGGTAGATCCATAATTCATGCATAAAGTATTTAGTAACTTAGCTAACTGAACAGTGGGTGCAAGATAATGCCATGGACAAGCTGGTCCACGCCAGTGACTTCTACCGTGATCTGGAAGAAGGAACATTGCCCACTTTCTCCTACATCAACCCCGAATGCTGCAGTATCGACTCGATGCATCTCACCAGTAACATGGCAGCCGGCGAGCAGATGATCAAGCATTTGTACGATGCAGTGCGGAAATCAAAATACTGGGATAATGTGTAAGGCACTCACTCCATATGCAATGGACCTGCTGACCAAATAGACTGATCGTGATCAACTTTGACGAACACGGTGGATTCGCAGACCATGTTTCTCCTCCAGCCAACGTCCCCAAACCGGATGATGGAATTACCTTTACTGGTGAATCAGAGGGACAAAAAATCACCTACGAATTTAGTCGTCTTGGAGTTCGGTAGGTACCATAACTCCCCAATAGAGCCATAGCTAACTAACTGCTAGCGTCCCCTCCTTCCTCATCTCCCCTTATGTCCCCGCAAACCACCTCATCCACAACCAAGGCACCATGTACGCCAACAACTCGGCCTACACACATACCTCGATCTTGCACTTTCTGCAAGAACTCTGGGGTCTAGAGGGTCTCAATAACCGGGTCCAATGGGCCAAGACATTCGAGCATGTCTTTGATAATACTCGACGTGACGACACGCCCGAGAAATTACAGACACCGACTTGGTACGGGGGGAGTGGACAGCCCGAGCCGGTACCTTTTTACCTGTTGAACCAGGACGAGGGTTATTATGCGGGATTGTAGAGCATTTAATCCCTGTTGTTGATGATAGAACATAGAACAATAGAAATGAATTGACGAATTGATGAGATATGTAATTTAATATCTGCTATGCACAACGCTGTCCAATCATGATCCTGGCATCGTAAGTGAGATATCCCATCTAGCTAGGTAGGTATAGATAGATAGACGATAGCTCAGTCGTGAGTTGAGTATTCGCATCGATTATTTCGAGTACCTAGTACCATTAGCAACGTCAAACAAACCCAAACAGAACAAAGGACCAAACTCACGTCTTCCTCCTCTCAACCTCCTGCTCATCCGAAGACCCAGTCATATTCCAAAGCCGACTCTTGTACGCTGGGAAAGAAGTGTGATTCCACATATTCACAAGGACACTATAACTCCCATTAGCCCAGTCCACAAAACCCAACACGCCACACCACCCGCGCATCCAGCCCAACGTAAGGGGGGAAAAGTAAACCAACCTCTGACTCCGATCCTTATAATCCTCATCCTTCAACTCCTTCACACCAACCGTCATCCCATCCTTGGTGAACATGAGGTGTTTGTTTTCCATCTTTTCGCGCGTGTTGCGGGACACGTCCTGCACGATCGAGTAGGCGATGTAGCCGACGAAGGCGAGGATGGCGACCACGACGAGGAGGATGATGAGGGGGATGATGTTGCTGAGGGCCATGTTATCGAGTATGTTCGAGTGTGGTACTGTTCGAGATGGGTGTTGTGAGTGAAGATCGTGGAGGTGTGGTGGAGGTGTTTGTTGATCTGGTGATCGGAGGGTTCAGGTCGTAAGTGTAGGGCTGAATTGCGATCTTGGCCGAGTACTGTCTCGTGGTCGAGGTGTGGTCGAGTTCAAATAAATAACTCAGTCTGAGTGAAACAAAAATAAATATATCAAGCAAGACAGAAAGAAAGGAGGGAAAAAGGGATGAATATGTAAGAATGACAATCAGTCAGTCAGTCAGAAAAATCTCCTCGTCCCGATCCCAGGTTCGGCAAGTTTAGTTAGTTTTCCTTTAGTGAATATCGCCAAGTCGCAACGGCGGGGATTCAGGCTTGGTGTGCAGATAAAATATTGTTGCCTGGTGATATGAGGTATTATTTATATTGAATAATAGGAGAGATGAGATGAGATTAGAAAGCAATTTGTAGTTACCTAGTTTAGTGTAGGTAGTGCTGGTATGGATGGAGGATGTGGCATGAAAAGAGGCTGTGCTGTGCTGCGATGGAGTATTTTTAGTTCTATTGGGCGGTTATTTTATGGCTGTGTTGGATAGTCTAGGCTTGTTTATCTGGTTTTATTAGATGAGGCTTGTAAGGCTGTCTTTTATTTTTATGTGGTGGTGGACTATAAGTGTAGTGGATTGATGCTATTCAGGGGTCTACTACAATATGCAGTGTGCATAATAATACTCATACTCAACACAACTAGAATACCTGACTATCAGAACTTCACAAATCATCTACATACATAGTATTATCCTGCTACAGTAACATCCATCTAATACTCAATAGTAAAGAATATCATAACCCGTCTCGTCTCCGCATGCGTCATGATGAAATCACTCTACATCCTCCACACTCTCCGCACTCTTCCTTAGTTCGATTTAATTCAATTCCATCGTCTTTACATCCATCTCCCCATCTCCTATCCTCTCTATCCTCACCATAATGTGCGACGTCCCCTTTTTCCCCATCTTCCCCATCTGCTTCCAATGCGGCACGGATCAGAATCCCTGTCGGTGTAAAGTCGTCGGTCCGACACTAGGTATGATTGATGGACTGCTACCTTGCTCGTGTGGATGGTTGCTGATGATGACAGGGTTTTGTGTGACTATCATTGCGGCTGTGTGTGGCCCGGCCTCCTTTTTGGATGATTATGCTAATGGGATATACAGGTGATTTGTTATCCTGCGTCGCTGTTTTGTGGTTGCTGTATGACCAAGACTGGGAAGGAGTATGTTCATGATTCCTTGTTTGAGTCGATGATGCTGATATTCTAGTGTCCTTGCGTATCCGGTCAAATTGAACGGCCAAGTTAGTAATGCGATACCTATATGACATACACTGTGGATATATGGATATACGGATAGGATATGGATATAATAATAGTGATAATGGACATGAATTAAGATTAATCATAAATTACGATCAATTGAACTGTACGAGTGGAATATCAACGCAGAATAACAATAAACAAAACATGCTGAACAAACACAAAAAGGTATCCAGAAAGTCATAACCATTATACTTCCATCATCATTCTATACCTCAGCTCTTCGTAACTCAATTATTTGAGCTTCTCCTTGAGCTTCTCAAAAAAGCCGCTCACCCGGTTCCTCTTCTTCTTGGGTGAGCTCTTGGTCTCGGCGGTACCTGCCGACGTCGTCGTCGTCGGCTCGGCGCGAGTGGTGCCACTTTGAGCAGTTCCATTTGTAGTGCCATTCTGTGTAGCCTTCTGAGCACTGCCGTTCTGAGCCTGAGCGGTAGGTGCAGTCTCAGCTCCAGTTGATGCGGCGCCTGGTCCACTGACTGACTGTGTCTTTACTTCCTTGGCGCCAGTAGTAACCGTTGGCTCCGGCGGGGGTGTTGATCGGGGTGACAATGGTCGCGAATCGGGGTTGAGAGGAGCAGGAGCAGTCTCCGCCGTGGCGGCCGTGGCAGTGGGTGCGGGTGTCCCGGCGGATTCTTCCAGTGGCACATTCTTCTGAAGTTCCTTTTCCACCTCCTTCTTCTCATCAACAACCGCCTGGTGGGCGGCAGCTTCGGGCGGCCGGTCGGCCTCGGTCAGAGAGTTCTTCACCCTCTGAGGGATTCCCTCAACAGGAGCTTCACTATTGGTCTGCCTCTTGGGCTCCAGTGGCACAGCACCTGCGAGCGCAGCCGTAGTCGAAGTCGGACCCGCCGACTGGATGGTGTTGGTTCCAAAATTCGACTCTCCCACCGGCAGACCAGACTCGGGGATGATGTTTCTGTTGGAGGTTGGGGGTAGACCGAAAGTGCCCTGGTTGGTGTTGCTCTGTCCTACAAAAGGAGCACTGGCATCTTTGTGGTACCCGTCCAAATCAACCGTTGATTCAACAGTATTGGCATTGAAAGAGCTGGGTTCCGGTACTTTCTCACCCGGTTTCAGATGAATCGGATTGCCAATACCGCTCGAGGCAGGAATAGGATTGACAGAGAACTGCTCGGGTTCTTTTGGTGGCACTTCCGGAGCGCTAGCATCTTTGTGATACCCATCCAAATCCACAGTCGAGCCAACGGTGTTAGTGTTGAAAGAGCTGGACTCTGGCACCTTTTCGCCCGGTTTCAGATGGATTGGGTTGCCAACGCCACTCGAAGCGGGAATTGGGCTGACAGAAAACTCTTCAGGTTCTTTCGATGGTGTCTCCGGAAAGGTACCGGGCAAATCCCCCTCTTTTTCCAGAGGAACCTGTCCTGCGAGGGCTGCGGTTGTTGACTGAGGAGCGGCGGACGAGATGGTTGCCGCTTGGCTTCTTTCGGATTCTTTGGGAACACCAGCTGCAAGTGCAGCGGTAGTCGAGTCTGGTGTCACGCCAGCCATCACCGGAGCGCCGTTAAGTTCGTTATAGATTTGATCGGGGTTGAGGACGTTGTTAATGTTATTGCTTCCGTCGTCTTCTTCTGCAATGTTGCTATCGGTAGTCCAGATTCCGTCGACGACAAACTGATAGATGGCAAGTCAGTAAATGCGGCGATGAGAGGGGTTCTTGTATCTGCCCTGAACAGCAGATTGACAGGATGGAGAGGCGGGTAAGATGACGTCAGTGGGTGTAGTGGGCGAGAGTTCGTCATTTCCAAGCGCCCTTGCGCTCAGGCAGAAGGATAGAGGGCGATGATGAAGGTTTGATACGCTCAGAAGAAGCGCAAGAAGCAGGAATACGTACTTTGTAGTGTAACTTTTGGTCCGAGGGGGGTAGAGTGACCTCTTTCTCAAAGACATCGCCCTTCTTGTGCAGTTTCACCGTCTTACCCCAGTCGTCAAAAGTCCCAGTGACAAACACCTCGTTGGCTTCGTAAGGCCTGCCATGCGAGAAGCCGTTCAGTCAGCGATCAAATCAACCCGAGCAAGCGTCGAGAGTCGCCCGTCCGAGGGTTTTGGCGGGCGAGTAGAGTCATGAGAGGCGATGGATTGGGATGATGGAATTGGCCGATTCGACCTCCAGGAACCACCATCATTGGAACGATCATCATAAGACTGGCCTGATATAGCACTTACCATCGGAACGTGTAGCTACCCATAATGAGGGAGATGTAGTACGGATTGAAACAAACAGAGGTGCAGAGATTGCAGAGATTGCAGATTTGGAATGTCGAACGTCTTTAGATAAACCGATGAAAAAGAGAGGCTGGGAATGCCAACGTTGGGCTGCTGAATTGTTGGAGCTTCGAGTCCAGCGCAGAGAAAGCGGGGTGGCGGTAACACAGACCCTCGGTCGCAGTCTAGAATATGAATATCAGGATAGAAGGTAACCGTGACAATTACTGCAGTTATTCAGAATACGTAGGTAGCTATCTACGATTTATTATATCTTTTCTATATCTACTCTAGTTACATCTATGCAGATGTGATGTGTCTGCTGTCCAACTGCCCTGCAGATACCCACAAAGTGAAGCAGCTGAAACAGCAACAACTGTCGTTATATCTGCTGGCGACTGGGCCAGAATTGCACTCTCTGACGTATCAGACAGAATCGTGACTTCATCACTTATGATAGTTGGTTGTTAGGTTATCCACACTTGATGGTCGACTGTGGTTCACGATGGAGTAACTGTAGATGCAAACGGTATGACCTCAACAGTGACAGCAACTTAATCGCCACCATGATCATCATGATCCTCGTAATCATTGGCAGTCATGATGCCATCTCTGGTGCATCCAGTCTTCTCAGGATGGTTATTATTCAGTGGCGTTGGGCAATTCCGAAATCATCCACTGCTGATGTTCTAGAAAACCCCTGGAATTCTGCCATCGAAGCTTCCACCCCAGCTTTTCTCTTCATCTCGTCTAGCAGAACATGTTCAAACTCAGTGGAAATTAAAAATGTCCATCTAAATAATAAATCCAAGGAATCACAGAAATGAATTTAATATATTATTGATCCCGGCTTGGAACTATTGAAGTAGTCTGTCAGTCTAGCAACAAACCAGTGACGTCGATCCTGCTGGAGAGGGGTAGATGAGCTTCAAATCCTCCCTTTTGGATGCCCTCCCAGCTGTCCAGCAAGAGTAATATCCCAGCCGGTTTCTGCATTAGTGGTCGATGTGTTTGATTTATCCCATCTTCCATCGTTTATCACGATTATAAGCTCAGGCCAAAAGAAGCTCAGCTGCTTTCCTTTCCGTCTTCCTCCCCGCCTTTCCCTCCTCTTCTTCTTCTCTTCCCTTCCTCTTCCTTTCTTCCCCTCTTCTTTCTTCTTCCTGTCTGTCCTCTTTCTTCTTTCTTCTCTTTCATCTCTTCTCTTTCTCCTCTTCTCATTCATCCTATTATTTTAGTCTCTAATATATCTCACCTGTCCTCCTTCCCGACCTTCCCTCCCCACACGACCACACACAGCTTGGGTCTGTTGCCCCTCCAAAGCTTGGTCCCAGCCAGATTTCGGCTTCCCTTTCCATCCTACGCAAGCTATTTCCATCGACTTTCTCCTCCCGTTGGCTTTTTTCTAAGACACGGGATACTGAAACAGTCGACTTGTTCCCGTCTTGAAAGAAAGAAATAAAAAAAAAAAATTTAATTCACACAAAAAAACTTGGTCAAAAAGACAAGACAGAAACGTACGACATCTCTGGAACACTGCGTCCTTTCAACTCTCCAATTAGACTTCACTTCCCGATACCCACTCTGGCGGAGACCCCCAAGCCTGTCGCCCTCCTCTTTCTTGCTACCTTTCCCCCCTCCTTCACGCTGATCTTGCGGGTTCCAAAATCATCCTGCTTTTTCTTCACAAATGTCCCTTTATTTATCTCCTTCCCTACCCCCCTCAGAAATCTTCCCTCCCAGTCGCCGGTCTCTGTTCTGCTCAACATCTGACTTCCTCTGCCAGTCTTCGACCCCACCTCTTTCTTCCCAGCGGCTTCCGTCGCAACTTCTCGACCCTACACCTTCTTCGCTCCAGTGCGGCCGGAGTGGTGGCCTCTCCGGCCCTACAGCTGATACAATGGCGGACAGCTCCTCTTTCCCGGGTACCAACCCTTTTCTTAAGCTCGGCACCAAAAGCAGCACCTCTTCCTTTCAAAAGATCTCCGAGGACGACGAGTACGAGGTGACGTCACCAACCGATTTGACCTTTAAATCTGCCAATGCTGGTGCAGCTCCAGCTTCAGCAGGCAATGTTCTCTTTGGAGGCAGTAGTTTCGGTGGGGGAAGTGGGGGAGTGCAGTTCGGTAGGAGCCCGTTTGATACTGGATCGGGTGACGGGAATGAGGACGAGCACAACTATAATGAACCCCCCGAGGCCTCCCGTCCTATCGGAGGCGTGAACCAAGGCTTCCCCAACAACTACGCGCTGGGTCGTCGTACATCCGTCTCTGCAGAGTCTCTGAATCCCACGTCGGCCGGCTCCGATAGCTGGACACCTCCTTTCCACCAAAAGACAGAAGAGCAGCTGGCTCGGTTGAAGACGGCCGTCAGCAGCAACTTCCTCTTCTCCCATCTGGATGACGACCAATTCAAGACGGTTCTCGACGCCCTTGTCGAGAAGCCCATCCCCGCCAAGGGTATTAAAGTGATTACACAGGGCGACGCAGGTGACTACTTTTACATTGTGGAAGAGGGCCACTTTGATATCCACATCCATCCTTCGGGTTCAGTACAGCCAGGACCTGATGGAATGGGCAACAAGGTCGCCTCTACCGGACCCGGGGGTTCTTTTGGAGAGCTGGCTCTCATGTACAATGCTCCTCGAGCGGCAACGGTCGTGTCAACTGACCCCAAGAGCACTCTCTGGGCCTTGGATCGCATCACATTCCGACGCATTCTCATGGACTCGGCATTCCAGCGACGTCGCATGTACGAGGCGTTTTTGGAAGAAGTCCCGTTGCTGTCATCCCTCAAACCGTACGAGCGTGCAAAGATTGCCGACGCCCTGGATACGATCAAGCACCCAGCAGGAGCCAAAATCATTACCGAGGGTGACCCGGGTGATGCCTTCTATCTGCTGGAGTCGGGTGAGGCAGAGGCGTTTAAAGAGGACGTGGAAGGACCTGTCAAATTCTACAAGCGCGGTGACTACTTTGGAGAACTTGCTCTGTTGGACGACAAGCCACGAGCTGCTAGCATCATCACTAAGACCGATGTCAAAGTCGCAAGGCTGGGCCGTGATGGATTTAAGCGGTTACTAGGACCAGTGGAGGATATCATGAGACGAGCCGAATACGAAGCCCGGCCATCATCATCTTCGTAAGATGTCTAACTTGGTTGGATATTGATGGATAGTGCTCAGGATATCGGAACATACAGATTGAGATTGATTGGGAATTTCAAGTTTCTTCAAAGAGTTTCAGGTTTCTCTTGTCATCATAGCAGCTGTCGTTCCCGAGTATCCATGCCCGGGGGAATGTTGTTTGTTTTTTCATTAATGTTTGCTTTTTCTTGATCCCAATATTGTCGTGGTGCATTCATCAAGGGCTTGGGCTTCTTTCCCCACGCCGGCAACCACTCACTACATTCAATCACTTCATTTCCTCTTCCAACCGTTTTCACGTGTCATGTCTTTGGCTACATGAGGCCATTGTACACCCCATGCTGTCGTATTGTATTTCTTATCCTGTCCAATACAGCACTACCACATAGCTCTAATACAGTAGATGTTGCATCTGGAAATGTAGTTTCATCAGGAGACAGGTCAGATAGACTACCGTTTAACCACCAAGTCACTCCTCAGCACCCATTTCTCTCCCTCGGTCACTTCCATTCCTTCATGCATCAAACACCTCTCTCCATGCCGATGCAGTAGGGCCATGCCTATCTCTGGGGCTACAGAGATGGGCTCTGGATTCCGGTTCTCCCGGGTAGGATCTTGATAGAAGACGGTTTCTCCGCCGCCGCAGGTAGTGAGATAGATGAGAAGAGTCCAAGTCGTCCTTGCTGGCATGGGGTTTGACTGAGGCGGTTTAAAAGTCAAAGCATTGGAATCATCATCTATCGTCAATAAGCATACACCTAATACAGTTTGATATTTGAAAGAAATTAGATAGAACATACAATGCTTCGCAAAAAACTGCCCCTTCGAATACCGATACACCCTAATATTCGAATTCAACCCAACTGGCTCCCCGCCCCAAACATCTCCCTCCTCGCCCTGCGTAACCAACTCCCTCAACGCCGTCGACGACCACAACATCTCCGCAAAGGTGGCATCCTCGATCTGAAACCGATCATTGACGCGCACAGCGTCGCCCTTTTTCGGCTTCCCGGGCGTGGTGATCAGCGGGAGAGACGCGAGGAAGGAAACGTAGTTCTTGCACAGGGTGGCGGTGAGGAAGTTGCGGATGGTGTAGATTTGGTCCGGGAGGGTGGGATCCAGGTAGAGGGAGGAGGGGGGGATGAGGGGACGGAGGAGGGGCCAGTTTGGTTTGGATTGATGGGATTGAGATGGCTGGGAGGAGGTTTTGGATTGATCTTTTTTGGATTTGGGCATTTTGTTTTCTGTTTCTTATTCTCTTATTCTCTTGTTCTTGACTTGTACAGGTCTGAGACCCCTCTTGTTCGTATCGTCTAGTCCGTTCTCATGTAGGTAATACCTAGTCAATGGAACTTTTCCTGGATGTAGATCAATCAGTCCAGTAGGCGTAGGGAGAGGGGTTCTCCACCTATCGGTCAGAGTGTCAGCTATGAATCATTATTGTGCAAAGGAGGTATGCAGGTAGGTACTTTTGTACATACTATCAAAATCTATTATCCTGTAAATAATTGATAATCAATTGCAGAAAATAAGCACGGTACTTTGGTTCCTCTTAATGGCATCCAGATTGAGGTATGCATACTCGGTATTACATTGGATAGTCAGGATTTGCAGTGGATCGGAAAGTGGCCCTTTTTTGGAAGCCAGTCAGATCTACGGAGTAGCGGGGCAGAAGAGTTTTCTTAGTCGGGATTCTTCACTTGAGGGGGATTAAAGCAGAATAGATATAATAAATATAATATATATCAGACTATTAGCATCTACATTCTACTACTTTGTAGCTGGACTGCTGGAGGATTTCTTTGTCCTCGTACTGTACGTACGAGGCTGTACGATACCGGATTATCTCCTCCGACAGGTACTGAAAATCCTCCATTCATCTTTTTTTGCCTCTCCTCCCATGGCTGCTCTTCACCGCCCTGCTTCTCTCCCTCCAACCCTGCCCGTCTTTCTCCTCCCCAGCAGCTGCCTGTCATGTCGTCGTCGCAGACCATGACAGCGCCAGCGGTGGGCCATCGACCTCCTCCTAATGCCGGCCCTGATAGTACTATGTCCCTTTACGATCATGGCGGTCCTCACTCCGACCACAGCCCTGCCTCCCCGCGCAGCGACTCCTCCGCAATCCGCGCCCTGCACGATTCTGCCTCCGATCACCCCGACCTCTCTCCTCCCCCCAACGGCCTGCCCACCACCCTCGACATGATCGGGATCAAAACCGAGCCGGAGGATATGGATGTTGAGTCGGGGGCTGCTGGTTCCGCGGGGGATGAGCGCCAGAACGACCTGAGACGGCATTCCGCCAGCGCGCTTCTCGCTCAACTTCTCGGGAACCACCAGTCTTCTTCTTCTTCCGCCCCCGTCGACCAGCACCATCTTTCCGCGGACCAGTCCCAGGGACAACAACAACAACAACCACAACATCAACATCAACCAAACGACTTTGACCTCGACAAGAAGAACTTTGAATCGAATGATCAATCGTTGAGCAATGATCCTACTCCTGCGGGAATTGATGTCTCTGCAGCGTTGCCCATGGCTCATGATCAGATCGCAATATCAGACGAATTGCCGGGCGGTCTTTTACACGATGAGCACAGGCCCGCGGGTGAAGATCATGAATTGTCCTTCCCAAACCCCGATCCCGATGGACATGGTTTACCTCATGCGTCAGATCTGGCTAACAGTCTATCCGATCCCCTGATGTTGTCCAAAGATCACCCCGACCTCTTCGCCTCTTTCGATATTGACTCGTCGAAAAACCCCTTTGAAGCGTTACAGCATAATGAGATGCTTACTGCGGCCTATCTTTCCCAGAGCGCGGATCTCTCCGCCCTGGGATACTCCGGGGGTTTGCAGGATGCAGGATCGATCTCTGGATCCGAACCTCGTATTCAAGCGTTTGCGAAATTGGAATTCGACGATGGACATTTCTACTGCAATACTTATTCTTTTATCCTCGGGCGAGATGTACGAGCGGCGAGAGCGGCCCATCAACGGGAATACCAGGCGAGACAGGCGATGAGAACTTCTCGACCAAAGAGTTCCAGTGGTGGCAACGCATCGCATACGCCAATTCGTGTGAAGCATGAGGGGAGCGGCATTCTTGGAAGTGTTGTCAGTGATCGCGGTGGTATTATGGGCTTTGATCCTGACGTGCCTCATCTCCCCTTAAGTCGAAGGTCGTCGAATTCGTCTTTTGCCGAACCGGCCCAACTGCATGCTACTCCAGCCCAGCTGCAGTCGACTACCGACTACAATGCTCTTGCGATGCAGTCTCTGAATGAAGGTGGTAATGATGCGAAACCTGTTGATGCGTTGGCCTTGCTCCCTTCCCCTGACTCCTGTCCAACTATCCCGATCCACCCTCCTGCCACTGTTGACGGTATTGCCGCTGGGCATCGGGGAATCTCTCGTAAACACGTCAAGATTGCATACAACTTTGACAAGAACCTTTTTGAGATGGAAGTGATGGGAAGAAATGGTGCATTTATCGGCGCCGATTGGCTGTCACCGAGCCAGATCAGACCTCTACACAGTGGCGATTATATTCAGATCGGAGGAGTGCGCATACGATTTTTGCTCCCCGATGTTCCGATTGGAGAAACAGGTGCTGAGAGAGCCGAAGAAACTTATGCGGAAGATGATGAAAATGCCCCGGCTTCGGTTGGTCTCGAGAATGATGAGGAAAGCGAGAAACGTGGAAGCGATGTGGACAGCAAAGATACAAAGGTTGCCAAGCTGGTACTGAAGACCAAGGACCCCGACCTTGCCAAACCAATGCCTTCTATTGAAGGGTCTGGTGACAGTTCTCAACAACCGGCACGTCGCCGGGGCCCAGGGCGGCCTCCCAAGGATGGTATCATGTCCAAACGGGAGCGCGCAGAGCTGGCCAGAGAACAGAAGCTGGCTGCCAAACGGGAAGCAAATGGAGGTGTCACTCCTCCTCCCCCTTCCCAGCAGCCGCAGCAACAGCAGCAGCAGCCACAGCAACCAAACAACCGACCGAAGGCTGGAAAGACACCCAAGGAATCTGGTGGTGCCGAATCTCCCGGGTCCAAGCCGGAGAAGCGCAAGTATACCAAGAGGAAGAAGCCCGATGGCACGCCCATGGACACTCCTTTGCCTACGACCGAAGGCGCCCAGTTCCCTATGGAACAGCGTCCGGAAGAGTATATCAAGGTACCTCCTGTAAAGAAGCGCAAGCCATCGCGTTCGCCATCGCCCAACTATCCTCCCGAGTCAGCGTACACGCCGGAGGATCTTGCAAAGCCTCCCTACAACTATGCTGTTCTTATCTTCGACGCTCTTACGGAAGCAGGAACGCCAATGACGCTCAAGCAGATCTATCGCGCCTTGAAGCTGAAGTACCCCTATTTCCGCTTCAAGTGTGAGACGGAGGGGTGGACGTCCAGTGTCCGGCACAATCTGAATGGCAACAGCCATCTCTTCATGCACGCTGAGCGAGATGGTAAAGGATGGTCGTGGCAGCTCCGGCCAGGAGCATCTGTCGAAAAGGAGAAGAAGAGACGACCATCGCCTCCTCCGCCCTCATCGCAGACTCCAGCACCGCCTCCTCCGCAACAATACATGCCTCCATTGAACCAGACCTACGCAAGTCCGCCGACTGGTCAAACGAATATGGCCAGCCAGCACTTCCAGTTTCCTTCTATGCCAACAAATCCTTACTCTGCTCCACCACCCACACAAGCACCTGCCCCGACACCTGGTCCGGTGCCGGCTCCGTCTCCAGCTCCAGCTCCTGTTCCTCAACATCACAGCCCTTATCCTCCCCCCTCTCAGGTTCCGGCTCCATCTCCTGCTCCCCCTCCTGCTCCTGCCCCTGCCCCAGCTCCTGCACCTCCACCCGTTGCAGCTCCGGCTCCAGCTCCAGCTCCAGCTCCGGCACCATCACCTTTTCCGATACCCAGTCCAATCCGAAACAATCTCCCTGCCGCTTTCGCTCAGACTACACCATCTACCTACACCTCCCCTTATGCATCCGATCCACCGCCGCAGCTGGCTCAATTCCAGCACCCGCATGCCATGCCGCCACCGCAGCAGCACCAATCACCTTACCCTCCGCAACATCCCCCGCCGCTGCCAACGCTCAACCCACACCCTCCCAGCCTCCCACCAAATCCTGGGCCTCCGATGCCGCAGCCGCCAAATCCAAATCCAGCGCCGGTTGAGCCAAGTCCCGCGCCCATGCACCAGCCCGAGTCGTCCTCGTTCAATGATCGGGCGAACAAGGCTATTGATGACTTTGAGGCCGTTCTCATGGAGGACTATGAGGATAAGAACTACATCCGCGAGGTGCTCAAGAGCGCACGTGCCCGGGTGCTGGGAGAGAGCACGGAAAGCTCATTCCCTGGGGGCGAGCCCAAAGACGAGGCGGTCATTGTGGATGCGCTTAGCAGCCTGATTGGGAGCTTAAAGGACGAATAGAGCTAGCGGTAGATTGGGGCAGTCATCTGCTCGATCATTTGACAACTGATTGAACGAATTACGAATTGGGAATTTCTGTTTTTTTCTTCGTTTTGAACAGACAAGGGAGCAAACTCCTCCCGGATGGTGTTGAAGGGTATGTGCGATCGGAATTCTCATTTGATGACGAATCGGACATACGAGTATGATTTATCCATCATTCTTCTTCTTCTTCTTCTTCTTCTTCTTCTTCTTCTTTTTTACGGTTTCTTTTTTATCTCATTGATGATATCCACTGTGTTCGGGCCGATGGCCATTTTTCGATTTCTTCTTCTTTTTTCAATTTTTCTTTCTTTCAAAAATTTTTATTCAGTTTTTGCGTTGATCGACTTGTGAGGGTAGGTGAGTACAGTGGTACATCTACCCAGGGTCAAGATCACAAAGTTTCAGGAGGGGAAAAAAGCTACTTAGTTATCCGGTACATAGACAAAAAATGGGATTATCAGTATCAGATTATATGAAACTATTTGTTAGAGACGGCGAGTCGAAAGGGAAAGAAATTTTCCTGACTTTGATACCCCTCACTGAGCATCCGGATAATTCCTAGATCAAACTAAACCAACGCAGACTGCCTAGAATAGAGTCTATCCAAACGGACAGCCACAGGCAAAATACATACAGTACCAGTTACGGAGTAAAAAAGAAAAGAAAAGAAAAGAAAAGCAAAAAAGAAAGAACCGACAGTACCCGCTGACCCGATCGTCCCTGAGTCACTGCCACTTACTCGTCCTGTCACCGTCCTACCACCCAAGGCAGAACGAGCACGAGGTAACCCCCCTCACCATTGGCTGCGTTTGTAAGCTGAGGCAACCAACGAGCTGCAGTAGCCATTGGTGTGATAGAAATTGCCATCCCATTGATGGGAAAAGAATGGATCATGGATGGATGGAATTATTAACGAGGCGAGGCGAGGTTGAAGCGGGGTTTATGTATGTCGGGCAGAAATATGTAGACGTCCTCTTTCTCCCCTCCCCACTAACACACCACTGGCACCAGTGAATATATACTTCCTACTGTAGGATGGGGATTTGGTTGAAGGATTTACCCTATAACCTGTTTTTGTTTTCGGGGTGAACTGTATGGTGACTGAATTGGTAGAGATTATAGGGTAGAATGGGGGAAAGGGAAGCAGGATGTATATGCAATAAGGACCCGACTACCTAGCATATATGACATGCAGTATTATTGCATATTGGCCATACAGACTGATTTAATACGTAGACAGTCTGTATGATGCTATCTGTTTATCTTGTACTCTGTACTAAGTATCCGTATCAGCTGAAAAGAAGGTGAAGGTAAAGGTGAAGAGAAAGGAGGTGACCAGCCCCCGATCATATTGTATATCGCAGCTGCAGCATGACGCCAATCCCAAGGCCAGATGCAGGATGGCGACTGAGTCAGATGATTTTTCTTTTTCTTTTTCTTTTCTTTTCATGTTTTCTGTACCCCGTTCCTACAGGATCTGCCGGTGGAATACCAGTCAGCTGCATGGTTGATACCAGGCAGTAGAGGAATACGTAGATGGATGCCTGTTAATAATTATAGTAAAGTTGACATATTTAGACGGTGGTATGTGTGGTTGCTAGGGAACTGTGGCTGTATGATGCTGGAGTACATAATGCGTCTTATTCTGTACTATGTAGATTCTTTCTCAGTCCTTTACAGACATACTCTATCCATGGATACTCCATGATACTCTATGGAATTCTATCTTTAATTCCAACAGTTTCTACTTGACTAACTGCTCGTCTCCAATTGATATAATTAGTCAGACACGTTGTTAGTGCACGTCCCACTGTTCGGGGCTACAACTAGCAGGTCCACTCTCTTCAGCTGATATTAGATAATTATTCATATTTTATATTTTATTAGGTATTATTTTGTTCTGTATTTCTGTATTAATATTATTTTTTTTATTATGATAATAATAATTCTGGAACAAATGACGTTTCTGTCACAGTTAAATCATCCAGTGGCGGTAACAAAAGCCAGACTGTGTGACCCATTTTGGGCCCTTTTGGGGCTGCCGTTCGAGCCCCTAACCGGCTCTAGGGTAAAATACGGTATGCCTCTTGTATCTGTGTATCGTGTCTTCCCGCCTCAACCTTTTCGACATTTCCGTTTGGCTGGAGTGGCTGTTTTTTTACCTCCTGACTAGTAAATTTCCTTTTTTTTTTTTTTTTTTTTTTTTTCCTTTACACTGTACAGGCTTGGGATCATCAGCGGTCACTCCCACTCTCTAACACACACTGGCTTCTCTCGCCGCTGTTCCCTTTACCCTTCGCTCTCTCTCTCTCTTCTTCTCTCCCCTCCCTCTCTTTCTTCCCTCCCCATCCTCTTTTTCCCTCTCCACTTTCAACCTCCATCTTCACCATCTATCCTCCCCTCCTCCCTTGTTCATTTTTCTCTCCGTTAATCCTCTATTTTCCTTTTGCTTCCCAACGAGCTTTTCACTAAGTGTCGTTGCTTAAACGTGGAACGGGGTCTTTTTTACGCGAGAAGAAAAAAATACCCTTCTCGATACTTCCCCCAAATCTCTCTCCCCCCCCAAAAAATCTACCCTGTCCACGCAAGCCTCTTAGCCTTTTTCTGTCTTCCTTTTTCAATTGTCTATCACCTGTTTAGCACTGGTTAAGCAAAAGAACGTGCAGCTTGCTTCAATCTATTCCTGTACCCTTTTTTTCTGTGCTGTTCCCGATCGACAATCCGTCTCCGAGGAAAAAAAGACTAGGAATAACAGACGCGACTCCGAAGAGAAAAAAAAAAAAAAAAACCAAGGCACCGGCTTCGGAACTTCCACCTGCTGCGACCGCTCTTTACGTCCGTTCCTTAACGTCGTTAGACTTTCGATTCCTTTGTTGTCGAATTGATATCTCCATGTCATTCAACTAGAGACTTCTCCTGCGCATATTAAAGAGCCGCGGCTCGTTGAGCTACCGCTCTCCCCCCAGGATCAGGGCGTCGCGGACGTGTAGACGGTTGGTTATTCCCTTTTCTTTTTCTTCTGACGTTGCTTCTTTTTTCTTTGGTCCATTGGGTGGTGAGCCCTCTTGATCAGTTGCTTACTGCTATCGTCGCTATAGCCTTCGAACCGTCTACCTCCCCGTCCTGTACTGGTTTTTTGCTCGATCCGAGTCATGCCGTCTTTCTTCGCCCCAGGCCTGCAAGGCCTTCCTCCTACTCCCCCTCACATGTTGAGTGGTAACAGGATGGACTCCGAACAGCCCTTCTACGTTGTCGGCCAATCTGCCTTTCCTCCCCGCTACTCCCAAAATGGTTGTGAATTCATTGAGCAGTACTCCCAGTCCGCCTGCTATGGCAAGCCCGCTCCCATGAACATGCACCCTATGCGCACCGGCAGGGATTTCGCCCCGGCTCACCATGCCTTGAGACACCATGCGTCCCAGCCCATGTTCGGTCCCATCGCTGCCGCCAACGTACTGCCTCCCCTCCGGAACAACGTCCAGCTTCCCCCGATGGACAGTGCTATTCCACCGCAGTACCGCCACCATGACATGATGGCTCAGCACGAACAACCGCGCAAGGAGGAGAAGGCCACCGGAGGCGTTGCTGCCCATTTGGACTATGAGATGGATCAGATGTCCGACTTCGTGGCGGAGATGGCCCAGGGAATGTATGCTTTGTACAACACCAAGATCAACCTAGCAGATATTGACTTCGCGCGAAGCGTGTACCCAGGATCGTCTGTCCCACCCCAATTCCGGAAATACGTCTTTCAGATCCTGTCCTCGACCCGCCTGCCAAGCTCCACGATCCTCTTGGGTCTCTACTACTTGGCCAGTCGGATGCGTATGCTCTCTTCCGCCAAGGTGTACTCTTCGGGTAGTGGCCAGGTTTACCGCATGCTCACCGTTGGACTCCTTTTGGGTTCCAAGTTTTTGGATGACAACACCTTCCAGAACAAGTCGTGGGCTGAAGTGAGCAACATCCCCGTCGCCGAGTTGAACTCCATGGAGCTTGAATGGCTGTTTGCCTTTGAGTGGAAGATCCACGACCGTATCTACGAGGATCAGGATGGATTTGCGTCGTGGCTCAGCCACTGGGAAACCTGGCGGACCAAGGCTACCGCGCGGGCTCACGGAACCCGCCACAGCCTGGCTCCGATCGACACCAAGATTACCCGAGGCCATGGTCTCTCCAAGCCTCTGATGTCCCCCGAGGGTCCCATCCCGCCGCAGTACCAGCGGAGCACGCATTTTGAGAACTCGTGGCTAAACCCTGCAGCATCCGAGTACTCGCCTCCGTCCGCTCCTCACAGCGGTCCTACCACTCCCGATTACTACTCAGTCGGGCCCTGGGCATACGCGAACCCTTCGCCGTATTCCCGTGCTTGGATCCCGCCTCAGCAGTACCTCCCACAGTCGGCGCCTCGGTCGCAGCCACCATCCTACCACCACACCCCGGCATATGCACTGCCATTCGCCCAGAGTGTGTGGACAGGTCATGGCTCATCCTGTGGCTGCCTATACTGCGCCAAGCATATGGAGCACTACATGTGTGCCAATCCGTTTGGCGGCATGCAACCTATTGTCGCTTAATTGGTACGGCTTGCAGGCAAAGGGCTGCTGACTGCAGCGTAAAAAGTTTCTTTTGACCGTCCATTCTTCTTTTTCTTCTTAGATTTCTCTCGATATTTCGGTGATTTCATCTCCTTTTCTTTACTGTTCGATGATACCGTACTCTCTTTTATTTCGACTTTTCTTCTGCGACGATTACGCATCTTTTTCTCATTTCGCCATCTCCGATTTCGAATTCCCCGCATTTGTTGCGACAGCCGAAAAGTTTCCATGTTCAGTTCTTTTCGCTCTTGTCGGAAAAGCAAAAACACAGAAAAAAACTTTTTTTTTTCCCCAAGCAACGACAAAACCTGTCACATCTGCGATGCAGCATGCATTAACGATATGGCGCAGTTTTTCTCGGCTCGATATGACTCCGTTGCTCATCATGGAAGGTTTTCGTTGATCGTGCCACATACCACATTACTCCCTTTGGATCCTGCCGATCTTTGGAGTGAGCAGTCACGACGATCATGATTTACTACAATTTCGTCTTTTTTTTTTCTATTCTTTTTCTTTTTCTTCTTTTTTTTTTTTTGCAGTCGATTTCCAGTTTCCCTCTTGTTCTGTTTCTGGTTTTGGGCTTGTCTGGTAAATGTTACCTATAGATTGTTTTCCCTTGAATTCTCTGTCAAGTTGGTACATTATTTCCCCCATTTACATTGAGTACCCATGGCGTTAATAATTTTCTTTCACTTCTTTCAACCCCTTTTTTTTGCATTTTCTTTCTTCTTTCCCACTTCATTTTGTTCAGGCTGGTGGATTTGATGTCTGTTTGATGGGCATTCTTCTTTTTTCTTTTCACTTTCTGATCGATCGCATCATGAGGTTCCTATCTCTGTTCATGTGTTGGAGTCAACTGGCTTTTACATATGTGACTGGGTGAGGAATGCCTCTTGCTTGTAATCTACACTTTTGCTTTCAACTTTTTTTCTCTTTTTTTTTTTCTTCTGCCACGACTATTATTCATCAATTCCCATGTCAAATGTCGTTGGCAAACTTTTTTTTTTTATTTTCGACACAGAAAAAAAAGCGAATATCCCCTCTTATCGTGCCCGTTTTTTGTTTGGTCACTTCTTCTTTTGTCCTCTTCGTTGTACGTTAGATTTAACTACCTTTTCAGATATCTTCCTGGGAGTGATCCTCTCAGTTGGAAGTGCGGGAAAAAAGACAAAAGACCAAAAAAAGAATGAAATTCTTCAAAGCATGGGGTAATCCATCTGCTTTTATTCCGCTGTCAATTATCCATTTCTACTGTATATTTAATTCTTAATCAAATGAATTCATTAGGCTATCTTGATGTTTAGAAGCCATTAACCAATAGAAATAGAATATTCCTGCTGACTAGACACTAGTCCATAATAGGCATAGTCTATCATTCTATATCTATTCTTTTCTTCTTTTCCTCAGATCTCAACCATTCTAATAATAAATTGAACGTCAATTCAAGATGCTAATTTCATCTTACAATTTACAGTACAACAAAAGTCCATACGAGGACCAAATTCAATTCAAGCTCTTACAATACAATAAAACAATACAAGTCAGACTGATTGAAATGAAACGCTTACACTGACCTGACTCCAACATCATCTATCTATTCTAAGGACAAGTCGTGATGAAACACCTAGCAATATGACCATCACCTAACTCACTGATTTCAGTCGCATCACTAAAGGAGTCGGTGAGTGTCAGACAGACCACCTGTTTTGAGTAATTGGAATAGCAGCTATGGAGTATAAGGATCGAGACCGAAGTATGTGGCGAAGAATAAGACCAAGTAAAGCTAGCTTACCTAGGGGATATAGAAGTGTTTCATTGTACACAGTCATTCTTTCGGTCAGCACGGAGAATAAGTGAGTTAGCTGGGTAGCTAGGTAGCTATACCAACTCATAGGTATTAAGTACACTTCAGCTGAGCCAAGATGTGCTGAAGATAGGTATCTCACGAATCAAACCCAAGCTACCTCCTTCTCGCATCACCAATGCAGGTCCTGATCATATGTCTGTTCCACGTCCAATAAGACATATTGAATGCCCTAGTGACGATCAATTGCGGTGTTGATGAATGCGCTATACATGCGGGTGATTGTGATTGTACGTGGATAGTTACACGACTCGACTACGCCTTGCTTAAGCTGGGATAGATGTGTTAGTTAGGTTAGACATGGTATTGCTTATTACCGACTTACCTATCCAAATATGAACATGTAAGGGTGAAATGAGGGTTCGTTTCACTTTCGGTTTCAGTTTGTTGTTGGAGAGTGACGGACTGTTCACTGTAGACTATCCGACGTGGCGACATGTTGTCATTTGGTTTTGCTGTTCGCCCAACTGATAATGGTAATTACAAAATTGTTGCTCCATACAAGTGTCACGGTCTATTCGGGTATTCGTGTTCATCTCATTATTTGACCGAGGGTGTCAGACTAAACTACTATTCTAATTTTCGATCGTCAGGTCAAGGGAGTCGTGGCGGTCGTAGCATGCTCGAACAAGTAGATCCAAAAAAAGTCAACCAACAATTAAATAGATAAATAAAAAGCAGTGATTCAATAAACGCTTCCCCTGATACTCTGGTCTTGTTGGCGCTCGGCTTCGAGAGCATCATTACCGTCGCTGGCGCCTTCGTGTTCGTGTTCGTGAGGCTCAGCCCCGTTTTCTTGTTTCTGTGTGATCGGGGTGTCGGTGTCGGTGTTGGTTTCTTGTTGCGTTGTGTTCTCTATGTTGGTGTTGGTGTCGGTGTCATCTGGTGCCATATCACCCAAGGCGTCGGCGTTGATGGCTTTGTCTAGATTGCGTCTTCCCGTTGGAGGATAATTGTGGTTGTGGTGGTGATGGTGATGATGGTGGTGGTGGTGAGATCGGGACCGACGTAATCGCTGCGCCTGCTTGCCGTTTCCTTCGTCGTCGCCGTCATTGGCTAGATCCTGGGATGGCCGTGCTTGGTGACCGGCGGATGTGGCAGCGGGAGTGGATTTGGATTTGGGAATGTGGTCGTCGCGCTCGTCTTCGGATGGGGCGAGGCTGTTGGCGCCGCTTAGGGAGCCACCGCCGTCTCGACCGCCGAGCTGGAGGAGGGCGAAGTTTGACCGTGGGCGATGGAAAAGGTGGTCATCACTGTCTCGGTTGTTGAGTTCTGGTCGGCGGGAGAATGGGAGAGGGGGTTTGGATTTGGTGCTGTGATGGTGATGGTGGTGATGATGATGATGAGCGTTCTTGTTGGATTCGTCTGCTGACAAGGTTGATGATGTTGATTGTGTTTGATCAAAAGAGTTGGACTGCGACGTGCGAGTTGGTAGAGAGGCCTCTCCATCCAAAAACCTGGGGTCTACTGGACGGTCTCCTAGAGCTGGTTCGATGTTGGTCTGTTCCGGTGATTCTTGCTTACTGGTGTCCTGAGCTGTCGCTTGGTTGTTCGTATCGGTTGTCTTTTGACCATCATGGCCATTTCGGTGAGAATCAATTGGTGTTGCTCTTGCAGGTCGAATATGGCCTCTCTTTGGAATCCCATGATTACACCCATCTGGACAGCCACCCCATGTTCGTCTGACTGGGACGTGAGTATCCGAGGGAGTTGGAACTGGACTAAGCCCCTTTTCTTCGTGCTCCCGCTGCCTTTCCAGCTCCTTTTGTTTTCTCAACTCGGACCACGTGCGCATCTGGTTATCAAGTTTGTACTTTCCATTGTCCGGGTTGAGTTTCAGGACGACAAACTCGCAGTGGTTGATGTTCCGGAGATCCTCAAAGTATTCGACGCTCCAGTGGTACCATTTCATGAGAAAGACACGGGTCATTAGTCCATGAGTGACCAGGATACAGACACTGGCAAAGTCATTCTCTCCGAATAGCCGCCACAGCGACTCGTTGAATCCGCTCACCCGATCATATGCATCCGCCGCCGATTCACCGTTGGGGATCCGGTAGAAGAAATGTCCATAGTCTGCCCTCTCCAGCCACATTCGCTCCATCTCCGCAGAGCATGGTTGGAAGTTACCAAAGTCCTGCTCACGTAGCCGGGGCTCTTCGTACACCTTGATTGTGTGTCTCGGGAAGGGCGATGGTGAGGGGGAATCGGAAGTCAGCGAGTCGAGAATGCCCTCAGTAGTCTCCCGGGTTCGACGGTAGGGCGATGTGAAGAAATGCAATGTATCATCGGGCCGTAACAGATCGCGCAGTTTGCCACCTGCTTCCTGCGCTTGTCGATGTCCTTCGGCTGTGAGCTTCACCCGGTGGTCGGGGATGGACTGGTGAATTTCACGATTCTTATTCCCTTCCGACTGGGCATGGCGGATCAAAATGATCATCTGAAATGTTAGAACCTATGAGCCTTTCTATAATCAATGCACGACAAAGACGAAGACTCACTCGTGGTTTGCCCATGGTCAATGTCGCATCCGATTGATAATAACGAGGGGATGAAGTGGAGGTGGGGTAAATCAGAGAAAAATATAAAGAGAAAAAAGACGCTTCGACAGAACACTCTTCGATCAGAGAACAACCCAAATGTCTCTATCACAGTATTCGATCGAGACGGACTGCAGCCGAGAGAATGTGTGAAAGGCGGATGAAAACCAAAAAAGACACTGGGATGGGCCAGTACCTGATGATTACCCACTTGGGCCTAGCGGCGCGGTGATGTAAGGCCGTTTATCTTTCTCCACTCGAAAGCTGGTGATTATTCATGGCTTCTGATGTCTATCTAGGCTGTCCTGACTGTTTATTTTTATAAAAAAAACTTTCTGTTAGTATATGAGCAAGACCTTCTGATGTTGACATAATGATAAAAGTGATTTCCCCTAGGAAAATCCTGTTATTGCCTCGGCTTTGAACGGCTGTCTCTGGACTCTCATAACGCCCCTGATGATGAGAACGATGAAGACCAACACAACCTCCTACGAGGCAGTTCGACTCATGGTTTTATATAAGAACATATCTGCCCAATGCATGATCAGGCATACTTTTGGTCCACGTATTATCCTACCATAGGACGATTCAGGCACGATATAACCATGGCTGACTAAGCAGTATCCGACCTGAGACAATATAGTGCACATTCTAGCTGTATACCAGAATCAATACATCTTTAGTGCTTCTATTCAAGAGTAGTATATGATATAACCATTTTCTATCTTCATCTCCCCCAATATAAATGTCTTCTGTAACATCAATACGCTCCGGAGATGCTGCGCCAATGGCCGCGGGGCCCACCGTACCGCATCGCGAATCTGTCCAGTTTCAACCTCTGGTAGCTGCAACCATTCAGCCCACCAGATCTACTCCCATCCAGCATCAAATTAAGCACACAAGACGGGCGTGTCGACAATGGCCGACTCCCTATATGAACTGCTGGCTCCCCAGCTGGCTTCGACCAACACCTCCGCGCGGGCACCCGAACAAGATACGACTACGGCTCAGTATCTGAATCGACTATCGACCCTCTCTCTGCAGGCGTTGGAAACGACTGAGCCTCAATCATTGGCCCAATCTTCGCATTCTACTCTCCTGTCTCTTCAGGCTCTGTCCAATCGTTCCCACAAAGCATTCATCACGTCCGCAGACCACCTCGCGAATCTCCGCACTGCTATCCCCCAGTTAACCCGCGATGCACGACAGCTCCAGAACGCGATTCCCAAACTCGACGAAGAAGCGGTTCAGTTCTCCTCGAAATATAGCCGAACGGCTGAGAATGTCACGCTAGACCGACGCAAGAAGGCCATGCAGCTGGCGAGAAACGTGGACCGACTCTCGGACATTTTGGAATTGCCTACTCTGCTGTCTACGGCCGTCTCCTCGGCGGCAGCAAGCTCCGGAGTCGCAGGCACCTCGTCCTCTACGACATACTCTTCCGCTCTAGACCTGTACGCCCATATCAAAAGACTACAAACTTTGTATCCGGATTCACCTTTGGTGAAGGATGTCGCCGCCCAGGCCGAGGATGCGATGAAGGACATGACAACGAATCTTATTACTGGTCTTCGAACACAGAATCTTCGACTAGCAGCTGCTATGCGGACGGTGGGTTGGTTGCGTCGTGTGGCACCCGAATTAGAGAACCTCAACAACGATGGAGGAACGGGCACTGGGGAAGGTGCACTCGGAGCCCTTTTCCTGATCTGTAGACTGGCAAACCTCGTGTCCACCCTGGAGGCTCTAGATCCTTTACGGGAACTGGCAGACCAGGAAACACAGCGCAGAAATCGCCAGTCGGACAAACAAGATGGCACCTCGCATGCCTGGTCGGGAGGCCACCAGACGGAGAGGTTCTTGAAACGATACATTGAAATTTTCCGCGAGCAAAGCTTTGCTATCGTCTCTCTGTACAAGAACATTTTTGTTCCCGACCAGTCGGAATCAGAGCTAGCCGTCGCAGGGGTACGGGGGCTCGATGCACGGATGAGAACGGCATCATCGCGACAGATTCGCAAAGATGACCCTCTACAATGTATCCCGTCGGCTCTGGCAACTTTTCCCATGCACTTGGTCCAGTTGCTCACCGACACCTTGCGATCCTATCTCCCCAATGTCCAGGACAAAAGCTCCCGCGAGAGCCTTCTAACCCAGGTCCTCTACTGTGCTGCCAGTCTGGGACGACTCGGAGGTGATTTTGGCATGATCCTGACAGAATTGAGCGATGCAGAAGACGACGAGAGCGAGGGAGTAGCCTGCGAGTGGGAAGAATTGATGAGGAAGCATAGGGCGCTGGCAGGGCGCCTGGAGCAGCTCACGGGAGGAAATGCCACCACGGGGTCCTCGAATAAGGGGACCATGCGAGTGGCATCACCAGTCCATTGAATTCTACATTAGAAACACAAGCCATCCAGAGTATCGTGATGGTGAAATCTCCATCAACACTCCATAATCGCTGCGGGATCGACCTCCTTTGTTCTAAAATGGGAAATGAGGGTCTCGGGGGCGCTAGCCGAATGGGGCCGTAGCGGCGGGCGCTGTTTGGCCTCCGCCTTTCAACGATGTCTGGACCATCATCCGTCATCTTCCCTCCCTCTCACTCTCTTTCTCCCTCGTCTTCCTCATCCTCATACTCTTCTTCTGCGCTGTTTCTCTCTTGTTTTCAGAGAGCTTGTTTCCTGTCATGTTTGATTATCGTCATACTCCTATCCTCCTCCCATAGTACTTCGTCTATGGTCGGTTTCGATCTTCCTCCCGCCTCTTTCGTCACCTCCGATCTTCGGCTGTCTCATACGGTGTGACGTTCTCCCTTGCTTACTCTTGCCTACTCGTCACCATCCATACCAAAGAAAAGGGGACTCGCTAAGCGAGAAGGCGAGATATAAACGGAATAAAATATCATTCTACTTGTGCCTCGACTCTGGCTACTCCTGATCACCCTTCCCGATGGCCGTCTCTGCTGTTTCGACTGGCGGCTTGATCGATCCCACCAAACAAGCCGAATACCCCGTGGTGCTGGGTGATAGATTGGCAGGGAGGGAATCAAACTCAAAGTCGCAGTTGATCAATATTCAGTACAATTACAAGACCAAGTCTGCGACCGCGCAACAACGATCTACAATTACCCGTTCCCTGAAGTCTCGAGACCTCTATAACCTTACGATTTCCGACAAAGCACCAAATGCGGAACGGAATCCTTTGACATACACTTATCAAGGCAGTGTTGACCCAGATCAAGCTGAGTCAGGGTCCGATGAGCACAACTTGGTTCTTGTATTTGACCCAGACAGGAAGGCATTCGTGTTGGATTCTGTCGCAACGCAGTTAAATTTCAATCTCCGTTCTGCTCCAGTAAAAACTGAGAAGCAGGTGATTGAGCAATATACACAGCTTCGAACCCTGCACGAAGATGATCAACACGGGCCGAGTGATGATCGCACGTCGGACAACGGTGGGAACGACGAAGGCCCCGCTGATGAGGGCAATCCATATGATTGGCGTCACTTCTTACCGAAGGACAATGATGACGATAAATCGGTATCAGATCACGATCAACCTCCGTCGGACGCCCACTCTACCACAGGCAAAGCTAACACCCCACTGATGCCTGCGGTCGCCAAGCCTCCCCCAACCTCGAAGCCGCGGTCAAAACCACAAACCAACCCGCTCCGTCAGAAGAAACGCGAGCCTGTAAAGGAACCAAAACCTTCCACAGCTAAGCCAGCTCCGGCTCCGACCCCGGCCCCGGCCCCAACAAAAGCCCCGACTCCAGCCCCCCCGGCTCCTGTCGACGAGGAGGTGGAAGAGTCGAAACCGTCACCTTCAGACACAGGCTCGGCCGCTGTATCATCTCAGAAGACTGTGCCATCGCCTGGTTCGAACATCATAATTGATGGAGACCTAATTATTGACATGGGATCACCACCTCCTTCTCGTCCCACCTTCAACATCAATCCAGCCCACTTCTCATCAAACAACACACCCGCCAATGGTGCTGAAGAAGAAGAGGATTATGATGCGGAGATGGAGGATCTGCGGCTCCCGTCTCCAGCTGGACGCAGGGAACCAGCACCCCCCAACCCTATTGCAACTGCCCCAGCAGCTTCGGATGGGGAAGATGATGATGATGACGACGATGATCCATTGGCCGCTGAAATGGAAGCCGCCTTTGAGGAGAGTGCACGAGAAGAAGAACAGGCCCAGGGGCATCACTACCAGGCACCATCACGACAGTACAACGTCCCCAGTGATGATGAGAGTGAGGTCAGTGAGGAGGAATGAACTGGACATTTTCCCTTGATTGTTTTCTTTCCGCCTGTGATTATTTTCTGGTCTCGTATAAGTTTCTTGACCAGGGGTTTGATTTCACTGTACCAAGACTATATAAAGCACGGCGCCATCTGGAGTTTGGAGCGAAGATATGGGCGTATTCTTGAAGCCCGACGATTTACCTGCGCGATATGATACCACCTTGCACAGTACATTTTTAGATATGGATGTACTTCGTATACACAACTAGCATAGCATTATTACAATCAAATACTTTCTTCTTTTATATTATATCCTTTAATAAGTCTCTTCGTTGTGTTTTGTTGGAATCCAGTTCCGGTCTAGGCCGGAGAAACAGGATGTTCCGATCCGGCATCACGCATTATTGAATTCGCTCCAACGCCTTTCCAACACGACCAGAGGCAAAAGAAAAGAGAAAAGGGAGGATTCACCAGCAAACACCCAGACAGGCGGAAATCACGTTCCTTATTTTTGTCATCTCACCGGAGAGTCTTTTCCACATCTTTACCCCCATCTCGATCAATCCCTTTTCGCATCATTCGTCCGACCCTCACCTCCGAACGGTCACCACTGTGCGATAGACCCTTGGTCACGGAAACCCGTCCACGATGCTATGAGGATATCCCACGATATGATTGATAATATCTATTAACATAAACACCGGCTTGTCTGTTGAGGGGAAAACAGAAACAGCGCCACTCGCTTTTGCGTCCTGCGCAGCTCAATCGACAGTCATCCCAGGCGCATCTGGAATCCCATCCGATTTGGGCGTTTTATTCTTCTCTCTGAATTGAAATCATTGGCCTCACGGCTACATAATATCAATAGGAAAGCACCATCGCCATGGCGTCCCCAGCCTCGGCCAGCCAGCGACCTGTTCCTGCACCGTCGAATCCCGTCCTCCTCGCAACTCAAGAGCAATGGCTCTTCACAGACGAGGAGCTAACCCGTTCTCCGTCGCAGCTTGATGGAATGAAAATGGAGGCAGAGCATATGAGTCGCAGCAAGGGCGTCAACTTCATCACACAGGTGGGCATTATGCTCAAGCTCCCGCAGCTTAGTATCGCGACTGCAGCCGTCTTCCTGCACCGATTCTTCATGCGGTACAGCATGGTTGATCTGCACGGACGGCCTGGGATGCACCCGTATCCGATCGCTGCCACGTCGCTGTTCCTGGCTACCAAGGTGGAGGAGAATGTGCGGAGAATGAGAGAGCTCGTGGTTGCATGCTGTCGAGTGGCGCAGAAGCAGCCCAACATGGTTGTGGACGAGCAGTCCAAGGAGTTTTGGAAATGGAGAGATACCATTCTGCACCACGAGGATATGCTCCTTGAAGCCCTTTGCTTTGACCTACAGCTCGAACAGCCGTACCGCATTCTCTACGATTTCATTTGTTTCTTTGGTGTCAGCGAGAGCAAGCCGTTACGCAACGCTGCGTGGGCTTTTGTTAACGACTCCATGTTCACCGTCCTCTGCCTACAGTTTACGCCCCGGACGATCGCCGCCGCCGCTCTCTACGCCGCCGCACGACACTGCGATGTGGGATTTCAGGATGATGACCAGGGGCGGTCTTGGTGGGAGCAGATCGATGTGGATCTGACTCAGGTGCGCCGCGCATGCACGAGAATGGCACAGCTTTACGAGAACAATGCCATGCAAAAACATAGCCAGTACTACCCGACCACCCCAATAAGATCATCGGACGAGGGTACTGAGAAAACCAGGATCCCTCGCGCTGGTAGCGTGGACGCCGCCAACGGGCGAAAACGATCGAGAGAGCCCGACGACCACCCGACTCCACGAGATCGCTCAGAGTCCGTAAACCCTCGAGATCAAACACCAGCTGGACTGAACGGGGAACGATCCCCAAAACGACAGCGTACAGCCCCTACTGAATCCAGCGCACCAAAGGGACAAGACGTCTCATTTTCTACCACCACCACCGATCCTTCCTCCTCTCAAGAACGCCATACTAACGGCCATCCTTCTCGACCTCCCTCCCACCATCATAACCCTCCCCGGCCTCCTCCCCGCCGAAACAGCCATAACCGTCATCAAGGAGGAACTGAAGAACCAGAAGAAGGAGAAGTCGACCCGGTCCAGCACCGCATCGACCAAATCGTCGAACAAAACTCCGGCAAACCGCCCAAGACCGACCGTCGAAACTCACATGGCCATGATTGGGAGCCCAATCGCGAGAGACGGGGGTCGTCTGCCCGAAAACCTAGCCTAGAAGAACAGTCACAGAAACAGCAACAGCGACCAGAAGAGTCACATCAACAGGAGCAACCACCAAAGGAGCCCCAGAAACAGGAATCGGAACCGGAACATGGTCAGAATCAAGACCAGAATCAGAATCGACCTCCCAACCAGCCATTATCATCATCCCAAGCCGAAGCCCCAGCTCCAGCCGACTCCCAACAAGCAGAAGGTGAAGAGGGCGAAGGTAGCGAAGAGGGTGAACTTTAGTTTTGCTTCTCATTCATTCATCTATTCATGTTAAAAATTACTATTATTATTATCATCATTATCATTCTTATCCCCTTTTTTTCGGCCTTCTGTTCTTTCTGTCTTGAGATTTGCTCTTCAAAAGTCAGGCAAGAACACATTGTATTTCACATTGGTTTGATTTGATTGATTTGGCTCGGGGCATTTGTGTTGCTTCTTTCTCTCTTGGTTTTCATTCGATTTAGCCATTGGGTCGGTTTGAGGCATGGTTTGTTGGTCGGTTGGTTGATTTGATTGATTGCATAGATATCTTTGCATGGAAGGAAAGCTGGGTTAAACTTTTTTCAACTTTTTCTCTTTTCTTACTATGTTAAGAGGGATAGGGAAATTGAATGGTATATATTCATTCTGATTCAAACAAATTACAGTCCACTATAATAGCAAAATCTCCCTGTGCAAGGTTGTTGATATTGACAGTATATGCTCCTTGCCTTGATTGGCCTTCGAGACTGGCCTTCTGCGGGCAGAAATATTCGTATATGTAAATGGCAAAGCCGGTTCTAATCCAACGGTAACCTAAACAAAGACAGACGAAACACCCTGTACACTTCCTCCCACTCTATTCTTAATATCCTGTCGCCATGGCTCCGAGGCCGTTGTCGAGTAGACTACTTGGGGCGACGAAGCTGAATCCTCCGAAGGGGTTGGATTCACCTCCCACTCCATTCTGTCCGGTGGACATTCCATGCGAGCCATTTGCTCCGGAGTTCATGTAATGCTCGAGTCCGTTTGAGGTTACCATTGGACTCAAGGGCAGGTGCGTGAAGTCATCAGAGAAGTTCTCAGCAAGAGCAGGATCAGTGACGACCGGGCTGATAGGGGGCGTGAGCTCGCGACGTTCCAGAGCCTTCCAGTCGATCTTGCGGAAGAACCGGTGCTTCTTGATGGTCTGCAGGTCCTTGGGCATGTGGTATCCCAGCCGCTTGGAAGGTTCTTTGCGAAGGAGACGTGTCAAGAGATCCTTAGCATCGGGCCCCAGGAAATAAGGCAGAGACAGCTTCTGTTTGAGGATCTTCTCCTGGAGCTTCGCGTTGTTGTTGGCTTTGAACGGCGGGGAGCCCGTGAGGAGATCATATGCGAGAGCCCCCAAGGACCACCAGTCGCAAGCCTTGCCGTATGGCTTGCCCTGGATGACCTCTGGTGCCATATACTCGATAGTGCCTAGAGACGAGTTGCAGCGGTCATCGTCATTGGCGGAGATCTTACTGAGACCAAAATCGGTCAGCAGGAGATGGCCCTCCTGGTCCAAGAGGCAATTCTCCGGCTTGAGATCACGGTAGATCACACCCACGTTCTGGTGCAAATGCTCAAGTGCGAGGACCATCTCCGCCATATAAAATGCCACCACATCCTCATCAAACATGCGCTCCATAGCCAAGTGCGTGAACAATTCGCCGCCCTGGGCGTATTCCAGGATAAGGTACAGTTTCTCGTGATCCTGGAAAGCGTAGAAAAACTTGACCACAAATGGATGGCGGTTCACACTCTCGAGGATAGTACGCTCCGTCTTGGTTTGCTCCACCAACTTCTTGTGCACAGTGATAGAAGCTTTCTGGAACTGCTTCTGGGCATACAACTTGCCCGTGAGGACATGACGCACCAGCAACACTGTTCCAAAGGAGCCTTTGCCGAGGCAAAGCAGCGGCTCAAAGTCATCGGCGGTCATTTTTCGGCAGAGTTGAGTGCGCATGTCCGTCACGCTCGAAGTGTTCTGTTCTTTCTCTTCCGCCGCTGCATCGGCACTAACGTAGTCATGATCGAGAGGGACCTCGTAACTGGTCAACACCTCAGTCTGGTCACTGTCTGAGCAAACACTCGCATTGCTCGGAGTTGCAGAGCAGACGTCGCTTGGGGCGCCCTGTGAGGCGCGGCTGCTCGTCAAGCTCAATGAATCAAGCTGCAACTTCAAGGCGCTGACACCACCCGTGGACGGCAGGACTTTGGGACTGGCCTCAGTAGCAAGTGGCCGCGGTTTGGGCGCTTTGGAACTAGTGGTCGAGAAATCCGAGTCTTCATCACCAGAGCCCATGGGCGTGAATCCGCGCACCGTTGTCAGCGCAGGCGCAACTTCCTGTTGATGCCTCTTCTTTTTCTTGCGTCGGTCTGCTTTTTCAGACAGCGGGGCTGGGAAAAGACTGTCTTGAGTAGGCGTTTTACCGGCCACAAACTGCTTGCGCTCAGGACTGGCATCTCCCATGCGAAACCCAGTAGACTGGTTGTTCAGACTAGTCTCGGTGCAAGGCGGGGAGTCGTCGATCTGAGGGGTAAACACATCTCCGACGGAGAGGTCATCATGAATGATAGTTGGCGGTGGATCCATGATGTGATGTTGCTATGCGATTTCTATCCTGGAGGTATCGGGGAAAAGACCGCAGAGATTCGGAACGAAAGAGCAATTCCGGAGGAAAAGCCAATGGCGCGAATAGACACAATCCGTTAAACAATGGCCATTGACGAAAGACAGGCACTTGTGAGGCCTATCCCGAAAAAAAAAATATCTAAATAAGCAACAGCACAGCATTAGTTTCACATTTCTGCCACACACAAGCGGGGTAATTTTAGATCTAAAGCAAGGGGGAGCGCGAGGGGCACAAAGACATATTTACCTCCAAAGAAAGGAGTCCCGCTCCTGTTCCTGGCAGATGTAATTGCCTCCTATTCAAGGAAGTCCCAAGAAAACTCAATAGTTTACCGTCCGCCCTTCTTCAGGACGGACCATGGACCCTTAGCCAAATGGCCTCGCCAGCGGAGGATCCGGAGAGCTGAGGGGGGAAGATGCGAGTGCCGGTCAATGCGAAGGATTCAGGAGACACAGCGGCGGACAATTCCGGCTCGAGGGTCAGGGGGAAACGAGGCGAACCGGCGAGGAAGCCAGCGGGAAACACAACGGACGATGAGAACGAGGTGGGCGCAGACAGGCACATAGAGGAACAGGCGAATCTGTTTGTAACGTAGAGACGGACGGAATCGAACGGCTATCCTGATTTCCAGTCAACAGCCTGGAAAAAGCAAACAGGTGACGAGATGTCGAGGATCTGAAAAAAAGAGAAGAAAGAAAGGAGGAAGAAACGATCAAAAGAAAAGGCATCGAGTCTCGGAGCTGGACAAAGCTGGGGAAGGCAGCCAATCAGTGGGCGCCTGACCTAAGCGAGGCTAGGCTAGAGTCGGCAGTGCCGGATCACGTGTGGCTATCGTCGTCTACAATAGGGTATTTGTTATGGATGTATTATTATATGCTAATGATAATAAGAATCAGATATGTTCTAATAGGATGTTCTATTCTGAGGGCATATAAATATACGAAAAGGTTGGGGGCTGACCCCAGCACTGCCCACTTTGGCATCATTCCTACTCTTGGAAATATCATATCACCAGAATACCGACCATCGCTGGGAATATCACAATGATCAGCCTGGTCTGCATTAGTGACGGATGATCAGTTATAATGTCCAATCATTATCCCAGTGCGTTTCTGCATATGACTAGGTCATGCTTGATATCATGAACAACAAAATGAGTAGGCTGAGACGCTCATATCCAAACCAAGATCGCCATGTATATGCTACTATATCTTCCATCACTCGCATCACTTAAAGAATGCCTTTGATCGAATAACTTCGACTCCAGACCTCTCAACAAACGCCAATGCGCTGGGCTTTTCCACCAACACCTTGACCTGTTCATTGTCAAAGTCTACCGTCGCAATACGCGCAACAAAAGTCGCCAGTGCCTCGACAGACTGGAAAGATGTCTCTTCGACTCGCTATAAACAAGATCATCAGCCAACACTCCACGAAATCAAAAACAGCGAAGAAAGAAAGAAAAGGCCCTACCTCTGCAACAGCCCGAGTCAGAGCCTGATACGTATCCACCACCTTCGAGCCCCAAGCCCACTCCCCACTCCCCTTGAACTCCAACGACGTAATCACAGCCTGCTTCTCGACTCTCTCATGCGGGTTGACACCCAGGATGCAATGGCTTCGAATCCCCTCAATCCGGAACTCCTCCTCAACTATAACAGGGAAATAGCTTGGCTTCACTTCCCGGTTATACGCCTTAGCTGTAACGCTGCGGTGCGTGAGTCCGCCTTCTGCGCGCAGCAACGCCTTGGGAAGATGCAGCCAGACCTCACACTTCCCATACTCCCTGTCCATGGCTGTTGAATTGACCGATGCAGCTGTATCGTCTAGTAGCCCCAGTGCGCAGTTCGCGACAATCCCGGCCGTCACCCGGAAGTCTTGTCCGTTTCCATTCGCATTCCCCACTTGTTTGATATCCTCTTCTAAACGACGGTATAGCTTGCCGTAATCGATGGAAAGGGAGACGTCATCTGCGGCTGCGGAGGCGATAGCGGACGAGTAGGATAGTCTCAGAGAGACGGTGCAGGGTTGTGGTTTTCCAGGACGATGCCATGAGTCGGGGGCTTCGGGGAGGGGGAGCTGGATGTTGCGGAGAGAGATGACATCGAGCACGGCCGGCTCGGAGGGGATGTGGGTTTGTTGGGAGGCCATGGTTGTTGGTAGAGAGGAGGGGAATGAAGATGAGCGATGGGAATGCGATCACACGGTAGCTCTGACGTCGACTAAAAGGCGATGCAATTTCCGTGGAAGCTGGAGGGAAAATGATAAATGCAAAAAGTCAATCAGTATAATCTGGACATTAATATTCCCATAGATCTAATTCTGCTCAACACTGGTGTTCATTCGGATTTGTTTGCAATGAGGGGCATTTGAAAAGCCAGAGGATGGCGGGGAAGAAGTGGGCGGGCCGATCCACCGAGTCCATCCAGTGTCGATAGGCTACGCCTGCTTTCTTTTGACTACAGATGGCAGATCTAGATCCTTTCATTTAACGGGCAATGGCTTAATGCACTAAACCTGGCTAAACTACGTATATCCGGATGGCAGGCCTCAAAGGCAGAAGCTGCATAACAAAAACGAATGTTGCAATAAATATCAATTGGTTAGTCACATGTACAAAGCCGAGAAATTTTTGGAAAAGAAATGGCCAATATCCTGAGTCGAACAACATAAGTCGTGGTCGTGGGGAGAGAATCAAAGCTACATGCAACCACCCTTGTCTCATCAGTTCGACTCATTGACTAAGGGCAATCGCTGCTGTAACCTTGGATTCGAGTCGTCAGTAGATAAGATAGAAACCATTCAACCTGTCGTCTCAAATATACATGTCCGTTCCGTAAGCCAGGGAAAGCCCCAGCCTCAGTCCAGGCGCGGTTTGTTGAAGGATGGATAACAAACAAAATCATCCGCAGTATGAGACCTTTTTTTACATCCAGTCCGGGGGATTAGGGTCAAATGTGAATTATGTCGGATCGTTCCTTGGTCCAGCAAACAACGGGAAAATAATGTTGACACGAAAGAAAAAAGTAATAAAATCAATGCGAAACGTCGTGGGTATCCGCCATGTATTTTCAAAACAATCACGCGGTGGAAAGCATGAATTTACCAGTAGGCGCGGCGATCATAGGGAACATAATCTCCTCTGGGAGGAGAACGTGGTCGTCCATAAGGCCGGGGAGCCATGTATGGGTCATCATAGTGACGAGGAGGAGGCGGAGGACGAGCATCATAAGGGTCATCATAGGGACGGCGTGGAGGAGGGTAGTCGTCTATCCGGGGACGGGGCGGAGTACGACGTCCGTAGCCATCACGTTCATAGTAGTCCCGGCGGAGCGCAATGGGGGAACGTTCACGGTAATGGCCGCGGGGACTGTAGCCACGGGGAGGGGGGAATCTCCTGTCGTATTCATCAACGGGTGGATAGGCGCCCCGGCGGGGAGAACGAGATCGGTATGGGTCGCGGAAAACGCGGTCATCAACGGGTTGGATCTAAGAACGAAAACATGAGGATCTCCTTCCAGGCTTCCAAGGCGCATAGGATCCTTACATCGGCGAGGCAAGTCACTTGGGAGCCCTTGAACTCGCGTCCATCGAGTTTGTCAACGGCCGTCTTGAGGTCGGTCGCAGTTTCGAATTCAACAAATCTTCCTTGGTGTTAATAGATTCCAAAGCCAGCCTTGTGGAAAGGCACAGAGTCAAACCCACCCTCTACCATGCTCACGGCCAGTTTCCGAGTAAACGACGTCAAGGCCAGATTGGCGAGCGAAATCTTTGAGATCCTACAAGGCCACGGTGTGAGTCCATTTCCAGATGCAAATTCCAGAAAAAAGTATCCAATGGATGCGTGACAAAGCAAAAGGGGCTAAAACAAAGGAGAGCCGAGCAGCATTATTCCAGGAAGGTTCGCATCCGAGTTGGCCATGGGGTGTCCGTCCAAGAAAAGGGTTTGATCAACACTTGGAAATGCAGCTCTGAAAACAAATGCAATCCACGGTGTTTCCTGGGACTTCGGACACAATGTCGATCGGCGCCTTCCGTCCTGGGATAGGGTTTCTGACAAGCGCTGGCAGTTTCTGGTCGTAGGTATGACGAATCCTTAGGCTGCAAGACTCAGGGGGGCAAAGAAAAAACTCAAAAGCAATGAAGGGAACGGGAAAGATGCAGGGGACAGAAGAAAATTGATGTAGCACAAATTGGCCGAACTGCACGGGGTCCAGGGGATCCTAAGAGAAATGGACTTGGGCTGCTAACCTGCCAACTTGTTTCCGGGAGACCAGAGACCAGCATACGGAAGCCTGTGCGACGGGGACGCGGCGCACTGGGGCGGTCCATTGGGCCTGGGAAGTTCTCCTTACGACGTGGTCCACGCGCAAACTGCACGGTGAGTCGCTCGCCTTTGAAGTCGCTTCCATCTGTCAAGGGAAAATGAGGTTAAAAAGAACAAGTCCTAAGCAAGTTTAACTGATCAATACATACGGAAAGCTAGATGGAAAGTATGTTAGCGAACTTGGTTAAAGCACAAAGCATATAAGAGATTCTTACCGGGAACGACGTCTCTAGCATCCATCGCATCTTCGTATTCGATAAAGCCGAAGCCGTTCATGAGTTTGATTTCTGTGATCTTCCCAGAGCCATGGCTGCTGAAATGTTCCTCGATATCCTGTTTGGTCACTGAAAAAAAGCCATGGCGCCAACGGTGGCGCCGCGCAACTGTCAGCTCATACCGGGCAAATCAATGAACCGGGAAAATGTGCAAGACTGCCGGGGATGTCCAGGATTCGAGATAAGAAACACAAGGAAAGAAGAAAAGAAAGAAAGAAAGAAAGGTCCTCTCTTCCGTCCCTCGGTGAGCGACACCCAGAGAAGACGCAGATCTCTATTTTTTTCGCTTGTTGTCTCCGTCAAAGATGCGAGAAACTGCGATCCAGAGGAACAATGGATAGATATCTGGGGCGCGAGTTGATAGAGGACAGGGCAATATCCAAATCAAAGCGGAAAACCTCTCTGGGACAAGGGTGTGATGAATGCCTGCGTACCGTTGCGGGGAAGATTCCCGAGATAAAGTCGAGTGGACGAGACCTCGGTCATGGCTGCTGCTGTTGATGGTGATGATAAGGAAAACCGGTGGTGAAAATGGAGGCCAGCAGGATTAGATATTCTCTCGGTCCTAGAACTCGTATGATGGCCAAAGGAAATCCAACTGGGTCGTAGATAGACAAACGGAAAGGACCTTGGCTATGAGGGCGTGTTCCTTGGACAGCAAGATGGTGGCTCTGTATTCCCGTTTTCCGTTTGTCGGGGGTGTGGTTTTTTGGGATCCAGATGTGAAGGGCCTAGGCAGATGGAGGGGCACTTGAGGGCGAAGTCAAGTCCGGGATGAAGGAAGGATGAAGAAGGTAGATGGAATAAGAATGATAAAGGATGGAAGAGATGGTGAGAGGTGAGAGGTGAGAGAAAGAGAGTCTGAGAGGCGAGAGCGCGAGGCAAGAGAGTTGACCGCTCGAGAGTGACTAGTGAGTTGGTCTGTCTTTTCGCTGGTGGAGAGAGAAAACAAGAGACCGCCTCACTTTGTGTCTGGTGGGCGATCCACGTGGCCCCGCCAGAGTCCAGACAGATGAGGCAAGTCAAGCACAGCCTTGCTGGACGATCATGTCACAGTCTGAAGATAGACAGTGTTGCTGGCAATGTCCATGTTTGATCGTAAATAGCCACCCAATAGGCGGTGGTTTGTTCGGAGTGTCCGTCTCACAGGAGGTGTTGTTGTCTATACTGACGTTATCTCAAACACCAGAGTAAACGGCAGCATTTCCATGGTTCAACACCCGTGAATCCCCCCCGCGGGGAGCAAACCAGAGATGGCAGAGACTCGGTTGACAGCCAGTCGCCACCCGGTTGATATAGAAATGGTCAACGATGAGGACAGAGGATGATGAAAGTGAAGCAAGGAATCGCCATCGTGTATGGTGTGTATTTTTAGGTAATTATGACAGGTCAAGCTGGTAATCTAAACACATGACCTCATTTCCCGAAAAGGGCAGGCATTCGGAATTCTTCCACGGCTTCATTATCAGTAAGGGATATAGTCTCTCGATCGATCGATCCACCTTGTGTTGTTCTTACTCCTTTTCCTTGTCGGTCGACCATCGACATACGATAAGTGCATATGTGGAGTACCCTGCCGCATACACAGGAGAAAATTTAGAACTATGAATATGGTATTGCTGGCTAATATATATACAGTTTTTAATCACCTCAGACTATTCGCATCAATCTCGAATAAAAAGCCTGAAATCAATATGGTGGACTGGTCAAGGTGCGGGGTATCGACTAAGTCATAAAGTATTTGGGACCCTCTCCACCCTGAGGGGTTTGCCAATTGATATCCTGCGTTGGCACTTTAATGTCGCATGTCTTGCAGTGGATGCAGCTGCGCAACGTTAGCATTTCTACCTTCCCCAAAAATAGACAGCGAACTTACTTCTGAGCGTTGATCTGGAAGCGGACGCCATGCTCCTTGCTTGCATCTTCCACATATTCATACACGCCAGCAGGGCAGAAACGGTTCTCAACACCCTTGTACTGGGGCCAAGCGATGTCCTTGTGCTTATCCCAGTCCTTCACCTGCAGATGCACCGGCTGGTCTTCTTCGTGGTTGGTACCAGTTCGGCTTACACTGGTCAAAATATCAAAGCTGATCTTTCCATCGGGCTTGGGATATTCAATCTTTTCGTATTGAGACGCCGGCTTGGTAGCCTCGGCGTCAGTGCCGTGGTGCTTAAATGTCCAGGGCATCTTGCCACGGAAGAGGTAGGCTTCCAAACCAGAGTAAATGATACCACCGTAGAGACCAAGCGCGGTGCTGAACGACGGCCGCATGTTACGCACTTCGTGCAGCTCCTTCCAGATAGAGGACTTGCGGAGAGCATCCTCGTAATCGAACAGGAAAACGGTACCACCCGAATCACCCTGCAGCGCCGCAAATGTCGACTCTGCAGCCAGCATTCCGGATTTCATCGCGGTGTGAGTACCCTTGATCTTCGGTACGTTCAAAAATCCAGCTGTGTCACCGATCAACGCACCTCCGGGGAACGCGCATTTTGGTATCGACTGGAAGCCACCCTCGTTCAGAGCTCGGGCGCCGTACGAGATGCACTTTCCACCCTCCAGAACATCCTTAAAAAGAGGGTGGTGTTTCAGCTTCTGGAATTCCTGATACGGTGAGAGCCACGGGTTCGGGTAGTCAAGGCCGACCACCAGCCCTATGCTGACCATGTTGTCGCCAAAGTGGTACATCCAGGCTCCGCCGTAGGTGTCCTTGGGCAGAGGGTATCCCATGGAGTGTACAATCTCTCCGGACTTGAACTTCTCAGGCGGGATCTCCCAGATTTCCTTAATTCCAAGTCCATACGTTTGTGGCTCACTATCCCGGCGAAGGTCATACTTCTTGATCACCTGCTTGGACAAGCTTCCGTGACAACCCTCTGCAAGCAGGGTAACACGCGCATGGAATTCCATACCCCGTTCATAAGTATCCTTGGGCTTACCATCTCGGCCCAGTCCAAGATCATTTGTCGCAACACCAAGAACGGAACCTTCCTTGTTGTAAACCACCTCACTGGCCGCGAACCCGGGGTAGACTTCGACGCCCAGCTCCTCAGCTCGTTCGCCCAACCACTTGGTCAACTCGTTCAAGCTGATGATGTAATTGCCATGGTTGTTCATCTGCGGCGGGGCGGGGATCGGGATCGACGAGTTCTGAGTCAAGAAGCGCATCTTGTCCTCTCCTGCAGGCGTCGCATGCTCGAATCGCGAAGGGTTGTCCTCCGACAGCCAGTCTGGTAGCAGCTCATTCAAGGCGGTCGGCTCGAGCACATTTCCGGAAACGATATGGGCGCCTAGCTCGCCGGCTTTCTCCAACAGGATCACACGGAATTCTTCATTGCCAGCTTCGTTGGCAAGCTGCTTCAATCGGATTGCTGCGGCGAGACCGGCAGGGCCTAGTGGTGTTGGAAAAAGTAGTCAGTCTCTAATGTGACATGAGAGCAAAAGAGAAAGAAAAAATTCTCTTACCGCCACCGACAATACACACGTCAACCTCGTCGGACTCTCTCTCCACCTGTCGGGGGTCGAAATGGCCATTCTCATCTGTGAGTTTTCTCGATAGCGACTGCGAAAAGGCCCGAGTCTGACCGAGTGCCTTGGTGCGGGAGAAAAGTGCGGTGTGGCGGGCTGTTCTCCTCCCAGATGCAGAAAGTGAGCTGGTCGGACCAGCAACAGTCGACAGGGAGGCGCTAGCTCTCGAGATTCGGGTGGAGGAGGATCGTAGTTCGCGCCTCAAAAGAGGCAAGACGGCACTTTTCGAGGCCATCGCGAGGGGAGAGGCAATCAAGGGATTCGGAAGTGAAACAAAAGAAAAAGAACCTGAAGCTATCGCAATCCCTATCAATCGCGAACTAACATGACCGGAGTCTTTACAGGACAGAGGATTTGATTCTAGCTAAGCAAAAAAAAAAAAAATAAAACCCAGGTGGAGGGCGACCGGAGAGAGTTGATAATCTTTTTGGAGTTGACCTAAGCTCCACCCCTCCCTCTTAACCTGCCGGGCTTCGGAGGCAAACCCCCCGGCAGGTGATTTTGGTGGAAGAGCTTTGCCGTATTGGCAGTACCCGAGGTAAGGAAGCCCAGCGGGCCAATCAGCGCGGCGGTAATGAGAATCGGCCTCTTCTCGTCGCTCCGCGGCTGTATGCTCTCGCTGCCACTGCAGTTGGCCCGTCATCCCGACGGAAAGCGACATCATCGATGGAAGATCTAATCGGAGAGCCTTGTGAGGGGTTTGGTTGCTTGTATGCCGGGTCGACGTTGTCTGGAGGCAAGTTATCTCTCGGAAAATATGCCATGTCCATTCTACGGAAGGTTATCCCGGATTGACAGGAATCAGAATCCCGAATCCCTTTGTTTCTAGTATCTAGTAGTAGTAGCAGGTACTATACTATGGGGTAGAATCACATGCAATTATCTGGGTGCTTATTTTGAGCTTAATTCGGATGCTTATGATCGCAAGACGTCGAGAGTCGAGACTCGAGTCGCTTGCGTGGATTTCACGTGAATGGCCCTCTTCTTACTGCAGGTATTTACTTGACATTCTCGTGATATCAATCGATCGTTCGCATTTTAAATCCTGAATAATTTGACGTGCTTACATTCAATACCTGAAGAAGTGTACACTGTGTCCTCTGAATATACGGGAACGGATTGGAATGTGATAGTAGTTATGGTATCCAGCATAACTCGGATTGGTACGTAGTGGCGTAAAATACCATCCCTCAATACTGCCGTGAGTTACCGGTAATAGAAACTGCTCTGCGACAGCCCTCATGGTCGGGGATTTCAACACCTGGAGTAGATAGTACTATCGATAAATGACTTTCAACAGTTGACAGATCGTAGAATATATTTGTTTTAGTGTTCTTTTAAAAGAACACACGAGAGACTGGTCTGACCGTCTGAGAGGAGTTGGTGGATCACAATAGGTGTGAGATCTGGGGAGGGGGGGCAACACCAGTTTGGCGCCAGAGAGTCCAAGCATCATCCATCAAACAGATCCGACACGTCCGGTCGCAAGAGTCATCATTCTGAGTCGTCAGTTGTCAAAAACTCTGTCTATCCTGTCTATCGTAATAGTTGATCAGTCAATATAATATTGTCCTGTTGTCCATAGATCAAATCAAGATAATCATGGATGATGCAACAGAGGGCTCAGCCTTTCTCAGGGATGGCCAAAGAGAGAAGAAAGAAGGGAAAACAGGGCGCAAAAGAAATTTTTGTTCTCTTGCCATCCACTAAAGCGGCGAGCTGGAAAAGCGCGTCGTGACTCTGCGCGAAGAGACACACCGCGACCAGTCAGCCCTCCTGATTGGGCCAGAAGAATGGGATCGCTCATGGTGGGTCCGACTATCAGCGTGCAGGAGCAACGCGGACTGGACGGCCAAGTGGCCACAACCATGGGACTGCCGGGAGAAAAGAAAAGAAAAAAACAAAAAAAAAAAAAAGGCAAGGGGCCCGGCAACCAAGCAGATTGCGTTCGGCCTAGTGGGGCTCCTAATCAAATTAGCGTCGTACGGTGGGCCCCACCGCGTCAGCGAATGAAGAGTGGAGAAATGGCGCTTGCTGGGGTCTTAGGATGCAGCCTAGAGTAGTGTGGCCACTCAAGAGCCGCTAGTCCTCCACAGACGCTAACATTTCCCAGACAAAGTGCCAAACCCATGGATAAGAGCGACCGCCCATCGCTGCTTTTGCCGCCGGCGGCGGGCCCAGCCTCCCCTGACGCCAGCGCCCCCCGGCCGCACTGAGTGCGACTATATAAAGGCCCAACCTCCCACTTCGCGGTCGCTCTGGGAAATCTTGATCCTGGTCTTGGCACCGCCCGGAACGCCGAAACTGAACTTCCAGTCGTCTTCTTCCCGCCTTCCCTCCTCCCTCTCTCTCTACTCCCTCTCCACAAATATATCCCGCGCTTTTAGTCACAGTTGCAGGGACAAGACAAGAAAGGGAAGAAGAAGCAGAATTCCGTTAATTAATTAGGAAGAAGAAAAGAAGAAAAAAGACCCAAAGCAGGCAATATTTTTTTGTTTTGCCCGTTTCAGTGTTTCAATTACTGAAACAGGAAGCTTACAACTGCCCGGTTGTATCTTCGCCACTCTCTCCTCTTCAGTCGCAGATAGATTCCATCCAAAATCCCAAAAAGGCAAAAAAAAAAAAAATTGTTTTTTTTTTTGTTCAAATTCACGAAACAAAAAAATATCCTGTTGTTTTCCTTCGTTGTTCTCCAGTCCCTACATTTTTGTCTGTTGCCTTTTTAAGGAAACACTTCACTGTGCTTTTCTGTCATTTCCTGTTTGGGCATATCACCATTCTCACCCTCGTCACTTTTTCGACTCCTTCCCATCTCGAGGATCTTGTCTCGTCGAGGTTGATCCCATCATCTTCATTTTGGTTCTAGTTCTATCTCAGTTCTAGGATCTCGTCGTGGACCTGTAGGGGAGACATTGAGTTGTCCATCTCCAACAACCGGTACGATATTTTTTCTTTCTCTTTATCTTCCCTTGCACTTATTCACTTGTTGTCGCAACAACCAACACCGACCTCGACTTCGACCTCAACCTCCACCCCCCCTCACCTCATCTCATCTCCCACCTTCTCTCGTCATTATTTCTCATCAACTTATTCTCAACTTGCTCTCTCCCCTTACATATCACTAATTAGTCTATCAGACTTCTTTAAGCTCGCGCTTATCGACTCTTGTCTTTTATCAGTCTCGGCTGGTTTATAGCCTGAGTTAGCTGCTCACGTCGCAATGGATTCTCTTACGACCCATCCTTCAAACGCGCAGCAGGCCGTGGCCTTCACTTCCCCCGCCTCTTTGTCCTTCCCCGGCGGTGCTGGTGACTTGACGCCGCCGTCCTCTGATAAAGGGAACATGGTGATGGGTGCTCAGGGTGTGAATGGGGCTGTGAACGGTCAGCAGCAGGGAGGTAATGCCGCGAATGGCAACGGGGTGACGCCCGCCACTCCAGCTGCGACTCCTAGTGCCAGCGCTCCAGGAAGTGGCATTGTGCCAACGTTGCAGTGAGTATACTCTTGCTGTTCTTCTGGTTCACCAGAAATACTGAACGTGTAATTTTTTTCTCTTTCAAGAAACATTGTCGCTACCGTCAATCTTGACTGCCGCCTGGACCTGAAGACCATCGCGCTTCACGCCAGAAATGCGGAGTACAATCCAAAGGTATTATCTTCCACACCTCCCTGAGTTCTTTCGTCAGGGTACAGTGTGGCTGAACTGCTTTCTCTCACCTAGCGTTTCGCTGCCGTGATCATGCGTATTCGTGAACCGAAAACCACCGCATTGATCTTCGCCTCCGGAAAAATGGTCGTCACTGGTGCCAAGTCGGAGGATGACTCCAAACTGGCCTCCAGAAAATACGCTCGAATTATCCAAAAGCTTGGCTTCAACGCCAAGTTCACGGACTTTAAGATCCAGAACATTGTCGGCTCATGTGACATCAAGTTCCCCATTCGTTTGGAGGGTCTGGCTAGTCGCCACCACAATTTCAGTTCTTACGAACCCGAATTGTTCCCTGGTCTCATCTATCGTATGATGAAGCCCAAGATCGTTCTGTTGATCTTCGTCAGTGGCAAGATCGTCTTGACTGGCGCCAAGGTTCGCGAGGAGATCTACCAAGCTTTCGAGCTGATCTACCCTGTGCTTTCTGGTATGGTTACTTTTTCTGTGTCCTGGGATTTTGCACTAACTCTCTCAAGACTTCCGCAAGGTCTAAGGGCCTTTTTCGCGGCATGATCGCCTGCACGGGAGATCACTGTCAACAAAATCTGCCCTTCACGCTTTCACCATCTATGTATTAACAAAAATTTTCCCTTTGCTTTTCGCGAGGTTTGTATTAAGAGCAAGACGCTTCAACTCTGCTTGACCGTTCTTGTCTCGGACTCGCTCTTCACGATTTTTCATGCTAGCATTGTACGGCGTTATAGCGACTCGGAAGTTACCCGGTTGTTCTTTGTTTTTTTCCCCAACCTTTTTACAAATGTTTACAATTAGATAGTCGCACACTCCGCAGATTCAGGGGGGCGGAACTGTGCGCTGGTCGAATGGTTGCCTCCTTTTAATTACTTGCTTCGCCTATTGGCTCTGCTCTTTCATCGCGGCCCCCGTGCTCATGAGAGTGGCTCTTATTATTATTTTGATGTGGGCTCGGGATTCAATGGCTGCAACAAAAAAATATTGCACTTTAGATTATTCGTTTCCTTTGCGAGGGAATTCGTCGGGAGATTGACGATCGGGATGGAGGATGAGCTGCAACATTGCTTTGTATCAGTTCTTCTTTCATATGGTACCCCGATATGCCAGCAGAAAATGAAATGGAATTTAAAAATCTCTTCTCTTGTAGATGTTTCCACTGTAATCTTTAATATTGTAGGTCTTTAAGTTCCATCTCACTTTTTATAAAGTTGTGAATATATATACCTGGATTCGTTGATATCATGACATGTACGACGCATATATACAACCACAAACACACAACACATTTACAAAACACTACCTCTTCGTGCCTTCTTCGACTTGGCCAACTCCTCCATCAACAAAAGACCCTTTGCTCCAGACCGACTTCCATCCTCGGTCCCATCAAACGCAGCGCTATCCTGAGGCGCAGGCCATGCCCAGAGATCACACAGGCCAGACTCGAGAGTACCCTCCAGAGCATCGACGACTTTGTCGCCAATGACGGGGAAGAACTTGTATGCGTGACCGCTGCCGCCGGTAGCGAGGAACAGACCGGGGTGGTTAGGGTGGTAGGTTACGATGAAGTCGCCTTTGGGACTGTTTTGTTTGTCAGTTTCGCATGTACAAACGGGCAGATGGGTAAATGAGAGACTCACGTATCCGTGTACCAGCAGATTCGCGAATCGACAAACGGCCTATCCGCAAAACCGGGCAGTAACTGCTTCAGCGCATCCCTGAACGCCTCCTCTCCCTCGAGGGGAATCGGCACCCCCGTCTCCGGGAGACTAACCTCCATCTTTTCGTCCTTGGAGCCCGGCACCGGCACGGCCTTGGGGTTATGGTAGCCGTAGGCGTGGCGGGCGATTTTGAGCAGGTTATTCCGCGGCGGGATGATGAACATTCCTGTGGCGAAGTTGAGGAGGGTGGGCATGTGAGCGAGCCGTTCTTGTTCCTCGTCTGTGATGGTCATGTAGGCGATTGCTTGACCGGTTGAGATGGCGCGGCCGCGAAGGTCGACGAGCTTTGCCGTCCAGGCGCCGGTGGCTAGCACAACTAGGTCGGCTGTGAGGGTGGTGTTGTCGGACAGGACGACGCCTGTGGCTTTGCCAGTATCGTCGAAGAGGATGCGCTCGAGTTCGCCTGTTTGGAAGAGAACCTTGCCGTCGGCGTCGAGTCGCTGCTTGACGTATCGGACTCCCGCCTCGGCGTCGGACCAGCCAGATCCCCAATTCACGTAGCCGCCTGCTACATTCAGCTGTGATCCGAAGGCTGGGGCAGCCCGCAGCACGTCGGTCTTGCTAGGTAGCCATTCGACCTCGTCGCCGTAGATGGTCTTGACGTTGTTGTAGCTGTTCTCCACGTAGTTCTTGGTCACCTCGTACTCTTTTCCGGCGGGGTATACCAGGGCTAATCCATTCTGGGTGTATCGACCTTCAGCGCCCCATTCAGTGGTGCGCCAGCGCTCGACAGCCTCAGCGGCGAGGTTTGCGTAGGTTGCGTTGGAGTAGTCGGCTCGCACGATGCGCGAGGTGTCGACGGAGGAGCCGTGCGGGTTGGGGATTACGGGGGAGGCTTCGAGGACAGTGACTTGGCTGTTTGGGTGTCGTTGGGAGAGGGAGAGGGCTGTTGATACTGCAGGCTGTTAGCATGGGGTATATAAAAGATTCATTGTAGAATGAACAGACAATGTCAAGAACATTCCGGGGAATAGATAAATAACTCACAGCCAAAAACCCCACCACCCACGATCAAAATCTTCGGAGGCAATGCCATTGTCCGCTATTAGCCTGTATATATATCTTTAAAAATTATACAGAAAATCAATTGAGGCTCTCTCGAGCCAGTTTCTTCTCTCTTTGTGCAGTGTAAGAAGAAAGAGAAATTACCCCATATCTCAATCACCGACAAGTCACACTTTCGGGTCGCAGATCCGATAACGGCCAATTCGCTCGGCTTTTGGCTTTGAGAGCTGGATTTGCCCGAATCTCCAACATCCACGGGTTGGAAACATTCTAGAAGATCCTTCGACAATTCATTGTTTGGGTTGAGGGTGGAAGGTGGAGTTATTGTTTTCAATTGCTTTGTTTTATTGGCTTGCTGGGTTAATTCGCGATTTATGCTGGGACAACCAGCCGAATAAATATTTTGATATCGGATCACTTCTTCGGGATCGTTCCTCTGCCTTTTGACTTGATATCTTTGAATTGATATCGGTCCCAACCATCTCATCTCAATATGAGTGCCTCGAGGACAGGAAGGGCAGCGCTGAAAAAGGCCAAAGTGCCTGTCACCGGCACACAGAGAACGGGCAAAAATCCCGTCGCAGAGAGTTTACAGTGAGTGTCGACGATATATCCCATACGATTGATATGTCTGTCTAACATGACTAGTAAACCTGCTCTCCCAAAACGGGCCAACCCGCATCTAACAAACATCAAACCAACACCAGAGCCCAGTCGAATGTCTCCTAAGATGATGACGTTCCTAGGGGTGGGCGTGCTCGGGATGAGCGCGTACTGCGGCTTTCTCTACGCGGCGTACAGACGAGAAGTATCTGAATCGCAATCCATGGACGTGCCCAAGGATGTATCAAGCCGGTACAACCAAACGGCTCGGACCTTTGACGCAGACGTGGAGCTGTCCGAGAAGACGATGCGCATGGGGACGAAGCGCGCGAATCTCATCGCGTTGGCGCGCGGCGACGTGCTGGAGGTCAGCTGCGGCACAGGACGTAACTTGGAGTACTACGAGCTAGGGGAAAGGAGGGGATACGATGAAGAAGGACGGGCAAGTACGCGGGGCTGCAGGTCAGTGACGTTTGTCGATCTCAGCCCGGAGATGGTCGCGATTACACGCGAGAAGTTTGAGAAACTGCACCCGGGGTATGAGAAGGTGGCTTTCCGGGCTCAGGACGCGGGGCGGGTAGATGGTGCGCCTCCTTCGTCGTCGTCGAGGGGATGTTGCTACGATACAGTTGTGCAGACCATGGGGCTCTGCTCGATGCCAGACCCTGCGGGGACGCTTCGCCATCTGGGCTCGATTACGGAGCCGGAGAAGGGGCGGATTCTACTACTGGAGCATGGGCGTTCGCACTACGGGTGGTTGAATGATATCCTGGACAATCTGGCACCAGCGCATGCGGACCGACATGGGTGTTGGTGGAACCGAGATATAGGAGCGATAGTGAAGGAGAGTGGGTTGGAGATAGTCGAGGAGAAACGATGGCATTTTGGGACGACATGGCGATATGTATTGCGGCCAAGTACTTCGAGGTAGGCCGACTGCTATTGGTGTATTAATACTGTATATCATAATTATGAGAAAGTTACTCGTACAAGTGGATCTGGTGACGTCTTACAATATATGGAGAGTTTGTAGGGACAAAGGGCTTTGAAGGTAAAAGGATATCATGACGTCTTTTGCCCCTATACCAACCCCACATGGATATCGCGACGATCGCAACCACGGGAAGAACAGACCATAGTTCACCCATTCATCATGAGCCATTATTCAGTATCTTCTGTATAGGCTGTACTATGTGAGGAGTAAGGAGATCAAAAGGTTGATAAACGTCAACATGGCGTTATGCATGCGGGGTTCGTGTACAGCGGAGGATACAAAGAGTACAGGTAGGTAATAATCTATCCCCTGCAGAAAAACTGCAGATATACATACATCGAATATAATAGATATATCATATGATAATAGTATCTCAAAGATGAATGAAGACACCATAGAAGATAGAACAAGTGTCAGAGGGCGGATGCATGTTGGATTCCGGCTGGAAGAGGCCTATCAAAATGGACTGCAGGGATGAACCGGAGGCATACATAAATTACCTCTTGCATTTAACCTGTCAATCATAGGTAGTAGGAGACTGTCCTGGCAACAGACAAGGGGCAAACAGGAATGAGGCCTGTTTGTGCTTGATATCCCTTGCTGGCCTATTATTTACTGTAGAAGCATGTAGATGGATTATGGATGGACAAGCATTTACATTCTTTGTTATTGTTACTTTATTCTGTCTACTCATCTATCCACTCTTTACTATCTATCTATCTATCTATCTATCATCTCATAGATCTGAATAGATCTGTAGTCTGTAGTCTACTCTGTAGAATCGACCTGTCACTTCTAGTCACCCAGTGGCAACAAACAATCGACTGCTTTCCTCTTTTCTGCTAGCTCGACTCGTCTTTCCTAATCCCCTCCGGCGTTTCTTCTGCCCCATCCGATTGGATTCCTGGGTCCAGCTGCTAGTAGACCCACCTCCTGATATATCATTGGCCAAAAGACCTCTCAAACGGCGACGCTAGGAACGATTTTCCTTTGGAACCGTCTTACCGGGTGGGCAGCTCTGCGGGCACTGATTGGCTACTAGGTTTAGCGTGCTCCGTTTGTTTTCTAGCCCTGTTTCTGTGGAATTTTCAGCTCGACTTGATGTGGGTGTTTGGGTCTGCCGAGGATAAGTAGCTGACTTTATTATTATTCCTGTTATATATAGAGAGTTGAATAGTAGAATGAGGTGAGATCATATGAATAATAATATAGTACATAGTAGCCTACGAGTACTACCTTAGGTATAAGTACATAGTACTGTATGTATGGAGTCTCCGTTGCTGGCTGCCTACATCTGCAGCCATGCAGAATCCAATGATCGCAAACGCCTCAACCAATCATCTCCCCCCCAGATCCATACCGGTCGTCATAGACACATGGCATCCACCCGTCGTCCCGTATGAAGTACTTTTTTTTGCCTCCCATCTTTTTCGGTGATTACTAGTTTGGTGGTTAGTGGTAATTCGGGCCAGCCTGACCGCCTGTAATCTACATCCGCTAGTACGACATCTCCCGTTCTCCGTTCTCAATAAATCCCTGCAGCTGCAGTTGTCGGCCCCCCTAGTACTGAGATCCCAGGAGTCTCACGGCGGTGTAGAAAAAATTGGGTGTTGTTTACTTGTTGCGACGTGACTACCAGACAGTAGTGGGTTTTTTTTAGTTTCTGTTTGATGCGATGGAGGTGTGGATGAAAAAAATAAAATAAAAACAAACATGAAAAATAGGGAAAAAGGAATAAAAATGGAATAATGGAAATTGTTCGGAAGACATCCATCGTCCGTCGTTACTGTCCGTTCCATACATTCTTGGAAAAGGAAAATTAAAAAAAAAAAAAAAAAAAAAAAAACCAACAAAAATCAAACAGCCCCATTTTGCCTCACAGCCAATAAGCGACCGTCCAAAAAACCCGCCTACCTATTCATTTTTTCTCTTTTTGCCATTTCAAATCGAATCTGCTAAAAAGAAAAAAAAGAAAAAAAAAAAAACCAAAACCCCATTGATTCCTCAGGCTGCCTCTGCTCCAGCCAACCAACGAACATGATCTGATTATTGTTTAATTGAATCTGGTCTGTTTCCTGCCGTCGCCCCGGCTGTATCTTCTTCGTCTGTTCTTCTGTCTTTCTCTCTCTCTCTCTCTCTCTCTTCCTCTCCTCCATCCCATTACTTTCCCCCCTCCCCCTTTACCTTTACTTACTCTTACAGACATCCTCACCTTACTATTATTCCCTCCCCTAATACTCACTCCCCTTCCCTTCCCTTCCCTCTTCTCACCTCCCCCTCCTGTTATTACTATCTACCTCCTGTTTTATTGTTCTGTTATTAGTACTATCTTATTATTGCTATTTATTTCTACTACACTTTCCTTCTATATCACATCATGCCTTATAATACCCGTCGAAAGTCGTTGTCGCTTCCGTCGCTGGGTATTCACCTCCCCAACTCTTCCCGTCGTTCGCCTTCCGCCTCCAAGCCGCTTGCGACGGACGATCAACTGCCTCCGTCTAAAAAAGTAAAGAGGTCGCACGACTCCATCTCATTATCGCCAGAACGCTCTGTCTCCCCCACCTCGTCTTCCAACAACGTCAAGGAGCATTTGGCTGCTGCCGTGCGTCGGCGCGGCGCTTTCGAGCATACGCCGCCACCTTCGCCTACCGATGCTGTCGCGCCCAAGATCGATACTGAGGGTATCAACGATGACATTGTGGTTGGGGTGATTGAGCAGCTGGAGAGCACGGGCAACCGTCCCCATCTGGTCAAGGAGCTGGCTGCCGTTCTCGTCACTCTCAACGAGAACGTCGCAAAGTATGTTTGTCTTTGTTACATCTGATCGATCTATCGCTAACGGTTGTCGCTTTAGTTCTGCCAACCCCGCCGCTCTTCTTTCTTCGCGCCTGAGCGCGTATATGAAGCGTCCTTGGACTGCTCTGGCTCCCTGCCCCATCGCCAAGGAGCTTATCCCCATTCATCCTCGCAAAGTGTACTACTACCTCACAACATTACCTCGCCAACCGCTTCCAGAGAACTCGGATGATGTGATTATCCCGAGTGTCGATGGCAAGCACATTACCCCCAGTGTGTCCAGTGTCGACCAGGACGAGGAGGACGCGTACACGCGCCAACGTTCCCCTAGTCCCGAAGTCGACCTGTCGTCACCGGATTTTGAGGATGAACACATGGGTTTGAACGGTCGCGCTGGCCCTGGTGGCTCCGCAAGGCACGGCCAGGACTTTTCTGATCACCACAACTCGGCGCGCCTGATGCACTCGAATCGTGCCGCCTCTCCGCCGCTCGAGGGTGATGAGAAGGAGTTCACCCAGACCGCCAGTGCCGTTCGCGAGCGGGCCTCGGAGCAAAAGACCACCCAAATGGGAGCCGGTCTGTCCGCCATTTCAGAGGGGCTTAGCGCGATGGAAGATGGCAGCATGGTTGTCTCCAACTCTTCCGAAGACGACAGCCCGCTTTCATCTTCCATTAGCAGTGACCGCATGTCTGATGATGAATATGGCGACTACTTTTCGCATGTTACCTCTCATGAGCAGGAACAGACTGGTGACGAAGCCGCAGTTGCTGCTCTCTTTGGCACCTCGCCTTCTCCGTCTCTTACCTCGGTCGCATCCTCGCTCTCGTCTGGCACGAGTGTCGCCTCGGATGCCGGTATGGACCCCGAGGAGCCCATTGACAGCATCGTGACTGCGCCTCTGATCAGCTTGCCCGAAGACCCCGTGGCTTCCGTCTCTTCTTTAAAACGGTCGATCGACATGTTGAACAGCGGACTGCCAGATGTCGACATGAAGATGTCGGATCTGGTTGACCACGAGGATAAGCTGTCTCTCGGAACAAGACCGACTTTCAAACCCGATGTTGACATGGTCTTCGACCCATGGAGAGAGATGCAGAACCCGGAGACCGTGGAGGTCGATGAACTTGACGAGATGTTTGGAGAAATCTAAACGCAATCTCGTCAGGAAAACCAACTCGATACATTCGCCGTTGATCGATCTGGTGTATCGAGGTTCTGTTCTTGATGATTCCATGTTATAGAAGGGGATACGGCGTCACTTCTGGGGTTTGAGCCATCTGCATTCGTCTTTGAACTCTGTTCATCTCCACTCTCGACTCGACAAGTTTGCTTGCAAACTCGATCTCGATTTACTGATTGTACCATTGATCCTTACGCGCATTTTACCCTTGCGTTTTCTGTTTAATCTTGTACATGTCTATCTAATGCTCGCTTTCCGCGTCTTGCCCCGTCTTGCTTTACCCTTTTTTTTGCCGACGGGGCTTCTTGTATATATACCTTTTTTTCCCGCGCTGTTGTTTGGGTTCTGTATCTATTTTGTGTTTTTTTTTTTTGTTATTTCCTTTGTCGATTTCCTTTGTTATTTCCTTTGTTTTAAAAGGTGTTCCTCAGGCTAGGATTGTGGGAGAAAAGAGACCTAAAGATGGTTGACGTTTTTCCTTGTTATTATTTTGCCACGGTCGAGAAAAAAAAAGATATCAAACGAGAAGAAAGAATATACGATACCGTGATGAGAAAGAAGTCAGGGACAAAAAAGAATGGGAGGAAAAGATTTTGATCTGCTCATGTCTATGGATGTCTGTCATGTATGTTTAGCGCCTGTGGGTCTTGACTCAATCTCAATAATGCTTCAAGATTCAATCTTCAATTTTAACACAGTAGATGTCTTTCATTCGTAGTTGATATTGTAATGGTTGATGATGTTATTCCATCTCAATCGATCTGATCATCATCAGCCACTGACTCAACACTCGTCATCGTGACCCATCAGCAGGAGAACAATGCGATTCAAAGCCTCCAAAGCCAAACATGGCTCTATCCCAAGGCACGCAATAAACCGACCCATTCTTATCGGTGCGGGGCTTATCTAATCAGCCGTTGACGAGCCGGTCAATTCATCTCATCTCGCCTTTTCTTCCTCCATCTCTCTCCATTACCCCTTGAATTTGCCACCGTCAAAACATCAGAAGCACGTTCTCTTTCATCTGGAACTGTTGTGCTGCAGCGTTCCGTTGCTTCTCAATTTCTTCTTTCTGCACCATGATTGTTACACGGGCCTGGATGCATTTCGCTGCGCACCCGATTTCCTAGTGTATCAAAACTAACACTAAACGGTCTGCGATCTTTTTTTTTCTAGACCTGGCCATCGGCACTCGAATACTCGCGCTGTTCCATCTCTATTTTGTCATTCACTACGTTTTTTTTTTTTTTTTTTTTTTTGCGCTTCGTGTACTTTCATTTATATTTGCGTCAGGAATCATTGCCGTCCCGCCATGGAAACCCCCTCCAATCTCCCGCAGCACGACGGCTTCCCGTCGCGGGGTGAAATGCCCATCCAACAAGCCGAGCGCGATCTCAACATTCTCCCCACTTCGAATCTCCCCTCCCTGCCAGGCACATCGACGGAAATGCCAAATGGAATCAGTTCGTCCTCGACGCCTCCGCCGGCCGTGAATAAGAAACAACTCATCACGAATACCAAGGTTGCGATCCCCCGCCAGCGATCGAGCGCCGCCCCGCGGTACAACCGTCGAGTTCCGCGGGCGTGTGAATCGTGTCGCCATCGCAAGACGAAATGTAGTGGCGATACGCCGATTTGCAGACAGTGCAAGGAGTTGAGGGTTTCGTGTCGGTATCCGGTGTCGTGGAGGGAGAGGACGAAGAGGTTTGTTCTTCCGTTTTTCACTCTTGTTGGTTATTGGATATAAGGATCTTTGACTGATATGCATTTGGAATAGTCAATTGCAGAAGCTTACTTTGAAAGCTGACGAATTCGAAAACTTGTTGAAAGAGCTTGGTCATGTGGTTGATGGTCGAATGTCGGATCGGATTAAGAACTTGCTTGATAGGGTTCGGCTGCATTCCTTTGCTTTGTCTTTATTTCTCGTCAATCTAACGTTGAATAGCATTCCGAAGGCGATAGCTCTTCAGCTGACCCTCAGTCAAATTCGGTAACGCCTCAAGATGACTGTATGGACCAGTATGAACCATCATCCCCTTCATCGATTGGCTCGCTAGACGCTATTGACCGGGTCGAAGAAGACCTCAATCGAACAGAGAGTACCAGGGCTACGGGATATATGGGAAAGAATTCAGAGGTCACATGGATGCAGAGATTGCGAAAAGAGGCCGAGCAGCGTGCCCGGAAACAGCCAGGGACGTTTGAAGCCGAGCCTGAAGGCGACTTCGCTCTTCATTCAGTGAACTACCATCTGGATGACATGGATATCTCTGTGCCCGGGCCTGTGAACGTGTACTGGATGCCGCCCCGCGAGCTGGCAGATAAGCTCTTCGATGACTATCTCACGACGGTTCATCCGTTCTTCCCCATCATCGGTCGAAGTCTTTTCTGTGCGCAGTACAAAACTTTCTTCGAAAGCTCCGCTCGGCCTGGTGATAAGTGGCTGGCTATTTTGAATATGATTTTCGCCATTTCTTCAAAACATGCCCACTTGACACAGGCGCCGTGGCGTGGCGATGAACAGGATCACCTGGTGTACTTGACCCGGGCCCGCATTCTCAGTATGAACGGAGACGTGCTATTCAGCCATCCTGATCTCCAGCAGGTACAGGTCGAAGGTTTGATTTCATTCTACCTGCTTGCGTCCGATCAAATCAATAGGTAAGGATGTCCGAGTTTGGATCTGCGTTGAAAGAGTCTAATGATGTTTTAGAGCGTGGAGGATTGCAGCCCTAGCCGTGCGCTCTGCAATTACTCTCGGTATTAACATGAAGAATACCGGAGTATCAATTTCCGGTGTATCAAAAGAGGCACGCTATCTCGTCTGGTGGTGCTTGTATACCTTTGAGCATATGCTTGGAATAATGACCGGAAGATCAACCTGCATTCTGGATGGTGTTTGCACCACTCCTTTGCCCCTTCCCTTTGAAGAAGACCAAATGCAAGGACCAATGGCAGTTGAACTCCTTGCTGACATGGAACTTCGCGAGAAATATGTCGGAACTGTGCTGGCAAGTTCCTGTGTCCGCCAAACGTCCTTGAACCCGCTAGATGGTAGAACCGCCAAGTCAACTGACAATCCACGGGACGTCTCGTGGCTGAAGAGCTTGCCGCCATCCATGGCATTGTGTTACACTTATTATGCTGATCTCACAGTCGTCAGCCAGGAAATCGTGAATCGGGTGTATTCACCGGACTGCGCCATGACGCCATGGGCACACATTGAGAATCGCATCGGAGAGTTGAGGGCTAGAATTGACCTCTGGTACTCGAGTCTTCCGGAGTCGTTTGATTTCGTACGCAAGAGGGATGCAGATCCAGACATTCTTCGTGGCAAGGTCTTCCTGGCATTGCATTACTATAGTGCGCGGATTACACTCGGACGTCCGTGCCTTTGTCGCCGCGATGCTGGCCAGGCAGGACCTAACGAGAAGTCAACTTTCAGCCATGAAATGGCGGTGATTTCTTTGGAATCTGCCATGAAAATGTTGGACCTGGTTCCGGATGAGCCAAACGCTATCCAGCTTTACCAGATATGCCCTTGGTGGTGCGTGTTGCACTACCTCATGCAGGCTGCAACTGTTCTTCTCCTCGAGTTGTCATTTGGCAGCATCCATATGCCGGAGCATGAGAACGAAATTCTTCTTGTAGCCAAGAAGGCGATCCGCTGGCTGTATTCCATGTCCATGTCGAGTGTTGCGTCCCGTCGGGCCTGGCAACTGTGTGATAGCAATCTCAGACGGATCGCTATTGGAATGAACTACGACATAAGCGACATGCCTATGTTTGTCTATGAGTCAAAACCCAATCGACCCATCGACACTAACGTTTTGGACTCCAGGCAGTCGAACTTTAACTCGACGGGCATCCCTCTATCCCAGAATGCAGCCTGCGAAACCCAGCCGCACGATGCGTGTCAACTCAACCCGACTCTCCCGGAATACCCAGGGCTGTCAGCAGGTGACTTTGTGCCTATATCTCATGCTGAGATACCTGCTGGAGGTGACGTCTACTTCCCTTACGACCCTATCAGTGGGGAATTCATCCGGTCCTTTTTCCCTACTTCTACAGAGGAAGAACCATGGGACCAACAGCCATGGAGAAACTGATCTATTGACCTATTTACTCTGTTCTTTTCTTCTTTTCTTTAAATCATTATCAGGATACTAACAAGCTTATCTTCTTTTCTGCTGACACATTCTTTTTCAATCCCCCTTTTTCTTTGTCTTTTGCGTATACCTATGAGCATTTCAGTCATCACTTAAGTTTCAACAGGTATATTGTTTTCTCCCAAATTATTCTTTGTTTAAATCAGTGGTGCATACATATGGGATGGAATGGAATGGGATGGGAAGGCCATGTCTTTTTTTCAAGTTCAGGGTTCAATCAGGATCAGGTTCGGTAGATGGATTATGGGTGGTTGGATGGAGTTTTGGTGTCTTCTGTCTTGCTTTTTTTCATTTCAACCACATCACAGATTGGATTTGGTGTATGGATGGGTCATGATATCTAGGCCTGAATGGGTTGGACTATCATGGCTTTTGGTCCTTGTTATTTACACGGACTACTTATAGACGACAATTTACATGTCATTGAATATACTGTTAATAGTTCCAAGAGAAAGAAGTATACAATGAAATCCTAATGGGTCTAAATATGGGGTATATATTCTGTTAACGTGATATGACAAGTAGATATATAGTACAGATAGCGACTCAATAGTAGCGTAGTAGTTAGTGTCTTATACAAAGAACAATCAAGCGACAATACCCTTCTTCCATAACCTCCGGTTCAACAACCCCTCCGTCTTCATCCGACTCAAATGCCCCTGCGTTTCACGCTCAATCTCCTCGTCTGGAAGACGAAGGGTCTTGAACTGCTGGACGCAGAAAGTCAACACTTCTTCTGGTGTCTGGCCGGATTCGGTGCCCGGTGAAGACAGTGTCTGGGTCTCACTGGATTTCGGATCGGTGAGTTTCCGGGCCTGGTCTTGATTATATTCCTTCACGGCTGTTTGGGCGATGATGCGGACGGTGTTGAGGTTGGGGATGGTGGCTCGCTTGCGGAGTTGTTTGAACCATGCTGCGTCGAAGTGTGGGTCGCCGCGTTTAGGGTCTCGTTCTTTGAATAGGTATAATCGGGACACGCCGCCTTCGTGGAGGCGACGGCCTGCGGGAGACATAGGATCGAGACACCAGCGTTGCCACATCTTTTTGCCAGCGGCGCTGCCGTGGACGTCGACGACGGCGGAAAGGAGGTTGTGGAAGGAGATGGTGGGGATGTAGGGGACTGCATTGTGGGAGGTGGTGGGTTTGTAGGTGAGGTTGACTTGCTGGGCGAGATCGCGGAGAGGGCCGGGAATGGACATGAAGATGCGGTGGAGGCCGAGGAGCGCGTGTTGTTGGAACTTGTTTCCAGACATGCGGGAGGACAGCTCGCTGAATTCGCCGTTGAAGATTCGGAGAAGGATGTCCTTTGCTTGGGCTAAGGATTTTTCCCTCCTCTCTACATTGGCTGGATCGGATTCACGCTGAAGGGCCCGGTCCATTCTGAGAATGGCACCTGCCAGGGTGGTGACATTACTGTGACTCCATGACTTCAACCGGTAGTCGCGGAGGTAATTGAGCATCATGACCACTCGATCCCAATCGCCCATGACGATTCGGAAGTTCAGCAACGCCCGCAAAGTGTTCGAGGACAGGGGCTGGGAAAGAGACGCGATTACTCGGTTGCAGAGGGGGGTGTTTTTCGTGGCAACTGCAAATCGGAGAATGGATGGTGCTAGAGCTTGGTTCCCATAGGAATCGGGATGAATGGGGGGACCGTCCACGTCATTAGAGAAAAGCAACCATTCACCAAATGGAAACGCTCGTGATGCAGTGGCTAGGTCAAGCAATTCTGCAAAGGTGACACTGGACAGTTGTGGCAGTGAAGACTCAAAGAACCTGCTGGAAACAGATTCACGGAAGTCAAAAGATGGTTGATCATCTTTATGAGAACTGTTCAAATGCTGGAAGAACTGATTGATCCGCTGCAACTTGCTCGAATCAACCACCTCTTGTAGCCAGGCAAGTGTGTCGAAGGCAGCCCCGGATTGCCGCTGAGAGGAATAGAAGCGGATGTTGTATTCGATCAGGCCAGCCAAGGCGGATGTCTCATGGTAAAGTTGTATAGGCGTTGTCTGTTCCAGATCCTCTTGAACGATAGGCAAGTCTGCATCCCAAGGCGGTACGACATGGGGGTGGAAACGAAGTAGTCGTTCGAATGCTTGCGGGTCCACCTCAGGGTCTAAGCCTCCTGATTGAATGACACGGGCGGTAAATGAATTAGATGCTTTGGTTGTTGGTTGAAACTTTTCATTATTCACGCTGGTAGGTGCCATGAGAGAGTCAAGACGAGAAACATGTTGCAGAAGAGCAGTTGGAGAAAGCCCGCGAAAGCCTAGTCCCAGATAAACCAAGTTTACAAGGCTATCCCGTAGCGAAGCAGCGACTTCGACACTGATCATTCGCTTCCCCAGTCCGTGGAAAGGAGAAGGAGAATTGCGCTTTTTTGGTGATGTGTCGGTCGTGGCATGATCAGGGCGACGCCAGACTTCCTCCAAGTCTATGTTTGTTTTCCGTACAAGCTCAGGGTGTTTAAGCAGAGGCCTCCAGCTTTGAAAATTCCATGTCAAGTCACCTGTCCGCTCCTTCATTCGCTCTAATAGCCATAGCCCTTCTCTGACATGTCCATGCTCAATACAGCACCAGAGGATAAGTTCCAGCCAGATTTCTGGGCCCAGTTCTCGCACACCCATTTTCAAGGGGACATATGGAGATTCCTCACCCGCAGCAGCAGCTTTGGCAGCAACTTCGGCCTCATGTACCAGCCAAGCCGCGTCGGACAGGACGCTCATTATGTGGATTGACAGTAAATGCATACCCGGAGGACGAAATGGTGCCTCGACGCTATCTGGAGGAGCGTATTGGTAAACTTTGTCTGAGATGGCTCCCGAATGATGCAAACGAGCTAGAAGCTGAAAGACATAAGACATGGCCAGCTTCGACTCATTTGGTGACAACTCTGATGCTTCCAAAACAATGGACCCAAGACTCTGCCATACTTCTGCCATGAAGCGCAACGCAAGGTCTCCAGCAAAAGGCCGCTCTGTCAATTCATCAAAACATAGGCTCTGCGAATTCCGTGTGACTTCGACAGCCCCAGGCTCAGTAGGAGCACGGGTGAGCGCATCAAGAGAAATACCCGACTTCAGGCCCCAATCAAGGCTTGAAGGAGGGCGAACAGATACGGACTCTTTGTGGAGAGCCTCTGCGGCATCCAGTAACTGGCTGAAGAGTGCATGTACAGCAGGCCATCTATTCAACCGGAAACCGAGATGGGCGAGAAGATCCAGATTTGCACTATTTCTCGCTTGATATAAAAGTGTAGCCAGTTCATACCCCTGTGCGTGTTTCTCCCCGAGTGTGTCCGACTCAGGTTCTACGGCGACGGCGTCTTCGGGGTTATTCCGCAACGACGGAGGGAGATGTTTCTCCAGAAGCGGAATCCATGCATTGGGGTCTTTCTGCCGTGATCCCACGACCGGACAATTCGACAATTCACCTCGAAAGTATCGGCGCAGCGACAAGCGGTCGGCGAGGGCCGGGGACCCGGCGGAGAACTGGCGACTCCATTGTCGCCGGCCCGGGGAGGTTCTCCAGCTCGGGATTCCTCGACAGAGCGAAGGTCTCAGTAAACGACGAGCGGAGATAGCTGGGTGATGTAACGGGGAAGAATGGTGGCCCAGATACGGCAGACGACCTGGACACAGGCACTTTTTCATGACACGGCGGAGGATCTAGCAGACAAGACCTGCGGAAGAGGAATCCAAATCTCGATGGGGTCGGAGGGACGTGTGTGGCGCATATCTCATCATTCACAGGTACACATTTCACGGAATTCGTAGAAGAAATGTGGAAGTCCCCTGTCCAAAGACACAAAGAGTTTGTGGTGATGATCGACTGGAGAATTGGAGAAAAGAGGAAGAAAATAAAATCATCGCCGGAGGACGAGAAGGAGCAGCTCCACTTAGTCAGCACCGCCAGCCGGCCAATCAGAGTGCGCGCATATCTACAACATCCACAGCTCCAACTGCATCCATCTTTGAGGATTATCAGCAAAAGAGCCTGACGGTAGAGCAATACAGCTCGTTGGGATTGTGCTGTCCAGGGAGAAATTCAGTGGAGCAGAAACAACCAAAAGTATATACTCGAATTGACTATCAACAATTTCAAAAGGTATAGGGATCATAATCAAATCAGCAAGAGCCCAGCTGCCAGAGCGCCATTGCCATCACCAAACACAAGTTTCCCAATAAAAACAGAGAAAAAAAACACGATCCCACCAATCACTCCAGTAGCATCAAGGAAATACATATACCAATGTGTGGGCTCATACAGCCGAAAACAATGAACTCAACTTAGCGCAATCATCAGTCATGACACGAAACACCATCACAAAGTGCGAACTTTCTAGTTCTCTTCGTATTCATAGTCTTCGGCAAGCTGCATTTCTCCCCCAAGCTCTTGCTCTACCTCGTCAACGACGAAACTCTCGTAGTCTTCCAGGCCCTTTTGAACGTGGACCTTGAATCGGATCACGTCATTCAGCATGCTCTCCACATTTGTGTGCAGCTCTTCCCGCAGTGCGTTGGCCCGAAGAGTTAGTTGTTCGTATTCGATGTTGGTGTTCATCTCTCGCTGCTCCATCAGCTGAACGCTTTCGCTTAATGTCGCGCGCATCTTGGCCAACTCTTTCTCCATCTTCTCGATCTGCGCATCTGACGCGAGCTTCTGCGTGGTTGTGATCTCTTTCGTTCGTTCAAATTCCTCCTCTGCCGCCCGTCGTCTGTGTTCCAATGCCTCAACTTCGCTGCGCTTCTCGTCCATAGCTTCCTTGATATTGTCTAGGAGGTTACGACGTTCCAGGTCATCGTCGATAGCCTGTTTCCGGCGTTCGTTGACTTCCTTCCGTAGTGACTGAAGGCTGCTGCGAACAACTCCTCTGAGATCCAGATTCAGCAAATGAGCAGGGTGATACCCAGTGAACGGTTCTGCCAGAAGTCGATCTCCCTCGGGAGAAATCCTGTTGGGCATTCCACCGATCTGTGATGCGGAAAAGTTGTTCTCGTTGACGTTGAGCCCAAGTTCAAATTCCTGACCTTTCGCGTTGACGGCCGAGGAAGGAATCAGACTGTTTTGATAGCCAAGAGTATTGTAGGCTTTTACAATCTGTTCCAGATCTTCCAATTTCTGACTGGCTTCAGCCTCCTTTTCCATGACCCGCGAGTGCGCTTCCTCCAGTCGGCCCATGGTGTCTTCGAGACTCTTCTGAAGCCGCTCTCGTTCCGTATTCATACGATCAATGTCCTGAATGGTGATGCCCTGTCTGTCAACACTGGCCTGCAGACTAGTTCGCTCTTCCTCCGCCGCTTGAAGATCTGCCTCGGTCTTGCTAATCTCATCGTCCAAGAACTTGTTTCGATGTTCGTACTTTTCGATCTTGCCTTGGACATTCTGGTTGTAATCCTCAAATTTCCTCTTGTCATCCTCGAGAATGCGGAAATGCTTGTCCAGCTTGGCCATGTCGGGAGCATTCTTCTCCATCTCTTCAATTTGATCGCGTAGTGCCCTATTTTCGGCTTCCAAAGATTCCATCTCTTGAACATACTTCTCGTTTCCTCTTTCAAATTCCTGGGCCATCGCTTCGACATGGGGAACAAGCCTTTGCCCAGCTGTATCGTCATCTTCATCCTCACCGCCTTGTAACCAGTCGTGGTACGCTCCAGTCAGGAAGCGGAAGATGATACGGTCCCCTGAGACGTCCACGCCCATCTCCGCACAAGCCTCATCATACTCTCCCAAGAGAAAACGATCCATCATTTGCGCTAGTTGCATTAGCCAATGCAGCATACCAAGGAATGTAGACCAGTTTTGCCCGCCGACTGCTGCAATCTGGGATTTTGTGATACCCTTTTCGTAGGGATAACGCAGCTGTTTCAAGATTGGAGGTACTTCAGCATCCATTGCCTTTTGAAACTTGTAGCCCGGATCGATTCGATGGTATAGCCACTGGAAGATGAAGTTGAAATCTTTTTGTGTCGGCGACCGGAGTGTATTCTGGCTCAAGGAGTGCTTCATCTCCAGTTCAAAATTGTTATGGGTTAGATACTCCAACAACTCCTGTCCAATTCTAGCCTGGAAAGATCGGTCTCGCAAAGGTCGTGGATCCCTAGGAACACCAGCTGCTGTAGGAACTTGGGTGAAGAAAGATTGGTGGCCACCCATATGGGCCCCCACGCCCATGGATGGTCGCGAAAACACGCTGCTTCTCCTCTGCAAGTTCTGAGACGCGGAGTTGGATGACATTGATCCTGGTGCATAGCTTTGACGCCCGGCCCCGACACCGGAGTGGAAGATATTACTTGAAACAGATCGACGGACAGATGAAAGGCCAGCATCAGCGCCAAACCCGCCAGATGAGGACCGCTTGAAATTGGGTTGCTGAGGACGACTCGCAGAGTTCATCAGCGACATCGATCGGGTGTGCTGGGAGGTAAATGGCGGGTTCTGGAATCCGATAGAGCTGGTGCGCTTTAAAGCCGATGAAGGTTGAGGCAGGGCGCTCCCCATAGCCATTGACTATATTAGCAACAAATAATGTCAGCATCTCTTCTGACAAGCTTCGCGGATATACGGGCCATAAGCAAGGGTTTTCCATACGTCTCTGGGGCGCTTGATGCTGAACAACCCTGTATCATGCGACATGGTTCAGAGGGGCCGCGACAGCGGCTGTTGTCGTGATGACTGAAGCAAAAGATGTATGATTCGAGTCGCAAGAACGGGCTCTCGAATTTAATAGCAGTAAACCAATAATCCAAACAAGTTGCTGTGATGAAAGGCGGGCACACCAAAAGCGAAGCAAAAAACGAACCCCCGAGCGGTGCAACAACAGAGAAAACGAAGAAGTAAACAAGACATGCCACTTCGTCCCGAAGCAGAAAGCGGTGGCGGTACGGAACAACCCTTCCGCCGGGAATCACGAGACTCTGGGGAAGCTCCGCCTGCGCAAGTCGCCGGGCGACAATCCCGAGGTCCATTTCGCTCGGTGCCGATGGCCATCTCCTCTCCATCTCTCCTGTCCATCCACGTTCATCCATCCATCCATTCCTCCATTCCCTGTCTTCTTTGCTCCCCCGTGGATGTACATTGAGGATATTTTCTTCATTTAGTGGGAGGACTCGTCATCATGGCTCGCGAGGAGCTTGTCTCCTCTGCTGTATGTTCCGCTTATCTATCTACCCCAATATGCAATACATTGACTGACGAAATGGTTTATCTGTTAGGTTACTTGTGCGTTATACCCACGACATTGCAGATTGCGTTGATGATGTCTAATTTCAAACAGTTCTTCAGGATCCCTCGGTAGCTTCGTCGCCGGTTGAGAAGAGAATCGCATTCCTCCAGTCGAAGAACCTGACGCAAGAGGAAATTGACCTCGCCCTCTCCCGGACAGGGGAAGACTCCTCCGCTGTCGCTGCACCTTCATCGCAAGGGTATTCTCCACCGCAACAATCTGTCTATCGTCCCCCTCCTCCCCCAGCCCAAGGATATGGGTACCCTCCATATGGCCAATGGCAACCCCCACCTCCAGAGTGAGTATACTACTGAATCCTCGGAGATGAAAGAGTTGTACTAATCTTACAAATACAGACCCCCAAAGAGGGATTGGCGTGACTGGTTCATCATGGCGACAGTGACTGGTGGTGTGGGATATGGTCTGTATTTCATTACAAAGGTATTTTGGTCGTCGACTCCATGATTAACATTACATTAACGTATTTTCCAGCGCTACATTTCGCCCTTGATTTCACCTCCTACTCCTCCGCAATTGGAGCAGGACAAGGAAAACATCGATGAACAGTTCTCTCGCGCGTTTACTCTAATTGAGCAGCTTTCTACAGACACAGCAGCCCTGAAGTCGGCCGAAGAAGCTCGATCGGAACGACTGGATAGTGCTTTGCGGGAGGTTGAGAACCTTGTGACTGATTTGAAGTCGGCTTCTCGTCGCAGAGATGATGAAACACGCCGGATCAGCGACGAAGTGAAATCATTAAAGGACGCTATCCCCAAGGCTATGGAAGGAGCCCGCGAAGGCAACGAGAACCGGTTGAGAGAGCTTGGAACAGAGCTCAAGAGCCTGAAGACTCTTCTAGGTAACCGACTCGGTGGCAGTGGTGGAGCCAGTTCCCCTATCTCTGGAAGAACAGGCGGAGCAACTACACCTGTGCCTGCTTCAAACCTGCCTACCGCCTCTGCCGCCGCCACGAATGGTGCGACAGCAACCCCCACTGAACAGAGCTCGCCGTCCTCCCCGGCTGGAGCTGCCCCGGCGACAACGAACCAGGGCACGGGATCTGTCTCCAACAGCCCCCTGTCGCAGCTTGGAAGGTCTGCTTCTATCCCTGCCTGGCAGATGGCTGCTGCCAACCGTTCCAAGAGCACACCACAACCCCCAGCTCCCACTGTTGAAGACACCACACCCAGCACAAACTCTGAGCAGCAGAGCGCCCCGGCCAGCTAAACAACCTGTTACGACTAATTTATTTTCTGCTTTTCCGTTTGCGGCATCCTTTTTTACATTCTTCCCAGTGTATTTACAAATGAAGCAAAAAGGGTTTCAATGGATCTACAGTTATTTGCTCGCGATCGGGGATTGTACTCGTATGGCCACGATGACAGCATTGTTATATAAACCAAAAATGATACCTCGAGTTCCATGTCTATAATTCACTCTTCCTTCTTTCCTTCCTTCAGCTGAACAAATATATCAAAAAAATCTGACACATCCACTGCACCTTCGAGATGATACTGACCCCCAATTATGTAGTGCGGCACCCCCTTCATCCCACTCGCCTTCACCTCCCGTTCTTCCTCTTCCACTTCCACTCTACCCCGATCTTCTTCGAGATACGTCCTCACCTCATCCCCATTCAGACCACACAGAGTCCCGATATCAACCAAGGTATCAATCTGACTAATGTCCTTTTCAAGCTCATACTGGAACCGAAACAGCTCCTCCGCAACCAGAGTCTGGGTTGAAGTCTCGGACGATAATGGCTTCGAGCTAGCGAGATGAAGCAGTTGATGCGACAGCTTGGTGTTACCGACATACCCATTAAATTTGAACAGGATGCCTTCTCTCATTCCGATGCTTCTGAAGGTTTTCTGTATTTCGGCGCTTTTTTCGGGGCCCATTCGGGAGTTCATGCGGTCTTTCTTTAAGTGAGCATTTCTTCTTCATATAGTCTCAAATGAATGGGAAGAAAAGAAAGAAAATACCTTGAACCAACACACTCTCTTTGAGGGCATCCGGATTCAAGAAATACGGCTTCCAAACCAGCTCGAAATTGTCCTGGGAGCCTCCGGGGTAGGTCTTTTTGTACAGATTGATGGCCTTTTGTAGGCGTCGATAGCCAAGGTAGCACTATGGTTAATCGTCAGTCGTGAATATCCCTATACAGTAGTCTTGTATACATACCCATGGACAGACAGCGTCGGAGACAATTTCAATCTTGATGATAGCCATATTTGTTGTGAATTCTTATTGCGATGATGGGAGATTCAATCTACTTGCCTATCTATATCCCTTTCTGCTGCCTGTTATCTGACAGCGCCAAGATAGACAATTGTTATAGATGCGTTAGAGCTGACGAGTACAATCGTAAAATTATATATTCAATTAATATCTCTTTGTCTCTTTCCTGGATGCCTAAAGGTGACGAGTTGATCGACTGCAACGATGTAGAGCGATCGCACTAGTCCCCAAAGAGGAAATGATTTAGATCTTGGCATCGATCCACGGCGTCTTTCCATTTCATCATCTTCATTGACATTCCATCATTCCTCCAACTCCATCCATTCGAGACAGATAACCACATCGAGTGGGGAAAAAATAATTTAAAAAAAATGCCCACCCACGATCGCCCCTCACACCGCCATAGACCCTCGTCTCGATCTCAATCGCCGGATCCAAACCACTCGCATCGTCATTCGCGCCGTCGTACCCATCGAGACCGAGACAGCCATTCGCGAGAGCGCGAGCGAGAGCGCTCACCAGACCGAGGCGACCGACACAGCAGAAGACACCATCGCAGCCATCACGGCCATCGGCATCACCGTCACCATGATCGACGCGAACGACATCCAGAGCCGTCAAACACAGCACCAGCACCAGCACCAGTTGTTCTCCCGTACCAAGCGCGGGAGCTCTCGAAACGAGATCTGCCTGTCTTTGAGCCCATGTTCGCCATGTATCTAGATATACAAAAGGGCATTATACTAGAGGATTTGAACGAAGAGGAGGTCAAGGGGAGGTGGAAGAGCTTCTTACGGAAATGGTAAGGGTTCTTTACCTCTATTCTGTACCTCGGCATAACGAAGGACTGACATAATAGGAACCGCGGAGAACTTGCAGAAGGATGGTATGACCCAAGTACTTTAGAAAGAGCACGCAGTAATGCACAAGAGCAATCCGCGCCTTTCTCTGCGGCTCGACCGCGCCGTACGTCTCCAGATTACGAGCAAGGCGCCCCTGCAATGAAGGATGGAATGGAAAGCGACCATGAAGATGACGATGACGATGAAGACTACGGCCCAACTCTTCCTCAACCGAACACATTTGGGAGCCGGTCAGGCCCGTCAATTCCCACAATGCAGGACTTACAGTTGCGAAAGGGTAAGGACTTACCAAAATAATCATACGTCTTCGAACTAAACCATTGATGCTCTTTTCCACTCCAGAATCTGCCATAGAGGACGCAATCTCTGCCCGTCAGGATTCACGAAAGCAACATCGCACAGAAGTCCGCTCACACCGATCCGAGATGCGACATATAGAAGATGAAATTGCCCCCAGAGCAGAACCAGGTACACACGAGCGACGCATGGAAAAACAGAGAGAGACGGCGGCTGCAAACCGAGCTTTTGCTGAATCCCGGCGAGGCGGTTCTCCCACGGATGCTGTTCCGGAGGAAGAGATGATGGGTTTGGGGGAAAATGAGTTGGAATCTTTGAAGAAAGCACAAGAGAGCGAGCGGCGCAAGAAGAATGAACGCGAAATCAAAAGGGAAGAAATTCTCCGTGCTCGAGCAGCGGAGCGAGAGGAAAGGTTGCAACAATACCGACAAAAAGAGGATGAAACAATCGGTTGGCTCAAGACTTTGGCCAAACAAAGATTTGGCTGACGTGGTACTTCTGGGTGGTTTAATCAGCTGTCAGCGCATTAATTCTCATCTTTCAAGGCATCATGCCGCTCTCGTCGAGATATCCCTGGAGCCATCATTCATTGGAGAAACAAATCTATCCCCAACTGTACGTGTATGCGATATGCTTGTTTACTTATGTAAATGCCAACACTAGAACTAAGTCGATGGACAGAAGACTCGATCTTTCACGGAAGCCAGCTGAATAAATACTTGATCTTGAATTGATTCTTTTGAGGACTACTACAGAATAAAATTTGCAACATTACAATCTCCGTCCCTTTTTATCACAGCCTGTATCCTTGGTCAATATCTTCTACCTTCATCCTTTCGACAAACAAGTATTGTCTTAAGTCTCATAGGGCTCAGGCCTCAAGCCAATACCCGCAGGCTCGCTTTCTATGCGCTTTCTGCGCAGAACTGGTCTTTTCGATCCTTTGGGTTTCTTTCGCGCCCTTTTGGGATATGCCATGACTACCCCATTTGTAGTCTGTTGCAAGACCGAGGCAATTCGCTTACTGCTGCTGTTCTTCGTTGAATCGGGGTCTTTGTGTGCCGGTGCAGTCTGAAGCCTGTCGTTTTTGTTATTTTCAGAAGATCCCGCTGTGTTCTCGTTTTTCCTCAGAACATTGGATTTCCCTGACTGATTTTCCATTTCTCCATGGTGGTTAATCTGGGTATGACCTGTAACACTTGACTGTTGATTGTCGATAGATTTTTTCACTGCCACATTCTTGGATCTTGCGGCAGGGGTCTGTCTATGGGAGGAAGGGACAAACTCTGGTGCATCGGGCTTCCAAATGTTCCTCTTCAAGATATCTGTTGCCTCGGAATTTCGATTTTGAAGTCTATCGATTGAAGGGCTTTCTTCTTGACCCCTTTCATCAGCGTGGACGGCTGTCTTTCTGAGACGTAACTTTCCAACCTTCAAGACTGGTGCAGTATCCGCGGGGCTTTGTGGATCACCACTCATTGCAAGACCATTCACATTCTCGATTCGACCTTTTCCCTTACTGAGAGAAATAGTTGGCTGCGGAAGCTGACATTCATCTGTGGCTATAGTCGATGGCTTCATTCTGGCTTGGCGCGACCAAAGACGGGAATAATAGCCGTTTAATGTTAGCAGCGAGCTATGAGTTCCCTGCTCGACAATCTTTCCATGGTGGAGGACAAGTATCTTATCCGCCTTTACGACTGTCGAGAGACGATGCCTATGCGAAATGTTAGTATTGAACACCGGATTTGAAAAGCGAATACTGCATACGAAATGATGAATGTTGTTCTCCCTTCAAAAAATCTGAAACGTCTGCGGACCAGAGATTCCGTGTGACTATCAACACTGCTTGTTGCCTCATCCAGAATGATTATTCGTGGATTCTTGATCATTGCTCGTGCAATGGCGACTCTCTGAGCTTCTCCTCCGGACAGCCTCACTCCGCGCTCCCCAACTAGGGTTTGGTAACCGTTCGGGAACGATAAAATTTTATCATGGAGGGCGACGGCTTTGCATACTTCGTAAACCTGCTCGTCCGTGGCGGATGAATTGGCGTACCTAATATTGTTCATGATAGTGTCGTGTAACATAATTGCATCCTGCGGTACAACACCGATACTCTCACGCAAACTATCCAGTCTCACCTCACGGATGTCTTGCCCATCGATTGCAATGGTGCCTTGGATTGGGTCATACATGCGTAAAATTAGTTTCAGAATTGTTGACTTTCCGCCTCCTGTTTCTCCAACGAGCGCTACTGTTTGACCTGCTAGGGCCTGGAAACTGATTCCATTCAGGACCCAGTTTTGCGCATCGTAGGCGAAGCCAACATCTCTGAATTCCACCATACCTCGATTGACAAGTAACCGGCTCGCCCCATCGCGGTTGGATACAGTAGCTTCGGTTTTCAGCAATGTAATTAGCTCGTCCGCAATTTTAATTCTCACGGCGAAATCGCAAACTCCCTTGACAAAGATTTGATAATGGCTGGAAAACCGTGTCCAATAGCTAAGTAACATCACGAAGCTGCTGATGGGTCTGTTACTCCAAACAGTCTGATAGGCTGCCAGGAAGCATATACCCATGAGGGTAAAAGTGAAAAGGAACGACTGTACAACCGAATCCAAGTAGGACCACAGAAAAAATCGATGCGAAGACCTCATATGATCTTTGACGGCGAGACGGTATCGGTCCTTTTCATATGATATGCGGTTGAAGTACGACGCAGTCTGCCACTTTGAAGTCGATTCCCAGAGGACGTTATGTTCTTTCTCCATATCGGCTATCAGTTGAGTCTGCTTTTTTTGCAACTTGGAGATGATTTTGCTCGAAGAATGGAGGAATATAATGGTAGACACTGCGACGATCCATGCCACGTAGGCATCAAACATAAAGTAAATCACACCCACTGCAAGCAAAAGGTCAACGGTAACTGGGAAGATCTGGAAAAGAATGGAACGAATGACATATACAGCGGACAATCCCCTGCTGACTGGCTCCCAGATATTATCAGGGTCTCTATTGTCTTCGCTCGATAAGGCCATGATCTTGTCGAAGGCCACAGTACTGATATTGAGGTACGAGTTGCTCTCAACTGGTAGCCATAGAAATTTACGCAATACTGCAACTCCTCCAACTGAATCCAGAAAGACGAGCACAATGAATAACGTAATTTCTCTCCATGGAACTATCGCTATTCGAAGATTAGAATGACGATGATCAACTGAGCAGACCCAACAAGAGATTCCTGTCCTTTGAAAACAATTGACTTTTCCCCAATTTGCATTTTGGGCTAACGTACCATGACTCTGGATCAGAATGTTTGTAATCATCCCCAGCATCAAGGGAACAAGTATAGTTAGGATACGTTCAATCGCCAAACAGATCACAACCCCAACGAATCTCAATCGCAAGAAGGGTTTTCCCCGGGGCCAGAAAAAGGGAGCGAGGAACTATTAATCTGTAAGATAGGGTTGACTTTCGAAATGCTTCTTCACCCGATTGCATACCTTGATATTACCTAGGGTTTTTATCGATTCACTCCGAGGTCCTTCATTCGGTCTTTCGTTCTCTGGAGCAGTGTTCTGACTCCAAGTTATTGAACCGTAATAGTTACCGTTATAAAATCGCTCAAAGTGGCTGTTATCATGTGAACTGTTGTTTCCGTCTCTGAGTAGGGGCCTTGCTTCTTCATCGTCGCACCTACAATGGACGGGTATCATATGGTATACGACAGCAAGGCCGAATAGAAGCAGAAGAACCCCCCCGCGTATGATTTGACTACACTTGAGGACAGCGACCAGGTGCTTATTTGGGTTCGTGAGGGATGGAGAGAATTCAAAGAAGAAAGTCTCGGCGAATAGGTATATCGATGAGCACATATTCAAAGACCACCATGCAGAAGTTCGTCGTTCAGAGAAGTCAAGAGTGAATATAAACCAAAGAAAGACAGAGCTCAAAGCAAATACCTGAAGGCATGGTGGGTTAGTCTCCGTGTATCTATCTTATTTGAAACTTGGGTAGTATGGGCTCTCACGATTCTGTCCTCAAGAACCACCGTATTTTCTGGGAAAGACAGGTAAAAAAGTGCAATTGAATCGAATACCTATATATCTCATTTGTTAGCTCTTCTGAAAGACTCTTCTCAGGAATTCGATAAGTCAAGAAGGGGGCTGTCCTACATAAGTAAAGAGGACGAAGAGCATTAGCCATGAAACGAGGATTTGAGAGAGAGTCCTGCGTGCTCTTTCTGGATTGTCTCTGATAGTCGGATTTGCTTTGACGAGCAGGAAGTAAGAGGCACCAGCCAATATTGGCAAAAACCAGCGGACTGCTTCGATTGCACGAGGCCCAGGCCACCAGATCCCGTGGCTGAGGCCGTTGGGATCAGGCATTGTGACGATCGTAGCATGCAATTCGAGCAATCGCAAGTGACCACGTGCAAGTTCGAGCAAGTAATAGGTTAAGGTGCCCGTAAAAGAATGGTATCAAAAACAAACTGGGCAATGGGTTGTGTGAGAATCAAGGAAGAGAAACTGAGGAGAAGAGGAGAGGAGAGGAGGACAGGGCTGGCTGTTACCCTTTTTGGAAGACAGCAACGATACGGTCTTTCCCTAAACAGAAAGGGCTCACATGACGAAAAAGAGTCAAGAATGGCAATTAGGGATGACTTCAAACATATCCAAGAGATTTCTATTTAATAACATGATATCCAAGAGCACTTTTAGAGCTATGTACAACCATATAGGTGAATAACTTCGCAATAAAATAACAGACCAACTTTTGCACTCCTATACCCATTTTTGCTGCCAACTCCTATGATATTCTACCTAGATTGCAATATATGTACCATTGATACAGACCAGGTAGGTGACAATATATCACAAGATTCATCATCTTCAGGATTTCCTACCAAGGTCGAGATCAGCCACTAGACGCATGTGGCTGGTTCCTTCTGCGGACGTCTTGTCACCGAAAAATGGCTTGACAGCAACATCGACGGTCTCTTCGAAAAGACGGCCAACGACAAGCTCCTTGAGTTCTTCTCCCGTTTGGGCAAAGTCTGGGTAGGCATTCAACTCAAGTAGCCAAGCGCTACCATCCTTGTCCACCAAAAAGTCCACGCCGAACAATTCAAAAGCATTGGGCAACGTCTGGAAATGAATCATCATTCCCCTAGCGGCAGCCTCAAACACTTCACCAGTGATGCCGCAGATCTGGTCATAGATCTGGTCTTTCCAGTCAATGCTAAGCCCAGGAACATAAGGATCCAGCTTCCAGAACCGCTGGACACTTCCCTCGTTAGAACTACCACCTTCCTGGAAACAGGTGTTGGTCAGATGTCTAGCAAGGTCTGCCACCTCATCTTCGTCCTCACAAGGTGGACAGTAAGGCTTTGCAGCGAACAGGGCCAACATCTCCTTGAAAACGTAAACCTTCAAGGATCCCACAGCGAGAACATAGGTGCGAATATGGAACTTGCGGTTGGATGAAGACGGGAGGAGAAGAGGGGGGTCAATGTATGGCTGAGCAATGAAATGGCGCAATTGAGAAGTGACCACGCCTTTGTTATCGTCATCATCATCCTCAGGCCGCTCTGACCCACTCTCATCATCGGAGTCCTCCTCCCACTCTTCAAATATCTCACGCAGTTGGTCCTCGCTGTTGAAGAGGCGGATACCTTGTCCACGATCACTCATGCCTGGCTTCAGAATCCACCATTCCTTTTCTGAGTCGGGTCTCTCCTCATTCTTCTCCAAGCTGTCGCGCAATTCGTATGCCTCTAGCAAGGCGTCATCAAGGAATTCCGCATAGTCCAGTTCAAAGTCGAACCCGGGTTTGAAATGTTTTCGCAAAATACTACCCGGGTGTTTCGAGATCCAGCTGGCCACCGTGGTGGACAAGTAATGTTTGCGGATCAATGCCTTGCGGATGACATATGCATTCGAGAGTGATGTGGAGGAGTTCATCATGATATGCTCGAAGTCCAGGCGTTCGTACTCGCGATACTGGAAAACGGGCGCGGAAGAATCCGGGAGGTCTGACAAGGAAGACACTTCTCGACAACGATTTGCTCCCAGACGGCTTTGTAGTGCTTGTTTCATCAAATTTTGGACGTAGGACTCATCGCAGTCGACAAGAGAGTAGACCTTAGCTTCATTACCTGGCCTACACGATATTAGATTATCAGAATGAAATGAAACTAGAGAACCTCAAGGACAAGCGATCAAAAGGAGGACAAAAGAAGCATGCACAATATCTATCTTTTAGCTAAGATATATATAAAGCGCATAGAATCTACTATCCCCTAGATCGTGAAGCATTAACTCAACTTCGCTCGCTAAGATTCCACTCACAGCTTGATCTCCCCCTGGATACCGGGTGTACGCATGAAGTTCGCCCTCAGAGGTGTAACACTGCAGACAAGTCCACGTTAGCATGTATACTGTAATAGCATTGCAAGTAGTCCAAATAAAATGGGGGAAATAACCTCGTAAACCCCTCTTTAACAGCCCAACCGTCATTCCCTGGCTTACTCACCTGTACGCCTTTGAACACTTCTGGGAAATTAGGCGACCACTTGAAATGTTTGTGTTGAATACGAGATGGCCTTCTATTAGTTCCCTCCGCAGGGACAGAAGGTGTAGTTCCCTCTTTCTCGCCTTGGTCGCGCAGTCGTTTTTCCTGCGCCTCGGGAGTCTCCTCGGGCACTTCAGGATCCACCGCTTGGAAACAGCTACCTGGCCACCGATTGTCAAGCATTTCTGTGTACAGGATCTTTGTATCGCTGACACCAGCCTCAAGAGGCACATTCACGGTGTAGAGATCGACTCCCTCCGCCCAGTTACTGCACAGATATTCGATCAATCGAGTTGAATGGCGCGAGGCCTCTCCAATGATGGCTGGGTCGTGAATACGTGAGTTGAAGGCGTAAGATAGTGCGATAGCACGCTTTCCGCACACAGCAGCTTCCATGGCAGCTCCGATTGTACCGCTAGACAGGGCGAGGAGTGTTGTGGTATTCCGGCCGTAGTTGGGCCCAGACACGACGATATCTACTGGCCCACGTTCTTGGAAGTAGTGGTAGAGGCCGAGCTGCGTACAGGTGGCTGGCATCGAATCAATCAAAACCCATTCATCTCCATCTCCATCTTCTTCGTTTCGCGGTAAGTCGTGGACAGTCCCATCGTCTTGAAAGAGCGTTCCAGGGCGGAAGTAGGTCGGCTTGACGGAGGCGCCAATTGTGTGAGCTTTACCGACCCATGATCGTTGCTGATGCGGTAGCACTACTGAGACAACGTGCCCAGCCGACTGTAGCGAGTGGATGAAAGCATGAATGTAGGGCGACGATTGGTTCGACGGAGGACCGTCGTCGTTCACAACCTAAAGCCGGTACCAAATAACAATCAGTGTCTGAGCAAGGGCAGAAAGTGAGGTCTGAAAAGGTGTTCTCACCAAGATATGCATTGCGAATCGTGTTGTCAGATAGAAAGAGTGGAAGGCTTGATTGAATATCAAGATGGAGGGGAACTTGAAGAAGTGTTTCGGCGGCTGCTTCACCCCCACCTTTTTCAATGGCTCCACCTTTATCGATAGATAGCGCCCTGGATACTCCGTTTGTACAGTGATGGACTCCCACGTGTGGGATTGAAACAATATATTGCAGATTATCATTATTAAAATGTGTTTCAATTGGAAACCTATCCCGGAAGTACTACTTATGGGCTGGAATTACCGAGAAAAACAAATAAGTATATACATATCCATTTCCACCCCACGTCAACATCCTTAGTCGCAATCCACGGGGTATCTGTTACATTTATGAATAAATTAAAAAAAAGTAAAGCCAATGGTGAAGATCATTTTGGGATATAGACGCTTTAAGAATCCTCATCCTCCTCTTTGATTAGATGACTGCGCCGTCTCTGAACTCCTCGAGCTTCAGCGCTCTCCAAACCAGTCCCAGCACCAGCAGCCCGAGATGAACCTTCGCCGCCGTCTCCCTGTGAATAATCGCCTTCACCATGCGGTTGGCTCAGAAGATAATCCGGTTTTGACTCTTCCTCATGATGCTCTGTCTTGATCCTTTTTATCTGCGATGGGTTGGTGCCAGAGAGATCGTGTGGAGATACATCGTCGAGCGACTCATCGTCACTTTCTTCTTTTATTGGAGTGCGATCGCTAGTACCCTTTATCAATGATTCATCACTTCCGCCATTGTTAGTGCTGAATAAAACTGCCAGGATGAACCAGACCACGCCTGTCGAGATCACGGAGACACTCCAGAACATGAAGGTGAAGACGAAGAAGGAAGATAGTCTCCAGTTGTACATGATCCAGCTATTATGGGTTAGCCACAGAAATGCAAGAAAAGAGTATAGTAGGACTCAGATCGGGCGACCATACCGTAACCCAGTAAATCTAGCCTTGAATTCCACCTTCGCGTCATATATTTGCATTCGTTCATGACTCTGAATTTCAAGGCGTAATGTTTCCGGCAAGTTGCGCCACCCACGAGGGAATTCAACCCTTTCCATCATCTGTACTTCCACTTCCTCCGCTTCTCTGTGCCAGCCGACCACATAGAGCGGCATGAGTGAGAGCCTACTCGCAGTGTCCACCATCGGCGAGGCATACGTCAGGATGGCAGGGCGACGGGAGTGCGAAATAGGAGCTATAGAGGTGTTTGCGCCGGTCAAAACGGAGGTAGACGGATGGGAGAAAAGAGTCAAATCGAGCATGAAGTTCCCGGCGTCGAGATTCGAGGGTGTACGCGGCAATTCCAGCTTGATGGTCACATCGTATGGCTGCAGCGATACCAATTGAGAGCCCACGGAGGCGGCACCCCAAGGATGGCCATCGCTATTGTTGAAGCAGACATAGTTAGTGGATATGTACAAGCTTTGGTTATACTTCTCCTCTTCCACTTACCCAAATTGCAAATGGACAGTGCGCTCCAGTCCAACTTGCGGGATGAATTTGTAGTAGAAGATCCAGTAGGCCACTGTCGAGACGCAAATCATAAAAAGGGATGTGCAAATAAAGAGAAAAGTACCCAAATACGCCTTCAGAGCTTGCTTTGACACGAGGGCGCGAAAGGGTGTTAGCAGCGCGTCCTGTGTTGTCGTCACGGTTAGCTAGCTCCAGGGAGTGAGAACTACAGGGAAGTGTAGAGGTTACTAGTATTCTGGAAACAGATGAGGAATTATTATCGACATCCTCATCTGTTGAGTATCCTGAATCAGACATCGTGCGGTTGGTCCTATGTTGAAAGACAACAGCAAGAATGGCGTGTTGGCTGTTCGCGTCGACGTCACCGAGGCAGAAAATCTAACTACTCCGCCCGGTTTACATCATCTTACAAGAAAGATATTCTCAACATCAATATAGAAATTTCATTATAATAATGCAAATAAAAGCCATTAACCCCTGCTTTTACTCTTATCGTTACATTTCACTGCGATTGCAGTAGTAATCACAAACATCCGATAAAAAATAACGAAGAAAATAAAGTAGCAAGGGAGAAGGTGATCGGTTCCGTGAAGCTTCAAGACCATGCTCATAACGTCCTAATACCTTTAATATGCATAACCCCCAGAACCCCAACCGAAGGAAAAGAAACACAAGAAAGAAAGAAATTGAGCCAGTGCAAATAAAACAATGATAGAGAAGAACCCCTCAAAACATACACGCCGGTAAAAGCCCCGAATCTGGCGCTACATATCATAAGCGGCATCTGCAATACACCGCGCGAAAAAAAGTCATATCTGCAAAATGCAAGACATCAAGGCATGATCAGATGCTTCATATTAATAGGAAAGTGAAGATGAGAGCCCCTTGTTATGTTCGGTTTTTGCAGCGTTTAGGCCAACGCTCTAGGGCTTTGCTGTTGAATGTGTTGGAGGAGGGCATCAAATAGACGACCAATCTAATAAATTTAATTATTAGCAAGGATTCAAAATGCACAGATATCATGAGGATAGAGGAGAGCTTACCTCAGGCGCAGCCTGGATAAAAGGGAGGCGGAAGAAAGTGTAGCTCCGGTTCTGAAGCAACTCCTGCAGGGTGATGATCAGACCCCACGGATGCGGACGGTGGACGATAAGTCGCTCGAGAAGCACTCTGATGATCTGCTGTCTGATATCAGACTCATCCTGCTCCGAGTAGTCCACGCCAAACAGACGAAGGGTGGCGAAGCTGAAGAAGTAGGTGTGGCTGTTGGGGTAGCGAAGCTGGTTGGCCATCGCACTCAGCAGATAATAACGAGCCTCGGGCCGCAGTGCCTTGGCGAGTCTCTCTAGAAGCGCTGAATGGGGCGAGTTGTCAAAGGCAGCGCGAGTGTTACCCTTAGAGGCACTGGCCGAAACCGCACCCTGGCCCACGTAGAGTACCAGGGCGTTCAGCAAGACAACGTTCACATTGATTGGGGCGTAAAAGAGACCCGTCTCTTTGCCAGCAGAGTTGTACACGGCTTCACAGATCTGCTGGACGGATGTTTCCGAAGCGTTGCTGTTCTGCAACGAGCTGTCGACGACAGCCTTGATGCTTGCCCGCTGCAAAGGAGCAGCAATGTCACCAGCGATCTTGGGGGCTTCCCGCATCTCTTCGAGACGTTCAACCTTCAGGCCTTCTCTGAAAGGATCAGGGAGCTTGTGGAAGGATGATGGGTAGGCACTCAACACAAGGTTGCGAAGTTGGGCGCAGTGTGCGGGAATAACATTGCAGAATTGAAAGTGATTTTCCGCAACGAATTCTGGGAAGTCGTGGTGAAGTATCAACAAGATACGAAGTACACCCTTGTACAGGTCTTTGGCCACGTAAGAGATGTTAGCAGGCTTAAGTTGCTCACCAATGTATGAGAGCAGAGCCTGCATGATCTCGCAGTAAGGTCCCCAGCCAGCTCGTTCGGGCATGTTCAACATGCCGGACATGAAAAATCTATGAGAAACCAGGGAAAGCCACCCGTAAACAAACGCAGGGCAGTATTTCGGCTGGAGAGACAAGAACTTGTTGGCAAAGGCGAACATCATGCTCTGGTGCTGGTCGCTGTGCTGGAGTTCGTTCATGGGGTACTCGCAAAGGATGCTAGAAAACATCCTGAAGAAGACACGCTGGTTGAAGGCTTCTCCTCTCATGACATGGTGATGATTCAAGACCAACACAAGGAGTGACAAAATCGAATTCAGGTAAGCCGACTTGCTGGCCTTCACGGCTCCCGTGCTTTCGCCTTGGAATTTGACCAGCAAAATGACAAGCTTCGCAAGGGCATCGATATATAGGAAAGCTTCATCAAGGCTGCCACCAGGGTTCTGCGATTCATGCTCAAACATGGCAACAGAGATGTCGATGCTGAGTCGGAAGAACAGGGCGGAATCTTCTTGGTTGTTCATGACTTGTCTTTGATGCATGTCCTTGAGGAAGGAATAATAGGTGCGGTCGGTGGCACCAGGAGCCTTGTAAATTCCAATCCATTCGCTAAAGATGTATTCCATCTGGTCTCGTTTGGATCTCGCCTTGTCACTGAGCAGGGGGTTGATGACTTCGGGAATTCCGGACTCGCGTAGCTTGCGAATAATTTCGTTGGCCGGAGAGATACCGGCATCTTCCACAAGCCATTGGCTCATAGCCTCCAGACTGCCCGAGAAATCAGATCTCAAGGCTGAAGGTTCGTCGCTGAACAGAACCCGGTCCATCAAACTGGCGAGGAGCTCCAGGGCCCCAGTGTTCTTCTGGAGAATAAGTCTTGTCAAGATCATATCGACACGACGAATGTCAAGAAGACCGGCATCAATCAGTGCAACCGTAACTGGTACATTGAACATGTGCTCATCATCAACCTCCGAGAGGATAGCCCATGTGTATCGGGCAACGAGGGTAGACATGTCGCATAGTTTGGCAAGTAGGTGTACGAGCACTTCAATCTCAAGTGTTCCCTGGGTTTGAGAATAGAGGCTCGTGCAAATCTTAAGAGATGTCAGCCTTGCCAATTCCTCCCCATTTGGCGAAGCAAGGATAGTGCGCAATGCCTGGTTGTATTCTTGCAGAACGGCACTATCTCTGCCGAGATCCTTAACGTGCTCCTCGGAAGCACCTCGGGCTGTCTGCTGAAGCTCAGAAACGAGAGTTTCAACCTTCTCCCGTGGACTTTGGGCCTCAAGGAATCCATTTAGTTGAGGCTGAGCACTGACAAGACCAGTCTGCTGCAGCCGGGCATCTGGCTGTGCCTGGGGAGTCCTATGAGGAACAGCAGGCTGTTCAGCGGGAGTAGAAAGGTTCGGAATTGCGGGGTATGCTTCTTGGAGAACGTCAGGAAGTTGTCGACCGGAGTCTGTGGAGACATTCTGGACATGCGTTGCTCCGGGGCCTCGAGATTGGCGAGCAAACTCCTCATAGATTGCCAACTGCTCTTTGTTCAGGCCACCTGGGGCTTGTCGATACGGCTCAGGGATAAACAGGCCCCACCGGTTCATGGACGGGTCAATGAATGGTTCGTTGGGGCGAGCAGCCCGATGACGCCGGCGTGCTTCTAATTGTGGCTCAATGACCTTTTCAATCTCGGGAAGAGACTTTTCTTCCGCTGCCTTCTCAACGATTCCACAAGCGGCATCGAGGTTGTCATTGACGCACATCAAGATCAAGCCCTCAGGCATAGGTTGATCAAAGTACTCCTGCTGAATCATCCGAATATAATTCGTCATGCTAACCTTCAGGGGCTCTTTACAGGTTACCAGAGCTAGGCTACCTGCGAGCTGCCTCACCATGATTCCTGCCGCATGTCGGACCTTCTCCTCATCGGGCTCCATTGCGAAGTCCTTTGACACCAATTGAACGGTTGAAATGGAAGCGATTGTAACGGATCTTTCCACGACAGGTGTGATGATTTCTGCAATAGCGCGCTCCACAGCACTGTGAACAATCTGTCTGAGCATGTTCAAGTCCACCATACTGCTTGCCGATGATGGCAAGACAAGAATCTTGTCCAAGCTTGGGAGGGTTGACATGATGGCAGCAGGGGACAATCTTTCGTTGCGTATTCCTTGATTGATGCTGGTGAGAGCCATATCTTCGAACGCTTCAAGGCCATCGGGGATGTTCGCTGACGACAGCACGTCTTCAACATGGGCTGAACGATCACGAATAATGACGGATGGCTCAATTGTCTTGTGGTCAAGTTCTAGATCCTTGCATAACACTTCAATCTCAAACTTGAGATTCAATTTCAATTCGGCAAAGTGGTAGAGTTCTAGCAGCAAGGATAGAATGTCCATCAACCAGGGGTTCGGGGGGTTGAAAACGGTAGATTTCGTAGCCTGGACAAGAACCTTGCAAGTGAAGGGGATCACAATTGTAAGGCGTTGACTGTCGAAGCCTTCCATCAAGAGCCCTTTGAAATAGACGTTCTTGTGTTTAACAGGCTTATCCTTGGCAATGGTTAACGAACCAAGCCATGAACCCAGGTTTTTGAGATGACCACGGTCAGTTGATGAATTCAGGGTCGCTTCGGAGTTCAGTAGCTTCGTGACGCTAACATAAGTTTCCCTGAGAACTTCCGCCCAGAGGATGTTGTCATTGAGGCGTTCTAGAAGGTCAAGGTAAAGTTGCTGGAAGTTGGGCTGTAGCTTGGCCCGTTCCTCCACCAAATAAGAAGCGAACCACTGATGATGTTGATCCCGGAGAACATCGGTTAGATCCTGTAGCTTCTCATCAATGTTTTGCTCCGAAACGTTGTTCAGGACAAAGAGGATCTTGTCTTGTATTTCTTCATCTGGGTCATGATAGATTGCGGGCCGCAGGGGAGAGTCAACATGGATGGAACGGAACTTGCGGGGAGATCCATCCAATGCTGTCGAGTCATCCACATTACCGTTGGTAAGCGAAATACCGGTGATGTCGGCGGTTTCACCTTGAGCTCCTTGCTCGCGTAGAACCTCTTCAGCCTTTTGGTAGATCGGGGTTCCCTGTAAACTTGAGATTTGCAGAAGGAGATGGCAGAAGCCCGCCCACTCGGGAAGACGATTGATCAATTGTTCAATTGCCTCAACACCAAACTTATACATTGGGTCTTCAAAGTGGTGCTCCCGCACTGCCTCCAGAATCATGCCCAGGCCAACCTTAAGTGTGATGCCATCCACGAGTCGGAAGTTAATTATACCACCAAACATGACGGCTGTTTTGGTCAAAGCTTCCAGGGGATATTCGTGGTAGCAATGGTATTCATCGATGAGGCCGTGAACCATGCATGCAAATAAGTCTTGCTCTTGTGGCTCCCGGGATGATTTGTACCGTCTCATCAATTCCAACATTTCTCTCAGGGACAATTCCTCGTGGTACATCTTGCCAAATAGCTCCTGCATTTGTTTGTCAACGGCTTCGGGTAACGAATTTCCACTTTCTCCGTTCGCGTCAATCAAATCATCAAAACCCTCGCCATAATTGATGAGTCTGGGGTAAGTTTGAATGCAGATTCGCTGCACGGGGGTGAGGTTTTCACGATCGCCAACATATTCCTCCAGAACTGACAGCAAGGTGTACACTGTCTTCACGGAGAGGCTGACCATTTGGGGGAGGGGCTGTTCTTTCCTTTGGACATGAAGTTCGTCTTCTGCCTTAATCCTTAAGAATTTTGACAACAAGCTTCCCATATCCATTGGTCCCTTTTGAGCGGCATTTCGAACCCATTGTTCCAAATCGAAGGGCCCCTTGCGATGCGCATAACAGGCGAGGTCCATGGCAAGGCCGTTGGTATACCCAAGGAGGAAGTCCAGCCAGTTGTACTCGATCGCATGCTCATAAATGGCAGCTGTTGAAGTAGGGTCTTGGGTGAAAGTGGTAAAAAGTTGCTCTGCTACCCATTGGCGATCCTGACGCCAAGCTCCATGGAGTGCGAGCTGATATCCTTCTTCCTGCTTCAAGATGAAGACGATGAGGGTGCGTAGTACGAAGCTTTGTTGAACGGCCGTCCAAGGTTGGGGAAGGGCTAATGCGGAGCACAAAAATACTGGGAGGTCGTATTGAACAACGGCTTTGATAAGGAGCTGACTCTCGGTGGCCGCCCACGCTGCTTGGGAGTATAACGCCAAGTCGAAGATGGCACTCATGGCATCTAGGGACCGAAGAGGGGACTTTGCTGCACGCTCCCCTTGAAGGCGAACCATTTCCGGACCATCGCTAAAGAAGTCATCCGGGAAAGCAGCCCGAAGAGAAGGGATTTGCGACGCATCGGTTCGGGAGGCAATAAAAGCTGTCAAGAAAGACAACTGTGTATCGCGGTGCTCCCAGTCTCCACCCCAAAGCTTCTGAACATCCAAGTTCGAATCTTCTGCAGCCGCTATCGACAGAACAGCATACAATTTAGCGAACTGCCTGGGGTCTACCCGTAAACCTTCGCGGTCGAAATGTTGCAAGACGATGGGCCAATTGATACGTTTATCTCCGTAATGAGACAGAACGGTGCCGAGGAACGTGTCCAGCTGGAACTGCCGCCAGTATTGCGACAGAACCATATAAAGAAGCGCACTGGCAACGTGCTCCTCGCCCCAGCAGTCAGATCCGGCTCCGTTGATCACCTCAGCAACAGCATCCGCATTCGAAGTCGATTTTGGACCCTTGGCGTGAAGATGACGGACTAGGATGTATCGTGGGCTGATGAAGTTGAACATTTGCAAAGCAGAAGAGATCTCAAAAGGCATGTCCACCCCCAGTTTTTGATATCGCAAATTGGCTGCGTATACAAGCTTAGCCTTGACGTCGTCGGTGAAGTTGCGAGGCGGATACAAAATGAACCGTTCGATAGTCATCCCGATGAATGAGTTCAGGAAGTCTTTATTTATTTCGGATGGCGATGCAAGGCTTTGTAAAAAGGGTGTTATGTTGTTCGAGAGGATCGCATCGGCTGAGAGACAAAAGTTAGATATCAAACTAAGGCAGATTTATATAAAAGCAAGACACACCTTTAGCACGCAAATCCGATTTATTGGCCATCTTAAATGCCAACGCAAGCGCAACCTTTGCAAGAGGATCAAGTTTAAAGTGATCCAAAAAGGTGGAGAGATCAAAGTCGCGGAAGATATCGCCTTCGGACGTATCAACGGTCTCCGCGATCTTCTGGGACTGGTCCATATCTTGAAATACTTTGTGCATTTCTTGTACTAGAAGAGGGTAGTTTCCCGCATTCTCGACAGACTTGTTAACCCCAGGGAAGATTTGAGGGGCGTTGCCTGTGAGAAGGCGGCGAAAGTATTTAGAAAAAACCTCCATTCCGTTGGATTCAACGAGCTACCGAGCGGTTAGAGATTGAGCCAAAGCCGCAAAAGCTGCGGCGAGGAGACTATACTGCAGGAACATCGACTTACTTTGTGAATTTGGGCAGCTTTTGTTTCCCACTTTTCTCTGCCCTCCTTTTCCGTGATGGAGTCCAGAAGGAGGAAAACCTGAGCAATAGATATTTTCGTCAAAGACGACTGGCTTGAGTGAGCAGCAGCTGCCGAGCCCGGTTTCTCAGGAGGGAATCCCGTAGGTGAATTCACGGTTGTACCGGCTAACGACGGAGAGAAGGCGACGCCTCTGGAAGATCCCGTCCCACCTCCTCCTCCCCCGGTGCCTCCACCGCCCGCGACGGAATTCGCTGCGGAAGCCAGATGTGACCCTGAAGACGGGGTATGGGCTCTGACCTTGGGGGATGTGAGAGACTGTGTGGGTTGCTGGTGCGGTTGCGAGCCAGATTGGAAGGAGGCAAAAGGTGACGGTGTAGAGGCCGGTGAGGGTCCGTTCCTGGTACCGGGAAGGCCCCTTGCGGAACTCAGAACGGCGGAGAAGGACGAGGTCAGGGGAGAAGAGATTGCAGCACCTGGGCCAGGGCTACTCGACAGAGGTGGCGCCCGGGTGGTGGCAGAGGGGATCGAAGAGGAGGAGAGGTTGTTGGTCGCAAGTGGAGGCAACCCACGGCGGATATTCGACTGAGACGCGGGCAGACCCCAGGCCGACTGCTGTGACCGTGCAGACCGGGTCGACGACGACTTATCGGTGCCAGAAGCAATCGATGATTGGGAGGAAGGGGGAGGGGGAGGGAAGGTCATCTAGGAGACGCGATCATTTGATCTGAGGGCCAACGACAAATTTTTATTCGTAGAGACCGTGTGCGGGAACGTAGACTCGGGTCTAATAAGAAAAGCGGTGTGCTGACAAAGAAGAGGAATCTTGCGATAGCAGCAGGAGCAGAAGGATAGCAATGGAAAGGATGTTGCTTTTCGTGGCACGAGATGGAAGTCGGATGGATGAGGAGAGGGAGGTGACGGGCAGAGGTGAGGTGAGGATGGGTTGGATGGGAAGGTGGAGAATAATGCCTTAGGTAGCTTTTAGTCCACAAGGAGGCTGAAGCTCTGGCTTTGACTTAGGGCTCAAGAAGAGGGGGGGAAACGAAAGCAAAGCTACATTGAATGGCTATTCAGTTGTGATATCTTTTCCCACTAATATTTACTAACACGATGTACTGGATTCTACTACCCCTGATGCATCTAAAGGATTCACTTTTCCTTTGGCCAAACACTTGTTCTGCAATCTGCATCTTTCCACACTGGCCAGATTGCGCCCGGAAGGTGTCACGTGAGAAACCGGGGGTTGGTGGCTTAGTCACCATTCATGTCAATCGACTGGGATTCTGCGAGCGTCGAATTATGGGGTTTGGATTATGGATGTGAAACATTCAAGGTGACAGACAAGATGCGAAGGTCTTTATTGCTTGGCTGTGATCTTCGATCCGTCGTCCCAGGGTCTACTCCAGATGGTAAGATAAAAGCCTGTCGTCTAGTTCAACTTCGAACATATGCAGCGTGAGGTATCCCTGTGAAGCTTCATTTATTTCATCAGCAAGGTGAATGGCCCTTTACTGTAGCAACGAAATGAAGATCAAATAGAATTCATGCCTTGATAAGACAATCAAGCGAACAACAGCAGTACGCGCGGTCTGCGACGGTGCTACCCAATGGTACCTAAGATAGATGGCTACTTGGCAGCTTCAATATCAAAAAAAGATCATCCAGCGGAGACGAGAAGACCTAAATAGGCACTCAAACCGTGGAGAAGCCCCATTTTGTTTGGCAGGCAAGAAAAAGCCATCCAGCAACAGAAGCGCAGGCGTTGGGGTTGGGTTGTTCTTCTGGCCCGTGATATACCGGTCGTTGCCCCGAGAGACGCCGGGCCGTAAACATCAGGCGTACTTCCACCCTCTGTCATTCCAGTCCATCGTCAGACACACTGCACAAGGAGAGAGTGTGCGAGAAGAGAGACCTCAAGTATTTGGTGCTAAGACTGTTGTTATTTGATTATATTTTTCCTTTTTTTATTTTTTGTTCTGCCCATTCTTTCCGCAACCCCTCTGCGGTTCTTCCTCTTTTTTCTGTGCTGTCTTTCTGTTTAGCGATCACTATCTCAGGTTTGGCTGGGCTCTTGACATCTCTCTCCTTGGTTTCTATCATTCGTTTGTCTGCCTTTGTCCTAACTCTGGGATATTCTATCTTTATTCCCACGTTTTTTATGAGCAGAGGCTGGCCGAAGCTCGAGAAAATCAACGCTTCTTAATCTCGCAACAATGCCAGGAACAGTTGCAGAGGGGCCATCGGTCTCTTTGTCCTGTAGGTCTAATATTCGGGGTCTTTTCAAAGGGCGATTGGGAGCTGACGTTATGGTTTGCTGCAGTTGCCAACAACTTTTGGGGTAAAGAAGATGCCGGGGTTGGACCCATGTTGGATCGCATGCACAATGCCAAAACGACTTGTGATGAGCTAAAATCATTCTACAGCAGTGCGTTGACCATCTATGCGTTTGTTTATTGTGGAAGACTCCAGTTTATTAATAGAATAAATAGTTCGTGCTGCGATCGAAGACGAATATGCGCGAAAGCTTCTAGCGCTTTGCCGTAAGCCCCTGGGATCAGGCGAAACGGGCACACTTCGTGCTTCATTCGACATGGTCCGTGGCGAAACAGAGGCAATTGCCAAATCTCACGGTGAAATTGCTGGACAGATGAAGAGAGAACTGGAGGAGCCGTTAGCCGCCTTTGCCGGAGGATCCAAAGAAAGACGAAAGATTGTCCAGAACGGCATTGAGCGTCTTTTGAAAACTAAAATTCAGCAGACGCAGACTGTGAATAAGGTATATTGAATTATCTGCTAGAAGGGCGATCAAGTACTTATTGAGAGCAGAGCCGAGACCGATATGAACAGGATTGTCTGAGAATCAAGGGATACCTTGCCCAGGGCCACATGGTTATGGGCCACGAAGAGCGGAAGAACAAGGCCAAACTTGAAAAGACACAGGTTCAACTAGCATCTAACGGCACTGAATACGAGGCCGCCATCAAAATCCTAGATGATACTACCACACGCTGGAATAAGGAATGGAAGGCAGCCTGCGATGTGCGTTTCCCAAAAACCTATCGATGGATGGGAAGGAGCTAATTTGTATTTCAGAAATTCCAAGACCTGGAGGAAGAACGCCTCGATTTCACTAAAAGCAGTCTTTGGACGTACGCAAACATTGCATCCACAGTCTGCGTCAGCGACGATGCTTCCTGTGAAAAAATCCGACTTTCTTTGGAGAACTGTGAAGTCGAGAAGGATATCGTGTATTTTATCAAGGAAAGGGGAACAGGCCAGGAAATTCCCGACGCGCCCAAATTCATCAACTTCTGCCGAGGAGACATCAACGACACGAGCTCTGAAATATCTGAAGAAGACAATTACTCCGTTGCGCAGTTCCAGCGAACCATCAACCCAGCATTCCGCAGCTCGTCTCCGCAACCTTCTACTTACGAGTCGCATCATGAACCCCAGCCCGAGCCTGTGAGCAAACCAGAGCCAGTTGAGCCACCCGCGCCGTCGAGCAGGGAAACCACTGTCACGCCGCAAAAGCCAGCGCAGCAGCCACCAACACAGCAACCGGCTCCTCTCGATCTTCGACGAGGTGGTCAGTTGCCGCCCAACTATGATCCTAATCAGCACGGGGAGATCACGCGAGTGCCTCACAATGCTTATCCCACCGATGGTATGACTATGTTCTGCCGCACCGGTCCTCCCTCAGAACGCAGTTCAGGAACCAGTGGGTACCGACCATCAAGCCGTGACTCCCAGAGCGAAGTTTCCAACCCAACGTCCGCCTCGAGCCAAGAACCAACTAGTGCCAAGCAGTCCCCAACGAAGCCTACGAATGGCGTGGCACTGCCGGGTATTGGAGGAGGGATGTCGACGGATACGCAGGTTCAAAAGAAGAAGAGCGCGTTCTTCAGCAACAGCCCGTTCCGTCGGAAGAGTCGCCATGATAAGGAGCGTAACTCCGGCTCATCGCCTGCTTCTCGTGGCACCTGGGACTCACGATCGAAGCAAATAAGCTCAGCTCAAGCACCACCTCCCCAACAGCCTGTTATCACTGCGCCTGCTGCACCTCCCGGGCCTGTTGCCCCGGCTGGTAAAATCGATCGATCTGCAAGCCCCGAGCCCGTTGATCCTAGGGCCAACTTCCAACTCAATGTTGGCAACAATGTGTTTGATGTTGCTTCGCCAGATAAGGATAAAAAGAGACCGCAAACAGGAAAGGGTGCAGAAGAAGAGCTTGATCCAATCGCACGTGCACTTGCAGACTTGAAGGTCGCAAAGCCATCAGCCACTCGAGTATCTGCCGATAGATACCATGGACTTGCTACGCCAGCACCGTCAGCCCCTGGAGCCAACTACACCGCCAATGCTGTTGCAACGCCCCCTCCAGCCTACGACACGCCGCCCATGAAGCGTCTTGATGCTCCTCAGCCTGCTTTCACGTCTTCGCAGATGCAGAAAACGACACAGAAATATATTGGCCAGAGGGACAATATGTTCAAGAGTCCTGGCAACTCCCCCGCATTGGTAACTCGGGGCAGTGGTCAATCGCAAGACATTCCCCGAGCTAGATCGCCTGGCCCTAGACGAAGTGCCAGTCCCCAAGTGGCTCCTCGTGTGGACACACGGATGAGCCAGTACAGCCGAGGCACTAGTCCCAGCCCAAGCACATACCAGTCCAATGGGAACAGTATGAGAGGTCGGTACGCCCACTCCCCTACCGTAGGAACACCTCCACAGCGACCTTCTGATGCGGCATATTCTCCTCGTGGACCGCCAAGTACCCGCGGTGTCTCACCCCAGCCAACGTTCCGACAGGGACCACCCAGTACACGCGGCGTGTCGCCTCAGCCAACATTCCGCCAGGGGCCACCCAGTACACGAGGTGTATCGCCTCAGCCGACGTTCCGCCAGGGACCACCCAGTACGCGTGGTGTCTCGCCTCAGCCCCAGTACCGACAAGATGAATATACTAAGCGGGGACCTCCCAGCACACGAGGTGTATCACCCCAGCCGCAGTTCAGACAGCAGACACGTCCTTCAAGCGCTGGTGGCATGGAGCTGCAGCTATCGGGAAGTCACGGTGGTTCATATGGCGGCTCATATGATGGATATGGCTCCAGAGGAAGAGACTCTGGTCGACCTATGTCTTACTATGGGGATGCGGGCAGTCAGGGAGGCAGATCCAGAAGCAGGACTATGGCTGTCGCCGATCCTGGACAGCAATTCAGCCGTGATGGACGTCCGGTCTTGCATTTTGGTAAGTTGATATCCATGAGATCATACCCGTGTAACCTCTGCTAACTTTTCACTTGTAGCTCGAGCAATGTACAGCTATACCGCAGCCATCCCTGAAGAGCTGGGCTTCGCCAAGGGAGATGTTCTCTCTGTGATCAGACTTCAGGATGATGGCTGGTGGGAAGCCGAAATCACCACCGCTCCAAGACGTCCCGGTTTGGTGCCGAGCAACTACTTGCAGATCATCTAGATACCCTTCTCACGAACCGCCACGATCTCAGGACATATTTTGCTTATGTGTTTCCTTTTCATGTAGATACCAGATTGATGCCCTTCCCCCGATACGTTTTTATTGCCCTTATGCCTATCACTCGCTCTTGTTTAATTCTACAGTCTTTGGAACATTTCATGGCCGTCAGTCGTTTCTGATTTCAACCCTCATTAATTATTGACCTCCCCCATCCACAGCTCTGTTTTGAACCCCAGCAAACGTTCTTTTGCTTTTTGTTGAATTTTTGCTTTTTGATTATTTATGTTTTGCCATGGAAATCTAGTCAGTGATGCATGTTCCTCAATTATGATGCTTTATGTGTGTTTTTTATGTTATTCATGTCTGTGCTGTCTTTCCCATGGTAATCGAAAGTAATAACAATATAATTTTTACCATATGCTCAGTTTATCCAGTAGAAGGCATTGAGCCGTTTTCACGCCGAATTTCTGCATGAGAACTACATACCCTGTGACGGTCATGGCATATTTAAACGCCATTGGGTCTCTATCCCCAAATGCCTTATCCAGAAATTCCTTTGATTTCTCCCAGTCCACAAACCCTAACTTTTCGACATTTTCTTTCGTAATCTTCCGCAGCATGAATTTATGCAACGGACCATCGGGACTAAACGTCAAGGGGCCGCGATAGGGCTTCTGACGCTGGTAGACCTCCTCCGTAACGAACGGCTTCACCGCCTCTCGCAGAATATATGTCTCGCGGAAACGGCGCTGACCAGAATCATACTTGAGCTTGAGGCTGGGGGGTAACGAATTCGTATACTCGGTGAGATGGTGATCGAGAAATGGCGGTCGACTTTCAACATGGTGCGCCATGTCCATGTTATCGCCGCACCAGCGGAGGATGAGAATCGCCAGCACTGTGCGAGCCCATAGGAATTGGCCTGTGTGTAAGGGGTGCCATTTGGTCATGATTTTGTCGCGAGTGTGGCTGTCTAGACTGTCTGCTAGGATTGTTAGTGGGTGGGGGGTTTTGACGTGTTCGTGCGTCCAGGGTGCCATGGGGCAGGCGAAGATTTTGGGGAGGACGTGGCTCATTCTGGAGTCGTTGAGCATGCGGGTTGTGGAGGGGGGTGCGTCGGTTGAGCTGTTTGGGGATATCATTGCGCCGGGGGTGTATTTGGTGAATGCCTCTTGGGCTTCTTCGCGGTGGGCTGCGAGGTGGTGAGATGGCGGCCAGGAGTAGTCGATTTCTCGGTATGAGTCCGGTATGAGGTCTGAATATCCTCCAAAGCGTTCGTCAGGTCCTTCCCCTGATGCAGTCAGGCACTGATTAGTCTGGGTCTTTTGGTATGCTTGTCTTCATGAAGCTCACCTGTAAGAACCACTTTGATGCCCTTGGAATGGACCTTTTCGGCCAGAGGCAGCTTGCAAATTCCATTGACGTTGCTACAGACCGTCTCACTGAACCAAATTGCATCCTCGAACCTAGAGACAATCACGTCCTCGTCAATAGCTACAGGATGAAAGTCGACGCCTAGCCAATCCGCCGTACGTTGTGAAACATATGTCGGGGTTAGCATATGTAGTATCCATCAAGGGACCGATCGACTTCATCCACCCCCGTAACACATACCAGATTCATCTGCTCCACTATCCTTATCGAACTGCACAGTGAAGCTTTGAAGTCGCGAAAGATCCGTACTGGTTTCATTCCCCGCTCTCGCTCCTTTTTCCTTGATGAGATGCGCGACGATTCCTGCGATGGCAGAGGAATCCAATCCTCCGCTGAGATAGATGCCAACAGGTACATCTGCTCGTAGTCGAAGCCGTACTGCTTCCACCAGCCGTTCGCGGACACCCTGGATCATCTCTTCTTCTGTCCTGGTTTCGAGATTTCGCTTGTCGGGGTACTCGAATTCCCAATATGAGGCGTGTTTTGGTTGTTGGTAATTTCTGCTCATCAAATAATGACCAGGTAAAACCTTGAATAACAGAGAAATTAGAAACTATCAGAAAGTAAGCAGATAAATAACAAATACGAACCTGATAAACACCCTCAAACATAGTCCTCTCATCAAAAAAACCACCCCATCTCCTTGATCGACCGAACAGACCACTCGGGCTGCCATCCAAACGCCAAAAACGACTTCATCTCAGTCGCTACCAAGAGCCGGTTTCCCACAATAGTATGGTAAAGCGATTTAATCCCGAACCGGTCCCGGGCCGCAAAGAACAACTGCCGGTTTGCGTCCCAGAGAACGAGAGCGAATTCGCCGCGTAGATAGGAGAGAAAGGAGACCCCATAATGCTTGTACAGAGCAATCACGATCTCACAGTCGCTTTTCCCCTGGAAGTCGTATTCAGAGGAGAGTTGCTCCCGGTAGTGTTCGTGGCCGTAGAGCTCTCCGTTTACCACGGCGTGGATGCCATCCTGGCTATCGTGGAAAGGCTGGTTTCCGTCGGGACTGAGATCGATGATGGTGAGTCGGACGTGGCCGAGACCTGGTTGGTTGTTATCCAGGAGAGTGAGCCTACGAGTTCTAGTGTGCTATCCAGAAGTCACGGCAGCATACCCACTTGACCATCAGGACTGAACCACTTCCCCCGTGCATCTGGACCACGATGCTCGACGACATCCAAACTGGCGTTTAACTGGGCTTCGGATTTGGGGTTGGTTTCGATGTTGCTGATGGAGTCTGGTGACCCTTTCTGGAGGGAGAGAAAGGTCGAGATGCCGCACATGTTGATGTTAGTTTATTAGGGCACAGAAGAAAGATGAAGAGAAAGAAAGAAATAAAAAGAAAAAAGAACAAGAGAGAAGAGGGGTAAGCCGGTCTATATTACGTCTCCAAAAGATGCACGTAAGACGACAGCTCAGCCGCAGCACGATCAACAGAGATGGGAAGAATCTTGCATATTAGATGCAGCATCTTGATCGGTTTACACCAGCAAGAGTGAAGAGCATGATAAATCACAAGACATGGAAATGAAGCCAAAGAGGGGTTGTCGAGTCAGCAAAAAAGCAATTCTTGCATGGAGGAGAACTAGTTCTCACACATTCGATACGAAGCTTCGTTTCATTTTATCTGAGAAGAGATCAATCTATGCTGCAGCCGGATAATTCTTGTCCTCCAGCAGAGAAGATGCCATGGACACCCCAGTCCATTCAACATGATGGCATAAGGAAACTCGAAAACGAATCAATCAAACTACTTGACAACAACTCGGCGGATCAAGGCCACTGCGGAATCTCCTGTATACAAATCAAAGAACCCTCTGAACGCCCGAGAAACGTGGAAGTGAGCAGAAACAAGAAAGCGACCAACAATAACAGATATTGTACAAAAGGTGGCCGGTTGTTCTTTTTATGCCGTTGTCGCATTCGAGATATTTTGAATAAGATAGAATTGAATGATAAAGACGTAGTCAGTCTGCCTTTCCACACCCGACAACCATGCATTTAAAACCCTTGGGCGAGTTTAGGGCGCGAATCGAGGCGTAGATGCAATAAGGCTGAGTGCAAGCATGGAAACCGTTATTTCCGGCATTCGAAGGCCGCTTGGATCTTGAATCGACGGGAATTGCTAGCGTATGGCGTCCGGTGCATTCATTCTGTGAGGATTTTGCAACATGGCAGACGAGAAGGACATGATCATTTCGATGGCCGCAGCTGTTTACAACGCGTTGAACGTGGCACATGTTGGTTCTTCGTGTTGGTTTTGCGGATAGTTGCAGTTGTAGCGAGGCAATGAGTTTGGTGGTTAGGGCTGAGTGGGAATCTTCTATGATATCCCCTGGGGTGGTTTCTTTCATCAGTCGAATAGCTTCAACGACAGCGTCGAAATATAAGCAGATGCCTTGGTGCGTAGATACACATATGTCAAGTGCGAAAAAGCCGATTCTGTAACCAGCAAAGATCCAAGTAAAGTATACTGCCAGAGAAAGGCAAAGGCAGAGTTGATGGAGAGAAATTCCAGCTGGAGATAGCTGTATATAGCAGTGGTGGTGAATATCAAAATGGAAAGCGCAAAGAAATGTGCATGGCATCATTCCACGATGCTGTGAATAGAGAAACATGGAATCCTGTTGCAGTGCATTATAACACACATCACCAGATGGATCTGTGAAATAGTAATAGCATTCCAAGCTTTCGATCACAGTGGAAGAGAAAGTGCACCACCTTTTACATCAGTCTGGAAACATCACATGAGGGAATTGATATTTCTCATATACAGATTTTGATAGATCTTGTAGTATAATATTTTCAAGAATGACATATATAACAACAACACTAATGATGCTCATTCAGTATGCAGACATGCTAAAAGACTCGAAAGCAAACACCAGAAATCATGATACACAGAGGGCCAGCCAGATTAGAAACAAACACATGAACGACATAGACATGAACTGTTCTTGTACAGATTAATATAGTGGAATCGCGGATTTTGATATAGAAATCGCGTCCCAGGGCAAAAGAGCCAGGATATCGACTGGCGCGTTGTTATAAGACAGGGTATTGGAGGATATGGACCAGCACGGCGAGATTATTCATCGTCAACGAAGGAATTGGCGAGGCGACCAAAGAATGGGAGTTCATAGTGTTCGAGATTATCCACTTCGATGGTGAGTATCTTCTTCGTGAATTCTTCAAGACACAACTTACCATCCTGGTAGGCATGCATGCTCATGAAACCAATCAGAGCGATATCGCCAATAAAGAGAAGCCATGAGAGAAAGCTCGACCACGAAAAGATCAGGTGGGTTATCTAAAACCATATGAGCGACGAATGCGATACCAAGGTGCAGAGCAGCTTACAAAAAGGACAGTAAAGACCATGCTCGATTGCCAGGCGTGGAATCTGCAAATAGATCAGCATGCAGCACAGCCAAAATAGAAGCTTTATATCCATCATCACATACCGGACATAATCGCTCTTATGCTCAACCAACAGCAGAAAAACACCCCCTGCTGGAGGCAGAAGCAAGTATGCCAGCATCGCTTCAACATCCATGCGCAGCGGGAGACTTGTATCGAACGCTCCTAGGTGTGGTCGCCCGGCCTCAACATCAGAACCAAACCCGGTATTCCCAAATCCACCGGTTGAAGTCTGCTGAACTCCGCCGCCAAAGTGACTGGGCGATGGAAGCCCTGTTTGTGTGAATCCGGGGATTGTTGGAGACCCGCGAGGGGATTTCGATTGACGACCATCGGCGAGCGGAGGAGAAAAGGCGCGTTCGACCTCGGGCGAGTCGTCTTGGTAGGGAGCGAAATTCATATTGTTTTGAGGGGAATGAGGTATGAACCGAAGTGGAAAAAGATAAAGAGAGTGGAAGACGCGATTGAAATGCAGCTGAAGTCATGCAATTCGGCTTATCGCAGATCGTCTATCAAGACGCGTGGAGTCTTGGCATCATAGCTGAAAAAACGCCAATGACTGCATAACATTGCGCTTCGACGATCCTACACGGACTTGTTTCTATGAATGGGTATCGATTTTGCTTTTTATACGTTTCAAATAAATATCATACATCAAGTCCGAGTCATAAATCATTCATGGCGACCCCATTTAAGCTCTGCGCTGGCCACGCGCAATCCCAGAGCCTCTGGTAGCACCAAGAGCTCCACTGATAGGTCTTCTCGTGGTTGTAGTAGTGCCAGAGCCCCTGGTAGCCGCGGTTCTCGATGCGCTGGAGCTTGTGCTCGAGTAAGAAACACTCGGAGTTCTTCCCAAGCCGGTGCTGCGCATAACTCTGCCTCGAGTAGTCCCCCGTGTGCCTTTAGTCGTCGTTGCCTGTGCTCTCTTCCTCTCGTCCTCCTCAGCCTTTCGAGCAAAAGCTTCTCTTTGGCGTTGCAGTTCTTGTTCGCGTCTCTCTGCTGCTTGTTGTCTCGCAATTGATTCGTTTTCGATATCAGCGACATCTTGGACGGCACCTTGCCAGTTTGGATTGAGGATCAGTCGCTGGTTATGTTCAGTCTGGGAGAGTATCCGTGTCCAGGTGTTAAGCAATGTTGAAGCAGAATTGACAGTTCGAGAGACATTCTAATGATGCTCAGTTAGTAATTACCACTACGGTGCGAATGTAGATCAACATACATCCATATTCCCCTTGGCACAATCGAGACTACCAAGAAGACCTTCAATCACTTGATTGATATTGCGCACACTCTGGAGCTCATTACGCAACGCAACCTCACGAGCCTCCTCCTGGTCGAACAGCGTCTCTTCGTGGGGTGGCCTGGGTTCGGGGGTGCTTCTGCTATCGTCTTCCGCAAGCTTCTGGCTGAATGATTTATGACCCTGTTTCGACGGCGAGTCCCAGAGCTCGTCTGTATCATCCTCCGAGAGCTGCAGCCTGTCCATTTCCTCTGATGTGCTGCGGAAAGCCATGGCTCTAGACCCGGAAGACAGCGAGATGACCGATGGAGGGGCTGGCGACCAAAGTAAACAAACGGTCGCACGTGTAACCAAGGCCTAGACTTAAATTGAACGGGGTCGATAGGAGAAATTCAATGTTCCAGAAAGCGACCCGATGCACAGTGTGGGAATAATATTGGGCTCTTCGATGTTGCAACTGTCGTGGTGGGGCGTCGATTGGTTCAGCCCCCCCATTTCGAGACAGAAAGCGGTGGCTGGGCGATTGACGCTGGCATTCCTGCGTTGCTCCGTCACCACCACCAACAGCCCTGCTTCCATTCTTTCATTCCATCCAACAATCAACTACTATTGCGCTGCCTCACTTATTCCTCCCTCTTCATAATAATCTTCGTCTTCTGTATCGATTGCTTTCGATTTGGAGTCTGCTACGCGCCCTATTGCTATCCCTGGCCCTGGTTATATTTCCGACTCCCTTGATTTCTGCCCTACGGTCGGGTTTTTGAATAGTCGCGCGCCTCCTCCCTTTCTTCCCTCAGATCGATCAATCCAATCCCCCAACAACTCTTCCAACTTGCGATTCTCGAGAGTGACAGTTTTATCCCGAGTGCTATTGTTGTGAATATCCTGGAATCTGCAGATTGTGTATATTTACCCCTCGGGGAAGACGTCAATTATTGGATTTGAATTGGCATATACCACCCACAATGGCGACAACACCACCGCCTTCTACGCTTCGAATCCCCCCTACACCGCGCCACGGAGCTGGTTACGATCAATATGAACCGTATTCGACGCGTCATTCGGCCAGACTAGCAAGCCAGCGAGCTTCCAAAGATTCCCGTACAACGCCCGAACCCAGTTTCCCAGCTTCTCACAGCCGAGCTGCACCACCAAAGAGTGCCAGGGAGCAGAGAGATCCTGAATTTGAGGCGTTGTCACCTCCTGGTTCCATTCACAACTCTCCCCGGAAGAAGCAGTCGGGCCGGAGTAGGGGCTTTGTTGCGACACATTCACTGGGTAACACTGCTGGTCTGGACAGTGCAGACCCCTTCAGCACCACAGAACCCTCCCACACCCAACAACCTTCTCTCTCAGCACTTCGAACTACCATGACCGACGGAATGCTACCGACCCCTGCCAAAACACCAAAGAAAAAGGCTGTTGGTGATGCTGGATCCACTGCTCGAGTTCTCTTCCCCCCAAGTTCCTTGTCCGGACGCACCAAGAAACCCAAGAAACACCTTGGTTTCTCTTTGGACAGCTTCAGCGACGATCCCAGCCAGAACCAGTCCAGCATTCAAATTTATACCGATTCTCGTGATAGAATTCCTGAGGTCGACGAAAGTGAGAGCAATCCATTCTACAAGAAGACCACCGAAGTCGAGCCTCCTGTTCCCGCAGCCCCGCGTGTCTCTAGGAGGCGCAAGGTGGGAGAGAGCAAACGCGACAAGGAAGTTGACGATGCGGTCAAGCGTGACGATGGCATGTTCTATGTGTTGTAAGTATCCACATCAAACCCTTTCTCAAAACCTATGCTAACGATCCTGTGCAGCCGTGGCAAGAAGACCTTCCGCAAGTTCACTGAAGATACACACGACGATGCAGAAGATGATGACGACGACTTGGGCTTGCTGGCTGCTCGCCCCGATCTCATCGACTCAAGTGTGACGTCCAGCATTCGACCTTTGACTCGTTCATCTATCAAACCACGTGTGCTCTTCCCCAGTGCTAGCGATCGCCGCCATCAAAGCCAGCATCTCAGTGATGTTGATGAGGAGGCCGCTACTGATATTGAAGAACATTTGCTTCCCAAAGATGCAGAAGATAGTGAGGTGGAGCCAGCTCCAGAAACCGACATGCTGCAACGACCAGTGACTCCCCCATTGAAATCTGAGTTTGCAACCCCCTCGTCACCTGGCGCCACAATTCGTTCTCTGCGTCCCCGTGCTAAGAGAGACGCTGCCGAACACGAATCGACCCCTATTGCTTCCGAAACCAAGAAAAAGCGAGCCAGCCCCTTTGATGGATGGCTACGCAAGAAACCAGTCCCTGCTGTTGCAGGATCATCGAAGGCCAAGAAACGAGATGCGGAAGCAATTGGCAGCCCTGGTGGTCCAGCTACAAAGAAAACGCGAGCCAGCCGAGCTGCAGCTTCGTCATGAACCTTCCAACCGACCTGAGATAATGCTCCTGCGTACTCCGTGGGTGTTCATAAAAATACTACCCTGTCGAGTCAACATTTTTTCAAGACTTTATCAACGATTCATCCTGCGACTTTGGGAGCAGGCACTTCCTTGCATGAAACGCATTATGTCAATAGGCGGTCTTGATTCTTTTTTCTCCCTATTTTTGTTTTTTACTTCTTTACCCCTTCTCACTTTTACGCCCGCTCGAAACTTAGTCCCTTTTGCACTGAGCTTTTTCGAGTCTTATTACCCCATCTTTTGTTTGTTTTTTGCAGATCATTCTTCTATTCTACTTTTGTTGCTTGCAGAACCCGGTCGGTATGGTAAATGGGTATGGATATGGAAATGGAGGGTCAGGGTTGGCTACTGGATGGAGTTTTCTTTCACTTATGTTCGCAGAGATCTTTGTTTTCTTTCCCCTTCCCTTAAATAGCTTCAGTCTAGATATCCCAAATCGAATGTCAATTGTAATGTCAATCATTCCACTACAGTCATACAATAGAAAAAATTATGGGTTGTCCAAATGGGTATCCATTTTCAAGTCTGACAAGCTAAAATATCCTCCTTAGACCAGCTAGAAGCACCAGAACTCGCTGAATAGGAAACACGTAAAAAGAACATAAGTAACAGAACATATCAATGAAGAACAGAAAGAAAAAAGCCCCTCCTCGATCATACAAGGTTTATGATTTAAATGCCAGGTTATGGTATGTAAACTCCGCCTCCCAAAGGTACTCTAAACAGAATCCCATCTGCTTTCTATTGCCCAGAACAATCCAACCAACATCCATATTTCGTGACGGCGTAAGGGTCTGGTTTGGAGGACCCCCTTGAAAATGAATGAATGAGCGACTTTTTTTTTTTTTGTTTTGTAAAGAGGCAAAAATTGATACAATACAGTTAGTTATTTTAGGATGAGGTAGACATTCTAGATGATGTCTAGATCATCGTCGTCGTCGTCGTCATTATTATTATTTTGGCTTGCCTTGAGCTTGATATCGCTGCCTCCGAGACTATCTCTCCCGGCTTCTTTGATGCCCTTGGAGGTTATGAATCGGGTCTTTTTGACGCTGCCATGATGCGGTTTGTCGCCGTCATAGGCGCGTTTCTTCGGGCTCAGTCTTATCGTATTCGCCTTTCGAAAGCCGGTTAGACCAAGGGTGTTGGCTGCTGAGGATTGTGTGGAAGGAGTGGGTTTGGTCTTTTCATTGTCACTGGGGGTTGGAGCTTGTTCCCCAGTTCGAGCCCGCAGATACTCGGCACCCACGCCCTTGGCTCCGGAGGTGACAAGTCTCTGTGTGATGTCTCGCTCGCGTTGTTGACTTACCAGGCGTCTTCGGAGACGCTCTTCTTTGCTCTCATTTCCGCGACCCATCATGCCTGCCGCTATGAATGGGTCTTCGTCTGCATCGATCAGACTAGCTGCAGATTGACCACCAGCTGTGGGATGGAAAGAGGGGCCACTGCTGAAGTTTTTAGATTTCGGGGCTGGGGCGACGTAGTAAACGGATTGAGAGCCGGCGTCGTATCGAGCACCCTCTGGCTTCATTCCGTTGTTCTTGAAGCCCCCCTTCTTCCCTTCGCCGAAGAAGCCTGTTCGAGAGCCTGAACGACCACCAGGGCCAAACAACCCCGGTCCGTTATTCACGCCCATACGCTGGGACTGTGTGCGGCGGACCTGGAGGTCGATGTGGAAGTCGCAGAATTCGGTCTTACGGCCGTCGACCCATGACTGGCAGGTCTTGCCATCTTTTCTGACTGCTTTACAGAAGCCAATATCCAGGGAGGATCCAACTTCAAGAACCTTGTCATCAGACGAGGAAATCGAAAGGCTGAACCGGCCAGTATCAATCTTATTCCTGGGTGGTGGCATGATTGTAGGGTTCAAAATGGCGATGACGGTACCCTCGGATAGTCTGTAATATCGTGGGAAGGCAGTATCGAAAAGGAAAAGGTCGATGGTCCATTTGAGATCGGTGAGAGTAATAGCCATGTATCTATTGCTGTTATTCAGGCCATCATCAAATGGGTCAACTTCCTTCGTAGAAACATTGTTCGCCTGCTTGACTTGCTTAGGTTCGGACTTCGACGCGACTATTCCAAACACAACGTAGTCTCCGTCGATATCTTCGGGCAGTTCAAAGTCCGGCGCTTTCACGGTTTTGAGAAGATCAGGAATGCGGAGGACTTTCTTGTCAGAAAGTGTTCGTGACAAAAAGGAATGCGGTAAGATGCGATTCGAAAGGTTTAATGAAGAGTAGGCTTCAAATTTTGTCGGGTCAGGCGCTTTTTCCACGGCACCTTCGTTTTCATTCCGCGCTTGATCCGTGATTGTAAATTGAGAGCCATTGGGATTGGAAGGAGTGTCCGATTCAGACTTGAGGTTTCTCCTATGGAAATAAGACCGCGATTCTTTAGCGTTGCCGTCCCTATCCTGACTGCGTGCCCCGGAAGTCGTGTTGCTTCTTTTCAATGAGGGAGAATTGAGGTGATTATAAGACCGTAGGATATCTTCTCGGCTGAAACTTTCTGTTTGCCGGTTCCGCGTAGGGGATCTCGAAGCAGGATTTGTTGTAGCTTGCGCGGCAGCTGCTTTGAAACCCTCCATCTCTGTCTTATCGAACTGGAATGCCGAGCTTCGGTTCATCTGGATTCTCTCTGCTCGCTCCGTCCGTTCTTTTCGAGACTTGTCGACGGACCTGCTTTCCGCCATGCGTTCGCTGAAGCTCTTTGGTCGTGGTGCCTCACCAGCAGAAGAGGGCATGTGTGCAAATATGTCACCGGTACGAGTCATTGCGCTTTCTCTATTCCCAAGCCTGCTGCTCGTTGGTCGAGAATCCGGGTTTATCCTAGGTGGACGTTTTAGCGATATATCACCACCCTTCAGCCCTTTGTCAATTCCAAGCAGAAACCTCCGCGGGGACGCAGGTTCGCCCGCAGGAGGTCGCCTCGTTGGCGACAATGGAACCTGGACCTCATCAGGCTGGATTCTGTTATTTGTAGCATGTGGACTTTTTATCCTGGAAGCTTGGTCTTGGCATCGCGACGAGAAACTGTTGGATGAAGTTGGTCGAGAAAACGAATCGTCTCCGTCCTCGAACGAGGATGTTGGTTTCCCACGACTCTTTTGCAGCTGCTTTAATTTCAGACGAGCTTCAATGGCTTGCAGCTTCAATTGGAGAGTCTCTTCATCTTCCTCATCTTCTCCGCCATCCACGCCGTCACTCAATAGCTGTGTTGCTTTGCTTCCAAAATCAGGCGTAGTTGCTGTGCGTTTCAACGGCGACCTTAGATTCTCTCGACGACGCTGCATCTCTTGGTACTTCTTCCGGCCACTGGGAGAGCTCAGAAGAGCCTCCTTGGGGGATTTCGGCGGCCACGATGTTTCGACCACTGCAATAGAAAGTTTGTCAGTACAAATTCTCGCGCGAGCCTGATAGAGCGGAGTTTTCCTCACTGCTGGTCATCGCAAGAATTATGCCTTAATTCTAACAGACGGACAATAATCGCAACTGTCAGGACACCACCGCTGATCGTTAGGCTCGCTGACCGACTATTTCCATGTTCATCGACAAGGATGCGGGGAGGAGGAGGGGAGTGTTGGTAATGGCTGCCCAAGTCTCGTGGATGTCGACAGTGATCAACCTCTCTCCGCAATAGGAAAATAACAATCAGAGCCCAAATCGGACTGGCATGACAACAATGACGGTCAATCACCAACAGGAGTTTTTCTTCCTCGTCCTCTCTGCAGCAAGGCACAGAGCAATTATTGTCGCACCGTCGCCGCCTCAGGCTATCCCTGCGCCTCGCCGTCCTGCATTAGTCGCTGTGGCCGCTGATTGGCTGCGGTGGAGGCGCGTGTCGCGTCGGGGAAAAAGCCGCCGACGCGTTTTCATTTTAACTCCTTCCAGACCAGAAGAACAGCAGAGGATATCGGGTGATGCCATTGAACATCGTCCATTGATTCTATTGATACCGTCGACACTGATAGTCAGATTATCTCGCCAAAATGCGAACTCGATCAGCCGCTCCGTCGACAAAGCCGGAGCCTGAAGAGCCCTCGAATGCGACAACCCCGTCGTCGAATACACTCAAACCGGCGGAAAGACCAAGCAAGACGTTCATTCTTCCTTCATATGCCAGCGACGATGCTCGGTTTGTTACGCTGCCCAACCCGCGAACCGGGGAGCTGAGCCGCTACTTTTTCTGCCCAAAACTTGGTGTATACGAGTTCACCGTGGTTGCAGCCGCACCGCAAGCTCCGCGAAGTATACTAGTCACATCCAAAACAGATATCACCACAGACAGCAAAGGAGACCATGTACCGACAAAGGGTGCAATTTCCAAAACTGCGGAATTGTTAATTGCGACACCCATTGATATAATTTTCTTCGTGATACCTTTACTATCGCCATCACCATCAAATCAATCGAAAGGGCTGTTTCAACCCCTTGACGATATCATTGACTCGCACGACGAGATACCCAAGCACCTGCGTTATGTACTTTACAATGAAACGTTTAGAGATTCCTTGAACGCACGAGTGGAAGCTATTTGCGACACGGTGGAAGCAGGGGATGAGAAAATGTTCAGGCTCAGCGAAACGAAGCTCTTGAAGGAATTGATTGCCAAGGCAGAGCGCATGGTAGCGCAGGGTCTTCCAGTCAGCTTAGAGGAACGCTTTGTCCGCCAGGCCTTGGTTACACCGCTGATGGCTGTCAAGCGAGAAGACGCATCCACTAATGGCGCGACGTCAAACGGAGATAAGGCCGACGGAGAATCCCCCGAAAAACAAGAAACGCAGTCAGGGACCTCCTCGGATACGACGCCTGCTAATGAAACATCGGAAAACATGACACCAGCTACAGAGCCACCGTCGGAGGAAGTGCCTTCTACGGACAATGTGACCCATCTGCTCAGGATCTCTACCGCCCTGTCCTTCGTGAAGGAATCTTACCTCTCGCGTCCCATATGCACCAAATTTGATGAAATGCTCGCTGCTCCCGAAAGTCCCTTAGATTTCAAGCCGCTGCAAGATCGTCTGAAGGAGATAGCCGGGCTTCGCGCGCAAGCACTCGCATCCCGAACCCTCTCGGACTTTAGCCGGAAACGAGGACCAGACGATGATGAAGGTGCGGAGTCACGAGCAGAAAAGAAGCGCCGAATGGAAGAAGAAGAGAAGAAGAAGAAAGCCAACGAATCTCGCGGTGTTAAGGACTTGAAAAAGGTCAATACAACCGGAATGAAAAAGATGAGTGATTTCTTTGCCAAATCAGCTCCCAAGAAGAAGTCATGATGGGTTTGGTTTCACTGGTGAACTCAACCGAAATGATTGCAGGCATTCCATCTGCAGGCTGTGAAGTCACGCTGTGGTCTTTGTAGAAACGCCAGTACCTTGCCCTGGTTCTGGAACAGGGATCCCGCATCAAGAGGTACATCTGCAAAGGATGTACCGTCTATTCACTATGTGGAAAAGAGGTCTTGGCTACTTGAGCACGGCCCAGGCATGGCTATGCGAACTCCGGCATCCCAGAGTGTAAGCCATGCTTGTTAACTATATGGCCAGCACACGTGTGACACCTATGACGTGAATGCGCCGGAGGAATATAGAGGGTCCTCGGTAGACACTCGCTATCCGAGAAGGAATTCCGGCTTGTATATAGATTTGGTACGAAGTATGCTATTCCCAGATCTATGGTATCTTCATCACAAGCAAAACTTGAAAAATCCGTGTCATCAAACGCACCTGTTGGTGGTCGTGGTAGTAGAACTCATATTTCAAACGCCAAACAGCAGGAAGTACTATGGAGAGCCATGTTAATTTTTTATTTATTTATTTTGGTTCAAACATCAACTTGGTTAATAGCAGCCCCGGTAATCCTATAAAATATCATTAGCCAAACATAGTCCTAAAAAGGGACTTCAGTTGTCAATGGAAAAACTTACATAAATGATCCGTTGGATGGTTTACTGATGACCATAGCCTGAGAGAGTTTCTCCTCAGTGATATCAGGGAAATTCTTCAAATAGTACTCTTCCTTAAGGGCCTTGGTGACAGCCTCAACCTTGGACTGAGGGAGCATGTGGACGGTGCAGCCTCCCCATCCAGCACCTGTAAGTCGGCTACCCCAGGTACCAGCCCGGCGTGCGATGGCGCAGATGTCGTCAACTTGAGGAGCGCTGCACTCGTAGGTAGTGCGGCACGAGTCCTGAGACTCGTTCAAGAGCTGGCCCAGGTAGTTGATGAGCTTCTCGTCCAAGGTTGTGGCTTTGGCAAGACAGGCCTTGAAGTCAAGCACACGACGCGCCTCGGTGAAGCAGTGCAAGGCACGCTGGCGGAGAAGGAAACGATCTGCTTGAACGGGGAAGGCGGAGAGGAACTTGGATTCGAGATCTGCGACTGTGATGCCCAAAAGTTTGGCAATCTCCTCCCGGGTGTATCCTTGCTCCTGGGACAGAAGTTCCTTTGTGGTCTGGATGACGGAATCGATCTGGTCTTCGAGGGCATCGCCTAGTCGGCCTTCCTTGGACATAAATTCATAGTGGAAGTTGCGCAGACTGTACCCGAGGGAGCTGTTGTCCTTCTTAAGAGTGAGACCATGCTGGGCGGCCAGCACAACAGCAGCGAGGGTGCACTCTGCTACACGAAGGTTGTAATGACGGGGAGCTGTCTCGGCCTTGTTGGAAGTGACAAAGCTCTGTGCCATGAGGAAGGTAATCTCCTCATCGGCCTTTGGGACGGGAACATGCTGAACGGAGAATGATGGGAAGAATTGGGTGTAAAGCAGATATCCCCGACGGGAGAAGATGGAAGCTGCCTGGTCCATACTGTTGCGCCACGAATATAAGCCATAAGAAATATAATAAAGAAATAGATGAAACTTTTGACTTACCCTCCGGAGTAGACACCAACTGCACGCTCAGAAACAACGGCCAAGTCCAGGAGGTCCTGCTTTGAGACATTGTGGTTGTTTGCCTTCATGATAGCCAAAGCGCTAGCACACACAAAAGCAGCACTGCTCGAGATACCACCACCCGGCGGCACGTTACCATCCACCAAGACCTCGATACTGGCAGGGGAGAATGAGCCATCCGATTTTTCCTTGCGCAAAAACTTCAGCGCTCCCACAAGACCGGCCTTGAAGTAGTTGATCCACTCGTGCTTTTTCGGGTCAATCTCAACATCGGTATCCCGTGGCACGGTGAACTCGCGAGTAGGGAACTTTTCTGGCTGGACATTTGCAATTTTGACGACAGCATCTGAGCCGGTCGAAGGAATGACCTTGACGGCAATAATGACATCCACACTGACGGCAGTTGGAAGCACATCGTACAGGTTGTAGTCAATATGCTCTCCGATAATGTTCACCCGGCCAGGGCTACGGGCGACAAAATCTGGGTGATGGCTGTACAATTTATTGAACTGAGAAACCAGGCCACTGAATCTAGTCTGGTGTTCTGAAGAAATAGATGTGACAGAGGCATCGTCGGTTGCGTAGACCTCAGCGATGGACTCTGTCTGGGGAACGAGCTCCTGCGGGGCAGCCATGGCGGGGTAAAAGTATATATGAGTTATAAGAAGAGGATGGTAAATGCGATGAAGGGAAGTTGGAATAAAAAGCAGGAGAGTAGCTCAATGATGAACTGAAACACAGCAAGAAGAATCTGGGAGAGAAAAATAAAAGACCTGAGAAAAAATGTGCTGCTGAATGCCTCCCCAAGGACCCCACGGAGCAATCGGTTCCAGATGGAGTTGGTGGGGACTCCGGAAATAATGGCGGGCTGGCTGTCCGGAGAGCGTCGCCGCCGTCGCGTGTACAGGCATCTTTGGGGCCGTCCGAAGAGTCCAAAGAGACCGGTGTGCCGAACCCCCCACAAAAGACTCCGGTTTGTTCAGTTTGATAGGCAATGCATTTATCCAAATTATCCTAGTTGGCTCAAGACCCTGATTGTAACGAGTTATGACTGCATTGTGTCGGAATGTGTGTCGAGAGTTTTGTCTACTGTCATTTACTACTGGAAAATATGGCACTGCAATGACACACGACCAAGCAAACAGACATTGTTCTAGACTAGGAAATATTCCGATCTATCATGGGTGTAAGTCACCTGAATAATGCAGGTCATCTGATGATCAATGATCCGAATAAATCGTGTCATGTCGAGCACTTTCAGCCGATGTACCTTGGCTAGTTAATTGTATGGAGGGGTACATTTCAGAGTTGTGCCTGACCTGCGCTCTGTGCCAATAAGCGAGCCAATTGATAAGGAATCGGCACCGGAACAACTATACGCCTATTCCGAATTTCCGATAACAGAGGGGCAAAAGCGGAAATCATCTTACAAAAGCCCTCACAGAAGCGGTTTTATATCAAGAATCCAGTTATTGAAAAATTATCGCAAACATGGACGTCGCTCAGAGGCTCGCGCTGATCAAGGAAAACCTCGCCGAGATTCTCAATCCTGAGGTGATTGAGGCCGCTTTGGCTGAGGGGCGGAGCCCAAAGATCTACTGGGGTAATTTTCACTTCTTTGCTTGTTGCGATTTGGAATTACGCTGACATTTATTCTTTTGGTTAGGTACTGCCACTACTGGACGACCTCACTGCGGTTACTTTGTTCCAGCATTGAAAATCGCACAATTGCTGGCGGCCGGTTGCGATGTCAAAGTGTTGCTGGCTGATATTCATGGCTTCCTCGATAACCTCAAGGCTCCGATTGAGCTTGTCGAACACCGTGTAGTGTACTACCGGCTCACAATTTCCGCTATCCTCGAATCCGTGGGTGTGTCGACCGAAAAGCTACAATTTGTTCTCGGAAGCTCTTACCAGAAGAGCCCTGAGTACGTTATGGATTTGTACAAACTCAGCTCCTTGGTTTCTGAGCACGATGCAAAGAAGGCTGGTGCCGAAGTTGTTAAGCAAACAGACAATGCTCCTCTAAGTGGTCTTCTCTACCCGCTTTTGCAGTGCTTGGACGAAGAGTACTTGGATGTTGATGCTCAATTCGGAGGTATTTATCATAGTGCACGAGGTGATGATATCCCAGCTAATTTTGAATAAGGACTTGACCAGAGAAAGTTGTTCACAGCTGCAAAGGAGTGGCTTCCTAGGGTTGGGTACAAACAGGTAAGCCTGTGGCAATCCAATACTTCCATAATATCGTGGCTCACGGAAATCAGCGTGCCCATCTGCTCAACGCCATGGTGCCCGGACTTCAAGGTGCCAAGATGAGCTCTAGTGACGAAGGTATTTTGATCGCAGACATCTAAGTCGCAGAATATTTACTAAAACCCTATCAGACAGCAAGATCGACCTTCTTGACACTCCAGAGGCAGTCACAAAAAAGATTCGCAAAGCTGAAGCTTCTCCCCGAGTTGTTGAAGGCAATGGCGTTCTGGCGTTCTGCGAATTCGTTCTGCTTCCAGCAGCAGCTTTGAAGGGCAAGGCAGAATTCCGTGTCGAGCGTGAGAGAGATGGCCTGGAGCCTCTGGTGTACACAAACATCAAGCAGATGCAGGAAGATTACGCAAATGATACTGTATGTCCAATTAGCCGTTTGGAATATCACGACTGACTTATGTTTTTCTAGTTGACACCCCAGTTGTTGAAACCCGCCGTGGCTAAGGCCTTGATTGAGCTCATGGCACCCATTCAGGCAGCGTACCAAGCTTCAACCGAATGGCAGGAGATTACCTTGAAGGCATACCCGCCGGCCACAAAGAAGAAAGAGAAGAAGGTCAAGGACAAGGGCTCTCGCTACCCTGGAGGAGCTCCAAAGGACGCTCAGGCACCTAATTAGGTTGCCCCAAAAGCCTACTACTTACCATTCATGTACACATCAGCTTCGTTCTGATTCACGATTCTGCATAGCAATAGTCAAGCCATTTATCTCATCGATATTGTCAGCTTTACCCCCATACTTATGGTTTCTCCTACATGAATGTTGATGATATCAACATACCACATTTTGAGGCACCGTTTATTCTGATGTCATGTCTATACTCAAACTGCAAGGAAAACTTTGGTTATGTCCCTGGCTCGCAACAGTGTCATTTTGCATACTCTCATGCATATACCCGGATTAGGATGATTATGCAAAAAATCGCGGAATGCGTCGATCAACCTGGCGAAGTATATTTTCGAATTCATATTGAGTAATAGAAATCCCAGCCATACCATTTTCTTGTGTGCTGTGCTACTGCGAATGATCATACGATCACCACTGCGGTCTCCTTAACAGCAAAAGCGGTTGAATGTAGAAAATGGTTGACCGCAGACTGCATGGAACGGCATATGAATCATAGCCAAGGGTCATCATCAATGCTTGACATATCTGCTTGCATATGACATATCCAGTGAATAGTAGCCCCCGTACACCTTTATTCTGTCTAAATTCCGCCATAACATTCCGTACTACATCGCACTACATTGCAACACCTCATTCTAACAGTCACAAACTCCATCATCAGAAGCCTCTAGGCAGGCCGATCGGCCCCAACACAAGCAACCGAGGATGTTCTGCCTGAGGACTCAGGCTGCAACGGCCGCCGATGTCCCCCTAGCGTCTCAATTCGACGGCCGATGATCGGAGCCAGAAGGCCCAACGGACCAATAATGGCGCGCAGATTATTTGTGTCCTAACCCCACTAGGCGGTTTCCGGCCTAGCTCAACCGGGAAATGCTCGCTCTCGCCCCCCCCAAAGGTTTGTGGTGACTGACTCTTCCTCGTCCGGCCTTAGGACCGACTTCCGTACACTTTATTTCCCAGTCTCGCTTTTGCTTTTGCTTAACTTTTTTCCATTTCTCCTCCATCCTCTCCCCTCCCCTCCTTTTCTTCTGGCCTGGCAGTCATCCAATGCGAAGATGATGCCTCTAAGACCATCAAAAAGCGCTCTGCGCTCTTTCCACTACCAGAGGTATATTGCCTCTGGTAGAAGGCCTTTCACCTCGTCCGTGGCCGCAGGCATTTCGCCCCACCGCTTTTCTACCCAGAAACGAAGCCAGAGCACCGCATCTGCTGCTGCTTCGTGAGTGTCTCGCCAACCTAGATTCAATCAATTGACGGTTCTAATCGTTCTTGGTGGTTTATTTAGTGACCCTAGACCTGCTCCGAGCCCTGCGTTTAACCAGGACCCCCAGCGTAACGAGGTCTCTCCGCTCCAGAACCGACATCTCGACCTGGATGACTCGTACGTTCGACCAAGCCACATGGGTATTGGATTACACGGCTGATAATTTCTGGCAATAAACAGGTTCGTCGGACTCAGTGGTGGAGAAATCTTCCACGAGATGATGCTTCGTCTCGGTGTCAAGCACGTTTGTGAGTCATTTTCCCCTTCGGTTACTCATTCTTTTTTTTGGTATGGCCAGAGCACTGACTCTAGGAAAAAGTTGGTTACCCCGGAGGTGCTATTCTTCCCGTCTTCGATGCCATCTACAACTCGAAACACTTCGACTTCGTCCTCCCCAAGCATGAGCAGGGTGCCGGTCACATGGCGGAGGGTTATGCCCGCGCTTCTGGCAAGCCCGGTGTCGTCCTCGTTACCTCTGGTCCCGGAGCTACCAATGTTGTCACTCCCATGCAGGACGCTCTCTCGGACGGTACTCCGATGGTTGTTTTCTGTGGTCAGGTCGCCACCGGTGTGATTGGTACCGATTCTTTCCAGGAAGCTGATGTCGTCGGTATCTCGCGCGCCTGCACAAAATGGAATGTCATGGTCAAGTCTGTGGCTGAGCTGCCTCGTCGTATCCAAGAGGCTTTCGACATTGCAACCAGTGGCCGCCCGGGTCCAGTTTTGGTCGACCTTCCCAAGGATATCACCGCCGGTATCCTTCGCAACCCCATCCCGATGAACAGCACCATTCCTTCTCTCCCCAGCGCCGCGACTTTGGCTGCCCGGGAATTGGGTATGAAGCAGCTGCAGAGCACCATTGGCCGCGTTGCTCGCCTTATTAACGTCGCCAAGAAGCCCATTTTGTACGTCGGCCAGGGTCTGCTCGCCGGTCCCGATGGTCCTCAGGTTCTGAAGGAGTTGTCCGACAAGGCTTGCATCCCCGTCACCACCACCCTGCAGGGATTGGGTGGTTACGATGAACTTGACCCCAAGGCCCTCCACATGTTGGGTATGCACGGATCCGCATACGCCAACATGGCTATGCAGGAGGCTGACTTGATCATTGCCGTTGGCGCTCGTTTTGATGACCGTGTGACCGGCAGCATCCCCAAGTTCGCCCCGCAAGCCAAGCTTGCTGCTAGCGAGAACCGCGGCGGTATTGTTCACTTTGAGATCATGCCCAAGAACATCAACAAGGTGGTTCAGGCCAACGAGGCCGTGGAGGGTGACTGCGCCGAGAACATCCGCCTTCTGCTGCCTCAAATTGAGGCTGTCTCTGAGCGACCTGAATGGTTCGAACAGATTAACTACTGGAAGTCGCGTTTCCCCTTCTCCCTTTACGAACAGCAGTCTCCCGACGGTCCCATCAAGCCCCAGGCCCTGATTGAGAAGCTCAGCGACCTTACCGCACACATGAAGGACCGTACCATCATCACCACCGGTGTCGGTCAGCACCAGATGTGGGCCGCACAGCACTTCCGCTGGCGCCACCCTCGCACCATGATCACCTCGGGTGGTCTTGGTACTATGGGATACGGTCTCCCTTCGGCTATTGGCGCCAAGGTTGCTCGACCTGACTGCCTCGTCGTTGACATTGACGGCGATGCTTCCTTCAACATGACTCTTACTGAGCTCTCTACCGCTGCTCAGTTTAACATTGGCGTCAAGGTTCTCTTGCTTAACAACGAGGAGCAAGGAATGGTGACACAATGGCAGAACCTGTTCTACGAGGACCGGTACTCGCACACCCACCAGCAGAACCCCGACTTTGTGCCCTTGGCCCGCGCCATGGGCGTTGCCGCTGAGAAGTGCACAAACGTCGCCGATGTCGAGGCCAAGCTGAAGTGGCTGATCGAAAGCGACGGCCCTGCTTTGCTGGAGGTTTTCACTGACAAGAAGGTGCCTGTCCTTCCCATGGTGCCTGCCGGATCCGGCCTGCACGAGTTCCTTGTTTATGATGAAGGTATTTTCACCCTCGCCTATGATTGATGATTGTCTGAACGTATGCTGACCCAAATTTCGCTTTTAGCCAAGGAACAGGAGAGAAAGGCTCTGATGAGGAAGAGAAAAGTCAACTTTTAAGCAGCAAACCCATGACAGGTGGCATTGCAGATGATTTGGTAGTTTCAAGGGCCCATCGATCTTTCATCTTCTGTTGATATCCACACGGCGTTTCTGGCGGGTTCTAAAAACGCACTCGGAGCCTCCTCACACACCACCATCCCACATCACACGACACAAACCAGGAAGCGATGTGAGAAAATGAGGAAAGGAAAAGTGAACGGCAACGTCGAAAAGTTTTTTCTGCCTTGATTTTCCCTACGAATCGAGTTGGCAAGGGTTGAAACTAATTTGATTCTTGAGCTTCTCGTCGGAGGATATTTGATTTCGACCACTCGAAAAATCCGCCTTGGTTTTCTTTTTTTTTTTTTATCTTTTTTGAGATACTATTGTGTATATAATCCTTATTTTTTCCCACTGTTATCGTATTGGGATTCGGTGAGCGCAGTATATGAAAGAAGTTGACTATTTTGTCTCCACTGTTTTTTCAACACCCGATAAGAAGGTCGCCCAGGAGATAAATCCGTTTAATTTACTCTTTTTTACTCATCATAGCAGGGAGCACGCGACTCATAAGACATCTGATGGGTCCCTGACGTGTTAGTCTGTCCTAATGGTGTACTCGATAGTATGAGATAGCGTCACGTGATTCCTGACGTGAGCGACTTTTTTCGCCTCGAGCTCCAAAGCCGCGGTTGCTTTCCGACGAGTGGCCGGGCGAACTAGTCCGCAGTGGTACCTTTTGATCTTCCCCCATATGAATCATTCATTAACGACTATTGTTCTTCCGGCCTGAGCCTTACATGACATTATTATTCATGGCCTGACCCAGTCAGTCACTACTGTCTCCACTTTCTACCTAGGCAGCATGTTCAGCTCTCTCTTCGTATCGACCGATTAATAGTTTTGTGCTCTTTCTTTTCCCCCTTCATCCGTCGTCGCCTCTCTTGGTTATCCGTCCGCCTTGTCCACCATGGCGTCCGTTCCGGGATACTCAGCTGCGGGCAGAACGCGATCGTCTGAAACTCTCATGTCCTCTGCCCGGAGTGAGACAACCTCTAGCGATCAAACCGGTGATTCGTCGCCTGAGTCGATCGAGGACACCGAAACTGTTTTTCTCAACAAGCCTGTCTCGTCAAGCGATGATGTCTCTAATACCCACACTCCTAACAAATCTCCAAGCCGGGCCGTAACACCGGTGGACTCGTCGAATTTTGAACCGCGCAAATGTTGGATTTGCTATACAGACGAGACGGAGGAATCGCCACTAAATGCAGAATGGCGTTCGCCGTGTCCCTGTGCATTGACAGCTCATGAAGCTTGTCTCCTTGACTGGCTAGCGGATCTCGAAAATCCCCGGTCCCGCAAGCGCAACGGCAGTCCGGCGAAAATGGTTTGCCCGCAGTGCAAAACCGAAATCGTTGTGTCACGTCCGAAGAGTATGATCGTCGATGTGGTGCGTTTGTTTGAGAGGCTGGCAGGCCGGCTGGTGCTCCCAGGAATGGTCTTTACACTGGCAGGTACCGTTTGGGCTGGGTGCTGTGCGCATGGCGTCTATTCGATGTACTTTGTCTTCGGAACGGAAGACGCACGACAAATACTAGAAGAATCGGTGGATGGTCCGTGGAATTCTGGTATTAACATAGGACTGCCCCTCATTCCACTGGCGTTGATCTTTTCGCGGACCCGTTATGCTGAAGGTCTCCTCCCTGCCATCCCCGTTCTCTTTTTTGCCACCCACAACCCGGGCCAGGAAACAGACCTCGACCTTTGGCCACCAAGTGCCGCTATGACGTTTGCCGCACTTCCTTACGTGAAGAGCTTTTACACTGCAATCTACGACAGACTGTTTGGTAACCTGGAGAGGAAGTGGATCGCGGAAGTACAGCCCCGTGCGGCAGATATCAATGAGTTCGATGACAACGCTCCGCAGGAGCAAGATAGAGCAGCTGGTGAAGCGGGAAATGGTCAGGTCTTGATGGAGATCGACCTTGAATTACAGGTTGGAATGGGCCACGACGATGAACCGCACGGAGCCCTTGGAATGCAGGCGGGCCAAAATAACGCAGCTGGAGGTGGCGCGGGGGCACAGGATGGACAAAACCAAGGCGCTGGACAGAATCTGGGACTCGGGCGACGGGACGACCTCATTAATGAAACGAGCAACCTCGCAGACGTAGTTCTCGGAGCACTTATCTTCCCTGCGGTTTCGGCATCCATGGGAGGACTTCTCAAATATGTCTTGCCAAAATCGTGGACAACCCCAAGCTCAGTGTTGGATCGAGCCCGACCGGGACTGCTTCAGACCAGATGGGGAAGAAGTGTGGTTGGCGGGTGCGTTTTTGTCTTGTTAAAGGACGCCTTGGTTCTCTATTGTCGGTGGAAGCTGGCACAGACGCATCGAAAGCGCAAGGTGCTGAACTACGATCGAACGAAGAAGCAAGTTGGGAGACGGTAGACGGCTGCATATCTTTCTCTAATCTGGTGGTGGTTACTTCGCACCCACTCTTTCATGATAATGGGCGTAATGATGCATCCAAAGGGCGTTTTCAATTTTCGGGGGTTTCTATTTCTGGGGATATTTTGCAATGGATACTATTCCCTCCTTTCTGTTTTTTTATTTTTATTTTTTTTTTTTTTTTGGCCATACCATGCTTTCTAACGATGAGCAAATTGCTTTTGACAAGGTCTTTTAGGCTTGATATCTCTCTTTCATATTGTGCTTTTTCAAGGAAACCCCACATGGACACTTAAAATGGGTCATTGGCTATTAGTGGAATCTAACAATCAATTATTTTGAATTGCTAGCAGTGATAAACATGTAGAACGAAGCATCTGTAGATCTGTTACTCTGTAACCTTTTTTGAGTTCGCGCCTAATGCAGTGCTGATAGCCGCGCGGTAATGCGACCAACCTTTCCGCCCGCCGAAAGGCCTTCTCCAGGTTCCGTCCTGCTATCCCCAAACAACAACACCTACACATCCAATACACACGCCATGCGGTCCCTCTCGCCCGTGCTCGCCTCCCTGGCGAACGTCTTCAAGATTCCCATTTCGCAGACCTCGACCCGCCCAGCCATCAATCGAGTCTGCAATGAGGCATTACTGAACAAGACAACTCCGGGCCCCATCACCAGCGCCGTCCAGCCAGCAGCAGCGAGAACATTCTCGACCACCAGCGCTCTCCTCAAGAGAAAGGCAAATGCACCTCGCGGAGATCGCCGAGTTAGTACGTATCTCCCCATCTGATCCCAATTGCAGTCTAAAAGACACGACGCATCTTCCCCGAGACGGAAAAAATAAAAATAAGAACAACAACGATCCTAACCATTTCTTCAGTGCTCATCCGCTACTTCCTCTGGCACCCTCTCACTCCCCGTCCTCTCCGCTTCTCCCGAACCCGTTACCTCCGTCATTGGACCATCCACCGCGCCTGGCAACTCCACCAAGCCCAACAGCGCCGGGCACACCAGCTCGAGCTCCAGCGCCAGTACCAGGCCATGTCGGCTGCGTGTGAGGAGCTGCGCACCGCCGCCGGCGATGGCGGCAGGCTGTTCCGCAAATCCATGAACAAGAAGGGCGTGTATACGGATTTGGTGCCGATTGAGTATGGGCGGTTGCAGACTGAGGGGCCGAGTAAGGAGGGGTGGAATCATGAGTGGAAGAGGATGGAGAAGAAATAGATTTCCTTTTCTTTTCTTTTTTTTTTTCTAACTGATATGACGAGGTGAACTAGTGTTCGGGTGATCTATCTTACATATTGAAGGCTGTTTTGGGGCTTTTCTGTTTGACTCGAGTGCATGGGCAAATGCATGGTGCTGTTTTTCATGGCATGTACAATATGATAACTTGTTTTATTGTGTTTCTTTATATTTGGTTGAGAAATATCCAATCTGTGTTATAGACAATTTCACTTGGTCAATACATACTACTGGTCTGTCAATTTCAGTCTATCGGCACTAATCATATCAATTCAGATGCAGATGCAAGATGCAGATCTTACTGAGATACATGAAAAGAAAAACAAACAACGAAAAGCCATGCAAAAGACTGAATACATCATTTTAGTCCGGGAACAGCGCAACTGAACTAAAACACAAAGAGTTGAAGGAAGCGCTAGATAGTAGAGACAGCAAGGAACGAGGCAAAAGGCAAAATAAGAATGATTCATGACAGGGCGAATCTAATCCAAATTCACCTGGATTGAAAAGAAAACCATACCAAAGGAGGGGAATCCGGAGCGCACGCATTTATCAAAAGGAGAGAGACCAAAGACATGTGTACCCCGAGAAAAAGAGGATTGAAAAAAGAGGTATAAAGGAATGGACAAGAATGTAAAAAAGCGATGGGCAACGAACGAGGTCGGTGAGAGAATCGAAGCAGAGATAACCCATCAAAAACCACCCAAACGCCAGTCATGCAAGATATATCGATCGACAGTCATCGAGGAAAACCTTTCCCCCCATCAATGTCGGCAGAGGAAACCCTGACGGGAAAGCCACAGACAAGCCAAATAACCTTCATCGCTGCTGGCCCGTGGTCGCTCCAAATACCATCATGGAGTCGGAAAAAGAAGCAGCAGCATATATAACACGAAATCAGACGTGGCAGGGTTCAGATCCATCATAGCACAATGCAGCATGAGGTTTTTCGCTTTTCGAATGTGAGGAGCGCGGCACGGGTGGCTGCCTCAAACACGTCGTCGACGCCCTCTCCCGTCAAAGAGGAACATTCAAGATATTTGCGCGCACCAATCTGCGTTCCAGTTTCGCTTCCTTCCTTGGTCGTGACGAACCGTAGGGACTTCTTCCTCATTTCTTCCATTGCCATTGGGTCTTCGCGAAGATCCTTCTTTAATCCAACTAATATTACGGGAACACCCGGGCATCGCTCGTTTGCTTCATCGATCCACTGCGATTAAGCTTTCGTTAGATTGACAAACACAGACCAGGTGAGAGGGAAGTCAAGACGGACCTTGTGCTTGACGTTTTCTAGAGAATCTGGCGTATCCACGGAAAATCCAATCAAGAGGACATGGGCTTTGGAGTATGCTAGAGGCCGCAAGCGTTCATAATCTTCTTGACCGGCAGTATCCCATAATGCCAATTGAACAGATCGACCGTCGACTCTGCAATCCGTCACGTAGTTTTCAAAAACGGTGGGAACCTATTCGTAATTAGAGCGTTGATCCATGTAAGTGACTCGAGCGGTGGATAGTGACTGACATAATGCTGTAAAGAGAATCCGTGTTAGCCGTATAGCTCAGGCCACCAGGTTGCATGATACTTACAGTTGGGAAGTAGCCAAGGGTAAAAACACTGAGAAGACTGGTTTTTCCACACGCACCGTCTCCTATAATGACCAGCTTCCTACATTATATTGCAGATCAGCCCACTATTCACCCCAGCGCCTTGTTATGGTTGGTGTTTCTGCACTGCATCTACAGGAAACCCCCGTGGCATTTCAAAGCCCCAACGCATCATTGATGATCATTGGATGGATAGGCCAATCCGACATGACATGTAGAATCCGGGGGGATGGGCCATGATGCCCCCTCTTTTCACCGGCATTTAGACACGTACCTTCGCATCACATTATCATTCTGTTGTTGCGCCATGTTTCCAAACCAAGAACTAAAACCACGGAATCGATCGGAAGATGCACGCTAAATTAATCAAGGAGCGACGACGAAGGATGAAGAAGTAGAATGGTAGTAATCAGGCAACCAGCGGATTGAACCGTTTCGGAATGTTCGATAGGGTTAAAAAAAGGATAAGAATCGTCAATGGGTGGAGTTGTTCAAAAGTAAAAAAAAAAAAAAAAAAAAAAAAGGGGGGAGGAGAAACTGTCAAACGTCCCCTCCCCCTAGCTGCTAGGGCGACGATAAAGGAGGATGGGAATGATGATTATGATGATGACGATAAATGGTCCGGGGGGGGATGTGGGAGGTCTGGAAGGCGGTCGAGATGAGGCTGACGACTAAGTAATTGATCGACCACGGGGGAGGAGTTAGTGTAAAGGAGAGAGGGGGGAGAAGGAGAGCGAGGAAGGCAGGTAAAAAGATAAAAAGGAATAATAAATAAGACACACGGAAAAGAAAAGGAAATGAAGGAAATATTGGGAAGCAGAGGAAGTAATAAACAATAAAACAATAAAACAATCAAGAGTAGGAGAAATGATAATAAGAAGAAGGATGAGATCGGCCGGCTTGGACTCGGAGGTCTGGTTGGTTAGGAGCAGCAGACGCCAGCTGAAGAGCAGCACTATCGACCTGGAGATGTCTCAGGCTGGTCGTATTATTAGCAGGCCCATCGACTCTGACGCCGTAGTTGGATGGTATTATTATTATTATCGTCGTTATTATCCCGCAATAATAATCAGATTAATATAAGATGAAGCCTCTATGCCCCAATGGAGTACTACTAGTCAAGAGGAGTGAGGATGAAGAAACAAGCCAAGAAAAGGACAGAAGATGGGCCTCTTTTCTGTGACGGTGTATGGATAGTAAGTAGTCTGGAGCTGGTCGGAGGGGCCGAAGACTGCCAATAATCGACTGTTTCTCCCATTAATTATTCATGATTAATGATTATCGTGATTATCATGATTGATCATCCTCATCCCAGAATACAGAAACACTCACTGCCTTAACCCTCAGGCATACACCTCGCTTATAGCGCTTATCTGCTGCCGACCAGCGGCACGACAACCACCCAGAGGCCGCCGTCCAGATCCACCACCACCACAGGCCAAACCCATCATATCCATCTCCATCCAGCATCCAGCCTTGCTGAATCCCTCTCTGCCTCCATCTCGGGCGCTTGTCTCTCCCAGTCGGCTTTTTCCCATCGGTCTTTCGCTCCCTGTCCTCCCCTACCTCTTCCTCCGCCCATTCCGCGCTTCCTGATCGCTTCCGACAACGCCTTCGCTTTCAGTCCTTGGTGCGACCGGGGTCCCTTCAAACACCCCTCTCCGCCCTCACTTAGACCCCGTTTGCCGGCTTGGAGTCAACCATCTCCTGCCTTCGCCCATTCCCTACGCCTACTGATCGGTTCCTCTTGCTTTTCCGACGCCTCATCTACTTCTCTCTCTTTGATTTATTTTGCGAATTCTTTCTTGCTCGGTCGACTGGAGCTTGGTTAGTGAGCTCCTACCCCCCTCCTCGGATATTATGTTCGTCACTGCCTTCCTGTACTTACAGTCAGCTTTCATGTCTTAGGTCAGGCCTGAAGATTCGCTTTCTAGATATCGTCCCCTCGCTCATGTCTATGTGCAACTGCAACACATGACTTCATCATAACATCTCCGCACTCCCCTCCCCGAAGCTGACTTTCAGTTCCACAATGTCAGGCCGTGTGCCCGCAACACGTCCCACGAATGGTGAGGCTTTTGCGATGAAGGGAAATCACGCCCCCAAATTACCGACCGAACCCACGTCTGTGAACCGCAAGAAACAGAAGCGTAGGCAGAAACAGGCGGCTCGTCTGGCCACAGAGACTCAGTTCCACAATGGATATGCTTCGACAGATGCCGCAGATCACCATAGTTCGAGCCCTACTGGAGGGAGCCATCCGTATGATGACGCGGATTTCGATCATGCCGACCCCGATCACCCCGCGAACGGCGATGTGTTTCACGAAGACGACAATGGCTCAATAGACGGACATCACGATCAACCGATTCCACCAGGGGTAAATAGACAGGATGGAGCTCATAGAGCTGCAGGTCGAAAATCGAAAAAGAAGCGGACAAAGAAAAGTCGTTCGGGATCCCACACGTTCGCAGATGAGAGCTCGACCCCGCTTTCAACACCCTCCATCTCCATGTCGCATCCTCTTCCCCCACCTCTTCCGCCCCATTTCGGGCCCCGTGCAATCCTAAGATCGGCCAAAGATCGCAGCATATGGAATACATCAACGCAGGAGGAACGAGAGAATATCAAGACGTTTTGGCTTGAGCTGGGCGAGGAGGAACGACGGCAGCTAGTCAAGGTGGAGAAGGACGCAGTGCTGAGAAAGATGAAGGAGCAACAGAAGCATTCGTGCAGCTGTACAGTGTGTGGGAGAAAACGGACTGCTATTGAAGAGGAACTTGAGGTGCTCTACGATGCCTACTACGAGGAACTCGAGCAATACGCCAATAACAACCAAGGTTCTTTCGAGAAAGGGCCTCCAATCGTACCACCTCCACGGTTATACCACCCCCCTCTACGATCACCCGGTCAACATACTAGGACCCAAGGCCAATTTCACCCCTCACGAGGTCGAGTCCAGGAGTTACCGGAGGAAGAAGAAGAAGAGGAGGAGGAAGAGGAAGATTTGGAAGAAGAATATGACGAGGACGATGAGGATGATGAACCGTACAGCGACGAGGACGACGATGATCTTGAAGACGAAGACACGCGTGCCGCTCGTGCTGATTTTTTCGCTTTTGGGAATAGTCTAACGGTCAAAGGTAAGCTCGACCACCGATTCTGGATCGTGAAACTCGGGGGCTGATGGTTACTTTCTGTCTTTGCTCCGCTTTAGATGGAATTCTTACTGTTGCAGACGATTTACTCAAAAACGACGGGAAACATTTCATCGATATGATGGAGCAATTGGCAGAGCGCCGAATGCAACGTGAAGAAGATACCCAATACGGCATAGCTGCAGCGCACCAAACACTTCATGGTGGTCATAACCATGGTCCACTCGACGATGAAGATTACGACGACGAGGAGGAGGAGGACGAGGACTATGATAGCCAGGAGGAAGAGGATTATGAGGAAGACGAAATGGTCTGCCCTGGAGTTGTTGGCCCTCCCTTTCTCTTACTGCTTAGCGGGCTTGTACTAACAAGTAATTCCAGGATGCTATGACCGAGGAGCAACGCATGGAGGAAGGACGACGAATGTTCCAGATTTTCGCGGCCCGAATGTTTGAACAGCGCGTATTGACAGCATATCGAGAAAAAGTCGCCGAGCAGCGCCAACAAAAGCTAATCGAGGAGCTGATGGAAGAGGAAAGCCGAAACGAAGCCCGGACGGCCAAGAAGGCTCGGGAGGCTCAGAAGAAAAAGGATAAGAAGAGGCTTCAGAAGCAGGCCAAGGAAGAAGAGAAGGCCCGACGGGAAGCCGAAAAAGCCGCAGAGGAGGCCGCCGCCAAAGCCGAACAACAGAAGAAACTCGAGGAGCAAAAGCGGAAACGGGAAGAGCAGCGCAAGAAGCGAGAGGCTGAACGGAAAGCGCAGGAAGAGGAGCGGGCACGCAAGGAGGCAGAAAAACAGCGACGTCTCCGAGAAGAGAGAGAGCGACATGAAGAGGCAGAGCGGAAAAAGGAACAAGAAAAGAAAAAGCGTGAAGAAGTACGGCGAAAGGAGCGTGAAGAACGAGAGAAGAAGGCCAAGGAGGAACGAGATCGCAAGACTCGTGAGGAGAGAAAAGAAGGGGAGACGACAGCAAAGCCTGACCTCGCTTTTCGTGGTCTGCAGGCGAAACGACCATCGCATTCAGGGCCCGTTCCCATCCCGTCGAGTCTGCCCCAATACCCGCAAGTGCCCTTCGGCCAGCATCACTCGCCGCATCTTCAGGCTGCTACGCCCCTTGTTCCCAAGGCTTCTTCTCCCGCTCGGCCGCGTCAACCATCTCAGCAAGGTTCTCACACGTCCTCGCCCCGATCCCAGCCTGCAAGCACAGAGCCGTCGCAAATATCCATCTCCCCCCGGTCTATGCCACCGTCCCAATCGTCGGGTGCATCCAGTTCATCCAAACAAGGCCATGGGCAGCAACCATTCCTCCATCATCCTCAGCCTTCAACGCCACTGTCTCCTCTTGGATCGATGGGCAGGTCTCACCCGCCAGGATTCCCTAGTATCAACGGGTTACCACCCAATCCTCCTGGATTAGGCATGGCCCCGCGACCGCCAATGGGTCATGATCTACCCATATATCCACCGCATTCCGGGTCTCTGTTGAGTCAATTCCGAGGATTTCCTGCTCCGAATGGGATCCCTGTACCACCACCGGGGATCAATGGGGTTCATTCTATGCCGCCTGGACGAGGGTTTCCGCTTGATCCAGGGCACGCCCATCCGTTCCACAGCCAGCAGCCAATGTCGAGTCCATTCTCTGCACAGCCAAGTGGATTATCTCACGCGCATTCCCGACAACAGTCCAATTCGTTTGAACGATCTCCTCTCAGCACGCATGCGCAGCCATTCCCGATTACCCGACCCAGCCCCATCAAGCGTCCCTCCAGCACAGCGCAAGATCAGCAGAGAAATGGTGGGCGCACCTCACAGCACGATGTGGAAAAACTCAGCGCCCATCTTGGGAGCAGTGCTCTTCTTGATGACACTGATCTTCCATTTACGTCAAGCCTGTCCCAGTCACTGCCTGGCGCAACAGTTCCTGGAGCCTTCCAGGGTCCAACACGCGCCAGCTTTGGAGGGCCGTCGTTGTTCACGGATTCTCTCGGTGGTGAGATAATCCCCTATTCTCTGTGGTTTTTCAGTGGTACTAACAATCACCCAGCGTCAAAGCACACCAACTTTTCAGCCAGTCCGGGAATAGGAAGTAGCACCTGGGGTACGCAGACTCCTTTTGGGGCCTCCGCCTTTCCTGGTGCTCCGACATGGGGAGCTGGATCTGGTGAGTAGTACGCGCCATTCACATTCTGTGATCTAATATTGACCATCATTTAGGAACTGGTTGGCCCAATAATGCATTCGGGTCCGGAGGTCACCATCGTGCGCATACGTCTCGGCCAGTCACAATCCGTCTCTTGGTTATCCAAGCTTGCAAGCAACTCAACATGAGTCCTTCCAAAGGTGCGAGTGGATATCACGATGTGAATCTTGTCCTTCGCCAAATCGATCAGCTGAGACCAGCAACTGAGCCCTCAATCTCTCTGAAAGAGATGCTGGACATTTGCGACACCGAAGGTAACACGCAAAATGGGGGCGGCTCTTTCTGCATCAAAGACGACGAAAGTGGCACATTCGTCCGGTTTGAACCGGACAACAACAGCGCGGCCTCAGGTCACAGAGGCAGTATTGTTCCCGGGGAAATTGGAAGTCCTATTCCTTCAAGTAGCTTACCGGCATTTGGGGGAATCGGCACACCTTCCGTGCTGCGGCAGTATTCTTCTCCATCAACGGGTTTCTAGGCGTTTGGCTCTGGGTATCTATCTCTTCATACGGATAGGCAAGGTTCTCTACTGCGTTCTTTTTTTTCATGGCAGCTGAATACCTTCTTGCACTCTGCTTAAGCGTCGGATGATGTTTCACGTCATATTTGTTTGGTGTTATGAACTCTTTTTACTTACGTTCGAGTACTTTCCCATCGGCTACGGGCATTCTTTTCTTGTCATGTACGTGTTATTCCACATTATGCAGCGGATTCCCATGGAGCAAACACCATCTCCATGTTAAACAATTGCATCTTCCGAGTCATTATTGTCCTCATGATCCTTGCGTGGTGAATGATTTCTAGGTTGCATACGCCACCCTCACGAATTTATGTTTGGGCTGGACTGGGCTGGGCTGTTTTGTGTTTTATTTGATTTTTTTCTTTTTTTCCTTTTTTCCTTTTTCCTTTTTCTATTGATTCCCTCCATGTACTTTATGTAGGTGAATTATTGCAACGCCGCACTGACCAGTACATGACTAGTATGACTAAAATTATGATTCAAATGAAAACAGACAAGTCGGTATCCCTTTTTTTAGTAAAAAGGGCGCCGGCTGTCATGATTGTACGTCAATTTTAGTTCACTCGTTACGAAATAAGATATCCTGATGGTGTACGTGGCTTGAGTGCTAAACTGTAAGGCATTATGCAATTCCAGCTGTTCCATGGAAGGGGGTTTCTAATAAATTCAAATCCTGTTGCGTTGACAATTTCTATTGTGACAATAAACCTTGTAAAACAAAGGGTATGTTTAAGAAATAAGAAAGGGAAATGGGGGGGAGAAGGGGGGGAAAGGATGATGCAGCTATATACTGAGAATCAAAAAATATCAAAAGTGGTAACTCGACTGGGCGACAAGTAAAGAGAAAGAAAGAAGAATAACCATTGATCCATCGCTCCGGCTCATCTTACATAACGGGCAATTGAACATAAAAAGAAAAAGAAAAAAGACAAACGTATCCCTTTGCGTTTCATTCCTACTGTCTAGCCTCCGTCACGACTCCCTCGTAATCTCTCGACCGGATATACTCCAGGGTACGCTGGAAGTGGCGCTTGGGACTCTCGAGGCTGGGGTTCGGTTCATCCTCGCTAGTCTGTAGGTTGGAGTGGATAAGCTCAATGAGCCCGTTGAGGTATTTGGTGGTGACGGTCTCATTTTGCTGGTCAAAGTAGTAAACGTAGCGGTTTAGAATCTCAACAAAGAGCTCCACGGACACGGCAGTGTCCATACAGGCATCTGCAACGCGAAGAGCCCGTTGAAGACATTCGAGAACACGTTTTCCGTCGCGGTAGAGCTGTCGATTACACATGTGTTAGAATTGGAAGCTCAAAGACGGCATACTTCACGGGGTGACTTACATTCTTAGGATCCTCTTCGCCTCGTTGAGGATTCTCAATCACCCACCAGAGGTGGCTCGCCAGATACACCGCGCGACATTGATCGGGTTTCTTGAGCAGCTTGCTGCCGTGCAGTGCAGCCTTTGTGATGAGTGTGTCGTAGTTCTCCTTGGAGAAACCCCGCGATCCGTGGAGTGCACCTGCAATGATACATACAGCCTGGAACTGGGCGCGCGAGTCACTGATCGAGTCCTCGTAGATCGTGAATGCCTGCGCAAAGAACTCGTAGCTGAATTCTTCGAAGCCTGTCTGGTCGGCCACTTCACCACACATCACGAACAGGCGCAGAGCCAAGTCCGCGCACCCGGGATTGACACGCTGGTAGAGGTTGTTGACACATTGGTGCATGAACCGGTAGAGTGCCGAAGACTGTGACTGCCAGTTGTCGTCGTAGTGCTCGCGGGACTTGAGCTTGCGGGCCAATCGTATCGAAGCAGTGATGATTGCTGGGGAAGTATACCGGATCCGCTCATTGCCATCAGCATAAGCTTTGCGGGTTGCTTGAAGAAGCTAAAATCGAGTGGTCAGCCATTTGTGCCGGAGTCTGCAGGTAGTTTGTTATACAAACCTTCAGTTGAGTATCGTTTTCCGGTGCCTGAATCAGGTGGACCAATCTCGCGAGCCATCCTTGCTCCTCGACAGTCTCATCGGTTTCTCCGCCTCGTCGCTGGGACTGCACTGCTCCAGGGTATCCCATGGCCTGTTGCGTGCCTTCCTTGATCAGCACCTTGAGAGCCTGCAACACACGGTCGAGGTTGTCCGTTGTTGCGATCAGAGTTCGGTTCTTAAGCAGATTGCGAGCAACCTCACCAGCGACAGAGCGCCGGGTAGTGTAGGATTGAGAAGACAGGAGTGGGATATAGTGTGGCAAAGCCAGAGCGGTGAATATGGAAACATAGGAGCGGATTGGTGCGAGAAGGAGGTGCAGGAGGTTCTGTTGCGCTGGCGCAGAGTGTAAGTCTGCGTGGTCAGCGTATTCGGCTGTCTTTTGCGTAGCAAAGTCAAGAATCTGGTCGACGTATTCTAATCGGTCAGGATAGGTATTCAATGCAAGATTGACCAGAGACACAAGGAGTGCCATGGTATCCTGAATTGGCAGGCCACGGGTCTTGATCAGGTTGACCACCTGCTCGTAAAATATGTCGTACAGCTTGACATCAGCAGGAACACCAGATTTTGTGCCATTTTCGCCGTCGCCATTTGCAGGAGACTCTTCCTCCTTTTTGGCAGATTCGTCTGTCTCTTTGGACTGCTCGACGCCATTCTCTTGGGTAGCGCTTGCATCTTCGGCCGTTTCCTCTTTCTTGGGCTCACCGGAAACTTCGAGCTTCTGGAGAAGTTTTGTGACGGCTTCCTCCTCGGTCTGCTTGCGGGCGTCGGGGTCAGCGGTGGACTCCTCTCGTGCTGCATAGGCCGACAAGCGATCCATAAGCCCGATAACAATCTTCTTCAGATCAACAAGTGGGTTGAGTCTAGCGATTGCAGAAAGCAGCAGGTCCAGGGTATGGAGGTGGAATTCATCGGGGAAAACCTTGGTGATGACTGCATAGAATGATCAGCATTCCCGAATGGGAACAAATAAAATGGACCAGGTCTCCTCACCTTCAAGCAGATACTCCTGCGCCAGAACATCGCGACACTGCACCACCTGCTCCAAAAGCGCCTGTAGAATCCCATTCTTGTAGCCTTCGAGGTCTACCAATTGGCTGAGTCTCACTATGTTGCTGCCTACAAGCAGCTCCAACTCCCGTCTCTCCTGCATTCTCTTTTCGCGTTCCCTGGACGGCCCCTGGTGCTGAAGTCGCACCCACAATTTGTTCATTTCCACGAAGTTGGTCAAGACAAAGCTGATTGAGTCCTGCATGTTGCCTTCAGGCCCGTCGCCAGTTCCAGTGGGCAGGTGATCTCTCGCTTGGCCGGAGAGGTAGTATCTCAAGAACAGCCCGCGGATCGGATGCTGCACACCTCTGCTCATCTCCATCATGTCCTTCATGATCTCCTTGACCGGGGCATCCTCGACAGACATGTAGACCGTGCCCACCGTGATCATAAGGTACAGTCGCGGGACGATGTTACCGGCGTACTGGACCAGCTCGTAAAGGTCGGCCAGATGGTTGACAGGGTGGTTTTCTTTCAGGTAAACGGAGAGGTGTCGCAGCGCATCGAACACGGCCATGTACAGTTCGTAGTATTGCTTGGGGCCTAAACTGGGAGTCCGCAACTCAGACACCAAAGTCGACCTGTAAACCCATTGACGAGCAACCGTTAGCCTAACTGCACCCATGTAAAACCATCTAACCACCAGCTAAAGCTCATAGAAGCTCCTCTAGTCCAGTCCGGGAGTTTGCATAGCTCACCCGCATTTGAGCGCATCCATAAGCTTGCCGGGAGTCTCCAGGCACCTTCGCATCATTTGCGACTGTTGCCGTACGACCCCCAATGCCTCCTCGAGGAGACGGCTCTGGTCTTCCGCGGGGATAACCGGACTAGCCATTTTGATCGTATACGAAGGATAGGTGGAAAGAGAGGAGGAGGGGCGGTTGGTGGTAGGAGTTCAGGCGGTAAACACCTGCCTGAGAAGGAGGAGGGGAGGGGGAAGTGCTTCAATGACGATTTCTGGGGAGGGTTGAGAAGCACTCTCTGGTAGGAATAATTCAAAAAACTACCGATCCATAGACCAGAAGGAGGAAAGAAAAAGAGGACATGCGATGAACGGATGCAGAAGGGTATTGTCGTGGTTAGTCTATCTTGCGTCTGTCTGGGGTCGGAGTTGCACGAACTAAAGAACGGCGACGCTAAACGGCGATTCGGGCGGCGTTTCAACGCGGTGACGCCAAGCGGGTCGTCAATTAATTAAGAACTCTTGTCTAGTGCTGTTGGAAATATATTTTGAAGAAAGCAATATTTTCTCAATTGACAAAACAGAAATATTTCTGTTTATCTGCCTGGAAAGGGAGTGGGAAAAGTATTCGTGTCCTCAAAGGCGGCAGCGGATCAGCGCAAGTACTGACGTATTGCTCCTCAGCTGAACTACGTGATACAAACAAGGATGCAACAAACAAGGTCTGAAGAGCTTTTATAATAGTTATCATATCTATTTCATTCATTTTGTTTCAATCTATGTACCCCGAAATAGAACCAATCTATCATGGCAGAAGACCCCCATGTAAAAACATTAAACCGAAAGGAAAGACTGATTAACATCCACCGAGAAAAAATTAAGATAAAAACGCCAGTCACAGATGCATCTCAACACTCATAATCACGTAGAGTCTAGGTCGTAAACGCTCAGAATTAATGAAAGGAAGAAGAGTAGATCCATGGTTGCCATGGCCATTCATTCTTCAGGTTGTTCGTAATCATCGTCTCGCCTGATAGTCGAGACATGGGAGATGGTTGGCAGTGTTTAGTACACACTTCCATTCATGTCGGGCCTGGATCTAAGCCTGGCTGCTGGGGGTTGGGACAACGCTGCTGGAGCTTGCAACGGCACTGCTGGTGGCGCCGAAGCCACGGGCAACAACAGAAGGAGCGACACTGCTGGAGCTCGGGGCAGCACTGCTGTAGACACCAAAGTCACGGGCAACAACAGAGGGAACGCTGCTGGGGCTGGCAACAGCACTGCTGGTTACGCCGAATCCACGAGCAACAATAGATGGAGCGACACTGCTAGAGCTCGGGACAGCACTGCTGGTGGCGCCGAATCCACGGGCAACAACAGATGGGACACTGCTGGAGCTAGGAGCAGCACTGCTATACACACCAAAGTCACGGGCAACGACAGAGGGAACGACGCTGCTAGAGCTTGGAGAAGCACTGCTAGAAAAACCAAAGCCGCGGGCAACAACAGACGGAGTAACGCTGTTGGAGCTGGCAACGGCACTGCTAGAGACGCCGTACCAGGCACGAGGAACAATAGATGGAGTTCCCGAGCTGCTGGGGTAAATTCCCAGGCTGCTCGACTGAGGAATGGCCGAAGTGGAAAAGGCTTCAGCTCTTCCCCAGAGGGCGTTGGAGCTGGATGCTGGGAAGCTAGGAGTCGGGGTGCCAGAAGGAGACAGCGAGACAGGAGTAGGGGTCTTGGTCACAGTCACGGTCTGTGGGGGTGGAGGAGGCAGATAGGATGGAGTCTGCACGGCAGGAGACGAACTCGCGCCATCGACATTGACCACAGAGTAGGATGCCTGTCGTCGCACGAGAGTATCATTTGCAGGTTTGGAGACGAAGGGCATCGCAGAGGCGACGCTGAGCGAAGCAAGGAGGATAGTTGCTGGAGAGAAATGCATATTGAAGACTTGTAAAAAGATTTGAGGGTTCAGAGAAGTTGATTAGAGAGATATGTGATGTTGAATTGTATTCAGTTGTAGTAGAGAAGATGAGAATGAAGAACGAATTCAACAGACGAAAACTTGGATTTTTATAAACTGAACGAGCTCAACTGTGCGGCCCAAGATACAACAAGCCAAGAAGGATATCCGGTATACATCATGTCATTGGGTGCATCTGATTTTCAGATCAGCAAAGAGGGAGGCTGGGAGAGCAGCACATCCGCGTGGACCAGCCACGATCATTTCCACTGCTGGTGAAGATCACCCTGAATGATCAGACAACAGCAATAGTTGTTGTGTAAAGAAAGTCATCTTGCAGAAGCACTAGGCTTGTCCGAAGCAAATTCACGGCTGCCTGTCGTGATCTTTTTTTGTTGAAGTCAAACCGTCCACCTTTTTCTAAGAAAAGAAACACGCCGATTTGCCCTGCAGCATGGCTGCGTGGTGACTAATCATGTGAGGCTGGGGGAGATCGACGCTGTGGCGTCAGAGCTGCGATGTCCATCACCGTCCACGATGATGGCATTCGAATTCTGGTGATTTGTTTGGCAGATCGAAATGGATGCCCGGTTTGACAGGTCACCCTAGTAATGTCGGTGACTCTAGCGCGAGTGCATCGTCGTAATCCTCAGACGGCAGCTGTTCTATTTACATTCCATGGCCCACCAACCTGTTCGATACCATTCGATGTGCATTGGTGGAACACCATGTCTCCATAGCATGCAATGTTCTCATTGAGGTGTTCTCCATAGACCTAGACAGCTAGATCCTCTACTCGAAGCAGACCGCAGCCCGTCCCTGCACTAGCCCATCCCGCACACGGTTGATTGGGGTTCCATGATAACGCCGTGATGTGAGTCCCTTCTTCGAATATAGTAATCATCATGGTACCGTTAATCAACTTCCGGTCGCCCATCATATTCCGTAATAGGCTGATGCTGTCCGCTCGATATCCATCTTGGAACCGACTCACTCCAGGACTCCCAGCCTCCTTGCCCCGCACCCATTCATGTGAAAACCATATCTGCTGCCATTGTTTTTCCTTGGGATGTAAAAGTCGTCGTATGGGGTTTGTCGCAACTACTGCACCCCCAGTGCATCCAAACATCACCGCCGGATGCCAGGAGCTACACGGCGCCAACGCGGAAATTGTACTGGGAAGTCTAGCTACGGCAGTTGTGGTGAAAAATCGCCGCACAGCCAGAAGCCGGACAAAGTCATTCTCATCGCTGGAGAAGAATGAATGCAGCCAGGGAGAGAATGATACAAACGGGGATCCTATACGCATGCGGTTTGTTTCGACCTTATCTTTCTGGTGGTCGGTAATCGATGACATCCGGGTCTCTCCATCCATGGATGTAGTACATATGATATGAGGGTGCATTGGATAGGCCGATGCTAGATTAAGGATGTATGTCGAGTGGACTTGTTGATAAAAGTATGGCAGGGGGTTCGATTGAGACGTCTGTGAAGGCGCAATACTCCAGATCGCAACGAACCCGTTGGCACAGCCTACAGCAATGTCACTTGGAGATAGCCACGTCACACACGTACACACAGTCGAAGGAGGCTTTGCTGTGAAGACGGAAGAATGAACTTTGTCTGTTTGTCTAAATGTAAGCAAAATGATATCAAGCTTAAGTGAGTTCGTCATCTTACAGAATTCCGCTGTGTTGGGATCCCGACTAATCTTGATATCAAGGACCCTTACGCACCCATCTCCCCAAACACCTGCCACAAGACCAATGTTTTTCAAAGCGTCTTCGTCATCTTCATCCCGTGTAGCTCGAGGCATAGGACACCACGACAACCGTTTCAAGTCACCCCAATCTGTGCATAGAGCCAGTCGTAATCTGGGCTTGAAATCCATGTCAAGAGGCTTCGTCAGTGAATCACCTCTTTTTGCCTTGAATGTCCACAGCTGCAATGTACTCGGATATGGCGCTGATGGGCTGAATGCTGGAGCCATTTTACCCTCGAACGGGCCCTTGTACCCATTTTTCTGTTCTTCTGATATTGGAGCCACAACGGCTAGATACTGAGTGAGACCCGGTTGATTTGGCGCCCAAGCTGTGCATTGAATCTTTTGGCCCATGTTTAGAACCCAGCCCTCTCGCATCTTCTTAGGTGCTCCTGAAGTGTCTGCTCGATCTTCTTTCGATGATGGTTTTTGCTTAGCCTCTCCCCACGCTTCGCCAAAGTTCACCGACTCGTGTAGCCCCAGCTTAAACAGTGTCTGGTTGTCAGTCGGTCCCATGAAGACAGAATGCTTTTCCTCTTTGGGCTGCGGCATATAAGTTCGGCGGGCGTTATCTTCACTGATTTTCTCCAGGCGTTGCTTTTTTCTGAATCGCCCTCCAATATCATCACCGTAATACCAGTCCCAACCCCGAGTACTTTCCCTCTTGACATCTTCCGGGTCAACCCCGAATGTCGGCCCGTAACCATATTCAGGCATCTTCAGAGCCTCATTCAAAGAAGAGCGGGTGGGAAAGCACGAATCAATGCCCCGACCCCACCGGTCCCTCGCATATATAATAGCCAGGACATCCCTCTCATCCGTACCAAAGGTCACCCGGAAATGGACCGTTTTCCCAACATGTTCAGAGGGATTCACGATACCCCGAGAGTGCGTCTCGTCCCCAGATAGCACGACCGTCCCATCTGGTCGTCGTTTCTTGTGGTATCGCGGATGGGGAACCTTTCTCCCACTGCTCTTCTCGTCTCCTTCTTGCTCGTCATCTTCTTCCATGGGAGGCTCTTCATCTCCACTTCCCAGGTAGACATCGTCGTCATTTTCCATGTCAACATCTTCATCTTCTTCCTCGTCATCAGGGACGTCTTGAAACTCTTCGTCGGACGAGTCATCTGCCTTGGCTGCTCTCTTTCCTTTCCGCTCGGACGGCTTCGGAATAGCCTCTGAGTCTGAACCTCCGCTAACCCCAGCGACTTCGAATGGATCTTCTGTATATTTAGTCCTGGGGCCTGTCAAGCGCGTAGACCTGCGCGATCTGGTCATTTTATATGATTGCCAGGGGTAGTGGTCAGAAACAATCCACCATTGAGCATATCCTCATTATAGCAAGTCCTTCTGATAGATATTTATTAAATTGCAATCTGCTTTAGTTAAATAAAGTAAGCTATAAGTTGCAACAATGAAGATTAAAGATAAAAAAAAATACTTCGACCTCGAATGACGACAAGCGCAAGGGTCTTGGCGGCTAAATGCGGTGTAATTTACGGTAACTTTACAACCACGGAACCGATGTGGTAACACGCATGAATACCCCGCGTTCCTCTCAGGGTTTTGTTTATATACGATTGTGAGGGGTTGAATTGGATTTATTTCAATTGGGACGAGTATACCAGAGGAAGAATATCAGAAAGAGGCATCCATTTGAGAGGTTTACATGTCCTGTAGTTCGCTGTATTCTTAAAGCTACTCGCCGTACTTTGGTATCACCCCTCTTCTCCAGTGGGCCGATACGTCAGACTCTTTATTTATATCAAGAGAGAGCTGATCTCACTTCAATCTACTCGACGACTTGCTGCCACTTCACTTATCGCCTTACAAGCAACTTCCCGGCCCCCCCAGTCATGTTGTCGAACAAATCACACGAGGGTGTTTTGCATAACTATGTACGCCCCTCCTTTAAAAACAACCCCCCCACGTCCCAACCCATTTTAACACCAAAAAAACGACCCAGAAAAACTGACCCTGAGTGAAACATAAATGTAGGCCCCGAGACTAGTCGCCTTCGAATACACCACCTCCCCCGATACAAGCAACAAACCCAACAGCCTCCTCTTCATCGGCGGCTTAACAGACGGCCTCGAGACGGTCCCCTACGTGTCCAAAATCGCCCAGGCCCTGGAACCCACCGAATGGTCGCTGTTCAGCCTGCTGCTCTCCTCCTCGTACGGCGGCTGGGCCGTGGGCAGTCTGGACAATGACGTCGAGGAAATCGCCCAGTGCGTCGAGTATGTTAAGAAAGTCAAGGGGTCACATGGGAAGGTCGTCGTGATGGGCCACTCGACGGGGAGTCAGGATGTGCTGCATTATCTACACTCGCCTAACCCCTTACCACGCAGTGAGGGGTATGATAGTGGGCTGCAGCATCTGGTGCGACCGGTTCTGGATGGTGCGATTATGCAGGCGCCCGCGTCGGACCGGGAGGCTTTGATTGCGACGCTGAAGAAGAACCCCGAGCTGCAGGGCGTGTTTGATGAGTTGGTGGCATTGGCGAAGAGTGAGCCCTACACGACTGGCAAGACCGGTGATACCCTGCCGTTGGCCTTGACGGCCAAGTTGGATTTCCCGCCCGATACCGCCATCAGTGGTCGCAGGTTTCTGAGTCTGGCGAGCCCGGATAGCCCCGAGCGTCCGGCTCCGGATGATCTGTTCAGTTCGGATTTGAGTGATGAGCGTCTGCTGCAAACGTTTGGTGCCGTGGGGTCGCGCGGGCTGTTGCGCTCGAAATTGATGGCGCTGTACTCGGGTGAGGACGAGTTTGCAGCACCGTGGATCGAGAAGGAGAAGTTGCTGGAGAGATGGAGCGTCGCGGCAGATGCCAACGGCGAAAACAAATGGGATCATGGTGACAGCGGCGTCATCGCAGGGGCCAGTCACAATGTCAAGGATGTAGGTCAGGGGGACTTGATCACTCAGGTCCTCAACTATCTGAGCCGGGTTTGAACAGCAGAAACACAATAGAACAGCACACAGCATTAGACGAATACCACGCATTTTAAGACCCTATTCTTTAATGTACACAGAAATAATTTGAAAGCAGATGAGATAGATAAGAACCACATGAGCATGACATGAAAAAAAGACCAGGAGGGTATAGTAGACGGGAGTAATGAACAAACAAGCTCATCAAACCCGGGGATTTTCAAGATATAAAAGAACCAAAAAGGCAAAAACGTAGTTAAAAAAAAAGACCATTTCAAACCTTGAGCCACAAAGTCATCACACCCTTGAGGTACTCCACAATCTCCGAACCACCCAATTTGCTCTCTCCATACAGACGATCGACAAACGTAATCGGACACTCGGCGACCTTGAATCCCATCGCCTTGGCCCGCACCATCATCTCCATCTGGAAACTGTACCCCTTACTCGCTGTACTATGGATCACCTTATCCAGCACACTCCTCTTATACAACCGGAAGCTGCCCGTAAGGTCACTCACACCAGGCATGAGCATGACATCGGCGATGAGGTTGGCCGTGCGCGAGGTGAACTTGCGGAACAGATCCCACCCGAACACGCCGCCCTTGATCTCGCCGCGAGTCGCGTACCGGGTGCCCGTGACGATGTCCGCGTCCGTCTCCTTCTGAATGCTAATCATCTCCGGGATGAACTTCGGGTGGTGGCTGAAGTCGGCGTCCATGATGATGACATAGTTGCCCGTGACGAACTGGAGACCGTGCACGTAGGCGGTTCCGAGACCGAGCTTGCCTGCGCGAGGCTTCAGGATGATGTGTTCGGCGCCCCAGAGCTTTTGGAGCTGTTTGGCGATCTCGAGCGTGCCGTCAGGGGAACCGTCGTCGACGATGATGACCTCCCAATCGAGATTGCTGGTGCGGGATAGCATTAGCTGATACAATCCTTACACATATGAGATTATAAACAAAAAGAAATATATAGCGTACTTCTCTCTGAATGTCCTCTCCAACAACCAGCAGATAATCGGGAGGTTCCTGCGCTCATTGTAGGTCGGGAGAATGACCGAGTACTTGTTCTGCTTGGGGCCCATTTTGATCACAAGTTAAAGAAGAAGAAAGCAAAAAATGACCGGCGAAATTAAAATAGATGTATTGTTTTAAAGTAAAAAAAGATGTGAGGGAAGTGAGAGACTGGCAGGTTATTTCTTGGGTTGAAGTGTCGCGGAATTCGAGAATCGATGCTCCTGAGCGATGCTGGGCTTGGCGTTTAACTCCGCGTTCGGCTCAACGTGGCCGGTTTGGTCGCATCGCAGGGAGACACTTCTACCAACTATACCATGTGTTTCCAACATGGATACAAAAAATATTGTACACCGTAGACAATCAATAAAACATTCATATACTAGGCCATACTCCATAGATACTAATATACAAAAAAGCAACCCAAATCGCCAGACTCAACTAAGAATTACCCGTCCAGCTTCCCCTCTGAATCTTCCCCTCATCCGCAATCTGATTATAAGATCGATCATACCGATTCTCCACCTCCGCATTATGCTGCTTCACATCCTCTGGCACATCTGGGCGCGGATTGCCATTTTCATCCACATTGGGTGATTGGCGAGCGTCTGACAACGTAGGACGGGCATTGTTAGAGGGCGTCGTCTCGATAGGCCGTTCCTCTGCGGGTTCGGGTTCTTTGGGCGCTGAGGATTTCGGGGTTGAAGCAGTGGATTGAGAAGAAGATGAGGAGGATTTCTGACCGACGTCTGGAGGGGGTGGTCCTGTTGGATTGGTTAGAATTGGATTATCTATGAGAATGATGGGATGAATATACCTGGATGTTCAATGTTTCGTGTGGGATTGTTTCCCGGGCCCTGGGACTTTTGCTCGCCTTCTCCTCCGTAGGAACTATGGGCGTATCGTCTCCATGGCGAGTGAGAAATAGGAACTCGATGGATGAGAGGAATTGTCAAGTTGGTTGCTCTTCTTAGAGGCTGAATGCGAATAATCGAAGTCATCTTGTTGTGATTATCTGATAGCTACGTGGAAAGACAAAAAGTATTGGAATAATCTGCAGGTTCAAAGCTCACTTAAATATATACAAAAACCCACCATGTCCGAGAAATCCTGATATCGAACGGCAGAGTGGCGGATTCAACATCCCATAAAGTTGCTTGCGGATGGCGATGACGTTCCATCGTTGTCATACTTTCCCCAACGATCGCCGTTGACCAGCAACAGCAATTGCCGTCCCTCAAGGGAACCAGAAAAAAAAAAATCCAGGAATCAATAATTATATTTTGCTTATCCTGCACGCCAGACAAATCGATTCTGATGTGATTGTCATGTCGTCTTGCCAGAAACAAACTATGACCCATCTAATCAAACAGAATAAATAGCCAATTGCGGGGATCATGGAAAAAATAGGTCAGGTAAAGATCAAAGATAGACAGACTGCTTGGCCGAATTGTAATAGGTGTCCTTGTTGCACCAAAACCTTCCAATAAACGCCAAAAATTCTCCCAGTGGAGTATATAAAAAAAGATGCCAAAATAGGTAATCGAGACACGATGTCAAACCCCAATCACACCGCAAAAGCGACGTAATGATCAATGGAATAATAGAAAACGTCCGCCATACTCAACAGGTAGACCCAACACACAAAATTGCAATCAAGAACCCGAAGTAGATCCCGCAAAAGACAGGGCAATAAAAAATGAAATAAATCGTTCGTATGCACATAAGTGAAAATAGATGCCATCTCCGCCACCGAGATTTAACGCCGACGCCTTGGCTCCAAGGGCAATGTTTTACAATGCATGCCCAACCCTTTTTTTTCTAGCAAATCAAATTAATCGGTCAAAGAAGCGCAGTAACATGTGCTTTCATATTGCGCCGTGGCCGTATAAGTTTGAGTCGCTACACCATTTGCCTTGATGGTGGTTGTTGGTGTCGGTTCGATTTCCGCAATGTCGACCGTATGGGGAGAAACGGTTGCGATATCGCCATTGTCCAGGACTTTCATTTGCTGGCAATAAGGCGACTTGGCCCCTGGATAATTTCTGTTCTCACTGATCTTGATGCGGCGAGGGTAGTTGGCTAGGGAGCTCGAGCCGGTTTCAGAAGACAAAAATCCGGTGGTGGTGGTAGTGCTAGCGGTGGCACTGTACTGATATTCCTTGGTCGTTTCATTGATGTACAGGAAAAACTCCATCGCTGTGCTATTCCACCAGCAGAACCACGGTTGATCGCCCACCTGGGTCGTCTGCTTCATCTGCATCGCGCTGGCAATCAGGTCTTCCTCGGAAACGTATCGCTTTGAGAGTGCATTGGAGGGGAACTTGTCCTGGTGAACGACCACCAATTTATCGAACTGGGCGAAAAAGAACAGGGCAGGACCAAGACTGAGATCTTGAGTATCGTACATCATGCTCAAACTTTGGTTTTTGTGAGGTAAATACGGCGGCTGAGCCCCGTAGGAAAAGGATGAGGTGTCAGGCTCGAAAGTAATTGTCCGGCCCAGATCCGATCCACCGATGGAAATGGGCAATTCCTTGCCTTTGGTCGCGCAGCTCCAAGCTGTGTTGTAATCATGGTCAGCAATGCAAAACTTCGATTGATTTTTGGGGTTCGCCGGAATGACGTATGAGCCGGTCGGAAGAGTCTTGAGATAAGCCGGGGTTGTTGATACTGGGGTCGCATCCATTCGTGGAGTAGCTGTAACGGTGACAATAGGCGGGCCCTTTGATTTCTTGCTCTCCTCGCTGGTCGCTTTCTTTGCGCCCAAAACACCACCAATGACACCACCAATACAAGCCACCACAATCATAACAACCCCTACTAGGACTAGGGTCCAAATGGGAAGCCCACAGCATGCTTTCTTCTTGCCCTTGGTCTTCAACTTTTCCTCAAAAGCCATCACGCCTGTAGCCGGGGCTTCTTCGGGCTGCCCACCCTGTCCACCCTGTCCACCGCCGCCGCCGCCACCACCGCCGCTGTTGTTGCCAATGTTGTTGCCAATTTGGTTACCGTCTCTGCTGATAGGGGGCTCCGATACAAGTGTTCGGGAGGAAACTTCTGATACCGGTGGGCCTACGTGGTTGGTATGATGGTCTGCTTCCTGGGGAATGGCGGCAGCATTCAGTGTCTCGAATGTGCCGGGGGGTTTAGGGGCAGCACCGTCGGGGTAACGCGAGTAAGGAGGGAGCTGTTCTGTGTGTCCGTCGGGCCCAATGAGATCACCGACATCATCATCAGCGCGGCCTGGCGGGCGTTGATAGGCCTGGTTGTGTCCTGGGAAGCCAAGGGGGATTGCCGCGGTATCCAAATCCTCCTCCGGGACGACATTCTGCGTGTACATGGCATACGGATGTTGCGGTGCGTTGGTATCACCGAGCGGTCGATCGATTGGTCGTACTGTAGAAGTAGTCGTAATACTGGGCGAACGGCTAACACCCACCTGTGGGTACATAGCATAGGGATGGCTTGGACCGGTCGCGCCCGTGTAAGGACTAAGAGCTCTGGGGGGCATGGAGAAACGGGACGAAATACTTTGGCTTCGTTGTGTCATGGAGGGAGTCGTAGAGGCTATGGAATTGCGGTTGGAGGCCTCGACCCCCTTCTGGGGGAGGCTCGATCGGTAGGGGGTATCATCGAAAGAGACGCGAGCCTCATCCCCAAACGGGTTCTCAGAAGGCTCGGGGTCATTTGTGGTGGAATATGGCTTTGAGGGGACAGCTGTTGAGCGAAGGGTACTCGAGGAAGCGACCGATGATATCGAAGGACTTCGCGGTGTGAGGGTTGCTTGTTCCGAATCGATGGGTTCTAGCGAGTATTCATCCGAAAAGACATTGGGATTGTTGGAGTGACCGGAGGAGGAATTTTGAGGCATTGCATCTGGGTCCTGACCCTGAGAGAGACGTTGAGATTGAGAGGATCGAGAGAGGGAGCGAGAATGGTCGGGTGATAGACGCCCAGACATGGCGTAATACAGCCCTGTCGGGCCTCCTGTCTGTCCGGTCAATCCGCAAGAAGGATCAGATCAGTCACCTGAGCGAACAGGGAAGGATGGAGTAATATGGTAGAGTAGAAATTAAAAAAAAATGTCGATATAAAAAATAAAATGATAAAAAAAAAAATCCAACAGAATAAAGTAGAAGTAAAAGTGATGGGGGGGGGAAGATGGTTGGATAGGGAGTGGGTTGGGAATGGAGGGAATGGATTATTGGCGATGGAGGAGAGGAAGAGGGAAAAGAGGAAAGAGAGCGAGAGGGAGAAAGCAGGCTAGGCCGGATTGGGCAGGGCCAGAAGGGGTTTAGCCGCAAGCCGGAGGGAAGCAGCAGAAGCACCAGAACCCACTTTGGGCCCTGCGCCCCCTCTTTGCCTGGCCAGATCAGGGTCGTATTTACATGTTCATTATTCTTGTAGTTTGTCATCTATTATCTTCCTTCTTATCATATTAATGGTATACTGTAAGTGTGTTCTGTAGTGATATTACTATAGCAGGTGTAGGTAGATGCACGCCTTGACAACAAATGTTTCAGCCAAAATCCAAGAATCAGCTCCATCTGATCGTCTTCCTAAAAGACGGGCTTCCCTCGGCCGATTGGCTGCCACCGCATGAGCGAATAATGGAAGGGTCTGTCTTGTCCAGAACCATGCGAGACTGGGGCAAATGGTCTTTGTCCTCTGCATCCCAGTTGATCGTATCTACGGTGCATATTATTGTTGAATTGATGAACCACAGGTTGCCTGATCAAACAGGAAAAAGAAAAGATGGGCTAGCGCGCACTGATGCCGATTCTCACTGGCAGTCGATCGCCTCGATGGTTCCTAACTTCATGATCAGTTGATGTGGAACCCGAATTTGCCTGGAACGGAAAACTCTACCTGGCCGAATCCGGAAGAGTCAGCGAGTGACTTCGTCCATCATTTACATAGTACAATAAGTACAGTAGAGTACATTGAATGCATTCCCATCCATCATCATTACAATAATAATGTTGAATAACTATATTCTCAGTCCTCTATCTCTATCTCATTCTACTCAATAAAGTATCATCCAGATAACAATGCTACTAACCATGCAGATTCGGAGCACTTCCGCCATTAAACTTCTCTCCCCCCAGAAGGAACCAGAATTACCAGATCCAACCAATCTTCTGGACTGAATTTTCTGCAGTCCCAAATACGGTTCTCTTCCAGGTCCATATCCACTGGCCCTGACTAGTTTCTCTGTATCAGGTTTATCTGCCGTAGGGCTGGCTCCGTTTCCACTCGGTGTGCCTGTTTAGGTATACACACACTCATTCCATTGTGCTCGTGTTGAAATTGTAGTCCTGATCTGCAGTATCACCAATTACACATGTTAGATAACCGATTGAGCGATTTAACAAGCAAATCACATCAAGCCAACTCAACTCAATACGAATCCAAACCTTACCTAGCATTTCCGGGGTTATGGATCTACTGCCTGTCACACACTGCCAGAGTTGAACATTATCTGTGAGTTCATGTGGAAAACGCCTATCTGATATACATGAAACTAGAGCCCATTCATAACATGAGAAACGCATATCTCAGCCAAGCCACTCCTGTCTCTACGAAACAGACGAATTACGACTCAAATCAAGCATTTTTTGGCACCTGACAGTTGTACTATAGAGAACCACTATGGAGTCAATTGTATCGATTAGATTGGATAGTAACCAATTAGGAAGACTTTAGTATACTATATCATGGATGCTGAAGCTAATCGTCCGCATGTGCTTTTCCTGCTATATTACTTGGGCATTTCAAGAACTTCATGGTCTTGTATAGTTAGGATGCTTGCATAAAGTTTTTTTTCATATCCACTGTTGTAGCACACAAATATCACTGTCCTCAATCATGTCCTCATATGTCAAGCTGGTTGGAAATCCATATAACAGAGCTGGGTATTGCCTGTGTGGTGCACCATGCTCCAAGTTAGCCCTCACCAAGCAGGTCGAGGCTTACAATAACACTGTTCATATTTGGATGCAGACTAAGAAATGCACTGGTATGACAATTTGGGACTTCAAAGACAAGTCAGTGCGAACGATGGCTCTGGTGAGGCTTGTCTCTACTATGATGACTATACAGCCAATCAGCTGTTATCGCCGTCGAGGAAGCTCTCGAGGGAAGAGTTGATCTGTCTCCTAAGAATGATAGAACACAAATCATTACAATTCGTGTGAACATACCTGAAGTGCATGTCTTGAATACCTAACCGAGGTGGGGCTGGCGAGAAGGAAGAGGAGTCTGAGACTTTGACTTGGCCAGGTGGACTCTTTCCTGCCACTATGACGCACACACTCGGCGAATATATTGTACCACCTATCCAAGCCTGTCGGATGATTTCGACAGTGGAATCATCCAAAGCTGAGACACGGGCAATGCGGGGGAATTCACCCTAGCAGTCTCCCCGCACAGGAACCACATATGTGTTACGGAACAGTGTCCGTTTCAAAGGGAATATCCTCGCCATGGTAGGATACCTTGAGTTCAAGACAGACAATAGCTGGATCTGTTATCAACTGTCATAGTTTCGTGTATTCAAGACCGTCTTAACGACATTATGTCGGATAATCTGACAGACCCCTTCTCTCCCCAACCTCCTGCTCCGCTTTGAATCGCAGGCCTGACTCGTAGATACCAGCCCCATGCACGTCTATCCAATTCGTCTCTTTCAAGAGTGGAGGTCCAGGACTGACATACCATATCGATAACACGCAGCAGACGCCCCAAACATGTTTCCTTTTCGGTTTCCAATTGGGCCGTGGAACCTCCCTTTGAATTAGTCGGAGATCCCTTGCTTTGATCTTTTATTTCCGTGAAAGATTTGAATAGATAGGACCGAGCTGATTCGGGCGTGAATATAGGGAGAGGCTTGTTTGCTTTGGCATCTTTGGAATCTCGCAGCTCTTCCAAATCCACTCCCCATACCGGAGGCATCTGATTGGAGTCTTCTGGGTCACTTTTCCCCAGAGCATCTGCCGCACCTTGCTGTAGGTGTGATTCCTCATCCTCCCCTGCCTTCGGGTTATAGCCCCATCGTTTGAGAATTTTGATTTCCCTTCCTAGGACTTTGACCACCGGCTGGCCTTCTCCCCAACCTTCTTGTTCAGCGGTTTGTCCGCTCTCAATACCGAGACTGATAGCTTTGGAGCGACTGTTGGCACTCACGATGGCCTGCGCAAGACTCAGTCTACTTGAAATCGGCTGCTCGGGCATCGTGTATTTCAGAACGCAGACTGCAAATGCAAGTACTAGTGGTGCTCGATTTGTGCATAGAACAGTCTTGGATAGCTCCTCTTCCGTTGCGGACGAACTAGGGAGCGACAGTGCGTTTTCTTTCTCGAATGGCGTAGCGTCATCTTTCAGAGTCGTCCTTTTTGTCTTCTTCTGCGGCGATGCTGTCGCTTCTGTAGGCTCTTTGCGCTTCTTGGTAACCCTTTTGGCGGCATTCAGTACTTGTTTCGCCGTCTTTTCGTCCTTGAATATTTCTTGGAGGGGTTTGAGGTCTGATTTCGAGATCTGTTCGGCACTGTAATTCAGGTTAGGGCACTTGAAAGTAAAATAATCCAGCTAGCATACCTCATCAGATTAGCCCTTTGAAGGTCCATGATCTTCCCCATGGCCATTGCAAGCGGCACTTTGGCATCCTGCGATAGAAATCGTAATAGCGTCTGAACCTGAGATGCAGCCATGGCAGTAACTATCGATATTTAGATATACAGCCAAGCAACTGAGGAAGAATAACTGCAGGCTGGGTAGTTGTAGTTGTATGGTCCCTGCGGATGATCTCCGCTCCCGCACCGACAGCTTCACCTGCTCGAATGAACGCCTCCGTCAATCTTCCCGCAAACCACACAACACCACATCAGCCATCGCTGCATTTGCAGCATTCTCTCACCATGCCCGACGACCAAAAACCTAAGGGATTCCCCGATGTATCGGCCAAGCTCTCTGCCCTCCCCAAAAAATCGCTCTTTGAACGCCAGAAAGCCGAAGCAGAGGCTAAGCGTGTCCGCGAACGAGCCGAAACCGCCGCTGTCTACGAGGACTTTGTCAAGTCGTTTGAGGATGAACCGCTGGGATCTGGTGGTCGGCCTATGATGGATGGGAGGCAGAATGCATTCGGGAATAGTAGAGGTTCTGGATTTGGAGGAGGCCCTGCGAAACGCCATTTCACAAGCTCCGGTCCGCGCAGCAGCGGGCCTGGGACTTTGGGCCCGCCGCCGCCATCGCTTGCTCGAAAGCGTAACCATGAAGGATTTGCGCCGTTGCATCGGAATCGAGACTCTGCACAGGGTATATTGGGTTTTGATAATTCCCCATCCAGCTCGTTAGACGCGACGTCAGCTTTTCGCTCTGCGGACGAGGAAGAGGAGAGGAGAGCGGATGCGAAGGAGGCGGAAAGGGCTGCAGCTAAGCCTACGCTGTACCTGGCTACATTGCCTCCCGGAACGTCTCCTTCCGTGATCAAGTCTTTGATTCCATCAGTTCTGGTCGTTGACAATGTGAAGATTTTGCGCCCCTCCGGGCAGTCCCCGACAGATCGAAAATCAGTGTCCGCCATTGTCACACTCGCCAATGAATCTGCTGCTTCGGATATAGACAGTGTTGTCAGCTCCATTCAGAATAAGTATCTAGGTTGGGGATATAACCTATCGATCTCTCGACATCTCTCATCTGCTGCAATCAGCTCTACAATGCCAGTGACCATTGGCAGCTCATCAACAAACTCACTTCCATTTGGAGCTAAGAATATATCACAAAACTTTGGGGGGAGTTTGAATCGTGCTCCGCCACCCCATCGCGGTGGATTTGCGCCTCCAAGCTCATATGGGCCAGGCTACGGCAGGGGCGGTCCTACCATGCAAGTCGAAGTGAAAACGCCATCGGATATAAAGCAGCTGAGATTGATACACAAGACCTTGGAGAATCTACTAAACTACGGCCCAGAATTCGAAGCTCTGCTTATGAGCAGACCAGATGTTCAAAGAGAAGAGAAATGGGCTTGGCTTTGGGACCCACGAAGTCCCGGTGGTGTTTATTACCGGTGGAAACTATGGGAGGTTCTCACAAACACTCGGTCAAAAAGAATAAGGAGAGGAAGGAACCAGCCAGCTTCACTCATATTCGAAAGCGGTGCGAGCTGGCTCCCCCCTGAATCGGATATCAAGTTCGAATACACCACCCGGCTGGATGAGTTTGTCTCGGACGAGGACTATGACTCTTCTGATGAGGAACAAGGCGATGCCGAAGACGACAGGCGACACCACGGTGGGCCACCACCTGGCGACAGTCTAGGTGGCCTTAATGAAGGGTTAGGCTATATGAACCCTCTGCAAAAGGCCAAATTGACGCATCTTCTTGCCCGGCTTCCCACGACACATGCAAAATTACGGAAAGGTGATGTGGCGCGTGTCACTGCCTTTGCGATCGAACATGCAGGTGCAGGCGCGGATGAAGTTGTTGAAATGATTGTATCCAACATCATCAACCCCTTTGCTTACGCTGGTGCAAACCCTGACCGTGAAATTGAGAAAGGGCTTGCTAGGGGGGACAATGCTGGAGATGCCCCCAACGATACTACGGCCCCAGAATCTCGACCCTTGGGCAAGGAAGTTCTAGACACATCTTCTGCTAAGCTTGTTGGTCTCTATCTGGTCTCCGACATCCTTTCTTCATCCGCCACAAGTGGCGTGCGTCATGCCTGGCGATATCGACAGCTATTTGAGTCGGCACTCAAGGCACAGCAAGCCTTTGAGCATCTCGGAAGACTTGAGAAGGATTTCAGGTGGGGACGATTGAAGGCCGAGAAATGGAAACGAAGTGTCGGTTCTCTCCTACATCTATGGGAAGGATGGTGTGTGTTTCCGCAGTCGAGCCACGAACATTTCGTCCAAGTCTTCGAGAAACCACCGCTTACGGAGGAAGAGCTACGCGAGGAGAAAGAAAAGGCGGAGGCCGAACAGGCTGCTTCTGCATTTGCTAAGAACAAGAGTCGATGGAAGGCCGTTGACGAGGAGGACACAGCAAGGTTTAACCCTGGCAAACCACCAGTGATGGATCAGAATAAAATGGATATTGACCAGCAACAAATCGCCCCTCTTGACGATGAGAATCTCGACGGGGAGCCGATGAGTGATATTGATGGTGTCCCCATGGAGGACAGCGACTTGGAGGGACCGGATGGTGAGCCGATGGAAGAAGAATCGCCTACGGAAGAAAGCCAGCAAACAGAGCTGAAAGAGCCGGAAAAGCAGCCTGAGCCACCTGCTCAGCCAGAACCTGGGCCTTCTGCTCGAAAGCCACGACCGAAAGCAGAGGATATGTTTGCAGATTCAGATTCCGAGTGATTGTCCTGTTCCATACCCCATGCCAATGATTCGCGTTGTGGCATTGCATACGTCATCCAATGTAGTCCATCTCCAAGCACTACTTGTATATTCAAATTCTATGTTCCCGCAATACAACAATAATAACTGCATGACAATAATGCCTCATGGAAAGTAGAAAAGGCAGCAATTGGGCGGCACAGAGCGAGCCGGCTTCCGTAAGGCATCAAATCGCCGGCGATTAAATTTCCCTGCTCGTCCTTGCCCCACAATCGCTCCTCCGATATCAACAGTCCCTCCTCAATCCCTCTGCCTTCTCATTCCTCATCCCAATTTCAGCGCGCAAATACCCATCTCTTCATCTCTGATCTTTCAGACACAATCATTCAAAATGGCCGGTAAGTTTTCCTGAGTATTGAAGACCACCGTCTTTCCTGCCTGGTCCATCTATTTTTCTGCACCTGCATCTTGCCCCTCCTCAGCCTCAGCCCTATGCAAAAAAAAAATGCTGTCGCATGCGTGCAATTCATCGAGAAGCGAAATATGAGACTGACAAACTTTTTCTTTTCTAGACTTCGCAAACATCGCTCGTAAGTGATGTCCCTTTCACCCTCCCCAGCGACTTTTTCGGCATGGTTTTGAATATGTTGAGAAAAAGCGGGGTGGCCGTCTAACATGAAATCGTCATGACAGAGCAGTTCGTTCAGTTCTACTACAACACCTTCGATACCGCCCGCCCCAACCTTCAGGGACTCTACGTATGGCAGCTTTCCTCTTTCTGGGATAATACAAGAGTGGATGAGCTGACGATATTCGGGATGTAACAGCGCGATGAATCTATGCTCACCTTTGAGACCTCTTCCATCTTGGGTGCCGCGAACATCATTGAGAAGTTGACGGTCCGTGACATTCAGAAATAAAGAAATTTGTCTATGAGCAATGGAAATACTGATATTGTTTTCAGTCTCTCCCCTTCGAGAAGGTCCAACATCAGGTTTCGACCCTTGATGCCCAGCCCTCCAGGGATGGCGCTATCATCGTCATGGTGACTGGTGCTCTTCTCGTATGTTCCTTCCTTTTTGAATTCAGTTTTGGGACTGGTTTAACATTTAAATTAGGTCGACCAGGAACAGAGACCCATGAACTATAGCCAGACCTTCTTCCTCCACCCCGACGGCCAAGGAAGCTACTTCGTCTTCAACGACATTTTCCGTCTCGTCTACTCGGCATAGATTCGCGGTGAGATGAAAGCTTGTTAAATATTGGAGGAATTGTTGATTAAGGTGCTGAATTAGCCCCAGTGGAATGGTTTATGATGGGAACTATAATTTAGCCAGAGAAAGAGAGGTATGGCTTGGCTGTCCCGCCACTCTTTTCTGTGCAGTGCGAATGCTTTGTTTTTTGGTCATTGAATGAACATAGTCGAGGGGACTTTTTCTTGTTCTTCACTGTGTAATGACAGCGTTCCTTAGACAGACTATAAACATCACCAAGGTGATATGTTTTTTTTTTCACGGCAAACCGTCTTAAACAATATGAGTTACGTCGTTCCACATGCGCAGAGTTCATAGAGATTGATCTTGGTATCTAGCTTAGCGGCTAAAACTGACTATCTAGTTTCTCTACTCATACAAATTGCAGATTGGATGTGTACAGCATGCGTAGTAGTCGAAACTGGTGAGAATATATACCGGAAACCTGAAATAAACTGATTCCAGTAGGTAAAGCAATCCAGTGCCTTGGAATAAAGCAAATATTGACATTTCGAATTCTGTTTCCTAGCAAGTACGGCATTGGAATCACTGGCTCTGGAGGAGCGGCGTGTCCTCGGACGGCTGCCCGTTGGATTCACGTCGCTGTTCATTGTGTATATCCACAGGGGCTGTGGGAGAGGCTTCCTCACCACCGTGGTGATGCACCTCCTTCCTCCTGGGATTGGGGTTGACATATTCAAAGTACGTGGCGAGGAAAAGAAGGGTTCCCTGCAGACAAGCCGTCACGACATATACACCCCATGTGCTCCAGCCTTCTTTCCCTAGTCGTGCGGCTAAACTGGCCGCCCACACGAGACTGCCTGGTGTCTGGATGCACATCATCGGTATACTGAGACTGCCTACGCAGCGCAGCCGAACGGTGGTGTAGATCTGCGGGAGATATTGGATCGAGGAGAGAACGGCAGCTAGAACTCCGAGGAATTCAGCCCATGCTTTGAGCGATTCTGGTCGTGTGATTGCAAAGGTGACGGAGATGATGAGTACGATGAGAGCGTGGAGGATGCTTAGGCCTGTCACGGCTAGAGCGGTTCGGTATGTCGGGCCATTATCTTCATCGGAGGCGGATTCCGGGGTAACTGGCGAGGTCGAGGATGTGGCTCGTGGGAAATATATGACGAAGAGAAGGAGGCTAGAAGTGAGAGATGGGGTCAGTCGGGGTGTTTGTTCGCCTTTGCGATAAGAACTTACATTATAAAGAACCCGAGCCATTGCACTCCAACCTGCAGAATGCCCAACAATGCCGAAAAACAACTGAATCCACTGATTTCCTTGCAGCAGGCCGCGTCTTGTATACTTCGGGGCAGCACCAAAATGTTGGCGAAAGACGACGTGCCGGACGTCGTACCGAGGAGGATGAAGAAAGGAGAAATCCCAAAGGAGCTTCGCAGGGAGATGATACGGAAGTGTTGGGGGAGATAGGAAAGGAGGATTCCGAAAAGGATAAGACTGTATTTAGAACAGCTATGTTAGAATTCGATGCAATGATTGAGGATGTTCAGAGCAATCCTATCTTACATTGATAATATGAAGTTTTTATAGTCAGGGGAGGCCAAGCTCCGGCAATGGGGACTCAAGAGATCATCCATTTTGAGGTGAAAGAATCTGGTATAGGCAGACCTGGCCCATATACCACTTTTTTGATGAATGAATTGTGTTCGAGGATGGCTGGGAATTGTATTCGATCAACACGTCGTGAAGTCGCAACAAAGCCTTATCTATTGGTCAGGAGGCTGTTTTGCGATGGCGGTCGAGAAAACGCTCAAGGGTCGTCTGGTATACCACCAGAAAGAAGAGACAAACCCATCAAGTGGCTCTATTATAACGAGACCATGATGGCAGCGACAAATGCTCTTCTTGGTGGTGATGGGCGAGGATGGATGATTTGTCACAGGTGACGGTGAGTTCTTTTCTTAGTCCCATTCTTACTATTAGTTGGGCTGCAGGCAAAATGTCTCCGCACTGCTGAAACAGGTGACGCTACTGAATAGTCTCTTGTCGCAGCATTTAATAGTTTTGTATACAGCTGGCCTAGGAGTTTTTCTATTGTTTTCTCTTTACGATCGTCTTCTTCTTGATGGCCTGGTTTGAGTTATGGAGAAATCCAGATTGTCTCGACTGATGACGCCAATTGCAGCAGCTCGCCCACTGCGTTGCTGCAACTACGTCACTCGGCATCATCTTCGCTCCAGCGCCTTACTTCTTTGCTTGCCAGCTCCCACTTCCTCTGCTTTTTTCAATCTGAATGACAAAGATTGAGCTACTTCTTGATCAGCTTCTTCAAGCAGAATAATAGGCACACGGGTAAATGCTCTCATCATCTATCTCCTTCACTTCCCCGTCTATCCGAGCACCAGTTCAAGACAATCACTGACAGCATTTTGGCCACCCAGAACTACTATCGAGATTTATTCGTGAAATAATACATAAGATACATTAAATCCATAAGTCAGGATGAGATTCAACTTGGCCTCGGGCCTGCTGTTGGTCCTTGCGACTACAGAGGCCGTTGGTGCCGTCAACTGGTTCAGCAAAGCTGGTATGTTTGCGCCCGGATAATGAGAGAGGGGCATTTTCCATATAACCCCAGTTATCAATTCGTACTCATACTGCTGTAGTGTACAACAGATGGCACGAAACAGAGCTAGAAAGATGGCTTTCCGACCACGGTCAGTATACTACGAATTCTTCGAACTGGACGCAGCTGATGCATAGCAACAATAGATATCCCGTATCCTACACCTGCAGATCGCAAGGATCTTGAGGACTTGATGAAATCAAACTGGGATATGAAGGTCCAAAAGCCCTTGGCGCAGATGACAGACCAAAGCTCTGACCAGTTGCATCATGCAAAGGAGTGGATCTTTGATACGTGCGTCACATGTGCCATGAACTCATTGAAATGCTGCTAACATCGAATCAGCTGGTCGGACTCTCAGCTCAAGGCATTCTTGGATCGACACGGTATTCCTGCTCCGCAGCCGCGCAGGCGTGATGTTCTTCTGAGAACTGCCCGTGAGAACTATGAGACAATTGCAAAGAAGATTGGCGAGACAGCCGCGTATCCTGGAAACTGGGTTTACGCACAGTGGACAGAGTCTGATCTGAAGGAATGGCTCGATGAGCGTGGATGGCCTGTGCCTCAGCCCAGTACTCGGGACAAGCTTGTCGCGTCGGTGCGTCGCAATGCTAGATTGGCTAGCCTGCAAGCACGTAGCATTTCTGCTTCTGCTGCTGCTTCTGCAGATGCGGCCCAGGCTACGTTGAGCGAAGCGCTGTTCCAAGCTTGGTCTGACGCGGATCTGAAGAAGTTCCTTGATGACCATCAAATCAAGGTGCCCCAAGGCTCCATGCGCAATGAGCTTGTTGCGCTAGCAAGAAAGCACCGCGCTTCTTTGGTCAGCCAGGCATCATCTGCTTCTAATACCGCTTCGCAGTGGATTGGTGCTGCTACCTCTAGTGCTGGCAATGAGTATGCGCGAGCAACCGACTCGGTCCACGATGTGTTTGATTCCATCATTGAGACTTGGTCCGATTCTCGTCTCAAGGCATTCTTGGATGCCAGAGGAATTCCTGTCCCTCAGAGTGGGAAGCGTGATGAGCTCCTTGCCAGTGTGAGAGCACACAAGCATCAGGTGGCAGCACATTTCAATGCCTGGAGCTTTGATACCTGGGACACTGAACATCTCAAGTAAGAGTTCCCTTGAATTTCATTGTTCTCGATTCCCCCTTGCTAACCACACATATAGGAACTACCTGTCTTCCATGAACGCCAAGGTGGCTCATCGCGCGGATGTATCCCGCGAAGAGCTCATGAGACAAGCGCAGGATGCTTACGCCAAAGCCTCCAAGGCTGGAGGCTCGAATCTAGCCTCTGCTACTTCCTACATGGCCCAAGCCACCGAAGCAGCCAAGGGCAGCTCGTTCGATACTTGGTCTCGCTCTGAGCTCAAGGCCTATCTTGACTCTTATGGCATTCCCGTGTATCAGGGTTCTAGCGCGAATGAATTGCGGGCGGCCGCTAGACACCAGGCTCAATATTTCACATATGGAACAACGAGTCCATATGGCACACTCTACACCAAGTTCAAGGACACTGCCCAGTGGGTCTGGGACCAGCTGAAGATTGGCGCATCGAGTGGCAGAGCTCAGGGCCAGGAGTCTGCAGAAAAAGTGAAGGATACAGTCTTTGAAACGGCTGATGAATTGCGCTCGGAGCTGTAAAATCATTTCCATGTATTTGGAATCCTTTCTCTTCGATCTATGTAGGCGGCGGTGGTTTTTTTACTGTATGGTTTTTGTATTTATGATGCTTATGACTTTCTTTTTTGATTTTATTGGTGGTTTCTGTCATGAATGTCTTAATATATGAACAAAGGTCTACAAGTCCTGGTTAATGGAAAAAGTTGTTTGGTCATTGGTCTCGTATCTGTACTAAGTCTCTGACAACACCGTCGGAAATATATCATTGACATCTTCCAATTCAAAGGTAAACCGCAACAACAGAAAGGAACAATGTTATCAGATAAGACCAAAACAAATTTTGCATTTTAACTTAATCCGATGGTTTCTGTCTAAATCCACAAAATGACTCAAAATCATGCCTCATGCGCCCTAATGACCTCAAGGCAGCCGAAATCGCTGTTACATCATATGCAACTTTTCATGGAACCCATCTGCTATTTTCCACCAAATCAAGAAAGGAGCACTTTGAACTGCAGCATCGACTGACGAAGCTCAGAGACGGTATTAACCATATATACGGGGTGACGGAGGCCTGTTGGTTGATTGATTCATTTAAGCTTTGGGCGCTTCTGGGTCACCCTCTGCAACCAATTTACCCACGACGAGGTACTTCTCCGAGAAACGCTCCTCCCAAGATTGGAGGTTCTCCAGCTGGTCGGCGTCGAGGTCCTTCAGGTCGTCCAAGGGGCCCTTGAGATCCTTGGTGAGCATCTCCTCGTCGAAGCTCTGGAAGGCTAGTCCACGGGATGCGTCACGGCCGGCAAAGTTCTCGTATGGTCCGCCCTGATAATAGCAAAAGATCTTGTCAGCCACGCGCTTCTTATATAAAATAGTTGGATTCGTTCAAAAGGCGGTAGAGCATACCGGTCCGTAGAAGTTCCTGCCCGGGGATACATCGAAAACACGTCCGCGCACAGCAAGGTAGACGGGAGCATCGTTGATGCCGTTAAAGGGGAGCAGGGTCGAGGGAGTAAATGTGCGGAAGACGACTGGGGGCGGGCCTTCAGGAAGAGTAGCGGGGGCCTTGGGGCGGAGCTGCATGTAGACAAGCACCACAAAGAGGGAGAGAAGAATCAAGTTGATGGGGGAGGCGATTGACATCCTGAATTGGTGTCAGTTTCTCTATCTCGAACTGTGCTGATAAGATTGAGGTGGAGGGACTGACGCTTCAGCTGGTGGGGGGACCGCGGTGTCTAGAAACATTAGTAAACAGTCTTGTCTATTGGATAGGCAGATGACGGGGAAGCATACCTGCCATTTTGAATGTGTCCTTCTTTGAATCTCAAAATGCCACTGATGCAGAGGACGGGTGCTGCGGATGATGATGAGGAAGATGAGTGTGAGATGGGGAAAATTGGAGATGGATTAACCGGGTCGGCTTATGGATCTGCGGAGAAGCCGCTGGACGGTTTCTGCGTATGGAAGAAATGCGTAATTACTGTCATCATTTCCGTATCACATGACATACATGCCTGGGGCATCCAAAGACAGCCAGGCACTCAGGCAGAAAACACTACTAAATATAATTTAGGTTCCTGTAATCAAACGGCGAGAATCCACAGCTATTATTATCCTGATCCCGCTAGGAACGGAGATTATCATGCCTTTAGTCTGAAGGCTAGAGTCACAGCCTACGCTCGCACGCAGTTCTGCAGGCCAGAATATTCTGAAACAGGTCCTTCATAAGCTGGAGATTGCAAATTAATTTCGTCTTCCTCCGACCAACAGTTCTCCAACATCACTAACGACGTGAGGTGCCACAGCCCCATCGGACATACCTAATTGATAGAGCGCCAGTCATGAAATTCACTTGAGGGGCTGGCTAGCCTGCTGTCTTTTAATCACCGTCGTCATCATCCTGGCTTCTTTTCTTCCTTCATTTTCGTTCCTTTCTCTTGATTCATCTGGCTGGTTTCCTTGATTTATCGACTCCTTTGTTGGCTGGCACTCAAAAGAGCAATCAATCCCTTTCAATTCATCATATTGCATCTTAGTCTCGAGTCGTTTTTAGCACGTATATCTGCTATTTTAAAGACGAGAGCATTTAAAACAACAGGCTATTTGGGAGCTTATGACTCTCCTTGGCCTCTAATCTAATTTGCTTCGTGATCTAGGTATGGGATTTAGCTTGTTTCTCCTTTCTAGCCTAGTCGAGAATACTCACCATCTTCTCAGCTCAGACAGCAGACTCAACATAAAATCCTCGTAGATCGAGATGTGGGACAAGGTGCCTTTTTATCGGTCTCGAAGGCCTACAGTTGGAACGCCCACGCTAGGCGACAAGACCGCGGACGATGGTGTTTACCAAACTTTGTCCTCGGCGAGAGTTCGGAACGACAAGTATTCGAAGGAATTGCCTGGCCTCCCACGGTAAGTGTGCATTGCAGGATACCTTCAATTGCCAGGCACATTTTTTTTTTTTTTCTAACTGATGAACTTAGCGACCATTTGAGTTCTACCTTCTCCCCTAATCGGCCGCGAGTTGCATCTGCCCCGCATCCTAGTAATGCCGTCGAACAGCTTCGCCAACGTTCCAGCACATTGACGCCCCTTGGCCAGAGTGGTTACACCTCAAAGCCAGGCACCCCATCGTCGTGGCTTCAAGACGCAGAAATCTCACCTCCCGATTCCCCCATTTCCATGAGGCGTACACCCAATAGCCGGGGTAGTTCTCAGGTCTCCCCGATTGAGGACGAACCAAACCAGTATTTCGAGAGTGAGCAGACGGAGAACAGATTCGCTAGCCATTTGCCAGTTTTGCGCCAAGGTGAAGGGAATGATAATATCCCGTCACGATCGGACGATTCACAGAATTCCTACAAACTTTCGTCGAGTCGGGCTCGAGAGACACGATGGGATGATTTCTCCGGCGAACCAACAGCCGGTAGCTCTGGTAAATCCGCACAAATGACTCCTGGACGAACTTCCTTTTATTCCCAAGGCACCTCCAAACCAGGGGGACCTCAAACCTCCGGCATTTTGGGTTGGGGTAAGGAGCAGTTTCAACCAAGGAAGAAACTCGCAGAGGCTCGCAGCCGGCTGTCGAAAAATGATAATATGCTTCAACCCGCTGCTCGTGAGCCGTGGAAAGGACCCAGTGGGCGATCACCAATGATAAACCCTATCCAAGAGAAGCTAAGGAAGAGATCGCCATCACCTGCGCAACCTTCAAAGAGCAGCAGCCGGGGGAAAGATAACAACGTATCTCCCGATGCCAACCTTGTATCTCTAGGCATCAAGCCGTCCGTCGTCACGACTATTACGGGAGGCGCAGCAAATCCCGCAGGGCCGGAAAGACGCACTGTCAGCAAGAACATCAGCCGTCATCAGCCAGAAAAACCCGAGCCAACCCCCGCCACTAGTGTCAGAAGCAGTACCCCGCCGCGTATTGATCTGCCAGAACCCGATCTGACTGCCACGTTGGCTGACTTGAAGCTAACCGGCGAAGACCAGCCTGGGAGTCGCTTCAGTGCTGCCACCTACACCCCCACCGAAGTGGAAACAGCTACTTCAACGGGCAGCCCTCGAGAAAGCATCGACATTAGCAACCTGTCTACCGATAATCTTGCTTCTATCATGTCCAGAAAACGCCCAGTTCCCAGCGCCGTGGCTCCTGGAAAGATGCCAGCGAAGATGCCAGTTAGAAAACCCACTCCTTCGCAGGCTCCAGAAGCCGAGGCGATGCCAAAGGAGTCCTCACCAGAGTCGCCGCGACAGCATACACAGAACCGAATCGATGCCTTGGAAGCAAGAAGAGACACTCTTATGCGGCGCAGGACTAATATTAACACCATAATCCATGAACTCACACAAGTCGTCCAGCCGAGCTCCATTGCCTATGATATGGCGGCCAGAGAAGAAGTCAAGAAAACTGTCGCAAGTCTGAACAACGAGCTTGCTGAAATTAAACGAGAAGAGCACGAGATTGGGGTGAAACTACTCAGACTTTGGAAGAAATGTGATGAACAAGATGCTTATGGCGGAGGAACAGGTCTATGGGTGAAACGGGTGACGAGCTGATGAAGATACTCGATCACCTGCTTTTTTTTTTTTTGCATTGTTTGGTGTCATCTTTTTTTTTTTGCTTGCTTTTCAATCACCCAATTTTCTTTCGCTGTTGGCTGGACCAGTCCCTTTCTTCGTTCTTATACCCCACCATAGCGCATTCTATCAGATTTGCATTTGATGCGCTCTTTCATTTGTGGTCCTTGTGAAGCGTCCTGGCTTTCATTTACTGCGCGACCTTGGAGAGGCGCCAAAGATACCCTTTTTCCCTCCCTCTTTTCAAATTTCCTTTTCTTTTCTTCCATCAAATGCATATGATTTTGAGACCGATGTTGGACAAATGATCTCTGTTTGACCATGGCGAGCCTGTGAATTGAATGAAATGTGCCCTGCACCAATGAGTATTACCAAGCAACGATTCATCTATGCAATAATAATGCATTTAATTGCAGAATATGTATCGAGAAGCAAAGTTGCTTGGGTAGTTATAAGAAATGTGAAAATATAAGAAACCCCCCATGATTTTGGTGCTTGTTTTGCGTAGCTCGTCGTATCGTGAAGGCGACTATCGCATGGTTTCCAGTTCGTAGTTTATTTCTTTCCAGACTTCTTGATACCCTGGTTACCGGTGTTCAGAGGACCCTTCTTGCCCTTGGCCGCCTCCATCAACTCCTTCTTTGCCTTGGCATCTGATATTATCAAGAACCCGTCAGCCAATATCCAAGATAACAACAAACTTTGATAGTGATAGCGTGACATACCGGCCTTTTGCTTCTCCTTGAATGCAATCTCGTCCTCATCGAGTTCCTTCTTATCCTTCTTGGCAGACTTCAAAGGCTTAACCTTGCCGCCTATCGAAGAAGAGGGGTTAGCACGCTGGCCTATGAGGATACAATGGAAATCGTTCGGGTTTGCATACCTTCTCTGCTTTGACCACCCATTTTGCCCGAGTCTGATAGACTGTAGAAAAAGAGGAGTAGAGTGGTATGAAGTGAATGGAGAGTGAGGAGAAGGAAGAAGATGAAAAAAATGTTCTGCTTATCAGCGTTGTTTCCGCGGGGTGGCACTAGACCTCGATCGGGCTAGGCGCAAAATCTCTAGGATGGCTTCCTGGTCAGACACCGCCTAAGCAGCGACTCCATCTCCATCTCCATCTCATTTACCCCAGACATCGCGTTTTACAGCTACTCGAAAAGTCCGTGAATCTGCTTGCTTAAGCAGTCGTGCTTCAGAGACGAGTTTTTGCGGATATTTATTTGCCTGGGACAATAGTGAATGTTGGCAAGGCCCTGTGAATTGAAACGCAGGCATTTCTAGCCGGTTGGACTTTCACTAAAGCCCCCATCAAAAAGTTGTCGTTCTTGAAGCTGTTGGCTAATCAAACGTTGCCTCTGTTCATTTTATCCCTGAGGCTTTTCCAAGGGCCGATCGGATAAGCTCTGGTTTGCACCAAGTGGTAACAAAGCAAGCAAGAAAGAAAAGAAAAGAAAGGCCAACGTATCGATACCATGGCATCATACAGGTCGAGGTCTCCGTCGACCCCTTCTGAGGGTGAGATCATCGAATCAGGCTCAGAGACGAAGGCAACTACGTCGCAAAATCCTCTTAATGGCACCAGTGTTGACCGTCACACCAGAGGCAGTACATCATCGGTGAGATCTCCAGCGTCGCGGAGTAGATCGCCACGCCGGCGGAGGTCGAGGACCAGGTCGAGATCCAGAAGCCGATCCCGCTCTCCATATCGAGACTACAGAGGACACAAACGCAGACGAGACGATGACTATGACGACCGACGCTTTCGGGACGAGCCACCGCGACGTTTCGCGAATAGGTACGAGGACCGGTATAACGATCGCGGCTCCCAGAGACGACAAAGATCCTACTACGACTACGACCGGGAGGAAGGGTATTCGGGTGGTTTGAAATACAGTGATGACTTTGATCGACGTCAGGACAAGCGCCCCCGAACGCGAAGCAGATCGCCATACCACGAGGTCCGAAAGCCCAAGCAGTACTCGGGCGACGAATGGGAATCCAAAAGGGAAGAGAGCTCTACCTCTCGAGGAGTCAGAAGGCGAAGGTCATCCACTGAACAATTAGTGAGCGAGCGAGGGGCCACCCCAGTCGTCGCTCAGGATTCTAAACACAGAGCTGAAACGAAAGAGAATCAGGTGCAGCAGGCTTCTTCTGATGCTACTATTCGTGTCGTAGATAAGTGTGTTATTTCCTGGTGTTGTTTTATGGCATAAGTTACTGACGATTTGGTGCAGCCCAGAAGAACAACAACCTGCCGAATCTGTTGACGAAGCGACTCAGATGGAAGCACGACGAAAGCGACGTGAAGCTATCAGAGCTAAATACAGAGGCCAGGCTACCCCTTTACGTCTTCAGGCGTTACAAATCGGCGGTGATACAGACTCATCCACACCGAGCACCGACACACCGCAGGCCGGTAAGTTGTTGTTGACCTTTCGTGTCTACGATAGTTTTCAGCCGCTAATAAATTTCTTTCTTCCGCAGAAACCCCCCCTATATCGCCCGCCCAGACGCCTAACGAAACACCTGGAGACGCATTCCCTGACTTCAAGGTTGGCAAAGACGCTGACCTGGTTAACGAAGATGCGCCTGTAGACGGTGCCGATAAAGACGAGCCATCCGCGGCAGACTATGACCCAATGCTTGACATGAAAGCAGAGAGGCAGAGGCATGATAGTAAACCTACCAACGGAGAGGTCTCATCAGGAGCGTATGATGAAACACAGACCTCTAAACAGGATGTTCTGATCCCCGATACCCCCGCACAACCGCCGACGCAGACAAAGACGAAAGATCCCTACGATATGTTCGCAGAGGACGATGGCGACGACATGTTTGCCGAAGATACGCAAGAAACTGCACAGCCCGCGCATGCCTCGGCGACGGCCGTACCCCAACCACGAGAGCTTGACATCAGCATGATGGATAACTGGGACGACCCGGAAGGGTACTACAATGTCCGGCTTGGTGAGTTGATCAACGGCCGATATCATGTGCAGCAGAATCTAGGCAAGGGAATGTTTTCCTCTGTAGTGCGGGCGACCGACTCGAAGACCGGCCATTTGGTTGCGGTCAAGATCATTCGCCAAAACGACACGATGAAGAAGGCGGGAATGAAAGAGATTGGGATTTTGGAGCAGCTCCACGAAGCCGACCCAGATGATAAGAAGCACATGATCAAGTTTGAAAGGCACTTTGACCACAAGGGACACTTGTGTATGGTGTTTGAGAATCTCAGCATGAACCTGCGTGAGGTGTTGAAGAAATTTGGACGGGATGTCGGTCTGAACCTGCGGGCGATCCGGGCATATGCGCAGCAGATGTTCCTCGGCCTGAGCCTGATGCGCAAATGCAACATATTGCATGCGGATTTGAAGCCGGACAACCTGCTGGTCAACGAGCAGCGTAACATTCTCAAGGTGTGCGACTTGGGGTCCGCGTCGCCAGCATCGGAGAATGAGATTACACCGTACCTGGTGAGTCGATTCTACCGGGCGCCGGAGATTATACTGGGGATTCCGTACGACTACGCGATCGACGTGTGGTCGATTGGGTGCACACTGTTTGAGTTGTACACGGGCAAGATCCTGTTTACGGGGCGAAACAACAACCAGATGCTACGGTCGATAATGGAATGTCGTGGCAAGTACCCACCGAAGCTGCTCCGACGAGGCTCGCTGGCCCACATGCATTTCGACGAGATGCTGAATTTCCAGAGCATGGAGGAAGACAAGGTGACGGGGCGACTGGTGACACGGAGCCTGGACTTCAAGAAACCGACTCGAGATTTGAAGACGCGGCTGATGGGCAAAGGCACACGGGGGATGAGCGAGGTTGAGGCGAAAGAGCTGGGACTGTTTGTGGATCTGCTGGAACGGTGCCTGAGCCTGAACCCGGAGAAGCGATGCACGCCAGCTGAAGCGTTGAAGCACCCGTTTATTGCGCGACCCAAGGTGCATACATAGTACATAGTGTATAGTGAGAACTCATTGTTGATAGTCTACGGAGTAATAATGACGAAGAGCACATTGGAAGAAACCATTGACATTCTTAGAGCGAATGATCATCGTAATAGAAGTTGCCACCAAGAATGAGTCAAAAAGGCAACCGTTGAGAGAGTTAGATTTGAGGGAAGAAGCGAAGGAGAATTTGTATAGATGACATGAAAGTGACATAATGGCGGGCAATATTGAGTGGGGGAAGTTATTGATGGTGGTGGCAAAGTGGCTTTGAGTGAGAGACAGTCGATCAACTTAGCCAACAGGGGTATCGTAGTAGTAGTTACTCGGTAGGAGAGTAGTAGTAGCACACAATATTGAGTTGAGCGGAGAGATGAAGATATTCGGGATTACCAGAAGAGGGGAAAGCTGTGTGAGACGATGGCAACATGATGATGTCAAGCATTACTTGGTCTGTATCTCACCTCAGCCCTGAAATAGGGGATAATGTTACACAGGCGAGATGATGATGGCAAGAGATGCAGCTGCAAGATGTGCAGAGGATCACTTGGGATGGATTCTTCGTATTTTGCACAGCTGCCTGTATGTACATACTACATGGTAGTATTGATTCTGTAGTCTGTACGTGCTTGTACCCAGATGACTACTCGGTGTGGGATGTCGAAAGGGAAACGGTTATTGCTTGTTTCTCCCTTGCAGCAGGCAGGATCATCTGGGGTACATTTATAAGATATTTGGATATATCACATTCTCTGTACATAGTATGAATGTAGAGATATATCTGTCTTCTCCTCTACATCGTATCTGTCTGTTTGTCTGTCTGTCTGTCTACGAAATGTCTTCCAACGCCTTGCTTGACCGCCCAATCACACAGGGCAATGGCCACCAACGTGGCAGCGAACAGCGCAGCCAGTCACAGGGCGCGTGGATCCGCTGGGGTTGTCATCCGAGGATTCTCGAAGCGGACGAACTGGCCAGCTGTGGGCAAATCGTTGGCCAAGGCGGCCCTCCATCATCGCCTCACTCTGGTCTGGACACCAACCATGGATGGAGTGATTGATAATGACAACAATCCAACTGTACCAGGTAACTAACTATCTTTGTCTGTCTCTTCTCTGTCTCTGTCTCTACAGAGTACTGTCTGTATTCTGTTTGTCTCTGTACTATGTATCTGTACTCTCTGTACAGTGTACAGTGTACGGTGCGGACACTGTGTGCTTGTACTCTGAGTTGGACAAAAGGGGGTGGGGCCCAGCCTCATTGTCAGACAGTCCCACACTAGCCAATTCCATAGAATCCATCGAATCAATAGTCAGCAATGATCACGATCTGCCCACCAGTCACAGCAGCCGATGACTACACCCCATTACTCATGACTCCTCTCCCTCTGATTCAGAAACTCGCGCCCTTTTCCTCTCTGAAGGCTCAGGCATCTGTTTCCGCATCCGGCCAATCGCTGCTCCCCGCCCAGCCCGGGCCTCGATGCACCCAAGTGGGTCCGCCTGCAGTGGTGGCGCCCTCCGACCTGTCACACCCACTCCCACACCGCCTGGTTGTGCTGGAAATTCCCCAGGCAGCGAATCCCAGGGGTCTCGCAGCCTCTGGCGCGGGCGTCTGGTTGGCCCGTCCGGTACAGCCACACCGCGGCCAGCCCGTCTTGTGACGGTCAGTCCTGGTCCACCGCTTTCCCAGTACCATAGATTACACCAGAAACACAGTCCAGCGATCCGCCACATGTTGGCTGTTTCGTTCCCTGTTCGTATCTTTGACCCATGGGCCCAAGTGGGGCGCAGTGGGGGCCTTGTCCTCTCATCGCCCCTCCTTTTTCCTATTTGTAGAGTTGCCCACCAGTCGAAGCATCATACATTGTGTTAGTGCCGCTTAGTTTTAGTCAGTAATCTGTTACATGTTATTATTTTATTTTTATTATTTTTATTATTATTGCCCTGCTGTTTTATTACGCTTCTTTTCCTCTCTAAACCACGAGGCTTGCATTGTTCTTTTGTCTCTCTCTCTCTCTCTTCCTCTCCCTCTTCTCCTCATCTCCAATCTGACCTCCCATATCTGCTCTTCGCTTCTCTCTTCGCTTCTCTATTCTTCTTGCTCTTCTTTTCTTTTATTATTATTATATTATCTTTTTTATTTCCCTCCCTTTCTTCCTCCCTTCTTCTCTCTCTCACCGTCTTTCACCTGTTAGGCTGTTAATAATAAACCATCTCCAACTCATCAACTCCCCGAATTTTCTGGCCTGGTTGTGCAACACCGCTTCATCTTACACAACTCTCCGCGCCCCCTTTCCCACTTGGACAACCTCAGGATACCCTTCCACCTTCTATACCCTTTGGATTCATCCCGTTCCTTAAATGGCTTCTTAAAAAGTTAAGAAACAAAAAGACAAAACGACACTCCCTTGGATTGATTGAAACCGTGCCACTTGGATCTTTGGATTATATTGGACTCTCCCCAGGATTTTCTCTCTCTCCATTTTCAACCATCAACTTCATACTGTGAGACTCCATCCGGTGTCTCCAGTTTCTGTCCATTTTCCACTTCCATATCCGGACTTTCTTGATCATCTCCTGAAATGCTCTCCCCAATCTCCCCTGTATTTAACATGTATCCCACCATGCTCCCAACTCCTCCACCTTCTCCTATTCCCTCCCGCTGTTATGCTCCGGAAGACCGTTTGGGATTGCTCCTGGCCAACCGACTGGAACTCACTAGCATCCTGGGCGTGGGTGCCTATGGTGTCGTCTATACCGCTGTCGACATCCACACCAATGTGCTGTACGCTGTCAAGGCCCTCAACAAGACCGGACTTGATCCCCGCCAACTGAGGTTCCAGCAACGGGAGATCAAGCTGCACCACCTGGCCAGTCAACATCCCAATGTGGTTTCCCTGGTTCGCATCATGGATTCGGCCGATTGTACCTATGTCGTGATTGAATTCTGCCCCGAGGGTGACCTGTTCTCCTCCATCACCGAAAAGGGCAACTTTGTCGGCAATGACCCCTTGGTCAAGCGTGTGTTTCTCCAGATCTTGGATGCCGTCCACTTTTGCCATTCCCTAGGAATCTACCACCGGGACCTCAAGCCGGAGAATATCTTGGTAACTGACCATGGTCTAACGGCCAAGCTCGCCGACTTTGGCCTGGCCACCACCGACTACTTCACTTCGGATTTTGGTTGCGGTTCTACATTCTACATGTCTCCAGGTATCTTCACCTGTCTTCCCATCTTTGTTGACTTTCTAACCTTCATTTTTCTCCCTTCTGTCTAGAATGCCAGCAATCAAATCCTCGTCACATGTCCTGCTATGCTTCTCCCTCCAATGATGTCTGGAGTTTGGGTGTGATCCTCGTCAATTTGACCTGTGGTCGCAACCCGTGGAAACGCGCCTCGATGGAGGACTCTACCTTCCGAGCTTACCTGAAGGACCCCTACTTTCTCAAAACCATTCTCCCCCTTTCTGATGAGATGATCTACATTTTGAGTCGCATCTTTGAATGTGACCCTTCCAAGAGGATTACCATTCCGGAGCTGCGGAACTTGATCCTCAACTGCACCGGTTTTACCATGACCCCTATGGCCCCATGGGTTGCTCCCAGGGAACCCCAGCCTGTTGGTTTTGCCAACCAGCAGGTCGAGGTGCCTGTTGAGGAGCCCCTTTATGCACAACCCTCCACATCTTCCTCTGATTCCTCTTACTACACCAACTACTCGGACTCTGAGGACTATTCAGACATGGATAGCATGTCCTCGATGTCCTCGGTTGGTCTGGGGCCGGAATCTCTCTCGGCTGATTGCAAGGAGTTCTTCCCACGGACGGAACCTGTCGAGTGTGACGTCCCGGAAACACTTGCCATTCCACAACAGCCTCTGATGCATCCTATTCCAGTCTGTTAAACAAGGTTTGATGCACCAAAGAAAATAAAAAAAATAAAAAAGAAACAAAAAAAATATAACGCAGGACCATGAGTGACGCCAAAATTTACATTACATTCGACCTTTGCCTTAGGATTTGGATCTTTCAACATGCATTCAGCCCTTTTTGGATATGTCTTGTCGCTCTTTTTGCATATTTTTCGAAGCGGCAACTGTATTATCTATTGCCCTATCAAAGCCTTGGTTGGCTTCCTTTCTTGGACATACACTTCTTACTTCCTTGGACCCATTTTGGACAGTGGTTTTATGGCCGCATGGATTACCCGTTGGATTTTATTTGGTGCGCATTGGATTTGCCATTCTATTTGGACTTTTGGTTTCCACCGGCTCCATTCCGTGAGCCGTGTGGATGAAATAAACCATCATCTCCTTGAGATATGTTTTAATATGTCACCAATTTGGGAGGATTTTTTGTTTATGGTTTATGGTAATATACTCTCTGGGTGTTCTGATGTTTTTGATTTTGATTGATATGGTGTTTTTGGGTGTTTGGTTTGCTATCAAAGCACTGGCATTGAAAGATGAAAAGAAATACCCCGGACAAACTTGGAACCTTGCATCTGCCTGTTGTTTGTTAAATCCTGTTTCCTGTTCCTTGTTTACTTTTCTTGCTGGCGTGGTGTTGAGCATGACTTTTTGGGAGGCCACTCTGCTATGAGCATTTGCTCTTTTGGATTGATTGATACCTTTTTTTGTTTCCTCATTTCTTTTCGAGTAACGAGAAGAAAACTCGGCTCGACTCTTGATAAATACGCTGAGAAGATAGTTCTGATTTCCCACCGCTGATTGTCCACATTTTGGAAAGCAACCCATATCCGTTCTTGTTCTTGGTTTACCACACAGCTGGTGTTTAGCGCATTGAGGCCACTGGATTGACAGGCCAAATGGATCTATCGCCCCGGGGATTCATGTCCAGTGGAAAAAGAAGATGGCCTTGAATGCGACCGCAGGCGACCGGCTGAGTGAGCGACGTTTGTTTATGATGTGATGTCTTATGATAGAACGCATACAAGTCATGAAATAGGGAGATTTCCCTTCTACATTCTGATTTTGATTTCTTCAGTCCCAGCAACCCCGGATGAAAACCAGCCCCTTTTGAGTATGAATATGAAAATTGCCAATGGTGGCCCGACCTTTCTATATTCATCTCACCGACAATCCCTGCATCATGTTTCGAGTGCAGAGTATGCAATGCCAATGGCGATCGGCATCCTGCAACATGGCAATATATTGGGCGCACCTAAGCGCTGAGCTGTTTCATTTCATTTCAAGGATCACCAGTTCATGATCCATACTACTAGACTATCATCTATACTCTACATATTCCTCCCCCCAGTAACCCGAATAGTCTCCCCACTAACATACGAAAACAAAGGACTGGCAACCCCCAAAACCGCCCTCGCCGCTTCCTCCGGACTAGCCGGCCTCCTCAACGGAATATCCGGATACTGATCCTGTGGTTTCTTCTCTTTCTCTGCTTCCCCTCCCTTCCGACTCGCCAACTGCTTCCCAGGAATCCCCAACGCAACCTTCGTCCCGTCAGGAGTGGTGATGAACGCCCCTTCCTCCTTGGCAGCCGTCAGTCGCGTCGTGACGAATCCAAACGCTATCGTGTTGGCTCGCACTCCAAACGCTGGGCCCCATTCTTTGGCGATCGTCTTGGTAAGTCCCACCACGCCGGCTTTGGCTAGGGCGTAGTTTACTTGGCCGCTGCATTTTATTAGCGTCTTCTTCCATATAAGGTACACGGTACAAAGTATGACGAGTGAAAGAGAAGGAAGGACGTACGCATTCCCGTGAATACCACTCGTACTGCTAATGTTAATCACCACCCGAGGCTCCTTGTCCTTGACGCGGAAATACGGCGCCGCGGCTCGAACCAGTTTAAACGGTGCTGTGTTGTGCACTGCCAGCATCGTGTCCCATTGTTTATCCGTCATCTAGACACCATCAACAACCATCCACACAGCATATAGCATATAATATAGAATAGATAGAAAGGATAACCAACCTTATGAATAACCCCATCCCACGTAAACCCCGCATTATTAACAATAACATGAATCTTGCCTCCCCCAAACTCCGCCGCCCGCTTCACCAACGTCTCAATGTACTTATCATCGAGGATGTCGCCGACAACGGGCAGCGCGCGCCCGCCACCACCGGGGACATCGTTGATGGATTTAGCGACGGCCTCGGCTTTGGCGGCGTCGATGTCGGCGATGATGACTTTTGCGCCTTCGTTGGCGAAGAGGCGTGCTGCTTCGGCGCCGATGCCTTGGCCGGCGCCGGTTATTATGGCGGTTTGGTGGGCGAGGAGGCCGGTGGGGTAGTTGAGGTGGTTGGTTACTTGGGTGAGGCGGTGGGACATTTTGATTCTGGTTCTTGGTTGATATGGGATTGATATTGATGTGGTTGATTGATGATGAATTAATTGGGGTTGAGATGAGTTGATAGTTATATGCGGAGGAAATGCCGAGGCCCGTTGGAGAGCCGAGAACGTGTGGGGTTGCTATAGATATTCACTGCACAACTAGGTATAGAGAAGATTATCACATCTAACTAAGAACAAATACACTCCCTCAACGACATATACCGATCAAAAACGTCCACCACCCCCTCACACCCCAAGACAATCCGATAGAGTGGATCTTCCATCTCCAAGTTCAGCATTCCTTTCCTCGGTCCAATGCATATGTCCACGGCTGCCCGCGCCATCCCCAGAACCTCACGGCACTGAAACAAAAGGCCTCGGATGAGAAAGTGGCGGATCCGTCGGCTCTCCTCGTAGCTCATCTCGTAGTGGCCGTACCGGATGTGCACGCGTTCATCCTGTAGTGTCGGGTGCGGTGTGACTTCGTTGGGTATCCAGTACCCGAGAAGCTGCAGCGTCATGTCTAGGGTCGATGCAGAAAGGAGGAGGTTGGTGTTGTCTTTGGGGCAGCTGGGACAGTGGAAGAAGGTCCGACAGGCGGATATCGTTGACTTGATGGTCTGCAAGCTGTGGTCCAGTCGTAGGTGAGTTGGGTCGGTCGCCATGTAGCTCAGTTGGTTCAGGTAGAACAGCTGAGTTGCTACGCATGCGCACGTTGGCTGCGCTGTATATGGGATGTGCATGGCCAGAGGACAGCTCGTTTCGCCTTTGGTGATGAACTCTCTTTGCAGAAACGTTGGCGATAGGGAACCCGGTGGATACCCTAGATCTGTTGATGCCATCATGTCCTCCAGTGGATATGGATCTGCACAGCTGTCGCCCACGAACATGGATGCGTTCACTGCTGCATTGCTCTCGAATATTTCTGGACTTTCATTTATTCTCTGATGGCTTCTTGCCAGCGATTCCTATGTCTATTAGAAACTCAGTCATATAAATGATCTGGCAGAAACTAACGCCATCTTCGGTACTTTGGTCTGTATGGTAGCTTCCATGCTGCTCAGTGAGCTCAAAAGTATAGTCCACTGCAAACGCCATATTTTCTTTCTCCCACGCATGCATAGACGTTGCTTGACTCTCTGGAAGCTGTCCCAATTTCTTCAACGTAGCTCGGTTTTTGCTGCCTTTGGGCTTGCCAGACCGATTGGCAAATCCGTATCGACATTGTAACCCGTGGCGAAGACAGCGAATACACGTATCCTTGTTGGACAAGTTGCATTTCACCTTGGATTGCCTGCAATTTTCACAGGCAGTTCGCAGTTTAGGCGCTTCCTCGCCACCAGGAGACATGTCGTTTGATTCCGCGAGCATTTGGCCGATGAACAGCGGTTTGTCGGTAATCAAATTGATCTATCTTCGAATGCCTCAATAGTCTAGTGTCGTAGATCTCTCACTATTAGATCCGTCCGATGCATATCACATTCTCTTATATGTGCTAGTAAGATCTATTATACCAAGAGTCAGGTTAGTGCAACAAGCCTACGAGGTTGCCACGACTGACCAGACACAACCAAATGGCCTGGGCACTATTATAACCAATTCATAATAACACAGAGCATGCAACTCTCGTATCCGAATTCCCGTACCGACGGAAACCGCGTATGGAGTCAGCCGCTGTGAAACATAAAAGCTTCATCTGATCATCCTCCGCATGGGGACCGTCGACATCCACCTCCAGAGCGCTCCTTCAGCCTCGAGGCAGTCCAACTGACCAAGACTCTCTGTCTAAAAGGGCAAATGCCGGATTGCTTGGCTGTCGCTTATTTGCTTCTGATAGGAGATTCTAAACGACTTCGTAGGCAGTATTGAAAAAGTGAAGAATCGAGTGCAACATCAACAGTAAGCAAAGGCATCCTGCCAGATCTGTTGCCTCGGGCCCGCCGGGCGAGATTTGATGGCCGACGTACGCAAGAAAACGTGTCTTAGGAGGCGAAGCCTCACGTAGCAATCCTTACCCATCTCACTAGGTACTGGGAAAGCGAATAGACGGATATCTCGACAGATACGGCTCTTTCTAGGCATCTAGAATACACATCACTTCCTCAATCCTGGTCCCACATGCTGAAATCATCAGCTGGTAAGAACAATTGGTCTGACATTTCGTGTCATCGTAGAGGAGTCAGCAGTATGCTTATATTACAATGAGGTTGATTATTACTACTCTATTGGCGGTAACATCTTGTTCCATCGAGACATGCTGGTCGTGCAGATCAATACGATCACGGGAAATCAGCCTGAGATGCAGCTCTCTGCAATACCACTGTGTCTGTAATCGAATGCTTTTAATAGCCCAGTCAGATGAGCCACCGCGGCGCAGACAACCAACACGTGGAAGATTTGGTGAGAACTTCCCAGGATATCAAAACTTCCCGGTCGCAGGCGTTCAGGGACCCGGGCCGCATAGATTCCAGCCCCTAGGATATACAAGAATCCCTGGAGTAAAAGCCAACCGAGTCCGATTTGGCTAGTCATCTGTTCGATGCCGTACATCTGCAATCCGTGAAGAACGGGGAAAACCGCTGATAGCCCCATGCCGACAAACATGGCTGCGCGGAAAGGCCGCCACCGAGGGGTGCGAAACTGAGGCAGTACTGAGACAAGGGCGCAGCCAGCACCAATGGAACAAATCATAGTCCAGTACAGGTGTTGCAAGTTTGGCGCACAGTAGAAGCCATAGAAGATGCTGGGAACGAAACTGCCCACAATCAACCCCACAATTCCCACGTAGTCAAAGGCATTGCCTATGCGAGCGACGACAGGAGAATGGTTCGAAATGGTATGATAAGTTGCTGACATCCCGAGGCAAAAGGCCGCTCCCGCAAAAAAGCAACCAAAGGCGATAACATCGGATTGAGTGGCCGTCTCGTAACGCGGAGCAAGAGCTTGGTGAAGAAGATACGATGCAGGTATGGCAAGCAGCGATGGTAGAAGATGTGAATAGATGTTGACCGTCTCATTGTGAACGTAGGTCAGAGAATGGAAGGAACCCAGAAAGGAGAATGAAGCTGGTCGATATCCCGTATGAATGTGGTGATTGTCACGCTGCCAATGTGGCAGATCATCCCAATGAAGAAGTCTCTTCATGACTTGAGGCACTGCAGCCGCAACAGCTGCAGGTTTACTGCTGGATTCTGTCTGGCTTTGGGAGCCCTCTGCGGGGCGACGTTGTCGAGGAGACATGTTCACATGCAGATGCAGGTCCGATCACTGTATATCAAGGAATCGTCATTCCATGTAATCGATACACAAGACGGATGGGAGATGAAAGACAATAATTGAAAAAGATAAATCCCAATGGACTACAACAGTCAAAAGTGTTGGGACTGACAGGAATCCATCGTGAATCCCCAACGGGGAAAGGACCTCGGCATACAAATCAAGCAAACAAGACAAACACATCAATGGCCAAACCTCCAACATCCCACATGACGCAATATCATCAAGAGCACAACACTGACAGCGTCGCCAGCCATGGCGGGTTCAATGCACGCGAGGAAACCCTCTGGAAGCCGTCTAAAGCCTGTAGCGGACACTCTAGAGGCTGTGGGATTTGTGTCCAAAGGAGATCGGAAGTATGTCCGTCGTTATGATATCAGAAAGGACATTGGAATTTCTGCCTCTCCACAGGGCTGACAATTCGCAGATTGCTAGATCAGAAAACCCAAAATGAATACTTTGAAAAGATTGTAAACCGATTTCTCGAGTTCTGCGCGACTCATCACGATGACCTGGATGCAGCGCTGGCATCTCTTCCCACCAGTTCCTCGGGCGACCCGACCAAGAACCCGCCTGCCTCTTTTCCACAATCCAAGTCCAAGCCGGGCGTATCGCGTGGCCCATCCGCTTCAACTGAGCTGTCAACTATCCTTCTATCACTGCGAAAGCTTCGAGAGGCAGTCTTAGCCACCGCTTCTACAACGCCAGTTTCTTTCTCGCAGCAGGTCCATGTCTTTTCCATTAGGACCTCTATATTGGCTCAGCACCCGCCGTCATATTTCCCCTCTCTTCGCTACCTCCTGGAAAGGCTACACAAGCCTTCACATCCGTTGTCTGACAAGGAGCTCAAGGAAACCACCTCATACCTCATTCTCGATTATGCCTGTCGACAATGTGACATGGTGGCTGCTTTTGAGTTGCGCGCGCACGCGCGAAGCCGGTATGCGTTTGAATCTCAGACCATCGACCGTGTATTAGCTGCTTTGATGCAAGATAACTGGATTGTATTCTGGAAAATTCGGAATGAAGTGGACTCAAAGATGCGTGCTTTGATGAACTGGGCAGTAGACCGGATGAGAAGACATGCTCTCAAGGCCGTTGGCAGTGCGTATCTCAACGTCGATGTGAGATGGATCGTTGAAGGTTGCACTGGAGAAAGACAGAACTGGACATGGGACAAGCTGGTGGAGAAGGAAAAGCTCGGTTGGCTGAAAGAAGGCGATAAGATCATCATTAAAAGACCAAGGCTGAGGCCTGAGAAAAAGCTCGTGCCGATCAAAGAAGGTTCATGATCTCAACCCAAACGGACGAGGGTTGTTCTTATGATGCATTCTGAGGCGTTATAAATATACGGCGTTGAATTGGGTTTGAACATGGTCCTTAAAGGTATATAGCATTCACTCATGGATAGCATGGCAATTCATTAGATATTATTCTCTTGGAAATCGGATAACATCTATTCCAGAATGACAAGTACATTAATCCGACTTGGCCCTGGAATTATATGCTTCAATCTGAGACATTGTAACCGAAGTGATTATTGGATTTCCATCACAGTTTAAAGTCCGCATTGGGTCGATTCAAGTTGGCATGTCCGGCATTCGGTTGTTTAGCAACTATTTCTACAAGCTCCGCCTTCAATTTTCCGGACTTGTCGGAACAGAGTTCGTAAACTGTTGACAAATTGAATACTAAGCTGCAGAAAGAGTGGTTGGCCGAGATCAAGGACTCTAACTGTTCGCGTGCCTGTGGCAAGAAATGTCAGTATGTTTCCAGACCGCAAAATTCAATATGGGTGCTAAAAATACCTCATTTAACTGCCCTGTATATAGTAAACACACTGCCAAATTCTGCGATATCATAGCTTCGTCCGGTCTCCTTGGCTCGGATTCTAGAAGAGACCGCCATTCGGTCACGGCATCGTTGTAGCGACCCTCGGCCATACTCAGAAGGGGCTTGAGTATAGTCTCTCTAGCTTCGTCTGGCCCAGTAAACACCTGCTTCGCAGCATCGAGGTCTCCAATTGCGAACAGCAGGAGTGCCTTTCTCGTTTTATCAATCTCACTCTCCGGTTCGGATGTTCGCAAACTGTGGAGTGATCTCCGGGCTGCATCAAAATCTCCCATCTCTATCAAAGCATTCACACTTCGAATTCTGAGATCTGCTAGCCTTTCTCTCCATATTTTTCGTTCGTCCTGGTTAGCCTCAGGTCTCATAATCTCTCTTCGTGCTTCCAGGCCGATCTCGTATAGACCACCGATGCCTCTGCGCGAATCTCCAAATCCTATGCTCTGAAGCCTTATCGCAAGAAGTCGCAGAGGCCATGGCACTATATGACGGAAATTCTTTGGTTCTTTTGGATGACTCTGGTCGGCTTCATCGTTGGAGGGTTGGGGGTAAGTGTCAACGTAGTAGAAAGCGGAATTCAAATCCTCAAGAGCTTTTGATTCTTGTGCTGCAAGAAGAGCATTCCCTGATAGTTCAAGACATGCTAATCGGGTGTAAATGAGTCCGAAAATCAAACTTGCATCAGTAGGCGATACCACAGAGGATGTCAGAATCGCTCCACAGAGATAGGCTGCAAGAAGAAAGTGACCTTCGGCCAGCAGCCTCTCGAGGGTACCGAGTGTTAAGGACAGCGGTTCATCTGGTTTAAAAGTGATAAATTCAGAGCGCAACGCAGGTGGAATATCAATCTGCGAGAGGGAGTGATAAATGTCGTATCGAAGAAGAAACGAGAGATCCTTCTCTGTTGATAGTGGTTGCTCAGGTGCCAGCGGGTCTAGTGCAGCAAATGATTCTCCTGAATATTCACTATGGGAAACAGTCTGTCCCTGCTGCAAAGATGATCCTTTCAAATTTTCGGATCCTAGGGGACTGGCTTATATTAGATGTCGCTCCTGATATTCGTTTAGGAATGTCGCCTACTCGTCTGGTACATCCAAAGGGCCCCTGGTTGAGCTACGAGGCCGTGAAGCTAGGCGCAGTTAGAAAACGATAATAATATGGGAAGTTCATAAGCTAGCAACGAACATTCCAACCGGAGGTGCTCTTACATCTGGAGATATTGTGACGGTGATGGGGTCCAGTGGACTCCATGATTACTGTTGGTTTCTGATCAAGACACTGCAAGCAATTATTTCCGGACAACCAATGCAAATCGTGAATATTGTCTATCAAAAATAGATATTATATCCACAAAATGAATGCCCTCTAGGAATGGAGATCGCAAGTCGTCCCTCCAACTGGTATGGGCAGCTGGAGCATTCTGCCCGGGCGGTGAGGTGATCGCCCGATCTAGCAAGCTGGCTCCTCGCAACGGCCCATCGCATCGACCGCCGCAACAATACATGATTATCTGCGGAAAGCGACAACAACCAAGGCCGATCTTCATTTCCACTTACAGCAGTCAACGTGACACTCAATATCCCATCCAAACATCGTGTGATTACACTTGTTTTCTGAAAGAGGCTATTTAAATACAACCTTCATCATGACGTTCGCAGAGGAATTCCGCTCGAGAAACTTCAGTATGGACCCTTCGCGTTGTTGACTTTAACTACATGGACTGAGGCTAACCATCTGCCAATTGTTTAGGTATCTACGGACAATGGTCTGTAACCTCCCTTCCTTCATCGCTCTGCTATTTATTCCATTTCTCCTCGATATTGTTTGCTCTCGAAAAAACACAACCCGAACGAATAGTGGCTGCCTGGATTGACTGGGCTTGGCATTGTTTGGATGTATTCTCTCAACGACTATAGTGTCAAGCAAGATCGCGGAGGGCTCTGCATCCCTTCAAGCATTGCGCAGATTCATATTAGGCATTTAATGGTCTTTTATAACTCACTGCTGACTCTGTTTCGTGTCTAGGACCGGTGTCGTGTGCATTGTTCTCTGCTTTGCTTTGGGCATTGCTAACATCTTCTCTTTCAATGCTGTGCGCATTATCTTCAGTGTGCTATGTCTGTAAGTTGGCAAGCTATGTTCCCATCATTGGGGCTATATGGAAGCTCACATACATAGTGTCTCGTCGTTCATCCTCATCTTTATCGAAGTGCCTTTCCTGCTCAGAATATGCCCTACCTCCTCCAAATTCGATGAGTTCATCCGACGCTTCACCACCAATTGGATGCGTGCCGCCATGTATACTATCATGAGTGTTGTACAGTGGCTCAGTCTTTTGTCAGGCGCATCCAGTCTGATCGCAGCCGCTGTTTTCCTCATTTTGGCCGCACTCTTTTATGCACTTGCAGGCCTCAAGAGCCAAGAATTCGTCGGCAGCAAGACTTTGGGCGGCCAAGGACTTGCTCAGATGATTGTCTAAGCGTTAAGTCGCGGGAGTAGGATAAAGTCTTTCCAAGGTATGCAGTACTCGGACTGTTTATTGTGAAACACGAGAAGCTTTACGGACCGCCCATCAATTCATCTCAAGGTTGAAGAGCTTTCACACCAAGAAAACTAGGAAGGATGAAATCCAGCTTCGGGGCTGACGGGCCATACCGCAGGGAGACTGAACGGAGAAAAAAAGATGCGTTGTTTTTGCATTGTAAACGCCATGATTACGAATTCACTTTTCTTCTGTTCTTGACGATGTCACCGAACAGTCTTGTACTTCTATCTCGCATGTCGCTTCTGGCGAGCCTGTCGAGCTCTTGTTCTGAGGTTCAAGTTGACGTTTTAGGAGCGAATGTGTCCAGGTTTTATTCTTCATGTTGTATTGATCAGTTCTGCATACCTTGTGGGCTATGTTGATGGCCATTCTGTTTGCTTTGCGTTGAATGATTTTGAGAGCTCGAGTTGGGCTTGTTTGCAGACCCATTTAGCATCCTGGTGATGAATAAACATAGGGTTGACAGTCAGATATCCCTGTAGTAAATGAGTAGAGCGACAAGCAGATCCAATGATTTGGATGAGATCTTGATTTATCTACCTATTATCTAAAGGCTTTTGGTCTGGATCTCCGGGTGAAAGATACTGCGTCCGACCCGATAACACCCTTGATGTATAACCGGTGTGATCTACAAGTCATGATAGCTCCTCCCTAGCTGTCTAATTTATTGGAGCATCTATCTTTCCAGGATCCCCACTGGTATACAAGCGTAATACCTGTAATCAGCAAGATGGAAAAGATGGATCTACGTCATATTACCCCTCCGGGAAGGATTTACCCCGCGTCGAAGCAACGAAGCAAGCATGAAGACCCTATACATCTGCGCTGATAATGATGCATATTTCTGCCTTACGATTGATGCTAGTTTGCCTACTAGTTTGTTTAATAGGCATGAAATGGCACAACACATGTGCATATACCTCAGGTTTCCAAAATATAAGGTATGGATGCATTCCGCATACAGCAGATGTCTGTGTTGATGCAGTGCCCAAAATCTAGCCTCCCCCTCTTTTTTTGTTTCTTATCAGACATGGTGGGGTGTGGATAGACAGCTGATGAGACAGCTGATGGATGCTAAAGAAGCAGGGGTTGTATTCGACTCTTCTAGAATGCTGAGGATGGTCATGCTGGTGTTTTAGTATGCAGATATTGTCACATTTCTTTTTGTTGTACAGTATATATGGCGAGGATGATTGGGAATCTGAAATTTGAGAGAATAGAAAACATATGATCACCGTGGTAAGGCAGAAACTCGACTTGATGATTCTCTGGAATGTTGTGCTTTCTCCGAAATGGATGCAAAGTGCAATGTGTATCCATAAGATGATCACCGGTCCGAGGGAAGAACCCACCTTGTTAACTAACTAGATAGCCTGCATAATTGGCCATACAAAGGACCTGTTGCACCCATGCTGGTGGCCAGTCACAGACATGCCAATACAATCAAGTCTGGTGGCAGTGGAATATTGCACCATCTGCAGGTTAATTCCTTCATGTGTTTTTTTTTATCCATCTGTAATCCAGGTACAGCCGTATATTTCCAGTTGGAGGATCATCGGTGGCTAACTGGCTATTAATATTCATCCATGGTCTGGCCCTGGAATTCGGGGAAATTGCCCCAACACACAAAGTAACAAAGAAAATGATATTGCACACCACACTTCTTGAGAGATATTCCCAGTCAGAATGGATGATGACCATCTTCAAGGTTTGGCCGGTGGTACAAAATGCATCGCATCTCTTTTTTGGAATAATATGGGATATTTGCTGCTGGATCAGGGACTATCATTTGTAAACTGCAGCAGCTAAATGCCTCAATCCAGACAGGGCAGTTTCTGTCGTGGCAGCTGCAGAGTAGATCTATCTCTTTTTTTTCTTTTTCCTTTTCTTTTTCTTTCCCCTCCTGTAGCATACCAGCTGGCATCATTATCTGCTCTCTTTCTCTTAGTGAGAAAATGAAGCCCAAAAACATGGAAAAAACAGTAAACCCAAACTGTACATAAGAGCCAATCAGAAAAAAGATTAATCCATAAAAATCCCCCTAAAACCCCCTCCGTAATTGCAACGGCGGCCCCTCGTTGGCTCACGGCCCCAATACGGTTTCCGTACGGTATCAGTACCGCAGCAACGGCGAGTCCATGGCGTCAGAGAGCGTCACGAGACGGGGCAGTGGGCCGTGGCAGGAAGAAAGCGGTTAGGCGCGAGGTATTTGGAGGTAATATTACCCGCTGGTACCAGCAGGGCATCGGTCATACATCATCTGCTTTCTTTCGTGCTGCTGCTTCTTGTTCTTCCCTGCGATCCGATCTGTATACCTTCACACCTCCGCTTCTGCCTCTACGCCTTCCTACTCTTCCTGCAGTTTCTCTTGCTGAGGTTTCTTCTTCTTCCCGCTCAGCCAATTGACTTGCTTTCATCGCTCATACTAGAGCTCTCTCCATCCTTCTGGTTTCAATCCCGGTAGGCAAATCACCTCATCTCCATTCTGTTATCTGTCATTCCCCCCTTTCATTCCATTCCCCTGTCGAACCATATTCCTCTATCCCAACATATCGGAGATCTTCTCTGGACCCTCTTTCTGTGTGTTGTACAACGTTGAGCATCTTGTCTCGAGTATGAGGCGGTGAAGCCAAGTGCTATCAGTTGCTTCTCTACCTACCCTTATCCACCTGTCTCCTTGGAAATTTGTCTCTCTCAGCTGGAAATCTCCTACCCTGAATTGATAAAAAAGCTCCTTGGCTTCATATTCTCCGTTTGGCTGGGGAAAACCCCTCATACTCATTCCATTCCGCAATTGGTCCCTGGCTTAAAGCCCAAGGCGGGGATTCTGCGGGCACCCCATAGCTGTCAGCTCTACCTATCTCAGGCATATTCCCTCTCATACAAAAACACTCTCAATCATTTCTTCATATGATATTTGAAACCTTTCAGGTTCTTGATAGCATACCACTAACATTACCAGCAGTTTCTTTCATCTTTAGTTTTGACACCACAATATCTACTTATCAGTCATGACGACACAAGCTCCGGCCATCCCCCCTCGGCCTTCACGATCGCCTCAACACCAGGGTCTTGCGCCAACCTCGTCAACAGAAGTGCCCAAGATGCCTCCGCGTCCCAATCGTCGTGTTGATCGGTCCGTCTCTCCACTTCCTCAGAATTACGCCCCTTCTCCATTGAATGAATTGCCCAACAGCTCGGGTTTGAGCCGTACGACCTCCAATGACCTGCCCCCGCGCCCCCCAAGTGTCACAATACCTTCTCTAGGTCAAGAGGGCATCGAATATGAAGATTTGGATGTTCAAAATGTCGATAGTCACAACCCAGCTCCAGAGACCCGGAACGTGGGCAGCGACCTCAAAATCCATGCACCCAGACCGTCCCTGCCTACATCCAGTGCCAAGGCTCAGGTGCAGGCCGTAACCCGTACGGATTCTCGACAGGCCGCCGCTGCCGGTCTTGGTGTGGGATCGCCTGCTTTTGATGAGGGTTCTGACCGCGCCAGTCGTTCACCGCATAAGTCGAGCGGCTCACGGGCAGAGTCCTCAGCTGCGTCTTCAACTCGTCAACTTTCTGTGCTCGACGATGCGCGTGGTCCCCCAGAAATCGGTCAGCGTGTTCCAATGTACCGCAATGCCGGTGATGTGCAGGCCCCTTCCCCAAGCCCATATCAGCTGGAGCATGGCTCCCAGCGCCATGGACGCAGCCATAACCGCACTCGCAGTGGCCGTGAAGCTTCTCTGCCGCCTGGAAGTTACGGACTTCACGGACATGGTGTACAGCCCGATAAGTTTGACAAGGCTTGGTATGAGAAGCACCCCGATGAGTTTGTCAAGGAAGAACAGGGTAAATATGGACCTGGAGTTGGTACTCCTCGACCCGATTGGGCTTTAAGCAGCGATGATTTGAACAAAATCGTCCGGGGTTCTGCTGTGACCGGTTCCGGGCTTGGTGAGCACCCGCTTTCTCTTGAGATGGTAAATTGAACGATTGCTAACTGTATTAGGAACTTCTCCTGCTGTCGCAGGTACACCGGAAGAGGAAGTCGGTTACATTGCCTCGGATGAGTACTCGCGCCATAACTCGCACCCACCTGCCGAGTCATCTCTGCGAAAGTCGAGTGTCCCTTCAGAGGAACCCACGACGCAAGAGGAAGGGCCAGAGAAGGCTGGCGTTATACATGTTGATGATCCTTACCATCCTCTGCACCACCCAGATGGCTTTGCTCCGGCCCCAGATCCTGAGGAACAGGCTGATGGAGCGGAGGAAGGTGGCGTTGATGACGAAGAGCCCATATTAGCTGCGGATGAAGTGCGCCCGGAATCCGCATTCCAACATGCTGCAGTCTCGCCCACATTCGAGAGAAGAGAAAGCTATGATCATGATAGTCGGAGTCGAACACCAAATGGCAACCATAGTCGCTCGAACAGTCGATCCACCAGCCATCACGGGAAGCCAATTTTGGCAAGATTCAGTTCGTATAATGATGACCGAGAGGATAACCACACTCCTCTCGAGAATGTCGAGGAGTATGAGCCATTGTTCCCCGAAGACGACAAGAAGGGAAAGCCGGTTTCCACCGCTGAACGCTTCAAAAAGCGTCCGGATATGCTCAAGCACCGTTTCCCTAGTCAAGATATATGGGAGGATTCTCCGAACAGTTTGCAACTGCATGCCACCGTGTCTACACCGGATGAACCCAAACAAGAGACTTTTGAGACTCCGGAGCAGGAGTCTTTCCGCAAAAGTCAAGTCGCTCCAATCGATGCCCATCAGGTTGCCTCTCATATCCTTGAGTCCGAGGAACAGGATAAGACGTCTAAACGCCCGGAAATTTCCAAACAACGTTTCCCCAGTCGGGATATCTGGGAAGATGCTCCTGATAGCCAACAACTGGTGACGACAATAGAGCCGTCAGAAGAAAATGAAGTTAAGAGTCCGGATGTGCCGTCGAAACCAGCCATTCCATCTCGACCTCAAAGACTTTCTCAAATCGTTCCTTCTGTGAATGCCTCCACTAAGCCATCTATCTCTCCCACCGAAAAAAAGCAGCCACCCGTCATTCCTGACCGACCTAAGCCACAGATTCCAGCTCGACCGGCCAAGCCTATCTCTCGTGGCAGTGCAGAGGAAGCTAAAGACGCCCCGGCGAAAGCAAAGCCAGCAGTACCTGCCCGTCCTGGTGGTAGCAAGATCGCTGCCCTGAAGGCAGGATTTTTGACAGACTTGAACTCGCGTTTGCAGCTCGGTCCTCATGCGCCGCCGAAGCCGGAAAAGAAAGAAGAAAAGCCCCCAGCAGAGAAAGCGCCGCTCAGTGATGCCCGCAAGGGACGAGCTCGTGGCCCAGCACGGAGAAAGCCTGCCGCTGAACCTGCGGCTCAGCCCGCGGCTCAACCCGTGGCTGCGAAACTGCCGACCATCCCTGAGATCAAAATCGCCGGGACCTGGAATGTGTGGGAGATTCGTGAAGACGGTCATTTGATCGTGGGCAATGAAGACAGGCAGGCCGATATGAAGGAACCGACACCGTCTGATGCTTCGCCAGTTGCAGAAACCTCGATGGCACCCGAAATCTCCAAGAACATTGCTGGCGAACCAACTGATCCAAAGCCAACAACGCCTGCACCCGATGACGTCGTGTCGCCCACATCCAAACCCGTGGTTGTGGAGGAAACAAAGCCTGTATTAAGCAACACTCACGACACAACATCCAAGACCACTGAAGGCCAGCCTGAGATAACCATTGAGCCTGAAAGTGCCAAGCCCAACATCAAGTCTCCGCAGTCTACATCGGAGTCGGAACTAGACGAGGCCATTGAGAACTTGTCTGCCTCTGCTGACGGGAAAAGACTGTCAGATGGTGACGTGCATAACGACTAAACCGCTTTTTGATACTTTTGCAACCATGTAAATCTTGTTTTCCCTGTCAGCCATCACTCATGTCATGTCAATTGTTTGGAAGTGTCTAGCCCTACTTTGGGTACCTAATTATTCAATCGGACTTCTTGCTTTGCGACTGACTGCTTTCTTGGCCAGCGAGGCATGCTTGCTGGTAATAATGGACATGGATGATATTACCAAGCTTAATCAATTGTGACTTATTGTTCTCACCAATATTTTTTATTGTATTCTGCTAGAACAGACCCATGGTTATTGACAAACTGTTAAGCCATCATGCTTCAACGTCCATCCGCTATCCACCACTCTAAAAGTAAATTGAAAACTGAAACTAAACCAGCGCAGGACAGTTGCAGGAATGAGAATTCCACAAGTCCGATGTCAATCTTAAGATGTATCTTCATAACAGGATGAAAAGAAAAGAAAACAAGCAAGAAAAGAGAAAGCACAACGCAGAAACTAAGGAGTCAAGTGCAAGTCTTTTGTTTTCTGTGCAATTTGCTGTTATGAAAAGTAAAGCAAAGAGAATACGAGAAAGAAAAAAATAGTGTGAAGCCAACCTTCGCGAGTCGTTCAAATGACGGCCGAGAGAAGGGTCGGGTGTTTTTACTGTTTTTTTGTGTATTTCGTTTGGGTATCATTTTTAATAGATGGCAGATGCAAGCTAGGTAGGGTAGAAAGTTGTTGGTAATTTAAAAAGAGAAAAAAGGGCATGGAAAGCGTCTAGCTGGGAGGAAGCCTCTTCAAGTCTCCCTTTCCTTCCTTGACCCATTCCGGGTCAATCAGACGCTCTCGCTCAGCGTAAAGCTGTTTGTAGGCACCGCGGATGGTTCCGTCGCTGACGTGAGCCACCTGCGAGATTTCCTTGGCAGATTTACCGTTGCCCATTAGGTAAGAGGCCATATATATACAAGCCGCGACGATAGATAGAGGAGACCGTCCGGCAAGATCGCCCATTGTTGTGACACGATCTGAGAGCGAAGAGGACACGCTCGTGACCTGGAAGGGCAGATCGAGAAGGTTGCAGAAACGGTTGCAGAGATCGCTGGGCTTGGTAGAGGTGGTCGCGGTGTAGGTGTCGTTGGGATCGGGGACACCTCCATTCGAGACAACGGTGTTGACCCTCTCGACATTCTGGGCCGTAAAGAACTTCTCCAAAGCCTTGTAAATACGGCCAATCTCCTTTCTCGTCACCTTGGTCACCGCAAAAATTTCGGTGAAGGTACGGGGTACCTTGCATTGACGGCAGGCAATGAAGATGCAGCCTGCAATGATCACATCCTGTGACTTGCCCTTGAATGCCTTTGCATCATCGACAATCTTGAACAGATACTTGGCCGTATCAGCTACATTCTTCTGGATGTTGAAACCGTCACAGAGGGCACCGATCTCCTTGTATGCAGCTAGAAGTGCCTTGTTCGCCTTTTCGCTCGACTGTTTGTTCTGAGCACGGTACAAATCACGAATTTTGCCTGAGCCTCCACTGGCAATCTGCGTCTCAAGCTGATCACCATTGAGCAGCGGGTTCGTGGCATCTCCAACACGCGAAGGGTCGTCGTTGTTTTGGTCGTCATTGGAGAACGTACGCCATTCAGAATGCATGTCGATTTCTCGATCAGAGAGCACTAGCCCGCAAGATCCACAGACCGTTTCATGAGAGTCGGGGAATTCCAAATTGGGCGGGACCTCTTTACACTCAGGACAGGTGACATGAGCCGAAAGATTCTTCTTCCACTGATCCACATTCGCATTGGCTGGGGGCGAAACGGCGGCCATTTTATTTGCTTGTTTAATAGACTGAAAGCGTTCTCGGTGTCTTTTTGCGATTTTCTTCGGGGTGACGGTAAGATTATGTTTGCGAGCACAGAATCGGACGAACAGTGGCGAATACAGATTGGCGGCTGTACAGCGTCAAGGGAATCGTCGAATGCGAACAGTCAAAACCAGAATTTCTTCCACCCTTTTTTCTTTTACTTTTCTTTTTGCTCCTTCTCGATATTGACAGGAAAGGATAGACAGCAGTGGTGCACCTTGAGCCTGACAGTAGTGCAAGTCACGTCTCTGCCACTGCCTTCCGTAGCCATGTTAGCCTGACCGCCCCCAAGAAAGAAAGTTCATATAGAGGAAGTGATATAAAAACCCATCTCAACGGGGCTTGAAGCATCGTGAGGGAAGAAGTGACATTATGAGCCACAAACCACTCTTGTATGAACTCCAGGGGGACCAAGTCAAATCGATTTCTTTACCTTTCTCCAGGGTAAGGAGGCTAGTTCCTTGCGAACAGCTCCCAGAGTTAAAAGCGAACTTCAAAGATGAAGATCTGCCTTTTAGCTGGCTATAAAACCCCACGAAGCCTCAAAAGCCAGACTTGTCCGACCGCGATGAACCAGTCAAGGTCTCCGCAAGAAAGATCTCACGAAAAGGGTCGCAGAACCTGACAGGCAGCCGCTGCAAGCAAGCAGGATCTCAAACGATCGAAAACGAGCAGAGCAACGATGAGTGTCGTCAGTTCCAGGACAAGAAGGGCCCGTCTGGAAACGAAGGAGAGATGTTTCTGAAGAGGGCGTTCCGGGGAAGGCTGGAGAAGAGAAGAGAAGGAAGAAGAAGCAGAGGCAGCCCAAAGACTCGGAAATGAGGCGAAAGGCAGCTGAGGTCACAAGAGCCGCATCGCCGCTGAGTCAGCCGCTGGCGCCAAGCCGAGCCGTCCCGAAGAAACATCGATAATCGAACCTCCAACCGGCGACCATCACGGAAACGAAAGCAATCCTCGTTCACAAACCCAGGTTCCCCTCACCCACCACCCCGCCGCGATGATGTCCCAGTCTCTCAGAGCGTCGGTGAGTCTATTGTGCTTCGACTGACGGTGTTATTTGGAGTGGTTTTGCTGACCGTTGTTTCCCAGCGCTCTCTCTTCACCCGCGCCACTCGGCAACAGGCTTTCGTCGCTCGCCGCGGCTTCCTGACCTCCGCTGTCCGCCAGGGTATGTGATGGAATTGATTATTGATCTACTGAGTGAATCTAGACTTGTATCTAACATGATATTGCAGCCGACCCTGTTCAGGACCTCTACCTTCGTGAACTCCGTGCCTACAAGCCTACCCCCGTCAAGCCCGGCGACGCCGAAGCCCACGTCCAGAAGTTCACCGCCCCCAAGGCTCCCGCTTCCCCCGAGGAGGCCAACCTCGCTAATGAATTGAAGAGCTACGAGACCCAGGAGGTCGAGGTTGAGGGCCAGGCTGCCAGCGGCGAGGCCGCCCCTGTCGAGGAGAGCTGGTTCGTTGAGGAGGAAGAGGAGGCTGGTGCTGCTCACTAGATGTCTTTTTTTAATCAAGACACAAGGTATGGGAAATTCGGGACTGAAATGGGCAATGGGATGGAACCCGAATTGATTGGGCCTTCCTGTTGAGTCCTGAAGACACTTTGTAAATTAACCTACCTGGAACATTGGTATCTTTCACATTTTCATCCGTGCGTTCTTTTTTTATACTCTGGTTCTACGGGGTATTGCGTAGATTATGGCTTGTATTTCTGTAGATGCGTCGAATGCACAGCCCTGCTGTTTCATGGAGCTGGCCAGCTTTGATATCCACGAGGTTGATATCTCCGATCAGGCCAACAACACCCGATGGTATACTAAATATAACGAACAGGTTGGAAGGGAGCAGCAAGGCTGAATGGGCAGGACAACAAATCAAAGCGAGGAAGAAGAGTTAGTTGGCAATATTGCCAATATTTTCCTATCCCTTGGATACACTCATAGTACGGCAGAAGGAAGAGAAAAATTACGATGCACAGCCGGGCAAAGACCAACACATAAGAAAACAAAAATAAATCAACCAACGTGTTCATCAGCCTGAGAGTGGATAAACTTGAATTTGTGCCTTTTTATTTTGTTACGAATGCATTTGCACGCAGGGGATGGAGGTGTTGGTGGTGATGCTCGGGGGAAGGGAATGGGCTTGATATTGAGTTGGTTGGCAGGCACAGGGCACAGGGCGCAGCGGGCGATATGACAGCTCCAGCGGGAATTGAGCAGACCGCCATGTTACGATTGTCTGGGCGTGGGAGAATTTAGGCGAGGAGAATGGTTGAATGGGTTCAATCTTGTTGGAATGTTTTTCTTTTCTTGATTTTGCTTTTCTCTTGGATTGAGGTGAGTGCGTAATGTCTATCTATCTAGGACCGATGGGTCGCTGCATGGTAGATCTGGATTGCTGTGGTTTCCTCGAGGTGCATATCGAACGGAATATGTATGACACGGTGGACAATCCATGCCATCATCCATTTGGATGCCATTATTATGCCATTTTGAATTGATGAATCGAAGCCGTCCATGGCCTGTCACAGTAATTTGGCGGAGTAATCAATACGAGGTGGAATGCTGGGGAATAGCTGGTCTCCCAGTGCACAGAAGAAACATTCCAGTAGCCGGGTTCACTCAAGGATTTGCCACTGCGACGTTGAATCTCAGATCCGCATTCTTCTGGTCTTAACCTGACAGTCAATTGCGTGTTGAAGACTGTCTTGGACAGATTGACGGATCAGAAGCTGGAGCGGAAGAAGGCGGGATCGCCGTCACAGCATGGACTCAATAGATCCAACGGGGACATCCCAGAGAGGGAAAAGGAATATGACCTGGATCAAAAGAGCAATAAATGATGAAAAAAACTTTAATAATGGCTCCATAATCAAACACTAGTTCTGGATATCCCCCAGCCCACCATGAAAGAAAAAACCGTATCTTAGACGATTATCTGAGAGAGACTGAGATCATCTTGCGGAGCCTGCCGATGGTGGATGAACCACAGCCCCATTGTCGTACTAAGACCCATGGGATGGAGCCCCAGGGTCAGAGTTTGCAGCATGAGGATGGCGATGGTGATAAATATCGCAATTATTCATTCCGTTGGGTTGAGAAGAATTGCTGATGCTTGGGAATTGAATGGAAAGTGGATGGGTTATTGTTGTCAACTCGACCTGTTCATGCACGCCGTGCATTTTATGTATGGTACGGTACGGTATGTATTATCCATCATCCTTAAGAATATCCATTAAGACATCTAAACTGATATAAAAGAAAAGAATAATTGTAGATATAATAGATAAAATAAAATGATAATAAGATAATCAGAAATAAGAAAATAAAACAAGATGATGCGCAGCCGAATAATGGCCGAGGGGTAGGTCCTGTCATACGATACGATACATACATACCGTACAGAGATCCATCGAGGCTGCAGCCAGAAGTAAATAAGAAAATAGTTCCAAAGCGACTTCAGAAGAAGAAGAAGAATAAGAGAATCATCGTCAGTCTTCGCTGGCTCTTCTGTTCTTGCTTTTTCATCTGAATCCTGTCTCTTCCCTGTCTTCTGCTTCTTCTTCGTTTCTTCTGGTTTCAATCCACGCGAATTCTGCAAAACCCTTTTCTTTTCTTTTTTTTTTTTTTTTTTTGACCCTCTCTTACTACATCTTATATTAATTGGTATCTCCTCCCCTCCTCCTCGCTCACTCCCTTCTCTTCTCCCTTTTCCTCTCGCTCTCCACTCCCCTTCTTCCTCTCCCCCTCCTGTCTTCTTCTTCCCCTGAAAAAGAAACACAAACAAAAAAGAATACACCAAACGGACCAGAGATTAAGGTGTGTTGCCATAATCTCCGTCCTTCCGTTTGCTTCCTCCGCAGCCTTCCTCATCTTACTCCGGAATTCTTTCCGGTCGATCAATCGCCGCCTCCATTCGTTCCAGCGCTTTGGTGTACTGACTGGCCTCCCTAGCCTTGCACATACCGTCGAATTGTCAATTATTGATTTCCTCCAGTCAGAGAAAGTGTCGCCGATTCTACTCCTTGTTCGCTGTCGTCTGTGCTTGGCCGTGCTCTCCCAAGAAACCGCTTCCCCTCCCTCCCTCTCTTCTCTTTTCTTCTCGCCCTTTCAGCTCAGCTCAGCTTGAAACCCTCCACTTTTTTTCTTTGACGACACCCAAGACATCAGACGATCCAATGCAACATTCTTCTTTCCACATGGTTTGTTGATTATTGACGTGTGTACTACTTTGTACATGGCGGAGCTGGTCTCTCCAACGCCAACTTCAGCATCCTTCACCCCCTCCATCTGAGGAGATGTGTATATCTCCCGGATTCTACCCTTTCGTCGGCATTAATTAGCCTCGTGGCTTTTTACAATGTCTTCTTCCGCCGAAGTCTTCAGCAATCGCACCCCCGATGAAAATACTTTACCCCGTTCCGCCAGTTATAACCACCTTCCCGATCTTGTGAAAACCGAACCTAGCTCCCCCGGCCTCCGAAGGACGTTCTCCGATACTACATTTCCTACCGAGTCCAAGTCGCCGTCCAAGGAAGATGTAGCTGCAGGGAAGGATATTTTGCGACGGACGTCAATTCGTTCCAAAAACAAGCCGACGGTTTCCGTCTCCCGCTTTACTGTCTCGAGTGAAGAACTGGACAATGCAGCCAAGGCAGAATCCAAAGATGCCACCGTGAAAATTCCGGAAACGAAGGCTCCGGAGCCAGTGGCCCGTCCTTCAAAGACCCGCGCAATGTCGGGTAGATTGGTCAATCTGGCCCGGAAACCTTGGATCTCCAGCTCACCTACTCAACCTCCTTCCCCGTCTGCAAAGAGTGCAAGATTACGAATGTTGCGCGCAGATGACCAATCCCAATCGGGCCCGCCGTCCCCATCGCCGTCTAAGACGTCTTTTCAATCCGACTCAGGCGGAGATTCAGATGGCATGCCACCTTCCCGCAAGCGAACTATTCTTAACAAGCGCCCTCGGCGCCCAATGGTTGCTGTCGTGGCCCAAGGCCGGTCAGATAGCCCTAGTACGCCTAGTAGTCCTTCAAGCTATTCCTTGAAGACAAAGCATTCATTCGAGCGGTTTACCTCGTCACTTAATGTATCTACACCTGTTCTTCCACCAATGCCCAGAGGTGCAGCTGCTACAGCGGCAGCGCATTCGGGCCACGTGGAACCACCTCGGAGGAAGGATGAGCTATGGGCAGTGTTTCGGGGACTCGAGGCCGACTATCAAAAGTAAGTTCTAGGCGAGGGAAAGACAAAAACCAATTGGACTTGACCGGTGGAAAGAATTATGAGTTTGCTGACCGAATCAAGGTTTCAATCCAAATCGAGCGCCTTGAAGGCCAACGTGATTCGTTCTTCGCTTCTGCCTTTTCTCAATCGTCACCAGCTGCATCCGTCACACAAATCTTTGAAACCCGAAGATTTGGATCGTCGCATCAATATCCTCAACAAATGGTGGACTGGATTGCTAGAGATGCTCAACGGGAGGAACAACCAATCAATATCTGGCACCGATAGACCGGTATACCTCGAAGCCATTGCCGGTATCATGATGCGCCCCGAGTGGAGAATCCCATACCCAGCATGGCAGCCGAATGGGAGCATTCCGAAACCCTTGCATCACGCTTCCACTTCGATTTCAGAGAGTTCCGATGGCTCCTCGGGGTCAGACTTTCTCATCGAGTCGATACACCACAATATTCGGAACGTTTTCACCCAGAACCTATTGTCTCAAATGGCATTCGTTGTAGAACGGATGTCCATGAGACATGCTCCGGCCAGTTTGGTAGCATTTTGTGGAAAGGCCTGCGCGTATGCATTCTTTTTCTGCCAGGGCGTGGCTGATATTCTTGTCCGGCTGTGGAACACACCAGCCAACATCTACCGACGGGTTCTTGCCGAGTCGGATGTAGACAGAAGTAGCAACGCGCGATCGTTAGCCCAGGATCTGGCCTTGAACTTCCCAATGGCTTTGCGACCCTTATCATTTCACTCCCATGCTCCCCTGGTTCGCTATCTTCGTCAAAAGCCCGACGTGCCTCTGAACACCTCTCAAATATCATGGCAAGGTCCCTGGGTCTCCCGTTGGTGTGGCCGCGACACAGATCTCTTTTTTGTCTTTGTCAAATATGTCCATGTCCTGTATGCGGACTCTCTGCCTCGGGGAACAGAGAAAGGGAAACGTATTCTGGCACCGGGCTTGTTGCCCATCCATTCGCAGCTTCTTGTAGTCCTGGAGGACACCCTTTACAAGCAGTCAATCCCACAGATGCCCGAAAGCACCCATACGCCTGCCGCGGTTACCTTTGACGACTTCATTGAGGGTGCGGATGCCGTCTCCGCTCTTCCGTTAGGAGCTGCCAATAGCCACCGGTCCATGGCCGAGAATCGTCTGATTATTCTCCTTCGAGATTTTCTCTCCGAATCTTCCGTCGAACCAAACCATGCGCGCCTCTTGTATGCAGAGTCTTTCTGTTCCATTATGAAGACCGCTGCTCAAAGGACATCATTATTCGATCATAATGCATGTTTCTTACTCTGTGATTTTATTGAGGAAGTCATCCCCATTATCACTCGCTATTCGCAGGCCAATGAAATGGAGCTCTTCGATTGGAAGTTTTGGCTGGAAGCCTGTCGCCAGATGATGAATAGTCAGAACTCCCTCACTGAAGTGCGGGTGTTTTCATTTCTCTTTGGCATCTGGAATACATGGGTCGCTTCTGAGGACAGGAAAGCTGACCTTTGTTTGGGATTTTTGTTGCATGAGCCCACGTTCTATCACTACTTCAGCCATTGGAGCCCGATGGTTCGCGCCTATTTCCAGCGCCTCTTATGTTGGAGAGTGGGTAGGTTCAACAGCGAACCATCCCCACTAGACTCGTAAGTACAACCGGTGTTGGATCCTCTTACCTTATCGGACTTTTTACTGACATGTATGCCATTCAGTAAAATATACGAGACGCTCTTGAACAGGTTACAGCGACTCTGGACCTACTATCTGGCTTTCCAGACCAAGGCCGAACAGGAGCTCACAGCTCCGCTCTCCTCTGCGCCTTGTACCCCCGCTCCAGGGCGCAGAATTATCATTATCAGATGCGACAGCCCTCTTTCCCCGACGAATCTCTTCGTATCCTTTGATCGCGTTGTCCCCCCTGCTCCACCAGAACAACCCACCACATCCAAAAGCAGCAGCTCCGTGAAATCGGACTCGTCAACTGAGTCACAACCACCTCCGAAAAAGAGATGGAATATTTTGAGAGCCATGTTCGGTGCTGCTTCCAGTTCCAAATCTGGTGGAGGGGCCGCATCCAGTAGCAGCTCAGATGAGTCGGACACCAATGGATCGGATGCCACAGTGAACACCGAAAAATGCTTGGATGGTCACGGGCAGCCTTCGAACGCCTCTGGTGAACTGTTGCGGCCCAAAACCCCACACCAGGCATTCTCCTTCAGATTTTCGTTAGAGTGGACGGACCGCCAGTGGCCTAGCAAGAATAAGCGTCTTTTCACCCCCTGCCTTCCTGTGGGTGCGCAGTTGCATGTGCAGCTCCGGAACTCTGCTAGCAAGACAGCTGGCCAAGATACGACGTCGGAATCTGAAACTGATACCATTCTCGAAGGTGATGCTGGAAGTGACAATGCTCCAGAAACATCATCTGTGGATGAGCAAAAAGCACCAACCGCTGCTTCCAGACAAACTCACCGTTCAATGCCTAGTCAAGATCTGAGAAAGGCTTTAAGCGATAAGGTTGCGGCCAGCAAATACGCGGGGCGTTCTCTTGCTGAATGGGCGCAGATTGTATCTGAGTGCGACAGCTTCTTTGCCAGAAGACGGGACGAGGGTGTCCCTTGCGATCGAATGGTCGAAACTCCGACGCTGGGCGTTGAAAGTTTCCGAAAGTAGGGAGTCCTACTACAACCACAATCACCAAAACGACAGGAGTCAAAAACCCAGTTCCCGGTGGACATCACATGATTGAAGGACTACATTGTCCAACATTCTAGCGTTCAAGAATCTAGTGCTACCATCTACCAACAATACGGAATCATGCGCGACTTGGGAGATAATTCGAGTCAACCGACTCCTATACCTTCAAGACTCTTAATTTCCCTGGGCATGGTGCAAGCACACACACAGGCACACAGAACAACCCAAGCATACTTTTTTAATCATTTCCTTTTGTTTTTTTCTCAACATGTACTGTATATATAGACATGGGTTGATACATATCATTGGCGCATGGGATAGGCATGGTCCTAGATAGGCTAGGTGGTGTTCTGGAGGTTCATTCACAATTGACATTACTATTCTTTTCTTTTGCATTTGGCATTTGGCATTGGGGCAAAGCTTAACATGTAGGTTGGGTTGCACTACTGTATTTTTACTTTGAGATTTACCTATGTAGTGGATGGAGCAAAGCAAAAACGACAGCGAGCGAAAGAAGAAAAAGATGTATTCACAAAAAATCCGTTGATCTTCTAGAATCTAGGAAAATATAGCAACCCCAAAAACTGGTAGGCAGGTAGGCAGGGTAGGTAGTAGATCGATACATAGATGAAACGAGGAAAAAGGGACAAGGAAAAGAAAGCCAAGGCTAAGGCTAAGGCTATACGAAGTACAAGCCAATGCAACGATGTATAGATGGATATTGAGAACAAGTAAACACAGAGAGATAAACGAACAACCAGGCAAATGCCAGCCCAGATAGTGTAGTGAGGTGGTTAAGAAAGAAAACATTTTAACACAGACAGCAAAGCAAGACCGAGAATCGAAATATTTTCCGCTGAGACGACAAAAGACGACATTGGAATACACGGAAGAGATAGAGGTAGCCATGAGATTAAATTGACATGCGGGGAACAAATCAATGTATATATGAAGAGGGATGAAGAGAAGAGAAGAGGGAAAAGAAATACAAGGGATGTTCTCTTGGAGACAGGTGAAGGAATCCATCCGTATTAGGAGGTTAGATGGAGGTTGGTAGAAAATAATGTAGTGTATTGAAATCTCTCGACTTATTGCTGCGGTATTAGCAGATCACTGGCTCTGTCGATGATAGTGGCGACCTTGTCGATCCATGTCTGCGTTTGATTCCAGTCACCTGCGTCGATCGAGTCGCGAATGGCAGGGAAGAAAGTCACATCGTAGCCTGACCACAGCTGAGGGCCGAAAATAACGTGTTTGAACTGTGTGCGATTGGGGATCTGAAAATACAAAAAGATGAATTAGTACACACGAGAGAAAGTAAAAGACAGCTAGTTGGGTTGACTTACTCCGCCGCCTTCGTCTAGGTCTAAAAGGTTGGTTTCGAAATTGCCCATGCGAGTGTTATGCGACATGCGTTGGACAGCCATTACGTTGCTCTCAAAGCCACCCGAGCCCCAGACGATGTCGTGCCAGATCTGGCCCCATTTCTGGAACTGCGCTGCGTTGGCCTCGAATTTAGCTGCTGCGTCGTATAGCGGTTGGATGTCCACCGAGGAATCACGAGCCGTGACGTTCTCCGGGGATGCACGAACAACCGGGATGCTCTGGTCTTTGGCGTATTTTTCCAGGTCGGTGATGTAGCCGTGCACATGGCTCGCGTAGACCTCCATGTCAAAGGGCAGGATCGCGGTGTCTGCAAACTCAAGGAGGAGCAAACCCCAGAACTGACCCAAAGCCTTGTGGTACTGGAATTCAGGATCTCCAAACTTGGTCATCCAGTCAAAGTTCTCATAGCAACTGTGGTAAGGGTAGGGTTCGCCGGCGAAACCAAAGTCAATGCTCGAGGTACCAGCGATGTCTTGGAACGCTACATAGTCGCTTCCAGCGCCTAGTCCACCGAGCTTTTTCTGCTTTTCCTCCCAGATATCCTTGAGCGTTTTGTTCGTAACAGGGTCCGAGATCCGGCCCAGAATCTGTAGCACCACACGTTCATAAAGTGGAGATGCGGATGCAGTGAAATCCGTTCCGCTGACGCCCACGTCGACATTGAGATAGGCATATGCATCATTGCGGAGGTTTCCCAATTCCTTCTCTACATGCTCTGTGGAGCCAATGAGATTGTATTCTTCTCCATCCCAGCTGGCAAACTCAATTGTGCGCAGCGGTCGCCAGCCGTAGGTGAGAAGTTCGCCAAAGACTCGAACGACCTCAAGGAACACGGCAGTGCCACTTCCCGGATCCACACCTCCCAAGCACCACGAGTCTCGATGATTGCCAATGATAATCTTCTTGTCCGGCTGTTCCAGGCCGACAATCCGCCCAAACACGTTGTATATCGGTTGTCTTTCGACCTCATCCTGTAGGTTCATAAGATTGACGGTGGGGGAAGAGCTATCTCCCGTCCACCACTGACTCACATCCGGGACACCACCAACCCAATCTAAAGGTACCTTAGAGCCGTGACCCTTGAGGACCTGCAAGAGTCTTCTGGCATCGCCCCAGGCGATGGGAATACTCGGGATGTTGGTCAATCCTGGACTGTCTTCGGGCTTGAGTCTGTTCTTTTCGCCGGGAGTTGATGCAAACCCAGGCGAGAGAACATCACCCGCGACCCATGACATCAAACTCACACCACCTCTCTGCACTCCATCCTCGGGCATGTACCGCCCTTTGGGGTACGCAGGACCCTTGACGAAACCATCTTCCGCAGGGTCGGAGTAGATTATACAGCCTGCTGCACCAGCCATTTCGGCCGCTTTGATCTTTAAGGCCCGATCGGACTCGGTACCGTAATAACGAACCAATGCGATGGAGCCATTCAATGAAATGCCTTTATCCGCAAGATATTGGAAATCCTCTCGAGACCCGTAGTTGGCGTAAATCAAAGGCCCTGTGACGTTGCCGGACTTTGAATGGCCGTGGAAGACGGGGGTCTCTTGGCCCTTTTCTTGGAGGGAAGCTTCCCATGCCAAATCGGGTGGATCGACAATGGCGACCCGTCTCCCATCCTTTTGGGGGTAGTTCAAGTACACCTGGAACTCCTCCATTTCGATATTATCCAGGGCTGCGTTTCGGAATTCCTGCTCGATCCACTCCGCCAGGACGAAGCTTCCTTCCGTACCAGCCATATGGGGGTAGCTGGTGATCCGTCTGAGATTCTCGGCGATGTTGGTCTCGTTGATATGGCCCTGGACGAAATTCTGTACCGAAGCCGCACTGTAGGACTGACCCATGATAAACTTGGTGTTCATATTGAAGATATCGGAGATGAAAAAGATATAGACGATCGTGACGACCAGCATCAACCCAAACAACCGCAACAAGATGATACACCCATTTCCCTTCAGATTATTACGCGCTTCATCGAGATTGATAGTAAACCGGAAACTCGGCAGATATCTGCGAAACGGAAGATGGAATGAGGAAAGAGTTCGGGTCAGATTGTTGAATTGCTTCGAAAAACGGTGTCGTAAGCGGGGCCGTTGAGACGAGGACTCTCCATCATCGACATCCATCTGGTTTAACTCCCGTCGCAGCTCCTCCAGCGACCCACGGGCCGAATGCGAGCCTTGGGATTCCAGGTCATCCAGACTGTTGCGGACGGATTCGACGGTGGGCGGGTGATAGCCACGGGGGTACCCCCCGCTGGCAGGGGGATGGGCGTCGCCATGACGGAGCAAGCCTTGTCTTTCGGCATCGTCGCCAGATTGTTCGGGGCCTAGATCGGAACGAGAAGAGCCGGGACGGTCGGAAATGGCTTCTTCGTAGGAAGGGATGGGGAGGGAATCGTATTCATACTTAGTATCGTTGCCCATGGCGGAATGTACGGAGAGGCTCCGGGGAGCCGTGCAAGGAGGCGAGAGACGGGGAAATCGAGGTAAGCGGGATCATGATCTGGATAGGAAAAGAGCGACAGGAACCAACATGCTCCCTGATTGGAGAGAAAGAGAGGATGGGGGGATGGGGGCAAGAGATGATGGTTGAATGGAGAGAGAGTCGATGTTCAGTTCGCAAGCCGGAGTAACTCGAGGCGTTAGTAAGAGGAGATCCCCAGATTGCGTGGCGCAGGCAAAGACCCACGCTCGGCATGATAGGCAGAAGCATTCATGGTATGGACGTAGAGATATAAAGATAATAGAGAGTGAAGATGATAAAGTTAGAATAGGATAGAGATATTAGAGCATGATAGATGATGAATGATGATATTGTTGGTGGTGAGTCGAAAATGCATTCCCCGCCAATCAATGCGAGTTCATTTGAGCCACTGCGATGGACTGATCAGCGTCGAATATATCGGACTGGGGTGGCACAGCCGTTGTAGTTTATTCTTTATTTTTGATGGAGACTGTAATTGCTTTTCTAGGGACTATCTTATGGTGGGTAGGGTTGATTTGTTTATGCTGAGTGCTTTATGCTGTTTATGCTGTTCATCCGGATATATATTCCTAGTGTACTCTACGAAGGTGAAGTTGAATACCATCATAATCTACATGTTATCAGGATATTCTAGACAGATAGAAGATAATATTTCAGACTCCATGAATCAATACTTGATCTAATTTGTAACAATTGACATATCAATACGCATAATAAGCACGGAGCAAGGCACACGCACAGGAGTGGGCTTCAGTAGCATAACCAAATTCTGCAACCAAGTCCGAAGCAATCCGATTAAATATCCATATTCGGACAAAGAAAACCAAAAGGATAGAATCGGGAATGACCAGGAACGATAGATCCATAATGATACGGAGCCATGGCGGAGAGGGTGTCAACCTCGTCTATGAAGCCATACAGGATCAGGGCAGATCCACAAGATAAGATTGATTATTCTCTCGGTCTTTCCTTCCAAGGACAATGTTTCAGATGAGTGGATGAGAAGAAAAGAAGAATCATCCGATATCGCCAGTTTGACAGGCGATGAGGCCGAAAAGGGTCGGTTCCTGATGGTTGGAGAGGAAGAAAGTCGGGCTCGGCCGATGTGGCGGGGATACCAAGTATGATGGAGTAGATGGAGGTGATGGTATGTACTCCGTAGGTTGGAGACCGCTCACATCATCAGTAGGAGAATATGATGAATTATTCATTATGCAGATAATAAATGGGTACTCTAGTGCTCTACATAATAGTTAGCATTGAAAATGGGGGAGATAAAAGAATTGAGCAGTGTTGGAGTAGCTATCGACATCACTGCATGTAGATACAACACCACCGTCCACCACACACGAATCACCCTCACATAGGAATACCAACCACTTCAACTGGTCCATTAATGACAATCTGCATGGGCTGGTATCCACGATCTCAGAAATACCAATTCATCTTGCAACTAGTAGCAGCCCGACCCACTGGATGCTGTAACGCGTGAGGCGAGAGAATGATGATAACTACAGTGTATATCCAGTACCAAGGAAGAACCGTCAGATGTGGCATTCCCCTTTTTCTCCCCAACCCATCCACGGGCGAATGGAAATGAATGATGATGCTGATCGTTGCAGCCAGAACGAGTTTGGACCATTGCGATATTCGAAAAAAAATTAGTGGAATCCTGACTGCGTTGGCTGGTCCATCTCGTGTCCATTGCTGTGTTGTATAGATCGCGGTGGACATCTAGATATGGCCAACAGTCGGTGTGAGGAAGCCAGGATTCAAACAAATCAATCAATCCCATTGCAGACGATCATCAGCATCATTTAGACCAATTGAACGGTAACAGAGACTGTATTCCCTGTCTGGCCTGGAGGTAGTATACAAACTACGATATAGATCCTATCCCTCTCCGTTACACCACGTCGGCCAACGTCCTGTAGGAACAACAAAGAAACAGGGCCATAACGACAATAGATCGACAGCTTCAAAAGGCACTATTACATTCGTCTTCCGATTGGCAGTGGATGATCTGTTCTGCTGCTCTTTTGTGCCTGGTGGTCCACATAACGAACCAGAGTAACCAGACTCTAATTAACCCACCCGGAGCAGGGGCTCTCGTTGCCCCTCGTCTAATAAAAAAAAATTAAAAAAACAGACCCCCGAGAATAAGTATTTAACTATCCTCCTTCACCTCTCGTTTTCTCTTTCTCTCTCTTGTCCATCTTCTTTAATTATACCCTCTCTCTTTTACTTCTTTACTTAATTCTTTCAAAAGTTCTTGTGTTTATCTCCTCCACACCGCCACCATGTCTCGTCCCCAGAACATTGGTATCAAGGCCATTGAGGTCTACTTCCCCAGCCAGGTATGGGTGCTCTGGGTTCTCGGTCTGCTTCACAGGTGTACTAATGTGGTTGATTTCTATAGTGCGTTGACCAGGCTGAGTTGGAAAAGTTCGATGGCGTTGGTGAGGGTAAATACACCATTGGTCTTGGTCAGACCAAGATGAGCTTCGCCGATGACCGTGAGGGTATGTGGACACTGTTTTTCGTCCCGAGTCTTCAGGGGCACCGCTGACATTCTCTATTTTTGCAGACATCTACTCCATGGCCCTGACCACCCTTTCCTCCCTCCTCAAGAAGTACAACGTCGACCCCAAGTCCGTCGGCCGCCTCGAGGTTGGCACCGAGACCCTCCTCGACAAGTCCAAGTCCGTCAAGTCGGTCTTGATGCAGCTGTTTGCTCCCCACGGAAACACAAACGTTGAGGGTGTTGACAATGTCAATGCCTGCTATGGTGGTACCAACGCTGTCTTCAACAGCATCAACTGGGTCGAGTCCTCTGCTTGGGACGGCCGTGATGCCGTTGTTGTTTGCGGTGACATTGCTCTCTACGCCAAGGGTGCTGCTCGCCCTACTGGTGGTGCTGGATGTGTTGCCATGCTGATCGGCCCTGACGCCCCCATTGTCTTCGAGCCTGGTCTCCGTGCCTCCTACGTCACCCACGCCTACGACTTCTTCAAGCCCGACCTTGCCAGCGAGTACCCCGTTGTCGATGGCCACTTCTCTCTCCGTTGCTACACCGAGGCCGTTGACGCCTGCTACAAGGCCTACGGCACTCGCGAGCAGACCCTCAAGGAAAAGACCCAGAACGGAACCAACGGTGTTCTGGACGAGTCTAAGACTGCTCTTGACCGTTTTGACTACATGTGCTTCCACGCCCCTACCTGTAAGCTCGTGCAGAAGTCTTTCGGCCGCATGCTCTACAACGACTACCTTGCCAACCCCACCCACCCCGCTTTCGCCGAGGTCGCCGCGGAGCTGCGTGACATGGACTACAACAAGTCCCTGACCGACAAGAACGTCGAGAAGACCTTCATGGGTCTCACCAAGAAGCGTTTCGGTGACCGTGTCAAGCCTGCTCTCGATGTTGCCACTCTCTGCGGTAACATGTACACCGCTACCGTCTACGCCGGCTTGGCCAGCTTGCTCTCCAACGTCACTTTCGACCCTGCTCAGCCCAAGCGCATTGGTCTCTTCAGCTACGGAAGTGGTCTTGCCAGCTCTCTGTTCAGCGCCAAGATTGTTGGCGATGTTTCCTACATGGCCGAGAAGCTCGACCTCCACAAGCGTCTCGACGCTAGAACCGTTCTGCCTCCCCAGGCCTACGATGATGTAAGATTCCCCGCATTCAATGTTTAGTACACTCAAGCTAACATTTAATCCCAGATGTGCATCCTGCGTGAGCACGCCCACTTGAAAAAGAACTTCAAGCCCGTGGGCAACCCCGAGACCATTGTCCCCGGTACCTACTACCTCACCGAGGTCGATGACATGTTCCGACGACAGTACGACATTAAGGCATAAACAAGTGCAAGCACTTGATGGGCGTTTCTTTGCTTTTACACCCTTGGACATGACCACCTTTTAGACGGTTCATTAGATTCCCTCCTGCATCTCGTTCTTTGCGTTTCGCCGTCTTCATAGAGCGAATGAGTTGCAGCGGATAATCCTCTGGTTTGTTTTTGTTATTTTCGATGCCGGTTTTGATATCTTCTCAGAGGGAGAAGGTTGGCATCTTGTCATGAGCAGCTGGAATGCTTTCGGGTTTTATGAAAATAACGGGATTTAGTCTTTCTTATTGTTATTAATCTAATCAATTGATGATCTTACATGATAAATATTTTCTGCAAGCAAGAATAGACTTAGACTTCTGATGAAAGCCATTTTAAGCAGAAGATCCAAAGGTGAAACAGCGACAGTCCAAGAATAGCACATCACCTCAACTTCTGACGTCTTTTCTCTTCCTCTTTTTTCCTTTTCTTTCCCCTCATCCATTTCCCACGCGCATATCGACAGAATTTCTTTTCCAATTCTAAATTGATTTGTCCGTTTCACAAAAAAGCCAAGCCAATCAGAATCTGATCTTCATTTATCCCCACGTCCCACGGACAAATCGTCAATGGTGTTGATGTGCGAGCGTGACGCCGACGGGGATGGTCGGCGCGTATTGCGACCCATCGCCGGCTCTCATTCATCGATCCCTCTCCATCTGCGCGATGATTATTCTTAGAATAGATCGCAATCTTGAAACTATCGCAACCGCTGATTTGGTTCCTGGTATTCGCACGCTGTCCCGAGCAGCAGTGGCCGTCGCATTAAGCCCTGTCCCGCCGCGGCCCGAGATGACGCCCTGCTCAACTCCCCTCTGCCACGCACCCATCACGGTATGTCGAGGTGGTTATTTTTACCTATCTGCTTTGCCGCCGAACTGATGAAGATCCCAGGCGTGACGCTTTTCTGACAGTGACAGATGGGTCTTTTCTTCATTCCACCATACCATACCCCCCAGAATAGTTCAAAACACAAGTTGCTTCCGAATATAGATCTCTTTCTTTGGGACCTGCATGCAAGCTATCCCCTCCCCAGAACGATTTCCCGACGATCCGCCATGGGCTTAACTGAAGAAACCCAAGAAGATGCAAAATATAGCAACAATCTTGACGCGCGATAGTTTGAAACGCACCCTGCTTGCCCTGGCTCCATCCCCCCGGGTCGCGAGCTTTGGCGTGTTTCGCTGCACGCAACTCCATCGCAGATGCAATCGGCAGTTCGTTTGTTTTGCGTGTGTTATCGCAATGTAGTAGTATGATGTTTCTATCCTGGACCTCTGCAAAAAATCAGGCTAGTGATTTTGGCGTCACGATGGAGCTTTTCTCCATGTTTCATGTTATTTTGGCTACAGGGCTACAGGGCTACCCGGCACTTCTTCATCTGCTTGGGGCTTCTCATCCAGAAACATTTAATATCCAAGTGTTTCGTCCATCTGGATACATCAGGCAGAGTTCGATTATGTTTCAATTGAGATAGCTTGATCATCTCGAACATTGTTGTATGTCTTCCTCTTCATCTATATGCTTTGTTGCCTTTGCTTACCGTTGATAGATATCGCCTTGACACATCGCGGGAAGCTGGTACTTCCAATAAGGGTCTTACCTAGCGATACATTTTTGTCTTTTATATCTTGTCTTTGCCAATTGACATCATGTCTTTGGAATATTCCTACTACCGGCCGACAACACCCCCGGGTGCCCAATTGGGGGAGCTCCTTGGAGTTGGTCATTGTCGCAGCGCCTCCGATTCATCTATATACTCAAACGACTCTTCACCATGGTCTGTGGCCACCTCCGCTACAAGCCCTAGGTCTCCACCTCGTCATCACCACGGACCGGCCCTTCTTCCCAAGATTCGACTCCAGGATGTGGTGGTTGAGCCCGTGTCTACCGGTGGACCGCAGCGCCACCGTCGAGTCTTGTCCAACACCAGAAACCCTCCAGGCTTTGTTCCATACCCGTCCAGTCGTCCACCTGTTCAGCACAACATTATGGAGCCCGCGGATTGCTTGCCTCTTGTTTCTCCTATTTCAACCAACTCGGTGTACAGCTCCTGCAATGGCTCAGCGCTATCGTCTCCCGTGAGTATCACGCCATCAGTCAAGCGCAAGGCCTCTGGCGGACACTCTCGATCTGGCTCCGGCTCTAGTGTTGACGAAGCGACTCTGGGCCGATATGGATATCCAACCTACCGGCAACTTCCCAAATACATTTCTCCACCGCAAGCCTCTCCCACGGCACCAATCACTCCCAATATCATCGTATACCCGTCCTACTCACAGTCCCCTCCGCTCGAGCCAGTCCAACGCCCCCGGGGTCCGTCGCAAACCCCGGCTCCGTTTGCTATCTCAACCCCCCAGTACAGTTACTCCCGGTCCTCGAGCGCACAGCACTCTCCCGTCGGTCTTGTCCACCATGTTGATGAAGCAGCTCCTCCATCCACTTCCACTACTCTGTTATCATACCTGACTGGACCAACTCAGGCTATCAACCTAGTACGCAACGTGAGTGTTGTTCCGACTCGAGGCCTTCACGACTACTTTTGGTGGGATATTCGGAACCTGCGCAGCTGGAAATCTTTCTCTCTCCCGACATTCAACGCAATCAATGGACTCACCAAGCTTCTGAAGACGGAAATCCCTTCGCACCTCACTCCACCCGTCATGGTTCCAAGCTCTTCTCTAGCCCCGGAATCCGAACCGGCATTGGTCGGTCTTATCCGGGACATCTACGCTCCCCGCGTGAATGCTGCCCTGGCAGTATCTCAAGGCCCTGATCACCTCAGACTCTACCCTGCACCAAACATGCGCACCCCCGGTAACAAGAACTATGGAGGACCGCACTTCTTGGCCAACTATGCATCGGATACGGAGCGGACGAGCTCAGGGCTGCCCCGCGGGCGTCTGGTTGGTGTGGTCAAGAGCTTCGATCGCTGGAACACAGGAATGCGCAATGAAGCGCCTCACCGGCGCGTGGAATATCTGAACGGCCTGGCACACTTGCAACGGTGCATGCGCGAACACTCCTGCCGGTATGGCTTCATCATGACCGAAATCGAGCTGGTGTGCGTGCGAGCCGGGTGTGACGATGGCGACGACGTGCCCTACTTTGGATACCTGGAGATATCCGCCCCGATCCCGACCAAGACGGCATTTGGAGGAGACGCACGACCGCCTTCAGACCATCACTACGCTTTCACCGACCCCTCCACACCGTCCAGCGACGGTTCCTACTCCCGCAGCCAATCCCCAGCATCTTCAGTAGCAGAGGCTCTTGACGTGCCCATGACTGCCAGCCTGGCGCTGTATTTCCTGCTGATGCTTTCCAAATCCGTGCCATTGCCATCACAACCATCCGCTCACCTCAACGTCGGCGGACCGGGGGCATTAACCCGCCAACGTATCCTCCCAGAAGAAAAGGACAAATGGATCCCGCAGCCGCAGATTGGCGAGCGGCGCGATGCCAAGAGAGTACGGGGGTGGGTATGGCCTCAAGATGCATGGCATCGACGCGAGGGTGGAGGAGTGCCTCGTACCAAAGTGAATGTGGCCGTGGAACCGAGGCCAAAAAAATGGCATAAATGATTCTGGATGATATTTTTCTTTCTTAAATTACTAATTCTCTTTCGGGACCCTTTGTTTGAATAGTAATATAATTTCTTTCCTTTTACATTGTTTCTTTGTTTGGAGCGTACTGTGTATACGGAGTACTGGCCATGTTGCATTTACGGGGTATCTGGACAGAGAATTCTTACAACTTCATTCTCATTCTATTGCTCAGAGTTATCTGATACTGATCTTCATCTTAAGACTGTGTCACACATCATCTATCCCCAAGGTCCCCAATGAGAAATGTAAGTGTCAATCAATGTACTCAACAGGTAACCAAGGACCTTGGGATCCAAGTACCTGGGTGGTCGAGTGATGTACTATGTAGGTATAAAGCAGCAGGTAAGAAAAAATATCACTATCTTCAATGTCAAATTAACCTAATCATATCTCAGACTTAATCTAACATCGAAAAAATGCCAGAAAAACCAACCACTTTCCCAGACCTGCTCGATGTCCTCATCATCGGCGCCGGGCCCTGCGGCCTGGCCGTCGCAGCACGCCTCAACGAAGAAACACCCTCAGCCATGTTCACAGACGAAGAACACCAGCGCTACCACTGGATTAGCAAACACAGCGGCCGAATGGCCCTCGTCCAAGCCCGCCACCACAAACTCAACAGCGTGAAAGCAGACAAATGGCAACCGAATGCCGGCGACAACGCCCGCACACGCAGCGTCTCTTCTATATCGACAGAATCAACACCGTCGTTGGCATCATCGGCGGGTTCCTCGGATGAATCGGATGACTCGATAGATAGCCCAGCTTCGCTGTCTACCCTTGTCTTGGACGGAACGGGAGATAGGTTTCTGGAGCGGTGGAATCGGGCTTTCAAGACGTTGGAGATTGCACAGTTGCGTAGTCCGATGTTCTTTCATCCTGATCCTGGGGATCGGGATGGGATGCTTGCGTATACTCAGGAGACTGGGCGGGAGAAGGATTTATGGGAGATACCGAATTGTGTAGGGAAGGAGATGAGCAAGCATAAGAAGAAGAAGAAGCAGAGGTCGAAGCAGTGAGTCCTTTTCTCCTTCTATGTTAGATGACCTTAATACTGACCTACCTGATAAAGAACAATAGGGCAGGAAATCGATGAACGAGACCGAAAAGATTACTTCTCTCCCTCTACCGACCTCTTTGCTGATTACTGTGCTTCTATTATATCCCGATATAAACTCGACCGTCCAGGCAAGGTTCTCCAACGGGAAGTCACAGACATCGTATACGATTACCATCCAGACCTCTCCCCATCAGAGAAGATATTCACCGTGACCGCGTCCGATGGGAGCCGATTCTACAGCCGGACGACAGTATTAGCCATCGGACCAGGGACGACGAAGATCCTTCCATTCCCACTGTCTGAAGAGGAGAAGAATGGTGGCTGTCACAGCTCGGAGATCCGGTCATTTCCGAGCATGAATGTCAAGAGGAAGATTCAACAGCGACAAGAGACGAATGTGATGGTGGTTGGGGGTGGACTGTCATCTGCGCAGATTGTGGATATGGCCATCCGGAAGGGTGTAAGCAAGGTGTGGTTTTTGATGAGATCTGATTTCAAGGGTGAGCCTTTCATGAAGCCTATTCACCTGCAGTGATACTGACGATACAGTGAAACATTTCGATATCGACCTGACCTGGATGGGCAAATTCAAAAACTACGAAAAAGCAGTCTTTTGGTCAGCAGACACTGACGAAGGTACAGCGCATCCACCCAACTATTTGCACAGCCATGAAAAGAGACTGACCGAACCAGAACGCCTGGAAATGATCAAAACAGCCAGAAATGGCGGCAGCATCACCCCACGCTACCAGAAAATTGTCAAGCATCATGCCGCCCGTCACCGGGCCTCCATCCACACCCGCACAGTCATCGTGGATAGAAAATACTGCCCAGCCTCCCAAACCTGGCGTCTCACCACCGACCCCCCAATCCCTGATTTACCTCCGATGGACTATATTTACTTCGCCACAGGGATTCAGGCAGATGTAAACGAGCTCCCGCTCTTGCAAAGCATGAACCGGGACTATCCCATCGAGACCAAAGGGGGTCTCCCCTGTGTGACAGACGATCTCATGTGGCGACCCGGGCTGCCTCTTTTCGTAACAGGAAGGCTCGGGGCATTGAGGCTTGGACCTGGAGCACCCAATCTAGAGGGAGCGAGGACGGGAGCCGAGAGGATTGCTTGGGGGATGGACGAGGTGTTGGGGAGAAAGGAAGTGGAGGAGGATGACGGAATGGAATTTTCCAAAGAGTGTTTTTGTGGGTTTGGGAATCGATATGCCGGATTGGATGTGAGTTTGTAGCGCATTGATGCTTTGAAACAAGTGCCATGACTCTATACTACCTACCCAAGTAGGTAAGGTAGCTAGCTATGATTAATGCCAACTCGATTAGAGTATTCCACCCCGTCTCTTGCCTAGAAATACGGGATAGTGTTGGGCCCAATGACGGGTGAATATGACTGAGCATTATCCTTCAGTAAATTAGCATCAATAATCGAGACAGCCAAGTCAAGCCACAGAAGAGGTTCGTGGAAATCGAGATAAGTGGTATACTTTGTATGTTATGTAATTACATATTTTAGGAATACCGTTAATACGCACTATATTTACGTATTAAGACACGTAATGTACATACGTTACAGTACAGTAGGTATAATCATGTTGCCTACAGCCTCGCCAACGGCTTCTCGACTTCTCTTCCTCGCACGACTTCTTCCTTTTTTTCTCCCAGAACATCATCCTCATCCTTCGCCTCCACAGCTTCATCAGCTTTATATCCACCTCATTTCTAATCCTCCCACCCTTTTCCAATCATGCGGTGAATATTAACTTCTAAGCCTCCTCTCTTTTCTCCCGATGACGGGTTCAGCTAACGATGACCAAGGTTCGCCTTCGCCTAGCAGAACAGTTGGTTTCTCACCAGCCTCAATTGTGGAATACCATGTAACTCTGGAGCCTGTCTTGCAAGTGACAATCATGGCGATGACGAGCAGATCTGGATCGTGACAGCTCTCGCAGCCATCCTGTGTCATTACTACATACAGCCTCAGAGGCATCAGCCACACGTTGCGATGTTGCGCCACACTGTGTGGCACAGCAAAGGTGTCCACGGCCCACCAGACGGCGATGAACAAAGCATGTGGAACAATCATCATTTTGATCGTCGCGCAACATATGCAGAACCAGGCAGCTTGCCAATCACCCTAGCTCCTGAGCTTCATGGATGGAGCAATCATCAATAAAGATGCGGACCAGCGGAAAAGCCTATTTTCTATTGGCGATTGGCAACGAGGCGCAGCACTCTATCAACCCACATTTCATCTTACACTGACTTTCGAGCAACCCATTTTACGGCGGCAAATCATCGTCTCGACAGCAACTGGTTTGATGCTTCACTCCACTTGAAAAAATGATGGCTATGGAACCGCCGGCCTCCGGTTGGTCTCCCCGCGTTTAGGAATGTTTGAAGATGTCTTTTGCAGGCGCTTCCTTGAAGAAATGAGGAATCTAGACAATTGGACTCGGGGGGGAAGGATGACCTCGGCGCCTACAGCCTCGCACGCAAACCCACTGTCTCGCCTTGATGGCAATTTCTTTTACGAGTTCCACGTCTTACTGGCGAGTCAGGACGCGTTAAGGAGTCGGCAACTCTTGGAGGTAACTACCCCTTTGCTGGGGATTGGCTATTTTGCAGATCTGACACAAGAAGGAGGCTGTGCAAAAGGTAGAGAACGCTACCCGAGGGATTCCCACCTCACCGTATGCTTTACGCTGTAATTGTGGGCATACTATTGCTCTCTATTACTATGTTTTTTAATTGTCTACTTGGCATAGTCTGTGCTTTGCGAGGGAAAAAAAAAGGAATTATCATATCGCATCCAATATACTTTTTGAGAGGCAATTCGCCGACACAGCCTCCCTCCACCATACAAAAGAAAGGAGTCCTTTATCCCCGCTGCTTGCGCACGTTTTATGCTAGTAATTAAGGAATAATACTTTGATTTATTTCATCACCACTCTTTTCTTTACCTGTTAAGCCCACACGTTTGTCGGTCGCATCCATGGCGACTCCAAACGAAAACCATCAAGACATGTTCTTAAATCCCTCGACGGAGCCTTCGGATAACGAGGTATGTGCCCGGGTCATCAAACAGGACAATACGAATGTCCTTGCTGACGTTTGTGAGCAGCATCCACCTCTTTCAGTCGGGGTTGGGCAGCCAGCCATCTCATCATCATTATCACCCCCATCTCCATCATCAGAGCACCCATCTTTATCACCAGATATGGCTTTGAATCCGGATACAAGCCGGCTGACGGTCCAGAATGCACCGTTTCACCCATCGCACCGGGCATCTCAGTCTCTGGACGGAGAGACGTTACGATCGAGATCAGGCTCATTCAACTCGTGTGCCGACACCATCACCAGATCAAGAGCGAACTCAGAAGCCGTTTCAGAATGCCCCAAAGAACCTATGATTTCGGAAGATCCCAGGGAAGACATCGACGACGTCTCCGTATCAGAAGCTCTACGCCCAGATCCTCGAAATGAGAATGACTTCCATGTGGAGAATAACAAGTTTGCTTTCTCGCCCGGGCAGTTGAACAAGATGTTGAACCCTAAGTCCCTGGCTGCCTTTCAAGCACTGGGAGGCATGCGTGGGTTGGAGCGTGGGTTGCGGACGGACTTGACATCGGGTTTGTCGATAGATGAGTCACGTCTGGAGGGCAGTGTTGGGTTTGAAGAGGCAACATCTTTGAAGCAGGCTTCTATGGATGCTCAGCCGGCTCATGTTGATACACCGCCAACAGCAACCGATTCCCAGTTCGAGGACCGCATCCGAGTTTTCAGTCAGAATAGATTACCAGCCCGGAAGACAACCGGCATTCTGAAACTGTTCTGGCTCGCTTATAACGATAAGATTATCATCCTGCTGACCATCGCTGCCGTCGTCTCGCTGTCTCTGGGTATCTATGAGACAGTGAGTGCTGGGCATGGTGTTGACTGGATCGAAGGTGTTGCTATCTGCGTGGCTATCTTGATTGTCACTATCGTCACTGCTGCAAATGACTGGCAAAAGGAAAGGCAATTTGCCAAACTCAACAAGCGAGTAAGTACTCTCTGTCAATGTTCTCTGACTATTATCTAACTTCTATAGAACAGTGACCGAGAGGTCAAGGCTGTCCGCTCGGGCAAGGATGCTATGATCTCCGTTTACGATATCACGGTCGGTGATGTTCTTCATCTTGAACCAGGTGATGCCATCCCGGCAGATGGTATTCTCATCTCTGGCCATGGTGTCAAGTGTGATGAGTCTTCCGCCACTGGAGAATCCGATCAGATGAAGAAGACCAGCGGACATGAAGTTTGGCAACGGATCAACAATGGAACCGCCCAAAGGAAGCTGGACCCCTTCATGATCTCGGGTGGTAAGGTTCTCGAAGGCGTTGGAACCTACCTGGTCACCAGTGTTGGTCCCTATTCATCTTACGGCCGCATCTTGCTGTCGCTGCAAGAGTCGAACGATCCCACCCCGCTTCAGGCCAAACTCGGAAAACTGGCTGATTGGATTGGATATTTGGGCTCAGGGTAAGATTACTTTGACAATTTTGCTATTTGGATTACTGGCTAACCTCATCACCCAGTGCCGCGATCGCCTTGTTCTTCGCTTTGCTCATTCGATTCCTTGCCCAGCTCCCAGGAAACACTGACACTCCTGCGGTCAAGGGAAAGGAATTTGTCGATATTCTCATTGTCGCCGTCACTGTGATTGTTGTTGCAATCCCAGAGGGGCTTCCACTGGCTGTCACACTTGCTCTTGCTTTTGCCACGACACGGATGGTCAAGGAAAACAACTTGGTCCGCGTCCTTCGTGCCTGTGAAACAATGGGCAACGCAACTGTGATTTGCTCGGACAAGACCGGAACTCTGACCCAGAATAAAATGACAGTTGTCGCTGGCACCTGGGGCTCCAACAAGAGCTTCAGCCAAGATCCAAGTGATGATGCCCCTGATGCCACGGTGACTGTCTCTGAGGTCTTCAAGCAATGCTCCAAGGCAGTACGGGACTTGATTGTCAAGAGCATTGCCTTGAACTCTACGGCATTTGAGGGCGAAAAGGATGGAGCTAAAGAATTCATTGGAAGCAAAACGGAAGTGGCATTGCTGCAACTGGCTCGGGACTACCTGGGCATGGATGTGGCCACAGAGCGTGCTTCCTCGGAGATTGTTCAGTTGATTCCCTTCGATTCCGCCCGCAAGTGTATGGGCGTGGTATACCGCGAACCCACAACAGGCTATCGTCTCCTTGTCAAGGGAGCTGCTGAAATCATGGTCGGGGCTTGCTCGACAAAAGTGGCCGAAATGGAGACATCGGCTAGCCGTGTCGTCATCGACCAGTTCTCCGAAAAGGACAGGCAGATGATGCTCAACACCGTCAATTCATACGCTGAAAAGTCTCTTCGAACAATCGGCATGGTCTATCGAGACTTTCCAAGCTGGCCTCCCATGCATGCCCAGACCTTGGAAGATGACCTTCAGACAGCCAAGTTCGAGGATATCTTCCGTGATATGACCTGGGTTGGAGTTGTGGGTATCCAGGATCCCCTCAGACCTGAAGTGCCTCCTGCCATCAAGAAGTGCCATGTTGCTGGTGTTCAGGTCAAGATGGTTACTGGTGACAACTTAGCAACAGCCTCTGCGATCGCATCATCTTGTGGCATCAAGACTGATGATGGAATTGTCATGGAGGGCCCCAGATTCCGCCAGCTGTCGGACCAGGAAATGGATGAGGTCATCCCTCGCCTTCAAGTCCTGGCTCGGTCTTCGCCAGAGGATAAACGCATTCTGGTGGAACGTCTTAAGAAACTGGGTGAGACGGTGGCAGTCACAGGAGATGGTACCAACGATGGCCCTGCTTTGAAGACAGCCGATGTTGGCTTTTCCATGGGAATTGCTGGCACGGAAGTCGCCAAAGAAGCCAGTTCTATCATTCTTCTCGACGACAACTTCAAGTCTATTGTCACTGCAATTGCTTGGGGTCGGGCAGTTAATGATGCCGTCGCCAAGTTTCTACAGTTCCAAATCACCGTCAACATCACAGCTGTCATGCTCACAGTCGTTTCGTCGCTCGCTAGCAGCAGCAACGAGAGTGTTCTGAGCGCTGTGCAACTGCTTTGGGTCAACCTGATCATGGATACCTTTGCTGCTCTTGCCCTTGCAACTGACGCACCTACTGAAAGCATCCTCGACCGGAAGCCCGTTCCTAAAAGTGCCCCTCTGTTCACAATGACCATGTGGAAGATGATTCTCGGACAAGCTGTTTACCAACTTGCTATCACTTTCATGCTTTACTTTGGCGGTAGCAAAATCCTCGGAAGCCAACTGAGCGCGGACAACGCGCAGAAAGAGCTGGATACAATTGTTTTCAACACCTTTGTGTGGATGCAAATCTTCAACGAGTTCAACAACCGACGACTTGACAACCGGTTCAACATCTTCGAGGGAATGTTCAAGAACTACTGGTTCCTTGGTATCAACTGCATCATGATTGCTGGTCAAATCATGATCGTTTTCGTCGGAGGTGCTGCCTTTAGCGTCACTCCGCTCAATGGAGTTCAGTGGGCGATCTGCATCGTCTGTTCCATCTGCTGTCTTCCTTGGGCTGTCGTCCTCCGCCTTATTCCCGACTCTTACTTTGCAGTTATTTTCAACGCTGCTGTCGGGGCTGTGAACTTCATTTTGAAGCCTATCTTCAAAGCCTTTGGCCTCGTCGGGAAGGGATTCAAAGCTGCTTTCCGACCTGCCAAACGCGCCCTACATCGCGAACCAAAGAGAGAAATCAACACGTCTGACGAAGAGGCTGCGGTTTTGGCTGACTTGGACCTCGACCGAAAGCGAACTCCGGAGGCACCCATGACTCCTGTCACTGTGCCTCCCATTACTATAACGACATCTTAATACGACACTTTCATACGACAGTGACTATACATATTGCCTTTGATGGCTCTAGAAGGTCACTTTGTACATATATACGTGATTTTTTAACGATCTAGATTTTGTATACTGATACACATATGGGAAGGATGGGCTGGCGGTTAATGTCTTTGCATTTTATTGTTTTTGGTATAGCATGGCTTCTTGGTGTTGTTTTTTGGATTGTTTTAATAAGCGTGGATTTTGGATTTGGAAATATTAATGCATGTATACTTTGAGCGAATAGTTAGAAGCGAATCAGGGGATACAAAAACATGGACCTTTATCGAATTTTACTCTGAATTGTTCTTTTGTCTTTGTCGAATTGAAGTAAAAGTAGAAGTATACAGCTATGCCTGAGGCTCCCAGGCAGCCACTGCCTCTCCGCACCGCCCGCAACCACCAGCTTGCATCTCCCCGTCTATGTTGACTCTCGACGATCCACGCCCTCCAGCTCAATTCATCCATCTTCTGCCTTGTCATCGTGCTTAAGTCGGAGACAAAAGCACTCTTATAAAATCCTCTATTTCTTCCCACCGGACAGGAATCTTACTTCCTCCAACACTGCAGTCAATCTTGCATCACGTCACCTTACATCTCCCCGCTTCGACATCGGACTGGGTAAACTACAGCCTGCTTCAACCTCGATTTTCTTGCTATGTGGCTAATTAACAATATAGTCTTCGATCGTTGAACACACACCCACTATTTTACCTACGACTCTCTTCACAACTCGTACCTTCCCCTGAGACTCACCTAATCGGTGCAACCACCACCCAACATGTCACAAATCAACTACCGCACAATCAACATCGATGTGCTCGACCCCGAGTCATCCAGCAACTTCCCCATGGACACACTTCTCCCTCCCACTCTTCCCGAGCCCACGACATCCAGCGGCGCCGCCAACGTCGCAAACCAAGTCCGCCAGTTGCTCCGCGGCGGTGATGCCGAGGGGGCGCTGCGATACGTTCTCGACACGGCGCCGTTGGGCGGAGACGACCGTGCCAAGGAGGTGCACATGGCTTCTGTCGTGGATGTTCTGCAGGGAATTCGTCAGGGAGAGATGGCAAGAGTGCTGGAGGGTGTGTGTGGTGGAGAAGGTGGTGCAGAGCGGGCGGACTGCTTGATGAAGTATATGTAAGTTTTACCTTCTCTTATACTCTTTTTTCAGATAGCCTAACTGTCTATAGCTACAAGGGAATGGCCTCCTCTGCTTCGAGTAGCGGTTCGCAGTCGCCCCGCAAGTCGGTGTCGCCGCAGAATACCGGATTCTCCCAGATCCAGTCCCGGAATATGAACGAGGGAGGAAGCGGTTCGCAAATGAGTGTTTTGCTGAGCTGGCATGAGAAGTTGGTCGACCTTACCGGCACTGGGTCGATTGTTCGTGTGATGACGGACCGGAGGACAGTCTAAGTTGAGGGAACGGGTTGTGGATGTGAATATGGCAAAAAAGATGTGAAAAGATAGAATGAGGACGTGTCGTTATTCGCATTTCGTTTGTCTTTTTTGTCCCTGGATTAGAACCTGACCTACTGGGTGTGATATCCGTTTTTTATATTTAACTTCATATTATACATATTGTTTGACACGGTTGCAAGTCTATGGTTTGTCGAAACCACCACCTCCGAGGAGGTCTGTAAGATTAAGTTCACCACTGCCTCTCTGCAACGGCTGGGCCTGGCCCTTTCCTTCCTTCCATCCAATCATGTAGATCAGTCTGAACGTCGCGGGAATTCCTCTCGATCCCTCCTCCTTATGCAGCTCGCGATAGATCGCCTCGTTGGCCAAAAGCACATCACGCGAGATGGGACCTAGCTCCCGGTGTAAGATGGCATTGTTCTCTCCCATCGACTGCAGGTCCTGCATGAGGGCAAACGTATCAGGGAACTCGACCACGATATCCTCCACGTCAACCGTGAGCATCTTGAATCCGGCCTTGTTCAACAGTCCGCCGACATCTCGCACATCCGCCAGTGGGGAGACATGCGGACTCACACCACCCCTCCGCTCGAGATCGGCCAACTGCAGCGAAGTGCGGAGCTCAAACAGAGTATCACCGCCGAACATGGCCGCGATGAAAGGGCAATCTGGTTTGAGGATGTCATTCACTTGCGCTAGTAGCGATGGGAGATCATTGATCCAGTGGATTGACAGGGATGAGAGGACGGCGTCGAAGCTGTTGGGCTCGTACGGGAGGGATTCCAGGTTTGGGATCACTTCGCGCTTGATGGCGAGTTCGTTTTCGAGAGGGATTTCGGCATCACGGTGGAGGAGAGCATGCGAGGTATCGACGCAGGTTAATTTCGAAATGCGTTCTGACAGCGGCGGGGAGGATGGAGCGTCCGGGTCTGGGTTCGATGTCGTCAGAGCACGAGCGATGTTGCAGCTGTTGGCACCTAGATCAAGCACATTGGGGAATTCTCTCTTGATGTCCTTTATGTAGAAGAAGGGCGTCAGTAAAGATTTCCCTATCCATAGAGCTCGACGCAGACTTACCAGTAGCCGTTCACATAACCGCATGGCCACCTCGTCCTTGAGATAATCCACTTTCCGGCTCTCCTCGACATTTTGAGCTGCGCGGTCCTTTTGCATATGCTTCGCCTTGCGATTGAAGACCTCCCATACTGGGTTCCCTGGGCTCTGGCTGGCATAGGTTCTCGTTGCGGCGAAAACCCTCTGCGGAAGCACCGCCCGACGGAATACAGGGCGAAGAGACATTGCGGCTGTGTCTGGTGATAATTCGTCTGATGGCTTCTTCTGCTGTTGTGTTCTAAATCAGTGCATTTTATTTCGAAGAGAAATTAAGAAAAAAAGAGGAGCTGGTGGGAGCTGGACAGGCGGGATGCGGCCGACTGATGGATTATTTTCTCTGACGTCGCCGGACTTTGAAATGGTTTTCGAACCTCCGCAATTCGTTCGCGTGGGACGCCAAAACACCACGAGCAGCGCGGGCATCTCCCAGCCCACCTCGGATTGCAGCTTCAGGAGCTTTAGACTGGCTTGCTAGTTCTTTGGTTTTTCTTCATCTTTGGCTGTCTAGAGGATTGGTAGCTGTGAGTTCTCTGTTGATTGACAATTCGTCTAGCGAATTGCCCCGTGTTTCTATCAATCTACCTCTCCTAATTGACAGGATGCTAACAAAAACACCAGAATCCTAGGGCTACAAGGCATCGTCTTGCTATTTATCGTCAACAAAGTTATCAGCAGCTGCAAAACCTCGTCGAAAAGATATTGTGGCCCCCGCAAAGTTCCAACTCTTCTTCGGGCACATCTCCACAAACACCAGGGAATCGACAAATAATGATATAGCGACCATATAAAACCACCTTCTATCTATCTATCTGCTTCACAATTTAATCCTCACCATGTCGCGCCCATTTCCTTACACCTACATCTCATGCCCCTGCGCCGATACTCCGGTTCCCGACCCCGCCAGGAAACGGAGGTCAAAAGATTCACCCCAAAAACCAACACCAGAAAAACCGAGCCTTCCAGAGCCCAAGGCGGAGGACTTCGAGGATGAGGAACAGACTTTTGATCCACGATCTCCGCGTTCCAATTATTCACTTCACCCCCCGGAGCAGCTGCTTTACTGTGAAGACTGCCATCAAATCAAATGCCCGCGATGTATAACGGAGGAGATTGTGTGTTGGTACTGTCCAAACTGTCTATTCGAGACCCCGAGTAGTATGGTTCGAAGTGAAGGCAATCGGTAGGTTGGATGTGTCACTTTCAAGTGAGCTGCTGCTGACCGTATATTAAAGATGTGCAAGAAATTGCTTCAATTGCCCCATCTGTACCGCGCCTCTTGCAGTTTCGACTCTGGAGAATGTCACTGGGGGTGGAAGTCAACAAGGGCCTTGGGTGTTGTCCTGTGGATATTGTATGTGGACGACACTTGATATCGGCATCAAATTTGACAAACCGACCAATATTCGAACACAACTCTCGAAAATGACCAGTGGCTCCTTGACGCGAGAGAGGCAAATGTCCAAGACATTCGGGGATCTCAAGTCGCCTTTATCCACATACGCTTCGATTGACGAGCACTTTCCACCCCCCGGAGAAAGCACAGTCGACGAACCCACGCAGGCTGGCGAGCAGTCAGGTCCTATGACCCCTGATGCGAGATTTGCTGCACTGAAGAATTTCTATAGAAACCAGATAGCAGAGACATCCGCCTCGCCCAACGACCCTCTCGGACCTGATTTCGGTTCTGGCTTTGCCTCGCCCGGTGCCCTGAACCGCATCATGTCCCTTTACACGTCCTCATCAAGGTTGAGTGGTCTCTACGGAGGAGCCAACAAAAAGCCCAAATCAAAGCCTCCTGTGATGCGGGAAGCCCTGAACTCCAGTGAAGGCCTCAAGATCCCAGCTCCAGACGCAGAGGATTCAGTTATTCAACAAATGGCCTCGGATGAGTGCGGATGGGATGGCCTTGCCTCGATGGAGCAGCGCTCATTCCAGTGCCCCGATGCCCGCTTTGTGGAAGATCTCCTTCCCTTGCCAGTGCTCCTTCGAACCAAGCGCTCTAAACGATGCAAGTCCTGCAAACATATTCTCGTCAAGCCCGAATTCAAACCACAGTCGACACGGTTCCGTATTCGTCTCATCGCCCTCAGTTACATCCCTCTTCCGACTCTACGACCCCTGGCGCTGGGACCCCAGGCTGGTCTTCCATCAACTACCCCATCACCAGGGTTAATCCCTAACCTCGACGCCCTGCCACCCCTGAAACCAGTCCAGCTGCTCCTCACCCTGAAAAACCACATGTTCGACCCGGTGCGAGTGACACTGGCCACACCGTCAGTGACACCAGGCCGCGTGGCCACCAAAGTCACCATCCTCTGTCCGCAATTCGACATTGGCGCCAACAGTGACGTGTGGGACGAAGCCCTGCAGGGTACAACGGCAGCGGGTGATCAGCGCTCCTCCCGATCCGGTGGTATCGGCGGATACGAAAAGGTTGCAGAAGCAGGCAAAGTGTGGGACAAGGGACGCAACTGGACAAGCGTCGTACTAGAAGTCGTCCCTGGCACTTTACCCGGGGGTAGTAACAATACCAAAAGAAGACAACCCAGTCTGAAAGATACCAGCAAAAAGCAAAACGACAGCGACGATGACAACGATGACGACGACTCCGAAGTCGACGCCAACCTATTCGACTGGAGCGGACAATCCAAAGACACCAGCACCCAACTCCAACCCGACGAAGACGTGTTGGAGATCCCCGTCTTCGTGCGCATGGAATGGGACTCGGAGAATCAAATGGAGCAGTCAGTGGGCAAGTCGAACTCGGACACGGTCAAGAGGGAGTTGGCCTACTGGATGGTTTTGGGGGTGGGGAGGATCAATCCGGAGATTATCTGAGTGTGTTGTACATACCTTTTCTGTTGATAGTTGATATAGTTTTAGACTTTCATACCCATTGTTGTTATCTGTTTGGTTTATACGAGTACTACTGTCTTGACTATCTATCATGTAGACAGACATGGATAGACGTTTAAGATTTATACTTCATGTCAATACCATGGCAATACATGAACCATACTAAAACCCAAGCTTAAACGGGACAATAAGGTTAAGGCAAGGCAAGGTAGACATGACAGACATGGCATTGCGTTAGACCTAACCCAACCAGCCAGTATGAGACGAGAAAAAAGAAATTACGGTGATTTCCTTGGCTGAAGGACGATTAGGGGGATGCGGCGAAGGGTCTTTTCTTTTTTTCCTTTTTTTGAATTTAAAAACTTGATAAGGATATGCGAGATTGCGAGGGAGAGAGATGGAAGAGTTAGAAAGAAAGGAGACAAGAAAAAAAGAGAAATAAAAGAAAAAAGTAGTTTATGTCAAAACCACGCCATTTAAAATAACAACCGGGACCACACAAGAGAGATCATGCATCCTTTTATTTCCATCGGAGCTCTCCCTTTTTATTTAGTAAAAAAGAAAAAACCCAATGAACCAGATCAAGCTACCCACCGCATAACCATGGACGTTAATTTTTGGAGCCCGACCCCGTCTTCGCGCTCCCTCTCTCATATTTTCTCTTTTAAGATCATCATGCCTCTTTGGCTTCTCTCTCTCTCTCCTCCGCTTTCCCCCACATGCTAGATTCCATCACGGGCGATAGATCTAGAAGTCACCAGCGCTCTGGGGGAACTCGAAGACGACCGAGCGGCCGGTTAAACGGCGGTAGACCTCGCCGTAGGCATCGAGTCTGTGGTCAACACCACCGCGCTCCTTCTCGTCGAGAACAACCTTGGTGGTCTTGGAGCCGTCCTCCTTGGTGCGGATACGCTTGCCAACGATCTCGACGGGGTAGACGAGGTCGGAGAGGATGGCGTCGTGGACAGCGGTCAGAGTGCGCGAGCGAGGGCGCTTCTGGGTCTGGTTGGAGCGGGAGTTGACAGAGCGCTTGGGGCGGGGCAGGATGCGGCGCTGAGCAACGAAGAGAACGTGGCGGTCGGAGAACTTCTTCTCGAGCTCACGGGTGAGACTGTGAATTCAAATCAGCTTCAGCTCTTGACCTTGGCGTTGAGTTGGCAGTCGGAAAACTGCTGAATGATCGTACCGCTGCTGGATCTTGTGGAAGCCCTGGAGAGAGGGGACGGGGACAAAGACAATGATAGCCTTCTTGCCGTGGCCGACCTCGACCTATAGATCATATCAAGTCAGAAATCGTTGTCCAATTCGAATCTGCAACCGCGAATTCGTAATTTCTGATTCCTCCTCTTTTATCTTTTTCCGGTGTCTTATTTTGAATCCTCCAATATCCATTCCGTATTATGCACATCTTGCCGGTCACACAAATCAATCCATAACCCGGGCCGCACAATATCAAATTCCATATCACTCCCACAAATTCGCGGTTGTTGCAAAGCCAGATTTCAATCAGAGAAGAAAAATTCTTACCTCACGAGCAGAGACGAACTGCAAGGCGCGGAGGTTAGCCTTGAGGTCGGTTGTGTTGCTCTCCAAGTCGAAGAGAGCGCCAGCAATCGCGGTCTCCAGCTCGGAGGGGTTCTGCCTCGACGGCGAGTTAACGGCGATCTTGTTGATAGCAGCCATGATTGCAGACGAGCGACGGGTAGCTGGCTGTGCTGCTGGGGGGGAGTGCTGCCTTTGTTGGTGGTTGGTCGTCGAGGGAAAATAATCGAACGGAGAAGTCGAAGCCAGGCCCTACAATTTGCGCTCGGTCGTTGTGCTGGTGTGGGATCGGGATCTCGGCGGCTCGCTTAGCGGTCCCGCGCTTGACTGGTTGTGGTTAGGCTATGCCCTCTTAGGGGAAGGCTCATCCCGTGACTTTTTTCGCCCTGGCTGATGATTTATCAGCACGTGATATCAAACCTACTTGCAGTACGGAGTTCATTCTAGGAATCGAGATTATCATTTCTCCCAACGGTATAATACTATAACTAACAATCATGCTGGGATCAAAGAGAGTAAAAACTACCCGACAGGAACAATAACACAAACACAAATCAAATCTTGAATGATGTCTGAAACGCAGGAAGATGGACGCCTGAAACCACGAGAATTGCAAAAAAGCATGTTTATGTGTATGAAACCACCGAATCGTGCAGTAGAGACCTTCACAAACAGAACATATTAAAAAACAAAATCCACCCGTATTCGGAACAAAGTCCAAACAGATTTAACAGGCGCAGCCCTCCTTGGGAGCCGCTGCCGTCCTCTCTCCAAGGTTGACTCTGGTCTCTTCGGTTGACCGGCCACCTCCCAGTCCAGTCTGGCCGGTACCTGCGCCAGCTCCGCGTCCGCTCTTCAAGCTACTCTCGGGAATGGCATTGGCAATGGCAGTAAACACCTCGACGACATTGGTGCCGGTCTTGGCACTGGTTTCGAAGAACAAAAGTCCCTCTTCCTCTGCGTACCCGTTGGCCTCCCGTGTCGAGACCTTACGGGCATCGCCGGGGGTGGCACCTTGTTCCTGGTGGTCATCACCAGCGGCTTCATCCTCACCCTCTCCCGACGCAGCCTCCTGCTCGGCCTCGGCGGGCGATTCCCCAGAAGCTTCGCTGCCATCGTTTGTCAAGTCCAGCTTATTACCAACGAGGGCGATCACGATACCGGGGCTGGCTTGTCGCTGAAGCTCAGCAACCCAGTGCTTGGCCTTGGTGAGGGACGAGGGTTTCGTGACATCGTAGACCACGAGCGCTGCCTGAGCATTACGGTAGTACATGGGAGCCAGAGAGGCGAAACGCTCCTGACCGGCCGTATCCCAGATTTCGAACTTGATCGTGCGTGTAGGGAGCGAGCATTTTTGGGTGAGAAACGCGGCTAACGAGATAAAAAAAAAAAAGCCAAGTTAGTTATGTGTTTCGGAGATAATCTCGAATATACAGCGCATCACTTTCCCCCCAACAGTACACAGTACACATACACGCCTCGTCGATAACGTAGTAATGTACGGTTACATGGGAACCAAGTATCACAAATCACAGGGTAGGTGGGGGGGAATCTGTAATCTCACCTCCGATAGTGGGTTCCTTGTTCTCCTGAAAGTCATTGTTGACAAAACGCAAGACAAGCGACGACTAAATGCGAAGAAACCGTCAGTCATTCAGTTCCAATCCGGTTACGTTTGTACGACAGCAGCAATTTAAAAGCAAGACACGAACGGGAATTCCAACGCAACCGTACCTTTCCAACAGCCGCCTCTCCCAGCAGCACCAGCTTAACGCTACTACTCGGCTTCGGGGTATTTGTGTTCGCTGCTTCGGACATGATGGTCGAGTTCCCCGGACTAAAAATTACTTGACTAAAAAAAAACAAATAAAATAAATAAAATAAAAAACGGTCGATCAGGTCGTCCTGCAGAAAGGCCGAGAATAAAATAAAATAAATAAAATAAGGCCGATGATCTAGCTCAAGGATAAGGACGTTTCAAAAGCTGGCGCGGGTAGTGTCGGTCAGCGAGTGAGAGCGGTAAGGTAGGTTCGATGGTAAGGTAGAGTTGGTATTATTCAGAGTTGCCTGAAGGAACGGGCTGTAAGGCGCTGGGAGTGAATTTGTGTCGAAGGCGCCCGTTCCGGGAGAGTAAAAAACGGGGAAGGACAACTAAGAATGGATGAACGGATGAATGGGAAGAAAAAAGCCAAATGGCGGTGGACCAAAGGACCGTCTGGAGAGGTTGTAGTCTGATAGCAGAAGGGGGGTGAAGATGATGAAGATAGTGAGGCGGAGAAACGAGGGTCGTTCGATTAGATGCAGTTGATGATGGAGGCCTGGCCCGAAGCGGGCTAGCGCGACCAAGCACCACGCCCAGTCACGGGATGTTCCGCCTCGACGGGTACGGGTGGCTTTTGACAGCGGAGATGCTGACCTAGACGGACTGTCTGGCAGTCGACCTAGCTCTTCATGATGATTCCGTTTCAAAAAAAGGCATTGAGTCATCAGGACACGGACTCTGGTATCTAGATGAGACATATCATACTCGTATGGCTCGAAAGAACAACTCCAGCCCACAACATGGTGCATTCTCATTGGCAGAAAACGTCATAATCGACCCTCCAAAAACAGCATACATACCAACAAAACTTGCCTGGGCATGACGTGCTAAAGATGGTGATACTGCCAGACAGTTGGGAACGAACTATTGAGGCCGATGAATGATGCCCAGTCGACTCACACCGCCAACGTCGCACCACATGATTCGTGCAGAACACTTGTAGCTGCCCAAAAACACATGCAAGACGAACATGGACCTTGATGCTGGACCAGGGGTCCACCGAGATAATCATCCTGGGAGAAAATGCAGCGGGCTAATCAGGCGGATAACGGTATGGGTGACTTTCAAACGGCCCCTTGGGAGACAACAATCCAAAGGGTTAGGGCGTTGGAATGAAATGATGTGATTGGTTACATTCGAAACATGGGCTTGTAGATGAATTATTTGCGGAATTAGGATTCTTGGGCAGAACAACCTGCAGTTGCTGCCATTTGTCTGCTGCTGCTCCAATATAATTGTACAGAAATAAAACAAAAGATCCCACAGCCACAAATAAACAAGAGGAAAAATGAAAAATTAAAATAAAAATGATCTGACCGCGAGGTCAAGAGTTCTAGTCTGTTCTGGTATCAACCCATGCATGTATCCCATGTAATATTCCATCCCATCTATGCCAAACTCCATAACAAAAGAAATCCCCAAAAGAAATAATAAACCAAATAGTAAGACAAAGCACTTTTGTAGATCAGATCGGTGATCCGAAGTGGGTCGTGTCGAAAGAGATTAAAAAAATGTAGATAGATAGCTGAATCGGAAAGCCGCCGTAAATAGAAGAAAGGACGAAAAAGGACGGCTGGTATCGATAACGTGTCGCACGCTAAAATCGAGGAAGAAGCAACGGAATTAAAAATTGGTATATCAGACACGATGACGAAAGCGAGGCCCGAGGACGCAAAATCGAGAGCGATAGTGTTACAATGAATCTAGGGTTGTTAGCAGTGATCGGAAGTAGATAATTGAGGAGACTTACAAAGAGACAGCCGACTCATAGCACAATCGTCAATTCCAGCACTGAAGCCAGAAGAACGACAAACAGAACTTTTCGCTTGAGAAAAAGACAAGAAACGGAATCGCGTAGGTAAAACGAATCCCCTTGGGGAATCTATTTTGTGGGCGGCGGTGGAGGTGCGCCAGGCTTCTTGACTCCTGTGGTATCGTAGGCTCCTCGTCCCATGTTGAAAGCAGAGAGGTCTCGAAGGATCATAGCAGATTCTGCGCGGATAGCCATGGTCAGATGCGAATGCTTTTATAGGAGAGAGAGAAGATGGAGTAGATGGAGGAAGAAAGGTACGAAAAATAAAGGACAGAAGGAGAGCTTACCGAAGAGGGTTAAATAAGGCTGGCTAGGGGCGGCAGGAAAACGAGAAAAAGCCCCCAAATAAGACAATTATGAAATGTGCGTAGCGTAGCGAGGCCCAGAATTCCAGCCAGACGAGACAGGCGGTGATGATGATGATGTTGTAGCTGTTGCAGGACGACGGGACTGCAGAGCTGCTGCAGGCAAGATCGGAAAGGCGATCCTTTATTAAGGACCGATGCCCCCAACTCGAAAGAAAGGGTGATGATGCAGCAGATCTGTAGGGCAGGAATGTGACGCCGAAAGACCCAAGAAATTGGTCCGTAAGAATGAGCTGAGCGAAAGGGTGGAGTCCAAAGGAGATAGTATTCGACAGGTTTCCTTTTTTTTTTTTTTTTTTTTAGTTTTTATTTTCTGCCGCTTTTGGACGGAGTATGTTTTCTTTTTTTGGCTGCTTCCGTGTCTTTTTGCTTTTTTTCCCTTTTTTTTTTTTTTTTTTTTTTTTCCTCGTTCTTTTTTTATTTCAGTCGCACAGGTTGCAGGAAAATCCCGTGTAATTTCAGGAGTGAAAAAAAAAAAAAAGAAGGAAAAAGTCGTGGGGGGAAAAGACAGGAATAAATTATTTGATAAATTCGAGATCAGATCGAGCGCGAAAATGGGGGAAGCTAATGCAACCGAACGGCAAGGGAGGAGAAAGGAGACGGAAGAGGAGTCCGTGAATCCGACAAGAATTGATGTATCAAGGGAGGAGGATAAAGGATGAGATTGAAAGCGTAGAGGTTGGACGAGGAGAGGTTGAGAGGGAGCGAAGGGAGAGGGAGGGTGATGAATGACGGAGAGGAAGAGAAAAGAATCTCAGCAGATCGATGAAGGGGGTCCATCTAGATATAGGAAGCAGAAATATTTCTGGCCATTAATCCATCCAGAATTAGTCCCGTCCCTGTCCCGGCAGAGAGGAACGCGAAGCTGTGGATGCGATCCCCCTTTCCTAGTGTGTTCGCCCCCGTCCAACGTTTGACGGTTCTTTGTTGGTACTTTCTGTATGTATCTGTATGTATCCTCTGTCTGTATCCTCTCCATAAGGTATTACTATTGCTGTCTGTATGTACATATCCTGCCGTAGACCGCAGCATCTGGTACCTTACAGCTCTCCACAGCTAACCGATTTCTCGGAGACGACGGAGACCTTCTGCATCACCAAGTGGGACCAGAAGAAGAAGAAAAAGAAAGGAAAAGAAAAGCTGAAAAGCCATCAGGAACAGACGGATGGATCCGAGGGGAGACAGACTCCGCTTGTCTCGCGTGGTATTATTATTATTATTATTATTATTACATTATTATCAAATATCAATATATTATTATTATGATACTACCGCACTGGGTATACTGGGATGGATCCATAGAACCAGTCCAGAAGGTTCCCGCCCGTCCGTACCTGCTGTAGTCTCGGGACTATCGCGAACATCAGTTCAACGTCTTGAGATGACTGCTTCCATATCAGACCTGCCTGGAGTTACCCTGTACTTTCTTTATCTCTCTGTCTAGCTCTGCTGCTACTTCCAGCGCACTCCGTCCTCTGTACTCTCCTACGGAGGAACAGAACATACCCCTTAATGGCCCACTCCCAAGACTAACGATCAGCGATCCGGTGCCCCCACTGGCTACCCGTCTCCGTCTAGTTACGTGATGGTTGTGCAACCATCTTTCTTCTCGCGCCTTCTAGCTTTTCTAGCGCACCCAGCCTACATACAGTGAGATCATACGCTCTGCAGCCATGGGTAATTCCAGAACATTTCCCCAGCTTCTGCTTCTCTTCGTCCATCCCTACCACTCTATCAGACTACCAGGAGTTTCGATGTCTCCGTCCGTCTCCGTCCGTCTCCGTCGTAGATCGAGGATCCACTGCCAGTCGCCACTATGGAGTCGTTTAATACTACCAGCCACATTTCAGGTGCCACAACCCTGTCGTTAAGCTAGGTTTCATCCCAATTGGTAATACTAACGACGGTATGGTATTGTCATATGCAGGAACATCTATCATATCTCTACTCTGATTCCATCCATCATATTCTCTCTATCAGTCCTTCTATCCATATAGAGTATATTAGACTATTCGGGCCGGATACCCGTCCATCCTACATATTAGTCCCTAGGTACCTACATGTTGCTTACTACTACTATAGTACTATGTATGTAGACAGTGACTTCATTATTGGCCATCTTACGGCTAGAACACGCTAGAAGATGTTGATGTGGAGCCCCTCTTTCCGCATCCCCGGTTGCCAACCTTCACAGCTGTCTCTGTCGACGGTCTGATACTGACTGCATCGAACCGATGCAGTCTCAGCCCTTGTATCGACCTGCCTAGGTAGGATGTCCATGTTGAAACCGGGTGTAACCAACAGTCAACCTGGAACAGTCAAACCTGGATTCTAAACAGTGGCTAATATTCAGACGGAAAAATGAGAACCGTTGCCACCACGCGACATTCCCAATCGGACTAGTGTGTAGATCGTCCAAAGGTACCCAACTATAATATAGACTGCTATACCCCCATCCGTCTATTTAATATATATATATATTATCAATAGTCGAAAATCCTATCCACAGAGCCTCAAATTCAGTCGCACTAGGATTCCGCGGAACAAAAGCCGGCTTAGTTCTCCTGAAGATTCTTAGAAGATACATACTGTACAGTACGGTACAGTATGTACGGTACGGTACCATACGGATTATGTAAAGTTCGCATAACTCCCCCAACACCTGTCCTTTGTTGACATGAATACTTCTAGAGTACTCTCAGTTCGTAGTAGCTATATCATAATATTATTTTATTATATCCTCATATTACTCTGCAGTAATATCTGTAGGTATCGGCATCGGACTTCCCTCCGCGGATCGATCGATAATCGTGCAGTTTTAGCGACGGCAAAAAGTCCAAATCGCCCAACTCCGCGTCAAATCATCTGCAAGTCGACGATCCTCTAGTCCTTTCCAATCTTTCGGGTTTTCTTCTCTTTTTCTTTACTTTTCCTTTCTTTTCTTTTTCCTGGATTTCCATCTCTTCCCCCTGACGCCTCCCGGACTGACGGGATGTCACGTCATGAAGAGTTAATCTGGAATATCGGGGATCAGCCATCAATAACACAACCTTCCCAAAGCCAGGGGGCGATGATTATTGGTTCTTAGCAGGATTAGCAAGTGGGGGGAGAAGGGAAAACTACTTGCTACTATCATTTGGCGGAAGACATTCCGGTTGTCTTTAGATGTTTCTGATGGATCATCATTTTTTTTTTTTCTTTCTTTCTTTCTTGTTTTATTTTCTGTTTATTTATCTGAAATTCTGAATGTCCAAACAAACATTATCCCTGTCGGCATCGCTCGGACGGGATCTTCTCATAGCACTTAGCAGTTCAGTCAGTCAGCAAGCAGGATCTGTCCAATTTCCATCCCAGACAAATCACATTTCAGCCACGGCCAATTGAACAAAAGTACGTTCTGGATCGACTCAGCTTTGCTTAGTCGTGTTTTGCTTTTCCCCAATCACAATGTGAAGCTGAAGCTGAAGATTATCGGTTGAGTTATTCGTTGCTTCATTTGTGAAGGATTGCTTAGTCCTCTTTGGGTCCGAGTTGGGCGCCTTATTATGGAGTCGCGATGTAGATCATCGTATTTCCGTTTTTCCGCTTTGCTTTTAGTAGCTTCTTTTATTAGTATGGGAGAGATAGACTATTGATCGTTCTTGATACAGGGGTAGTATGAGGCAGACAATGCAATGGCGAGAAGTTAGATTAGTCATCACACCACACCACTTCCCCGCTTGATCGAAAGAGTGCTCAAAGAACAAAGACAAATCTCTCACAATGATAGAGAAAGTATCGGATTCGACTTCGCAAGATGTCAAGAATGCAGAAGAGGAGGCCTTCAATCAGGTCAACGCATTATGTCTCAGTGACCTGGGCGCAAAAGTCAGGAACCACCCCTCGATGGACATGACCGACTTGCTCAAACATCAGCTTAAGACCTATCCCACTTTACGCAAATGTTTGGTGATTCAGCCGTGCAGTCCGTAACGTCCGAATCAGACACTCCTGATGCTGAGACTGCATCTTTGCCTGTAGATATACGGGATGGATTCCGGATCCCAACAGACGTCAAAATCGAGAGACCATTCAGCGCCACTGTGATGCGAGCAGCACAGAAGGTTTCCTCCGATGACGCATCTACCGTCATTGGGGCACTCAATGAACTGGTTGCTTCCAGCGACATCATCTGGCATCTGGGTTCAACTGCCGTGTTGGGTCTCAACTCGGAGCTCGTACTAAAAGTCGGCAGTGCCTTTGATGTCAGCCATATTCCTACTCTGGATTACATTAAACAGCAAGCGCCAAACGTCCCAATACCAGAAATACACGGTATCCTTCAGCAGCCAGGCAGCCAACGCATCTTCTTGTTCATGTCGCGAGTTCCCGGCGAGTCGTTGGATTCAAAATGGCAATCCTTGGGCAAAGACCAGAAGGCTTCAATCAGAGAGCAACTGGATGCCATCGTCAAGGACTTTAGGTCCATCCCCGCCCCACCAGCAGAAGAGCCCCAGGCAGTGTTTGGGGGTGGCTGTCCTCGACGATGTAAAGATGCGCGGAGGCAAGTTCGTGTTGCAGAAGGGCCCATCGGCAATGAAAATGACTTCAACCATTTTCTCGCGTCCAACCCACAAAGAATGGAGACCGGAAACATTGCCATGATAAGATCCTATCTTGGCGTCAATCACAAACTGGCAATGATGACTGGTGGGCCTACTTGCCCCTCAATATCGGCGTATGGCCCAGGGAGCACGGGGTTGATCTCATGCTAAGCAAATGGCATAGTTGAGACCGCAGGCAAATCTAGGGATATGAACATACAACCGAAGCTCATAGGCCACATCAATAAGCAACAGGCACTCTTGAAACTATTTGGCGGTTTTATTTACATCCCAAAAGGACATTGTACGTGCAAAGACAGAAGCCTATCAGAAAACCAATAGAAAAGAACACGACAAAAAACAGAAAAACAAAATTCCAGCCCAATAGTTACGCTAATTACTGCCAGTTCTGTCTCTTGGACTGGAGGGGTCTCGTTCGTCACTCGGGTTGTAGATCGCAACATAGACACTAGTCATATTGGCAACTCTGGGAGAATGTCTCAGCACATTTGTGTCAGAGTATATGATGAGTCTACTCACCCGTATTGAGTCTTTCTCTTAGTCAAATATTCGTCGAGTCAAAGGCTGTAGCGGACGAAGGTATGAGAAGAAAGATATATAAATGTGCCAAAAAGCCGGGTAGCAACAGAAAGAAATATATAAACGGCTCTGGCCTAGTTTGGTTATTTTCCAAGTTGAATATTCGTGGGAAAGACGATTGATAATGATTTGAATCCCATTGTGAAGTTGCAGGTGCTTAAATAGCATTTGTTTGGGGACCAGATGCAACTCATTCTTGAAGGTTCAAGTGAGCGATTCGCCAGTGCGGCACGGATACGGGATATTCTGGCCAGAGAAACAGATCGCCCAAGAAAGCTCCATCATGACTGGTCTTGTGCAGTATCTTTAGTGTTGATATTGGCGGCAAATTTGTAGGCGTATGGTGGGACTACGACTTACTGGCTATCAGAGCTTCGAGCTTTCCCGCCAGCGCTTAACTTGATGGTACTTCTCTACTCCGACGGCGGCAATACAAGCTGTGATTTTCTAACTTTAGAAGAGCTGGCAAGCGAGTCAATTGACTGGTGATGGCGATGGCGATGGCGACGGCGATGGTGGAAAATCCACGTGCCCATCTAAGAAGGCCTCGTTCATAACAAAGGGTCGAGTCGTCTCATCCCCTCTCAGGCTTTTTTTTTTTTTCGTCCTTCCTTCCTTTTTCTTTCTCTCTCTCTCTCTGTCCCCTCAATCAAGAAACCCGAAGACCAAAGAAGAAACTATGGAATTCCCTGAGCCTCATGTCCATCTGCCTCAGGATCCGCACACCCACACGGTCATCCTGCTCCATGGTCGCGGGAGCAATGGCCCCGAATTCGCCGAGGAGCTCTTCTCCTCCGTCACCTCCAAGAACCAAAACCTCGCTTCTTGTCTCCCCACCTGGCGCTGGGTCTTCCCGACCTCCCGTGATCGGTGGAGCACTACATTTCGGGAAGAGATGTGCTCCTGGTTCGACGCGTGCTCCTTGAGCGACATTCAGAAAGGACAGGATTTGCAAATTGACGGTCTAAGGGAGTCAGTCGCGCACATCTTACATATTCTGGAGAATGAAATTAAGATACTTGGCGGGAAGCCCAGCCATATCTATCTCGGGGGTATCAGCCTGGGAATGGCAACTGCTTTGTGGGCATTATTCTGTGCCACGGACCGAATCAACGGACCACTGGGTGGCTTTCTGGGCTTCTCTGGCTGGTTGCCGTTTGCCCATCAGGTGGAAGATTTGGTTCGGCAGCAGCCACAGGAAGCCAGTTCTCTCGGTGGCCCTAGTAAGATCCAGATACAACACTTGGCCTCTAATTTCTTCCTGGATACAATCGCCGGTCCCGAAAAGTCGCAGAGTAATAAGACCGTCAATACCTCTATCCTGTCGACTCCCGTGTTTTTAAGCCACGGAACCGATGACGCGTGGGTACCTGTGGAATTGGGTCGACAGGCATCTCAAGTCTTGCAACAAACCCTGATTCCTGTTGAATGGAACGAGTTTACTGGGGCGGAGGAAGAGGGCCATTGGATCAAGGAGCCCGAGGGGTTCGATCAAATTCTTCAGTTTCTTGAAAGGGCGTGACCCGATTGAATACATAGATCTGAGGTGAAGTAATTTACCTGTGGTAATCAATCATCTTTTCTACTGCCAACCGTGATTTTCCTTCTTACCCCACGTAGAGATAGATAAACAGCTATGAAAACATGAAACCTGAAGGGGGATGATATTCTCGGTTATCATTATCGTCATTTAACCCCTCGTCAAAATGCAGTTGTATGCCATTTCAAACTAGTCATCTCGTTAGCATTATCCCATATCTTCTTCTCCTGGAGATAAAACACTCACCTGTTCGTTCGTCTGGCATATCAACACCCTCGGCTCCCCTCTCGATATCTCCTTTACGGTTTCTCCCTCCTCCAGCTCTTTCTCATTCGCCTCGCCATCAATCGCAAACCCCAAACTCTGGCTCTTCTCTATCAATGTCTTCCTCAGCAATGCGCTCTTCTCGCCTATCCCACCCGCAAAAACAACCGCATCGACCTCGCCATTCAGCTTGACAAAGTAGCTCCCCAGATACCCCAGCATTCTGTCGACGATAATGTCAAACGCAAGCTTGTGTTCGCGTGATGGCGGGTTCTCGACGGCAATTTTGGCAAAGTCCGTCGTGCCAGTCAGCACTTTCCAGCCGGATTTCTTGTTGAGAATTTCCTCGGCCTGACTTCTTAGCATTGCTTGCTGTATAGGCTATAGCGTATAAGCTTACCGTGCTAATGTGCATCTCCTTGGTGCTGGCTGGACTCAGATTCCCCGCTTCATTGGTATAATGAAATACCAATCTAACCATTAGCCAGACTATATGCACACCATATCCCTTCGAGAACTCACGATGGATCAATATCCCCACTCCGCGTCGCCCCAGGCAGTCCAGCCAACGGCGTAAGTCCCATCCTACATACTAACGGTCAGCTCGCTAGACCCTCTTCCTTAAATGGCTCACATCACCCACGTGGTATCAATCGATTTCCCCTGCTTAATCGCACACATCGATGCACCGCTCCCAATATGCATGGCGATCACATTCGTCTTCTCCACCGGCTTGTGCAGGAACTCCGCGACGGACCGTACGATGAACGAGTAGCTGATGCCGTGGAAGCCGTACTTTCGTAGTCCATTCTGTCTGGCCACATCTTGGTTTATCGGGTATGTTCGTACGTAGTCGGGGAGGGTTTGGTGGAATGCGCTGTCGAAGTAGGTGATGCTTTTGACGTTGGGCAGATCCTGTCTGCAGGTGCGGATGATTTCTAGTGCCGAGAAATTGTGTCTATACCTTAGCAACAACTCTTCCCTGTAAAAAAATAGAGTGTATGGAGTACTCACAACGGCGCAAGATCCTCCAACTTCTTCAAATGATGATACGTCTCATCATTAATCTCCACCGCCTCGCTATAATCCCCCCCATGCACCACCCGATGGCATATATATGCGAGATCCTCGCTCCCCGCGACCTCAGAAAGCCTCGGATCGGTAAAGCAGCGCTTGAGCAGGAATTTAAACCCGTCTTGCGGCGTTTCTATCTTATCCTTGAGTTCTTCTTTATGCTGCGCGTCGCCTATAGTGTATTTCAGCGTTGGGGGTGGTGCTGTGAGGCCGGACACCTGGGCGTTGGCGAGTGTTCTGGGGGGGTTTTCGAGTGTGTAGAAGGTGATTTTGACGGATGAGGAGCCGGCGTTGACGGAGAGAATTGATTTGGTCATTTTGGATGAGTGAATTGCATTGATTGAATCAAGAGAAAATGGATTACCAGCTCTTACGGCATTTCTTGCGCATTTTAGCTGGCTGGCTGTGGGGGTGTTCGTTCGGTTGTCTTGATAACCTGTGATGTCAAGCCGATTGATTCATAGTGACGTCGATGATTTGGCTGCGACAAACTGGATATTACAACAATGAGTCCAGGATTATTTGAACCACTGTTCCTCTGCTTCTATTGATCTGTTATTATTTCAAATAATCCTTGTTTTTCTTTCATGTGTCGTTGAACAGCCATCTATCTTATTGTGGTTGTTATCCGTGATCCGAACTATATAATATCGCCAATTTAACTTCTCCGCTCATCATGCCTGGCGAGGTTATCGATCGGCCCAACCCTGAGGCTGAGCCATCGAATCTTCCTGATCTGCTTGATCAGTTGCAGGTCAAGGTAGAGCACAAGGCTTTGGATCAGGCGGCTTGTGATGCGTTGTATAAATTTCGCAGGGCGGCGTCGTACATTGCTGCGGGTGAGTCCACCGGCCTTGGAAACATTTATTTAAATACTGACCAGTCAGCGATGATTTTCTTGCAGGACAATGTGTATCTGAAGCGCGACTTGAAGCATGACGATATCAAGCCCAGATTACTCGGTAAGCATCATACCGCTGGTCATGTCATATTCGCATACTCATAAGCACAGGCCACTGGGGAACATGTCCCGGACTGATTCTGGTCTATTCCCATCTGAATTATTTAATCCGGACGCAGAACCTCAACATGCTCTACGTTGTTGGTCCCGGACACGGTGCCCCTGCCATTCTGGCTTCCTTGTGGCTGGAAGGATCCCTGGAGAGATTCTATCCGCATTATGCCCGGAGTGCCGACGGGCTTCATCGGTTGATTTCGACTTTTAGTACTACGGCGGGATTGCCGAGGTTGGTTTATTCTAGTGAACTGAATAGGTGAAGCAGAGCTGACGGATTAGTCATATCAATGCTGAGACCCCCGGTGCTATCCATGAAGGTGGAGAGTTGGGATATGCTTTGGCAGTGTCGTTTGGTGCTGTCATGGATAATCCTGACTTGATTGTCACTTGTGTGGTTGGCGATGGTGAAGCCGAGACTGGACCAACTGCCACGTAAGTCATGTCTTTTTCTACATACTACTCCTTTCTGACGAATCCAGGTCCTGGCACGGAATCAAGTATATCGACCCAGCGGAATCCGGAGCCGTCCTGCCAATTCTCCATGTAAACGGGTTCAAGATCAGCGAGCGAACCATTTTTGGCTGCATGGATAACAGGGAACTTACTGCGCTCTTTACTGGGTACGGATACCAGGTTCGCATCGTCGAAGACCTTCGCGATATCGATACAGACCTCCACAACTCCATGGCCTGGGCTGTGGCAGAGATCCAGAGAATTCAAAAAGCCGCTCGTTCTGGCAAGCCTGTCATGAAGCCCAGATGGCCGATGATTATCTTGCGGACGCCAAAGGTAGGAGCGCCCAGTCTTCGAGTTGATGACTATAACTAACATGCATAGGGATGGTCTGGACCCAAGCAGCTCCACGGACAGTTCATCGAAGGCTCGTTCCATTCACACCAAGTCCCTCTCCCCAAGGCCAAGTCGGACAAGGAAGAGCTCCGGGCTCTCCAAGACTGGTTGGCATCATACGAACCAGACAATCTTTTCACAGAATCCGGAGATGTCATTGACCAAGTCAAATCGGTGATCCCCTTGGATGACGAGAAAAAGCTTGGTCAACGCTTCGAAGCGTACAAAGGCTATGTCCCTCCTAAACTACCCGACTGGAAACAGTTTTGTGTCAAAAAGGGCGAGCAGGAGAGTGCGATGAAGGCTATTGGAAAACTGATCGACCAGTTTTTCGTAGATAATCCCCACTCTGTCCGTCTGTTCTCGCCGGATGAATTGGAAAGTAACAAGCTGGATGCTGCGCTCTCGCATACTGGCAGGAATTTCCAATGGGATCAGTTCTCCAATGCTAAAGGAGGCCGTGTCATTGAGGTTTTGAGTGAACATATGTGCCAGGGTTTCATCCAAGGCTATACCTTGACTGGCCGGGTGGGTATTTTCCCTTCGTATGAAAGTTTCCTTGGAATTGTCCACACCATGATGGTGCAATATGCCAAGTTCATGAAAATGGTATGGTTTTTCTTACCCAACCCACACTGCAGTGTTGACAAAACTAGGCCCAAGAAACAAAATGGCACGATGATGTCAGTAGTATCAACTACATCGAAACCAGCACATGGACCCGACAGGAGCACAACGGATTCTCCCACCAGAACCCCTCTTTCATCGGTTCGGTCCTCAAGTTGAAGCCGACGGCAGCCCGCGTGTACCTGCCACCTGATGCCAACACGTTCCTGACGACGGTGCATCACTGTCTGAAATCGAGAAACTACATCAACCTCATGGTAGGCTCGAAGCAACCGACCCCGGTGTACCTCACACCCGAAGAAGCAGAGAACCACTGCCGCGCAGGTGCCTCTGTCTGGCGCTTCTGTAGTACAGACGGCGGTCTCGACCCAGACGTGGTCTTGGTGGGTATCGGTGTCGAGGTGATGTTTGAAGTCATCTATGCAGCGGCGCTTCTGCGCAAACGCGCCCCTGAACTTCGCGTGCGGGTCATCAACGTGACGGACCTGATGATCCTTGAAAATGCAGGAGCCCACCCACATGCCCTGTCGACGGATGCGTTTGACGACCTGTTCACTAGCGACAAGCCTATCCACTTCAACTACCACGGCTATTCGACCGAGCTGGAAGGCTTGCTTTTCGGACGCCCTCGCTTGGATCGCGCGACAATCCAGGGATACATGGAAGAAGGTAGCACCACGACGCCTTTTGATATGATGTTGGTCAACCGGGTGTCACGATTCCACGTCGCACAGGCGGCTATCCGTGGAGCGGCCAAGCGGAACGAGCTGGTTAAGATTCGCCATCAGGAGTTGTATTCCGAATTGAGCCATGATATTGTCGAGACGCGGAAGTATATTCTCGCGAACCGAAAGGGTGAGTACTGCTGTTTCCCGTGATCGTTTCCGATGCTAATGCTGTCACAGATCCGGATGATATGTATGAGATGCCGAAATTCAATTAGCTTCCATGCAGCGGATGACATGAGTGATGGAAACGTATTAATAGTCTCGTTTTTAATTAATGAATGGATGTTTTCAACCAGTTTCCTTTTACCCTAGGGTTCTCACATCAGACCCAGCTTCCATGTAGGGACCGGATCGTTCTAGAAACGGCAGCTTGCAAATTAGGCACAAGGATGATGCTGGGTTGTAATGCAGAGCTTGGCTTCACGGTGCCTTGCTGTTGACTTTGACTTGATGAAGCGATGTGTAGAGTCAGAGATGCAGACGCGATGGAAAATGGGGAAGACAAGTAGGATGCCATATAACCTGAGGCATCAACACTAGACTAATTCGGAAACCCCCGAATGGCATGCATTATTTTCCGATTTTATGGAGATATTTTATCATTTTTGACGTGCATTTAACGACAGTAAAAATTAACATCGTTTAGCTGGAAGCCTCGAATGCATATTTATATCCATGATGACTGTGATGTATATCAATGCCAATATCACCGATGGCGTGGATTGTAGCAGTAGTGGCGATCAGGGTGTACTCCGTAGATCAGATCTGGACCTCATTATCAACAATTCATGATGATAATTCGTTTACTCCGTTATGTGTGATGGAGTGCAGAGTAGAATAGAGTATCTCATAGATAAATATGATCTATCACCATCTTAGGTACTTGTATGCTCATGTGAAGCTGAAGTGAAGTTATCCAAGATCATTGCCCCACGCTAAACCCAAACAGGCGAACCTTGCGACACAATTTTGGCCTCAGGAACGACAATCTCCAACGCAATTGAAACGAGATCCATTTTTGAGATTCTACCAATGGGCTCTTATTGGCTGGATATTCAGAAGCAGCAACGGTTGTCTCCGCCGGTTCCCGATCAGCCCGCCTGGATCAATTTTTTGTCTTCGCTTCCAGGAGGGATGGATATACTCGGTGGGCTGTTATATGGACGGCGACTGCAGCCTCTTGTCGCTCTTTTCTCTTTCTTTCTTTTTTCTCTTTTTCCTCTCTCTTCTTGGCTTCTTGGTTCTGTTTAAATAATCATCCTGATTTGCTTGGAATCCTCTTGGGCTCTTTGGGTTTAACGGTCTTTTTATTTGCCCTCAAAATAACCCATTTATGAGCCCAACCCACTCTTTTGGTCATTCCCAGATCCTCACATCTCGGTCTTCCCTGTTCTTGGTGTCTGCCTTGTGGAGGCCATTTCGCTCTTTAAATCATCTGTCTTTAATTTAACTCTTTAACCTACTCTCCTTGCTCTGCTCAATCTCTCCTTCATCACTCACTCACTGTGCTATCAACCAACTACCTCTTTCCCAAGCAACCTTAACAACCACCACCATGTCGAATACAAATACAGGGTCCGAGCAGGATCTCCAGGAGATGCTCAAAACCGGCTGTCACCCTTTTATCAATGGGCTGCATACCTCGTACGGATACGTCCCGTCGCTGGCGGCTGGTATCGTCTTCTGCGTGCTTTTCGGCCTCTCCATGCTCGTCCATCTCGTCCAAATGGTCTGGAAAAAGCAGTGGTGGTGCTGTGTTTTTAGCATCGGGTGTATGGGTATGTACTCTTCATCTCATCTTGTCCTATTCATATCGAGTACACAAAACTAACTATATCAATAGTGGAAGTACTAGGCTGGGCGGCCCGTACGTGGTCAGCAGAGTGTCCGTACAACGCGAATGCCTTCCTCATGCAGATTTCCACCTTGATCATCGGTATGAACCTCATCACATCCTCAGGTATCTCAGAAACTAAACAAGACAAGCCCCCACCTTCTTCACAGCCGGCATCTACGTCCTCCTGGGCCGCTTCATCCAAATCCTCGGCCGGGAATCCTCCTGCCTCAGCCCCAACCTCTACCTCTGGATCTTCTGCACCTGCGATGTCATCTCCCTCGTCGTCCAAGCCATCGGCGGTGGTATCGCCTCCGTCGCAGCAAACGCAGTCGACGGCGACACCGCGCCCGGAACCCACATCATGGTCGCCGGTATCGTCTTCCAGCTGGCCTCGATTACCGTATTTGTTCTGTGCGCGGCGGATTTCGTCCGTCGCACGCTTCGTCGCCGTCTCTTGCAGTCGTTGACGGGGACCGTTGTTCCGCTGCTGGGTGCGATGGTCTTCTCTGTGCTGTGTATCTATGTGCGGTCGATTTACCGAACTATCGAGTTGTCCGAGGGCTGGTCGGGTTATCTGATTACTACCGAGCGTTATTTTATTGCGTTGGACGGTGCTATGATGGTTGCCGCGGTGGTTGTCTTCAATGTTTTCCACCCTGGATGGTTGCTACCCAATGAGAAGAACTTGAACTTCCAGCGTGAGATCCCCTCGGCGGATGGTATGGAGATGGGTCGGTAATGTGTGTGCATCCTGACTATATCGCATATATGGCTTTATGTCTTGTCTTTTCTTTGTGTAAGATACCTCCAGCATTTTAGACTTGTTTGATTATAGTATACCTAATTTGCAATTCATTTCATCAATCTCAAGCACTTAGTACTAACTATTAATATGAAAGCTGAAATAAAGTCACAGAAGAAATTAATCAATACCAAAGCTCAATTACTCGAACACCAACTCGGAAACGCCAGAAACAAGCCAATCACCTTAACATCCATTTTTGCTATGCCGAACACCACGCATCTCCAACCCACGAGAATCAAAAGCTCAGAGTATTCCATGGCCATGGAAATTCAATCTTGTCAACGATTTTCCTTGTCTTCTGCCAATCAGTCACGATCATACACCATCAACAGCCTCGATCCATCCGAATGTGGCTCCAGTAATCAAGATTGCAGCAGCCCACATAAGACCCAACCGCGACGCACCCACGAAATCAACACCCTGCATCGTTCCGGCAACCTGAACAATAGTGTTGAGGTGCACCAGACTAGCCAGGTTGAAAGTCCGCGACAGCAGCACCCTTGACTTTCGCGACAATGATCCCCATGTCCTACGGTAGATAGCACAAGCAAGATACTCGCCATGTCGGTCCGCAGGCGACTCCTCAGGCTTGGTCTCAGGGATATTGGCCGCACCAGTGGAGCTCACGAACAAATAGTCTCGCGCCGCCCAGCCGGCAGGGAGAAGAGTCAAGAAGAGAACTGGTAGACCTGCGGGACCCGCATGGGCCACGCTGATATCTGGGATGTTTTCAAAATGCACCACGAGCCAGGCCGGCAGCCAGGTTGCATAGCTGGAGTACAGCACAACAGCGAAAATGGAAGTTGCCGCAACCGTGGTATAGATCGTGGTGGCGCGGTCGTCGAGGATGCTGCGGTTCGAGACTGTACCGGAAGGTGCATGAGAAAGATCGTGGACGGAGGTAGGCTGACGAAGAAGTACAAATGGAGCCGTGGTCGAAAAGAGGGTAATTGCATACGCAACCAAAATGGTTGTTGGTCGGATGCCGTAAAAGGAGGAGAGGAGGGAATAGGTGGGGAGATGAGTGAGGAAGAGGAAGGAAAACACGTCTCGCCCTGCCATTAAATCAGCTTTTTCTATCATATTTCTTTGCTGAGTTAATAGAGAACTCACCGTCAAAACCTAAAGTCCATGCTAGTCCAATTTCAATCGCCTTCCAGCCTATCAACCCTCCAACTTCCCACCATGCGTCGAGATGCTTGCTCACCCCGCCCAACTCACCCAGGGTGATTCCAGAAGTAAGGCTGAAAAGCGTCGAGCTCAGGGTCAAACTGATGAAGACGACGAGAAGATATCTCACAAAAGAGGGAATGCGCGCCAATCGTGAGGCCCGCACCTGCGGGGGTGTGGTCGGTTGTACCTCCGCAGAGGGTTTATCAGATTGCGAAGCTGCTGTCGCGCCGTTCTTCTTGCGAGGCATAGTTACAATGTTTCGTATTCTCTGAAGAGTAAAGTTTCACGGAAGCCTTTGACGAAAGAAAATAAAGCTGTTTGGCGTTGGTTAGGAAGGATCAAGAAAAAGTTGGAGGAGAAAAGACTCCAGGAAGGCGTGCGAGCGGTGAGCATGTGATGATGTCACTCGTGTGTCGCCTTGACTCCGACGTAGCCGGATTTTGATGCTGAACAAAAGGCCTTGGAAGTGGAACTCCATGATTTTGTATGGTGATGATGATGTAGATGTCTCGAATGTTATTTATTGGTCTATTTATGTGTAATATAAGCAGTGAACCACCCAGATCCAAGATTGATAGTACAAACAGTATACAGATATCAAAACAGCCAGAGATATATAGACAAGTATATCTTTTACGAACCAGCTTCCTCATAGCTGATTCAATCGTCTTTCTCATCTCCATTCTCCTGCTCCATCACGGAGAACTCAATAGTACCATTCTCACGGCCCCTGGGGTCTTGCAGAGCGATCTTATACTTGCCCTGGTTCCAGAGATCCTTGATTGTAAGCTCGCGGGTACGGCCCAAGCTCTCAATGTCTCCGATACGCTCAAGAGTACCCTCGAGATGCTTGTCGAAGCCAGGGATTTTACAGATTTCTCGAAATGCATTCTGCATAGGCACAGAATCTGCTCGGACCATCGCACGAGAGTCAATGGTAAAGATGTTCTCGTGATCGTAAGATTGAATAAAGTCGGCTCTTGTCATGATCTCTCGGGCTTTGTGGAGAGGGATCTGTGGGAGTATATGGCCTCTCTCCGGATGAAAGATTTCCATCTCGTCCTCAAGATCCACGAGGGCCTTGGCCAGGACCATTGCAGCGGACTATCGTCATGTTAATATAAAATAGGGACTAATACTTTTGCATGGTATGCTTACAGAATACTTTTGCTCATCCATCACATCGTCATCCATCTCAGGCCCAAGAATCCAACACTTGTTCAAAAACCATGTCTTTTCGGCCTGGCAGATAGTGTCGCAGAGATTTAAACAATTTTCGGCTTTGGCGACTCTATTCAGGTAAGACAACCGCCCGCCCACTTTTTTGTAGATTTCATCGAGGATATCAGATGAGAGCTCCTCGTTGAAATACTGCTGACGGTAGTTTCTCAGGGCTGCGATCGCCTTGTCCTTGGGAAGATCTGTGACAGGAATGACTTCCATTCTTGTCGCGTACCGCTTCAAACGTTCGTATACCCAGTAATCGTCGCTGTTCAGGACTGAAGTTGAGACCAAGTCAGTGATTCCATATAACAGACGAGTCCGGTGCCATTGACAGCGGAATGTCAAAGCTTACCTGTTGTCACCAAACCGCTAGCTGCCCACTGCTCTGCTCGTTGCTGAATCATTTCAAGAAGATCCTGGCCGTCATGGTCGTCTCTGACCAAGTGTGTGCTGTTCATGATCAGCACCAACGGCGATTTGCCGCTGCGTCTTCTGTTCAGAGCAACCTTCTCCAGCTTGTTGAAGGCACGTTCAATATCTAAAAGAGGAGTGGTATCCCGAGGACCCCGGATGCTGAAGAGACTGCCAATATAACTGTACAGTTCGGTTAGAATATCTGTGTAATGTCAGAGGGGGAGTACCTACTCTTCGTGAAATTCAAAATCCAAAGCCTTGCCCAGTCTGATCCGGAAAATCTCGAGATCAGCGTGTGCTTCAAACATGGCAATTCCTTCTCCGTTGATCTTGCGCATGGCTTCAAGAAGCATGGAGGTCTTTCCGGTGCCCTTTTCGCCAACCATCAGGTAGTAATGACCGGCGACTTGTCCTGAAATGATACGGTCGATCCTGGCTTGCTCATCGCGAGTGACCCAATGCTCGTGGTGGTGGTACTGGTGTTTGCCAGCCTCCACACCAGCCAGCTCTAGTGCTGGATCGCCAGGGGTGAAGGCATTTTCCATTTTATCCAATATCAGCCATTTGTAGTACCGATGGTACGAGTACCCAGCTGCACTGTTATTTTGTCAGCATGGTCCATCAATTCGCTACATATAACCCTACCCTAGAATTACAATCGAAGCAAAGGTGGTGGCAGCGGATTCAAACATCTTCAAGACGGTGGATTTCAGACTGTGCTCTGACTCGCCTTGACCCCTACCCTCATCTCCGCCATTCTGATCCGTTGGATCGGGAGAAGCCTGGGGAGATGGATCCTGCGAGAAGAAACGCGAGGGTTGATAAGGATAACGATATTGGGGAATGGCCCGATTGATTCTGGCTTGCCGGGATAATCCCAGTCGCGCATATGAGACGAGGGATCGCTGAAGATTTCGATTCAGCGGCATTTTTGTTTCTTTTTTTGATGATCCTCTATCCACCAAAATGCAAACAAGAAATCAAGAAGAATCAGATGAAATGAGTGGCTAGTGAAGAAATAAATGAATGGATGGAGTGGGTGGCTCCAGGGCTGATGTAGCGGTGGAGGGTGACGCGGTGGCTGTGTCGACCGATATAGGAATAGAAAAAGAAACAGATCACACTAAGGATAAAATGTCTAGTACAATTGTGAAAACGAGTGTGGAAAAGAAAAATTGGACTGAAAAGAAAGACTGAGAAAAAAGTCGGTGGACAGCTGGACAGTGAGGTGGATGAGAGACGATGTATCTGGCTGTTGTTGGTTGGTTTCTTTGCGGCCCCAGATCTCAGGACGCGTAGATCGGCTTGGCGATGGAAGAAGAAGATGAAGCAATGAAACGGTGATGGTTACAGGGGTGTCAGCAGCCAAGTTGTGCTTAAGATGATGCTGATGCTGTGCTAGTTTAATGTATGCCAATATTATATAGAGTATGTAGAGTAGAGTAGATGCTATGATTGAGATGGCAATATATCAAGGAGTGGTTGCACTGGTCGAATGCTATTAGGTAAAACAGTTGGAGAATGAAGAAAGAATTGAAGAACAATTGACAAATGGCTTGTTTATAATTGACAATTCTTCTATCCGAATACTCCATAGTCCATAGAGGCTATTATCTGTAGATCTGGATAGCTTGTGGCTTGTGCCTTGAGGATAGCATAGTACAGCCCTGCCATACTCGACAGTACGACAAATACTACAACAATCTTTCTATCTGCTAACCTGCTAACCTGCTAATATGTTATAATAAAAAATGATAATAAAACAACAACTCATCTCTTCCATACCACCGAGTCATCGACACCCTGTCGCTGCATCTGTGTGGAGAAATCTCTTCCAACCCGCTGGCAAAATGCCGCCCGAGCACTTCCGAGGGTATTCCGCGGCCGCGAAATTTTCTCTTCTTTGCCCGGCTTCCCCGTGTACTTTCTCCAGCTTCACTTTCTGCCCTCCTCAATCTCCCATCTTCTCTTCATCCTATTCTTAATTGTCTTTTGGCTTTGATCACAGTCTGGGGTACGGGGTTTGTTTTTGTTTCGTCAATTGCCCTCGTCCTTGTATCATATTTTCTTCCTTTCCTTTCTCACCCCACGGTGTCTTCTTATTTTATTTTACTTTTTTCTCCGTTGGATTCTCCGGACAAAGCTGTCGTGAGGCAGCTCTTCTCCACTTTGTCGTCTTTTTAATCCTTCCTTTATAACTTTCACTTCCGATATAATGGCGCAAACCAATGGGGATTTGGAGCACTCGAAAGGTCCGTTGTTGCTTTGCTGTTCTTCTTGTTTTTCCGTGTCGTCACTTGCTCGTGTGGCCCTGGGGTCTCGGGAAACCAACCATCCACGAACGAAAGGAACCCAATGCTAATTAGAGCAGAGACTCCTCAAGAACAGGTTGCGAATGGAACTCACCCCGAGGGTGAGCTCGAAGAGGAAGCCAATGGAGGTATGTCGAGGTCATCCAGTTTTGTGTGTTGTGGGCTGAACTGATGTGAAACCATCAAGGTCTCTTCCAGATCACCGTCAAGCTTCCTCACGAGCCTAAAAAGATCCAAGTGATGGTGGGTAATATTCTATGGACACAAACGACAACATAAATCTTTGATTTTAATTGTTCTTCGCATGATTAGGTGTCGAGTCAAGAGCAAGTCCAGGATGTTCGCCAATCTATTGTCGAGCTTCCCGGTACCTTCCAATACACTTGCTTCCACTTGGAGTTCAATGGTAGCCGCATCAATGACTTCGTTGAGCTGTCCGAGGTTCCAGACTTGAAGGCAGACTCGGAAATTGTTCTCGTCGAGGACCCTTACACCGAGAAGGAGGCCCGCATGCATGTGGTCCGAATGAGGGAGTTGCTCGGTGCCGCCGGCGACCGAGTTGACAACCTCTACGGTATCAGCTCAGGCTTGTCCCTGCACGATGCCCTCGCTGCGGAAGCCGCTGCTGGTGAGGGTGGCTCGGACAAGGAGCACTCGCTGTCGAAATATGAGATTGCTGGCTCCTCATCTCTGCAGACCATCCTTCCCAAAGCAGAGGCTCCTCTTCCTAAGACCGTCAAGTCTATCTCGTTATCCCCATGGAACCCCGCTCCCTACCACCTCCGACAGAAGGGTCACTTGCTGTACCTCCAAGTCACTACCAACGAAGGCGAGCACTTCCAGATCACCTCGCACGTCTCCGGTTTCTACGTGAACAAGTGCTCGAATATGAAGTTCGACCCGTTCCCGAAGACCATTCCCAAGTGTGGTAGCGCTCACTCGCTGCTCACCTTGATCTCCAAATTGTCGCCCTCCTTCAACTCCGCATTCGAAGCCCTGCAGGAGTCCAACAACCAGAAAGACCTTCTGACCACCTTCCCCTTCCAGAACGCCATTCCTAACAGCCCGTGGCTGGTCTCCCCTCCTTCCACCAACGTCAATGCCCATCAGCCCGACATCACCCGTTCTCAGGAGAACTACCTGATCTCTGGCGTTGACAATGCGGAGACCCTGCGCGATTGGAACGAGGAATTCCAGACTACCCGCGAGCTGCCTCGCGAAACTGTTCAGGACCGTGTTTTCAGAGAGCGCTTGACCAATAAGCTGTTTGCTGATTACAACGAGGCTGCTGCCCGTGGTGCCGTCTTGGTCGCACGCGGTGAGGTCGCACCTCTGAACCCCACGGAGGACCGTGACGCTCAGATCTTCGTGTACAACAACATCTTCTACTCCTTCGGTGCCGATGGAGTCGGTACTTTCACTACCGAGGGTGGCGATGAGGCCGCTCGCGTGGCCGTCGGCAAGGACGTTCTGGGAATTAAGGCTGTGAACCAGCTGGATATCAACGGCCTGTTTACTCCCGGAACTGTTGTCGTCGACTACCTCGGCAAGCGTATCGTTGGCCAGAGTATCGTGCCCGGCATCTTCAAGCAGCGTGAGCCCGGTGAGCACCAAATCGACTACGGTGGTGTTGAAGGCAAGGAGGTGGTCGCAACCCACCCCGATTTCGCTCCCGTTTTCGAGAAGCTTTCCAAGGCCCTTCGCATCAAGAGCCACCCTGTCTGGGACAAGGATGGCAAGCGTCATGACCTCGAAGGTAGCGTTGAGACAAAGGGTCTGCTGGGTACCGATGGCCGTAAGTACGTTCTGGACCTGTACCGCGTGACTCCTCTCGATGTTATGTGGCAGGAGGAAGAAGGTAGCGATGTCTACCCTCACCGTATGTCGATCTTGAGACTGGAGCTTGTCGAGGCCTACTGGAGACACAAGATGAGCCAGTATGTCAAGACTGAGGTCGAGAGCCGCCGCGCCGCCAAGGCTGAGAAAGAGGCCGCTCAGGAGAAGACTGGCGATGCCGAATCGAAGGAGGAGGGCTCCGAAGAGAAGAAAGAAGAGGCCCAGGATCAGGAGCGTGTTGACATCTCCGGATTCCAGCTTTCCCTCAACCCCGATGTCTGCAGTGGCCAGGTTCCCCAGACCGATGAGGAGAAGGCACAGTGGGCCAGTGACGAGAAGGAAGTCCGTGAGACTTGTGACTTCTTGCGGTCCAAGGTTATGCCTGAACTGATTCAGGACCTCCATGATGGAGATGTTGGCTTCCCTATGGACGGCCAGTCTCTGAGCCAACTCCTGCACAAGCGCGGTATCAACATCCGTTACCTTGGTAAGCTGGCTCACCTGTCGAAGGAGAAGGGTGCTCGCCTTGCCGCACTGTCGACCATCGTGGTCCAGGAGATGATTGCTCGTTCCTTCAAGCACATTGCCAACCAGTACCTCCGCAACGTGCCTGCACCTTTTGTTTCGTCTGCTGTGTCTCACTTGCTGAACTGCTTGCTGGGTACCGATGTCAACTCGAGCCCCCGCGCAGAGATTGATGCTTCTTTGCGGAAGATCTACCCCGAGGGCGACTTCTCTTTCGAGAAGGTCACCCCTGCTACTCTCAGGGCCGAGATCGAGAAGCAGGTCACCATCAGATACCGCTTCACTTTGGAGTCCGAATGGTTCAACTCCCTGAGACATCTGCAGCTCCTCCGTGACATCTCTATCAAGCTTGGTCTTCAGTTGGGTGCCCGTGACTTTGCCTTCACCAAGGATCAGCTGCCCGCCAAGCCGCCAACTCCTGTGGCCAACGGCTCCGGCAACGAGGATGGAAAGAAGAAGGGCAACAAGAAGAAGGGTGGTGACAAGTCTCCAACCCGCGCTGCAGCTGAAGAGAAACCCAGCGTTTCTTTTGTTCCCGATGACATCCTCAACATTGTGCCTCTCGTCAAGGATGCTTCGCCCAGAAGCTCCCTTGCCGAGGAGGCCTTGGAAGCCGGACGGATCTCCCTCATGCAGAACCAGAAGCAGCTTGGTCAGGAACTCATCCTCGAGTCTTTGTCTCTGCACGAGCAGATCTATGGTATCCTGCACCCCGAGGTTGCCAAGCTCTACCACCAATTGTCCATGCTTTACTACCAGACCGACGAGAAGGAAGCCGCCGTGGAGCTGGCCCGTAAGGCTGTCATTGTCACTGAGCGCACTCTGGGTGTCGACTCGGCCGACACCATTCTGAGCTACCTTAACCTCAGTCTTTTCGAGCACGCCTCCGGCAACACCAAGACTGCTCTGGCCTACGTGAAACACGCGATGGATCTGTGGAAGGTCATCTATGGATCTAACCACCCCGATTCCATCACCACCATGAACAACGCCGCCGTGATGCTGCAGCACCTCAAGCAATACTCCGACTCCCGGAAGTGGTTTGAGGCTTCTCTCGTCATTTGCCAGGACCTCTTTGGCGAGCAGTCCATCAACACTGCGACCATCCTGTTCCAGCTCGCGCAGGCACTTGCTCTGGACCAGGACTCCAAGGCTGCCGTTGGCAAGATGCGTGAGGCTTACAACATCTTCCTCAGCCAGCTGGGACCCAACGACCGTAACACCAAGGAAGCCGAAACCTGGCTTGAACAGCTCACCCAGAACGCTGTCTCCATTGCGAAGCACGCCAAGGACATCCAGGCTCGCCGCCTGCGCCGTGTCAACATGAACCCTCGCGTGTCGTCCATTGGTACCAAGGTCCAACCCTCGGTCGGACAGGCTGTACCTGAGGCTTCTAGCGCCAAGGCGGGCTCCTCTCTGGACTCGCGAAACATCGATGAACTGCTGAAGTTCATCGAGGGCACTGACGCCAGCTCTTCGCGAACGAAGCAGAAGAAGCGCGCCGCGGCAAGCAACCCCAAACTCCGGGGCTCGAAGAAGTCTTCCGCCTAAGGGCTGATTAATGTTTGATGATATTCTTCTTTTAAAAAATGATTTGGTGGTGCTTTTCTTGGGTTCACTTTGTCTTAACAGTAAAATACTATATTCAGTCACGATTTATTCTGGGGATCGGTATGACCGGTGGGTGAGCGGGTCATCTGTACTGTACACATCTCTCTACTCCTTAGCCATTTGGCGCTTTTGACTCTTTATGTTGGCATTTATTGTTTATGGTGGGCAGTGCATAGCAAGGTCGGGTGATTTTTATTCGGAACTTAGGTATGCTCGGTGTACTATATATGACTGGCGGATATCTAGACATGCATCTATAATGAGACTATGCACTCCATGAACGAATAATTTTATTTAAAAATACTTTATCTTGTATCTAGTAGTAGAATGACGGCTTTATAAAAACGCTTGAAGTCGAGAATACCTTAATCCTCAATAGCATCAAGTCCAGTGCGGCGAAGACGCTTTACCGCTTTGGGCCAACCCGACCTGATGTTTACATTATTTGTTGCGCCGCCAAACAAACATCACGTTTATCATTCAGACAACGCCTGTATCTTATGGCTTATTGCCGCCATTTCATTTTACTCTTGATTATTTCAATTGCATGATATAGGCAGGAAGCATAGATTTGCTTTTATATACGAACCACTGAGCTCTAGACATAATACATGAGTCAAAAAGTGTCGAGGGGCCCTTGGCGAGATTAAAGATGGGTCAAAGGTGAACCCCAGTCGCCTAATAAACCTGGTAAGCAAATGCTATCCCTAAGGAATGGCAATCTGGATCGGCGACTGACTCAAATATCTTCACAGTATGTTATTAAAATAGCGTTTACCCAACATGGAAGATATACGACCGACCGCGAAATGGGCAAATCGCATGCTACGCCCCTTAGCCTCGATTTACCGCCGGCTAGAAAAACACCAGGAGACATTATCGATAGTCACGAATTCGAAACCCAAGGAAAAGCTAGAAGGATGCGACGCGGAGACAACGCGAGTGTCGACGGCAAGCGAGGCGGAAGAAAGCTTTTCGTTCTCGGACGGCGAACCTGACGATCCTGCCTGGGTACCTGGGAAGACGGTGAAACGACGAATTCGACACAAATATTCGAGCCGGGCGGAGGTGAGCAAGGGGACCAGAAAACGCAGCAGATTATCGCTTCGCAGTCCGGAATTGCAAAAGACATTACCTGGTGCAATCGAGATCGCGACGCCTTTGATTACGGGGAAAACACGGGGACTGTTTGAGCGAACATCTGCGCGAAAACAGTTATTCAAGAATGATTTATCCTCTACAAGTAACGCTGGACCTAGCGATGGGCGGAGGCCAGGACGGCCGAACAATACCAGTTATCCTGCGTATAGAGGGTCTTGGAAAGAAGCGCTTGACTTATCTGGGGATACCCGGTTCGCGGATATTGCACATGTTCTCGATCGCATATTTATCAGGTTCCTGAACAGTACTCGGGTTCCTGATGGCAAGACACCAAAGGTTCGGGGGGCTCGATCGTTGTTATCCATGGCTACACGTTGTCTACCGGAATTTATCGCGGAGGAGCAAAGAGAACAGGATGAGTCGGAGGAGGTTGCGGATGTCGATATGTGCGACGCGTATTTTACGGAATTAGAGACGCATTATGCTCCTCATGGCAATGGATGGCAACCACTCCGGGAAGCTGTACGTGCCCAAGGTATCCATCTTGTCTCGGAGATGTTGGTGGAAAAATGGGTCTCTCAGCTGGCCGGATGTCGACTGCTGTACGAGCTCTTATCACAAGGCGAACATGGCGCTTTTGAGTCGATATTATCAAGGTTTTTATCTACTATCAACACATACGACTATCCAACCTCATTCGACCCTCCCCGACCAGCAAGCTACCAAGATCCAGTACAATTACTCAATCACTATTACTTGCGGTTTCCGCTGCGCCGATCCTTTGTCTTCGATGAACTGGCCAAGCTCCTTCTCCGCAAAGCCTTTGCTCCGGAATGGATGGTGACTAATATGTGGAAGCACTATGTGGATGGAGCAATCAATTCATTGTCTGCAGATGACGACGAGTCAGCTGCTGCAACCCGGCTGATCGAAGCTGTCATACTTTCGGCTGGCAATATCTCGCCCTCCATGGATGCAAGTGCGAATCTTGTGAGCCGGGGCGGGGTACGTCCTGCCCGTGGGAGAGACACTCGTACGGCTGCAATGAGCATACCTGGTCTGCCCCAGGATCAGTCGCCATGTCCCATTCCCATCCAGGATGCTCTAAGCAATCTGACACTAAGTCTTATCACGGCACTGGGTGGGATGCACATTTCACGGTCCCAAACCGCGGCAGCCGAAGAGAGAATTGCTAGCATGAAAGTAAGAAACATTGTTAGTTATTTGGCTTTCACCGTGCAGCGGGAGATTGATATCAGGGCACCATCATGCAAGGCTAATGTGCCAACCTACCAATCGCTGCGGCACGGCAGCGTCCTGCTGAGCAACTATCTCCTGCAATGCAACGAAGAGGGTCTCGCGCAGACGGTTGGCCAATCCGACTCCATTTCAACTAATGTCGAGTCATTTTTTGAGTCGTTATCTGATCGGGCAGATGTGATCAAGGAATTGGCGGTATTGGCCCAACAGGTATTTCGCTGCTGCGAGCGGGGCCAGAAGCGTGACCAAACGTACACGTCGCTGCAGGTTCGCAACAAGGTCAGCCAGCTCGCGCAATTAAGCATTGCCGGAGGATTGGGCATGTTTCTCGGAAAAGTGGCCACCGAAACCGCAATGGGGTTTGCGGAGACAACAGCGGACCCTGATGACCACGTCTGGGCTGTGGAGATTCAAGAAAGGGTAGTCTCATCTCAGCGCGAGCAAGAGTCAGAAGGCCCTGCGGTGCATGAACAACACCATTCAGATGGCCCATCTGGTCTGTATCGGTGGGAAGACAGTATTGGCGAGTGGGTTCAGAGGACCCCTGGCTCCAAAGCCAAGGCCACGGGGTTTGAAATTGGTTCAAGACAACTGGGTTCTAGGCCGTCGATACCATCTACTATTGCTTGCTCGACGAATAGTAGCCCGTCGACATCGGCCCCGTCTGAAGACTCCGCCTCCAGCATTGCTTCGTCTCCTCCAACCGTTCCTATCAAACGAACGCTGCCAGATAGGAGGTCAGCGCCAAGGTCGAGTAAACGACTTCGGTTGGGTCCAGTGGAGGTGTACACCGATGGAGCTGATTCACCCCACGACTCAGCTTCACCGACATCTAATCAGTTGCCCAAGTGGAATTCCACAGCAACAGCGGCCAAGAGCCGCCCAAGACGGGGCGTGTTGAGGGAATTGACTCAGGCCAAGAATAAGCCACCCCAGGTGATTGATAACGGAGCAAAGTCTACGACGTATGCAAGTAAGGTTCAGGTTGTGATCTTCAACAAAGCGGCTCAGGACACGGTTGAAGACGTGCAGAGAGGTAATCCCCAGCCGAATGAATCCCCGGAGGCGTGCATATCTGTAGATCAGAGAAAGACAGAGCTTCCCCGGAGCTGGACGGTCCCAGCGCCTCGACAACGGATGGTGATTCCGTGCTCGGAGGATAGCGACGACGAGCTAAGTTTCCTGTGAGCGACAGCGATTGGAGAATCAGCAGCTCAATCGCTTGGTGTTGTCTGTTTTGGGAAACGGGTCTGGAGCATCGGAGCATGCGAGGGCAATTTTTGACATATTTTTGAATTCTTATTATTAATTCTGGTATCTCTTTTTCTTGGGTGTCTGGAAAGCCGCGTGGGAGTTGGAACAGTTTACAATTTTGGTGTTTTGCATGACTTTTTTTGTGTGGTTTAATGATGATACCCGAGTTGGATCGACACCGCAAATTACTTTCTGGATGGTAGTTTGGTTCTGCGTGGGGTGTTTGAGAGCTTGAATTACTTGATATTTGCATATGAAGATAGGACTGGATGGTGGGATACTAAGCTTTTGGCGGTGGTTGCTTTTTCCGACCCTCGCTTGGGGGCGATCTTGAAGCCAACCAAGAGTGGATATAGAATCCCACTCGACACCGAAGAGCAATGATGATCACTCCATACAGTTTGTGGATAGCGTGCTAAATGAATAGTTGAGACTAGTGAGTAGAGACTCGGAGAATAATCGAAATAGAAAGTATCCAATGGCTCAGAATAGAAAGAAGATTAGAAAGAATGGACTAAGCTGAGAGAGCGGAGGGAGTTTCAGCTGGCGCGATGGAAGAGTCAGAGATAAGAAGGCGAGAGGAGTAAGAGGGGGTAATGAAGGAGTCGATTGTAACCAGGATAGCAAGACATCTCACCTCAGAGAGAATGAAATCATCTAAATCTATCTAAATCTATATCTTTTACGGTAGGTGTATACCTAGGCTGTATGGTTATACTGTATGGTGTATGTATGGGGCTTCTTGGTTAATATCTGTCACTGTTTCAGCTTGAGAGCGACTAGATTAAAAATTCTCCGTCCGACACGGAAAAAGGAATTAATATTAGCCATTCTATTGATATCGATCGGGCGTGACTGCCTGTTTTATTTTCTCCGATTCAGCGATTATTGATTGATGCTGTTCTATTTGTATCTCGTCGTCTTCATATTCGTCTGCCTGTGGCGGTGATGCTTAGTCATTCAGGGGTAATTGAACCGTGGAACTCTTCTGTATGGATGCGGAGATATACAGTCAACAACATAACAGAGTGTGAGAGTAACAGTAATCATCCAAGTAATCGTATCAGAATATATCAATATAATATCATACGGAGTGGTCAGTAGAGTAATATCAATGTGAGATGAGCAGAATATTACACATCTTCAGCTGTGGCGAATCACCGCCGATCGCTGTCCTCTCCCACTCCATCGCCAACCTCCGCTGCACCCGCCCAGCTCCATCTGCACGGCTTCATCATTGCCCCAATTGGCCTGTTCCTGCACGCCCTCAAACACGCCAAGGCGCGAAGATCTCGTCGCTGCTGCTGTTTCACCCCTGGCTCTGCTCTCGTCCAGCCGCCAGCACCTGCAGCAGGGATAGCCTCCATCGTCATTCATCAATCAGACTGCAATCAGCATCAGGTTCACCGTCTGATCTGTCCATCCTGGTGGATATTTCCTAGCGGCATCGATTCTGGATGACAGCGCCCAAGACATCCGGTCTTTTCATTCCTTCTCGTCCATCTTTTAGTGTCTAAAACCCCACGCCTTCTCTCTCATTCTTTTTTCCTCTTGTCATTCTCGTGTTTTTCCTTTTCTTCTTCTTGGGGCTTCTGGCAAGACCATCACGCGTTTCTCTTTTTTCCCTATTCACTCTCCCTTCCCCCCTCTGTCCTTCTCTTCTTATTTATTTATTTCATTCGTTTCGAGACATTGGAAGTGGAACCTGTTCTTCATTGGGCTTTTTTTCTTCTTCAAACTTGACTCAGAGAACTGGCTGCATTCCTTTCGTTGCCCGTCCTCAAATCCCATCTCCAGGTCGCCCTCATTCTTCACTTGCCCCTCCACCACATCCCATTCCGATCGTCTCTCTGGCTTTGGTCCATTCAAAGCCTTTGTTTGGGTTTGCTTTCGTTGTTCGACTAGAAAGCCTTTTTGTCTGCCCATCTGTCCCTGCTCAGGTCTGATCGATCGACACTCTGCAGTCAGAACACTAGGTACATTCACCCATTGACGATCAACACTTTCCTTTTTTTTTGCTTTCCCTCTGACAGTTTCCCAGCCTGAACTGTTCTCTATCCTTATCTTTACGTGTGGTTAGTCCGCACAAAGTCATCAGGAAAGACAATTCAGCCACAGGTCGATCTGAGATCCTTGCGGCCTTTCTGTCTTGCTTCCTATCCCTATCCTGCAGAGCTGGTCTCGCACAAAACAACAACACAAAAACAACATCTTCCTCCTTCACTTCATACTCCCGGTACATCATGCTTTCGCTATTCTTTCTCGGTTTGTCCCTGGCTGGGCAGTCATCGGCAGCGGAACTCCAAAAGCGCTGGGGTGATAATACCTACTATGAAATCCTCAATGATGACCTCGCTCGAATCACCCTGCTCGTCCTCGGTATGATGGCTGCGTTCATGTATGTGTGGAAACTGGGCTTTCGCTTTTCGGATCATCTTCGACGGCTCGCAAGTTTCAACAGTGAACAACGATACTTTGTTACTCCCAATGCCACTTTTGCCAAAGTGAAGAACCACCTGATCTATGCGGCCTTGTTTCGCACCCGTCACAACCGTGAATTTCAGCTGTCGAGTGCTATCAACATGGGTACCTTGCCTAGTCGTTTCCATGGTCTCCTCATTTTTGGCATCGTTGTCATGAACATCGTCCTCTGTGTCGTGACCGTTCCATACAAGAAGGATGAGCAGACTGTCTCGGGCATCATCCGGAACCGTACCGGTACCATGGCCACCGTCAACTTGATTCCTCTGGTTCTCATGGCCGGACGCAACAACCCCTTGATCACCCTCCTCCAGGTTCCCTTTGATACTTGGAACTTGCTCCACCGCTGGCTCGGCCGTATCGTGGTTCTCGAGTCCCTCGCTCACATCTTTGCCTTTGTGCTTCCTGAGGCTTGGGAAGCCGGTTGGACCGTCGTTGGCATGATGTTTAAGCCCGGCAGCATGTTCATGCTGAGTGGTTTGATTGTAAGTCGCTATACCCAGGTGCCTATTAAGATTTTTACTCACATTTATAGGCTGGCTGTGCCTTTACCGGTCTCATGCTGCACTCCCCCTCGCCAATCCGTCACGCCTTCTACGAGACCTTCCTTCACCTGCACATTGCCATGGTCGTGATTGCCTTTGCCTTCCTCTGGGTTCACCTGAACGGCCACATCGCACAGAAATTCTTGCTTGGTAGTATCGTCTTTTGGGCGTTCGAGGTGCGTACTATTACTCCTTTCTCTTCTAACCAGAGGCTAATAAACTTATAGCGAGCCATGCGACTTGGCATGCTTCTGTACCGCAACGTTGACAGAAAGTGCACAAAGGCTGTTGTCGAGGCTATGCCCGGAGACGCTATGAGAATCACCTTGAGCCTCGCCAGACCCTGGACCTTCAAGCCCGGTCAGCACATCTACCTTTACATCCCCGCAGTCGGATGGTGGTCCTCGCACCCGTTCTCCGTTGGCTGGAGCGACTCCGAAGAACAGATCACCGATGAGAAGGGCATCCCTATGACCCGCCAAGAGGTTGCTAGCCTCCAAAAGACAACCCTCTCTCTCCTCGTCCGCCGCCGTACAGGCTTTACCGACAAGCTGTTCCAGCGGGCCCAGAACTCGCCTGACTCTCGTGTCACTTTGAGGGCTTTCGCCGAGGGACCTTATGGAAGCATCCACTCCATGGACTCGTACGGTACTGTTCTTCTTTTCGCCGGTGGTGTCGGTATCACCCACCACGTCCCATTCGTCCGCCACTTGGTCAAGGGCTACGCAGAGGGCACTGTTGCCGCTCGCCGTATCACATTGGTTTGGATCATTCAATCTCCCGAACACCTGGAATGGATCCGCCCCTGGATGACCAGCATCCTGGCCATGGACCGCCGCCGAGAAGTTCTGCGAATCATGCTCTTCATCACCCGACCCCGCAACACCAAAGAAATCCAAAGCCCAAGTGCCACCGTGCAAATGTTCCCCGGCCGACCCAACGTCGACACACTCGTCGGCATGGAGGTCGAGAACCAAGTCGGCGCAATGGGTGTGCTCGTCTGTGGTAACGGTGGTCTGAGTGATGACGTCCGCCGGACCTGCCGTAAGAGGCAAAACGAGACACATGTTGACTATATCGAAGAGAGTTTCTCCTGGTAAAAAAAAAACACAAACAGAAACAGAAACAAAACAAAAAAAAAAAAAGGAATACCCAGTCTCATGTACCCCCATGTCATTTCCTCTCTTTTTTTTATACCATACCTTCTTTGTTCATAGTTCGTCATGATGCTGTCTCTAGCTTTCGAGTTTTTCTTGCCATTTACGACTGATCGGGTAAATAGCCATGATCCATTTATATTTGCATCCATCTTTATTTGTGCTATCTTATATTATAGCATATGCGGTCATGTTTTTTTCTCTTCTCTATACCATCTTTCAGCTTCGGCTGGCTTTTTATGAGTACATTTTTAACATTGAATTGGAGGTGATCCATATGTCTTGCAACTAGTGTTTTTTCTGCGTAAACTATCGTATGCTAAGGCTGAAGGTCTCAGATTCTGCTGTAATTGTAAACAATCCTTGGCTTCTTGTTCTTCTGACTGGCACACCGACTCCTGGTAAAATGGGGAATAGGTCTTGTTTTCAAAGTGACAACGTGACTTTAGCCCATCTCCACAACCTTCGTAAAAGGTGCGGTGAGATAGTTATCCCCCAAGTCTCCCTATAGGTCAAAAGGAGCTATCGAATACTCTCTACTTATCATTACTATAACTATTGAGTGTATCAAAAGCTTAATTCATATATACTGCTTAAAAAGCATCGGCTGATCAGAGCAACCGATCAAAATTCCTAGATGACAAAATCGTAATCATAACAAAGTGACAACAGTCTAGTACTGGAACTCGAATTGGCCGTTGTTGTTGATAACACGCTCATCCAAGTTGACATCGGCGCCAACCCAGTCGCCATTGGGGGTACGCAGCTCAGCACGGAGGACGGGCACTGAGGCACCACCCTCAATGCCGAAGTGGACGTTGCGGGCAGTCTGGGAGAAGTCCTTGCCTCCCCATTGGAAGTGGCCTATTAAAGAGATACTCGTCAGCTTCATGTTGTCTTGGAATTGGCCATAGGTGTAGTTGTGTGGTGTTCTTACCGTTGTTGTTTCCGATGTGCACGTTCAGGTCGACGGCGACTTGGTGGTATTCACCATTGTTGTTTTTGAGATTGGCGACGAGGATGTGGTTCTCCTCGACGCGAACGTTCTCGGCACTGAGGTGGAAGCTCATTTTGAATGGTAGGTAGGGAGGTATGTGTAAATCTGAGAAGATATGAGGTAGTAGATGTTTGTTGAGAAGTAGAAAAGAAACAGGGGAAGGAGAAGGTCCCCTGTTACCCCTCTATATATACGTAGCGAGATCGTCCCATCAGTTAGTTAGTGGAGTCACATCATAAAGCGGTCAAACACCGCAAGACAGAGAGGAGCTGGGCTGAGCTGTGGAGATCATCCTGGCCTATTGCGACATCGCAATTGCTTCCCCTAGAAGGAAATGGAAATGCAGAGCAGTGATGCGACGCTTTCCGTTTCCCTAGACATCCACAAGGACCCCTTTGGCCTGTGGTGGCAGCCCATCCATTGATGAGGTGGCCAAGTGACACTTCAGCCTCAGCTGGGCTGTGGAGGGGAGGGGTTGTTTTGAAGCAATCACCGTTTGTTTTTGCTTTTTTTTTTTTCACACTCCAGTACTAGCTGCTAGCATTATTGAGTGGCCCTGCTGGTGAGCTGGCGCCTGTAAACAAAGAGCAGTCAGGCATGTCGATCTCCTATTATTGGGCTGAGAGACAATAGCCAGCGAAGCCTTGTGAAGATCGACGGCACAGCTGGTCCCTGGCATTTGAGCGGGGTGGTCACGTGATCTATAGCAGCTGCATTCTGTATGAGGAAAGGTAGTTATGCAATGCATTATGCACTGAGTATATTTCCGTTATATTCAATTATGTTCAATAAAACATCTATTATTGCTTATTCGATATTGATTATTTTCATTCTATGCTCCACACTCTGTCATCTTGGGAGAATGACTAGAATCTATTTCGAGATATCGCCTCTCAAATTCAGCTGTGCTCTACTCCATATTGTTCTATGAATAAATTCCAACAGACGTTTCAGAATCACTACAATAATATCATCCTCTCTGACCTCAGATGAAAGTATTGAAGATGAAACTATCGTGGAGTCAGTTTGCTGACATGGTCATGCTCAAGTGGAGTGGCGGATCCCGTAGCTATGACCGTCTCTGGAACATACTACACTGCGTACAGTCAGTCAAATTTCTAAATTGGTACACGGGATACATCATACGTGCTTAGAAAGGATGGTAAGTTCAGAGTTGGAATAAGCTTCTTCTTGTTGGGTGGAGTTGAGGGGTAGTTGGAAATGTCTTTTCTGCCCCCATCTGGATGGGTCTGTGTTGGAACAGTCAGGATTGCTTGTTATGACGACGCTATTCACTAGGGATTGAATGATACTAATTGATTTAAAACGGCATGTTTGCAGTATGTTCGGATACGGTGCAATGTAAGTGCCGTGTCTGGTTAGTCAGGCTTAATGAACAGAGTCATTGTAACTATTCAAGTTCAAGTACAGTGGAATGACTGCAGGGAAAATCACTCAAGAGGCAGCAATGAGTCTCGATGCAATATTCGATGATATTTTCCTTCAGTGATAAAAGATTGACTTATGCCAACATCCGGATGGTCTCAGTGTATTTGTAAGGCATACGCCAAAGATTGAGACAATTCGGGGAAAGGGCTGCTTTCAACAGCGAAGAAGGATTGCAACCTTCCATCACCATCTCGATGAACGTAGATGTTGTTCCATTGTCCGATTGTTGCTTATAAATGCCAGGCGGGGTTCGGCGACATAGCATCATCATAATCCATGACCACATTAATCATCACTTGCTTGGTGGGGTAAATAAAGGCAATCTACCCCAGCTGCTGTCAACTCCAGACTCCATCAATTCAATTATATGCAAAACATCCGAGGAATACAACTACTCAGCTCAAAACTTTGGTCATCTCCACTATTCAAGATGAGCGGCGCAAATCGACCCGATATCACCCTGTATACTGCGCAAACTCCCAATGGAATCAAGATCTCCATTGCGCTGGAGGAACTTGGGTTTGTTGCGCCTACTACTGCATTCTTCTCGGTCTAACAATTCTCTAGGCTCCCGTACAAGGTCGAGAAGATTGATATCAGCAAGAATACCCAGAAGGAAGAGTACGTCTACAGTCTGCACCAATTATAAAAACAAACCTCTAACAACGGCCAGCTGGTTCCTCAAAATCAACCCCAACGGCCGCATCCCCGCATTGACCGACACCTTCTCAGACGGCCAGAGTATCCGTCTGTTCGAATCTGGTGGCATCCTCCAATACCTAGTCGAACAATATGACCCGGAGCACAAGATCTCCTTCCCCACAGGAACCCGCGAGCACTACGAGATGAACAACTGGCTCTTCTTCCAGAACGCTGGTGTCGGTCCCATGCAAGGCCAAGCGAACCATTTCTCGCGATATGCGCCCGAACGCATCGAATACGGCGTTAACCGATACGTCAACGAGACAAGACGGTTGTACAGCGTCCTCGATGCGCACCTAGCTGCCTCCAAGTCCGGGTACTTGGTTGGAGACCACATTTCCATTGCGGATATCTCGCACTGGGGGTGGGTTGCTGCGGCCGGATGGGCTGGCGTGGATATCGATGAGTTCCCGCATTTGAAGGCCTGGGAGGATCGGATGGCTGCCAGAGATGGGGTGGAGAAGGGAAGACATGTTCCTTCGCGCCATACCATTAAGGATCTTTTGAAGGATAAGGCGCAGGTGGACAAACATGCTGCTGAGTCGAGAGCTTGGATTCAGCAGGGCATGAAGGAGGATTCTAAGAAGTTGTAAATGTCGTCGTTGTCTAAGTATTAATGAGATCCGTTGATGGTTAGTACGGTTTATGTCCATATCAAATAGAATGCAACCAATAACAACTAAACCCTGGATTCAAACACATTCATATAATTGACGAGATTCATTTCAATCGCTAGCAATCGATAGAAGCACAAAGTGAAGCTTCGTTGACAATAAGTTGCTCGTAGATACCTCGGATGTCAGCTGACATCACGTGACTAAAAGCTTGCCACATGTCGCCGCCCTGACCTTTCCAACCGCGATATCATTTATCACTTCCACCTTATTTTTGATCATCATACTTACCATACAGATCAACATCTACGCCAGCTGGAAGTAGAAAATCATGGCTTGGCGCAATCAAGGAATCACAGGTTCCAACAACATCCCTCTGGGCCGTCGTCGGTTTGGAGGTGATGATGGTTATGAGGAGGAGAGTCGCACTGCGACTCCTGCCTCTGTTGCAGGGGATAACGGCACCAAACGTGGCAGAAGTCCTGTTCGAGGTATGTCATATTTCCCCTCGTCTTTACCTTTTTTGTTCTTTTCCTTACTGACGGATCTTTTTACTATAGCGGAACCCTCTATTGACGGTGTGAAGAAGCGCAAGAAGCGCAACCGTTGGGGCGATGCTCAGGAGAACAAGGCCGCCGGTCTTATGGGCTTGCCCACTATGATCATGGCCAACTTCACCAATGAACAGCTTGAGGCTTATACTCTGCATCTTCGTATCGAAGAAATCAGTCAAAAGCTTCGTATTAACGATGTTGTTCCAGCGGATGGTGACAGGTACGTGCTCTCTCCTCGAATATTCTACTTTTCCAGTTTGCTAACAGAAATCCCAATACAGGTCTCCTTCGCCTCCTCCGCAGTACGATAACTTTGGTAGACGTGTAAACACTAGGGAATACCGTTACCGGAAGCGCCTCGAAGACGAGCGCCACAAGCTGGTTGAAAAGGCCATGAAGACCATTCCTAACTACCACCCGCCTTCTGACTACAGGCGTCCAACTAAGACCCAGGAGAAGGTCTATGTTCCAGTGAATGACTATCCAGAGATTAACTTCAGTATGATAACTAACCCTCTAACTCCTAACCATTCCCGTATATTGCTCTTTTGCTCGAGTCGAGCCCATGAGGACATCGCCTCTGGTGTTTTTTTCGGCTCGTTTCTTGCTAACCCTTGCTGCTTGATGTTGCACTTTCTTCTTTTCTTTAACCATTTCTTGCTCTACTGTTGCCATGCTTTTAAGAAATCATTGATGACTAACACTTAGCTCTTTGCTACCTTTTAAAGTTGGCTTACTCATAGGTCCTCGTGGTAATACCTTGAAGAAGATGGAGACCGAATCTGGGGCCAAGATTGCCATCCGAGGCAAAGGCTCCGTCAAGGAAGGAAAGGGTCGATCTGATGCCGCTCACGCTAGCAACCAGGAAGAAGATCTCCATTGCTTGATCATGGCCGAGACTGAAGAAAAGGTTAACAAGGCCAAGAAGCTCATTCATAACGTTATTGAGACGGTAAGTTATCCTGCCAATGACTACAGAAACATGAAGCTAACAAGGTTCAACAGGCTGCTTCGATCCCTGAAGGTCAGAACGAGCTCAAGCGGAATCAACTCCGAGAGCTTGCCGCTCTTAACGGTACTCTCCGTGACGATGAAAACCAGGCTTGTCAGAACTGTAAGTCATTCATTTTCCAGTACACGTTATCATATCTTTCTAACAACCAAAACAGGTGGTCAAATCGGACACCGCAAGTATGACTGCCCTGAGCAACGCAACTTCACTGCCAATATCATCTGTCGTGTCTGTGGCAATGCAGGCCACATGGCTCGTGACTGTCCCGACCGCCAGAGAGGCTCTGACTGGCGCAACAATGGCTACGGCAGCGGCGGTCCCGGTGGACGTAACCCCAGAGCTATTGGTGGTGGTGATGCTGTCGACCGTGAGATGGAGGTAAGCTTTTTTCGATTCTCTTGCTTCTCTTAACGGCACTAACATACTGTCTAGCAACTCATGAATGAACTGTCTGGAGGTGCGGCCGATGAAAACGGCTACGCTCCTCGCCGTATTGAAGCCGGTCCCGACCAAGGTTATGATGACCGTGATGCGAAGCCGTGGCAGCGTGGCCCGCCTCCCAGCGATGTGGCTCCCTGGCAACAGAGAGGCCGAGACAACCGCCGTGATGACTATGGCTCCCGAGACTACGGGTCGGCGGCCCCATGGGCTGCCCAGGGTCGTGGAGGCGACAGCTACGGCTATGGTGGTTACGGTGCTCCTGGTGCTCCCGGTGCCCCCGGTGCCCCTGGAGCTGCTCCTTGGCAGCAACAAGCTCCGCCTGGTGGACCAGCTGCCGCCTATGGATATGGAGGATACCCAGGATACGCTCCTCCCGTTCCGGGCATGGGTGCTCCTGGTGCTCCTCCAGGCCTGGGTGCTCCTCCCCCGCCCCCAGGAATGCCCTCGATGTACTACGGCTCTGGTAGCCCACCACCTCCTCCCCCTCCTGGTGACGGACCACCGCCTCCTGTAAGTTATCAGTGAATTTTCTCCTGAAGTGCTCCTTGCTAACATTGACATAGCCCCCGAGCGACCAGCCCCCGCCCCCTCCCCCGCCTGCTTAAATGCAACGCAGCGTTAGTGTAGTTATTATTTGAACTTGTGAAATAGGGAAATTGGTCAGCAAGAGGACAATGGTTATTAGGGGTTGTATTTTCTCTTGCAAAGTTGGCGTTATCCGTTCCTTGATAATGTGAAGTAATAAGTCTATTCAAAAAATTATTCTTCAATTATTTTCAGTGTTCCAATCGTAGATTGTCGAGCATACTGTAGCTTGGATAATGTCATGATTCATGCAGCCGAAGCGAGGCCGATCGCTTCGCTTAAACGTCGAGGCCGAAAGCACTAGTTAAGCATTGCTGCCTCAGGCTCGCTGGGCCTCTTTGCATCATCGTCTTTTTCATCCGTCTTTTCCTCACTTTGGAGCGAGACTCGATCTTCTTTTCTCTATACAATTGCTAGACGAAGTTGCAGTGTAATTTCTAGATATTTAGAATTTCTGTTCTATTTGAATATCCCCTTACGTCCAGTGGGCGTGGATCGGGCAGGAATTCGTACGACAAGCCATGCAGAGTACATCACAGACTCGGTCCCACGGGGACCTGTCTATGCCCTCAGGATCCGATTTCCATTCTCCATCTGGGCCGTCTCATTCCCAGCGCAAGTCCTGGCAATCTCAATCGCAATCTCAGCGCGTCTCGTCACTGCGCTCTGGGAGATCATCGCATCATGGACCTGACGGCCAGCAGCAGCCCATTGCCCAGCAACAAACACGGGCATCGGCTGCTACGTCGACTGCACAGAGCAAATGGTGGCGTGTGCGACTGTTTCGAGGCATGATTAATGATGTGAAGAGGCGAGCGCCGTATTATTGGAGTGATTGGACGGATGCATGGGATTATCGCGTTATTCCAGCGACTGTTTATATGTATTTTGCCAAGTATGTTCATGAAGCTTCTTTGTTTCGTGAAGTACAGATTGGCTGACTGGGATAGTATCTTGCCTGCTTTGGCGTTTTCTCTGGACATGTTTGAAAAGACGAACCAAAGCTATGGCGTCAACGAGGTCTTGCTGGCGTCTGTTCTGGGAGCGGTGGTGTTCTCTCTCTTCTCTGCTCAGCCATTGGTGATTGTCGGTGTTACTGGTGAGTTTGGTATTTTATATGAAGGGGCTGTTCTTCAGGCTGACGGTTTTATAGGGCCAATTACTGTTTTCAACTATACGGTCTATGATATTATGACACCGCGTGGCACGAATTACCTTGCCTTTATGGGCTGGATTGGAATGTATGTTTTCTTCTCGAGTATTATGGAACAATTGCTGATTTCTCAAGATGGTCGTTGATCATGCATTGGCTGCTCGCTATAACGAATGCCTGCAATGGGTTGACCTATGTCACGCGCTTCTCGTGTGATATCTTTGGATTCTACGTTGCTTTGATCTATCTCCAGAAAGGAATCCAAGTGCTGACCAGACAATGGGGAACGATGGGCGAGACATCCGCATATTTGAGTATCATGGTTGCTCTCCTCGTTCTCATGAGCGGCTGGATCTGCGGTGAGCTCGGAAACAGTAATCTGTTCCAGCGATATGTCCGCAAATTCTTGGAGGATTATGGCACACCATTGACTGTGGTTTTCTTCACTGGCTTCATTCACATTGGACACATGAGAAATGTCGATGTTGCTACGCTTCCCACCAGCAAGTCGTTCTTTCCCACGGCTGATCGAGGCTGGTTGGTGCATTTTTGGGATATCGATGCTGGGGATATTTTTCTGGCAATTCCCTTTGCGCTTCTGCTGACGATCCTTTTCTATTTTGATCATAATGGTGAGTGTCTTCTGAAACCTTGTCTGATTTACCTTGCTATGCATGCTAATCCGTGGTAGTATCGTCGCTCATGGCCCAAGGAACTGAGTTCCCTCTGAGAAAACCCGCTGGATTCCATTGGGACTTGTGGTTACTCGGACTTACTACGTTTGTCGCTGGCATCTTGGGAATCCCATTTCCCAATGGACTTATCCCGCAAGCACCGTTCCATACCGCCGCACTCTGTGTCACACGCGATGTTGCCGACGAGGACGACACGAACAAAGGCAAGACTGTCCGCGTCACCGACCACGTTGTAGAGCAGCGCGTCAGCAACTTGGCCCAAGGCCTCCTGACACTTGGTACAATGTCAGGTCCGCTTCTGATTGTCTTGCACCTGATCCCGCAAGGCGTCTTGGCTGGTCTGTTCTTCGTCATGGGAGTCCAGGCTCTCCAAGGCAACGGCATCACACAGAAGCTCATCTTCCTTGCTCAAGACAAAGGGCTCACATCTGCATCTAATCCACTTAAACGGTTAGAGCGTCGTCTCTCTATCTGGATATTTGTCATTCTCCAACTGGTCGGCTTTGGAGCGACGTTTGCCATCACGCAGACCATCGCCGCCATCGGATTCCCCGTGATCATTCTCTTGCTCATTCCTGTGCGATCTTTCCTGCTCCCTCTATGGTTCACCCGAGAAGAGCTTTCCACATTGGATGCTCCGACTGCCAGTAAATTCACCATGGAAAGCGTCGGTGGTACCTATGGCCTTGACGAGACAGATGATCTCGGGGCTGCGGAAGACATCAACAGGCGCCATTCCAAAACCCCTGGAAACAATGCAGTCATGATGCGCCAAGAATATAGCCCTTCTCCCGAGTCCCCTGTACATGATGACCTTGAGAGGGGCGAGGCCTACGAACTTCAGCCCAGATCGTCCATGCGGCGAAGGAGTACAACAAGCAGGGCTGAGTGATATCGGAACAACAAAAGTTTTCTGCTACATGCACATTCGCATATCTCGGGTAAAACATCATGATGTTGAATATATGACTTGAATATACTTTTTACCGTAGATAATTTGGATTGATTGATTATTTTGAATGGACAATGTATGGAAGCTATTGCTTGATCTGATTGGACAGAAATAAAGTATATCATCACGTGGGTTATCACCGCCTTCTGCGGTCACTTTTCTGCCGCAAATAATTTGAAGAAATTCCAGAGATTCAGAATCAACGACAAACCAACCAGCACAATGGCGCCCTCAGACACAGCAGAGCCGGTCTCCGATGACTCCCACGAGTCCTCTAGTGTCTCCGATGTGGAACAGCCCGAAGTTGAAACCCGAGCCCCCAAACGAAGACGTTCATCTGCATCCTCTGTCGCCTCAGACGATTCGTACGTCGCTCCGGCGCCGCTCCCCACCCTCTCCCGTATCAAAAAGAAGGGAACCCAGGATGAAAAGACGGATCAGTCGAAGCCAGCCGAGGAGGAACCAGTGTTGATCCGCGATGCGCTGGAGATTGGTCTACAGAACGCCGAGTCGTCATTTACGGCGCTCAATGTGGCACCATGGTTGGTTGGATCTCTGACGACCATGGCGATTCGGAAACCGACTGCGATTCAAAAAGCGTGTATACCTGAGATTTTGAAGGGAAGAGACTGTATCGGAGGAAGTCGAACGGGTTCAGGAAAGACGGTTGCTTTTGCGGTTCCCATGTTGCAAAAATGGGCACAAGATCCGTTTGGAATTTTTGGTCTGGTGTTGACGCCGACGAGGTAAAGCCCATTAATTCGAGGATGACTAAAGTATAGAACTGACTCTTTGTTTTAAGAGAACTTGCGTTGCAGATTTTTGAACAGATCAAAGCGATTTCAGCACCGCAGAGTATGAAACCGATTCTCATCACCGGCGGAACCGACATGCGGCCGCAGGCCATCGCGCTGTCCCAGAGACCTCATGTCGTGATCGCAACACCCGGCCGTCTGGCAGATCACATCAGAACATCCGGTGAAGATACAGTCTTCGGGCTCAGCCGAGTTCGCATGGTCGTTCTCGATGAAGCAGACCGACTCCTCACCAGCGGACCGGGCAGCATGCTCCCCGATGTCGAAACCTGCCTCTCGGCCCTGCCCCCCTCGAGCGAGCGCCAAACCTGCCTCTTCACGGCAACCGTCACACCAGAAGTGCGCGCGCTCAAAGACATGCCCACCTCCGGCAACAAACCACCCATCTTCGCCACCGAAATCGGCACCGAAAACAAAGGCACCATCCCCCCAACCCTCCGCCAAACCTACCTCAAAGTCCCCATGACTCACCGCGAGGCCTTCCTGCACGTCCTCCTCTCCACCGAAGAAAACGCCTCCAAACCAGCCATCATCTTCACCAACCACACCAAAACCGCCGATCTGCTGGAACGCACCCTCCGCCGTCTCGCCCACCGCGTGACCTCCCTGCACAGTCTCCTCCCCCAGTCCGAGCGAACGTCCAACCTCGCCCGCTTCCGCGCCAACGCTGCCCGTCTCCTCGTCGCCACAGACGTCGCCTCGCGTGGTCTCGATATCCCCTCGGTCGCCTTGGTCGTCAACTTTGACGTCCCCCGGAACCCAGACGACTATGTTCACCGTGTTGGTCGAACAGCGCGTGCGGGACGCCACGGTGAGGCCGTCACGCTGGTCGGACAGCGTGATGTACAGCTGGTGCTGGGCATTGAGGAGCGCGTGGAGCGCCAGATGGAGGAATGGTCCGAAGAAGGCGTCAGTATTGAAAGTCGGGTTGTGCGTGGTGGTGTGCTCAAGGAAGTTGGAGAGGCGAAACGAGAGGCCGCAGGAGAGATTGAAGAGGGTAGAGATGTACTGGGCCGAAAGCGAAACAAGCTGAAGAAGGTTAGGTGATTTGATTCTGTACAGAAGTTTTTATGATCTATAGATAGTTATGCAAGCAAAATAAAAGTGAGCAATGGATTCTTTGGTTAATGTATAAATCTGGCATTATGTGGTATCTATCATTCGACTATATCTCACTGCTCGAGCAAGGTATACACGGGTGTCCAACCATGTACATACGTCGTTGATCGTGGAGAGCGTCAATGTTCTCCACACGAGGGACATTACTCCATACATCCACTCCATATTGAATGGCCCATGCTAGCTAGTCCGCAAAACAGAAAAAGCAAATATGCAGGTAGCCTCGCCAAAGTCCAAACAGACCAGCTCAAATAATTTTCCAATCCGTCAACCAAATGTGCAGTCCATGTATACACACAAATCTCTGGGATCAGAGAATTAATGATACTGTACAGAATTAAAGAAAAGAAAAAGAAAAGTCCAACAGACATGCTCCCCAACTCCCATTCAAAAATGAAAAAGAAAATAAAAGAACTCCATTAGCCAGTCCAGGTGTCCGATTTTTCGCCTTTTTCTGCAGTGCTCATGAGCTTCAGGAGTCCGTCCACGGCATCGCCCTTGTGTGATGGTGTGGTAAACTTTTCTGGATCCCCCCCACAGTCGCTTGCTTCTTCAGTGTCTTCTCTCATTTCTCGCCTGTCACAGCCACTTCGTGGCACGGTCGCTGGAGGACTGCTCAACTGCATTGGGGAATCTGCAGACTCTGAATGGTGGTGGTGGTTCTTTTGGGTAGGTGTTCGCATGGGGTCTTGTTCGGTGGCGGCATTTCCCGCCGAGAGGGGAGGAGAGGAGAGGCCAGGGCGAATGGATGTTGATTCGGATGTTGGTTGAAAATCTGGGGCGGGCTGGAACTGCCGTGGTGTCTTTTCGGAGGGTGGTGTTGTTGCTTGTCGAAGGGATTGGGCGGTCTTGTGTTGATGTTGGGTGGGAGTCACGGGGAACGACAGTCTGGGGTACTTGCGACTGTGGGCTTCCAGTTCCGACAGCCTGCGATCAAACTGTTGATCTCTAACATTGCGCATGGCACTCTGGATTCTGCTGCGAAGCAAGTTTGCTTTCTATCATGGGTTGGTTAGACCATGTATAGTGTGGGGTAGAAATCACGGCAGCATCCTCACCTCTTGGATAAACACCTTGCGCGTCTCAGGGTCCTCAGGAACCGCGCGTGTCGAAGTTGTGTCACGAGATACATTCAATGTTGAAGGGCTCAATTGAGTGTTTTGAGTAGGAGGGAGACTCTGTTGTGATTGTTCCTGAGATTTGGATGATACATCCGAGTCCATTGCGCGTGGTTGGGTCGACTATATAAAACACGCAAGAAATCAGCCACTGCACTCAACCCGTGTTTGACATTAAGTATTCCAACAGTCAATTGCAAACTAACCCGAGTATCATCTTGAGCTGTCGACTGCGCGCTACTTGTTTCCCGCGAGGGTACTTCATTTCGGGCCTCGACACGCTGGACCTGCAAGCTGCGTTTGTTTACCGGGATATCGTCGACCTGCTCGATTGTTCTTTTTTGGCCGGCAAAGGAAGGCGAGGGAAGGAGTTTCTTGGGCGAGGAGGCATCGAAGAGAGAGCGTTTGACAGGCGATGTTGCTGTCAGGAATGAATCCACGTTCCGACTGCGTGCAGGTGACAAACACGCGTTGGCGGGCTTGTCTCCAAGAATGCGCCGTCCGTCCTTGACGGGGCTGGGATGCAATGCAGTGGAATGCATTCCGTAAAGTATTCCAGATTGTGTAGATAGGAATTGGGATGAAAGAGAAAGTAGAAGTTGTTTGTTAGGGGGAAATGCAAGACGAGAGAGAGAGCTCTTTTTTAGTTCCCACGGCGGGGGAAAGTCCTCGTGATGATGGCAGGTGAACAAACAGTCGTGCAGGCAAAGAATGGGGCGGAGGGCAATTGATGACAAGCAATTGGACTGAGAAGAAGAAGCAGATGCAGAAGAATGGGAAGACGAGGGAATGAAAAAAAAGAGGTTGGTGGCAGAAGTCCGGCGCGTTGGATCGCGTTGAAGATGAGGATTCGGGGGTCGTACTGTATGTATGGATGTATGGGCCTTACCTTAATGGAAAAGAGGCCCACTGTTGCCCGCGTGTTGCTCCCCACGCGTCTTGATAGAAGCAGTTGTTATTTGATTTAAGGGTGTGATTACTTGATTATTTGATTAATTAAATTGGTCAATGATCAATGGCTCAATGGCTATCCAGTATGATTATATCAATATCGATTGAAGCACAAATCTACAGGCATAGACTGCTATACTGCTCTGTCAGTCTCGAAGCTTCAATTAATGACAATTCCTCGAATAACCAATAATGCATTCTCAAACAATGAGAGAATCAGAACAAGAACACTTGATATCAAGGCATCATTAATCATTCATCCAGTGTTCCTATTGGTGAATGATACAAAGTATATACATCTGATGGCGATTGCGATCGATATATTTTTACGAGAACTGACTTTATGTAGAGAAATAGTACACAAATTCTCAGGAATAATCAATCGTCCGTCTCCGTGGCCCAGTTGGTTAAGGCGTCCGACTGTTAGTTTACACAGCTAAATTACCGCAATCGGGAGATCGGCAGTTCGATCCTGCCCGGGGACGATTCCTTTTTGCTTTTTCTTTTTGCTCAACATTTCTTTACAAAGCTAGCTACTATTTTATTTTTATTTTTTATGCATAATATAATGAATTAGAACGGTATTGGGCAGCTACTACAGGTCTATCTGGGTGTAGTTACAATCTTCGATCGCAGTGCCATCAATCATCCAATTCTCTCCCGATGAATCAACATAAACTCCCAATTAACCCGAATGAATATCTTGCCAAAGAATATTTACAAGTCAAAACAGAATCAAGGCGCATGCGACCCAGTCTGGTGGTCATTCCCAGATGCAACAGCGGATGAGTCGTCCTCTTTATTCCAAGACAAGTACGACTCGTCGCCGAGTTTCCTGTACAGTATAAGCATCACCCAGCTTGCAGGAGAGAGAAGGAAGCTTGCATACCTAGGTCTGATTGTATGCGCAATGGTGAACAGCGCTCCAACCAAGCAGCAGAAACCGCCCACGACGACATAGGCAATTCCCATGGCAGAGTTTTTGCCTCCAACTGCAGTTCGAGTAGAAATGAAAATTGACTTGGTGCCCTTGTATTCGGTAACAGGGAATCCTAATCATCCATTAGCAACACATTTTGCTGGCAGATGGGTGCTCCAACATACGGTAATCGATGCTCAACTGATAAGTTCCGAGTTCCAGGGTTGCACTGTCGTTTCGCCGAGACATTTTGCTGAAATCGGGCAATGCAGCAGTTCGCATCCAGACCAAAAACTCCTCCTCCTCCTGGAGGTTAGGAAGATTCTGCTCCGTGTAGTTGTTTGGATAACGATCTTGCCAGTTGGGTGGTGGCACAACCTGCCACGGCTTGTACTTGGTCGGCTTGATGAGCTCCTTGTCACTTGGTTGGGCAATGCCCTTGTTTGTCATGTTATACAAGGTCCTTCCACCAGTGCTCTCCAGCTTCCAAGGGCTGTAAATCGTATCATTGAACATGGAGTTGGCAATTGTACCAGCGGGGTAGAATGCCTTCATGGTGCCGCAATCAAGCATCAGGTCGTTGGGATCGCACTTGCTCAGTGTACCTCCGTTGAGAGTTTTGTTATCTACGGCCTCTCCTTTGAGCTGTTCAATGTTGAGCGACTTGACATATTTCCGGTGGTTTTGGTAGAACTCTGTCAAGCGATAGTACATGTAAACAGGGGGGCCCATGTCCTGGGGAATATCAAAGGTCAGGGTGCAGGTAAACGGCGCCTCAGTGCTATTCCGCTCCCAAAACGGACCCCTGATGCCATTGGTGGACGGGAAGGTGTACGAGAACTGGTCACTTGGGATCTGCTCGTAATGACCAACCGGTGCCTCCTTACAGTTGGTGTAGTCGATTTCTAATTCTTTGACCTTGTCGATGTGAGCATGAGATGCAACACGGACAGCAGATGAGTGAGCATACCTGAGCACTTGCCCAAAGCAAAACACCGCCCAAGGGGGCAAAAATGACCCCAATTGCAAAGAAAAGCGGCAGTACACTTTTAGGGGTCAAGATAGGCCTAGCGAATAAAATTAGAAAGAATGTTAATTCAAGTCAATAAATCATACTTACTGCAAAGCCCTCAAGCGCTGTTGCTGGAACGCATTGGCTACAAAAACATATCAGTAACTTTCTTTCATGTATGGAATATCCGTGGCGGGAAAGGCGGAAGAAAGATGGTCTCACGGGTCGGTCTCTTGTTAGCCTTGTCATCGTCTTTTTTGTTCGAGTCCTTCTCGGCCTTGCGCGCCATGATTTATCCAGGGATAAACACCCGATCCCTCGTAGACTAGATGATGACGGGTGCGCGTGTGAAACTGTGGAGCTGGATGGGTTATGACGATGAGAAAATGAAGTCGAACTTCCATGCGATGAGGTTTGAACGGGGCCGGGAATTACCTAAGAATAGCCAATCTACGTGAGACCCGTTCCAGCCGGCTGAATGTGGAAATAATCTGCAGATGGCAACGGGAGAATAACAGGATGGATGGCCACTGAGTTGGATGTCTCGTTCAACTGAAGTTTGAAGTCCGATGGGATTGGGATGATGACACCTGGTGTTGCTGCGTTTCTCGTGTTGTTCCCTTGCGTCATTGCCACTGGTTCCCGTGAGCAAAAACCGACCAACACGAGGTTGAAACAAGCAACGGCCAGTAAATAAACGCAAGTATAGACGATCTGCTGAAACAACCTAGAGTCTTTAGGAATTACGGAGAAAGATGCTTTGTTTCTACCCCTTGGCATGTGTTCGACTCGATCAGGCCGCAAGCAAATACCTGTCAACTACAGTGTAACTACATTACAGCTTACTGGATGACAGATCCTAAAGACACTCGATATCCACATGGCCATGACGAACTTATATGCAGGTCAGGCAGTATTATTACGGATACTTGCTGCCAGTCGTGTCATCGTCAGTGAGCATTATTGTGAACGCATCGAGGACACAACAGTAGACCAATACCGTTACAGATATAAAAACAATATCAAGAATCTGTCACGAATTACTAGATAATATATTGGGCAAAGATATATAGAAACATGCTATATATGTATAATACCAAAAAAAATAGGTAGGTACTGAAATTGTCGTGATGATATATAGAAGGCAAAAATAAAAAGGGGGCAAAAAAGTAATCGTCCCCGGGCAGGATCGAACTGCCGATCTCCCGATTGCGGTAATTTAGCTGTGTAAACTAACAGTCGGACGCCTTAACCAACTGGGCCACGGAGACGGACGATTATTGAGAGGCTGTTCAGACCTATGTTATTTAAGCCTAGTTCAAATGGTCGACCTCCTTTCCAGTGGCAAACAGTCACGGGGTTCTCCTACTAGCTAGTGTGAAAAAACATTCACTGCCAGAATGATATCCCATCCCAAATTTGGACTCTATTCTGTGACTCCTGTCTGTCTCCGAGTTTAACATCCCTTCTTCCTCTCAAACGTTGGCTTCGCAGGATGTCGCGTTTCGAGGCTAAGGTCGAAGGTATATATCAACACCGATGAGTTACCGAATAACGACCCATCTAATCATGATGTCAACCAAATCGGAACAAGATTCTCACCATTCTCCATTTGAGCAGCGAGATAACCCATAACTCGAGAGCGGGATTAATATGGCGTGATCGCAAAGCCCAACGCGCGCCCCCTCCCCCGATCTCGACCTGCCATTGACAACGACTCAACAACCGAAGCGTTACTAAGAGTACCTCCATCGTCACATCAAAGTCCATATGGATTCTACAGCTTACCCCCAAAGCCCAGAGGCATCGCTGTCTAGTCACCCTAATCTTTGCATTGATTGACGCTGAGTGCTGCTGTGGCTAACAAATATGGGATATCGGTCTTCGATTGTCTGTCTATCTATGCTTCTCTAGACAACTATTTGCCGATGCCGACTGGCAACTGTCTGCTCTAGCCAGCCACATCTCAGATCGAAGCCTTATTGCTGCAATATGCCAATGACTGCTACACAAAATACGACGTTCGCCTTTCTATTCTCACCACCCCAAGATGTCAAAGCAAAGGCCCGGGAAAGAGCCATTTTGGCCGCGACAAGTCAAATCATCTAGCCTATGCTGCAGGGGTTCCCTTCAAAAATCAAAGCTAAAATCACCAATCACAAATCGTCCGTCTCCGTGGCCCAGCTGGTTAAGGCGTCCGACTGTTAGTTTAAACAACTAAACAACCACAATCGGGAGATCGGCAGTTCGATCCTGCCCGGGGACGATTTTTTTTCGCTCTTTTTTGCCTTCATATCACCAGGTAGGATATGTTATCGCAATGTAACTTTTTTTTTTCTCAAATCTTGGTTGCTGGACCCTTTGTGGTTAGTTACCTATGGTTGCTGCTGTCACACATGGTACCTTTTTCGGTGACGTCAACTCTATCACGACCATGCCAGATGCAGCCGGACATGGCCTGCAAAAAGGCAATTGAAATGCTAACTGGACGACGCTTGAGGGCGCTGACCAGCCACTATGCTATTGTGGCTTGGGCTCTATAGCGAGGAATTGTTCTATCACGAATCCCTTTAACCGCTGGGGTAGCCTCTTCGTCTATGGAGTAGATGCGGTTGTACTGCAGGAGTAGCTTTCTGCAGTGATAGTCTGATGTACAAGCCCGGATTGCATCCTCACATATGACCCCAAGAATTTTTCTGGCGTTTCATGGCGTTTTCGACTCTATAGACAGGATCTCTGGTACTGATGCATGAGCATGACTGGCTGGCTATCAAATATCGCCTGGCATCTGGACTGGATTATGTGCAGTATTTCATGGCATCGTGAAAGGGCGCCAGTCATCTACGGCATACATGTGTTCTTTTTATCATCTTATCAAGGGGCCTGGCTATGACGAGTGTGTCAACCAGTCCATCTTACAACTAACCATACCCACGAAGTTTCTCTCATGAACTAACACCACGTCTAACTAGCCATACCCAAAAAATAAACCTTGATCTATCTTCATCCATCTGGATAGTTCGGCATAATGCAGATGGAACAAAAAAAGGAATCGTCCCCGGGCAGGATCGAACTGCCGATCTCCCGATTGTGGTTGTTTAGTTGTTTAAACTAACAGTCGGACGCCTTAACCAGCTGGGCCACGGAGACGGGCTCTGATTGGACGGCGGGATCTTGTGTTATATGAGGGGGTTATGGATAGAAATGGGATTAAGACGGAGCGATGCCATCCACTCAAGGCATTCACTCTTGTGTGTACATGGCAATGTATATGCTATGGCTAGAAAATGTACTCTGTAGTAGCATATTAAGGATGACTCCTATCTCCTACAGGGCTCTTGAGCGATTAGTATTGACGTTGTAAGGGACGTGGGCATTATGTGCTTCAGTACTGCATATGCACTCTGCCATGCCATCTATCAGAACACAGCATAAAATACCGACCAAGTCCATTTTATTTACCGAGAATTCAGCACAGGAACAGACTCCCAATCTTAGATCAACCAGAAACCATACATGCCATGCAGCACTGGGCCAAGAGTCAATTCAGGTTGTTGTCAAGTCGTGTCACAACGGGATGCAGCCACCATGAAACTCCATCTCACATGCATCATTGACAATCTGTGCTACTCTGTGCTATTCTGAATTCAAACCCAATCTAATAATTCATTCTATTCTCCATCCATTCTAGAAACGTTGGCTGGAGATTTTCAGTGTCGCCCTCTCCGCATGACATCATCGACGGCGGCGGGTCCTTGGGCGTTGCATTCCTTTTTCATGGATCGTCGAGGATTGTCGCAGAATGATTCGTCGTCTCCTGTCGTACACCTCACCAAGTGCTGACTCGAGGGTGATCTATCACCACTCGTCATCCCCGTCTCCTGCATCTCCCTCGAGGACACGGACTGGTCGATGTGATTCCTCGAATCACCGTCTAAGCCAACTTTCCCCCGCATTTTCGCCGGGTCGAAGATCATTTTGCCTTTTCCTCTCGTTTTCTCCACGCCGTGGTCCTTTTGTCTCTCTGGATCCGAGCGGAGACTCACTCCCTTGTAGATCAATTCTCTTCGTGCAATTGCATCCCTCGTCCTGGTGGAGTTGTTGAGGATCGTCCAGCCGTCTGCCTGTTGGACTGCTGACGCTGCTTCAACCCCGACTTCATCCCCATCTTCCGTTACACTACTCGTGCCCCTTCCCCCATCACCATCTACCTTCCATCTCCATTATCTGATAACATATTGCCCATATCTAAATATAACTGTCACATTATATTGTTTGTGGAACCAGCGTTATGCGCTTTTCCCTCGCGGTGCTGGCCACCGCCGCCCTACAGGCGACTGTCGGTACGGCGTCGATTCTCACGCCCCCAGTCCTGCCGTTGATCGTGCGGAACCCCTACCTCAGCACTTGGTTGGGAAATGCACGTCAGGAGCCATGGTCAAAATGGCCTATTTTCTACACCGGGGAAGAAATTGGCTTCTCCATCATGGCGCAGGTCCCTAGCACCGGATCGGTATATCCGTTGTTGGGCAAGCCCCATGATTATTTGAAATCGGGTTCTGGGTATGCAAACCAACAAATGAGCCAGAGTGCAACAAAAAACTAGATCACACAAAGCTAACCAAGCTGCTAGATACAAGGTCCAATTTCCAAACTACACCGGTCTCAATTTCGATGCTTCGACGACTAATCTAACCTACCATATCGAGTCTTCTTCTGCCCCGTTCGATATCACGGTCTCGTTCCTGTCTCCTATAACACCGACATCGACTCTGCGGCAGTCGATTCCGGCGTCCTATGTGACAGTTCATGTCCATGGCGCTGTTGACGTCAACATATACATGGATGTAAATGGGCGCTGGGTGAGCGGAGATGCTGGGAGCCCTATTACATGGAGGCATGATGTTCTGGGCTCCAAGAAAGACCACGATCAGGTTAGTCTCCGGAGGTGGCAGATTCAAAGACAGAATGAGCTGCTCCTTTCGGAGATTTCAGATCGTGCGGAATGGGGAACCCTTCACTTCACTGGGCCTGCTGTGTGTATCTTCCCCCTTAGCTGGACATGACCCATGGCTGACAATTTATCTAGGATGCCCAATGGCAATCTGGAGAGGCTTCTGATGTTAGACGGGGTTTCGCAAAGAAAGGAGCCCTCATTAACGAGAATGATGAGTGGCACCGTGCTATTGGGGACCGAGAGCCGGTCTTTTCACTCGCCAAGTCTTTCAGCTCCAAAAATGCCAAAGGCAGCGACCACACCCAAAGCGTGACATTTACTATTGCACTCATACAGGACCCGGTCACCCAATTTGCTGCTAGCCGTGGATTGACTTTCATGCGTCCACTCTGGCGGTCATGGTTTTCAAGCGCCGAGGAACTCCTTCAGTTCCACTACAATGATCTCTCGAATGTCGCTGCTCTGGCATCGAGTTACTCGGAACAACTGGCACGAGATGCTTACCTATCAGGTGCAGATGACTATGTCGACATTGTCGCTCTCTCTGCTCGGCAGGTTATGGGTGCCACCCAGTTTGCTGGTACTCCGGACGACCCAATCCTGTTCCTAAAGGAAATCTCCTCCAACGGCAACTTCCAGACCATTGATGTTATCTTCCCTGCGTTCCCATTCTTCATGTATACTAACCCACGGTGGTTGGCGTATCTCTTGGAGCCCTTGATCGAGCATATGCTTAGTGGACAATACCCGAACACGTATGCTATGCATGATTTGGGAACTCATTTCCCTAATGCAACCGGCCACCCAGACGGAAATGATGAGTACATGCCCGTGGAAGAGTGTGGGAACATCCTCATCATGGGCCTGGCACTGGTAAACTCGCTCCTCTACAACGAAGACTCGGCTGCATCCTCTATCTGGTCTACCAAGGGAGCACCCGCACAAGTACTGGCAAAACAGCAACAGGGATTCTTCCCCCTTGGTGATCTCTACAAAGTAGATGGAATTGAGAATATTGACCAGAACTGGGGCGGTGGCTCGGAGGGCCGGCGCCTTGCGGAAAACTGGATCAAACGAAGTTACGGACTCTGGCGTCAATGGACAGGTTACTTGGTTGAATTCTCTCTGAAGCCGGAGAATCAGCGTAAGATTGACTGCCCCCACTCACTGATATATTATACTGATTGAAACAGTTTCTACCGACGACTTTGCTGGCCAGCTTGCTCTTCAAACGAACCTTGCGTTGAAAGGAATCGTGGGTATCAACGCCATGAGCAAGATAGCTGAGGTGGCAGGACGTGATGAGGACGTAGCGTACTACAAGGTTTGTTTTCCACCGTCCTAATGACTCGTAAAGAGAGCACAGCTGACATCAATGTAAAGAACATCTCCGACATCTACGTCGCCAAATGGGAAGAGTATGGAATGTCCAGAGACGGCAGCCACGCGAAGCTTGCATACGACTGGTACGGATCCTGGACTACCCTCTACAACCTATACGCCGACGCCCAGCTCTGCTTCCACCTAGACGGCACCGATATCGCCTCGTCTTCCAATCACCACCACCACCACCAAAAGCCCCTCCACCCCGGCGACGGCGACGACAAGAAGATTGGCTTCGTCCCCCGACACGTCTACAAAAGCCAATCCTCCTGGTACAGCTACGTGCGCCAGAAATACGGTCTCCCCCTAGACAACCGCCACCTCTACGCAAAGACTGACTGGGAGTTCTTTGCGATGGCCGTGACAGGCCAGGACACACGCTCTGAGATCCTCGAATCCGTCGCCAAATGGGTGAACGAGACCGTCATCGACCGCCCCCTTACTGACCTCCACGAAACAGAGGGCGATGGCGGATACCCGCATCCCGACTTCTTCGCACGGCCTGTGGTAGGTGGGCATTTTGCCTTTTTAGCTCTGGAGCGTGCGTGTGGAGGTCGAGCAATGGAGGGATTAGAGTTTCTGAACGACCACGATGATGCCATCGAGGCGCTCGCCGCTAAAGCCGCTAAGGAGTTCAAGGGTAACAAGTACCACTACGGGCCCGATGGGGATGAGCTGTGATCAAATCGAATTGAATGAGAGGTGGAGTACAGTTTAGTATATAGTACGGTGAGAATTTGGGTTGTTTGCTTGGTGGGAAAGTTGGCTTTTTATCTATCTGTCATCTATCGATGATTGGTTGATGTAGCTATGTCATAGCTCCATGATACTCCATATATGCAATGCAAATGATGTAGGTGATAGCAGCTATGAAATGTGATACGTATGTAAGATGGGTTCGATGACATGCAGAGGTTCATGTAGGAATGGCACTAGCTCTTATCACGACCCATCAACATAGGATCCGCTAAGGACATAAGATTAGGATTGAAGATTGGCGAACCCGTGGACCATTGCTGATCTACAAGTAAAATAAGATAAAAGATAAAAAGATAAACCAAGATGGAACCTTTCAGCTCTCACCCTATCACGTCAAGCTACTTGAAAAGAAAAGCTGCAGATAACCTGCAGACTGAGATTTTTTTTTGGTGTTTCAGAATTTCCTATTTTTTGACATTCAAATCAAATTACATAGGCCCGTTTCAACCCATACAAGATTGAATTTGATAGTTTCGTCCCGCCATCCATATCGTGTCAACTTGGAGGGATAACATGAGAACAAGGGGGAGGGGAGGAAAGGAAGAAGAAATTTCCACCCGTCAATTTTTGGGGAATTTAGTTGCCGAGGCTGGGGAAGTTCTTCTCGTCAACGGTGACGGGAGCGGCGCGCTCACCACCAGCACGGGGACCGTTTCCACGGCCGCCACGAGCACCGCCTCGGCCAGCACCGCCACGACCGCCACGGCCGCGGGGACCGTTACCGCCAGTGCGGGGGGCCTCGACGAAGCGGAGGTCGACGTCAAGGAAGTTCTTCTCCTTGCGCTGCTTCTCGCGCTTGCCCTTCTCTTCCTTGCCCTTGATGTACTCGGTCTCACCATCGTCCTTCAGCTCCTTGGCCTCAGCCCACTTCTTGTCGAGCTTGCTGCCCTCGTTGGCGGCACGGACGGGCTTGGCGCGGAGGTCGTCCTGCTGGGCCTTCTCAGCCAGGTAGTCGGCGAAAGACTTGGACTTGTCAGCGGCCTCGGCATCCTCGGCGGGAGTCTCGGGCTCGTTCTCGTCCTTGTTGGCGATGTCTTCGGCGGCCTTCTCGTCGTCCAAAGCCTTCTCACCGCTCTGGGCACCCCAGCCCTGGTTCACCTGCTTGCGGGTGTCGCTATACCAAACTCATTAGTACTTCAAAAAGTCCCTGAAACTGTACCCCGAGAAAAAGCTTACGTCTGGCCGGAGCGGGACTGGCGGTCGCCACGGCGGCCACCACGGTCACCGCCGCGTCTTTGAGGGGGGGCAGCTCCTTCCTCAGTGGGCTTCTCGCGGTTGCTGTTTCTGCCAGCGTTGCGGTCACGGAAAGCTAGACACACATCTAATCAGACCAATGCCGTAGAATAGTAGGGCCATATCAAATCAAACATACCAGCCTCGTTGCCGCCAGGACGACCGCCACGACGGTTGTTGGTCTCGGGGCGGGGCTGGCTCACAGGCTCCTTGGGAGCATCACGCTTTCCATGTCGGGGAGCGGGTCTGTCGACAGCCTTTGCGGGGGGAGCGGGGGGTCTGTTAGGGTCGAGTTCAGGGTCATTGCCTGTCAAAAAGCGACGCAGCCGATGTTAGACATGTATGGTAAAAAAGAAAAGGGCCATCAAGACGATGATGTAATTTGAGATCCAGGCAGTCGCAAGAGAAGGAAAAGGAAGGGGCGTAAATTTACCAAGAAGCTCGTAAACGTTCTACAAGTGCAGATCAAAACGCATCCAAGTCAGCCCATTGATTCTTGCAACGACGAAAAAGCAATAATAGAAAGAGAAAAAAAGAATGAAGATCAATTGATTTCTTCCCCTCGAATCAAATCAACGCCGTATAAAAGAAATTTCTTATAAAAACATCGACTCTTTTTTCTGGTGAAAAAAAACCACCCAACATGCAGATTTTTTGTGCTGCTTCTTCCCCTGCGCTTTTTTTTTGTTTGAAACATACCTTGGACCGGACGTCCGCCATGACGCCTGGGGTATGAGGGGCCTTCCGGGGGAAGGCTCTCTGCTATCGCGACAATTCGACACGAAAGAAAAAGGGGGGGAGGAGAGCTCGAGTAAGGCTGAACCTCCTAGACGTAGGTATCCGGCCTGTCCTTTTGGGGGGGTGGGAATGAATAGGTGGTGAGGAAGGGGTGAAGGTGGATGGAGGCGACGTTTGTGGTTGCAACCGACTAATCGGGTAAGGTGCGGATTGCTGCTAAGCGAATCCGGCAGCAGTGAAGGTGATTGGCCCAAAGCTTCTAGGGCTTAGGGTATTGGCGTCACTCGGGCCTGTGTATGGCATCATCGAATCTGGAGGGGGTGAGGAGAAGAGGTCATCGTCACACGATGTACGTCAGGATTCTCATGACACCCATCTCGGAATAAGCTTAGGTGGGTGGTAAAGGATTCCATTGCTTTTGTTGGCTCCACCAATAGCACTGCTGTCACTGCTGCCACTCCAGCCGTTTTTAGTATTGAGCTACCTATTAAGTACTGAGCACGGCTATCATGGATCGATATAGCTATCGATATAGATCAGGCTATATACGTGGCAAAGGCTCCCTAACCAGACTGAACAAAAAATAAGGGAAAATAATATATATAAAATAAAATAAAATCACATATGCTCATCAAAATATATCCCGGTATATCCCTGGTAATATAAGTGTAGAGAAAACATCCGATACAACTGCTCCGCAGTGTCATTTGGTATTATCACACGATATCCATTTACAAGAAACTTTTTTTCTTTTCTTCTTTCTTTGTTTTGTTTCCCTCCGAGCGCACATTTTTTCAAGCTTCTCTTCGAGGGATAGAAAAAGGCGACCAGTAGAAAAACAAATGGTATCAACCGCAATCTCAAACGCCTGGCAATGCTGGGGAAATAGTCACTTTTGTCTTCCGATTCGCATGGACGAATGATGCCATGAACCAAACCATGATTTTTGTCTTTTTTTTTTGCTGTGTACTTTTAATAGATAAATAAAAACTGTACGTGAGTCAAGACTCGTAATAAATAATAAACAGAGAGAAAAGGCAAAAGGCTCTAGTGGCGGGTATTGTTCTGCTCGTAACTGAACGGAGTTTGGAAGTGCATGCTTGCACTCAGTCCGAATGGATCTGCATCCAACATGGGTTCATAATTGCCCATAATATTGTTGGTGTTTCCATAGGCTCCATTGGATCCTTCACCAGCCTGTGGGTTGAAATTCGACAGGCCGTGGGATCCGATGGAATGTGAGCCAGACGGAACTGACGCAGCGTTGAAGCCTGGAACGTAGGGAGACGGATCAACCGTGTCGTGGTCATCGTCGATGAGGTCTGCTTGGGCATCATATTCCTGTTCTGTTTGGTATTAGCGCCACGATTTCTATAAACAGCAAGCGGAAGAAGCCGCAACCTACCTAGTTGATCATAATGCTTTTGGAATGGAGATGGATAGTAAGCCGATGGAACTCGGGAGCCCCGTCCCGCACCTGGCACGGTCGACTTGGGCTCAGCTGAGTCGGATTGCGGCATTCCCAGAGGCGGCGATGCTTGACTGAGGTTCCTCGAGTGTGACAGCATCTGCGAGCGCGCCTGTTGCTGGGGATCCACGCCGACAGGGGACATGGCCCCTTGGAAAGCGAAATTGCCGGGCGATTTGGCGTGCGATGGTGATGAGACATGGGAAGGAGGCGTGGCCTGGAACTGGGGCGACGGGATACCGTAGGCACCCTCGCGGTGTTGGGACATGCCAAACGGTTCCCCCTTAGGAGCAATGCCAGCTTGGTGCCGTTGTGCAGAATTCCGGTTCACTGCTGCGCGCTCGAGGGATGGGGGTTTGGCTGTCATAGGGGTGGGTTTCGCCGGTCCTCCACTGGGTGTTCCGGTCTTCAATCGCAGCTCGGCCTGTACATCAATTCCTAATGGCGGCGTCAGTGGTTGTTCACGAGGCAACCAGGCAAGGAACACCCACCTTTCTCGAGCAAGATCCGTTCCAACAAAGAATTCTTGTATCTCAACATCAGACACTCATCGGCAGCGCTACGATGGTTCTGCTGCAGGGTCTGCAAGCTATCCTCATTGCGCTTGATAGTGGTTTCGAGCTGGCGGATGTATTCGGTGCGACGTTCTCGAAAGGCAGCCTGAGCCTGACGGTTGCGTTGTTTACGTTCCTCCGAGGTGGCATAGATCTAAAAAAAAGAAAAAATGTATAAGAAAAATGAAAAACAAAAAAAAAGCAACGACAGCGACGAGGATGATTGATTGCAATGGAAGAGGTTGATAGAGGGAGAATTCAAGGTGGGATTGAGGATTGCGGGGCCCCGGATTCAAGATGCAACAACACCACATGGGAGAATCGGGAATTGGATCGATTGACAGATGGTTACGTACAGGTTTCCTTCCACCCTTTCGCTTCTGCGTCTGGGCCACATCCTGCGTCAAGGCCTCTCCCTCAGCCTCTGGGGTTGAGACGGACGAGCTGATAGAGCCCTCCGGTATAGGCTCGGTCTTGGGGATGACAGAGTCCATGACCATGTCATTGTGAGTGGAATTGGAGGTATCAACCATAGAGACCATTGGACTCTGGCGGGTGGTAAAGTCCACCCCTCTCTTTCTTTTTTGAGAAGGATTGATTTAATTTGAGATTGATTTTATAAATTGATTTTATCCACCCTGTATCACAATGACAAAGGAAAAAGGCCGAACCGGAGGGCGGCGGGTCTTACTGGGAAGCAAAACTGCCAGTATGAAGAGCCAGGAGAGAATCGCAGACGCAGGAAACGCGCGGCTGGGCGGTAGAATGGGACGTGCGAGACGAGGTTAACGAAGGCGTGACATAAAGGAAATTGACGAGGGAAGGAGATAGGGAGGAGAGAGAGAGAGAGGAGGAAAGACAAGAATAATAGAATAGAATAATGGGGGTGGGAGGGAAGAAAAGATGTGAGGTAAAATTATTTACTAAAAAGAAAGGGAAAAAAAAAAAGAAAAATGGGGGAAAAAAGGAAGGCTCGGTAAGTGCCCAGGGAAAAAGTCTTCCGGGTCAGCAGTTTTAAAGATGGTTTGGCTTCACGATGGACGAGGAATTCCAGCAAGAGGGGTTTTTCTTTCGGATTCGTTTGGTTTTATTTTATTTAATTTTTTACTTTGACTTTTAATTCCTTTCAATTATTTTCTCTCCCCAGACACGAAAAGAAAAAGAAAAGAGAAAAGAAGGGTAAAAAAAAAAAAAAAAAAAAAACTTCATCCACATCCAGACAAACATCCTTAGCCTTTCTTGCCTCTCTGTCCTTTTTTTTTTCCTCGCCTTTCGCTTTTTTTCTTTTTCTCTCTCTTTTCCCCTCTAAGGCGGCACGATGCGATCCACTACGAGGTCAGACCCAGCCGGGAATCATCCGCCAGGTCATTCATTCCCTCCGGTTCACTCCTCCTGATCCAGTGGTCAGGCGTTTTTCCCACCCATGCAGCAGGTGGAGAGAGACTGCATCGACAGACTCGACTAAACGGTGACAATGGATCATCGTCGACTCTTGACGCTTCCAGCAAGGTTGGGAACTTGGGGTAACACGTTGTGGCTGCGGCGGTCCTGTTGGCAGAGGTCGAACCCGTTGCAACAATGAATCCATCCGTGGTCCGTTCAGACTGATTTGGAGCGGATGGCGGAGATCCCCATTCCCTTGTGGTGGTGGTGGTGCCTCTCGTGGAAAGATCTTATTTTGCCTTGTCCAAGGCAAAAGGCTACGTACGTCTACCGCCGGTACCTGTCTCCGCGGAGTCTCCACCTGGTGGTGCCTTGATCGTCCTGGACTTTGCATCCTCATCCATCTTCATCTTATGATTGTTGAAGGTAACTATTCCTGGTCAATAGCAGATCTCTAGTAACTGCACTGTCATCCTGTCATCGACTGTCATCAACATCCATGACATTAAATTCAATGGTGCCGATACCGGCAGTGGCCAACATTAGCACACCCAGCGGAGGTCAGACCATCAAGGCCTCCATGCTCAGGGGAAATTACGGAGGTCCATCATGAAACTTCTTCTGGTCAAAAGTTTCTTTTCTGGTCTGGTTGACGCATCTCAAGTAGTCTGACTCGACTTCACATTTTCTCCTCCACACAAAAAACATGAAACCCCTCATCGGTCTCCTGCTGGCCCCGATACCACATGACCTCGAGGACTAGGCCAAATCAACCATCCCTACCCCAGCGCGGAGGTACCACAGCTAAACTTTGTATATCTCTACTCGATCCGATGTAGTACGACACGTACCCCGTATCGAATCCAACAGGACAAAAGCAATGTGACATCACGAGGATCAGCCACGACCTGTTTGATCATCCGAGTTCACTGCATTTTCGCGGGGTTGGTCGAACAACCGACAGTAGCCAGTTACATAGTCAACTTGCCAATGGTTTTGGATAATCATTGCTTGCATCAAATCACCCTACAGAATCAAAATTCTATATAGACACCTCGCTTCGCCTCGCCTTGCCTGTCGCCACTACAACCATCCTACCTAACCCGGAGTGGAACACCGGTCACCCAGAAACTGCCGTCGGCTTGGGTTGGCATTTCTTGGAAGCTAGAAACTATTCATCTCGGCCTTCCATTATCACAGGCAAGATGGCCGAGTTGGTCCAAGGCGTGAGGTTAAGGTCCACCTTAATACCTAGCTTTCTAGCTTCCTCATCATCATCTGATGGCGTGGGTTCGAATCCCACTCTTGTCACATATGTTTTCTTTTTTGGACATTAGATTTTTGCTCTATCGAGGGAACGAACTGTTTTCTTGGACGGTAACGTAGGCCAAGAGCAATAATCGCTTGATAGCCTGCTTGGCTGTGTGAACCTGATTTTTGCCAAACAGGAAGGAGGAATTACATTTTTGCCGGCAGAAAATTCAGCACACCGACAGGTGTAAAGGAAAAAAAAAAAACTCACTTCCCCGCATATCCATCGCCATAAAATTAGTGGTGAGAGAGCAAAAGAAGTAAAAACAAAAAGATATGACAAGAGTGGGATTCGAACCCACGCCATCAGATGATGATGAGGAAACTCGTAGAGTTAGGTATTAAGGTGGACCTTAACCTCACGCCTTGGACCAACTCGGCCATCTTGCCTTGATGATGGAATTTGCTTCAAACTAGTGCTACATGAACTAAGACAAAACTAGTAAGATCATGCCCAGGATCTAGAACTGACAGCCGTCAATCTATGGAAGCCAAGGCAGATAATTTGTTTTGGTATAATTCTGGCTTCCTAGCAGGTATTGGATAGTAGTTTACTCCGTGCCGTGCGTAATCGAGTTTACTGATTTTTTACCTACAACCCAAATGCTTCATGGTTATGTTTGTACCCCGCTGTGACTCGAGCGGTATACCGCAGCACCATCACGGATAACACGGCTATGAACTCGGACTCTTTCCACTCTGGTGAGTCAATTTCTTTATATGTAATCGTTTAGTGGAATCTTGCCCTTCTCTATAGAGTACTCGGTGAGCAGCGAACTAGTTGTACTGCATGCTATGATAGGGGGCCTGGAGGTTGCTCCCCGCTCTTCTGGTGTAGCCATTCATCATGTACTTGTTTGGGGTTATACTGGGGGGTTGAGAGTTGATGATACAGTGCTTAAAGAACTGCTTGCTTTGGGATAGCTGGTTTAGCCTGTCTGACCTTTCGTTATAGGTACATAGTACTGCTTATGCTGGCGTACGGCATGCGCGGCGAGTTTTAAAGAAGAACTTTGGGGCTTTGGTCATTCGAGGGGCTGGATCATGCATTGCATCATCTTTCGAATGTACACTGTCGCATTGGTCTTGTTATCAAGCCATGCCCAGTGTTCGTTCCCTTGGAATGATGCTCCAGTGGTTGAACGGTATAACCACAAGCACAGGCTCACAGCCTAAGAGAGTTCCGGAATGGGTGAATAAGTCTGGAGGCTGGACGTCCAGGTAAGTTTCACGGACTCCCCGAGGTAGCACTTGATGTTATTCTTGTGCGCATGAAACTGCATGATGCGGTGCAACCCCAACCAATGCACCGGGACAAGATATCGAGTCCTCCCTCGCATGCTGGGAGGTGTTCTCAAATAGTTGAGCAACCCCTCACCTCCCGGGATTTGATTTCATCTTGGAGTAGAGGTTTCTTCCACGGTGTCTCGTGTTGTTGATGGTGATTCTCTCGGTTTATCTTACTCCAGTGTCATGAACACGTTTGAATCCCTTAGCCTGGAATTTCTTCAGATGGGGCAGTCATGTCGACAATTTGTTGAACGGCGTGTCCTTGAAGACATCTGGTTCTTGTATGTCTGACCAGTGGGAAAGCATCCTGGTGTATGAGTAAACAGTATATCCAGGTAATGCCGTATCCATTGCCAGGTATTCAAGGACTGTCCAACATAGACGCCAATGATGAGTCTTGAACTGTGTAATATGGTCCAAGTTTCCATTGTAGGACGGCCAAAAGTGGTTTCTCATATTGCTCATTTTTGGTCCGGCCAAGGCTTTGATTAGAATATATGTTCTGACTGTATTCTCCGAGGCCTGTAGGAGCCCAGGCATGAGCGTAGATTTTGTCGTGGAATCCCCGTGGGTGTGTGATGCTGCTCGACTCCAACAAATTTAATGTGGACATTTCAAAAATGTGAGTCTCTTGTGATAGGCTTCATTATCCTGACGATTAAATCTCCAGGAGGAAAAGGTGACACCTAGTGTATCAATGAATTCAAGGCTCCCAAGAAATCGCACAATCCTGCATCCCCGCTGCAAAATTAATTTGGTCAATATCCCACACCATCATGCAGACAGCATCACCAAAAATTCCTACTGCATCAATTGATGAATTGATGAAAGAGCAAAAAGAAATACTTGACAAGAGTGGGATTCGAACCCACGCCATCAGATGATGATGAGGAAACTCGTAAGCTAGGTATTAAGGTGGACCTTAACCTCACGCCTTGGACCAACTCGGCCATCTTGCCGGGAGATGCTAGATTGTGGTAATATTTGCTTACATGAGCCAAACTCTGAGTTCTTACTGACAACGAAGCCATGGACGATGAAACTTACCAGTGCCCCTCCAACGTGGAGTGCGGAGGCCAAACCCAAGAATACCGCTGATCGTGGTTAAGCAGAGAAAGATATCTCAGAGAACGAGACCGGAAATGGTGGTGTTCTCACGTCTTCCCTCATAAACACAGATTCCCATAGCTTGTAATGAATAACAAACGAGACAAGTTGAGCGAGTGCCCTGGTAAGCCCTGGTATCACTATCATCGTCATCAATAGAGTTGGTTCACGACACAGGGATCAAGAAGCAAAAACAAATCATTCGGGTAAAGATGCCACCCATTTGATGGGGATCAGAAGACTTTCACGCCAATTTTCTTTTAAAAGAGCCTTTAAGATGCGTAAACCCCAATGCCGGCTGCGTTGTGAGAAAGCTGTGCTGTCGTTTCCATGTCGGAGGGCATGTGCGAGATACCGGGGCCAACAGGAAAGGGGGGGGGGATGCGTCTGAGAGATTGGTGTTCGTGATTGTCATCTAAGACCACTGGAGTGCTATGACAGGCTGCTGTCAACCACAAACGATCATTTTTGATAAACAACACACACACCAGGCAGTGGTAGCCTTCGGTATTTCTAGATCTGGGTATTTTCTACTCTGTCATGTTTAAATGCTATGTATGTAGAATATATTAAATAAACCAACAAGCAAGCATTGATGGTCCAACGGTTAAGATGCCTCTCTTCCAAAGAGGCGACCTGGGTTCGACTCCCAGTCAATGCATTATTCTTTTTGTGTTTTTCCTTTTTTTTCATTGTCACATGACCTGGCCCATCTACTCCTGCAAACAACCAGCGCTCCTAGAAACCTTCTCTTTGTCCTCCACACCCTTGGTAGCTCTCTAGAATCTGCGCTTCTCTTCATTCTATCAGTCTCACCCAGGCAAAACTCAGGATTACCCTATATCACAGACTCGGAGTCATGAATACACTCTGCAATATTCCGAACTATTGAGGCGAAAGGGGCGGTGAATATTCCAAAATGGCAATGGAATAATCAATCCAAACTTCTACTTTTGGGTGGCAACCAGAGGCTTCTCAAGAGACGAAAGTATTCAAGACTGAGAGAATAGGGAACCCTCTACTGAAGGGTCTCCTGTTTGTGTTTCCCAAATGCCCAAACCAATACGAAAGTTTTTCTCATCCAGTCAGCCACGGAGATCCCATGGGGCTTATCAAGGAGGACGAAGACGAGGAGTCAGAGGCATCAACTGAAGATACGCAGATGACACAATCAAGGGCGTGTTTATAGAAGTTAAAGCTATCAACCTAGCTTGGACTACTTACATGGCGACGTTTCACGGGGACCCAGTTCCAGGAATCTACTGCTGGGCCATGGATTTAGGAGTACGGGTGTGCATGACATTCATTGCAAATTGATGCCCTGGGTTTTGCATTTGGCCGAACTTGACAATGGCAAGGACCTAGAAATTCATCCAAGGAGTCAATCAAATGAAGCTCCATTGATGGCAAACTCATTTGTTGGCTGGATGCACTGAAGAAGTGATTGCACAAAAACCAAGGGGTTATGTCTTTCCAAACACAGCAAGAATGTGTCAATTGGAGGGAGTTATACGGACGGTAGTCGCAAGACTGTACCAAAGAAGATAGAGGAAGCGATAAATACTCTCCGGCCACGAGCTTGCTGCATATGAAATACATATCCGTGCATCTATTGTTTTCAGTTGTCTGGAGGTGCATAATGATAATGCGAGCAAGTAGATAATTAAATCTAGCTGTTACATATTCTCCGAGATCATTCGGGTAGAGTGCCTGCTATTTAATCACACAAGCGGTGATGGAATTACATGCTAGACACACAATTAGGGCTGGCTTGTGTAGTCAATATTGAAACCCCATTCATCAATCAAGGCAAGATGGCCGAGTTGGTCCAAGGCGTGAGGTTAAGGTCCACCTTAATATCTAGCTGTTAGCTTCCTCATCATCATCTGATGGCGTGGGTTCGAATCCCACTCTTGTCATATCTTTTTGTTTTTCATCCTTTTACTCTCTCTGTCTGTGTTTGTATAGGTGCACCTTTTTTTTTTTTTTTTTTGTCGGATGTAGCGGCATCAACGGTGCAGAAAATGGGAAATAATTCCAGTCGATAATAACCTCAAATGTCACCGGATGAGAAGCTCAAAGCAATCTTTCAATTTACCCAATTCAAATCCTCGGTGACAGCCTGTTTATTTCCCTCGATGATCATCTGACTATGCTGTAGGGATTATGGATAGTTGCAGCTACATATGTAAATATATCGCCAGTCTATCGTCTCAGGACCTTGGCATGATACTTGGCGGTTATATCTGTTGGAATTATTGAAGTTTATAACACCGGGGTATCTAGCTATTGAATACGGAATGCTATCCATGTATGTAGATAGGGAGCGCATGACTATCGTGTCTTGTCTGTGTAACTATATTGAGCTTTCGTCGTCTTTGATACTCGATGCTCGAGCCGAGTTCCGGTCATGCACTCCGGACATGCTGCCGTGGGAGGCAGATATGCAGTGTGTTGGATGGCTGCATCTGGTGTGTTGCTCAATTGCTGATCTGATAACGATTCAGAACCCGTTGCGGAATATATTGTCGTTCGTTAAATAGGTTCAGGGCAGAACCTAAACACCATCAACCAAACTAATGCACCAAATAACCATACTTATCAGTACCATCTAATTCACCCCCAAGAATATTCTAGAACCAGAATCATGCCAGACAACAATAACGACATGCAGCGTGGACGGCACTTCCCCCCTCCAACAGCCGCGGCGATCGGCTTTCGGTTCCCCGCCAAATGAGAATCCCACCGATCCATTCTTCACATGCAGAAACGAACCACACATCAGACTCCTCGCCCACGCAGACCAAGCCTTTCCTCAACACGCACCCCCATCCACCTCCTACTCCTGTGAATTCGTTCTCTTTACTAGTTTGGAATCATGGTGAACTCCGCGTCGCCCGGCCAAGCGGGCGACATCAAGCACGATGACACAACTGTGCCACCCGTGAGCAGCGGCCAGGAGAATGTCAGTGCTGTTAAAGATAGCGGGGATGGCTCGACGACAACACCCGCGCCTGTCGAACAGAAGCAACAAAATAGAAACGAAGCCGATGATGACGAGGATGAGGACTCTGATTTTGATGAGTTGGACGGTAAGTCACTATCCAATCGACTACATACATGACCAAACTAACACACACAAGATGTCCTGGATGACTTCTCCAAACCCAAACCCTCCGCAACACCCAGTCAACAAGAACAGCCCCAACAGCAACCGCAATCTGCCGACATGCCCGAGGATTTCGACGAGGATGCCTTCATGAAGCAACTCGAGCAAGACATGGCTAGCATGATGGGCGGCGCTGGCGCAGGTTCTGCCCCGGAACTCGGAACCAAAGATCAAGAGGGTTTCGAGGATACCATCAACCAAGGCGCAGATGCATTCACCAAGCACCTCGAGGAGAGTGGGATCCCCCCGGGCGACTTTCTCAAGGAACTTCTTGCGGATGTCATGGCCGGCGGTGATGGTGGTGCTGGCGGTGCTGCCGATGCCGCCACACAATCTGGTCCGGGTTCCTCCGCTGCTGGTGGTAGTGAGGGCGGTGCGGTGCCGGAATCATTCAATGATGCCATCCACCGTACTATGAACCGCATGCAGGAATCCGGAGACAAGGCCACCGCGGCCGCGGAGCAGGATGACTCTGCTGACGACATGATCGCGCAGCTCCTCAAGGCGGTTGAGGCGGGCGGTGAAAGCGGCGACGGCGACCTTACCAAGATGTTCATGGGTATGATGGAGCAGTTATCGACCAAGGAGATGCTGTACGATCCCATCAAGGAACTGCATGGCAAGTTCGGTCCTTGGCTGGAGAAGAACAAGGGCAAGGTCTCCGAGGAGGAGATGGCCAAGTACCAGAAACAGGCTCTTGTTGTGTCGCAGATGGTCACCAAGTTTGAAGAGCCGGGTTATTCAGATGAGGATCCCAAGTGTCGGGAGTATGTGTGGGCGAGGATGCAAGAGGTGTGTTTCTCCATTCTTAATTTCACGCAATACTGACAAATTCAGATGCAAGCTGCAGGAAACCCCCCAGAGGAGATTCTTGAAAACCCTCTTGCAGGCTTTGATGGCGGCGGCGGTCTGCCCGAGTGCCCGCAGCAATAAACCAAAAACGTCGGTAGGATCTAACTACGATAGCTCTTTATACTTTGGGTATATTCAAGTTTATTTCATGGTGATCTATTCTGGATGCCCCATACATGTTGGCACACTCTGTACATATATCAATCGATACCCTTATTTACCAATGGACACATGGCTTTGCCAAGGACCAGCCCAAGTGAACGCCATATCCATCAAAACGCCTGCTATGCAATGCCATATCGTATGTGTAGATTCCGATTCCGATCAACCACTCATATCCATGCTCTGGTCTTGAGGGACGGGATCGGCCAAGTCCATGAAGATATCGTCATACTCTTCGTCGCTGAAAGACGAGCCATCTGTCCGCTGTTGACCTTGTCCGAACATCGACTGCGGCTGATCCCGCTGCATATTCTCAAACAATGCCATCTCCATCGCCTGTTCTTCAGAGATATACTCATCCAAAGCCTGAGCATCTGCATCTGCAACCTCCTCATCCAACAAATGCTCATCAAACCCGCTCATGATTCCATCCGCCCTTTTCCGCATTGACTCCCCCCACTTCTTCTGCTCCGCGACATGCTCCATCAGCATGAGCTGCTCTCCGCGATTCTCAAAACGGCCATTATCGCGATCCTGCTTGACTCGGTTCAGGAAGGCTTCGCGTCTCTTCTCCCGCGCCAACGGAGACGACGAGGTGGTGTATGATCGCTGCACGTTGTTGTTCTTGAGGGGGTTTGAGACGGTAGATGCGTAACGCTGTGCGTAGGTCGGGGAGGTCTTGGAGCGAGAGGATAATGATGGTGAAGATGTGGTTGTGGCGGCGTTATCTTGGGGGAAGGTGTTCTGGGCGGGAGACGCGAAAGATGGGAAATAAGTTCCCGACTGAGGGAGGGAGAACATTGGGAGGGTGGATGTTGGAGCTAGAGGTGATGAACGAGCGGGGGCGTAATGGGATCGAGCGTGGAGGGGTTGTTGGATTGCGACTGGAGAGAGTGTAGCAAACATGGTGGTAGGAATGGGCTGGATCAATTCTTGGTTCCGGATGGCGGATGCGGTGGCGTCGACGCGTACGGAGTAGTATAAATTGAATTTCGTGGAAAATTAACCAGATAGTACGATGATAAATTAATGGGGAAATAGAGATAAGATGGACAGATGGAGAACAAGCACCTGTATTCCCCAGATGAAGTAGACTCTTTATAAGACTAAAGCAGAAACGACGTAACTGGAGAATTCCCAGCCTCGCGGTCGCGATGCGGGCTGGGGATTTCTCGCGGTGTTGGGCGATCGCGTGGTGACACGGGATCACGCGACTTGGAATCGGCACTAGGCTGCATTGGGTCATATTGCATTCCTGAGGCTGCAAGGCCGCATTCCGGGACATTTTATCGCGCTGATCACAGATGATCATCAGATATCATCGCAGGTCAATCTACAGGTCACAAACTAAATCGAACTCTGAATCGTATGCGATTGTCGTCTGTGCGAAATTGCCCGAGCTCGTACTGGACGAGCTGGATGTGGATGTAGACATGGAGGTAGAAGTAGAGGTAGAGCTGGAACTGGAACTGGTACTAGAGGAAGAGGAGGAGGTAGAGGAGCTGGAAGTAGAGGTATCCGCCACCGATGTGGCTGGAGAAAAGGACGTCACTGACGCAGAAGATTGCGCAGAGGCACAGTTGGCTATCAAAGTCAGCATCATTCATACAGAGCATATGCCTTGTGCCCTACTCGATTGACTCTGACAATCCTCGAGCGAGAAACCCGCCGATTGATCCGTATTGGCAATCTAAAGCCCGTTATTCATGTTTCTGATACGCGTGAAGCGAGGGCACATACTTCCTGACAGGAATTGAATTGATTATCGCAGCTAGAGTACATTAGCTATCTCATATCTCATATATCCGAAGGTAGTGATACTCACCTCCGCTGAGCAGCAGAATCGTAATCCGGCTAAAAACAGTCAATGAACCATGCACCACAGATTCAAGAGCAGAGAACATACAAACGTATCCCCATCCACCCCATACGGTCGCTGCGAGTCCCCAGTATTTGTTATCTAAACATCAACATGTAAGCTTAGTACCAGCTCCCCCATATCATCCAGCAAAGGAATTAGAACTTACTGCAGGCGCAGATCCTCCATAACCCCCCGTAAACGTCTATCAGTATCACAGCATGTCAGATATGACCAAACTGACGTCAGATATGACAACTCAAATTAAACCCACCTGCAGGTTTTCGTTGCTTCGTTTAGCCACCGGCGCCGACGTGTAGATCACTTTCATCGGGTCGAAATTAAATGCCGTGGCTGTGTTGATGATAACGCATTGCAGGACGAGAGCCGAGAAAGCGACGGTTGTCCATGGTGATAGGGATTGCATCTGTGGGGACTTCATTTCTGAAGAGTGGCTATCTCGGAATGGCAGGATGAAGACGAGGTTATTTGCAGAGATTATCTCTGATATGCAACAGAGGACTAAGAATAGTAGACAGGGTCAGGCATGATGGCCTCAGTTATAGATTGGGCGGGGAACACCCGCCAGTGTCACCACCAAGACCCTTGTTTAGCCCGACACTCGGCGTTACAAGAACCGCGTATCTCGACTCTTCATGGTGAGCGTTTATCGATCAGTACTTGCAGGTGGAGCTCGGGGTGATGTAATATGTAGCAGTTACTCCGGGTAGATGTTTCATATGGTAGTGTCTCTGAAATTATTTTCTGTCAAAATTACATACATATAGAAGAAAATGAACTTTTTTTTAAACCTGGGATCGGCAATTCACATGAACGCTAATCCTGGCTGGTCGAAGGGAAGAGGGCAGTGAGACAGAAGATAATGCAGAAGCTCACAAGTATCCCGTGCTAAAATGAGATGCTTCAAATTGTGTGGGGAATCAAGATATCAAACAACGATAGGAATTCTCAATCGAAATATTTGGAAAGGAGTGTGGTTCGACAAGAGTGTCAGATGGTCTATGCTGAAGATGAAGATGCAGGGGAAGATAACAAGGTGCTCTCAAATGGCGGACAAAAAGAAAACACCGGGGAAATAAAAAACATCAATCAAAAATCCGAAGGATTTCCCGCCCACAAAGCGCCTATAAACAATTGCATGATAATCGTACAGACTTCACATCCTCAAAAAGACTGCCAAGCTGTTGAAATTACCCATAGCCTCATAGGTCATTGGGTAAACAGAGATCGTAAGCCAGAGCATATGTCTAGCTTAGAAGTTGGACGCAGCGTTGACAGGCCCAGGGTTGTGATATTGGTCCAACGTGCTTCTGAACGGAGTGCCGGAGGCAGGGCTAGGGGCCTTCTCACGAGCACCAGCACCGACAGCGGTACCACTCATAAGGTCGGTAGCCTCGTCGTTTTCCTGTGCGTGGCGCTTTCTGGCGTTCATTCTCCAGAAGACCAAGGCAACGGCACCGAGCACGATTGCACCACCAACACCGACACAGACACCGACGATGGTCTTCTTCGAGGAGGACGAAAGACCGCTAGAGTTTCCACTGCCGGAATCGTTGTTGAGACCCGGGGGGTTGGTCACCTCACCGACGGAAGCAGAAGTGGTGGTAAGAGTGGTGGGAATGGGCGTTCCGCTGATAGTGTGGATGGTGGTAATGGTCTTGACGGTATGGCTGGTGGTTAGTTGGGTAGTGCTGCTGCTACTGCTGCTGCTGGAAGAAGTAGAAGAAGGATCCGAGGTGGTGGAAGGTCCATCGGTGGTTGCAGGTGACGAGGACGAAGATGTTGTCGTCGCTGCCTGGTCGGTTGTCGAAGGCGCTTCACTGCTCGAGGTGGTGGTAGGTTGTTCTGCCGAAGAGGTAGTCTCTGCTGCTGTTGTCTCGGCACTGCTGGTCGACGAGGTGCTTTCAGTTGACTCAGACGACGAGGTTGATGTCGGAGCAGTGTCAGCGGTGGTTTCAGCAGCGGTGGTGGCACCAGCAACGGCAGAAGTGATGGCATCGAGTTCTGTCACTGCTTTACTCTGGCCTGCAGTCACGGTCAAGAGTGACAGAGAGTAAACGAGGAACGAGAGAGAAGCGACCCGCATGATGGATGATAGTCAGGACGAGATGGATAGAAGATGGAGTTGATCAAGGTTGAGCCGCAGAGTACAAGACTTCCAGAGCCGGAATCTGACGGAACGAGGGGCCAACTGATGGTGCGAGGGTCGAAAATAGATGAATCGAGCAGGCGATATATCTGATCGATAATATCGAAGATAGGAGGAGGAGTAGTATTAGAGTATTAGGGCTGCGGAGGACAGAGAGGGGGATGAACGAATGACTTGAAATAGAACCCACGGGGGTGCAGGAAAGCGAGTGTAAGGAAGCAGGTGAAACTGATGATGCTGACAAGAAAGAGAGCAGAAGGAGAGAGAGAAAGGAAGAACAGTCAGACCGCAGCAAACAGCGAGGGGCGCCTTTTTCCCTTCGTACAGACTCGTTGAAAGGAACTAGCCGCCGGGCATACAGTACCGTTACGGAAATAAATCAGTGGGGCCCAGCGAAACAAAGCGCCAGCATCGGTGGAGACCCGCCCTAGCGGCCCTTAGCGTGGGAGCTAGAGGTTCATGAACCAGTCAGCAGCCAGAGTTTGAGACACAAACCAACCAGGCTAACCAGGAGGCCCCGGTCACATACTGGAAAATGAATCGCTGAAATGCTGGGCGGCCGGTTGATTGGCCGAGACCGATTAGAGTCTTGCTTCGGCCCAGCGACTAGCAGTCAATCCATTAGGGCTGCTGCTATTTTGACAGATTTGTTCCGTTCTGTCCGGATCTCCAAGGCTTCGAAAAAAATAAATGATCTTCTCTCAGATCAGCCGGTGTCCGAATACTAGTATAGATAGTTGTCCGAGTTGTCTCAGCTGGTCCGAAAATTAATATAATAAGATAACTGATAATAATATCATAATTCCTTCTTTTCCCTACTAATCTCACGGGCGGCCTGACCTGGTGACCTCGGTGCTGACTTCATGCTGAACTGTCTTAAAAGTTGGTACGGTACGGTAAACATGTTAGAAGATGAGACCCAATCAGCCCCATCGCATCCACATTCCCATAATTCAGCGCCCCGGCGAGTCCGCGCAATTAATTATGTAGGCACAAGAAGAATATTACTACGACAGGGGTACGTATGTATGTGCCTGGCAGCGTCAGAGTCCCTACATTAGTTGGGCCGGAGCAATAAATATTAAGGGGCAATTATCCGAATCTTGGATGGATCATATGTAAAATTTTTCTTTTTTTTTCTTACCTCCGATCTATTCATCCATGGGAGCCGCTGTGCCGGTTCAACCGACCGTGAGGATGAATGCCCTGCAGCCCTAGCTACATTATTTGTACACATTGTTCTTGTCCACAATGATACAATCCACTTCGACTACATTGTGGGATGGAGACTTACAGTCAGAATCTGATTACATTGGATTTGCCCTCGTGTCATTCGTTGGTTCCGTGCCAGCAGTGCAGAACAGCCTGTTCGTTTGCTCTGTGTGATCAGATGCGATGACGATCGGCGATTGTCGGTGGGATTCTAGATCAGTCTTCCAACAACAATCGTCGACCCAGAGGACTCTAGACCATCTGATGGGCGCGATTGGCTTTGTGTGCCTTGATTTCTCTGTACCTACAGATCTTCGCTTTCATCCTGTACACTTGTACTTCACGGGAAATCATAGCCAGCAATCTCATGAGTCATTGGTGCGTTTTTGTTTACAGTTTGCCTTAGGGGCAGGGCATCAATTACAAGTAGTAATTAACTTCTTGATCGACATTTGCCATGTCGAATCACCATGCTTTATTGTGTTTGTTTAATTCAGACCAAGTGACCAAAGTGATGCTATTCAATTATCTTGAACTTCGCTACCCGACGTCAACTGTGCCCCTGTTTCAACTTTGATCCTGAATGCTAAGAGAAATAAGCGGTGTCAAGGCTGTTTCAGCATGCTGATGTATTACGTCTGACAGAATTAATCAGCCATGATTCATTTGTCGACTTGCGAACTACTAAGCAGCTTTCACTCGTGGTTGATCATAAACGCTTGTGAGGTGGGGTATTCAAACAGATCAATTGATATGTAGTGATCATAATAAATAATATTGACAAGATCGTCAAGCTGCTCCCTAGAAAGTGCGAATGACAGAAAATGCCCAGCTAGGAGTCCTGCCAGGTTGCCTGACCATTTAGACAAAGAGTATCATAGCTATATCCCCGGATAAAACATCAGATACCGAAGAATGCAGCTCTTTGTTGGTCGGTCCAAGAACATCCACCAAAGATTATAGGACAGAATATAATATAGCGTCGAGGGTATCGTAAACATCATGGCTTTTTTCGAATCGAAAATTTTTTCAAGTAAAGATGGCCAAAGCCAGCTAAAACTTCGGTGGTGGTTTTCCTTTGAATTGATCCTTTATCTCCTCCCGGAAGTATTCGAAGAAGCGTTTGAGACCGGGACCTGGTAACAAAGGGTTAGTTGACCACCAGAAAAATGGGCCGGCGACATACCATTGTTGTCCAACTTGGTACCTCCCATTTCTTCGGGAGGCACACCATGTCTTATATGTTGAACCTTTTGATGAACTCGTCCAACCATTCTGTGAAACGTTGGGCTGGCCAGCAGCTGCAGTATATTCGAATCAGTACGGAGTAGGAATCACAGCAGTCACGAGAATGCGCATACCCGGGCAGTTAGCCAGACCTAGTTGAATCCGTTAGTTATTGAATGATCGCGGTACGAAGAGATGGGCTGATTTCCCCGGGCATACCTCAAAGGTCCGAGCCCAGAACCAGTGAAAAACCATCGTAACGGTTGGTCAGCATCGACCAGAATCTCCAAGACCAACGCCAGATCTATCAGCAAAGAGTGTCCTGGCAGAGATGACGACGAAGGCAAAACGGTGATGCAGATGGATGTTCACGCGACGGAGACTCTCCGGGCAGCCCACGAGCTTCGAGAGTGGCGCAAACCGCCGCCTCTCCACCAGTCAGAAGGGAAGATTGCCGGCGCCCGCCAACCTCATCGCAACCAGCTCTCTTTCGAACAAAACTAATCACGATGATCATTTTTCCCTTGGATCAAGGGGATTTTTATTAGTAGGGAGGTGTTAGTTCTTCTAGCGCTGCCACGCTGCTTCCATTCCTTTTCTCTCCCTATTCTACCCAATTTCTGTTACTTTTTTCCTTTTTTAAATCGCTCCTTCAAGGCCCAGTAACTTTGTTATAGATCCCTGCGTCTAATTACATCACGCTTCTCGTTTTCTCAATCGACGCGACCGTCGTGACGGCTACGGTTTTATCATTATTCTTCTTATAATATTGCTATATTATTATTATTATCATACCTCCTTTTATAATCTCACCGGCTTCAATCGTCTTCTTATTTTCTTTTTTCTTTTTTTTCCCTCCACTCTTTTTTCGTCCCTGCAGCCTGAATAGTCGCCTCTAATTTGGTATCTAATTCTGCCGGACTTGCTGGCCACGTCCGAACTCGTTCGAGGTGCGGGGAGACAATTTTTGATTTTTGATTTTCAGGCAGAGTCATCAAGACTCGAAGAGGGGTATTGTTACTATTCTTACTTGTTTCTTATTATTCTGTGTACTATTTATTTCTATTCCTTTCTTTCCACCCTCCTACCTATCTTTAAACCGCCCCCAGTGACGCCATTCACGCCTTCCCGGGGGGTTTTATGCGGGATACTCGCTCATACTTTTAACGAACCCTCCCTCTTTACTTCTCGATCACGTTGCGCTTTTCGTGGCCTTCATACGTCAGGGCCCCGATTTTCGCTCTTCACGATTGACGCGATCCACCGGCGATTCGACATCGTGGACTCTAAAACTTTGGCCAAGCGTCTCTCACCGAGGGGCAGCTTCCACAGCTGTCCCGATCTGTCCGCGCTACAGATATCCCTGCCACAACCCCCCCGCGGCAGCGGCATAGCTGACGATCCATCCGACGGCGTCCAGAGGGCAATCATTACCGCTCCCTCCTCTCGTTCTCCATCTCCCGACACTCTCAGTCTTCGCACCGGACCGCGCAAGCTTGCATCGACTGGAAAGCGGGTCTCCAGAAAGGCCCGCGGCGTCCTGGGCAAGGTTAGGGCCTTCCATAGGATCGCTGCGGCCAAGATGGCACATCCCACCATCAAAATCGATACAAACGTCCAGGCCACCAAGCGTGGCTTCCCCGAGGATACAGATGAGGGGTTCGAGGTTATCGATGGACCCGATCAGGATCACTATGGGTTGGGTGAGGATAGTGAACATCTTCCACCGTTTCTGTCTATACCGGTTCTAGGTAAGTTGGCGCTTGGGCATAAATCCATCTGCTGCTGTAACTGGTCGACTAACAATCGTCTCCCACACAGAAATTCATCAAAAATTCGAAGAGCTCGAATGGATGCAGAGAGCACGTTTTGCGGAGAGCATACACAACGATGACCCCTCCCACCGCTGGGCTTTGGAAAATGACCCGGAGGTCAAGGCAAGAAACCGATATCTCAATGTGCAGGCGTGGGCCAATTATCGGATCCATCTACGGGTGCCTGAAGGCGAGTGTGATTTTATCAATGCCTCTCCAATCATATTGAGGGACTCTGTGACCCAAGAAGAAAGGAGATACATTGCAACACAGGTTAGTACCAGTGTTCATCCTTTACCTGGAGTGTGGTTCTAACACTGTGTTCTCAAAAAGGGACCTAAAATGGGGCATCTCGCTCACTTTTGGCATATGGTGTTCCACGAAAGTCATGACGTGGCCGTCATTGTCATGCTCACGCAAACCTTCGAGTCTGGGCGGGAGAAGTGTGGGCAATATTTTCCTCTTGATGCCGAGAACCCGTCAATGATCCTTGAAGTGGACGAGGACGACCTGTTTGTGGATGATGATAGCCATGGGAAAATCAGCGACACCATTCTGGGCGACGTCATCCTTTTGGAAACAGTCTGGGATGAAATGTCTCGCTCTGAAGTACGAAAACTTCAGCTTACCTTGGGATCTCAATCGAAGATTGTTTGGCACTATCTTTTCGCGGGATGGGCAGATTATTCCAAGCCCGAAGGGGAGGACCGCGAAGCTCTTCTCCAATTGATCAAGCAGTCGGGTTCCAAATGTGCACCTGATAACCCTCGCATCGTGCACTGTAGTGCCGGTGTTGGTCGCACTGGAACATTTATTGCTCTTGATCACCTTTTGAAAGAGCTAGAATCAGGACAATTGCTGGAGGTCACCGACACAGATATTGATCCGATTTTCGAGACGGTCAACCAGATGCGTGAACAGAGAATGATGATGGTGTATAATGAGATGCAACTGCAGTTCATATACGAAGTTTTACGCGAACAGGTCGATATGAAGCTTGGCAGAGTCACCAGTTACGGCGGAAGGAGGTCGGATGAGAGGTCTGCCAAAATGGCCAAGTTGTCCAACGACTCGGACTATTTACCTTCCTCAAAGCCCGAACTGGAGGCTGCCACTGATCGTGCGACACCAACAAGGAGCTGGTCTGGCACTCCAGAGGTCTCCGACAATGAGTAAAGCGTTGCTTGAGATATATTTGGAGGGCAACAACAATACCTTTATTATATTATTATATGTGCTGCTGGGGACTGGACTTCCTTGACTTGCTTGCAGCAGCATTGGATTTGTCCGTCCATAAATTTATCTCTTGAACGTCACTGATGCATGCATTTTTATTTTTTATGACTGGCAATGAGTTCTTGCATTTGCTTTTACATTTCTGATGAGCTTTTTTGCACCACTGCATGGCATATCATGTTTCAACATATCATCTTAATTGTCACTTCTTTCTTGACCCTGTTTATTATTCATATTTCATAATATTCTTCCACCTGTTGAAGTTTGTCAATTTTCGACTTCAACTTTTAATCCTCGAAGTTTGAGGAAATGATTTTGAACTGTCTTGTGATTCAATTCCCTCATGGATGCCCTGACATTAGAATTGGTGTAAATTAGCAAGTCTTGAGAGTTGGTCGTGATGAATCAATGACAGATATCCATCATTCATGTATTTTGATTCAAAGCACCATGAACTTGATTTACTATACGTAGTAAAAGTTTCGCGGATCCTCATCTCGAGATGTGAAAGTTTTTATTTTATATATTCTCCTATTTACAAGGCAGGGCAGGAAACCATTGACAGTAGCCCAGGAACTGGGCTCTAGTACACAAATATGGTGAAAGATCGGACGTACACATTATATAATGTTAAGCTCGAGAGAGTTGAGAACGTGAACCATGCTAAGATCATAAAGGAGCGTGTCTTGCGAGAGGGGGTAAGTCATCACGGTCGGATAGAAAGTGAAGAACAATGACGAGGTAAGTAAGAGGAGAATCAGGCCAAATGTGGGACATGAGAGGCATAATATGAAGAAGCAAAATATGCGAATAAATTGTGAGAATCAATCGGGCGAGGTGGAGGTGGAGGTCGTCGAGTAAGAGAAGGCGTATGTCATCTCTGATGCTTTTGTTTCTTTCCTTTTCTTTTTTTTTTTTTGCTTCCCCCAGAAGGGTGGATATCTGAGGAAGCTTGGAATCAATCTCCGCGCTTCTTCCCATCGGACTTCTGGCCTTCATCGGCGACATCTTCCGTATCCCAGTTGTCAACGGCGTTCTCATCCCAATTATCCACCTCCTGTTCTAATGACATGACGCCGGATTCCTGCGGCCCAAGTCCACCATCCTCATGCTCGTCTTCTCTGGTCAATCCGGACCTATCTCCAAGCTCGACATCTTCCGGGTCATCTCCCAATGCTCCGAATCGGGCCTTGCGCCGCCGTTCGAGCATCCGCCGATGGTACCAGCCACACAGGCCGATGGCCCCTAGACTCCCGACAACATTGGCGAGGACGTCAAAGGCATCAAAGTCGCGGCCGTTGGGGAGGAGGGCTTGGATGATCTCGGATCCAACGCCCAGCGCGAGTGTGCACACGATTAAACTCAATTGTAGCGTGCGTCGACGGGAGGTATCCGGGATCCAGTAGAAAGCGATAGAGAGGAAGAAGAAGGTTACGAGATGGAGGAATTTGTCATTTGGCTGGAGTTTTTCTGGGATCGCAGAGGCGGTACTGTGTGGGAGGAGGCCGACGTAAGCTGCAAGAATGATGAGGAAGACAAAGGCGCCTATGGATGGTTAGTCGAGGGAGAAAAAAATATATTTTAAAAACAATGAAAAATAATAGATGAAATAGAAAACTCACCCGCAAATGGGTAGCGGATCCGCATTGTGGTAGGAATGTGATGGGATGAAGGTGAACAGGTGTCTGGAGAGCTGCTGGCTGTAGATCTGATCTCGGGTGTATGATGTTGTAGTGGTGGTCACTGCTTGCCGGGTGCGTCATGTGCAGCAGCGAGCAGGTGCTGTGAAAGAAATAAGGGAGAGATATTCTTCACGCTATTGTGGTCGTGGTAAGAAAGAATAGGACAATCAGAATCAATAGCCCATAAAGAAGAGCCCTGCATTGCCCACAATAAGCACCAGCATGATTCCATCCACCAACACTGCCTCAATAATCCCCATCTTCCCATTCATTGAAACTGCGCGGTTGGTCTGAACTGCGGCGGCCGCTCCGCCGTCACGCTCGACCTCACCTCGTCCATTCGCGCAAAGAACCTCCTACAGAAGCGCTTTTCTTTGCCATCAAACCACCCGCCTGCGCCATCGTTTTTGGGCCGGGAAACATCTTCCTGCTCTTCCCTGCACCCCCAAGTTTATCTCTATGCCTTTTTCCGCCTCTCAAAATACCCCGTGGTGCCCCCTCCGGACCTGATCCCGACCGTGGAGAAACGAGCCCCCTCGCCCGCCCCAGAACCGGGGTTTTGGAGCGAGCATGTCGCTCGGTCACCACCACGCCTGGCTGCCCCCAGGTCATCTGCGGCCTCCCGATGATCCTAATGACCTGCGGTCCGTCAATGGCTACTCGAAATCTTTTTCCGGTCCCAAGACACCCCAGATGCGCGCCTCTGTCGGTGCCGACGGGCCTCACGCGGGCAATTTGATATCGGAGGCTGATACCGCCGCGGAGGAGGACCCGCGCATTGCCATGTTTCGGGATCTGTATAAATGCAGTGAGGCGAAAATAAATTATCTATTCTCCAAAGACCCGGCCGCCGAAACACCTACCAGTACTGCTGTCGCGGATGCTGGCGAGTCGGAGACCCAAGATGCACGCGCCGATCAGCCGGCGCCGCTTCCAGTACCCCCGAAGAAGCCCGCCAGAAAGTTGGATGACGATGACTATGATGACTACGACGAAGATGAAGATGATGATGATGCAGAGGCTGCTGATTTGGCTCCATCGCCTGTCAAGGCCAAGCCTTTGATGTCTTCCCAGGACCCCAGTGGCATCCCCTCGCCGAGTCATCGCCCCAGCGTCGCACCTACTGATAGCTCCAAGGAAGTAAAGAAAGAAACCCTCGAGGATATTCGGAAGAAGCTGGAGGAAGATAAGAAAGCAACTGAGGAGGCCGCCAAGCGAAGCTTCCATACAATCTTCTACACGCTTGAAAATGATAGAGATGCCATGTTGGACCAGCAACGGCTAGAGGAGTCCGAACGACAAGTGGAAGCCGAGATGTCAGGACAGCCCAACGGTGGCAGCAACAATGCGACTTCGGGCTCTGATGGCTACGGCTCACTGAGCAGCGCGAACCTCGGCGCTTCAAGTCTGACCTTGAAGAACCTGATCGCTAGAATCGATATGAAGCGGACAATGGTGCAAGCCTCTGACGCCGAGCTTCGAAGCTTGATGAGCGAGGTTCGCAAGAATCGGAGCAAGTGGGCCAGTGAGGACAAGGTCGGTCAAGAAGAGCTTTACGAAGCAGCAGAGAAAGTCCTTAGTGAGCTGAAAGCCATGACGGAACATTCGACCGCATTTTTGACTCGCGTCAACAAGCGCGATGCACCAGATTATTACACAAGTAAGAACTTCGCCTTGCTACGGCCAAGTCGTCTCCGAGCTATGCTGACCACCAATAGTTATCAAGCACCCAATGGATCTGGGGACGATGACCAAGAAACTCAAGGCTTTGCAATATAGGTCAAAGCAGGACTTTGTTGATGATCTCATCCTGATCTGGTCAAACTGTCTCAAGTATAACACAAACCCGGAACACTTTTTACGGAAACATGCCTTGTACATGAAGAAAGAAACGGAAAAACTTGTTCCTCTCATTCCAGAAATTGTCATCAGAGACCGCGCCGAAGTTGAGGCAGAAGAAAGGAGACTCCAGATGGCGGAGCTTGATGGTGCGGAAGAGAGCGATGACGAACCCATTATGTCCTCAAGAGGCAGAAAAGCACCAGGCAAATCATCTAAGAAGGGAACGGCCCCCGTTCGGAATACTCCCAGCGGGTCCGAGCCCCCTGGTGCTCCAGCCTCTCAACCATCTGCTCCCGTACGTTCTGACTCTGATGTTGCAATGGAAGGAACCCAGAATGGGTTCGCGACACCACCTCCTGGGATCCCAACCCCATCTGACCCTCTAGGAACTGGGTCTGGTTTACCTGGAAGCCATGGCGACTCTATGGAGATTGATGGAATGATGTCATCGAGCAACGCACTTAGCGCTTTATCTGCAGCTGGTACTGAAGTTGAAGATCCTGAATACAAAGTCTGGAAGCAAGTCACCAAGAAAGATCGAGCCGTTATCGCAGCAGAGAGACACCGTCTCCTCAAAGGTGACAAGCTGAACTCTGATGAGCCGGCTTTGCTTAGGACAAAGGCCGGTATGAGAAGATGGTTGAGGAACCAGAAACTCAATGCAGACATCGAGAAGGCCCGGGAATCGACCTCACAAGCAATGGGGCCGGACGCCGCGGGTGAAACTCTTGCTGAGGGCATAGAGGAAGAGGAAGATAAAGTAATACCCGACTACTATGATGTTATGTCTGGTGTCCCTGATCTCCCCGAACAAATCCTTTGGAGAGAAGATCCCGATGGCAACGTTGTCGATGCCTCGGAAGAATTCCTGAGAATTCTTCCCAAGGGTTCATTCACCCAAGCAGACAGTAAACTTTCCCGGAAGATGGATGCAAATATGCAACAGATGCAAGAAACCCGAAAGATCTGCTCAAAGGTCGGCATCGTGAAGCAGATGCAATTACAATCACAGGCACGCAATTCCTCCCTCCTTTTTCCCTAGTTGAAACTAATACCTGCTAGATGTACCAAAACCAGTTCCAGAAATATCAACCGGAACCATTTGTGGAGCACGATGTTCCTCCCCATGTTATGAATGATGGAGGACCCGTGGTTTCCCCTTGGGTCTGTAAAGCTGCCATGCAGCGGTCAGTTGCCAAGATCTTTTATCATGCTGGGTTCGAAGAGTACCAGCCGTCAGCACTTGATTCTGTCACCGATATTGCCTCAGACTTCTTTCAAAAGATCGGTGAAACTTTGAAGTCCTACATGGAAACTCCCAAAGCCCCAACCACTGACTCGCCGGATAACATGTCGTCAAAATCGCAATGGAAGCGAGCGTACACGGAGCCGGAGATGGTTCTACATACTCTCTCCTCTGTTGGTACGGACATTGAATCTCTTGAGTCATACATCAAGGATGATGTAGATAGACTTGGAACGAAGCTTGCAACTGTACACGATCGCCTGAAATCTCTTCTTGCTGAACTTCTTCGGCCTGCCCTTGCGGATGCTGGTGAAGATGGCTCCAACGCCTTTGCGGATGGAAGCGAGCAATTCGTTGGTGGTGACTTTGCTGAGGATATTGATGAAGATTTCTTTGGTTTCAAGGAATTGGGCTTGGATAAGGAGTTTGGTCTCGCTACGCTCAGCGTCCCACTCCACCTCCTTCAGAACCGGTTGCTTAATCCCTCTAATGCCCAGAATACAAGGTATGTTACCCCGTGCATCGGAAGAGGACATTGTGCTAATTATTTTCAGTGCTTCCCCAACCGTTACCCTCTTTACTCAACCCTCTGCATACCCCCGTATATCAGTAGATACAGTGTCATCGCAGATTGGGTTGATGCAAGGGTTCTTCAACCAAAAATTACAGAGCAACAACAACGAGCCTTTGGTTGAAGATCTTGAATTGCCACCGAAGCAGAGGCCAACGGCTACCCGGCCGCGCCTTCCAGCATCTGGCAAGATAGCACCTCCAGCTGGTCTTGGCTCAACCACGAGTCCACAAAAACGGCCACCCCCATCTGGAGCGCCTGGACAGCCGGGCAAATCTGGACCATCAGAGCCTAGCAAAAAGAAAGTCAAAAAGAACAGTGGAGTCTCAATGGGAGTTCCCGGATCAGCTGCTGAAGGAGAAGAGTCCATGGATACAAAGCCAATGGAAAATCCGGCGTTGACGAACCTCAAGGCCAATGATACCAACGCAGACGAAGGCTCTGCAGTTTCAACTACTGAAATGAGCAGTGGAAAGAGCGGAGCTGACAGCACCGCCCCTACCAGCGCTTCCAACGCTGACCAAAACAAAACAAACGAAGGCGCTGCGCCCATGACAAACGGGACTCTGGGCGATGCGTCATGATGTACGATTCCGGCAGTGATTGCTGTTTCTGTGGGAGGAATAAACTCATCGAATTGGCCTCGAAGGGTTTTGTGTACTTTAGCCCTTTTTTTTTTATTTCTTCCTTCTTGGCCTTCTTCTTCTTCTTCTTCTTCTTCTTTTTTTTTACCTTCTTTTTTACCCTTTTCTTACCGTTAACTATTTTTGCCATGTTTTTCTAGTCTAGATCCCAATGGGATATTACAACACGTTTGATTTGAGATCTTGTTTTTGCAACCCCTACCACTTTTAGATAGCAAGATGCCTTTCTATCTGACATGCCAAAAAAGCACTAATACAAAGTAGTATTACAGATTTGGAAATTATGGTAAAAAAAAACCCCGATTTGTTCCATATTCCTTCCATATTCAAGCCTCATCACAGCTGGTCCTGCTTCCTTCCAGATCTTGGGACCCTCATATCGTGCTGGTTGCCCTTTCCCTCTCACGTCCCGGTTCATCCTTCCATCGATCACCGGTGTTCCTTTCCCATTTAGTCTGTGGTTGATACCATTTCGTCGAGAGAAAGTACACGCTGTCTACTATTTCCTTGTCTGATTGCTGCTATTCATTGAATCTGTGCCTTATCTCTCGGTCTGTTCTTGTTGTTTTCTCTTCCATGTTGTATATTATTCGACATATATCTCCCTTTGGACGTTGTAGTTTTGGTTGTCGTTCTACACACATAGGATATCATGTCTATGATTGACTACCCCAGCGACTCGACTAATAAAAGAAGAGCCGTTTCAAAAATCCCGTATTCTATTTCGTTGCCTTCTGTCCTCGTAGTCGCAATGCCCCGCAACTTCAAAGCCCTAAGAGAACAACATCGTGGATCCGTAAAAGTCCGCCCAACAACTAGTAGTTACAATGTAGTCGTTTTCCTATTTATGGTATCAAGCTGAGGAGATATCCTTCATGTTTAGGCGCGTATTTTACACCGATGTCGAGAGCTACATTTTCGGCCCTTTTTGTCATGACAATTTATATCTTTACGCAGTCTTACAAGACAAGAACATACTACTCTGGAGGTAATTTGGAACGAATTTTGTTGAAATTGCTAGCTAAATAACTGCCCCCCAAGTCACTCACAATTGGATATTCTAGTCCGCAACAGCCATCGTTAGGGTCTAATTAGTCTCGTGAGAATCCAGTCGGTCCCAATCAATTGAGCTATCGCAGACCCGAAACATTCCAAACCAGGTGAACTTGGAGTTAGAAAAGAAACAAAATGATTGATTTTTTTTTTAATGGTTTTTGTTCAGTGGAAGAGATGAGAGTGGGAAAATCAAGAAGAGCAAAAATCAAGAAAAGAAAAGAAAAGAAACCAAGGCTGCCGACCAATGTGCCAGACATGGCCAGGAAAGAGTCGTAAGACATCTGAAGGTACAGTCAAGCTGGTCCCACCTAGATGAACCACATGCCGAAAGGAAGTCTGTTCGAGGTTCCGTGGATAGGCAAAAGTCTCGGGTCGACGGGGCGGTTCTTGGGCTTGGGGTTGGTCAATTTGACCTCTGGACCGCTCTGAGGGCCGGAACTGGCGGGCACGTCTTCATGGTGACGAGCACGGGCAGCCGCCAAGTGGGCGTAGTAAACTGCCGGGACTATATTATATGTTAGTAATATTCAAAGTTTGGATGGTAGGAGGTTGCATACACAACGAGACAGAAGTAGTCGAGCGCATATACTGGTAACAGTGATCATAGATCATGTTCTCCAGCTCATGCGGCTGGTGCTTGATCTGGTCGAGGATAACATGATAATGCACCGGGCGAGAGGTGCCTTGAAGAGCAATGTGCGAATAGAGAAGGAAGTCCCAGTCATGGGGGCTGGTTACATCCTTCTCGATGAGCGTACCCGGGAGAGGGTTTCCATTGCGGTCCGCAGAGTTGCGGTCACCAGGTTTAGGAAAGGCGCGAAGGTGGTGACGCTTGTTTGCGATAACAACCGTAAACTTGCCCTTCCACTGATCTTGGGTAAGCTTCATGAAGATGGACTTCATATCAAAAACTTCCTGCTGGAGGACTTGTTCGAACTGGCCGGTAGAAACACCATCGCGGAAGTAGTAAACATGATCAGGAGCACGGCCTTCTCCAACAGTCGACATCCATTCGCGGACCAAAGGAGTTAGCATGATCTCAATGTTGGCACGGGCAATTATTTCGATGCGGTCTCCATTTGCCTCACAAGCGCCCCAGTAACGTCCACCAAACGAGTCCATACAGACAGACATTGCCGCCATAGATGGTGACCAGACACCAAGAGTCGCGTGAGTCACGTCCGCACCAATTATCATTGAGCGTGGCCTAAGCTGTGCCTGGGATACCTTGGGAACAGCGCGAGCAGTAGTACCGCCAAGCTTTGCGTTGACCTTCATGAGGACGTTCGAAATGTACTGGGGATTGTTCTTGACAACATGGCCAGCCTGCATGACTTGAGACGGAACACCCCATCGGCAATCGCACGACTTCTTGATTCGCAAGTAAGTGAACGAGTTCTTGTCTGGAACGATGAACAGAAGAATCTGGGGATCCTTCTGGAACTTGACCCCGGTCGAGTTGTACAGCCGTTTGACTGCGTCACCAACATCCTCCTTGAGTTCAACGATAAGGGGCCGCTTCGCAACATTGCCGCCATGTCCAGCATAACCCTTCATGAAGCTATCGCAAAAGCTCTCAACTTGGGTACGATTGACGGAGTTGCGCTTGCCTGGGAAATAACCGACACCCCAGGACTCAAGCGGCTTCTTGTTGGGCTGGTAGAACTTCTTTCCGCGAAGATCCCAGCGGCCGTTGGTACCAGGATTAGTGCGTGCATTACCGCCAAACTGAATTTCCGGGTTTGGAAGGAGGCGAGCCTTGGTTCGAATCATGTTATTGTCGATCTGAAGACCGAAGCTCTTGAGAATAGGATCATTGTCGTGATCCAGCATTTTCTTCGACTTGTGAATCGAATTGAGGCGATCTGCAGGACGAGAAGCTGCATACTTGATCATAGCAGAGGTCTGGTATTCGTTGAGCTTCCATGGGTACTTGTGAAGTCCATGGATGGTCAGAACTTCCATCGGGTAGACAACGCCTTTCTTTGTCATCTCGACCATGGGGAGCTCCCAGTAGGTAAGAGTAAGATTGTACTTCCTCTTGAAGTAGGTCTCAACACTGATCTTCTCCGTTTTGCCAGTGGCCTTATCCTTGATTTCAATGGTATAAACGCGGGCATTGCCATTAATCAAGCCCTTGACAATGAAGTCAGTTCCGAGAACAGGACAACCCCGGTAGTGGGGTTGAACACCAAGCTTCCTCAAGCGACGATGAACTTCATAAAAGGAGGTGGACTCGGTAGTTCCACCGTGGCCATCGGGGATGGGCTTCAAAAGGTGCATAAGATGCTGGTGGTCACGGCAGTCGAGAATCGCCATAGCAGCCCCCATAAAGGAGGTGCGGGCCCAGAAGCAGGTGTTTGATACATCGACATTGACAACAAGACCACGGCCCTAAAATAAAGGTCAGCAGTGTTCAGCAAGATAGTGTAGATAGAAACAGGAAGCTTACTATAGCAGGACGAATGGCCTGGTAAACGCCCTTGAAGGCAAGAACACCATTGCCCAGGTCTTTGTTCTCTCCCTCCGGATCGAAAAAAGATCTCCGAAGCGCAAGGAATTTACCGCTTGGGTATTCGCGAAGGACGTGATCAAGGAAGTCTGTGTTTGTTAACAATGGACCGGCAAGTTTTCCATAACAGTATCACTTACTGAGAGCCTCCAAGACCGACTCCTGCATAGAAGTTTGGCCGCGAAGCCAGGAATTGAGGACAGCCAGGTTGACAGTCCGGGTCTTTCTAACCACAAGGCGAAAAGTGTTGGAAGCTCTGCCACTGGTGCGGCCCTGCTCTGCATCCAGGTCGACCATGACGTTCAGACCATTCGGGTATTCGTTCATGGACCTGTATCGTTGATTAGCCGATTATCAAAATAGGACAGAATAACAGTACACACCAAGCCAGCTTGGAGCCATCAAAAATGATCTGCTTCAGAGCAGCCTTTCTAGCGCTGGACGCCCAAACCTTCTTGATGACGGCATTCTTTTCGACACCGTTTCCGATGTGGACCTGTACCATGTATTAGTATCATAAGAAGGTGGACCAAACTGATGAAAAATTGACAATGGTAGCCAGTTAGTCTTAGATAGATAAGGGGGCACTCACATCGTACTGATGAACGGTTCGACTGGGGAACTTCAAAATGGAAAAGGCGTTCACATTGACTTCGATTTCTTTTCCGGTAGTGTTGAAGCCGGGGCGAGGAACAGTTTCGCTAGGGATTGCATACTTGACCAATTCGTCAGCATCACGAAGTCGAAGGTGGCGAAGACCGCCATCAAGCTTGTTGATTTGTTCAAGGTTTTCCATGATGACGATGAACGTTGAGACAAGGTAACGATGTGAAAAACAGAAGAGCAATTGGAAAATGGAAGGATAGCAATGGGGGATCGGGTATTGAGAATGATGGAGTGATGATAGAGAAGAAGAGAGGAAGGAAGGAAGATGGGATGAGGAAGGGGTTTAAATAAATGGAAATCTGGATAGAAGGAAGCATTATGTGAATACTGACTGCGATGATGGTGGCAGTGAGACAAAGAGATGAATGTCGGCTTCCTACATCGATTGAAGTCTGTAGCCGGTGAATCGCAGCGATTGTATGCATATGCCGCTTGGACAACAGCAAATGTGAATGGGCATGGGAATCAGAGGCAGGATGGGAAGTCATGGGCGCAATTGAAAAAAAAAAAAAAGGATTCGCAAACAAGAGTTAGTACAACAGAGTGATGGTGGGAGAAGGGAAAGGGGCAATGGACGAGGGTTGTTGAATCTCATGATGCAGTGACGGGCTGCATGGCTTGCAGCGATCAAACGACGACGGAAGATAGCATCGCTCCATCAAATTCTCCAAAGCAAATTGACTTACCAAATTGTTAATATTGTATGCCCCCATGGGCAAGTCGATATTCCGACACATGTCGGTAATCCTGGGCTTTTCCAAAGCCGGGTCGCCCATCATGACAGACATTTTGAGACACTTTCTTAGAGAAGGCGAGTTTCCTGGCAATTGTGTTCTGTTAAACTTGTTCAAAATCAGGACGAGATTCCGATCGATAGCTATGAAGCAAAACAAAAAACAATAAAAGCCAGCAATGTAAGTCACGCAAGCCCAGGACTTGGAGAAGCACGACTGATGCAGCGAGGACAAAACAGGACCATTTCAGACGACGATGCCGTTCACCCGGTTGCTCCGAATTCGCAAATGCCCGAAGCAGTTCCCGAATGTTACAAGGAAGATGATGGCAGGGAGGACAAGGCTGCTCAGGCGGGGGACTTACCTTTTTGTCTTGCAAGACGAGTACCCTAGAGGCACCGTTCGGATTTTGGATTTCGAGGAATGGACTCGAGGGTTCAAAAGAGGGAGTAAGAGGAACCAGCCCAATATCTTGGATGCTGATATGGTGTTCGAGTCGGGTAGGAGATGATGTTGCTGTCTTAGCAAAGAGGAGGGGAGGGGACACGACGGGAGGATTTGGCAAGATTGCCAGCAGGGAGGCTGGAGGTGGATATGATGATGGTGGAGCAAAGAGGAGAAGGGAAGGAAGGCAGGAGGGCACAAGGAAGAAGGTGTTCGAAAGGTGGAAAGGGTGTTCGAAAGATGAAAAGGAAGGAGGAAGATGGAGGAGGGGATGGCGGAGGAGGATGAGGAAGGAAGAAGGAAGAGGAGGAGGGAGGAGGAGGAGGTTTAAATAGACGAGAGAGGAGGAGGGATCCCGGGTCCAGACCGAGAGATGAGAGATGAGGCCTGAGATGAGGAAGGTGAGGAGAGAGGAGAGAGGTGAGGGCGAAGAGATATGGGATATGAGAGATGAGAGGTGAGAGGTGAGATGAGGGATATGAAAGGTGAGGTGAGGTGAGAGAAAGAGTCAGTGTTACTGAAGCCAAACAGACTGCCTTGCCCTATATGAGAGAAATCAGAAACCCACGATGGAGAAATCCTTCAAAATCACAAAACTGAGGGAAAATTGCTCCTGATTAGTCGTGAGGTTGCGCTGGAGCCCTGTCGCCGAGAGTGATGGATGGCACGGCAACCAAAAGATGGGAGAAAGAGAGAGAGAGAGACGAAAGAGTTAATTGGAGCGGGATTGGACTCAGTTCACCTGGCTGTGTTGTCCGGAAGTGAGGTATTCTGAATGAGGTATTGTAGATATACTGTTGTCAATAGTACTTGAATAGAACAATAGGATTGGAGCGATCATTGAAACCTGTATACAGTCCCCTCAAGGCCTCATTTATTGACAGCTTTACAATCATTGGATATCGAATGACATCGTATACTTTTCTTTACTTATTGCCATCGTCTTACTTATCTAGTGTACAAGCAGAATATCAATGTGACCGTTTACTAAAACCACAATGGAAAATTGGTGTGTTACTGGAGCTTCACGGGATTTATAGTTCGTTGAAATCTAGAATGTGGTATTTGCAAGGAAGACGGCTATACAGAAAGAAGCTGGTCCTTTCCTAGATTGAATTGCGTTGTCTGAGAACTATCGTTTATATCCTCTGTCAACAGAAGATGCTCTTGAGTATTGGAAGACGATACGCGATAGAGCCGTATGGGTTGTCATGGGTATATACAAAGAGCCACGACATGGAGGACTAGATAGGATGACTGAAAAGTGATTCAAGTTTACAAGGAGATGATGTCAAGTCGATAAATCAGATTCATGTATGCTGTAGCTGAAACCTTTTCGAGACTGTACAAGCCGCATTCTGTGCGGTCAACCTATCCAACTAAACAGAGTCAATCCTCAAATCTGACCTTGGGCCCCAGCCATCAAGGGTCTCATAATAAAAACCTGCCAAACCAAATGAAAACGCCGTTTCCTCAAATGCAAAGCGACATGGAAAAATGACTATACATTTCCGGGGAGCTGTGACTGGCAAATCAAGAATGCGCTTTGCAACGGACAGTACCGAAGTGTTGATTAGAACGATTGCGAGAAAGACCCGTTATCTTGCTGCGAAAATGTCGTGTATATTGGTGGTCATATCACATCAGGGACCTGGACGGTAGATGCCTAAATATATAATTAGAAACTAAGACAAATATTGAACAGAGGTGATTTAACTATGGACTTACCAGTAAATGACTGCATCCCCATGGGAGTTTGCCCCCCTAGTCCACGCGGTAACGGTATCTGCGAAATAGACCCGGGCATGTCAAGCCGGCGAATGAGATCGACTAATTTTTCCGGGGAGAATCTGCCAGCATTATAGGCAGATGCCGAGGGGATGACGCTCAAGAGATGGACAATGTCACGGGGAAGTGGAGCAGCTGAGCCCTGGGGTCTGAACTGAGATCCGGTCGGTCCACCGCCGTTGATTTGCTGGGGACGCTTCTGCTGATCTAGCCGTCGGCCTTGAGGGACCTTGAGCGGTGACTCTGCTCGAATAAACTTGCGTGGCCGGCTCATGTCATCATCAAAGTCTTCCAGTGGCCTCTTCGGCGAGTTCGTCGAAGAGGCATCTGGATACCTCGGAGTAGGGGTGGCATGGCGAGACACCGTTTGCTCTGTTGGGAAGACCGCCTTTGGTCTGGTCTGAGAGGGGGAAATAATTGGCCGGACGGCAGCAGGGTCGAAGGACGGGGTGGAATATCGGTGAGCAAATTGTTCCAGTGTAGGGTCCTCAGGGAATAATTCACGCATCCGATTCTCAAGGTTGATGACCTGGATGAGGTCGCCATAGCGCGACTCGTATTCGTGAAGGAAGGCGAATATGGGTTTCGTTTTGTGAACATTGTCAGGATTGGATGCTAATTTTCTGACTGTCATCTCGAATACTGCTCGTGCGTCTGAGAAATATGGTTAGGATAAGTGCACGAAAACCAGCGAGTTTTAACTTACTTATAACATCATTAATATCAATCAAGTGCTTCAAGTACTCGAGGGCGAAGTTCTCATCTTCTGGGAATAGTTTTGCACCCCGCTCAAAGATTTTCGTTGCGGCGGGATCTTTGTAACAATGATATTCGATTAGAGCACTAGCGATGTAAACATCGCTTGTGATGCGACCTCTCTTGCGAGCATCCGCGAAAATCTGCCTGGAGCCTGGCATTTCTCCTGGTTTACCCTTGCCCTGGACACGGCGCATTGCGCGCATGAGAGCAATCCATGCAAACGATATCGTTTTGGAAAGAATTCCGATTTGAATAGCATGCGCATTTCGTACCGCTTCAATTTGGGCATTCTTAACCGATTCCTTTGCCTTAGAACCGCCCTGGTCATCATCGTCATCATCGGGTTTGGTCTGTTGTTTGTCGGGATTCATTTTCGCAAACGTTTCCTCCATGCGTGCAACATCCTGGGATTCACGGAGGCGGGCCTTTGCAATAAGATCGTAGAGCGCATCCAGGAGCTTGTCATAAGGCTCTCTGACCTTCGTACCTCGCTTGATCTGATCTTGCTCGGACTCAGAAGTAATTTCCAATCGATCAGCACGTTTGAAAGCAAGCAAGCAGCTTTCAGGGTTGGCTTCTATGCCTTGCTTCAAAAATTCGTTTCCTTCAGTTTCCATATCGTTCAGGAAGCAAAATTCGGCGGCTTCGAACCATATCTCCGGCAAGAACCGAAGGGCCATGAGAGCTTGCTTGTAGGCATACACCACGCGAGTTTTGAAAGCAGCAGGATCATCTTCTTTCAAAACCAATGGGTCTCCTTTCTCCCACTTGACCCAACGCTTCCAGATTTCAACCTGCTGGGTGAACTCAACATCACCCTCGGAGCCTGGCACAGGAGGTAATCTAGGCAGTGTAGTACGAATGAGATCTCGTGTAATATTCTGCAGCTCTGTGAACGAACTTCGAGCAGTCATATAAGCTGGCGACTGCTCCTGAAGGAATTTTCGGCCCTAATGAATAGAAAAAAGATCATGAATCAGAGCGAGTCCGCAATAATAAAGAGCACCACACTTACGGTGAGTTTGTTCAAGCCCATCTCAAACTGGTCGTATTCTTTCCAGAGCGTATTCACAACTTGGGTTGGAACGCAGATGGCTTTCTGATACGCTTTTCTGAGTAGGTCCATCTTCTGCTGGTCTTGCCACCCAGAACCTCCGACATTGCCTGGTCCAGAGCGAATGAATTCGACATAATCAGCCCAGATAGATCCCGAGTCCTTGTCCATGCCGACATAATGAAATGCCAGATCATATGCCGACGAGATAATCCGCCTTGATTGTCCAGTGGTGTCTGTTGTTAATGGGTTACGTCGTCGAACATAGTCCAGGTAGACCGACCAAAGTTGGACATCGGGAATGGTCAAAAGAGTTCTGTTGAAGATCTGCTCTAGTCGGAATAGTTCGCTAAGCTCCGATTCCATAGTGGCATACGCGACCCATAATTCGGCCTGTGACTGATGAGCTTTGCTTCCCGTAAAGATGGTCTTAACGGATACTCACGGAAAGAGGGAAAACCTTCAAGAATCGCTCATAGACATCGCGCACACAGTCGACCCTATTGCGACTTCTGTGTTCGCTAATGAGTTCGAGCCAGGCAGGAATGTCACCGCGAGGATCCTCTTGGATTCTGTCTTCCAGAATACCAACACGATCATGCGGCAATCGCCCTCTCGCCGTCGATGGTGAATCAGGGGCAGGAGTCGGTGCAATGCTTTCCTGCGCACTTTCAGATTGTAATGCCTGTGGAGTGTACAGATTTTGGCCAGGAGCAGTAGATGCATAATTATTAGAGGCAGCAGCAACATTAGCAGAAGGAGAATGAGAGCTATTGGAAACGATTTGCGAGCTAGCAGTGTTCTGCGCAGCTTCAGGCAATGATACATCAGGGGTAGAAGTAGCTTGATTTTCATTTCCAGAAACAGGCTGGGGAGGCACATCCACAGAAGTAGTATTCATGTCCTCAACGCCAAGTACAGCCGGTGGTTCATAATCTGCATCATCACCCTTGTCATCCTCATCCTCATCCTCATCATCCTCATCAACCACAAACCCGCCAATTGTTCTGGCCTTTGGCTGCACAGGAGCACCGGATGCAGGCGTGGCAGTTGAAGCCCGAGACTCAACTTGCGAAGGTGTCTGAGAGGGGTAGGCGGCGCCGCCAGTCTGCTGACTAGGGTCCGTTTCTGGGGGAAGAGAAGTCTGGTTGGGAGGATTGGAATCTGAAGGATCATTGGAAGGAACATTTTCACTTTGCTTGGAATCTGTCAAAGGAGCGGAATATTGATCTTGCAGTGTCTTTGAAGGATCATAATCATCTGAATCTGAACTATCTGCCCCCTGCTCCTCAACAGCCTTATAGTCCACAGAGTCCGCATTCATTGCCTGAGCCTGGAAAAAGGCCTTCTCAGCATCATCTTCGGCCATGACAAAGGGATGGGATCTCAATCGTAACGAAGTATGGAGTGTCGATATACAACGCCTGTGCACCTTGGAGCAAAAACGGTCAGCGGCTGACGTCGAAATATTATGCAGGTCTGACGGTGTTCTGCCCGCGGAAACTCACAATGAAAAAAATTAAAATAATATAGCAACAGAAAAAAAGAACGAAATAGTCAAGAAAACTCTGAACCGTAGACAGCAGTCACAGAGCCCCTGATAACCCCGGAAAAGAGGTGGGAACAGATGGAGTGGGAAGCGATGATGCCGTTGCACCGTTGGTGGCTATCGCAGAAGCTGCAGCTGTCACGCAGATGGCGGTCACGTGCCAAAGGCGGTGAGCGCGAGAATGCGTGCGCCGACGCGAAAGGGCAGCGCGTCGTCGATCCTTCTGAGTTGGTTGGTTGTTGGTTGTTTAATTGCTTTGCTGCCATCCATCCCCTCGATGGGCATCTGCAGTTTTTCTCCTCCTTCTCCCTTTCACACTCCCCCCCGAGTAAACAAACCTCTTCACTCGTCACCTTTTCTCACCTCTCTCTCACTTGTTAAATAAGTTCTCGATACCAAAGTCGTCTTTGACGTATAACGCCAGCGCCTTTCATAATGTCGGTCGTCTCTCTTCTTGGGGTTAAGATCCTTAACAACCCGGCTACTTTCCTCGACCCTTATCGATTCGAGATCACCTTTGAGTGTCTCGAACAGCTTCAAAAAGGTTGGTTGATAAACAAATCGAATTATTTTTTTCGATGGGGCTAACTCGAATTTTAGATTTGGAATGGAAGCTCACCTACGTCGGTTCCGCAACCTCGTTAGTCGAATCCTTCTCGATCAGCGCCACTTGAAATTATTAACCTTGAATAGGTCTGAATATGACCAAGAACTCGATTCTCTTCTTGTCGGACCCATCCCAGTCGGTGTCAACAAATTCATTTTCGAAGCCGACCCGCCAGACCTTAAGCGAATCCCCACGTCGGAAATCCTTGGAGTGACTGTGATCCTTCTTACCTGCAGCTACGATGGTAGAGAGTTCGTTCGTGTTGGATACTACGTCAATAATGAATATGATTCAGAGGAGCTCAGCCAAGAGCCCCCGGCGAAGCCAATCATCGAGCGAATCCGCCGGAATATCCTTGCTGAAAAGCCAAGAGTGACAAGATTCGCAATTAAATGGTAAGGAAATTGCCAATACACCTTAACTGTTATTGAGAGCGTGGCTGACGTTGACCTTCATAGGGACTCCGAGGAGTCTGCTCCAGCCGAATACCCCCCAGACCAGCCCGAGGCCGACATCTTGGACGATGACAGTGGCGCATATGGTGCCGAAGAAGTTGAACTTGAGGCTGCTCTGGTCAAAGAGCTCGAAACCTCGAATACCCAGGAGCAGGAGCCCAAGGGCGAAGACCACGAGATGGAAGGAGCTGAGCCAGCCGCTGGCAAGGAAGAGGAGGAGGAAGAGATCTCTGATGCAGACAGCGAGGATATTGAGGATGAAAGTGACGATGACGATGACGATCTCGAAGAGGAAGAGGGTGGAGAACCCGATGAGGATGTCGAAATGGGCGATGACAACGACCAGAAGCCCAATAACGCCCCCCAGCAGCAACAACAGCCTGAGGTTATGGTCCACTAAATGGATTGAGCTACGGCCAGTATAGTTATCGATCTGGGATTTTGGTATTATTCTTTACGGTCATTTTGATTCCGAATGATTTTACGACTGGGTTGCAACGTTTCATGACACCAGGACTTATCCGCCATATCTTCAAAGTTAGCAGCATTTAGTTTTTATGATATAGAAAAGAGCATAATTTGATATCGCAACATTTGTTCACAGACTACACCGTATTCTTCAGGCATTATGTAAGGCGGCTTGAACCAGGGATGAGGTGCATACTTCTCGTCTGCTGTGCTTCGTAGATATTTTTTTATGCACGGAGTAGCCATGGGGACCAATGCCCCTCGCATGATTGCGCAAGGGTTTATCTTTTGATGGATCATATGCAGGCCAAAAATCGATTGTGGAGGAATTACGCAATACAACGAGCAAAAGCCGGTGTAGCATGAGGGACTTTGCTCGCCTGGTGCTCTACCCTGGGTATGCACAGAGACAGCAGGAAGGCCTCAGGCACGTGGAATGGAATACTATTCAATGGAAAACTTCAAAGAGCGACCTGTTACTTCACCAGCAGATCAATAATGGCCAATCACTTTTCATTTCCAGTGACTAATACGGAGTAGAAAGCCCAGATATTCATTCCTTGAACCAACTGCCATGATGAGAAATAAGCATTAAGGAATAAGGTCAAGTGAAAGCAGACATCAATTCATTGTAGACTAAGCTTTGCTTCGATTGTAATACCTCTGATTATCTGCCTTGTATTCCATTCATCATTGATTACATTGTATGCTGGCTTGTTCTCTATTCTACATTCATTATCGGATTGGCGTTGAATGGGATCGACCTGGTTATACAGTACCTACTTACCCTGTATTCCATATAAATTGAAGCTGCTGGAAGGCGAAATGAGACCTCATTCCATATTCCATATTCCTACTGCAAGAAGAAAGGAAAGGGCAGAAATTGCCTACACATCCTCATACCACATCCAAGAATCTTCTAAATTCACCAGATTCACCCACCCATCCAACCATCCATGATCATCTACGCCTGCAACCATCGGGGTGTCAGTAACGGCTGGGGACCCTACGGTTCTTTTTCCCTAGAAGTCACACCCACAGGGAAATACGCCCCTTGTCTTTGTAAATCATGCCATTATGTTATCGCCGAAAAGCAGGTAGACGAGAGCCGCGAGATCCTACGGGCGAATCTCGATGTGTTGGACAGGATGCTCGATGTGGCGCACGAGAAACGGTATGACTCGTCTTTGGATTCGGCTACGATTATGCTTGAACTGCATCGGTTGCATGCTTGTAGGAATGAGGCGAAGGAGCGGCATGCGATGCTGAAGAAGGAGACCTGGAGATATTACCGGCGGAGATGGGGTTTAGAAGGGTGGTGCCTATAGGTATGTTGTTTTTTTAGGTCAAGACAATATCATGCAGAACTCAAGTGTCTCGTCAGTTGGAACAACTATATTAATTCAGAGTAACTAGGATCAAAGATAGTACATTTCATTCTTCGGTTGAACATCATATAACAGAAAACGACACAAACCATTGAACCACCAGTGGTCCATTTGGATAGCACGTAAACAGAATTGACAAAACTTGGGTATGCAGCTAAAGATGAATTGTTTTAAGAATATTATGACCAATACCTTCCTCTCTTGCACTGTAGAATCTACCACAGTACCATAATCGTAAACATAGAATTAAAGCCCAAACTTGGATCCCAACACTATAGTTTTCATCAGTATGACTCAATGTCAAAGGAAATGTAAAGGTGACTTACTTCCAAAAACTGCCTTCTTCTTCTGATTCGAAACGTATTTATTGACGTCTCTCGCCCAGTTGCTGCTGTTCTCTTCTAGCCTGTCCATGTGGTCGCCTGTGATGGAAAGGTTGTTTGTACGTTCCTGGACCTGACGCGACATGTAAGACAAGTAACCCTCATCGTTCCCCTGGGCGGGAGGTTGGTTATATGTAGATCGCCCTTCTCGAGCAGCTCTGCGGCGTTCTTGCTCATCGAGACGCATCTGCTCTTGCATTCGCTTAGATGGTGGCCGATCAGGTCCTCCGACTATTTAGTTGTTAGTGGCTTCCAACAATTAGAACTTCCATGTGTATACGCACTGAGAATATCCATGTCGGCAGGAGACACGTATTGTGTACCGGAAATCCACTGGACATTGGTGATTGTTGGCCGTGGGGGAAGGACTGCTTGCACATTGAAAAGTTGATCTTCAGAAGGTCGCCTATAATCGAGTCAGTAACCGATAACCAAGCACAAGGTATTCGCCAAGGGTATTGCGTACAATGTGGCACCAGATCCCCAAACGTTGAACAGTGCCACTTCAGATGGGCCTGCCCAACCCAGAACACTTCCAGTGGGGGAAATGACTGCTTCCGAAAAGCGTCTCATTTCAATGAGGTGACCGACGCTTCTGCTGCCAATCTCCTTGAGAGCTGGGATGGAGAATGCTCGAGTTCGCCCGTCCCCGAACAGTCCAACCAAGCTGTAACCACGGCCTCCAGTCTTCACAACAGCTGCAGAATCACACATATAATCATCCCAGGTTTTATGAGCACCCTTGGAGGTCGCAGGTTTGAACATCCTGCAGCCAGAGGCAGTAACCGCAATGACGACACCATCAACCTTTAGCCCAGTTCGCAAGCCTGCGACAACATTTGGGGTGGCCAAAGCGGGACTACCGGCTTCTGAGTCAATAGGGATGATATTGATAACCTTGTCATCAAGCGAAGAATGACCGGCAAAAGCAGCCATGTAGGTTCCATCACTAGCGGGGAGGATCTTAAAAGTCGCCAGATTACCTCTGTTAGTGCCGACAAAGCAGCAAATGCTCGAATAATCTGGAGAAACTATTAGCATGACTTTCCTCTGTTTTGTAATTGATGCTTACCTTCACCCTCCAAAGTCATAACCCCAAACTCAATGCTGGTAGGCCATTCTGGAGAAGAATCTTCAGTATGGCGGGACTTCAAAAAGCTACTGCGTTTGTTTGCTTTGAGTAATTCAGACATCTGCGCTGTGTGGATGACTGCTGGACCGCGCAAGTCAATGATTGCCAGACTACCACCTTCAAACCCAGCAGCCACGAATCCCACCAAACTATGCTTCAAGGCAGTCACTGGTCCTTGTTGCATGTCCAAAAGGGTAAGTGAAAGAAGTCCCTGTTTTAGTCCAGGATCGGTTCTGTGAGTGATGTTGGTCATGGCCCCAGGTCCTTCATTGGGGCCCGCACGCTCATCAAGGCCAAAGTTTCGGTTGTTTCCCCATCTGAAGACGACGACTTCTCCACTCCTCAGGCCGACAGAAAGTTCGCCTGTGGACCCTGACATCGATAGCTGGGTGACTTCTACATTACTGACGCGGCCCACCGCGCGAGCTAAATCGACCTGGATTACCTCGGCGTTCTCAATTTCATCATCGTGACCGACGTCCCAGAGACGAATGGTCCCATCTGCATGCGCGGTTGTGAGGACGTTACGGTTTTCAAAGCGCTTGAGAGTCTTTTTGCCCTCAGCACCGCCAAGCAAAAACTTAGGTCCTTGTGATCGCCTCTCCTTCAGACCCAACCAAGCCGATCGATCGACTGGGGTCAAAATCATTTTGTTCACAAAGGGGTGGACGAAAGAAAGATGAGGATGAAGCATATTCGTAGGCGTAATTGCATGGCCACTGGGGAAGCTCATGGTAATCAATTCGCCCGACGAAAGAAGGGCGATGAGGGCAATGGGGTCATGAGCACCACCGTAGTAAGGCGAGGAGCGCGGAATGAGACAGAAATCGACCACCTCCGCACCTGGCGGAGTTGGGATGTCCACTTTCTGCTTCGGGCTCTCAAAATACTTCGCAAGCATTGGCCAAGAAGACGTTTGGTAATTGGGAGTGGATCCCATATCTAAGAAGGTAAGGCCTTTCTTACCTTCAGATGCAATGTTACCACCAGCAATCAACAAACCAGTATCATCACCGTTGCCCTTCACACACCAGGCCAGTTGAGTTATAGGATCCTTGAAGCCAAGGCCACCACCCGAGGAAATCGGCCTGTCCGAGACGACACCTGGCTCGTCAACATTAGCGGCTTGAATCGTCCTAGCCATGATCTTGCGACCATCCTTCGAGTCCCAAAGGACCAGACTACTGTCTTCGTGGACTGTCAACACGAAAATACCATTGGGATGCCAAAGGGCCCTGGTTAACTTGGGTTTGCGCACGTCGTTGACCGGAATATCGGAATTACCGCCCAATGCACCGGGAGGTACTTCATATTCAAAGTATTTCTGGGCCACGTTTTGCTTGAAGGTGAAAGTGACAGCACCGTCCGGATATCCAACCAAGACCTTTCCGATATCACGAGGCGAAAAGGCGAGACTGACGACAGGGAAAAGCCGCACCCGCGGGTTTCTTCCTGCCCAGAGATTGGGGATCTTGAATGGCGTCAAATTCTCACGGTCGAGATCATAGGCGATAACATCACCACTCTGTAAACCGATAAAGGCATAGTCGAGGCTTGGATCGGTGAGCAATGCAGTCACATGGCTTGGAGGCGCATAGGAGACCAGCATCTGCTTGGACTCGAGGGAGTAGACGCAAATTTCATTCTTGGAATCGACGCTGATAAGCTTGTCGGCACTAAATTGAAGGAATTTCGCGGATGCCTTGCGTGGCAGGGTGAAGACGACGCACACCCGTCGTTGGCCGAACACATAGATCTGCCCACTTCCGAACTGTGTATCACTGGTGCCGACCGCGAGGAGGGACTGGACGGGATCGTATGCGATTGCGCTGATCTGAGAGTTTATACCACATCGAGCAACCTAGAAAGAAATCGAGGTCAGTCAGGTTGATTCTCTTCGTCGGTGCCTGGGGATCGCCAAGACATACATCGTCAAGGGCGAACAAGTCCGGCGACAGGCCTTCAGACAAGTCCTTTTGAATGCCAGCTTGCTTGCCTCTCAGGAACTGAGCCATCTCGACTACCTGAAGACAAAACAGGTGGAAGAGGAAAAGAAAAGTAGGAAGATTGACGAAGGGAGCGGAGCGGAGGAGTTACTCCACAGGTGGGTTGGATTAATTCAGTTTATTGCCGCGGAATGTTGAAGCTGCTTGGAGCAGCTGACTGACGCCATGCTTCAGATCTGCCCCGCTCTTGGCTCTCCTCCATGAACGAACAGTTTCACCGTGGAGAATAGAATATTTTCTAATTCAATAGTACTCTATCTTCTACAATTGATTATATACTCAATTTACATTACCAGCATTGGTTTGGTGTTCCTGAACCCCTGGGTGTGGTTTCCCTACAGGAGCAGGCAGCGATAATAGCTGTATGATCTTCATGTGAACGACCCAAAAATAAACCCAATACAACGCCCGCACTCCATGCTTTTACCTCAAAATGCGAACCAAAAATACCAAGAAGCTCATTCCTTTATGTCCATAGATGCCATCTTCCCTATTGCCGCTGTTAATCGTCTCCTTGCATTGATCTCAGTAGTCTCGTCTCGATCTCGGTAGTATTGGACAGTGATTTCGTGGACGGAACGATAGCAAGCGTAACTAAAAAGGAACACATCAGTATCTTCCCATGTCTGCAAAGAGATGTAGACGGCTCTTACAGAAGTGAGCGAATATCTTCCAACTTGCTTTTTCTAGACCGTAGACCAAAGCCGTCTAGCACAGCAGATGATGGTTTTTCAAAGATCTCGGCCATGTAGACGTCACCCCATAGTGCATGTCCGAAATCTACAATCCCAGATAATTGTTTGGATTCCGGATCCAGAAGTACCTGGGAAGGACGGCCAAAATCAATCACTACCAGCTGTGGCAGTGTCACTCCTTCGAGGGCTGCTGCTAACCGGCTCATTTCATGTCGGATCTGCGAGTAAGGAAGATGGATAAACATATCTTCAGCATCACGAAGAACACTCTCGAACAATGCCACGAATGCTTCCCGCCATGACTGCTTGCCAGATCCGCAAGCCACTTGTTCGAGTGGGCCGAAAGAGGGCGCAATTTGCTGTCCTATCATGTTGACCATAAGCCCTAAATGCCGGTCGATGCCATCTCGATCTTGATCAGTGAGTTGAGCATCCATGTCCTGTAGCGTTGACCCCGTCACATATTGCCGGATGAGAAAGGAAGATCCCAGCATGTCACCCCGCGAGTCGTAATGGAAAAGCTGAGGGATGCATGGACTGCCACGTTGTTTGAGAAGCGCAAGGGCCCGGGCTTCCGTTTCTAGCAGTGAACGCTCCCGTCGTAGAAGGGCCGTTGTCGGCCTTGGTAAGCCCTTTAGTAGTAGTCGAGTTCCATTAGATAGAACGAGAATATGAAGAGAGTGAAGGTGTTCTCTCAACGCATGAATGCTTCGTACACGAACGGTTGGAGGAAAGAGAAGCCGAAGGATGTTATTAATCGTAGTGTGCTCCTGGGGTTCGAGGGCTGGCCCACTGGATGAAGATGAGGGCATAGCAAAATGACCAATTGCGGGTACTAAGGGCAAGACTGGCAGAGTGTCCAAACTTGGCTGACGCATAGTGGATAAATAGGGACGTAGACGGGTATAAACAGCAGCAGAGAAGAATTACAGGGATGCAGAGATCCAGCGAGTATACACCGGTCTATGAAGAAAGAGACAAAGCGCATATTTGAGTATCTGCTGCCTTTTGGTCTAAACAAGGACGGACCATCCCATTGTACCCTCAAAGGGGCCAGCAAGGTCGGGAATATGGCACGGTCGGACCGCCAGCTTCCCGCATCCACTCATAATTAAAAGTATCCGAGTGCATGATTTTGCGTCAGGTCAATTCGAAGGAACATTTTGAGCATTACAATGGATGCCAACTATGGGAGGAGATGCTCATCCCACGGCACCCAGCAGGGGTTCAAAAAGCAGATGTGCTGGACATGATTACTGGCTGCTCGAACTCGCTTGGGTTCCACGGAAAGATTATGATGTATAATTCGATCAAGAAGCGAGCCAGCTCACGGTGTAAGGCAGAGGATTGCGTGGTGGTCAACGGTCAACACGGCATTCGAGGCAGATGGACGGTCCGAGAGTGAATCCACTCGCCTAACTCTCCCGCTCTGAGAAAGGCGTCCAATGTAGGTTGGCGAGATGGCCCAATCACAGCGCCGCCTTGCCGAAGCATCAGAAATCCCGGACACCAACCGAGGATTCCAGAAGTTCAATTTCGAATATGGTTCATGTGTCTGGGAAAAGATCTGCGGCTTCTTCAGGCTGGTCCTTTGTAATACTTACAGTGTGCTATGACTACCACTGAGATTGTTCCCTTCCAAGGTAGCAGCAGCACTACCTAATGTATCATATGTGACCCATATATTAATGTTGGAAAGGGCCATTGTTTACTGACCAATGAAAATGGGAGACAACCGAGTTTGTGGTTTTTTGTAATCATTTTTGCTAGCCGGAGTCTGCTTGACTCGTATAGAGAGGTATCCGAGTGGGATGGATTTCAATCCCCAAAGAACTGTTCTGCTCACCTTAAAAAAAGAGCACGCTGGATGGATAGTATTCATGTGACTTGTCCCCAAGGATTCATTGAACTAGAAATGTCTCGAGAGAAATATAGTGACAAATGAGAGCCGTAATACCCTTCATTATTTTGATTCTTTAGCTTCTGAAACTGTCGGTTTGGGTGTCGGATCAAATATTTCAGCCAAGTTGAACCGCTTCAGTTGGTCGTAATCGTGTCCAATGACACTCATTCCGATGACATTCTGCATTTAAATGTTTAGCACCATGCAGGGAGGCTTTTTCGATAATGCCATCTGACGACAACTAGAACATACGTGGATAACCTCGACCAGGATGATTAGGTCATAGTTTTTAAGATCAACAGGATGCTCGGTGCCAACCACATCGGCGACGGTCTTGATGACCCTATCTCGGTTGAATACCTTGTTGCCTCTGACTGAAGGCCGAATGGCATACTGTCGAGATCCTCAAGTATCAGCTACCTGGTTGATTATAACCAGTCTTGGTGCTTCTGAAATCACCCGTGCAAAGGATTGAACTAACCTTCTTTGGTGGACCGCCGGAATGGAAGTGAGGCTTCAAAATCTCTTTTGAGAAGACTTCTAGATCAACACTGAGGGTCTTTCTGATAGAAGTAATGGGCGTCATTCGCTTGATCCATCGGCTTCTCTTCTTCTCCGGATTGGCATAAGCGTCAGCACAAATCTGGTGGACCGTTTTCACAGGGTCTATCGATTTGTCGAATCGTATAAATGTTACTGCAAAGAGTTCAGTTTATACCGCTCATAAGATGCTATAAATGGAGAAAAAGCGAACCGCATGGAAGTTCCATCCTGATTGCCTGGAATGGGCGAGACTTGGCTGAGCTGGGCTTCAAGCCTTCAACTTCTTTTCTGATTTGGGCCTCGATGTCATCGTCATCAGAACCCGATTCTTCAGCATTTTCTGCCTCATTGGGAGATTCCACACTCTGGTCGATGATGGTCAGCTGAATTAGCCTTGATACTCTGGGAAACGAATAAAAACGGAAACTGGATATCTTTATCCCACAGTGCAACTTACCTGGGAAAAAAGATCCAGCGCCTCGGCAATGCATTTGCCCTCTCTTCCAATATCACAAGTGACAAACACTCCCCAGTCACCACTCTCAATGATAACCTTGTTATTTTGCTTCTGCCATGAGCCACCCTATCATTGAATTAGTCAGAAGTTTGGGATTGGCGGGGTAAGTAGTGCATCGTGAATATATGAAATAAGGACGAATTGCAATGTCACCCCACGGGAAAACACTTCCCACGAGGAAGACCACTGTGAAGGGCACCGACCTTTCTCTTCTTGGAGGCCTGACTTCCTGCGTTGCCCGGCATGGCTCTCTTCTCTGCTCCCGTCATTCACAAATGCGATGGCTAACACCGTTCTAGAATTTGTCTCTTTCCGCTTCGTGGCTAGTTATAACACCTGCTGATTTTGTCTCACGATCCAGGCGTTTTGCTGTGTGAGATATCTTCCCTTGCAAGGCCTCGAACTCGAACAAATAATGGCGAGGGGTTGTCCAGAAATCTCTTTTGGGTTAGCGGGATGAACATCATGTGGAGTGGGACGACAACATCCCCGATGGTAAAGAACAACCACCTGATGATCGCTGGAAGAGACTAGCTTTCCATGGATGGCCTGATCAGTTATTCTTAAAATACTTTATATTTCTGGAATGCTGTAGATTCACTAAAGTATTTGGTCCAGACTGTTCTCGACAACATCCGAACCATGCTGCTGGTAATCCTGTTACCACAATTACCGACAGCTTCAGCGTCAACCAGCCTGTCACATTGTAACCGGTTTACCATCAGTCCATCCGATGCTTGTTGCATGGGGATGACATCACGCTCCATCATGACGTCGACTACAGCCTTGTTGTCTCTTAAGATATCATGATTCATTAAGCTTTGTTCTTGTCATTGTCTGCCGACTTATTTAAAGGCTTTTCCCCTTTGTCCTAAACATATCTCACAGATCCCAATCCACCTATAAACAACCAACTCAAGCCACCTTTTTTTAATCTACAATGGCTACCGATATTGCTACGAGGGAGCTTCGCAAACCGGTTGACGTCGCAGAATATCTGTTCCGACGACTGCGTGAGGTTGGAATCCGGGCAGTACATGGTGTACCTGGTGCGGATTCCTGCTCAAGGGAATACTACTACTCATTGCTGACAGGTTTATGTCTCTAGGTGACTACAATCTTTCGGCTCTAGACTATCTACCAAAATGTGGTCTTGACTGGGTTGGGAACTGCAATGAGCTTAACGCTGGTATGGATAATTTCTACTGAACTCTGGTAGACGCAGAACCTAACTTCAACAGGCTATGCCGCCGATGGTTATGCTCGAGTAAATGGAATCAGCGCATTGGTGACGACCTTTGGTGTTGGCGAGCTGTCAGCTCTGAATGCCATTGCCGGTGCGTACTCCGAATTCGTGCCTATTGTCCATATTGTTGGTCAGCCACACACGAGATCACAACGAGATGGAATGTTGCTTCACCATACTCTTGGGAATGGAGACTTTAATGTCTTCACGAGAATGAGCTCTGGGATATCTTGCGCTGTCGGACGCCTGAACGACACCCATGAAGTGGCGACTTTGATTGATAACGCTATTCGAGAATGCTGGGTTCGCAGCCGACCTGTATACATCACCCTTCCTACCGACATGATTGTGAAGAAGATCGAGGGCGAGCGACTAAAAACACCAATTGATCTCTCGCTTCCTCAGAATGACCCTGAAAAGGAAGACTATGTGGTGGATGTTGTCCTAAAATACCTGCATGCAGCAAAGAACCCAGTGATTCTGGTTGATGCATGTGCGATTCGCCATAAAGTTCTCGCCGAAGTGAATGATCTTATGGAGGCCTCGGGTCTGCCGACTTTTGTGGCCCCAATGGGTAAAGGCGCAGTGGATGAAACTAAAAAGAACTATGGTGGTGTGTATGCTGGCAATGGATCTAATGCTGGTGTTCGCGAGCAGGTCGAGTCTTCCGATCTGATTCTCAGTATCGGTGCCATCAAATCCGATTTCAATACAGCTGGATTTACATACCGCATCGGTCAATTGAACACCATTGATTTCCACAGTACTTTTGTACGAGTACGATATTCCGAGTATCCTGAGATCAACATGAAAGGTGTCCTGAGAAAGGTGGTTGAGAAAATGGGCACTCTAAAGCCCGCAGGCGTCCCAAAGATCTCGAACACATTACCCGATAATGAGAAGAACTCCAATAAACAGGAAATCACCCACTCCTGGTTATGGCCATTGGTAGGCCAGTGGTTGAGAGAAAAGGACATCGTCATTACGGAGACAGGAACCGCAAACTTTGGTATCTGGGAAACCCGGTTCCCACCAGGTGTCACGGCTATCAGTCAGGTCCTTTGGGGTAGCATTGGGTACTCAGTTGGGGCCTGTCAAGGTGCCGCATTAGCAGCAAAGGAACAAGATAATCGTCGGACGATACTTTTTGTTGGAGATGGTAGTGCCCAGCTCACCATTCAAGAGCTGAGCACCATGATCAGGAACAAGCTTAACCCCATCATGTAAGTCTACTTCAGAACTTGCCGTGGTTTATGAGCTTCGCTTGACATGTACTGACACAGCCAGTTTCGTGATTTGCAACGAAGGATACACCATTGAGAGATACATCCATGGATGGGAGGCAAGCTATAACGACATCGGGGAATGGGACTTTCAGAACATTCCTCGAGTACTCGGAGCAAAGGACAACTACAAGGGCTATCAGATCAAGACGCGGGATGAATTGACAAAGCTTTTTGCGGACCAAAACTTTGCTTCTGCCCCGTGCCTGCAGGTAAGTGGAATAATCTGGCCATTGCGCAAAAGCAACAAGTGCTGACATGCCATAGCTGGTTGAAATTCATATGCCTCGTGAAGATGCCCCTAATGCGCTGAAAAGTACGGCCGAGGCAGCGGCTGCGAGGAACAAATAGTGGTAGTCATGTCGAATGGATTAAATCATCTGGCAACTAGAGCAGAGAGCAGACGATAAGAGTGTACATTAATTAGTAGCACTTAAATAATGCCCAGAGTTAGCAAAACCAGGGATCTGAAAAAGGTCTGAATCGATGTCTCAGTTTCAGCTTCTTCACTCCGGGTCCACTTGTTCATCAGATCAATCAGCGCAGATTCGATCATTTTATTTCGCCCTGAAGACTTTCAAAAGAATGAAGGGGTAAACGGAGCAATTCTCGTGACACAAGAATTCAAGCTCAGGATAAGAAGGAATTCATCGGTCGAGAAACATGGTGATGCCTGCAACAGGCGTTGTTTGTTTGTCGATTTGTCACGCCTAATCGTAGGGCTGAAGGACCCCGTCTGCTGGGCCCATTTTGTAGACAATGCAATGGTTTCGAAAATCCCCTTTCCTTTCATGCCGGTTGTGGTCCTAATCTGAGGTGCTTTATGGATGATATTAAAATTCCCATCTCTCCTCTTTTGGATAAGATAAAATACTTGCGCATCCAACATGTTTATCTTCCCAAGCAACAACCCACGATACAAGTCAGCAGCGAGGGGTGCCACGTGATCGGCGCGGAAGGCATCAAAGCTCAGCGAATCCTTGGGCCGGTCCTCGACTGATTACCCCGGCATCAAGTGTCCAAGCTCCTTTTCCTTTCGTTTGGAATATAGTAAAGTGTGATTGCTCAGCACTGACATATTCGCTGCGTTTGATATCCAGCCCGAGCAACTTGCACCGGTTGTGGTACGTGATTTCTCGATCAATTCTTTGGCAACTGGCAGTTCTGCGCTGTTGACCGGACTCCTATCTATCGTTCCCTCTGATTAGATGATTAGGGGGTAGCCATAATAACCACCCCCAATGCCTCAGTTTCCCTGCTGACTATAGAACCTAGACTACATTAGAGACTGGATTCTCGGAATTTACACCGCATCATTCGCTTTCGCGGTGACAGTTTGCACCATACCTTTGCCCGAATCGTTTGTCCCTACTCCACCAGCCTCGTAACGAAGCCGACTTGAGCATCGGCGACTCCGACCCGCTTCCCTGGATTTCTTTTTTACGCCTACATACGTTCCTCCCATAATCCTCCGAGGGACTGTCTGGCGTACGGCATAAAGCCTTTGACTTTCTCATGCGACGATGTCTGATTACTACAACACTGCACCACCCTTCACATAAGTTACCGGTTCAGAACTTCGGGAAACAGCACAACTCGAACGGGAAGGAATATTCTCCAGCTGGAGCGCGTGCGACTCGAAAACGTGGCTTGTTGGCGTGTTGGACAATGCGGTGACTTTTCAACAGACATTGAAAAGACTTTTGGAGCCCGGCAAAAGTTTACATTCGGGCACGAGCTTATCTGGCAGCCCCAAATTGTGCGTCGGGGCTGTTGGTTAAACCATACTTTGCTTTAATTGTATCGATGATACTTTGAAGACTCTCAGCGACAATGGATGGACAACGACAGACATACGTGCCGGCACCCCCGCCCCCTTCGATGGCGCAAGCTTCCCAATCGCATATGGTATCTTTACCCCCACCTCCGCCCCGGCATCCGCCAACACAAACCCAGGGCTTGATGCTCCCACCGCCGCCTGGGCCACCCCCTGTCACGGGCTATGGCGTTCCTACGAAAATTCCGAATCCCCAAATGCAACACCCAAATAATCTTGGGTGGCAGCCGAATTGGAGACCAGCCATGCCTCAAACGATGCCTCAAGCATTTCCTCCGCCTCCACCGCCGCCGCCTTTGATTCCGGCAAACCAGGCGCAGAATCAGCATTTGGTATACGGTCGCCAACCAGCTCCTTTGTCGATACCTCCTACACAACACCATCATAATGAAGGTCAGCCGTTGACGTCCGCGACATATATCCCGGTAGGCGATACTTTTGGACCGGGTGTTGGGATTCCTGCATACGACACTTATAACAGCTATACTCTTAGCGGGGACAGACATAGAATTCCGACCAATCATTTATACGAGCATCCTAGTGCAGATTCCTCTCCGTACAAGAGAGAAGCGACAGTTCCACACACGCCGTCATCCCGCAATGTTCCTCCTTCGTCAATTGCCCTGCACGACAATGTCCATGAATTGACCTCCCCTCAATATACCACTGCAACACTTCAGAGCCAACACCCACAGAGCGCGGTCCAGGCTACTGATTTGTCGAAGTCGCCTAGCCACCGCCACAACAGTAGTAGCACATCCCTTGGAGGAATGTCGCCCAGCGAGGCTGCAGTTCAATGGCCTCTGCATCGAGTGCTATTGTGGCTTGCTAAGAATGCATTCTCCAACGACTGGCAAGAGACATTCAAAGCTTTGGAGCTCCAGGGAGCTGATTTCCTTGAGCTGGGCCATGGATCAAATGGCCGAGGCAATTTTGGGAAGATGCACCAGGTTGTTTATCCCCAACTGGCAAAGGAATGTGAGAAGAGTGGGACAGCATGGGACCAGGTGCGCGAACGGGAGGAAGGAAAACGTATGCGCAGGCTGATCCGCGAAATCCATGATGATGGGAGCCATGAGACTGGATTCCCTACCCAAAAGCGACAAGAACCCCAGCCTTTCCCAGTCAGTGCTACTGCTGAAAGAGGGGTCGAGGCTTCGCCTAAAGTCACTCATGAACCACTCTCTGCTGGTCCTCACACTGGTAGCCCTGGTCTCAAAGCACCCCAACTTCATAATAATAGGAACAGCGGGCAAATGCGCTCTGTTACGCTGCCAATCTCGACTAATTATGACTCTTCCTCTTTAGAGCCCAACTCGCACGAGGCTACAACATGGTCTCGATCAGAATACTCACGAAATCTATTGGCGACTCTTGGTGGTGATCATCGAAAAAGTCCCTCGGTCTCTAGCGACGGTGGTCAATTTTCGGCTGCCCGGCCCTATGATAGTCCTAAAAGTGGTAGCCCGGCTACACAGCATGCTTCTCTTGCATACCAAGGGTTGACATCGTCATCTACTGGTGATTTGAGTGTGAAATTTGATCACTCCCGAGGAAATAGCACTGATTCGACAACTGGTGCAAGCCGAGGCCACTCGGGTCGATACTATGAAGGACGCAAGCATGGACAAGACAACTCTCGCCCGCAGGATTCGTTTAGTCGCCAGTGGAGTGCGGATAATCCCTCGTCTTATTCCAAGGAGCATAGCAAAGGAATCTTGAATATCTTCAAAAAGAAACAACCCAAAGCCAGCGAATCCACTCACCCGTCTCCAGAAGAGCAGTATTTGGAGTCCCCAACAAGCCCAGTTTACTCTCGCCATCACAACTCTCACTTCCCTTACATAAGACCGAGCTACAGCACGAGTGATGTATCATTGGCAGAGCGTCCGCTGTCTACGTCTATGTCGGATAACGAGAAAACGGCGGGACGAGTTAAGCCCGGACAAAAGGGCAAAAAGTGGGTTTTTGTCACTCTGGATGGATGGAACTATCGTCTGGTGGACATCACAGATTTGGATTCCGTAGAAATGTTGCGCGCCGCAATATGCCAAAACCTTGGAATCACAGATTGGGCTGGTGCTCAAATTTTCTTAACTGAGGCCGGACAGACTGAACATGAGGATCCATTGAACGACAGTACGCTGGCTATCTACCGGCGAACAAAATCCGATTCTGTTGGTTCTTTGAAACTGTACGTGCGCGGAGCGAATATCCACTCCGAGGCGAACGGTCAACCGCACTTCGCTGGCTTGGGTGTCTCTATTCTAGATAAGGCCACGGCGTCGCCAACAACGGGACAGCATCACTTACATCGCAAACCGCTTGATGATGAAGCTCTCAGCAGGGTCTCCCCGCGTCACCAAGCCAGGCCAGGCTCTCCTCAATCTGCTACGCGTCAACAGCAAGCGAGAACCCCCACCGGAAAGCTTCCTGCCCGTGATATATCACAGACGTTCGTCGGAGTATCTCCAGTGGACGGTGGCCGAGAAGCATCGCAAAATCTTGATCCAGAGAAAGCGGACTTGCTTGCACGCCACGAAGAACATAAACGTGACGTTGAGCGAAAGCAAAGAGCACATAATATCACCAAAGTACCACCTACGCAACAGTCAAGAAAGGATGCATATGGCGAGACTGGATATAGACGTGAAGGGGTTATCGACTTTGACTCTCCCCGGATCTCACCGTATGAGGATAAGAAGGCAGAGACTCTCGTCCCACTGCGAAAGCCCCCTTCAGCGCCCCATGAGTCCAACACCCTCACCAAAGTTAACTCTCTCAGGAAGAAAGACTTTGATCGTACCCGTCCTCAGCCAGCGCCCCAGGGCGGCCTTGGAGCTGCTCTGGCTAGTATGGGTAAAATGACCAGTACAATTGGAAACCCATCACCAGCTGTTCCGGCCGGCACAGCCAGTCAGCACAGTGACGCTGGAAGGCCCTCTTCCAGTCGAAACACACCCGGTAAGCTTCATCTCACTTTCTGATGCACAATAATTTAATGCTCATTTGGCTAATAGCATTAGATGAACCACGGAGCACTTCGTCATTGTCGAAGGAACAGTGGAATGACAGCACCTCGACTTTGCAAGTTGACGACCTGAATGATAAAATTTCGTCCGGCGAAGAGCCAAAGCCGACATTACAGTCTCGTAAATCTTATGGACCAGAGTTTGATTTTGAAGAAACAAAGGTCTCTTTCCAACGTTCACCACAGCCACAGGAGGATTCTGATAATGATGATTCTGATGATGACTCGGATGACGGTCTTTTCGCGATACCTCTAGCCAATAACAAGCCCGAGGAGGTTACCAAAGAGGCTGCTCCCGAGTCCCCAGAGTCCGAGAAGAAAGCCGGAAGACCTTCCCTTACCTTGAATACTGATTCAAGAATGCGCAAGGGGCTATCCGTGACCTTTGATTGTCCTAGCGCTACCGCTGAAAATTTCCCCAAATCTGGCAGCGAGGCTAACGATGGAAGGGCACCTTTTTCTGGAATGGTTGACTCCCCCGAAGATGAGAAACTGATCCGAAGAGGTTCATTTGCTCAAGGCGACATCTGGGCAAACAGACCCCCAGTTGAGGGTGTCATAGACCGCCTAGACGATTTCTTCCCTGATATCGACCTCGATGCCCCCTACTTGGAAGGGCATGGAATGTCTCCTCCCACATCACCGGCAAGCAGGCTTGCAGCTGAGAATGAGGCGAGAGACAAGGATGACGCTATTCCTTATAGTGGGCAACCAAGTCATACTGCTAGTGACATTTTGGGATCCCCCGAGCCAACACTGAAAGCACAACGAGACCCCGGCATCGTTGCTCGGCGTAACGTGACCCGCTCCGGTGGTGGTGGTGGGCTTACCCGCGGGAAATCGATTCGAGACGTTGCGAAAAGCGCCAATCAAGCCAGTAGAAATCGGAGTGTTACTGCTGCTACTAGCCAAAAGTCTGGTGGCGACATTCTGCGCCGCAAGAGTACGAAGATGTTCGGCGCAAAGATTATGCAAATCCGCCCGAAACGCGGCATGAGCCAACTTGACCCTATTCCTCAGCACAATCATCCCCAACCCCAAGCACAAGCGCAAGCGGCGCAAGGAAACGTGCCACAGAGACAGCCTACTTTCCGCATCGTCCGTGGTCAACTTATTGGCAAGGGAACCTACGGAAGAGTGTATCTGGGAATCAACGCAGACAATGGTGAGGTCTTGGCTGTTAAGCAGGTTGAGGTCAACCCAAGGATTGCTGGACAAGATAAAGACAAGATCAAAGAAATGGTTGCCGCAATGGATCAGGAAATAGACACTATGCAGCATCTGGAGCATCCCAACATTGTGCAGTATCTCGGATGTGAACGTGGTGAACTTTCCATCTCAATCTATCTCGAGTATATTTCTGGTGGTTCGATTGGTAGCTGTCTTCGCAAACACGGCAAGTTTGAGGAGAGCGTCGTCAAGTCACTCGGCCAACAAGTATTGAGCGGGCTGGCATACTTGCATGACCAAGGAATTCTTCATCGTGATTTGAAAGCAGATAATATTCTTTTGGATCTCGATGGAACATGCAAGATCTCTGATTTCGGTATTTCCAAGAAAACAGACAATATTTACGGAAATGACTCAACGAATTCGATGCAAGGGTCAGTATTTTGGATGGCCCCCGAAGTCATTCAGTCCCAAGGACAGGGTTACAGTGCCAAGGTTGACATCTGGTCCCTTGGTTGTGTGGTGCTGGAGATGTTCGCTGGCCGTCGTCCATGGAGTAGAGAAGAGGCCATTGGGGCTATCTTCAAGCTGGGCAGCCTCAACCAAGCCCCCCCAATCCCCGAGGATGTTTCTATGAACATTAGCCCGGCAGCTCTTGCTTTTATGTACGATTGCTTCACAGTGTAAGTGTTTCTGTCTGGTTCATACCATCGTTTCTTTAGTCTGGTTCTAACAACAACAAACAGTGACAGCCTTGATCGTCCAACCGCCGAGACTCTCCTCACCCGTCATCCATTCTGTGCACCCGACCCTAAATACAATTTCCTCGACACCGAACTTTACGCCAAAATTCGCCATGTCGTTTGAGCTCCAATTGCTCATTGTGACATAAACCCATAATCTCTACCAAAGCGTGCATATTTGCCCTCACATCTTTTTCGGTCCAATCTATTCTCAGTTTGCATCATACCCCATAAAAGTGTCATGTTGCACAATGTCCCCTGTCTCCCCCCAGTTCTGTATTGAATATATTTTTGGATACCAAATCCGAAAGTGATGAGTGGGGTGCTTTTTCCCCCTTCTTCTCCTGGTTGCATTCGATGATGTATTCATGTATTCATTTTTTGCCTTCTTCCCATGTGTTGTGATAGTGAGGATTTTTTGTCTATAAGTTTTAACTGAATTGACGAACGGTATGAATAATAATGACTAGGGTTTGTTTTGCTGTCTCATGTCAATGATACTATGTTGTAGTATTTTGTAACCTAAAATGGAATAGACAAGCATGTGTCCCTTCAATATATACAAATCTCTAAAAATGACGTGAGAAATCCATACATGCATCAAAAACGCTCAATAACTTTGGTGGTATCTACTATAGGAGACTGGAACCGGTCATGACCCGCTATCACAGGCTACCACTTCTGCTCAGACTTCGACTTCCACTTCTACTGTTGCTCATAAGATCCTCTTCCTCTTCGCCTGGCCGGGTCCCGGTAACGCCAACCATGAATATATCCTCACACCACTCTGCAAAACTATTCACATCCCACACGGCATCCTCGCGCCCCTTGCCCTTTTTGCTCACGGGATTTCCTTTGCTCTTCTCAGAGGACGTGTACTTGTCGAAGAAATCTTCGTAGATCTGGATAACTCGATCCTGCACTGCGCCGACCAGGGTCTCCTTCATCCGGACATCATCGAGGTAGTCGTTGAGGAATTTTCGGAGACCGGGAACTTCCTTCTCGATATTCCGGCAGGTGGGATAGATCAATTCCCCTTGTTGGAGGTTGCGCTTATCGACAAATTTGGACGGTAGGGACGCTGTCATTTTGGTTGAGAACTCATCGATAAAGTCGTTTATTACCGTTCTCAACCGTCCGTCAAGCTCTACCTTGGCGTCTAACATGTTTTCTACTACCCTTGGCAGTAATCCGTGACCGACGAGTCGCATAAGATTGCGGGGGTTGAAAAGACCGCCTCGTTCCCTGAGTTCCCAGAACGTGCTGGTAACCCCAGAGAAGTCGAATGATACTTCTGGAGCCACGTACTCGATATCAAAAGCAACAATCTGTTGCTTGAGGATGAGCAAATGGTTCATTAGGAAGAGTTGGCCATCCGTGGAAGAAGATTTGCTGGAAACCAGGGTGCTTGCCTGGTGAAGAGAGAGGTTGGTTTGGTGTACGATTTGATGGGCCAAGTCGTCAAAAACGGTGGACTGTGACGAGGAGGTTAGCAAGCAAATTGGGCTCACAAGGAGAAGTGTTACCGTACGTTTACAAGTCGATATATCCTGCTCAGTAACCAAATTGCTTTTCGCAAGGTCGGGTACCATCCACTCAGGGCAGCTTGCGAGTCAAAGTCCCACTTTGTATCTTGCTCTGCTGGAGATTCGCTATCATCATCGCCTTGCTTTGCTGGTTTGGACAGGTTTACCACCGCATCGGCAGGGGCAACCTTTTTACCTGAGATCTGATTATCTGAGACTGATATTGAAGCCTGTTTGTTCTTGGCAGGGTAGTCCAGATCTTCAGGTCGAGGTTTGTATCGCTCGATCTCATCTCGAAGGAAAGCTTGGGCACGAAAGACCAGACGAGTTTGGACATCTTCCAGGGCTGGCTGAATTAGAACAGAGAAGTTGAGTTGGGTGTCATCAACCTGTTCGTTTTCTTCTTCCGGGTCCAGTAGATAACGAGTTTGCAAGAGAGTGCAAAGTTGGCAAAGTTTGATTATTTTGTCCTCGTGGATGATTCTGGGCCTGAGGTGGTCGTAAAGTGGCTCGCAAATCATCTCTAAAAAGTCATACAGGCCCCCGTGGCCGTGAAACCACTCTCCCCATAGATCAAACTCGTCCAAACAGACACCACGAATATAACTGATACCGGCGCGGGCAAAAGAGACCAAGTCTGTTGAAGTACTGGGAGCCTGCGCAATGTCATTGAGCTTTTTGTGCACTAGCGGCACAATTAGTTTTGCACGAGTCGCGGCAAAATTCGTGTGAAGTTCATTGAGAAGACTTTGATATTCGGCCTCGGTACCTTGGTCAGGATCCAAAGGGGGAACAGCTCTCTTTTGAATTTCGAGACCAATTTGCTTCAATTCAGGTGCACCGACTCTAAATTTGGCGTATAGAAGAGCAGACATGGTAGTATCGTTGAGCTGTCGGTCTGCAATCTTCTTTGAAACAGCAGAATGTATATCTCGAAGCGCAGAAACGAAGTGACCTCTGATGAGAGTGAGAGCACGGGTCATAAGTAGCCTGTATCTGGAACGGTATACTTCGGCTTCCTTTTGCTCGGGCTAGTAGGGAGATTAGCAGGATTCACACCTCATTTAGGATCCTAGTACTAACGTGTGTTTCCATGTAGTCCAAGCATTCATCCAAGCGCCTTAGCATATCCGAGAAATCACCCCCACGGACCGTATTCCCTGCCCCCGGAGCATTGAGCCTCCTTGAAGCAGGATCCAGAAAGTCATAGTACTGAAGATTGTCCTGGATGTTCTCCGCTAACTCCGAATCGCGTTTCTGAGCAGACAGAAGCCCTTCGCACTGTTTCTGAAAATTGGACGTTTGCAATTCCACCGTCTTGAAGGATTCGGATAGACTGGTCAGGAGGTTGAGTGTGGAAGAGGTATCGGTCAATAACGCATCTAGGTGGGTTTTGGAGACTTGGAGTTCATCAAGGCAGGATCTATTTGAGATCAAAGTCAGCTTTCCTGTTGGTTGGTATAATTGATAATAAAATGTAATCTCCGGTATGCTCACTGGTACTCATCGTAGCTGGCTTCTAGCAGACCGTCTTCAACTTCATTGTACCATTGTGTAAACTCGAGCTCATTTTGAATTTCACTAATGGGCTTTGTAGTCTCCTGCGACCCTTGAATCTCCTCGATATTCCTGATCTGGGTTTCCAGTTCTCCCCTAGACGGGGCAGTTTGCCGCCGTGCTCGCTGTCCCGCAGCCTGTTGGCGCATTGTGAGGCTGAGACCTGAAGATATCGTGGTGAAGTAAGCCCCCCAGGCTCAAGCCTCAAAAATAATAGTCTCAATAATCCCGAAACCAGGCCATCAACAAGAAACAAGCGGTTGTCTCTCTTGTTGATCGACGAAATGAAACCGACCATCGTGGCCGCTGGGATGCGGTATTTTGCCGTTGGATTCCGCCTGCACTAAGCTTCCTTCTTGACGCAACGGAGCTGCTCTGGAGCGTTTGTTTTTTCTACTTCTCTGTCTTTTTTGCTTCTCCTTGGGTTGGGAAAAATCCACAGGAAGCCTAATAATAAATTTATCTCAATAATTAGTATGTTTGTTTTTTCGGTGATCATTTAATGACAATATGTGGATAAATCGGGTGCGACGGCCGGCGACCAATATCGTCACTCATTCGCCTCTTCCTCTGGCGAGGGCTCGTCAGCCAGCCCTCACCTCTCCATGGCGAAGATACGCAAGCACTGAGCAGGGAGCCCCAGGAAAGCCTTCTTTATCCTCCCCGTGGTTCCGGAACACTCTAGGCTTGGTGGGAACAGGCGCTGCTGCTTTTTTGGCTTACACATATGCTACTACAAACGAGGAAACCCAGGCTGAAAGCCAAAAGGCCAAGAAGCCCTCTAAGCTTACTGGAGACTTGAGCTCTGAATACGTCCAGAAGAAGAAAAGTTTGAAGAGCCCTGGTGTCTTTTTATGGGGCTCGAATGCCTACCGCGTTGTGGACCCGGAGTCCAAAGAAGCAGTTATTAAAACCCCTCGAAATGTCTCCTATTTCGATGGTCAAGTGTTAAGGGATCTCAAGCTTGATGAGAAATCAGGCGCTGCAATCACCGAGAATGGTGACCTGGTCCAATGGGGCAAGGGCTTTTCAGAATCCGACTTCAAGCCCCGCAAGACTCTGACCGGAAAGAATCTCAAATCATTGTGCATGTCTCAGGATCGGATTCTCGCGCTCTCGTCCGATGGAAATGTCTACTCTTTTCCTATTGCAAAGGAGGACCAGGAATCCGGCCGTAAGCTCCGGGAGAGCTCATGGTTGCCTTTTGGATCTGGACAGGCCTCCGTAAGTTACCGCTTGCTCAAGCCGAGTTTGGGCTTGGGCGAGAAGGTCACTTCTATCAGTGGTGGGCTGGAACATGCGTTGCTATTGACAAGCTCCGGTCGAGTCTTTTCAGTGGCATCTGCCACTGAGGGTTTCCCTTGTTTCGGACAACTTGGTATCCCAGGATTATCTTGGAAAACTCGACCCAGTGGGCCGGTAGACGCCTGCCATGAGATTACCGCGCTCAAAGGTACCAAGATTACTCAAATTGCTACCGGTGACCATCATTCATTGGCACTTAGCAAGGACGGCCGCGTATTTGCCTTTGGAAACAACTCGTTTGGGCAGCTGGGAATGCCATTCGAGCCCTCATTACCCTTCAGTGATATTCCTGTCATAGTGCCTCTTGCGAAGCTTTACCGAGGCGATTCTTGGCTTGCTAAAGCAACCGGTATTGCAGCTGGTGGTGCCAACAGCTTCTTTACCGTGGATGCACAACGGGTTCTTGGCTCGAGAGAGGATCCCTCCAATGTCCGTGACCTTGGCCAGATCACCGCTGATACCTGGACTTGCGGTAGAGGAATCTGGGGTGCTCTAGGCAACGGAAAATGGACTCATTTGCAGGACTCTCCTACGATGGTCAAGGCCTTAAGTGGCTTGTCCGAATATGACGAGCGTACGAAGAAGATCACGCCGATTCGATTGCGTGAGATAATGGTCGGGACAACGCATGCTTCAGCTGTATTGGACAACAAGACCCATGTCAACCCGTCGCCTTCTGAGTCGTTGGATAAGACCAATGACTGGGGCTTTGATGTACTCTGGTGGGGAGGAAACGAGCACTTCCAACTCGGAACGGGCAAGCGAAGCAACTCATCCAAGCCAACACATATCAATGTGCCTCCGGATCCTAAAGAAAAGGATGATCAGCAGGAGGCCCGGCTTCAGATCATGCCCCGACACAAGGGCAAAGCTGGGAACCGAAACGTGAGCATGGAACAGCGTGTGGAATGTGGGAGACATGTGTCTGCGATCTATTCGGTGGTCTGATTCTTCTTTCGATTTTCTCTAATGTACAACAGATATGAAATGAATAGCGAAAAGGAAAAGGATAATGTATACTAGTTTACCTGAAAACTTTTGCTCTCTTGTAGTTCTCCCCAAAACTTCCATGCAAGCCATGATAGTAACAGAGCAATGCAAACAAAGTAAACGAAACAAACAGAGCAAACATTACTGTGGAGAAATGCTTGGACCACCGCTTATCCCGAAATTTCATTTTCCGGCGCAAAACGAATTGCGAGAGAGAAACAAAATCCAGTTACACTCCTCCTGCGAAGCTTTTTGCACTTTCCAACACCCTGGACAAGTCGCCATAATGCCTCGCGAAAACCAGAAGAGAGGTCGCCGAGCGGAGGACAAGGCCAAGAAGGACGCATCGAAACGAAAGCGCGATGAAGCACCTGAAGATCCCGTCGTCAAGCGGGTGAAACCCTCGGCGGACGAGATGGATGTGGACAATGTCGACAATGGCGATAATGGCGATAATGAATTCTACCAAGAAGCGGATTATATTCCCCTGGGTGAACCTCAAGGCGAAGGCGAAGGGGAAGGCGAAAACGATGGACCCTCCGGCGATATGCCCTTCTACGGTCTTCTCGATCCCGAAGAACAAGAATATTTCTCGCGGGCGAGCGAGATGTTGGAGTTGAACCAATTCGGCGATGCAGAGGAGCGGTTAACATTCGTCGAAAGTGTCTACCAAGAGGCCAATGGAAAGGAATTGAAGATTGCCTGCAGTCAGTCCTGCTCGAGACTTATGGAGAAACTGATCTCCATGTCCGACATTCGCCAAATTCGAAGACTTTTCAGCAAATTTGTCAGCCATTTCTTGCACCTCGTGCAGCATCGGTTTGCGAGTCACTGTTGCGAAACACTATTCATCCATGCGGCACCAGGCGTGACACAGAAGGTCTCGAAGTCCAAGAACACAGGAGAGGAAGACGAGGAGGAGCCACAATGGACTCTGGCAGAGATGTTTATGAAGGTTGTTGAGGAACTGGAAGGAAATTGGGGATACTTGTTGACGGAAAGATTTGCATCCCACACAATTCGAGTTCTCCTTCTTGTTCTTGCGGGAGAGCCTGTTGATCTCTCGACAAGCGATTCAGTTGTCGCAAGCCGGAAGAAAGAAAGACATGGTGTCCCGAGTGCTGAAACACAAGAGGAGGGTACTGCTCCCCAAAAGAGAAGTGTGCCAGAGTCATTTGAGGCCACTCTAAAGAAGATCATGAACGACATGGTTTCGGGACTCGACAACACCTACTTGCGTGCATTGGCTACTCACCCGGTCGGAAACCCAGTTTTGCAAGTCCTGTTGTATCTGGAGCTCTCTCACTTTGGAAAGTCTAGCGTCAAGGATCCAAATTCGATCACTAAGAGACTTGTTTCGGATGATACTTTCGAAGAAGGGTCAGAAAGCACAACCTTTGTTCGCGGCTTGCTATACGATCCTGTGGGTTCCCGCTTGCTTGAGACAATTGTTCGGAATTCGCCCGGTAAATTTTTCAAGAGCCTCTATAAAAACATTATCTGCGAACGCATCGGCTCCCTTGCACGGAATCAAACTGCTGGCTATGTTGTTCTCCGTGCACTGGAACGACTTGGAAAGGATCACCTCCAAAAGGCAATGGAGCTCATCATTCCTGAAGTATCTGGTCTTATCGAGCGATCGCGGTTGATCGTTCCTAAGGTCCTCATTGAGCGATGCCTTGTCCGTGGAGTCAACACGGAACCCCTTGCAAAGGCACTGGAGGCCGCTTACGACAATGACCCTGTCCGAAGGCTAGAGCAGATGCTCAAGCTCGAAGGTGCACCTAAGGATTCCGATAAGGAGTTTGAGCAAAAGCAAAACCAAACCTCCAATGCCGCTGAGAAACTACATGGGTCTCTGCTTGCACAGGCAATGTTGACCGTTCCGGGTTCTCTCAGTGGACTCATCTTCTCCACTCTACTGGCACAGAGTTCAGAGTCGATAATCCAGATCTCCAAGGACCCTACAGCATCCCGGGTCTTGCAGCGAGCACTTACCCTTCCTACATCCACCCCTCAGTTTCGTCGACAGTTCGTCACCCGGTTCACTGGACATCTCAAGGATCTCGCACTTGACAGCAGTGGATCCCATGTAGTAGATGCTTTGTGGCCGGCCACCAAGGATGTCTTCTTCGTCAAAGAGAGAATGGCTCAGGAGCTTGCGCAGAATGAAATGATTCTCCGAGACTCTTTTGTCGGCAGAGCCGTCTGGAGGAACTGGTCAATGGATCTGTACAAGAGACGCCGTGGCGAGTGGGCCGCTAAAGCCAAGGGTCGTGACCAACAGTCTGATGGCAGCAACGGCCAGGGAGGTCGACCCAAGTCGAGAATCGAATTGGCGCGGGCGAAGTTTGCAGCAAAGGCTGAGGAGAATGCCAATAATACCCCTGTGGCTGCAAAATCCTAGGCTTTGGGGTTCTTGCGTGTATAGGCAGGGTGAAGGGGATATAGGTATCTATTCTCCTTGTATGAATTGTTTAGATATCTCCATGTATTTAGCGACTTGATTACCTACAAAAGCACTTCTTTTTGAATGATAGACTTTGATGCTCTGAAAATCTTTCTGCAATGTCTGACTGTGGCGAATTCATCCATCCAACGCTCGCCATCAACAATTCTTTTTCTACCCCTCCAACCACTGCGGGGTATAGAATTCCCACTTTTTCATCGTCTCTATCCACCACTAATTATTTGCCCCAAAATATAGATCTACAGGCAGAAAACGTCTTTATCTCTATGGCACCTGGGACAATGATGTCAAGCATCCGGAGTCTGTCGCAATCCTCAGTGGGACCGCCGGCGAGCCGAAGGACGGGTCGATTTATTTCTCGAAGGCGTTGAGAAGTTACTTGCCATTGTTATTAATTGAGCCGGCAATTCCTTTCTGGTTCGTTTTTAAATTCTTCGCTCTTTTTGGTTTAATTTCTTAGACTTTAGAAAACTTCATCTTTTTGGATTGGCTGTCTTTTCGCTCATTGCCATAGATGTCTGTCTCTTCTCACAACCGCGCTGAAGAAGTGCGAAATGTGAGTCACTGTCACTTTTGTTTTCTCCAACTTGTTCCACTCAATCTTGCCTTTTTCTCTGTCGGACTCAAGTCCTCGATTTTACACATATTATAGAGCATCTAACATTGCTGACAATTTTCTGTTGCGCAGCTTCTGAACGCAGTCCAGGACCTTCTGATTCCCTTCATCCGATCCGCCGACGAGAGCCCCTCCAGCCATGAATCGCATCAAAACGGGACCAACGGAGTCAATGGAGCGAACGAAACCAAGAAATTAAATGGAAGTATCCAAGGAGCAGGCGCATCATTGGTGGATTACAAAAAGCCAGAGGAACTGCAGAAGATTCTGCAGCTGGAGCTTCCTGAGAAAGGCACTCGACAAGAGGGCCTGATCGAGCTCCTCCAAAAGGTTCTTCGGTACTCAGTCAATACCTGGCACCAGGGATTCCTGGACAAGCTGTATGCATCGACAAATGCCCCTGGTGTGGCGTCGGAATTGATCCTGGCAACCCTCAACACCAACGTGCACGTCTACCAGGTTTCGCCCGCTTTGACGGTGATCGAGAAGTACACCGGACAGCAACTAGCTGCCCTATTTGGCCTTGATGGTCCTCGTTCTGGCGGTATCTCTGTCCAGGGAGGTTCCGCATCTAATACAACGTCGATTGTGATTGCGCGCAACAATCTTTACCCCAGTACGAAGAAGGATGGCAATGGCGACTACAAATTCGTGCTCTTCACAAGCGACCATGGACACTACAGCATAGAAAAGGCAGCACAAATGCTGGGGCTTGGTAGCAGTTCAGTTTGGGCCGTACCCATTGATAAGCAGGGTCGGATGATTGCGTCAGAGTTAGAGAAGCTGGTTCAAAAGGCCCTCAATGAGGGCCGGACACCGTTCTACGTCAATGCCACGGCTGGAACAACTGTCATGGGCTCGTTTGACCCATTCAACGAGATCGCTGACATCTGCAAGAAGTACAATCTGTGGTTTCACGTTGATGGCTCGTGGGGCGGTTCGTTTGCCTTCTCAAGACGACAAAAGCAGAAGCTGGCAGGTGCGGAGAAAGCAGACAGTATCGCCATCAACCCGCATAAGATGCTGGGGGTTCCGGTAACATGTTCCTTCCTTCTGGCCGCCGACATGCGTCAGTTTCACAGAGCCAACACCCTTCCGGCCGGCTACCTTTTCCATAACGAGGACACCGCCAACGGCGACTTCATTCCCGACTCCGATTTGGAGGTGGATTCTCCCGAAGTGTGGGATCTGGCAGACTTGACATTGCAATGCGGACGACGAGCAGACTCATTGAAACTCTTCATGGGATGGACATACTACGGCACCGAAGGCTACGAGCAGCAGGTCGACACAGCCTGTGACGTAGCCGCCCATCTGGCAACACTCGTATCCGAAAACCCCAACTTCATCCTCGTTAGCGAGAACCCCCCACCCTGTCTCCAGGTCTGCTTCTACTACGCCCCCGGTGGAGAGCTCGTCCATCCGCGCGGCGTCGTGTCCAACGAAGCCCAGCGCGGGAAGCAAAACAGCAAGGTCACCGAACAGGTCACGCACGCTATCGTGAACAAGGGATTTATGGTTGACTTTGCGCCTCCTAGCGGTGATGAGGACGCGGTTGGAAACGGCAAGTTCTTCCGCTGCGTGGTCAACGTCCAGACCACTAGGGAAACTGTTGAAGCCCTCGTGCGTGCCATCGAAGAGGTGGGACCTGCTATTGTCGACGATTTGAAAGCAAACGATGCATCTTCGTCTCATAGGAGAGTTGGGGAAAGGGGACATGGGCCTGTTGTCCACCATGCTTAAGGGCAACCCTTCCCTTCCCTTCCACCTATATAAATTCATAAATATGTTCATTCCAAAAGTATAACCTCCAGCAGTTGTTGATTCATTATACATGTTGATATTTTGAGCAGACTTCACTTTTTTTTCCCCGAACTATATAGATGTTTTGTTTACGGAGTACATGTGTGAACGAAGAAATGATAGGTAGAGCGGGGCTTCAAGGCCTCTTATCTGGTTTAATACTGATTCTATAGTCCATATAAGCTAGAATGCATTTATAAATCGCTGCACAACACTTTGAGTAATTACCCTACTGAAAAAAATGAAACAAGTAACAATGAATGGGCGCTTAGCTGCCAATCTCAACACGTCTCTCCAATACTGACCTTGCCTCAGCCTCGGTCAGAGTATCAATGGTCAACTCAGAGAGGACATCTCTTGCGCTCTCATTGTCCTTGAAGAGTCTCTTTTCAACTTCCCATAGCCCTAACCGGGCACCTTGTTCCACCTCGGACGTTCCTGAATCACCTCCATCGTCTGGCTTTGGTTTGTTAATATCCAACCCGACAAGTATGAGGCCATCACTAAGCTTCTTGAGCACACTGATTGAGCCCCCTGCGTGACCCGCTGCTCCGAGAGAGTTATCGATAACGCTGCAAAGGTGTTCAACGTCACTGATGAGTTGGGACGCTCCGGCAGCAGAAAATGTGTGTTTCGTGAGCACGTTACCCCACAGATAACTCTGGATGGAGAGAAGTACTTGTCTGATGATGCGTCGTAGAGGTGCAACTCCTAATGCGCGGGAGAGGAAGGATATATTGGTAGAAAGGGTACGCATTGCCGGTGCGAGATCCGGTGATGGAGACAGAGAAGCCCCCGAATTCGAGGGAGCGGAAAGGGTAGCCCATGTGGACGTACGTGAGTACGATTTGAGGGCGGATGTTGTGTTTGAAGTCACTGTAGAAGTGATGATGGACTCGGATCGGAGTCTTAGACGATGGTAGGCGGAAGCGGTTTCATCGAAAAGAGCGCCATCCAAGGTTGCGTCTGAGCCACTGGTACTGTGATCATTCGCAACAGCCGGGGAGGTACGCGATGCGACATCTGCAACGGACATGGTACCAGCCACATTTTTGCCATCATTTTTATTCTGCCGAACCCGTTCTTGAAGCTCAGACCAGAGCTCAACAAAGAACACATCATTACTCCAATCTTGCATCTTCTTCTCTAGGTATTCTGCGCTTCCGAAGACCCTACATAGGCGCTCCAGCCCGGCAACACCTTCCACACTGGCCTGCCCATCGGTCCCCTGTACCGTGCGACCAATTGCAGATGTCATTGTAAGGTAGGCTTCCAGTGCCGAATACAAGCGTTCGTGGAGCTGGTCAAAAATAGTGATCTGGATGTCGATGAGAAACCGCAGCTTCTGGCTAAATGATGTTAGAGGCTGATAGCGTTCTGTAATTGTTTCCAGAAGGTCGTTCACACGAATCGCAGCCTTGGTTGGCTTGGTGGCAGAAATCTCAACACCTTCGTAGTCAATACGCCCACTGTCCAGGGTATCTATAATTTCTTTGTAACGTGCCAACGCAAAGTCTTTCTCGACCTGAAGCCAACGGTCGAACCAGCCTTTCTTGGTCAAAACTTCCCACGTGAGTCCTTTCCAGTTGTCATTAGTGTAAGGATCGGGCAGATAATTCCAGGCCTCGCGGACCTCTGTGTCGAATTTCATCAGTTCATGCACGAAATGGCTTAGTAATTGGGGGTGGTTTGAGATTTGGGGAAGGAAAGTGTTGATCTTATGTCGCAGCATCGGTAAAAGAGCAGTAATATATGCGTGAGGCGCATTGAGGAAGTTGCATTCGAGGCCGGACCCGGCGGTTTGTGCCTTTTCATTAAAGATAGGCTGAAGGTACGAAATGAAGAAGTCACCGTAGGTATTCATCAAGTCCATGGCGTGCGACAAGAAATATTCCGGCTGTAAAAGCATAGTTAGAGCAGGTCATTTCTTTACACCACGATGGCACATGATACCTTGTCAAGTCTATTTGTTGGCTTGTCGCCGCTAAAGTGGTACTTGAATCGGAGCTCTAGCGGATGCACCATTACTTCCAACGGGAATAGAATTGGGGGCTCAACACTCTGCTGTTTAGAGGCCACATCGCGGGATTGAAGTTCTCTGAATAGCCAAAATTAGAAACCACGCGATATTTTGCCAGGGAGGATCCATACGGTGTTTGGAGGTCAAGAAGCAACTCGACATCGCCTCTCCACTGCGCCATGAGGTCATCCGGGAGATGCAGGTCCCTCGATGGCCATTTCATCTGCTCTAGTCTCTTTTGCAGTCGGTTGGTAAAATCGCCTTTCATTTGTTCTCTCAGCGCGGAAGCCAGTTTCTCAACGTAGTCGACAAGATGGGGAGCCGCTCCCTCTGCGGCGGGCTGGGCATCTCTCAACGATTGAACAATGTTTTGCAACCGGGCATATGGCTTCAGAGAAAGACGAGGCGTAGTGGATATATTTTGCAACGCTTCTTTGCTGTATCCAGTTTCAGTAACCATAGTCCATGACAACCTGTTTGTTCTGGTCTCAAATACCTCAAAGCATCTGCCTCCTTCAGCAGTGCGACATAACCCCGCGAAATTTCAAGCCTTCGAAGTCTTTCCATACTGGTTTCGAATCGCTGTGCCGCTACATCGCTGGCGTCCGAATTGGTGATGGTCTTCAAGCGTCTGTCAATGTCCGCCTCCTGTTCCTTGAACGCTTCGGCTCGCTTTCGAGTGGCTTCGGCATGGTTATTGGACGTTCTGGTGGCATTCGATAATGCTTCCTGGGCTTCTGCTAACTACCAATGAGTAGGTTAGCTACTACCGAAGAGTGACTTGTGGCCAGAAACCAGCGAGACGAGGCGACGGTACCTGCTTTCGTTGAAGGTCGTGTTGGGCACGGAGACTAGAAAGCAAAGAGTCTAGACTTTCAAAGTCGGCAGAAACCTGAATCTTATCATTCAGGTAATCCTCGACTCGTGTCCTCTCGTGCGAGGACAGGGATGATGTCGGAGCTGCCATTGTGGATGTTGCGGGGGAGAATCATTAAGAATGATCAGCCATCGAGAAGCGCAAGGTGTCGCGATTATCAACTCCAACTCCGCCTTGGGCAGTTCATCCAGACAGCTTCCGCCAATAACCCTCCAGGACGAACGATCGCCTCAACCACTATGGACATGCTTATAGATTCGCAGATTAATTACTGCAGCGCCTACATCTGACGTGTCTCCGTGTTTTGTTCTTATTCTAATATGCCCAGTCCAGCGAAAAAGCGAAAGAGAGATGTTCCAGACTCTTCTCCACACCACGCCCGGAGCATAGCGTCATTCTTCAAGAATCAAGCTACCACGCAAGCGAAGAAACCAGAGCAAGTACCGGATACCGTGCCCGAAGAAGATACGACACAGACTCTTTCAGACGAAGCGCTTGCTCGTAAACTCCAGGCAGAATGGGATCAAGAAGACAACGCCACTACGTCAGAGGCTGCAAGTGGTGAGCCTCCTTTAACGCCTTCAATTCCGAAAGATATCGACGCGGAGCCGATAAAAAAAGCACAGAAACCAAATACACTATCGTTGCAGTCTTCTACTGGCACGGAAGACACAATATCCCTTTCTGTCCCTTTTGATCAGAGTCCTTTGACATTCGACTCGGTGAAATATGCAGAAGAGCTACAAAAGCACTGGGCGACGGACACGGGTGGCGCTTCATACGCTTTGTTAACGAGGGCATTTGTCCTTGCCAATTCAACGTCTAGTCGAATCAGGATTGTTGATACATTGGTCAATCTTCTACGGGTACTTATTGAAGGTGACCCTTCCAGTGTTCTTCCCGCGGTATGGCTCGCAACAAACGCGATTTCTCCACCATACGACGAGCTGGAACTAGGGTTAGGGGGTTCTTCTATATCAAAGGCACTCAAGAAGGTGTACGGGCTGAATAGCCAAGGTCTTAAGACGCTCTATGATAAGCATGGGGATGCTGGAGACGTAGCCTTCGAAGCAAAGAAAAAACAGAGCTTCACACTGATAAAACCCAAGCCACTCAAAATAAAAAGCGTGTATCAGTCGCTAGTGAAAATATCCACGAGCAAAGGTACAGGGAGTCAAGAAACCAAACAAAGGGTCGTTGAAAAATTGCTGCAAGATACTCGGGGAGCGGAAGAAAGCCGATATATTGTGAGGACCCTCGTTCAGAATCTACGAATCGGAGCCGTCAAGACTACCATGCTCATTGCACTTGCGCGGGCCTTTCTGTTCTCGAAGCCCAAGGGTGCAGATTTTGTGGTTCGTCCCCAAAAAGAATTGGCAAGTCTTAAAAAAGAAGACCTAAGTGAAATCTACAACAATGCGGAGGAGATTGTCAAGGCTTCCTACGCCCGACATCCTAATTATAACGACCTAGTCCCTTGTCTGCTTGAGGTAGGGGTGACTGAAGAGCTTCTTGTACGATGTGGCCTTCAACTCCATGTTCCTCTAAGACCTATGCTGGGCAGCATCACCCGTGATCTCTCTGAGATGCTAACGAAACTTCAAGGGAGAGATTTCAGCTGTGAGTACAAATACGATGGACAGCGCGCCCAAGTGCACTGTGACGAAAAGGGGAATGTGTCCATTTTCTCGCGCCATCTTGAATGCATGACAGACAAATACCCGGATCTCGTTTCTCTGGTCCCGCAAATCAGGGGAGAAAGTGTATCGAGTTTCATACTCGAAGGAGAGGTAGTAGCTGTAGACCGGGAAAATGGTGAATTACAACCATTTCAAGTGCTGACGAACCGGGCCAAGAAGAACGTTGATATAGGCGAGATAAAAATCAACGTCTGTCTCTTCGCATTCGATCTCATGTATCTGAATGGAGAGCCTTTAATGGATCGGCCTTTTCGTGAGCGCAGGGAGCTCCTTCGGGGCCTATTTGTGGAAATACCAAATCAATTCTCCTGGGTCAAGAGCCTTGATGCAACGTCGACTGATTCTGAGACGGTACTGGAGTTTTTCAAAAGTGCACTCGACACCAAGTGTGAGGGGATCATGGTCAAGGTACTCGACAATACGCCAAAACCGGGCTTGAACGAAACAAACGAGGCTCTCTCAAACAATGAAAGAGAGACGAATCGACAGTCGGAGACGACAAACGCAAAAGAAAAAAGCAGCAGACGAAAGGCCTTACTATCTACATATGAGCCCGACAAACGTCTCGAATCCTGGCTCAAGGTCAAAAAGGATTACAGCACGTCATCTGAAACTTTGGACCTGATTCCCATCGCCGGCTGGCACGGACAAGGCCGTAAAGCCAAATGGTGGTCCCCAATCCTGATGGCAGTCCGCAACCCTGAAACGGGAAATCTCGAAGCCGTCACCAAATGCATGTCCGGCTTCACCGACCGGTTCTACCAAGCCAACAAGGATAAATACACACAAGGAAGCCCCAGCGTCATATCACGCCCCAGCTATGTCGAGTACTACGGCGAGCCAGATGTATGGTTCGAGCCACAAGAGGTCTGGGAAATGGCTTTTGCGGACATCACCCTCAGTCCGACGTACACGGCAGCGATTGGGTTAGTAAGTGAGGAACGCGGCCTCAGTCTCCGGTTTCCGCGATTCCTCAAAGTCCGTGAAGACAAGTCCATCGATGAAGCGAGTACATCGGATTACCTGGCTCTCCTATGGGAGAAGCAGGTAGAACGGTCTAAACAGGAAGAAAACGGGCCAGCCAAGGAGACTGAGAAACTAGGTTGGCAGGAATGAGCATGCCATTCTGAAAGATATAGTAATTTCTCCTCTTGATGGCTGTTGATGATTGCATATATTCGAATCTATTTATCTACCTATCTTTGAATTGAAACAATACGTAACATACATACAAATACAGATACATACAGAAATACCAGGTACGGACGGTACCTGAAAAAAACGGACAATTTCAAAAAACACAATCCCAGCCGATGTGATATGTAGCCACGTTCCATTCAAGGTCCCACAAATCAATCTATCAAGAACCGAATCTCAAAAGCACCGACCGGCATCGCAGCTTCGAATCTGTCAAAAAAAAGAAAAGAAAAACAAAGATCTTTGGTCTCCCACAAAAATCAAAGACAAACATTAAAAATCCACACAAGCTCTTTCGATTGACCGATCGATCAATCGGCAGCGTACGATACGCAAATCGACAGATTGTCAAACACCTGACAGCCTTACATACTCCACAGTCCGCGAAAAACAAGTAGTAGTGTCACAGAGGGCAACTAAGCGGGGCCAAGACCTGGCAAAACTTGGAAAATCCGGATTTTGAACAGGCTAAAATCTGCGCTAAGGTTAGGGCTTGCAGATAGCGCTAGTCCTCCTTCGGTGTTAGTGTGAACGCGAAATTGGCGCGTATTTACGGTACGGGAGACGCGTCGCGGGAAAAAAGATGTTTTTGGCGTTTTGGCAAGGGCGGAAAAACATGGTTACATTCAGGCCCGGATTTGGCTGATGTCAACAGCATGGCATGGTGACATTGATCAGATGAATTATGCTTCTAGTCCGATTGAGATTGAATTATAAAAGTTCCTAACCAATGGATGTATTATCAATTAACTAACTTCGATACCGGGTTTTCATGAGTATTTGACATGCGTATATACAAAAGTAAAAACTGTAGAGATATCCCGATCCAAAGCTATCATTCGTCTACAACTGTCAATCGCACCATATTTGTTGGTGATAGACAGTCAGCAGCAATGACGAATCGGATATAATTGAGACAAAATGGCAAGAAAGGAATTACGTTGACAAAGGAAATGTTATGCAGATTCAGGAAGGGTGCATATGAGAAGGGGTATGTATGGACAAGCCTGGTGGGAATTATTCATGGAGATATCGACTGAACTGGTAGAGTTCAAGCCTCATGGAGCCCTTTCAGACAAAAATGAAAAGAAAAAGGGAAATGCCGTCATATGGCAGGTCTGTGCGATCGGTTACTATGGAAGGCACCGGATCTGACACCGTTGTGTACATAACATGGTCATAAATATCGTAAGAAGATCCATGAACGGAGAAGAGATCAGACGTCATGCCTCAGCATTTCATGGACGCAGCTCTCCACCGAGCTGCAGGGCGAGACCAGCCTCTCTGCCCCGGTTTCTGGGACTTTCTGCACTTGGTGGTACCAGATTATCAAAGTTCAACCTCTTTCTGGCGTCTCTGGAAGCCAGGGGCGTTCTGGAAGGCCCCCCAGGAGTACGGCCACCCCAAGCCGGCTGTGCAGGGCTAGGGGTAACATTCACAAAGTCGGCAAAATTGAATTGCTGACCAGGTGTGCCGAAATTGGGGAAGGCACCACCGGCTCCAGTATTCGGGGTCAATGAAGGCAAGACTGCATGCTGGCTAGGGGGTGTAGATGGAGGAAACTCCCGAGCCTGGGCCATGCTTGATATTCTTGCTGGTGTCGGCGAATTGGCAAGATATAGGAGCAAATCCGCCCCATCTTCATTTTGCAGAGTCCGTTCATTTCGAGCCAGACGAGCATGCCTCGGCGGCGGAGTGCGGGGAGGCGAAGAGCCGACCATTGAACTGACATTCTGAAAGCTATGGATAGGGAGATCAGGGTCATTCTCATCGTCCGAATGGCCACGGTATCCGGGTGATGAGAATTCGGGGATTGTAGCAGCTTGGGAGACAAACGGCGGCGGTCGGTTCATGCGGTGGCGGTTGAAGCCAGGAGACGATTCAGGCAGCTGGTACGAACTTTTCCAGGAGACGCGGGGTGCCTTGGCTGGATGGTCGGTGAAAGAATCTGACCGAAGACGTTTACGACTGGCAGACAGCATTGGCTGCATGACCCTCGAGTTGAACGTTGCCGCATGCTTATTCCGCGATGATCTCGGAAGCTCCTTCGAGTAGGACGACGTTTGTAGGGGGGGAGAGGTTAGGGGTGTTTCGCAGCGACTGTGGGATATCTCGGACGACGAATCGGACGGCTTGTCACTACCCGAGGAAGTCTGTCTTCCATCTTGCTGTCGTGGCTCCAACCCATGCAGACGACCGTTCTGGTATTTGACTTTGGCGAGGCCTAGACGGTCCTGGAGACTGAGGGATACCTAATAAAAAAGCCATGTGTTAGAATTTGCTATCTAGCTCAAAGTGCTATCCAGGGAGATGGGAAAAAGGGTAATTTTGGTAGGGTATTGTGACTGAGGGGTGATTCTATGACTCCCACTTACTTGGGCGATATCGATTTTGCGGATCGTCTTTTCCGAACTGGATGGTCTGGCATGGGCCATTGCTTGAATCTGTGAACAGCCAAACAGCTATTCACCCGACGAAGGGAAACGGTCGTTATCATCAAATGCAGCAGGAATGGGAGGTGAGCCGGTAGGAGAGCTGTGCCTCGAGTCAAGGGGTGTGTGTTTTGCCGTTGGTCGACCTCGAGAGGTGAAGAGGGAGCAAGGGCGGCTGGGAGGAGAGGGGAGGAAGAGGAGACGAAAAAAAGGCAAAGAAGGCCAATTGGCGGATGGAGAAGGAGGAGAGAAGTCTGGGGAAGAAAGATGCAGGCAGGATTGATTAGTTGCAGACGGAGTGGAAAGTCCAGAAAAAACTCGGGGAGGTTCAGGTGTGCTTGGGGAAGTCTGGAGAGACAAAGAAAAAGAGGGTTGAGATGGTGTGGATCTCGCCGACTGCAGAACGAAAATGCGTGCCATCAATCAATATTGAGATTTCCAGCTTCATCCCTCGCGCTAGAATGACTTCAGCTGCCATGCCAATGCCACCGAGTGTTCTATTTCAGAATAATATGAGGAGTCGAAGATTCCTATATCTGAACTACGAGTGTTTCTAGTATGTACAGGAGTGTGTGGACTACAGTGGATTGAGGTGAAGAGATACACACCATCATCCATCTTTTATTATTTTGCTCCGTATGCAGTCTGATGCATCGATTCGTTCTGGTTGCTCGATTGCTACTGATAGGTATGTATGCATGCTGCAGTCGAAAAGATAACTCTGAATCGCATGAAATGATCCCAAAGCGATCGACTCGGCATGCAACAGCGTCAAAGGTTTATTCCCAGGCCCTTCCTCTCTCTCTCAACAATATGCAGTGATGATCTGTCTCAGACTCTCTAGCCCTGAAAGGAGACAGAATGTGGCTTTTGAATGCTACTTTTTTCAGAATTAAATACCGGCTGCATAACTCGGATGTTTCTGACATCGTGCAGCCATCAACTGCGCCCCGACCGAGTCTTGTCAATGCGTTGTCAACTCTGACTGGATTGGGACTTTTTTATCTTTCCTTCTTATCCAGGATTCCTGAATAGGTCCTTAATTTACCACAATAGCCATTATGTTGGATTACTGTATCCCCTTTACTCCGTACAGCATCACGGGTCGCACAGTGCAGGTAGCACCAAACGGTTGGTTTAAGATCCAACTAACCACCATGCCAAGTCCCGATGATTGACAGTTTGTCTTCGATATCAGGCAAGTTGCACATTGTCTTTGCTTTTGTCTCTCCTTTTCTTTTTTATGGTTATGGTGATATGAGTTTATGTGACTGTGACTGTTGCCAAGCAGGAAGATAAGCACCATTAGCGGGGTCAGCCACCAGGGACGAGATGCAGACCGACGATAGATCAGAAGGAGGCGACAAAAAAATAAGCAAAAAAACGGGGCCACCAGCTCAATTGGGCGAATAAGACGTCCAAACAGACCTGGGAGGCTGAGTTACGTGTTGAAGGGGGGCATTTAAGATGAATGTTGACGTGGAGCAGAAGCTGAGAAGAAGCTGGAGATCCGGAATGCAGCATACCTGGGCGATCGCAGCAATGCGATCAAGCACTCTTCAGTGTAAGGAGAGGGTCGAGATTTTGATATCGAACTGCCAGATGGCTATATATATGATCGAAATATTGAATATTGATTGTTTGAAGCTCCAGGAGTAGATACAGCCCAAAATAGCAATATTAATGCAACTTCTAGCACCGATCATCGCCCATGATCCACCGATGGTGAAACTAGCCCGACGGTGGTGATATCGCCAATGGATTCAGGACTGAGCCTACGTAACGCGGCCTATTCTATTCGCAACAGCCGTGCGACTGGGGGATGTTGCTGAAGACAGCTAATCAAGTCTCACTTCTTATCCATGGCCACAGGGGATGGGGCTATTCTTATTGCCATTATTATTGGAACCATTTATCGACTACCGGTAGTGTTCACCTAGTAGCAAAGTAGCAACACATTGTCTCTCCTGTGCCTCTCCTCCTTCTCATCCTTTCCCCTTCTGAGTTTTTTTTTTCCTCGCCTTCTTTCTCTTGCTTCCCTTTCCTTCGTTTTGACTCTCTCATGATCATCTCCTTTGATCTTCATCTGTTTCCCTCCTGGCCCCCTTGTGCCTGGATTTCTTCTATGCGGGGCGGTTGACTTTTCCCACTTGTTCGTCAACCGCAACCGCAAACGGTCGCTTTCCTCTTACAACAATCTTTGTCTCTTTTTTCTTTTTCTTTTTCTTTTTTTTTTTTTTTTCCCTCTCCTCTACCACCAACTGCTGCCCTGAACGACTCAGGGCAGCCCCTTCTTTCTTTACTTCCCCAGCCCCTTTTGATACTACTCTCCATTGTCCGACTTAATTGTCGCTCGTTTCGCTCCAGTACCTCTTTCTAGTCGGTCAAAACAGAGGAGCTTTGCTTGGCTTGCCAATCCTTCGGGGTTGATCTGGACTCACCAGTTCAACACCATTACTTCGAATCATCATGCCCTTTTTCAAAGATCTTCGTCGTCGCTCCAAGGCCAGCTTTCATACAACCAGGTCCCATGAATCGAAATCCAATGAATCCCAATCCAATGGCGAGATGACGTCGGGGAAATCGTCGTCTACGCTCGATACAGCCTCATACAGCTCCGTCACCCCTCCATCCTCCATCAAACCCAACAATGTATCCTCGCCCAATCTTCCCTCGTTGAATGAAACAAGTGAAACCGATTCTAGCTCCAATGGCACTAGTACCCCGCTCGCCGTTCCTGCTCAGCGACCGGGTCCTGTTGTGCATCCGTCCCAGCGCAATAGTACCTTTGTACGTTAGAACTGACCTTATCTCCGGGTACCTGCTCCTTGCTGATCGTTGATTTTTCTCTGCATAGGGCAGCTCAATGTCGGTCAATGGAAATGCCCGGTCACCAACTCCGTCTTCTCCTTACGCTCCGAGGATCGTTTCTATCTTAGACAACGCATGGGTATGTCTCTGGTGCTCTTCGTCTCAACCCCGCACGAGAAGGTATTGTCAGCAACAGTCGATTGACATTGTTCCTATTCTAGGTCCATCAAAAAGTTCTACTCGTTTACGGTCAGATTGGTGACCCTCGACAACATCCGCTGGACGGAAGTATAACGGTCTACCATCACCAAGATAGCTTTCCATCAGTCGCCTGGCCAGTCACCTCGTCTCATTTCAAAACCCTAGTCCACCTCTCCCCGGGGCCAAACAGACTACGCTTTGATTTCGTCTGTCCGAAATTGTCGTCAGGAAGCGCCAATCCTGTTGTTCATTCAACATGGATTTCCGTCAACTATCTACCTCTTGCACAAGCTCCGCCCCTTCACCTGGTAGTATTGCTTGGGAAAGATTCCGATGGTACTTATGACGCCGTACCAGAAAGGATACAGCGGGAAGGGAATGGGCTCGACACCGCCATTCGAAAGTACCGCATGGCTGCTTACCTCTGGCAAGCATTCACGGGCGAGCAGATGTTCCGCAGCAATCTTGGGCGGCGTTGCTTCCGTTTCGAAGAAGAGTGGCAGACCGGTACTTTGAGTCGTCGCGATGTCTCAAACGAGCAAATGCGAAACGAAGCCAAAATCCATGTCGTCCGTACAGAGAAAACGGTCGCAGAGCTTCGGGATCTCAACATTGCCCAGCAAAACACCTCCGCCACCAACAAGGACGAATTGTACAAAATTGCCAAGGAAGCAGTCGCAAACCATTTCCAACCTAAACCGGGGCAAAAGCAGTACGTTTCAGTCATGCTCTTGGATTCGCACTGGGACCAAGGCTCGCAGACCATAACAGGCCATGCCGCCTTGGGTTCGGACCGGGATGATATCAAAATGGCAGTCTTTGGATCCCACAGTCTTCAGAGTTATCCGTCTAGCTTAGAAGAGGTCGTTGATGCCTTCTCTGATTGTACCCGGACAGACACCAATTCCATTGCGAATGACTCTGGTGAGGCTGGGTCGAATTGGGAATCTGCTAATTTTGGCATCGGTGCTCACCTCCACGAGGTTGGCCACATATTTGGGTGTCCACACCAGGAGTCCGGAATTATGCTGAAAGATTACCTGCAACTAAATCGATCTTTCATGACCCGCGAACCGTTTTCCACCCGCACGAAGACTCAGGGTCTCAAGCTATGCTTGCCCCAGGATGAATGCAGTTGGCATCGCCTTGATGCTCTGCGTTTTCGATTTCACCCCTGTTTCCGACTTCCAGGCGATGCTCCTGCCATCTCAGATGACAGTGTCCAGGTCTGGCCTGTTGAAAGTGGCAAGATTCTGTTTACCGCTTCATCTGGTATTGCTTTCATGGAGCTCTACGCCGAAGGCGACAATGTCTGTCACAACTTTATCGAATACCTCAATAGTGAGTCAAGTAGCAATGGACTCCCGAGGAAGATTACCGTAACAGAAAGTGAGCTACGGCAACGACTATTCGGAACCGAGAAAGAAAAGAAGAAGCAAGTCAAGATTGTGGTATACTCTGGCGCACTGGGCAGTCTTGCTATCGACGACATTACCAGCCTGAGGTCCAAGCTTTCACTGGTTAAATTGCCCAAGGGAACTGGGTTCAGGGGTGGACGATTAGGCTCTGGAAAGTTGGATGGAAGTCAACCAGAACAACTCTTGTTGGACTGTGCTTTTCAAACTAAGCTTTTGACCTCAATCAAGGTCTACCACGGTGAAGCATTGGCGGGCTTGGAGTTTTGCTACGAAGATTGCACTAGTCAGCTCTTCGGAAAGCGAGAAGGGAAACCTGGGGGTGATGAATTTGTGCTTGGTAAGCACGTCACCTTTTGTCTCGTATGCACCTGAAATGATGCTAACACTACAGCAAGACATTCGACGAGGGGAAATTTTACTTGGTTTCTATGTCCGAGCGGGACAGTGGATCCATGGCATCGAATTTCTCACAAGTCAAGGACGGAAATCCGGCGTTTTCGGTAATGCGCATGGAGGTTCTGGGTATGTCGTCTATGTTACCAAAATCCTTGATTGTCTATACTAATTGTCTCTCAAAGACACACCTTGATACCACCTTTAGGCTATAAAATTGCCGGTATTTCAGGCTCCTGTGGCTCTTGTGTCGATGGGTTTTCTCTGATTATCATGCATTGATCCAACGACCTCGCAAACTTCTTCAAACTACCGACGACATATACCCATATCTAGGATTTGGTTTCCATGATTGACTGGGTGATTATTGTCTAGGTCCAATGCCGCATCGTCTTCTTCCTCGTCGACAGTTGCATGATGTGGGAAGCACTGCTGTCTTTTCCCAATTCCCTGAGTGGGCACACATGCTATGCTTAGTGGATTCCCCGAACAAGGGCTATCTTCTTTATGCATGGATTGCCCGGGGAGTTCATACGAAAATCACTTCTACTTCTCGAACTAATATCTTCTTTCTTTTCGTGCAATATACGTCAGATGATACCAGATTAGCATGCTAGGGCGGCAGCTGGTCGAGCGAACTGTATATTTCTGTGTTTGGTCATCAGCACAACGCATTTATGTTCGGCCCAGAGTGTTGGTGTTAATATATCCTAACTTTCTTTGTTATTCTACATACATGGTGGCGTTCAGGAGCTAGGGTGATGTGTTCTCGAGGTTCTTGCTAGGCTTGGATGGTGGAGAAAGAAGAGCATTGTCGGGGCAAAGTATGCGGCGAATAATAAGCTGGGCTTAGGATTGCTGCGCCGATACTCGGAAATATCTGTAAAGAAATATAATTCAAGTTTGCCAGTGGCTATAGATAATATATTTCCATTGTGGATTGATAATTGTGACAGGAATAGCATTCCCTCACTGGGACTTCTAGACGGGAATAATTGAAGGATATATTAGGGCCTACAAGGGGTTGCGATTATCCAGAGTAATCAAGGTAGTACCCCTATCTCGAATCCTATGTAAGGTTGGGTTAACGTCACAATAGCAAATCGGCTGCATGATTGCTTTCGAGTTGATGCGATGTTACAGTCTACAAGACAGATGGTTCATCCTACTCGACCGTGATATCCAGTGGGTCAACGCCAACTGAACCATGCATATTGGAAATAAGTACCTTTGGTTGGTATTGGTGTGTAAGGTAATTAAAGTGTGGCCTATTCTCAGCCCGGCCTTTGACTGTGTGAACTGTGATGTCATTTCGGGATCTGCCATGGATGACTAAGGGTGTTATATTCCTGAGGCACCCATGGATCGTCACCATTCGGGTCTCTGGTTCGCTGGTTGTAACATCTTCCCCCGATTTGATTGGCGGGCTTGTCTTCAGCGTGTAATGGAACCTGAACACGGCTAGTGGGGAATCTGAAAACGATTGCCCCATTAAATATATGAGGAAAAAAGTCCCTGATGGAGACTTCATGGTAAGTTCAGGTGGAGTGTATGTAGAATCCGCCGAGTCGTTTCCCCAGTCAAAGACTGTTGCCTTTGTGGCCTTGGAGATGCATTTTTGATGGATTGACACTTCAGCCGTTGAAAGCATCCACTGAGTGGTTTGCCACTGACAGCACCTCCGAGCGATCTCCGGAAGAAAGGTATCCCATATCCCATATCCCATATTCCATAATCCCATGGATTGGGACATTTCAGAACTCGCGGAACTGACGCCTGTGGCTTGACAATAATGGTGTTCGACTGACCTCTTGAATTTTGCTCGGTGGACATGTGCTCGGGATGGACGCTTATTCGTCTGGAAAAAACAAGAGTTACATCAATGATAGGTTGGATGATGTCGACAACTGTTTTTCCAATGTGTACCTGGTACTAATAATTGATGGAACATACTACAGTATCTATGAAGGATTGAATACTTTAGTACGAAGTACAGATACTCTGTTAGAGAAAGCATGTCATATGCAACAATTCTACCCCGTAGAGTACGCGTGTACTTTGTAATGAAAAAATAATATTCCACCGTGGGATAGTTCTCTCATCAATTATCAGATGTGTTGAGCATCCAAACATCCATGATGTCATAATTAAATAATAGGGTTGATCTGCTAGCTACTCCATACCGAGCCATAAATGTGATGTCGTCAAGGTGAAAATTAAGTGAAAAGCAAACCACAGATAAGCGCAGAACAGAGCTTGGGTTTCAAGGGCTTAGGCCGGACATACATGTAACCCCACTAGTAACAGCTGCTATCATTTACCGAAAGGGGAAGTAGAAGGTGGTCTAGATGTCGAGAGCTCTACGGAGTATGCCATGCATAACCAACTACTATTACCTAGAGAAAGAATTTGACGATTATCCATTCCACTCTCTATGATTCATCCGTAGATCTTCTTTTTAGCTTCGATGCCATTAGTGACGGGAGCTTTGCCGGACTCTGTCCTACCTGGTTAGAGTTGATAAAGAATGCTGCTCAACATGATAGATTCCGAAATTCCATCTTTATGCAGAGTAGAGATGTATAAATATCTAATTGAACAAATCAAACCAATAGAAATAAGAGAAACATCTTAAGTACAATACAGCATTCCCGCTATGTATTATGTAAGGTAATTGACTTTCCGGGTTACACTCCGTCCGAGCCTGAGCGCCACACGATTTATCTGTGTTCTGATTGGCGGAACGACATCCGGCAATGGACAGCCTCGTCTGCCTCAGGCACCTTAGTATCCCTGCATGTATCAAGTACAAGACAGCGTACTGTCATACAACATGATCCAATGGCCATCTCATATGCATGTATACCAAAGGGATATTAATATAATGTCAACCGTTAAGTCGGGATGTACAAGTACCTATTGTGCAATTGGCATAGAGATTCCGTGGTGTAATCATGAGGTATTGGATGATGCTGTTTGATAATCAAATAGCGCCATCGCTCTAGTCAATTGGATTAGAGTAAGGATACATCATGGTGATTCAGAAATCAGAAATATTAACTATGCAGTAGAGAACTAAAAAGATATTCAGAAGTTGGGTGTTTCAACCTATACATATGTACTCCATACTCCGTACATGCAAGTACTAACTATGTAGTATGTACAATAGTTTGCCACAAGCTCCCCATCCCCATGTCAAGATTAAGTTTGCCCAGAGTGATGCGCACAATGTGGCTTTGATCGCTCGTGACATCGACATAGATGTTAGTAATATATCAACGACGAAAGCTACGTACGCCTCATCTCCCTCGGTGTCTGGGAGCAGAACGAACTGTAGATCGATATATTGCCTTCGGAATCAAACGGTCGAGTTTTCAACGGTATCGGTAGATCCTTGAGTATGTGGGTGGTAGGACCCTCGGTTCATCTAGTTCTACTACTACATATGTACACCCAAAACGAATAACACATGTAGGTAGATGGCTAAAGACAGATAGCACGGATGGGGTAAACCAAATAAAGCACCCATGTGAGGATCTATGAGCGTTATATGGTGTCATAAAATGAAAGAATTGAACAGAGAAGGTATAGAGCACCTGCATATGTATCAGAAATACGGAGAAACGCCTCTGAGGTCATTGATTGAGGTCGTTCTAGAAAAAAATGGGGATGTCTTCGAGGATGTAGTTCCCGCCAATAGGGATGCAATGATTAATGGCTTTGCTTTCTGCCTTCTCCAATTAATGAAAAATGAAGGATATCGATAACTGCATAGTGCAGAATACTTAGTGAACGACGACAGATGTCCAAATAAGGAATATGCAATTGACGGCAAAGAATGGATCTAAGCCCAGAGTGGAAGGACTTCCCCAGGGGTATGCAATATGAACAGTTTTTTGGGATTGGAAGTATTTTCATTTCTCATCCGGATTGGCCTTTTCTGAGAGTGGATGAGAAAACGGAGTAAACCAAGGCTACTCTGTAGATACGATGGAATCACTCTGGGTACTCCATATCTACCGTCCTTATCTGAGCTTTCCATGGGCTGGCCGAGTGGCCCTGGACTACTCGGTATTTGTCCCGGACCCATACCACTGTCCCGTACATACCACAATACCACAATACGCACAATACGAACCGTACGTCCATACATACACGGATATCATGGGTCACTTACCTGGTCTGTCACAATACGTACTCCACCCACCATTCCCCTCTCTCTCCACCGATCCTGCGCTGGTCCAAAAGTCTTTTTTTTTTTTTTTTTCCTGTCCCAGAAGGCAGGCCGTAAAATAGAAAAAAAAAAAAAAAAAGGCGATCAAAAGAGCTCCAAACATTTTTTTGGTCTTTGGACTCTTGCACGTCACCACGTTTTCCCATGTGGTTCTTCTGTCTTCTAAATGATACATAATAATTTACTAGGCCGACTTCTTTTCTTCTCTCCCTCCTTCGATCTCTCTCTCTCTTTCTCTCTCCCACACACTCTCTTTCCATCTCACTAAAACCCTTTTTCAATATTAAATTTTTTTTATTACCGTTACGATTCCCATTTGCCCTGTGGCCCTTCGATCAGCCATTTCCATTGGGGGATTCTCCTACCGTTCGGCTCCATCTGCGTCTGCCATGGTTAACTAATTTCGCCCATCTGCGCATGCCGTCAGTCTTTCTCCCCTCCATCGCGCCTCAAAAGACTCCCCCACCATCGTCTCCAGCGCTTTTTTTCTCGCCTATATATATATATATATACATACCTCTGAACATAAAAAAAAAACAACACTCTATACATAGAAGGATTCTTTTTTTCTTTTCTTTTTTCTGGTCGCCTCGTATCCGATGTTCCAGTTGATCCCCTAATCAGGGGAACGAAGACACTCGTCAATCTTATCCAACCTCAAAGACCACCGACTATCCTTCTCGCCTTCAATCTTGTCGGTTGTCGCGCCTTGCGATCGTCAGTGGTGATTCTTCCTTCGACACTCTATCCGCATTGAATTATCGAAACACCGAGCTACAGCCTACGGCCAAAGGGCAATTTCCACTCCGGGTTGATATCGCATTTTCGATCCGGAGGTTGACTCTACTTTCCTCGGTTTAACCCACAAATCTTTTCTCTCAGTTTAAGAGCCTCATAAGCTGTATCGGTTCTTCCGCAAATCCTCCTACAATGTTCCGCAATAGGTAAGTCGGTGTGTTCTGCGTCGGAAGTGATGGCTTTGTCAGTGCTGCTTTAAATGGGAATGAGAGTGCTGATTGATAATCGATTTTATGCAGACAAAACTCCCAGAAGCCTGATGATGAGCTCATCAACAAATTCCAGAGGACTTTCTCCGATCTCGTTCCCCCGCAATCCAACCCAGAGCCATTCGGGCAACCGCACGTTGGTCAAATCACCCCCGCCAGGTACGCTCTCCTCGAACCCCCAAGATTCACGTATTCATTTATACGCCCGGGAAAACCATAGGCAAAAGCTGACTTTGCAATCTCACGACCCAGACTGAACATGGGCGGCGGTGATGTGAGACACAACGATCAAAATGGTCATAACACACCGGACTCTCGATTTACACCGTCATTCTTAGACCCAGGCTCACTCCCTTTTATGCCATTCCCCAACCAACAAAATGGCTTCTATCCCCCAAATTCTTCCGGAATGAGCTCTATTCTTCATAGTCAGGCCGGAGATTTGCACACTCCTAATATGGGCATGCATCTCATCAGTCCCCTCTCCCAACAAATGGCTGGTGTAGACAACACAACTATGAATTTTGACCAATTCAATCAATCTTTCTTTCCTCCAAACTTTCATAACCCCCAGCCGTTTCCCCAGCAAGATTCATTCGCCCCCAGCGCGTTCGTTCATGATTCATATGACGCTATAGATGAATCTGTCGAAGAATCTTCTATGCATGATGCGGACATGCAAGGCAATTCGACCTCACAGGGGACTATGCTCTCGCAAGAATTACCGCTCCGCGCAAACACTCAAGATGAAGAAGGTGAAAAGTAAGTTCGCATCAGTTACGAGTTACGCCATCAATGAATCTAACCTCAGAAGATTCCGATACCACACAACATTAAGAGCACCGACTGCAATGGTTAAACACCACAAAGAGATTCCAGTTACCTACCTTAACAAAGGTCAAGCCTATTCTTTGTCTGTGGCCGACTTGGCTCCACCGATGGGTTCTCACTCGGTCAAGTACCGAACATTTGTCCGCGTCTCTTTCCAAGAAGATGAGCAAAGATCCAAACCCGCCACCTGTTGGCAATTATGGAAAGAAGGTCGGGGAACAAATGAAGCGCATCAACGCGGCGGCAAACTCCAAGCAGTAGAGTACGTCGACCCAATACAGGGGCCAAACGAAGACCAAAAGCTCCGTCAAATACAGCTCGAAAACGCTTCTTTCGATGGATTTTGTGTTACATGGTCACCAAATCTATCCACCGGAAAAGCAGATTGTTCCATTCCCGTCCGATTTAACTTCCTTTCAACAGACTTCAGTCACTCCAAGGGTGTGAAGGGCATTCCGGTTCGGCTATGTGCAAAAACCGAGGTCATATCTCTTGAAAGCCCTCATACAGGCACGGCCAGCGATGCAGAGGTTTGCTATTGCCAAGTGAAGCTGTTCCGAGACCATGGGGCTGAACGGAAACTGTCCAACGATGTTGCCCATGTGAGAAAGACTATTGACAAGCTGAGGCAGCAGATTTTTCAAGCTGAAATGGGCGGCGGGAACTTCGGGAAACGAAAACGTGGAAATGGTTCCTTCCCTGTCAAAGGCAGCACCGACCATCGCCCTGCGAAGATTACGAAGCACAAACGGACTTGGTCTATGGATTCGAATGAAACCCCCGAGCGATTATCCTTGGAGGATGACCTCCATGTTAAACTGGCGATGATGCAAGACATGTTTACGTCGACACGGCCGGTTAGCATTCTCGGCCTACGAGGGGATGAGCAGGACGATCCAGATCTCTTCCCCGTTGAGCTACCTGGCGACTCTCCTGAAATCAAGAAGGAAGGCCGCCTTTTCCAGAACCCATGGCCACCCCGGGCAAGCCTCGATACCACACCAGCACCAGTAATTCAAACTTTGTCACCGTCGGCTAGCAATGCCTCGATCAATTCACCACTCCATCCCCTCCATCGGAATTTATCAAATCCTAGCTATGACTCCGCATACCAAGGCTCTTTAGAAAGCTCAAGGGGTAGTTCGCAGCTATCCGAAGCTTCTGGGGAGAAGGTGCTTGCGAGACGTCCGATGAAAGTACAGCGGTTGTCTCCTGAAAATACTAAGATGTCTATGGGCTATATCGAAGCAGTGGATATTGATCCGACATATCGACCACCGTCAGAACGTCCACCCAAGCCAAGTAAGTCTTGTTTGAAATAAATACGCATTCAGACATACTAACAGAACGGCAGTTGCATGCTTCTACATCCGTTTCCCCCGCAATGAAACGCAGGAGGACGACTACTACCGCGCTGTCTACCTGACAGAGCGAACTGCTAAGGGCTTGTTGGAACAGATATCTCTCAAACGACGTATTGATCCCGAGCGAGTGGTTCGCGTTCTTCACATCAAACAAAACGGGCTGAAAATTATGGTGGATGATGATGTCGTTCGCGAACTTCCCGACGGCCAAGATATGGTTGCCGAAATCTCCGAGTTTTCGATCCCGGATACCGCGGTAAACAACGGTGAAGCGCCTGGGACCCCAACTGTCGAGGTCAAATTGACCTATTAACTGGGGCTGGCACAAGTTGTGTCTGTTCCACAGATTTTTCATGGTCGCCATTACATTTCATGCCTTTCTTAATCTTCTCCCCATTCGCCAGGTTAGTGATGGGTCTCGAGAGCAAAGAAAAAACACGAAGTCTCGTTTCGAATCGCTATACCCATGAAAGCGCCTGGTGCGTGACGGGGATGGCCTCATTTGCAACAATAAACGGATTTGGTTTTTGTTTCACTTTTTTTTAATCCTTTTTTTCTTTCTGTTGCTTTTGGGCGCGGCTTTTGTGTTTTTCTGGGGCGTTGAATACGGCGACAATACACGAGTCCCCGGGCAATGATACCTATGTGCTGCTTTTTTTCTTTCTTTTTTTATTGTTTAATTTTATGTGCCATATCTTGTTATGCTTTTTAAAAATTCGTCCTTCCCAGCGATGTTATTGTCGAGAACCACGACCGGGCATTTGCATTTTATTCTTCACCATCTGTCTGGATGGTTCTGCTATTTTTGTTGAGTTTTGTGATTTCGGAAGATCTGGTCGAGGGACGACGCACACGAAATAGATACCCCGTTCCATTTTTTTTTGACATCGAAGTTGCTTTTTTCTTCCAGGTCCAGTGGCACGCTGTCGACCATTTCTTTTCTTTTTTATTATTGTCTACTGGTCGCTTTTGATTCTGTCTTTTCTGTTCATTACTGTCGTTCAATCCTTTGCCAGGAACGATTTGGCAGAATAGAATTAATCTGTGACATGGACAATGTTGTCCTTTCTTTGACGGGGCATCGTTTTATGTGTGTGATGAATCTGATGATTGTTCAACGGCCGGAACATTATTGAGAAGGATTGAGCGATACAGTGCATAGGTACCAAATATACGAATTGCCTCTGCTATATTCTTTTTATTTTTATTTTTATTTTTTCTCCTTCTCATGCAGTAGATTAGAATTTCATTGGTAGTGCATTACTGTCGGCTTTTTGGATGGGATAAGAGCACAATGGATCAATGGAAGATTTCCGTGAAGAAGGTGGAGTCTGAGAAAGTTTCTTTCAGATGGCATCGCCCCAATGGACCAGCCCATGAGATTGTCCCGAGAATAGCAAATCCCTTGATAAGGGCAAGCGATGGGCAATGTGATTGGCTGGGCCCTTGGGCCAGCCAGAAGGAGAGCGGCTGAACCGTGGGCTGTGGCCGTCTGGCCGACCCAAGGCCATGGATGCGACAATGGCGACTATACTAAGTTTGGGCTGCTCCCTTTTTCCTCATGCAGCAGGATTGGTCAATCGAGCTTATCTCAACAAATACCGAGTTCCTTTCATGGTACTCTGTACGGTCATCCAGATGATCTGATTTCTGTCTCAGGGGTATTATTTGCGGAGGGATTTGAGATTTCACCAGTGACATCATGGGCTAGTGGTTGGGTTTCGCATTTTCATTCCTGAAAATAAAGAAGGTGCAGGTCAATTGTTTTCTGCCCAACCACTAGTCCCGCCACTGTTCCTGATGATCTCAAACTGTACTGATATACCCATATTTAATGAGATTAAAGGTGGGTGTTTCCCACCCTCTCTCATCACATAAGTGGCCATAACGCCAACATTTTACTGGAGATAAGAACTAAGATTGCAATAAAGTGTCAATTGACAGCAGCAGTTCACCCCTGTCCCGGCCCATTGAATTCCCCAAGAACTCCCAAAAAATCATCCCCAACAGACACAAACCACTACGATGATCGGCTAGCTGCAAAAACAGCTGTACGTCCAACATCCCAGCACCATGACATCATATTTTCCATTAGTCTGGGCCAGGCTCGCCGTAATGTCGTCATTTCTGCCATTTTCCTTGGAAACTGTGCATTTTGCGTGTTCCACGCGGGTCGTGCCGTGGTGGGACTGCGCTTGGCCTGAAACTGCCTGGCGGAATTATTGAATTACCGAGTATTTCGTGGCATACGGGTTTTTACCGGTACCAGTGCGTGTGTAAATTACGCTTGTTGGTATTCCATGGTTGGTGGACGGCAGTGTTTTATTATCATTATAGTTCAATTTAAAGGGCAATTTGAAGGGTGATTTTTGGATGCGGATGGGCTGTTATCAGTTAGATATTGTTCTGTATGAGCTGCAGTTGGTAAGGTATATCCTGTCTACAATGTCGGTTTAGGGACCACGTCTATGCCCATGCACAGTACTCGTGTCTAGGCAGTTGTCCCTATGTATCTGATTGCTGTACTCAGTTCATAATCTTGCGGTACTGCCGTTGAGAGAGAAGATAGCTGAGAGGTTGAATTCCTATCCAGATAGTAAAGAACCTGCATACATCTCAAACAGTCGAAAACCAATAACTGACCTAGTAATTACAGGAAAACCTCTGTCTTTATGGCTAATACTGCACGCCAACGCCGTTGGATGCTCTGTAGATCAGATCAGATCCCAGATCTGCCAATGAGAAACGGGGGATTGGTGGGCTCCTGGGTGTGCATACGTCAGTGAGCCCCAACAGTCTGCAAAAACAGTCGCTTTTCTGGCGATCATTACGCAGGGGGTTTGGCAGGGTATTTATTGGTGATTATAAGCTCAGTAACTAAGGTTAATTATTATTTGCAGGTTATTTGTTTTAGTTTTGATTTGCATTTGGGTGGATTGTCCAGAAAGACAACATGGCGGCAGTTATTCGATCCACAGTTAATCTGTACCTTGACGGTGGCTTCGGGATTTTTCTAGGGCTAATTAGTACTATTTACAGCTGTATGCTGTGCATATACCTGATGGATCGTTTTCCTATTATAGATTCAGGTACAAGGGGTATATATCCCCTATCCCTGGTAGTCTGTACTATGATGGATCTACAGTGAGGAGATGTAGAAATAAACCGTTGATCAATCTATTTTAGTCTAAAGACCTATCTTATTGTTATCTACAGACTATCATACTAGCGATATAGAATACACTATCACGTATGGATATACTGGGTTTTATTCAGACATGGAATATATATCGATCATGCTATAAAGTGTAAATATTTATCTTATCGATTTCGCTGAGATGTAGAAATACGTACTATGTAGTATAGAGTACTCTGACGTCAAACACAAGGACAAACGACAAGGCATTGACCAGGGATACTACACTGGACACTCTGGATATATCAAGTGATAGCCACTGTCTTCCCAGCCATGTAGCACTTGTGTTGTCTTTCTCCTTTTAGTTGCCTCTGCTGTTGCTCTGGATGGCACCTTCCCTCTTCACTGTGCCACTGTGTTGCACCTTCCCAAAGAGGACAGCCTGAGCAAACAGCCCAACCTTCTCTCTTTCTTTCTTTCTCCCCCCCCTTTTCTTTCTTTCCCCTCTTCTCTTCTTCTGTTGCCTCCCCGTCCTCCACATATTTCTTCATCTTCGTCAACCCACTCCCAATTGCTTCTCATCTTCAGCTCTGCACCCCACAAACTCGGATTTTTTTCTCTTTACTTCTTCTTGTCACTTCAGCGAGTTCAATATGGCGTCCACTGCAAGCTCCAAGATCGTGTTTCTCCTAGCCGTCTGGCTCTTCGCAGTCTTGGGCTTTGCAACTGGTAAGAAGAGTTCCATCATCTAGCGTTTCGACTATACTCACTTCTCCACAGATATGATCGGAAACAATAAGATGATCCTCGATACTATGGATAATCAAGATGCCCCTGGTAAGTCTCGACTCGTATCCTCCAAAGCCGCAGCTTTTTCACTGATCGTTCTATCATCAAGACAATGAAGTGTCTCTGAACTATAGATTCTTCCCTCGTGCTGGTGAGTCTCGTGGCGCAAGCCATCATACAGCTTGATTTGAATCAAAAACATCTCCGTCTGACTTCTCTCTATCAGAACCAGTTACTGTCACCGTCACTGAGACCGAGAGTGTCTGTGAGCCCGCGACATCGAGTGTCCCAGAGCCTTCTGCCCCTACAGCTCCAATCACCTCGACTGAGGATATTCCCACTCAAACCTCCGCGTCTCACACCACTGAACAGCCCTCGAGCACTCTGCAGACTCCAAGTGCCACGCCCTCAATTTCATCTTCTGCCTCTATCTCCCCGTCCTCCTCTAGCATCCATACTGCCTCTAGCACTGTCAGCTCAGAGACCAGTGTTACCTCGACGGCTCCCAGCAGCACCACTACTGCCCCTCCTGTCTCAGACTCCGCCCCCCACCGGGGAGGAATGCACACTATTTTCCTGGCATTCGTTGTCATGTTGACTGGCTTTCTTACCTTTTAGGTAGCATCAACATTATCATTCGAATGTGGTTGGCTTGTGGCATCGAGGCAAGTCTAGGAGTGGTACAACTGTCAGCAGCATCTGGTATGACTGGACATGTTTTTTATTGGGATTTCATAAAGTTCGTATCAAAATGTTTTTTATTTGATTTGCTTTCTTTCAGGTTGCAGCAGTGATTACACCTTCTGCTCCCATTAATACAGAAGCAACGATTGTTTGTTATCATAGTTGCGGCCAGTTCCCGCGGAATTTAACCAAAGTCTCGTACTTGTTCATCTTTATCTCAACCGTAAATTATGGCTACCATGGGTATCTTCTAAGAGCAAACATATATCATCCGTCCAGTCACATCATGACTCCAAACAAGTAGTGAAACAGGCCCTTGTTACACAACCCACACTGGATGTTATGCATGTCGGACCTTTCTGCGCTTCCCTTATGTTGTCCTCTAGTACTTCGTTAGTTAATGTGTCACTTTGCAGGCCGATTAAAAACTTACGTCTACCAAAAAAAAGCAAGCTGACTAGGTCAATTCAACCCACAAATGTCATCTGAATGCGAGCCCACACCAGTCAAGGTATCGTTGAGCCCACTTCACGTATCTGAGTCGCCAATTGCTTCAATCTCTTTGGACAAAGCACATATCCGACATCCATTCCCGATTCTATCCCTGAGAAGTCGAGCAGTTGTCACCTTAGGCCCAACTGTTCGGGATGTAGACATGGAAACATCTTGCATTGTGGGGGTAGGGAAGGGGGAAAATGGTCGTGGAGTATGAGGATTTGTTAGGGTTTCATCAGCGGTAGTTGGGGGTTCGGGGTGGACGTGCGATAGGTGGAATACATGACCGCAGGCGAAACCGACAAGGACCTCTTTTTCTAGAAAACGCAAAATTTATTCATTAGCTGGCGGTCCAGCAGAGGTAGGGATAAAAATCGCTTCTTACCATTAGCATTGAAGGGGGCATGACAGCCAGCACATCTTCCAGGTTGTGAGGTAGAAGGCTTAGAGGGAATTGTAGTCTTTTCGGTGTCGGCGTCACTCTTTGGTTCGCTCTTCCCATCGGCCTCTGACTGGCCGTCCGTTGGATTCTCTTCCTCTTGGACGACATTAAACTTGATTCCTCGCCTTTGACTACGACGTAATGCGTCCATGCCTACTGCAACCTCACTTTGGAGAACCTTGGCGGCTCCCTGGCTGATACTGGCCTGGAGATCATGTTCTCGCATCATACGACTAAGGCCTTCTCTTAGACCTTCAATTTCTAAGCCACTTGGAATACGTCGCACGAGCTTGATGGGATCGATGGCCGTTCCAGCCTCCACGAGAAGTCCGTGGATGAAACGAGGCTTTTCCATTGAGTAGTCGAGGAGGTCTTCCCAAAGATCGGGATCGTTTTGGGATTTGGCAAAAGATATAGCCTTTGAGACATCCTTCAAGTCAGAGAGAATCAGGTTCAGGGCCCTCTTTGTTTGTCCCATTTTCGAGAGTAGATATATAAGCTCGGTGGTGAAGTGACGGCTTTCACAGATGGAGCTGGCAGTGTCAAAAGAGTAAGAAGTGCTGGTTTGCAGGAATTCCATCAATAGTGGACGATCATAGTCGGCAAAAATCTCCACGGTTATATCTGCAACACCATCGATCAACGCTTTCCCTTCGTCAGCTGCCAACTTGTTCGCTGCATCCCGTACATGAGCACCCCGCCCTCTGCGAGGTTTCGGAGTAGAATCATCATGAAGCGACTCCCCTCGCCAGAGAGCCCGCAGGTAAAAGTAGAGAAAAAGAAGTCGGTTGGCATCCATTAATTGATTGACTACAATTTCCGGACGGACAATTCCAGTGTACGACTCGCTAGCAAGAAGTTTGACAGGCTCTGCCGTCAGTTCTTCGAGCTCAGATATAGGGGCCGACTTCATCTGTTGCTTGGACACGCGGATCATGATAAATGAAGGAATATCATCAAAGACTGCATCCAGTAGGCGGTGGTCTCGTATTAAGGACATGGTTGTGTCTGCGTCTTTGAGTTGGATGTAACAGCGCAATGCTTCACGATAGTGACCACCTGCTAAGCGTAGTTTGGCAAGACCCTCCATCAAGATACGCCAATCTTCTGATTCGGGTGTGACCGATTCAGATTTGAGTTGGTGCTCAATGGCTCCGGCCACATCATTGGCATCAATCAGATCCAATGGCCATGAATCCACAAGTCCATTGAACCGATGTCGATCATGAGAGATGTAATGCGTAAGTACCACCTCATAGATAGCCGGGGGAAGAGGTGGGTCTAAGTCAGTGGGAATATGAGGAGAAACCTCATCAAACTTATCATTCTTGATGAACTTCCAAGCCCAATGCTCCCATCTAGGTGCGGTATGAACCACCTTAGCACAAACTTCAGCAGCCTCATTCCATTTGGTCTCTTCAACGAGCTGCTCAATCCAAAGCTCGCCAATACGGCGCTTCTCCTGTTCGGCAGCGGAAATAGCTGCCCGACCGGTCGTTGTGACTGATGATCGATCATCGGCAAAAAATTCACCAAGGCTGCTTTGAATCTGGGATCTGGGTGGGGAGCCAGATATGTTATCTTGTGTCTCATTCGTAGACCCAGCTGCCTCAGGGTGTTCATCGACGAGCTTCCAGGCCTCTTCATACTTTGCATGTGTATTTAGCCATGTTAATCGATCCGAAAGATCCCTTTTCACGGAAACGACACAATCGTATGGACTATGGATGAAGATCCTTAGACCAGCACTTCCTACGACATCCTGCACTTCTTTGGGCAAAGAGTCATCGGCGGAGAGTCGCCGCGAGGAAAAATTACTTGGCGCCCATCCAGAGCCTTTATCACCACTGCTTGTTGTACTGCGTACGCTTGCTCCAGAACTAAACAACCGCGCAGGATACATGGTTGCATCCCACAGGCCATTCCCAAGAACCCCCAATGTTCCTCGCTGAACAGCAGATGCAGTGGTCGTCCATGGGGGTAGAACGCTCATGGTATAGTCCGAGGAAGTGAGCTTTTCGTAACGACCGACGGAAAGGGTATCGGCACTGATCTCTTCTTTGGTTTCAATGTCAATAAGGCGAAGTTCGGGCTCCAGAGCCTTTGATCGGTGGTGTGTTCCAGGGTGAAGCGTGCCGTGTTTAGACCGCAAGTCTGAAGGATCATCTTCCACCTCGATATATGCAAGAACTGCAAGAAGATTAGGGGTATATAATGAGATACCAGATATAATACAATCAGTCCGTAATCTAAGACTGAGTTAGTGACTGGTCGGGCAAAAGGATATACCAAACTTACATCGCAGAAACTTCCACGGAGCCAATGTTCTGATTCTTGAGATTTTTGTTTGGTCTATCAGGATAGACATCGATGACCCAGACAGTTCCCCCCCATCCAACAACTAGCTTTTCAACATTTTCGTTGACTGCCACTGACTGAGGGGGAGTCGAACCATCACGATGCGGTGTGTTATTAGAAGACTGGTTCTCCTGGCTCTCCAGAGAATTCACATCGATCCATTCCGCACGGGCTTTCCAAACACTAGCCATTTCTTCCCAACCCGGACGGTTCGGACGATCGATGTGACTTAGGCGTTTCCACGCAAGTTCGTAGTCAGCCGAATCAAGATGTAAACTCGATCGCATAATCTTAATTCCTTCTTCGTTGACCCAAGCCACATATTTTCCTGACAAAGACCATTTGATCGTGCTGATGGCACCCTCCCCACCATGCAGTATGGTGTCTTTGCCGCTGTTGGCACCCAGCCCTATCGATCCAAGCCAGCTCGAAGCGGCGGCGGCAGCGCCGCCCATTGTCGTTGAATTTGTACTTGCCCCCACTCGCCCGCCCGTTGTAAGAATCAAATCACCCGCTCGCCCGCCCGATAGAAACATCCTGTCACTCTTGTATTCTGGTGACAATGCGACCGCTTGAACTGGTCGGCCGAAATTCCGTAGAAGAACATCTTTAGGGTCCACTAAAGACGCAACGCATACATTTCCATCGATAGAGGATGTCGCAATGTAGATTGAGTTCGAAGGTGTTGCAGCAAGAGCTGGTTGGTGACTTAACCTGCGTTGGCCGCGGAGACTGGCTGAGCCGGACGAAATTCTCGGTGAAGAGACCTGTTCTTCGGTAGGAGCTCTGTTCAAATAGTCTGATTTGGTGGTTGGTAAAGGAGGAGGGTAAGGCGATATTGAAATAGAGGTGATGCTCGCCGAATGTGCGTGGTACACACGAAGAGGTTGCAACAGAGGTAACGACAGAACATGCTGCGGAATTGTTAGGTCGAGGACACTCCTGGTCCAATGCATTAACTTACAATATTCCCATTATGTGTTCCGATAAACTAGATAAATTCTCAGCTTGTGGCTTTTTACGAAAGCTCTTGGAGTCCATACCATCTTGTCCCCAGCGGTGAGGAATGAGCTCGTTGCGTCCCCATTGCGGTATACCGACCCCAGATGCTTCGTCAAGTACGCATACTTGAGGTGCGGCTCTTCGTCTTCCTCATCCTCATCCTCTTCTTCTTCTTCATATTCGTCCCCCTCTTCCTCGTCGTCGTCCTCGTGGTTATCGTCGTCATCGTTGTGCTCTGTAGGTGTAGACCGATCGGGCCGATGTTGTTCGTCACTGGTTTCGTTGACATTCTGCGCAACAGATGCATCCAGCTCCAGATTGTCCTGGTGGGCACCCTCCATTGCCTCTGTCGCGCCAGGCGCGTCCATGGCGAGAGGCTTTTTCCGTACCTGGAGCTTATTCTAAGCAATCCACCGATGAAGAGGAGGAATGGCGTCAGTCACCGGTTGCACCTGGGGTAAGTTGGGCGATCGATGACATAAGCAGCAGGAGCTCGGACCATAGGCAATCCGGCTTTCAGCTTTAAATTCCTCGTCTGAAGCAGTAATTGCGATTGATTTAAAGCAGTGCGAGCAATTGGGCTTGTCTCTTCATGCAGAGATTATAACAGTCATGTTCGCGAGAGCATGCAAAAGGTCTGTCACAGTGGCCAAGCTATTGAAGCAGCCGCAAAATCAATACCTTCACGCATCTCCATCATTGGGACTACCTCGGCGAAAGGATTTTTTCTCTTCCAACGCATACCTCAATCAAAAGCAATCTAAAAATGGTGACATTACAGAGGTGTTGCTCTCTGAGCCTCAGAAGCAACGGAGGAGGGGCGGTCGGTCCCCGGCAGCGCCAACTTCGTTGCGGAGAGTAGCTGTGGAAGCACAAAGATCAAAAGATGGCTTCTTATCCAAGGCCCAGCTCAAGGAGCAGGGGCCAAATCAGACTAAGGTTCCAAAAAACCGACCATTGCTACATTGTTCCTCTGCTGACTTGTTGGTTCAAGACAGTAACCGCTTATGCCGTAGCTGAACAGTTTAACATTCGCAAAGTCAGGGATATCCTCCAAGAGAAAGGCTACGAACCGGATCCCTTCGAAACCGGTCTATACCCGCAGGTTGTCCATGTGCAGGTTCCTCTAGATTCGATACGGCGAGTGAGCAACCCAAGTGCATCAGACCTGCCATCCGACGAAGTTGGCGATATTTTTGTATTCCCCTCTGGCACAGTTGTGGCCTGGTCGCTACCGGAAGGCTTCACATCCTTTCTAGCAACCAGAACACTGCTTACGGCAGCGGAAGGAGCACATATAGATAATCTGGAGACCGAAGACCTTGAGTACGTCGAGGACCCGCAACGAGAAAATAGCAGCATCAAGGGCGATACTATTATCCTTGGGACCAAGCCCGACAACAATGGATCTGGGACGCAACTGGCTGGGCAACAATCTGCGGTAGAGACGGTCCTGACAAAAGTCGCATTTTCGTCAGGGCTAGCTCGAAGTACGAAGCTAGCAGTTCTTGAAAGTCTTCTGTCGAATTATTTTGAATCCACCCGGGCGATCCCTACCCTCCTATCAAAAGGTTCTCGTCTACCCTTTACACGAGATTTCATCCTTCGTAAAACCGGCCAGCTACTCAGTGTACGCGCACAGTTGAACCTTTACTCCGAACTCACAGATTCCTTGCCGGACATCTTCTGGGATAGCCGGCATGAGCTTGGTCTGGAAGGATACTACGAGCAAGCAGGGCGGGCTCTAGATGTGGGGATTCGCATCAAACTCTTGAATGAGAAAATGGACTATGCGCAGGAAATCGCTAGTGTCCTCCGAGAAAGACTGAGCGAGACGCATGGACTTCGACTCGAATGGATCATCATTTTACTCATTGCCGTGGAAGTAGGCTTTGAGGTCCTACGGTTATGGAAGGAAAGAATCCATGAGCAGGAAACACGAGAGCAAAATAAACAGGATTAAAGTAGCAGAGATATGAATGTTTGTGTTGTGTATATAGTTGTGTCCCCAGACCGCAGGTTTTGTCGGTGTAGGTTGTTTTACTTGACAGGCGTACCATGATACCCCCTCCACTCGATATTCCAAAGATGCCTTTCAGTATGGACTATGCAGGTTCTACATATGATTGTAACCAGAGAAACTGAAATCTCCTGGATCGCCAGGCACACATCGTGTTGTCTATCTTGTACAGCTAGCTAGCTGTTCGCCGTAGCAGAATGGTGATAAGGGGCTTATCAGTTGACGAGTTACATGTGACACTGCGATTGGTCACGGGTCACGGGGCATGACGAGGGATTCACGTGGGCGAGCTGTCATATTGCCACTTCCTCTTGAGCTTCCATTTCATAAACAACACCTTTGGGCTCAATTCTTCGCTCAATCACTGTCGTAAGGCTCAACAATCTCCTACAGCGTGGAGAGAATTGAGGTTGGAGACTTCATACCCGCTGCTAGTCCTATCCGAAACGCAATACAACAAGGAGGAATGCCGGGACCACAACAGATACTCAAAGCCTTGACGGGCTCTCTTGGGCTTTCCCCTTTTTCGGGATTGGACATTCCAGAGAATGCTCTTCAATCATGTCCCAAACCTGAACTGAGCTGCCAGGCAAAGTATCACGGCCAGGACACTTGCTGCTTCAACTATCCTGGCGGTTCGCTACTCCAAACCCAATTCTGGGATACTGATCCTGCCGTTGGGCCTGATGACTCTTGGACTATCCATGGACTCTGGTGAGCTCTAATAAGCAGTTGGAGATGGAGTGTCAATTGTTGAACATGACACTGATTTCCCGGTTCTTATTCTAGGCCGGATCACTGTAATGGCGGCTTCGACCAGTTTTGTGACTCACACAGGAAATACAACAACATTTCCTTGATTTTGATCGATGCTGGCCGAAGGGACCTTTTGGACTATATGAACATTTACTGGAAGGACTTTAAAGGCGATGACCCCGATTTATGGTACCATGAGTGGTCTAAGCATGGTCTGTATTCCATATTTCTTCCGTCATTTCAAGAGTCGAATCCTAGGAACTCGTGGTTAAACGTAAATTCTGCAAATTGTGGAGTTCACTGAAGAAAAGGGCGAGATAGGAGATTGTTCCAGGCCCTCTCCAAGATTACACCCCTTGGTTTTTCTTAAGGCAACTCAAAATATATATCTGAATGCTAACCAACATACATCTAGGTACCTGTGTCAGCACTCTTGAACCCACATGCTATGGTGCCGATTACCAGCCTCAGCAGGAGGTCGTGGACTATTTCGATAAGACAGTCGAGCTCTTCGAGGGTCTACCTTCCTACGATGTTTGTTCCCCCAGTTCCCTTGTATCTACTATACGATCCTTCGAAAGAGTAAGTGAAATGGGTGAAATTAGCAAATTAATTCCGTTCAAAGGTTCTCGCCAAAGCTGGAATCGTCCCATCTCAAACCAAAACATACACTCGCTCGGAAATTGAGAATGCGTTGTCGACAGCCCACGGTGCCGATGTTGCTGTTAGGTGTCGACGCGGTGCGCTCAATGAGATCTGGTATTACTTCAACGTTGCTGGACCTCTACAGAGTGGAAAATTCGTCGCCTCCGACCCAGGTTTGTCAATCCAGCTCTGTTCAATTTTCCATGCCGTAAAATTAACTGTTCATAGACGGGTTTAAGTCCAACTGTCCAACTAATGGCATTCGATACCACCCCAAAAAGCCTCAGGCAGAACCAGAACCCACCGAGACTTCACCGACAGGCCCCAAGCCGACAGCACCAGGGGTGCCGTTTCAGGGCAGGGGCCACTTGAAGGTCTCAACAATGGGCCAGAGAAGGGGCTGTATCATCAGCCATGGCACCTGGTTTAGCTCGGGGACATGCGCTACATTTAGGGCGAAGAAAATTTCCGGTTAGTCTCGCATTGCCATACTTTACGGAATGACTGAAGTTATCAAGATACTAATTGAACTTATAGAGGATGCTCTTACTTTGGAATCCAGTAAAGGCCCATGTGCCATTGAACATGATACGCTCAACTGCGGTCCGCATACCCAGGGCCCGGAAAAGTTCAGCGTAAGTCAATTCTTCCAGAGGAACCGGTGCCCTGTCAATCCCACGATACTAATATGATTATCTACAGGTTAAGGATGGTAAACTCGCGTTCCGCGGAAACACATCCTTCTTTGCAGACAAAGCGCCCAAGGGGCACACCCAGAGCAAGGTCTTTGCTTCCGAGGCAGACCATATTATCGAGCTAGAAATTACCTGGACAGCAGAGCAATAAGATCCTCTGGTCCTGCGTACAATAATAATATTCTCCATGGCCCAGTTGGATACATACATTCATCATGAGTGAATAATGGAGCTATCATACGCTGAGATGCTATATTCAATAGAAGTTGTACCAGATCCAGACACAATAGATTCGTTGCACGTTATATTTTTTTTTTTTTTTTTTTTTTTTCTTTTTTTCGTTTTTTATGCGGCTTGACGCCAAAGGAAATCTAGAGTACAGGTCGTCAGGACCACCAAGGAACAGAGTATTGAACAGAGATTCTGCATGCCCAAAACAGATTCATTGGTACAGTCTTTGAGGGCAAAAAGGAGTAAGAATCATCGTCACATGAAGATATAAAGCAAAGAAAAACATAAAAAGGAACGCGATGAGACAAAAGAAATAAAACAAAAAAATAAGACCCGCAGAACTCCTGTAAATGTTGCAGTCTTTGTTCGCCAGTCCCAGCGGTGTCGTACATGGTAAATTAAAAAAGAAAAAGAGCAAAATCCCAGACAAGAAAAACCCCAGAAGAAATTGAAAGCCCGAAAAAGAAATTTTAGTCGCAGATTCATGTCATTCACAGTCAGAAATCGTTTATCGAAAGCAGTTTGTCGTTGAGTTGTACATAGTCTCGTATCGTGTCACTTGAAAAGTAATAAGTCGTTGTCATGTGCATTTATCCAGTCATTTAATCCTGAAGTCGTAAGAACTTTTTTTTTGTATGCGCATTGTCCATAAGCCAGAAGGTCGTGGTCGTTCCATCGTCAATCTTGGGTTCCATCATCTTTACTCCAGGAAAAAGTCTCGTGCCATGAGGTCTGAAGGTTGTTCATCGACCTGAAATTGGAAGGAAAAGAAGTCGTCATTCATAGAAGGACCCGTCGAGAAGGTCTTTCCCGGAAACAAGTCCAAGCCGCTGTCAAAAGAAGCTGGGTTGACGTATTCGGGGAAGGAAGCCATGTCAGGGTCGGTGAGACCAGGAAATTCGTGCTTTCCAAAGCCAGTTGTAGCATCTTGGTTGATAAAGATGTCGAGATCGGAACCGTTGGAAGAATCAGCCAGGGTGGGTGCAGTGTGGGGGGAAGACAGAGAGTTGGCGGCCGAGCTTGTGTACGGGCAAGTTTCGGGTTCAGAGATAAAAGGCAGCTCGGTTTCCTCCACAATCCTATCCAAAGGTCGGCTGGCAAGAGATGTAGGCAAGATTTCATCCTCCGAGTTAGGTGTGAGAGACCGGTGTGTCCGATTCGGCGAAGGCTTGTTGCCAGTGCTGCAACCTGGTGAGGCAGGGGGTGTAAAGGTGAACGCTTCCGGAGGCAAAGAGTAGTTGGGAGTGTTGAACACAGGAATGTCTTGCGCTGGGCTAGAGCCACGAATGCTCATGTTCTCAAAGACCTCGGACGGGGGCGAGCTGCGAGCGCTGTCGGAACCGGAGAATGATTCGGAGGATGACTTTTCAGCGGCTCTCTGGCGGGTTCTGGATGCTTTGTCCTGTCTGTCTTCCAGCTCTGGCCTGTGCTTCTTTGGTCGGCCGCGCTTTGTTGTCTTGCGCACGATTCCCTTGTATCCGCCAATGCACATTCCCCGCTGTCTGTGTCGAGTCAAGGCATCATGTCTGGCAAAGACGTTCCCGCAAAGACATTCATAGGGCTTGTCTCCGGTGTGGATCTTAGCATGGCGCTTGAGGTCATGACCACGGACAAAGCACTTTTCGCAGTGGTCGCACTTGTACTGGCGGTCTCCCAGATGGGTCTGAACATGAGACTTGATGTTTTCCTTTCTACCGAATCGTCTTCCGCAGCCAGAGTGAAGACACACCCATTTGCCGTCCACGGGATCGGGACCGTGAATGAAGGCAGCAATCTCGTCGATGGTGACGCCCGTTTGTTTGATGGATGCGTGGACTCTAGCGTCGAGGTTGAGGTTATCGATAGACGCAACTCGGGGGGACAGCTTGGGCTTCGTGGCAGAGGCGGTACTTGTCTCACTGGACATTCTCTGGTGATGAGCTCGTTGCGGCGTAGCGGGGACAATGGGGACCTTTGGGGCCTTGTCACTAGCATCTTCGGAGGATTGCATGGCTGCGAGCTCTGGAGACGAGTAGAAGGAAGACGAGGTGGATAGCGATGGTGGGTACAGGTCTTGCGATACATTCTGAGACTCGAGATTATCAAAACTGGATTCCTGCTTACAATCAAACGCATCGAAACTATCGATTTCGAATGAAGCTGTGTTAGGGGGGGAGGGCAAATCAATCTTCTTCTGAGTAGTAGTCGTTCCAGGTACACCCTGGAGGGACTTTGCTCGTTGCATATACGATGCCTGTGCTGAGCCAGACATAGAAAGACTCTGTTCCTTGGTGGGAGACACCTGTGTGTCCTGGTTATACTTGGCCATGTTCATCGTTCTCTTGAATGGTGTTGTCGCCGGGGTTATTGGCATATAGTCTGAATGCTTGATCAGTTGGGGGTTCAATATTGAATAGGACATTGGGTTGCTCTTACGGGTATTGGCCTGCTTTGGGGTATGCGGTCGCTGCGCACGGGAAGGTCCGATGTCCGATTGAGCGGACATGCGTCGCATTTCCGCGGTGATGCCGTTGGTTTGCTGTTGGGGCATGGCCATGTTGTCTTGCTGATAAGCATCCCAGATGTGGTTGTCAAGGAATGGGCGATCGATGGCATTGTTGCCAGGGAGGTTTGCGTTCCGGTGTTGCTGAATCATGTTGAGAGTGACGCTGGTAGGCTGGTGACCTCCGAAATTTTGGTTGCCAACATTCATCATGGCCGGGTTCATGAAGGCCATGTTGTTGGGATGGGTGGTGTCATTGCCGTTGCGGTTGGTCAATGCCTGCAGGTCTTCCTGGGACAATGCCTGGCATCCAGACATCAAGGACATGGGGGTCATATGTTGAGGAAATGCGGGATGTGTCTGTCGGGAGAATTGTTGGCGCTGTGCTTCCCGCAAGAAATGCTGTGGTTGTTGGTGTACTGCTGCGTTAGTAAATGAAAAGGTACCATCTTGGACGGACTGCGGTTGCATCTGCAGCGAACGGTGGTCCAGACTCTGGCCTCGCCGGTGAGCATGGAATCGCTTCAGAGCCGGGGCGGGCAGGTTGGGAGCTTTGGCAGCCTCGATCGCCGATGGGGTGGAAATCTGGCGGCGATGTTGGCGGTGCCGTTCGTGAAAATTGCTGTGTGGATTGGACATCATGGTGTATAGATCGCGGTAGCCACTTATCGCAAGAAACGAAAAAGAGGTCCACAGGCGAAATGATAGATCACTCTTATATCTGACCTGGAACACAAAAAACCATAAGCCTCCTGCACGAGACGCATATATGGATATAGATCCGAGACTGACCTCACAGCGCGCGCGCCGTCGGACGATGGTAACAACAACCCTGTATACGGTGTCAGTCGGTGCACTCTGAAGCAAGAGGACAAACCGGGGGGAAAGAAAAAGGTTAAGAAGCTAGGTCGCTCTCTAGGGCGAGGGTGCTAGCAGAGAAAAAAACGAAGATATATCAAGGGCACGGCTGGATAGAGCTGGAGCTGTTGTGCTTGTTCCCCACGCAGTGGCTGGGATCTTTGGTTCCTTAATCACTCGACCCAAGGACTGGGAGAAGAAAAAAGGGAAGAAACAAAGGATTAAGGTAGTATTTAGTAGAAGGGTGGGAACCAGGGAAAGCGATGGAGATGCTGAACCCGAGCTCAGAGCGCACACTATCGCGATCTACGCCCACGGTTCCGATCAACAATGGGCGGCGTTGGCCCAGCAACAGTCGTCGCTTTAGGCGTCTGGGAAACCAACCGCCCGCTTGGCATGGGCGAAAAGTGCCTGCGAAGTGGAGTTTTTGCCATCTGAAGCTGTTCAGGTTTCAGGCTTTTTCTCTTTTTTCTTTTTCATCGCTGCTTTGTCCACCTGGCCCAAACGTCAATTGAGGCTCGCGCGGCCCGGCCAGTCTGTGTGCCTGGCAGAAAACACTGCAAGGAGCCCGTTTCCCCTGCGGTGGATGCCCGTATCATCCTCAATAATATCATCGAGGGCCAGGTAATTGGACCCCCTCTGTGAGGGTTTAAGACACTATTTGCAATTGTCAGAGCCCTTGTTCTGCAATAGTCGCGACAATAATTGCTGCCAATTATTCCCAGCAATTATTCGTGCCTTGAGTCGGGCGGCTTGAAGCCGTGACGATTATCTACAGTTGGCGTCATAGGGTGATTCCTGCCTGAGGCATCAGGTGTGATTAGTAATGCGTAGATTCCAGTCATGTCAGCAGTCACATGACTGTCGGCGAAATGAGGACCCGAGGGTTCGGCACTACACCCAAACGAGTAAAATAAGCCACACGTGACCACACAACGATTTTAACGAACTAAAGAGTCCCTCCACCACTTATTTTTCCATCACGATTGCAAGGTTGAGGAAGACATCTTGTCGAGGTTAGTTGATCACCCCTATACCTTTTGGATCTCGCCGCCATCGAGGGATATGCAGCATGATGTATTCTCTTTGGATTGCATTCCCATCATCGTTGCAAGCTATTTTCTTCGTCTGCGCTGTTTGCGCATGGCGGGGATGATCGTTTCTCGAGATGGGTTTGCGACGATGGGACAACAGGCAAAAACAGAAAAGAAAGGTCATCAGTAACTAACAATTCACAAAAGGCCTTCTTCAAGATGCAGATCTTCGTCAAGACCCTCACGGGTAAGACTATCACCCTTGAGGTGGAGTCCTCGGACACCATTGACAATGTCAAGTCCAAGATCCAGGGTATGTCTACAATCCGCACACAAATCTTTTGACAAAGATAACTAACGAAAACCAGACAAGGAGGGTATCCCCCCCGACCAGCAGCGCCTGATCTTCGCTGGTAAGCAGCTCGAGGACGGCCGTACCCTCTCGGACTACAACATCCAGAAGGAGTCTACCCTCCACCTCGTGCTCAGATTGCGTGGTGGTGGTAAGAAGCGCAAGAAGAAGGTGTACACCACCCCCAAGAAGATCAAGCACAAGCGCAAGAAGACCAAGCTCGCTGTCCTCAAGTACTACAAGGTCGACGGTGACGGCAAGATCGAGCGTCTCAGGAGAGAGTGCCCCGCCCCCGAGGTATGTTCATTTCCAACCCTAGTGTCCACATTTGACTTGATTCTAACTTTTTCCCTAGTGTGGTGCTGGTATCTTCATGGCCGCCATGCACAACCGCCAGTACTGTGGCAAGTGCCACCTCACCTACGTCTTCGACGAGTCCAAATAAGCGGATAGCCAAACGGGTCTTACATCTACCGGTGATGTATAGTTTTTAACGAGCAATGTCGGTGGTGGAAGACTGGTGGTTGTTTGTTTTGAGGATGCCTTGTGGTAGATACGAAAACAATGACAAAAAATTCGAAATCGATACCTGTCAATCTGTTTCATTCATGCAATTCGTAATCTGTGTCCTTGAACTATGGATGCTTCGTAACACAAATAATAGTAGGGCTGGGGTATAAGAATTATCTGCTCAGGCAAAGCCCCGTTTCACGTTGTCGTACTTGCTCTCTGGGTACTCGAGAGCATTGTCAGACTGGTCCAAGGCATGAACACCTCCGATGTCTTCAATAAAGGTGCCAATCAAGCTGCCACTGGCTTTCTCTGCAGCCTTGCCTCCCTTGTCACCACTGGTTTCCCACCACATTCCTCCTCCCAGCTGGTGCTGCTTGATGAACTCCACCTTGCGCTCTGCCATCGCTACCGTGTCGTACGAGACCATTGTGCGGGTTGCAGGGTCATAGCTCCATGATGCCCCAACTTCGGCGTCCAGGTCTTCAATCCCTCCTCTCGGGAGTACTTTGTAGTCCCAGATGCCGTTTTCCCAGCTTCCCTCGCCCACGCCCGAGTAGGGCGACCCTGGTCCATCGGTATTGGCAAACGCACGCCCGTACAGAGGCATACCCAAGACGATTTTGTTGGAAGGTACTTCACCGACCTGAGTATAATGGCTGAGTGCTGCGATTGTCGAGAATGGGGTCGAGTCCGGTACGGCCGCAGAGGGGAAGAGGTTCGCCTGGTGGCCAGCCACAGCACCCCAGCTGCCTGCATAATCATAGGCCATGAGGTTATAGAAGTCCAGATATGGCGTCATTTCAGGAAGCTTGAGCTTTGTAAAGTTTTCGGGCCCTGTTAACGATTAGTAGTTGTCGGTCGTATGTAGGAGATGACGTACCAGCAGGGCAAGCAATGGTCAAAAGGAACTTGCGGTGGCCAGCTACTCGATCCAAAGTCTGTCTGTATTAGTATCGGTGATAACTGAAGCAAATATAGCAACTCACCTCGCGGCACTTTTGAAGCAGCAAGACAAAGTTATTTGCCTCGGTTTCATCTACCCAGCATTGTTAGTATACGTCATTATATTCAAGGATATTTATTACCTTTGGGATATTCCCAATCGATATCAATCCCTAGTCATCGTTAGCCACATACTAGCAAAGCCTATGACGCACTCACCATCAAATCCCAAATCCAAGATCAGGCGTGTAGCAGATTCGGCAAACCTGGTGCGTCCCTCTTCGGTACTAGCCGGCTGAGCGAAATTGGAAGAATAAGTCCAGCCTCCAATGGATAGGAGAAGCTTCAACTTTCTATTCTGCTGCTTCAGCAGGAACAACTGCTTAACGCAGCCGTAAACATTGGTGCCGACGTCATTCCACGAGTCGCCGGGGTAGTGTTTTTCGATATCAGACCAGGTGTCACTCAGGTACCTAGACATTTAATTAGACAATGACACCCGCAAGATGCAATGAAAGATAGACTTACACTTCACCAGACTCCGGGCGAACGTTGGCAAAAGCGTATAGAATATGGGTCAATTTGTCAGCGGGGAGATCCTGGGGGTTGTGGTTGCGTCCGTAGATGGCCTGTAGGTGTCAGATATGGATTTCTTGTTCTCGGACAGGGAATATACCCAATTGACAAAGTAAGCAACTGCTCTCATTTCCGACATGATGGATTAGTTGATGCTGAGAGAGACGAGAAAAGATGGTAGTGGGGAATGATAATCTTGGCACAAAATCAATTGTCTGAGACGAGTAAACACAGAGGAGCAATTGACAAGCAGGAGTCAGTAGGATGGAATAAGAATAAGAATCAGATACAATTGAAGAAAGAAGAAGAAGAAGAAGAAGAGAGAGAGATGACGAAGAGAAGATGAATATGGAACTTTGGCGCCTAAGACAGCTCTTGGTATGGACGTGCCTTCCTAGTTTATAGTGACTGGCGATATAAATAGCAGGTAGCGAATCCTATTGGCTGGATGCAGTGCGTGGCAGTGCTAATGTGGCTTAAGTGGGGATACAGGGATTGTGGCTGGTGTTTGACAGCTTATGTAATCTTGAAGATGTTTGTATGGCTTCATCTGAGAAAGACAGAGAGACAGGGAGACTGAGAGGGTTTTATATATTGTTTGGAGAGTTCAAATATGTACTATATCGATCATGATGATCTGAATCGGTAGATCTTCTGATATCTGAAGAATTGGTGGCGTCGATCATGCTGTCTCTGACTTCAACTTTTGCGGAATGCTTGAGGCAGATGACAGTGGTGAGGTATTATCATTGAATTGTTCGGAGGATAAAGGAGATAGTTTTAGTAGGACTCATGGGATATCAGAGAAGGAATTGAGCATGGAGACCTGGTCGATGGTGTTCAGGGACCCTGTCGAACCATCACGAGATATTTCTCTGTTAGCAGTATAAGCAGTTAAAGGCGGTCCATATTGCAATAGATGGAAGAGTGACTAAATCATGAGACAGTATATTGACTATTCGAGATGAAGATGTTATTGTATAATTCTACCAATCAATTGCACTGTGATTTGATGACATTGAACAGTCAACAGAATCGTAGTAGCAACAGCAATAGTAGTAGTAACTACCGAGTAATAGTAGAAAAATCTGCAATCAGCTGACCAATATCAACAAAACACCAGAACATAGTCTCCCTCCAAAGATCCCCTTACAAACCTCAGCTCAGCCACATTTTGGCACCTTCTTCTCCGCCCACTGATTTGCTCTCAAGCCCTGAGACTAATGCAACCAACTGCCGTTCTGTGATCGATCGGGCCCCGAGAATGGGTCAGCCCCACGCCACACGCGCTTTTCAGCTGCTATGTGTTCGGACTTGTCCTATGTTTCTCATACAGTCGAAATAGGAGGATAGAATGGATAGGAGTAGGAGTACGGAGTAGAATAGGAGGAGTGGATATCTCCACTGATATTAATTCAGCTATCCAGAGCAGAATTGATCTCAACCGAAATAACCCAAGAAGAAATGGATGGAAAAGAATCCACCGTGTCTGACTGGGACAGACATTTCAAATAACCGAAAGACAGAAAGATAGGAGAGTGTATAAAAAAAAACAAAAACAAAAACAAAAAAGACAGACAAGAGGTAAAAAACACCGGGATATCATAAATCGTCCCATCAGAAAACAAGAAAAGAAACAATCTGAACATCACTGCTTTCTTTTAGTCCGTCAAGTATGCGACCTGCGCTGTGGGTGTGTCGTATGCCATGCCATATTACAAAGGAAAATAAAGAGAGAAGAGAGAAGGAAACGGGAAAAGAGACAGAAAAAAAGCAAGGAGAGAGAGAGAGAGAGAGAGAGAGCAAGAGAAGGAAAACGTATACCAACCAAGCAATACCAAGCAAACCAAGTAACCAGAAAGAATCTCACTTTTGAGTCAGACACTTGACCAAAATGGTATCGACTTGTCGTACAAACGGTCTATCGTATCGATCTTCGTACAACCTCGACTTCCTTTTATGAATTCGCCCGGATCCAGTGGAGAATCACCTCCAACGGAGGATCATCATTAAGCCAGTGACCTGCCCGCAGATCGGCCGCCCGGAGGTCCGCAACAACGTGTTGATCTGTCACTTGAGCGTATTCCTAAGAGAGAGGGAGAGAGGGAGAGTCAGTTAGACCTCATGCAGAGTAAAGGGGATACAGGAGAGAGAAACAGGAAAACTCACCCGTCGAAACGACTCGCTGATGCTCTTCAGCTGCGCGGCGTGGTCAGCCGTTGGCCGCGATCCACGCAGCAGACTGGCCCGGTGTATCGCCCAGCGTTTGGCGGCCGCTGCACGAAGATAGATGCGATGCGCTTGGAACCGTCGGGCGCTTCCGTCCAGAATGACCCTGTAACGTGGCGGTCAGATCCCAGTCCTGTATGTATGTATGTATGGAGATGGGTGGTTGGATACCTCTTGAGCTCTGCCTTTTCTGCTTCTGCATTGCTGAATTGGGGTGGCACGGCAGTAGGATGGTAGTTGGACGAGAGCAGAGCCTGGCTCTCGGCGAGACATTTGCGCATCACCACGAATCCCTCTTCATTATACTCGTCGGGGGATGCGTCGACATTCTGCTGGGGGATGTGGATGAGAAGAGTGCGGTAGTCGTTGATGAGTTCGGCCACGCGAAGGGCTCGTGCTTGGTTGACTGGGGAGGGTTAGCAGAAACCAAAAGGTGAAGTCGAAGCAGAACTGCTTACGTCCGTCAGCCATCTCGCTGTATAGGGCAACAAGTAAAGACACAAGTAGTATAATACAAATGAACAATACAATTGAAGAACAGTCTTAACAATCAACGTCCTGATCTAGCAATGAAACAGCTCAATGGATTCAATCACTTCAATGATGATGGTCCCATCGAGAGGACAGAGAGGGTGCTATATAGTCCCTTTAAGCTTAATCTCCAGCCCAATTGACAGGATCCCCATTCCAGCTCTCATCCTCAGCCGACTGAAAATTTTTTTTTACTTTTTTTTATTTCCTTGGTCTTTCGCAAGCAGTACTGCAAGAGGATCATCACCAGGCAGAACGGGAGCACCCAATCGAAGCTGAAGACTGAGGAGAATAAGAATCTCACGCCTAGCAGAGCACAGCTGGGGAATCCCAAGTGGACCGGTATAGTTAGTAGAACGTAGTGAGTCAATAGGGCATCAAGAGTCATTCAGATGCATTTAATTTGCTTTCTTTTTTTCTTTTTTCTTTTTTTTTACTGGGAGGAAAAAAAGGGAGCTGGAAGAGTAGTGCATCTGCACGTCTCGTCCAATATCCAGACAGAACAGACCAATCCATCTCAGCGAGATAGAATTAAAAAAGAAAAATGAAAAATGAAAAGTGAAAATCAGCAAGAACCCACCGATGAAACTCGAGTGTGACAGACTCACGGATAGTCAGAACCACCCAGGCGGAAACTCGAATGTCCACAGCGGCATCTCAATATGCAGGATCTCGGAGTTCACCACGGGGTGGATACATCACGAGTTCGCTCAGTGGATTGTGGATTGTGGATAGAGCTGATATAGCTCGGAAAAGACATCATCAATTGACGGATTCCTGGGCAGCTGGAGCTGTAGATGGCTTTTTTTTTTTCACGCCACTCAATGGAGATGGTGCACCTGTGCATTGGGTGGTGCAGCTGTTGCCGGAGAAATCAACCAGATAGGAAAGACTCAGATGGTCAGACACTCTCTTTGTTCACTTTTTCTTTCTTTTCCTATTTTTTCTTTTTTCTTTTTTCTTTTCTTTTTTTTTTCTTGTCTCGCAATGGACCCTCGATGACAGGTTGGAGCAGTGGAGAGGAGAAGAACAAACGATTCCCGCGTGGGCGGAAAGCCACAGCTAAGCCACATATCGGCAGCCTTTTGCAACGGGAGCTGAAAGACGCTGTGCTAGTGATGTACATACGGAGTACCCACGGCTTCATTTTTGGGCCAAGCTTGGCTCCATCGTGTGGCAACTTTCCTGCATCTGGAGTTAAAAAAAGTAATCCTTACGCAGGCTGTCGTCTGTTGGGATCGGGCTAACAAATCTCTGTCTCTCCCCTGCCCTGCACCTTTTCAGGGATATCGCCCGTTGATAACCCTGATTCTACGACGCTTCGACCATCGCGCTTCACACTTCAGGTGTACCTGAGGCACTCAGGTCATGAGGTTCTGTCGACTACTTGGCTTGTGCGACATGCGTTGCACATCTTCATCGTATCGTATTTTCCTTCTCGCCACAGCGGGGATCCCGAGATTTTCGATTTCTTTTGTCTGCTTTTCAATTGGTATCTGCAAGGAACTCCCGAAACTCGAGATCGAGCGTTCGTAGATTTGACATTCATATATCGTCTGTGTCTTTAGGCACTACCGGGATCATCATCCATCCCCTCCATCTCCAATCATCTTTCTAATTCACTCAATCCTTCTCGCTGATAGCCTGCAATCGTTCGTCGATCTCCTCCTCAGTCAAAGCCCGGAACCCAGAATCTGTCCCTTCCTTGCCGTCGGCGCGAGGTCCTCCGACAATGCCGACCTCCAGTTCGTGCTTCTTGAAATCGACGCTCAGCACATTGCTCAGTGCCGTGATGCCCAACTCGACAACCTCCTCCCAGTTGCCATCCGCGTAATCCTTGTTTTTCAGCTTCTTCTCCAGGTGGTTGAGAGCCTCCTGCTGCTTCGGTCCCGCGGCAGTCGCCTTGTATCCCACGTAGTATCCAGCGGGGTCGCATTTGAAAACCTGAGGGCCCTTTTCGTCATCAACCGAGATCAGGGTTGTGGCAACTCCCAGTGGGCGCATGTAAGCCTGTTTCGTCACATTAGTCCCATGTCCAATAAGATACATCAAAGACAAAGACAAACCCGTTGTGTGTAGACCTGGTTGATATTGGCCAGTCTCTTGGCAAGAACGTCACAAGGCATCTCATAGCCGTACTTGTATCGGAACTCGGCTGCCTCTCCACGGGCACGGTCAACGGATGCTCGGGCATCTGCTATGGCACCAGTCATAACACAACCGACAGAGGGAGAAAGCTTGAAGACATGTGAAACGGATGAGGGGTCGATCAATTTATCCTATATCCCATCAGCCATCAGACGGGGGTCCTCATTATCTCGATATCGTTGGACTGGCTTACGGCGACTTTCTTCTGAGACAATACCACCGCACAGTTCTTCCCTCTCACACCAATAGAGGTGATGTTTGCAGACGTGATGGCCTTGAAGGCATATTCTATCCGAAAAAGGTATCGTCAGTCCCACGCTTGAGCTGATTGGGTTGAAGGCATCCAGATGATTCATCGGGAGGGGCGCTCTCCCACAAAATACACTCACCGACTTGGTACAGACGACCCTGGTCTGAGAAGATAGTGATATGTCTGTCGTAAGCGCTTCCTACACCACAGCAACCAGGTTAGTCGGCGATGAAGTCATGGGGGGGGATGAGGCCAGAGCAGCCTACCAGACATGATGACGGGCGGTTAAATTCGATATCCAGCGGGGGAAAAAACAAATAGAGAGATGAGTATCAAACTAAGAGAAAAGAAATTAGGATGCGGAGAGGGGAAGACTGGGGAAGAAACGACGGCGAGGGTTGCCAGCGGACGCGTGCTTGGAGGTGCCTGGCCGAAGCTCAAGCTTCTGGGCCCGATTGAGTAAGCTTCTTTGTCCACCGCCTTTGTCTGCCACCATGAGCATCACTATCTACTATCTACTATCTACAAAGGGAATATCTTTGATGTCTTATATTTCATCTGGATATTATTCTTCAAGTTATAGCCATCTTCTATCATTAATGACCCTCAAACACCACTATGTACAGAAATACATGAACAATGTCAAGCCAGTCTATCTAAGAATTCAAGTATGTATATTGCAAAGACATCAACTTTTGACCACCACCTTCGCCGTAACTTTTCAATAAAAACAATAAATCGTTGCAACTAGGACGAGGAAGACGACGAAGATCCACTCGAGCTGGTGCTGTCGGAGTCACTATCAGAATCACTATCAGAGTCGTTGCTAGAATCGCTGTCGCTGCTGCTAGAATCGGATTTGGCAGCCGCTTTGGGCTTGCTGGCACTCGCCGGCTTCTTCTTCGAGCTCTTGCTATCGCTGTCACTGTCACTATCGCTCTCACTGCTACTCGAAATGTCGATGACAGCAGTTCTGTTCTTCTTCTTTTTCTGATTGGCAGTCTTCTTGACTGTTTTGGGTTTCTGAACAACAAACAATTGGCCAGTCACCGCATACAGAACGAGTTCCGCCCGCTGTCTCTGTTGGAGACTTTTCCGCTTCTCTGCGTCCAATTGTTCGGATACCTCGGTGCTGTCCAGATCTTCCTTGCCACTGGATAGCCGGCCCCGGAAGGAATCAACCGCCTTGTTGTACTCGGTCTCAGATCCATCCGTCTCCTCCTTCTTATCCTTATTTTCATCCGATGACTTCTCGATCTCGGCATTGATGGCTTCGGCTGCCGAGGCCCCCAGTCGCTGCTTGGCTCCGTCGCTCTTCAAACCCTGCAGGTAAGCAAGAAGCGCGGCATTATATTGAGTAGGAACATGCTCCAGCGACAGAACATGCTTGAAGAGTTGCGTCTCGCGATTCTTCTGGAACTTCCACGCAGATCGGTACTTGTGGTAAAGACTGAGGTATGAGAGGATCGGAGTTTCGTGGATTTTCGCAGGTTCAGATGATGCACCCGTCGCAGATCCATCGCTTCCCTTCTTCTTGTCTTTCTTCTTTTCCTTCTTTCTCTTCTTCTTCTCTCCATCTTCGGCCTGCTCTCCAGTTTCCGTAGAAGGCTGCGCGACATCACCGCTATCGGGCTTGGTCTTCGCATCACCACCCTCCTGCTCACTGTCACTCTCCCCATCCCGAACCTTTGTATCCGCAGAGAAAGACACCCTCTTCTTCTTCTTCGATCTCTTCTTCTCGGACTCTCCCTCGTCGTCTGCCGGAGCACCATCCTCATCATCCAACCGTCTCTTCTTGCTCTTCTTCTTTTTATCCTTCTTCCCCGACTCCTCAGACGCATTGTCCCCTTTCACCTTATTTCGTTCCTGAGAAACGCTTTCTTCCGGCTCGGGGTCCTTGGCGTATTTCAACTTCAGTCCGAGCTTCTTCCATGCTGGGACATGCTGCGCCGTCTGAGATTTTTCGCTGCCCATTGTCTCGGTCGTGGATTCACCCCGGGGAACTGCAAAACGACAATCTGGTTAAGTGGAAATTGATACCCCCGCAGGAGCTGGATTGTAGAAGGAGCGAAAATCCGTAACCTGGTGGGTGGTGCGAGTGTGTTGCAGGGTTTATGGTGGCCGGTACTTTCTTAGCTTTTTGGAAAAAATCTCCACGTGACCCGGCGGAAAGTACTTATCGGTTGCGGGTCTGATACAGTTACTTGATAGTCGATAGCAACATTTTTACAGCAGCATCTCCACTTATATAAAGGTTAAAGGTTAAATATAAGAAAGGCTTTTTGTTTCATTCGTATCAATGCATCGTGGGGGTGAAACACCTTTCCAGTCTACTCCTTGACTCCATAAATGTATGCAGACCAGAATATCTATACAATCGTAGAAACCTAAGATCCATTTCCACCCGCAGCCTCAGTCTCGGCCGGTTCCTTCTTCTCCCTCTTTAAATCCTTTTGCGCGCTGGCCTCTGCGCTTGCTCCGGCCGCTGCGGCTTTCCGTCTAGCTCTCTCCTTGTCTCTGGAGGAAACGCCTGTGGTCCGCCTTCTTCGCACCGGCTCGTAGACATCGTTGAAATTCATCACTACACCGAGGAACCGCATGTCCACGTCGGGCTGGTATGCAAGGTCACCCAGGAGAATGTTCAACCGAGAACGGAATTCCGCAGAGAGGTCGCGGAGTCGAACTTGTAAAGATGCGAGCATGTGGTCGTCGGCGGAGAGATCGTGATTCATCACAGAGGATGGTGTGTCAAACCCGTCGCCGGATTGAGCGATGTTTGGTGTTGACGATACGGAGTTCTTCTGGCCTCTTCGGGATGAAGGGAAAAGATCGCGTTCCGACATACCCCAGCGACCTTGCGCAGTGCGTGTCTCGATCTTTGCGCTGAGCTCCTGTCGTCGGGTGAACTCTGCAACAGAGAACGAGTACAGCCCATCAACGGCGTCTTTATATGCAAGCATAACTTTGAGGATTTGATGTAACTGGGTAAGAAAGCCCTCTTCCTGCTTGTTGGAAGATGCACTCTTGGCCGATGAGGATGATCCCAAGAGACCCTTGTGCGTGATAGAGTTAAGGTATTTGGTATGTGCTTCAATCAGGTCATCGAGCGTGCACCCTGGTTTGGACATGGCAGCCTCCAATTGATCCCAGCTGGATTCAATGACCTCGAAAAGAATATAATATTGTAGTTGGCAGACGAAGTGAATCATCTCCGCAATAGCGCATCTTGCTCGCTTCCAATCAGGACCAACCTTGTCATCGACGCTGCCCAGGACACCTCTGGCCCCGGTCATGCATCGCCGCCAGGTACTGCCCAAAGCAAACTCGACACGCTTTACGCGCCAGAGGAAGTTGAACACTTTCAAGTATTGAGTAGAGCCCCACGGTGTGATAACCACATCCACTGGAGCATCGATCTTGTATTCAAGCGTGAAGCAGTCCCAGCCAATCTCCCCATGGCTAAGTTCTAGCATACGGGCATCCAAACGGCGGAGAACATCTGGCGAGTCGTACTGTGCATTTGAAGCACGGATGGCATGTTCCAGCTGGGCAGTCAAGGTATGTCTGTACTGCGAGTTCGCCGGACGGTCAAGGTTCGAAGCTAACGATTCCATCAACAAAGCAATGAAATCACCTTGCCCCAGCAAAAGGTATTTCTTCAGTGCCCGGAGATGATCGAATAGTTTGAATTTGTCATCCATGAGATAGATCAGCCGTGCCATCGTAGTCTTGTAAGCCTCATCAATAGACGTTTCCAGGCTAGCCGTATCACCATACCGCAGCTCCTTGGACGCCTCCTTCGAGTAGGCTTCGACCCATCCAGAGTCCCCGCAACCATATCTAATAAAGTTCAATGATTTTCCAATAAGGAATACCTTCTTCGCAAAGTCCTGTGTGATGATAGAAGGTACCATATCATCATCCAATTTGTATTTGTCTTCCCACACGCTGGTTGCAATACGTCGAGGATCTGTGCTCGGTCTGAACTCCGGCTCCACGACGAAAAACTCCTTGTACGGATCTGAGAGCTCGCCGTCATATATCCAATATCGCAGCATTTCATAAAATGGCCGTGTAATATGCGTGAGAAGCTTTTCTGCAAACGCACAAACAAATGGGTCTCCGTGAGACGTCGAGAAGCCATGGATCAAGGAGATCAATTGACCACCTTTCTTATCTGTAACACTATTAGAACTGATCAACACAATAAACCAATACAACTTACTCCGAGCTTCCTCGACGATCAGACTCATTAGCCGCAGTGCCATTGTAGCATCTCTTGTCCATACAACGCATCTTTTTAACGTAACTGCACCCTTGACCACACTTTTGGAATCGCTGCCACTTCCCGTATCGGCCAATGCCCGTCGAATCTCCCCCTCCAACGTCGCAACTAAGCCCAAATAAGAGCGAAGCTCGTTAGATAAAGCGGCTCGCAAGCTCTGGCTGACAAGCCCACCGTCTGAACTTTCCACAAAGCCTGATAAACCTCTATACAAAAGACAGGGTTCGGCTAGGGCGTTTAAGAGTGAGATGAGGGGAATAGGTAGTGTTGGCGGGAGTTTCAAGATAGAAGAAGACGAGAATTCCATATTCGACGAAGACAGACCCTGCAAGTTAAATGGTAGATCACGCAAAAGTCCCTGCTCAGGTGGCCTTGAGTCCTCGGGAGATTGTTGTTGTTGTTGTTGTTGTTGCTGCTGTTGTGAAGGAGGCTTCTGCTCCTCCACCACATTATCCTTCAGCGTAGAATTCGCACGACTACGACTGATCCGGGTCTCTCTCGCTCGTTCAGCAGCAGACAACCCATAGTCCTTATCCCCATCCCTCTCCCACTCTTGTCTCCCTGAACCATTCCGCTCCAACCGCGCCGGCAGATTAGACGCAGACGAACTGATAGCTGGACCTTCTTCATCCGAATAATCCATCCTACCCCGTCCTCCTTGTCCTGCCCTCTGTCCCTTCAAGAGCATATTGGGCAAATTCACCGGATCCATAAGCGGGCTCCGACTTCTCCCTTCCTCGTCCATATTCCCCTCATACTCATCCGACCCCGACAGTCGATAAAGCAGATACAAGATGGCCCATTTCTGCGACAAGACCGGCTGCGTCAACAAACGCGAGTACAGATTCGAGAACCGCACCGCTTTATCTGGACTTTCATTCTCCCGTAGCAGTTTCCGCTTGATCAAGTCGGACGCGTTGTTGATGTTCTCTCCGCCGGCTAAGCTTCCTCTGCGATTTCCAGGGCCGGCGGCAGGCGAGGTCGGATCGCTGGGAGAACTGGCCTGCGCGTCGATGATGCGCCATGCCCGCTCTAGACTTTCATGGTGTCGTTGTTCTTCTGCAACTGCGAGAGCCTCTTCGGGATCTTCGGGGAAGCCGTCCCCAAGCTGGTCAAGGGAGAGGGGAGGAGAGAGGGAATCGACGAGCTGGGAAAGGGCATCATCGATGCGGCGCGGACGGGCGGGGTGACGAGTCGACATTGTCTTCCCGCCCGAGTTTGGAATTGATGTTCGAGATTCCACCGTTTTCTGGTTGAATTTTCGCCGCGCAGGCTTCGATTCCGGTACTCAAAGGTTCAATTATCAAGGTATGCGAGTCGTAGGGTTGGAGGTAGGAAAGGCGGAAGGTAGATCGATATAGCTCGTCGTTCACCGGAGTTTCTGGCGTGAAAACAAAGCGAGATTTATCAAAACGAAATGGCGCATCTCGTCCGGCTCTCATAGAAGCCTCAATTCAACAATGAAATATGGCTCTTCACATTCAAACTGTTTGCTTCGATGCCCAAGTTGGACGAGGCGTGCGGAACGGGATGTTTCTGTTTGTGCTGTTTGACGCAACGCGGTCCTTGCCAAGACCGGCATCTACTTCGTCACTCCATAGTAGAGTATCATACTACAATTTAATGCACTCATTATTCAACCTCGAAACCTGCACACTTCATTTTTAGATGTTGACAGGCACATCAGTGCGGTGAGGAGATTTAAATGACAAAGATTGAGCCACCAGTACGCCATCCATCTCAAAACGCAACAGTAAGAATAGGAGGGAAAAAAGGCAAGCACCAGTGCCCTGTGAATATCAAACAGGTGAACGGAAGTTCCCACAGCCAGGGAGAATGAAAAGACAAAAGATACACAATACTACATAACCCAAGCCCTAGAAGAACAGAAAAAAAGAGCACAATGGCCACGCGGGGACGGGGATTTGAAAGGAAGAGAAAAACACACGGGAGAAAAGAGTAAAACAGCCAGAAATCTTGTGCGCCAAACAAATTTACACGCCCTTGGGTGACTTAACAATATCCGACCCATGACACAACATCTTGATTCAACCCGACCGATTTTTGAATTCGTATACATCATTAACACCTATCCATGCCAGAGGTCCGTGTGAGAGTCGCAGCTGAAAATGACTGGAAAGAAATTGAAGCCCGGGTATAAGACCGTCCCGGAACTATGCAGACTAACCCTGCACGCCGCGAAGCAAAAGCTGTATCTTGAAAAAATAAAAGAGGTATAAAAGTAGGAAAACGTTTCAGCCATGGCCCAGCGTGTATTAAGCCGTGGTCTGATCGAGACTTGCTCAACTATCGTCGCATAGCTTGTGCGGGGATAGGTCCACCGGGTTGCATGCCCATGTTGCCTGGGATATTGTAAGGGTGGGGATCAAATCCGGTTGGCATTCCGTTCATCATAAGAGGACCAAGACCCTGAGCTTGGGAGACAGGGCAATCCTTGTGGGCGAGCAAAAGGGTCTTGAGGTTGACAATCTCTTCGCGCAGTTGGGTGACAGTGGCTGTGAGTGCGTCATTCTCGGTAGTGAAAAGCTCAACCTTGGCTTGCAAGTTGGCAAGCCATTGCTTCTTCCGTTGTCGACATTTCAGGGCGGCGACACTGATATACGTGTTAGTAGATAGCCCACAAGCATTCAAGAGCTGGTGAGGCTTTAACTTACCGATTTCTTTCCAGGAAATTCTTTCTCTTTTCTTCATCAGTCATTTTCTTGGGATCCATTTGGGACCCCTTCAATTCGTCATCATCATCGTCAGATTCTCCCGGTTCAGAAGGAGGCTCCATGCTCATGCCTCCGTTATTGGCCTTGGCCTTCTTGTTAGGACCCTTGGCAGGAGCATCATCCGCTTTACGTCGGTTGTTGGGTGCATTTGCACCTTTCGCGGCAGCATTCTTCTTGCCTTTGCCTTTGGCAGCAGGCTTGGAGTCCTGCATATCCGAAGCATCGCCGCTCATTTCCCTGCCACCATTCGCGCCATTGCCATTCCCTGACGATCGCCTGGCTGCAGAATTACGAGACTGGTCATTGTTCTGAGACTGTTGCGCTTGTGGCTGATTCGAAGCGGCAAATTGGTTCGAGTTTTGCTGGCCACCCTTGGCCAACATAAACAGCCCGTTGGCCGCGTCGGCAGCATCATGATGAGTAAAGGGGTCGACAGCAGCAGGCTGGCTACCCTTGGAATCCATGGTTGTGGTCTGGGAACCCTGTTGTTCAGGCTCTGTAGTCGGGTTTGAGGTAGGGCCATTCAGAGAATGCTTCTTCGCAGCGTTCAAAGCTGTACGGTGGAACTCGATGGTCGAGGGAGTTGCACCGCCACTCTGCAGCTGCTGAATAATCGCCTGGGAGTTGGGGCTTGGGGCGGGAAACATAGAACCACCCCCACCCGGCGTCAGACCAGTGCGCAAGGAGGATTCGTTGGGAGTAGGAAAGCCTCTTCCAATGCTGTCAAAGTAATCACTGGATCCAGTAGGCCCGGGAAGCATGGCGGGACTCAGCGGCCCGGAGCGCAACGAGTTGGTCCAATTGTAGCCACCAGCAGAGGTTGCACCGGGGATAGCAGGGGAGGTAAGAGCAGCGACAGGAGGAAGCAGCGACTTTCCCGGTGTCTCGCCAGAAGAACCACCGCCGCCGCCACTAAAGGATTGTTCAAAGGGATTGGGCTCCAGAGAGAAAGGGTTGTGGACAGAGTTGAAGTAATCCGGAGTATCAGCGGCAGCAGTGGTGATGGCGGGTCGAGGAGGGGGCGCCAGCGATGTTTGCGAGTCTACATCAGGCTTGATGTCTTTGGATTCTGAAGATGCCTGAGAGTCTGTATAGAAGGGGAAGTCGCGTCAGTAAGCAGTGACCATAGACGTGATGACAAATAGAAAACGAAAGTTTTTAATAATAATAATAATAATAAATTAGTCCGCGACGGTGAGGTACCAGGAGAGAAAGGAAGAAGAGGGCGACGAGAAGGGAAGATCCATCGCGTCGAGATAGCCTCAAGCTGGGGAGGGGATCTGATAACTCTCATAGAAAATCGATGACGCCAGTTGTGAGGTCATCCCGACGGCAGAAAAGGACATCAAAGCATCTGGGGAATCGTGGCGTACAACACCAATCCAGAATGGGGTAAGGGACAATGAGGGACAGGAAAAGAAAAGCACAGGCAAAAGGTACGAGAAGAAAACGCGTCTAGATGAAGAAAAAAAAAACAAGAGGAGGTATACTAACCTTCAGAATCGTTCTTTTTCGAGTCCATGGGGGAAGGATTACGAGCGTCTGTATTATTCGATATGCGAGTCGACACCCTCGGCGCAACCGCAGCAGACATGATATGATGAAATATCTGGAGAAGGGCAATAAGGAATTAGATAGGAAGGGCCAAAAGGATCGCTTTGCGACCAAGCGAGCAAAGCGAGTGGATGTGAAGTGGCAACGAGTGTGAAAAACCCAGACGTGACGGAGACCAGGAAAGATTAGTATTAAAAAAAAAAAAAAGGAATAAAAAAGACAAAAAAGAGAATAAGAACAAAAATACGAAACAAGAAGGAAAAAAAATAAAAGAAAAAAAAAAACCGAGACTTGAGGATTGAACACTCAAAGTCAAGGGGGGCAAAATAGGCCTTGAGCTCTTCTTGGACTGAATGCGATCAAGCAAAGGGAGTCAAGTCGAAGTGGTGAGAGAGAGAGAAGGAGAAAAAAAGTTGTGACGTAGTCGGATTGGGGGAGTTTTAGGGGCGAGCAGGAAGAGGGGAGGCGGTCGAGGGCAGAAAAGATGGACGCTGTTGCATGCAACCCTGGGTGCGTACAAAAACCCCCTCCAGGCATCCAGTTGCAACGTTCTTTTTCTTCTTTCTTTTTTTTTTTTTATCTTTTTTTAAATTATTATTATTTTATTCTCTTTTCTTTCTTTTCTTGCCTTTCTCTCTTCTGTTGCTCTAACTAAATGAAATATGAACCTACAGATGATGGAAGAAGAATAATAATCAAAAAACGGAATTATGCAGCAGCCAAAATGTTGGCCCTTACTTGGACCAGAGAACCTGGAGACGGTGGACTCCGGCAGTATGTTTCGACCAATGTAAAGCAAGAAATCGTCAAGACGCGATATGGCGTTGGATAAGCGGTTCAGCACTCTTGCACCACACCACTTGAGTTTGGTTGAAGAATGTTGGTGCGAGCCAGGGATAAACGGACAAAGAAGAAGATCTCTCGACTGGCCAGAATCAGTGGAAATTGGGATGGAAGTATACTGGAACAATGAACAAATGGTTGGTGAACCCAAGGGGAGAGGATGAAGGGAACAAAAAAAAAAAAAAAACATGGATGAGATCACGGTGACGACGACAGGAATTTCCGCTGGGCTGTCGGACCAGCCGGGTGGCCACTGGCGAAAAGGACCCCACCCGAAGCGAACCAGCCACTCACGGGCCTGCATCCGGCCCTGTCCCCCCTCCCTCGCCAAGCACTGGGAGAATTTTAGATATCGGTTCTGCCATGGATGAATGTTGCTGCTGGCCGGGCGGTGAGGGGCTCTAGCCACTCACAGCGCCAGGCCATGCAGACGACCCAAACAAGATCTTCTGCTCAGGGGAGCCTTTCGAGTCAGTCGGCCGCTGATTGGACCCCTCGTGATGACGCAATGCTTCATTGAGCCGTGGATTAGTATCACGTGAGCTCTTTCTCATTGCCACTGTACAGACATAGGACTACGACTAGGTGCTACTACTGTGTACAGTGTGCAGTAGTTAGTATCAGGTAGTACTATTGAATAAAATAGAGAAAAAATGTTCATAATGCGTTTTATCTATATGAATCAGTCTATTTAATATCGCTAGAGACGCATGCACAGTACTTTTGAAGCTCTAGATTAGTTCCTTCTTAGATCCCCTGCAAGTGTCAACGAACCTCGATAGGCGATCCTCTACAGTCGCATGTCCACGTGAATATGACACGCAATGCCCATTCCAACGATCCATCAAGCAGTTATCTTGTGCAACTCGAAAACAACCAGAATTACGACCCGTTTGAAAACATCAGTCTATGTGAATCCTGATTAACTACCTCTCCAGATACCAGATTGCCAATCTCACGAGACCTGTCTCCAACGCGAAACGAAGCAAACCATGCGCGCCGTTTCAGAATTGCTATTTTTCCATGAATGTTTCGTCCCACGGTGAATCAGTCCTTCTCCTTAGTCTCCCCGCTATCCAGCACGAGCTCGACTAGATACCACTCAGAATCCTTTACCAAAGGACCGAGGCAACGTACTCTCCCCAGCAATCTTCACGCGAATAGTGATGCATACGTTGTTCTGTTCCTGGGGACACCTGGGTGACCAGGACTACGCCGCCATCGCTGGAAATCAAACTCGATGTTATGGAATAAGTCGGCCTGACTGAATACTTGGTTGTCGCGAAAGACGGAAAAGCATTGTGTGTTGTGGATGGTTGTGATGATTGCTAGGTGACATGGATTGGCTATACTTGGTTCTGATAGAATGATAGCATGATTTGGAGTGGACAATTCTCTATGTTTATGAAAGTCCTGGTTTATACCATATGCCTTGATCATGATAAGTCCACGGTCTTGTCTATGCTTTGGTAATTTCATCAGTCTATATTGAGTAGATAGCTACATACTGTATTCATAAGAGCATTATGCAGTCAATTTTGTGAATTCAACGAAGCGTGGCAGAATTAGAACATTATGCAGTAGTATCTCTATCTAAACCGTCATATCTGCCAGTATCAATCAGACATATCCATATACGTCATTCCAAGATGAAACTGACATCAGAATCGATAAGATCCGTTTTATCATCCTCACGATCCCCGATAAGTCGAATAGTTCCAGGGTCCCAACAGCACAGGAACATGATAATGCCGCCATCCCTCTTCGCCCTCCCGTCCCCGTCCCTTGACTGTAAACTTGACTTCGACTTCTGGCCAGAAGCTCTCCACCCCTTGTGCCTCATACCAGGGTCCGACCTCGAATCGCACGGACCAGTTGGTTTTGCTATCGGCTGCCGGGAGGGACGAGAGGATCTCAGGCACGCTTTTGGCAGCTGTGGTAATGGGCGTCCAGTTCTTGACTCGTCCGTCGGCATCAGTTGTGGCCTGGAAGTTGACGGGGCTTTGAGCGCTGCTGGACGGGGAGGAGAGGAGGGTCAGAGTGACGGGGAGGTTCGCGGCGGGGGTTCCCGTCAGGGTGTTGAGAACATGGCAGGTGATAGGATCGCGAGACATTGGTGCGGTGGATTTTGTAGTAGTAGTCGGTGATGTGCTTGCTTGTGGTGTAGTAGAAGTAGGAGAGCTAAGCTGCTGCTGGTAGAGGGCAAGTCGGTCTGTGGTTCTGCCCAATTGTTCACTCGATGGGTGGTGAGTATTTTGGTCCATCAAGGAGACGTAAAGGGAGAGATGGAAAAGTAAAAGAAAATAGGAATTCTGCAGCTTCAAATGTGGCCGTCGAGGGGCTTTTCTACCTCCGCTCTCCTCGCATCGGAGGGCCCCGATAGCTATACGGAGGATACCTTTGGTGGGGCAGGATGGTTATAACGACTGTCGGGTTATTCTTGTGGTATTCTAATGGATGTATCAATTATTTCCAATATCTGACTTAATAGATACCACGTATTGACTTTAATTCATGATCATCCAATGCGTTGATGCGTTGGTTTGTGGCCTGAGGCAGAAACACCAGCACGTGTCAGTGACAGTTGTGTCGTAATTGTTGACAGTATTCTATCGATTTAAAAACAATAAATAACTAATCTAAAGCTTTTCCTCAGCTTGAAACCTGTCCTTCCGTAGAATTCTAATCGAGACTTGGTCTTATCAACGTGTCTAAGGATAATCTTCCGGAAACTTCGACTGCCGCCAAAAGTTGTGCGGGGAGAACGGGGAAACACTTTCAACTTTCATCCTCCATCTCTGCACACCGAAACGCCGACCTCCTCATCGCAAACTCAGAGATCATCCCCGGAAATTGACTCCGCGAGTTTCTCCAAAATGTCTTCCGCCGTCGTGCCCAGCGACGATCTCGACATGGAGCCCACCCTCAAGTCGATCCTCAACCAGGATACCCTCCGCTGGATCTTCGTGGGCGGAAAAGGAGGTGTGGGAAAGACTACTTCTTCCTGCTCTCTCGCCATTCAGCTAGCCAAGGTTCGCAAGTCGGTTTTGCTCATCTCGACCGACCCCGCACACAACCTGAGCGATGCGTTCGGACAAAAGTTTGGCAAGGAAGCCCGTCTGATCGATGGCTACACCAACCTCAGTGCCATGGAGATTGATCCAAACGGAAGTCTCCAGGACCTCCTGGCTAATGGGGAGGCACAAGGCGAGGATCCTCTGGGCGGAATGGGTGTTGGCAACATGATGCAGGATCTGGCATTCAGCGTAAGTCATGGCTCCCCCCGCGCCTGTAGTTTCAAGGCTGCTAACCATCTTAGATTCCTGGTGTCGATGAAGCCATGTCCTTTGCCGAAGTTTTGAAGCAAGTCAAATCCCTATCCTACGAGGTGATTGTTTTCGACACTGCCCCGACCGGCCATACTCTTCGTTTCCTGCAATTCCCCACCGTGCTTGAGAAGGCCCTTGCGAAGCTCTCGCAGCTTTCTTCGCAGTTTGGCCCGATGCTGAACTCGATCCTTGGTGCCCGTGGTGGTCTGCCTGGTGGTCAGAATATGGACGAACTTATGAGCAAGATGGAGTCTCTGCGCGAGACAATCAGCGAGGTGAACTCGCAGTTCAAGGATCCCGATCTGACCACCTTCGTGTGTGTTTGCATTGCCGAGTTCTTGTCTCTGTACGAGACCGAACGTATGATCCAGGAGTTGACGAGCTACGGCATCGACACCCACTCCATTGTGGTCAACCAGCTCTTGTTCCCTAAGCAAGGAAGCGAGTGCGAACAGTGCAATGCACGAAGGAAAATGCAGAAGAAATACCTCGAGCAAATCGAAGAGCTGTATGAGGACTTCAACGTTGTCCGCATGCCATTGTTGGTTGAGGAAGTGAGAGGAAAGGAGAAATTGGAAAAGTCAGTTCCCTTTCCCCCAGTTTTCGCATGATCACAGTGACTAACTATCCCTGCAGGTTCAGCAACATGCTTGTGCAGCCGTATGTTCCTCCCGAGTAAGGGGATGCGCCTTTGAACCTGATTTCAGCACACTACTCTTGAGCATATTTTTTGGGATGAGTTATGAAAAGAATAGAGAATAATACATGCAGCATGTCTATGCTCCATATGAGTTTGTTGAGCCTTGCCCCTGAGAAATGGACCTATATCGGAGAGACGGCTATGAACGTGTAGAATGCTTTTTTTGGATAATTCTCGTCTCACCTTTCTTTGTTTTCCATTTTGCCCATCTTGCCTCACTTTCTCGTCCCGTTGAATTGTCACGCCGCCTTATTTCGACCTAGCCCTTCAGCCATATACCCTTTGTACATGATGAAACAGGGATTGCTTAGCAGATTCCTGACCCCAACTCAAGTGATCTATTGGAGTCTACATTCAGCCTCAGATGCTCCAATCTTGGTCTTCAAAGTTCAATCTCAAATTACCCTCTGGCTCCACTACGATGATCCACTCCCGTATCTCCACTTGGCGAGTATTGGGTTCAAGTGAGGCTTTTAGGCCTGCAGAACAAGTGATCGTGGCCTATTGATTTGAATGGATTTTAATGGAGCTCTTTCATTTGCCGCCCCCTGGATCTATATCGATATGGAATATGCGACAAATAAGTTATAGATCAGAGCGGATATAGATCGATTGTCACGGGTAAGGTAAGTGCTCGGTCTGGGCCTCTTTAGACGGCAATGCAAGCTTACGAGTACTATTACAGGAACAAGACCAGATATGCCGCTCAAATTCGGTTCTTGAGATCGACATTGATTCAGAATTCGCCTGGTCGAGATTTTGAACGGAAGTAGATTCCATGAACTATGAGCTTGATCATCAGGGATCCAATGTTTTATTTCTTGCAGGGATGACTGAACAAACATTGACCCATTCTTATCTCATAGTTTCCATCTCTGGATATTGTTCAGGGACTGTGAAGGAATGAGCCTACCGGACTCATCACATATCTCGGTGCACTTCCGGTATACATCCAACAGAATAACTGCCATACTTGCCACTCAATCTTGGGCGCCTCGTTCTTTCGGAACATTCTACACATCCCCCGGGTGAAGAGGTCAACCTTGGAATCATGCAATTCCTATTTTCGTCAGACTTGCCTCTTGATATGAACTGTATACTACCATGGACCCTTCCTTTCATGGGCCAATCTAGTCAACAACGCGGCAAGACCCCCTTGGTCCCCGGGAAATGTAGGCATTATCGCCGGCCATGCGGATTCAAAGAAAGCTAGAAAGATTGTGTGGCAGGTCACGGCCAATGAACTGGTGATGGAATATTCGAGAACCGAAACCATTCATGGTTGTCATGGTTGTAGCTAGCACCTGTGAGGGATTGCCTTGGAACCAGGAAATCATACGACTGCGCATTGGCAGGTTCGTGTTGTGCCCTACACCCACAGTTCAATATATTGGCTCGAGATTACCTGAATAGGACTTGTGCATATGCGTCCAATATGTGGCTTATATGTTGGTTCAAATTCTAACAAATCGGTAGGTATCCTCTATACTTGACTGGGGCGATTGGACACGAAGAAACAAGAATTGTTCTCCAGGATTGCCTTGGGCACCACTTTTGATGGAGGGGCGACATTGGTTGTCATCGAAAAGGATATCATCGAGATCTGCGTATGACATTGCAGCGCTCATCCGGATTATTCGCCGCCGATATGCTATTGAACGATATTTTGTCCTTCCGCCGAATCAGATAATTTCGTTTCGATATGGCGAATGGAGACTGCCAAAGTCTGCCAATTGAAACTTTTAGTCTATAGAGATAGCCCCTCTGGTCTTTTTATATCCTCGACCCGTGGAGCCACGCCATCACAACTAGCAAACTACATTGGCGCGGCATGTTCCATTGCAGTCAGTCCAGAAGGGTAAGAGCAAACCCGGGCGCAGACGCATCAAGAACAATCGGCACATTGCAATATTACTACTATTTTTTGTGGCCGCGGAATACATATTCTGTCAACAAGCCTCACTTTTCCCGGTGTAAAGCGTTGGATCTCGTTTTCTGAAATAGTGAGGCGGTTTCCCGGGATCCGACATCAACAGACGACGGAGAAAAAAGAAAAAGAAAAAAGAAAAACAAAGACAAAAAAAAAAAAAATGGCAGTCCAGCCAACTTTATCTTGTCTGTTACAGAATATACCTGGGAATCAGGTGCGACGATATCTGTAGGTTTCCTTTTGGTTCGCTGATCAACATGTCTAGTTTGCTCCGATTTTTATACCGCTCCTCGATATTCCGGTCTAGATATATACTCACGAGGTGTATAAAGCTGGCAATCGTGCTTCCCTTTCCCCCTTACTTTTTTTGTATAGAATTATAATCAATTTTTATTTCAATATATATATATATCACATTCACATATTAAGAAGGTTTTATTCCCGATTTCGCTTCAATTCCTGTCTCAACACATATCAAAACCCCTTTATAAACATGCCTCCCGTACAAGAATATTGGTTACCAGGCTATGGACTTTCACGACATATTGTTCTTGGCCATATTCAATACTTCCTCGGGCCATCTTCCTCGGTCAGACCATACACCTATCAAGTAAGCATCCTATACAGCAACACACAACACCAGAAAAAACAGCTAACATATGTCACTTCAAGGGACGAGAAGGCTACCTAATTTTCGGTATGCCCTTAACACGGGTCCGTATTTCTTGCCAGCATTCCCCCCAAACCCTATACACGAATTGCATACACTGACACAAGATATCTCTCCACAGGAACAAATCAATGACCTCGCCGTCATGTCGCGGGAATATGAACGCCAGGAAGCTCTTCGAATGGCCGGCGATTCCATTATCGATAGCCCCAGCAGACAAACAGAGCCCTATATAAATGAAATAGTACCTGTTCAATCGCATCCTCGCAGACGTCCAGTGGAGAATGTATTCCGGAATACATAGTTGAGTTTTCGAATATACTATAATATAACGATTGCACAGGTGTTTGGCTGATCATATTTGATTTCTTTGATTTCTTGGAATTCTCTTCTGGTGCTATATCTATGTAGGGCAAAATCGTTGCCCAAGCCCTAATTGTCCAGGGAACTGCGCTAGGCCAACAGCGTCATGAAATAATCTGGATTGAAACATTGATTATATTCATAATAATAACACTGAACAGTAGTGAAATATCTAGTTGAATGGATAAAACCTGACTCAGGGCTATCCCAACGTTATTCTCACTCATCTATAGACCATTCGTAACAGCATAGAACAATCACATGGAAGCTTTTGTTTCGTGTGAACCTCAAGAAGTCCACTGGATCTTTTCTTGCCCAAAAGTACATGGGAAAGGGAAAAGATGACATGTCGTTTATTTTTCAGATTTTGGATTTTTCCCCACCAGCATTTCAGATTTCAATCAATAACCTCTCGAGGGTCTTCAGCACGAACAACTTCGAGGAGTCAACTCAAAAGATATCTGAAAACGAAAAGAAAAGAACATAAAGAAAACATAAAAAAAGGCGGACCACCTGAACGCCGGCCTGATGCCACTTCTGCTTGGTCCCATCACTTAAAGAAGCCCTGCAATCGGCGGGGAATACTAATATGAACAGAACCAAAAAGAGAAAGGAAAAAGACGACCCTGTGACGAAAGCTCATACGTATCTATTTTGCAACGGCAGAACTAAAGAAACAGTCAGAATTTCTACTTATCCAGTAGGGAAAATCAGAATAAGCAACGTACCTCAGGACTTGGGTTCTGAAGAATGCACCCTTTGTCCTCTCAATGACCTGCTGGTACACCGATTGAGGGGGGTGGTTCATGATGACAGTGCCCTCCTTGTAGTCAATCTTGGCGTCGACTCTGGTGTCGCGGATCAAGTTAACAATCCACTTCTCACCCTCATCCTGGTTCAAACCAAGACGGGTAGACAAGTCCCTAGTACCATGGTTAGTTTCATATCACATAGACGATCCAGAATACACGTACTTGATATCAATTCGCTGGTGAATCTTGCAGTAGCTCTCGGAGATGAGATGACGGGCAGCCTCGACGAAGGCATCGGCGGCCGAAACGAGGAAGAAGTCGCTTCGCAACACATCCTCTGCCTCACCCAGCTTCTTCTGGGCTTCTTCAAAGTCAAAGTCGACATAGAGGGCCTTGACAAAGTCGGTGATGGGGTCGGTGTACTCGTAGTTCTCCTGACGCACAATGCGGATCAGATCCTTGAGTTGCTTGTGGTATAGGCTGGTGCTCTTGTGTGCGCGGTTACGGTTGGTGATGACTGCAGCAGCGAGGTATCGCAGAATCCAGGGGCAGCTGGTCTGGATGGTGTTGATGTAGGTGGGGGAGAAGAAGAGGTCGGTGAGGATGTCGCGAGCGGGGTCGTAGTTGAAGAAGGGGAAGAGAGACCAGTGGATCAACCACGAGCGGTTCTGCAGCTGACCCAGGGGGTTGTTGAATAGCCGGGTTTCAATGGATTCCTTGACCTTTTGGACTTCCTCCATAGCACCTTCCCAGTTGGTGGTCAAGATCTCCGAAGCCAGCTTACCCCATGTGGCCGAGGCAACCTTGTCATTGTCGGTGGACAGAACACGGAACTGGTACAGGAGATCGGCAGCATTGCCGTAGCTACCGCAGCTGTACTGGAATCGGCCGTAGTCGTACAGGCTGTTGACCATCTCGTTGGTGACGCCGTGCTGTTGCTCGAGGAATTTCAAGTTGGCAACCTTGTCGCTTCGCAGGCTGCCGACAACCTCCTCATCCTGCAGCAACTCGGTGATCTTCAAGCTCTCATCCTGGTATTGTTGCATCTTGTTCAGAACTTCCTCCTTCTTCTTCGTGAACTCAGCGGGGGCTTCTGTCGCGTTGTTGATTTCCATCCACAGGTTGGCCACATAGTCGGTCATGTTGGTGTGCTTGAGCAACTCATACTTCGCACGGACGACGTCCTTGTCGTCATCCTGGCCGGTGCTGAATTCAAGCAGAGGGAAGACCAGATGGCGGTCGAGGTAAGGGATCAGCTTGGGCAGCAGGTCATACTGGTTGGCGATCTCTTCAGCGGTCTTGGGCGGGTGGGCGGCCGCACCGCTGAGCAAAGTCTCTGCGGAGGGAGGGGCGTTGGCTGCCATAGTGTGCAAGAATGCAAAGGGGGGTGGGCGACAGCAGAGACGAGCAACGGAAGGAGGGCAAGTGGAACAGATCTGACGGTCTGGCTGTCTGACTGACGGTCACTGTCTGGAGATCTTCTTCTGTCTCGCGTCGTCCTTTGAGAACAAAGTGTGCGGCGTCTTTTGCGCTGGCGAAAATGTGGGCGGGAGGGCTGGTGGGCGCGCTAGGCCGCCTTGGGCCTAGTGCCATGACCTCCGCGCAGAAAGCAAGAAAGCGCGAGTTTTGCAGTTTGCGAGAGGCTTCATCGTCGTCGTCCACTGCTTAATCTTTAATCTGCTCCCGGGGGCTCCGTTCATCTCCCTCCATTGTGGACTTGTGCTGCTGGCCATCTGCTTCTTTCGGTGTCTCGTGTGGTTTTTTTTTTCTCCTCTCCCTGTCATCCTCAAATCGATGGCTTCTTTCCTGCAGTCTGTCCCGGTCTCGTCTGCTCTTCGCAAGCAGTCGACCGCGGTTCCTCTCCGTCTTAATGCATCCCAACCTACTGCTTCCCTAAGGACATGTAGTTCATTCTCCACATTATCTTCCCCGTCTAGATTGACTCAGTCCCGTAAGTTTTGGCCAGATCCGCGGTTTCCATGCCTTTTAGGTACCTCGTGGTGGATGAAGGGCATCTAGAAAAAAGAGAGAAAAGCCATGGAAGAAACGTTGAGTTCCTCTTACTGACCAATTTCAGAAAATTCCCTTCAGTCTTCTCAGCGTTCCAACACCCTCTCAAAATTCCCTAACCAGCAATGTCGAACTTTCCTGGTTCAACTCAAGCGTCAATCCCAAAGCCTTAAAGAGTCCGCTCCCTCGACATCCGGAACAGTATCGCCCGCAGCAGCCAATTTGCAGCTCACCAACCTTCCCTATTTCGTCCGCCGTACCGCGTCAAACCAACTTCCTGTGTATCTCGTGACAAAAGCCGGTGGAACCAAGCAGCAAACTAAGATTCAGAAGACCGAGGGTGACATGGATTCGTTACGGAATGATCTGGCATGCTTCCTGGGTCTGGAATCTGGTGATCCCCGTGCTGCTAAGAGTCCCGATGTTGCCATCAATCGTCTAAATGGCCATATCATCGTCAAGGTACGTTCCAGGTGGATCGATCATGCGTTGGTCCTATTTTCATGTCAACTATCAGCTTCGACTCGATTACACAAGCTAACATCTCATGTTGCGAGTAGGGCTGGCGAAAACCCGAAATCCTTAAGTTCCTCTTGGAGCGTAACTTCTAAAGGGGAAATCTCCGAATCCCGTCACCGCATTATTCTCTCCCCGAACCTCAACTACCTACTATCTTCGAACCGAAAAATTGGACATAGGAGTCATTTCATAAAACCGCAGTGTCTTAGCAGGAGAAGTCGAAATATCGACAGGATAGGGAAAGCAGATGTTAAAAGATGGAAGACTGGCAGCAACTGAATGACACGTGCCCTTGAGGGTTAATTGTGAGCGGTTGTTTTCTTTTACCTCATATCTTTTTACCTATCTCTTTTTTACTTTATTACCATTGTATTATTTCATCGTGTTGGTGTTCTGATTTTGCTTTTGCTTTGTTTCATCGGAAGTTCCGGCTTTTTTTCCCCCATTTCCTTTCCTTTTTCTCTGGCATGTATTCTCCACTTCTTCAAACTCGAGATGCAGTCCTGTGTATTATTTACTCTCTGTACATGTCCAATGACTTGGTGGCTGCCCCTGCGTTAATCCTATGGCTAATTCGACGGGCGGCTTTATTCGAATTGAGGCAGAGAGCGACGCAGAGCTTAGGCGGGTGTGAAAGTGAATTCAACTAAAGCCAATGTAGCTTTTTTTGATGGAGACAAATCTAACAGACCTAGATTTAGGGCTTCTATAATCTTGTAGAGATGAGATCTTCGTATATATGACAGTATATCAATTTGATTATTTCCAAAACACTATGATTCCAAATGCTTACACTCAAAGCATCAAACCACGTCCGCAAGACGAAAGGAAACAGACAGAAAGGAACAGAGGATGAGATGGGATGACAAAAAGAGGAATAAGAGGAATCGAGAAAGGAGAAGAAAATTGAAATGGTTTTTTTTACCCGTTTAGACATCATGCATAAATGATTCTTTCGCCTGAGGGTATTGAACATTGTACAGAGAGATAAACAAGAAGTACACATATTGCACGCCCAACATAGAATCTTTCCCACCACCGGCGCCAGACTCATCGACAAATAAAAACATGTAGATAATAGTTTACTTTAGATGAATAGAAGACATGACAGAAGCAAACATGAGATCACGGCAGATTGCAAGAGCTAGGCCTTCGCTTATAATGACAAAGAGTAAATCAAAATGCAACGCACGCGTAGTTTCCCAATCCAAACAACCCGTATCATTCCGCAAGACGGGCATAGGTTATCAGCTGTCGAACAACGCTTGGATCCACATTGGGCATTAATAGTGCCCCGAGGAGGCTTTCCTTCTTTGGTATGATTCCAGAGGGAAACCGCAATTCGGGGGCATTTTCAACAAGCTTCGACTTCTCAGCTAACCTTCGAAGAATTGTCAAGCCTCGATGAATGATAGACCCATAAGCTTGAGCTTCGGCTTCAGCCTGTGCTCTTTGGGCGTGGGTATGTCGCGGGTTTGGAAGGAAGACGCGTTCTGTGCTCAACAGGCAGGAAAGTCTGAGTAGATGTATGGCAAAACCATCAACGGAGTCAAGCCATGTTTTCGCGAGAGGCCCATCTGCGAATGCAGACAATATATCAGCCGCTAATAGCCCTTGCATAAGGAATACTTTGCGTGCATCTGCGATGGCAAGAGGTTTTCGAGGCTGATCGGGAAGTGGGCAAATAGCAAGACCAAACGCACGGGTAAGTAGCTCGTGCTGCGGTGCCATAGACCCATCGCCGGAGAAAATGGCTTTGAAGAAAGATCGGTTCGGTTCATCTCTAGCTAGAAGTTTGGCTAAGCTGTCCACGGCTGCTGGCGTGTATTTATGGATAGAAGCATTGTATGTTGTGAACATGACACTCTCTGTCATAGTTGGTACCGGAAATGGTGCAAATGACAAGAGGAAATGTAATAAGCAGAGTGCCTCTTCCTTTCCTGGTAATAAGATGGTGTGGGCCAAGTTGCTCAGGTAGATGACGGTGTCCTTCATGAAATCCAAGGTATTCTGGTGTGTTCGAAGCAGCATATTCCGAGTTCCCAGATACCGAATAATTGTCGAGATGAATGTGACAACCGAAGGCATTGCTAATATTCCAAAATTCGATTCCGTAAATGAAAAATTGCGCAAGATTGTTGTGATACAGATAAGTCGATCAACAGCTCGATCGAGCTCGTAGTCCAGACTTCCAAATTCAGGAACGTCAGCGAGAGACGCCCACTCCGACTGACACCCACGAGTTATTTCCTCGTATGATGGCAGAAGCATAACATCCGAAACTTCCGCAGCATGTTCAGCAAGCAGTTCAGCTTGGTCTTCAGCACACTCTACTAAGCTTTCAACCAGATCCTCGCAGTTATCCAGCGATATTTGAATGGCTGGCTCGCCGGAAATAGATGTGAGCGTATCCAAAGCCATGCGCATTTCAGCATGAATCCCAGACTTGACGCTCATGGTGAGAGCATGTATGTCTATAACACCAAGCTCGCCGAAGCTTGGCACATTTGGCTTTAACCTTGATATGTCCTCTCCAAGCTGATACATTTCATCCACCGCAATGGGGCCATGGAGCTTGCTCTCGGGCAAGACCATGGGCTTGAATGGGTCCTCGATAGGATGCTTCATTGGTTGATCTGACGGCTGCTCAAATGGCTCTGATGGTTTTCCAGATATCGACCCCGGGCCTTTGCCTGATGGGGCAGGTGAAGGACCAGGTAGCTGTCCCCTAGGGTCTTGTGGTGTTGGTGGTGGCTGGGATTGGCGAGAAATACTGAGCTGATGTTGATGTTGTTGTTGCGGTGGCTGTGGCTGTGGCTGTGGCTGTTTTCCTGGTGCTTTCACCGGTGTTGGTGTTGCGAAACCATTCGACGCACTGTGCTGGACATTGTTCGGAGCCGATGCACTGCTGGGAGAAGGTTGCGCAATTTGCTGGGAAGGCTCAAATCCTGGGCCTGGTTTAGCGGTCGGGGACTGGAATTGCATCCCTGTGGGATCTGCTGGCCGGGGCTGCTGGTTTTGCTGCATCTGATCTGCGAACTGCTTCTGTTGCGTGCTAAGGAAAGCCTGTTCGTAAGGAGCGAGGTTTCTTTGGTAGTGCTCACGGATCTCCTGGACCGCCATGGGGAACTGCATGGGAGGGAACTGCAATTGCTGGGATATGACAGGCCACATGTTTGCAGCTGTGATCTTTTTCGAGCCGCCAAGCTTCATGACGGTAGCATAGAGCTGAACTAAATTGACCGGACGGCCGCATACAATGGGGTTAGGATCTAGCGGCAGGTTCCGCGACATCATGAACTTTTGTAGCGACCTCATAAATCCCTCTGGGTTAGTTGGCTTCGCCATATTCTGCTGCATCTGCCTAATGGCCGCCATCTGCTGGGGATTAGCCATGGCGTTCATTCCAGCTGCGACTGGCCTTCCCGCCATTGCAGGATTCATGTTCATCGCACGAGTTTGGTTCTGAACCTGCATAGCATGCAACCGCTGTTGTTGGGCAGCCATGGCTTGCTGGTACCCCTGTGGCATACCACCAAACTGCGCTTGCATCGGGGCCTGTACAGTAGCAGAGGTCATTGCCGGGGCTGGAGGGAACTGGGGCCCCACCCCCTGAGGAAACGGCTGGCCAGGAATGAATGTGTTATTTTGCGGAGTATTCACACGGCTCGGGTGATCTGGTTGAGATGGCGACATCTGTTGGCCAACATGAGGGCCGGCGGGGGTAAACGGACTCGGGGATGCGGTTCCCATTCTCTGGGCACCATGCTGGTCGAATTCCTGCATGATGGGCGATTGAGTCACACTGGGAGAAGCCCCCTGTTGGAGGTGCTGGTACGGTGTTGGGGGAAACTGCGGGGCGCCATTCGTTGGACCCTGATATCCCGGGAAAGGCACTTGGTGAGGCGTCTGAGACCGCGATGCTGCAACCCCGCCCGGTGCTTGTCTAGGTGACATTGCAATACCATCATCCGGGCGAGCCCGTTTGGACGGAATCACTTGGTTGGGGTTGTGAAAGCCCGGAGATGCATTTCGCGGTACGCCATTGAACATGCGCTGGAATTGATTGGGGTCTTGAGGGGTGGGAGAAGCGTGGAGGAAAGCCGCAGAGGGATCAATGGTTGTTGGATGGAAAGCCCCATTGTCATGGCTTGGGAGGTTCGAGGCGTCAGCTAGCCAGGCATTCATGTCGTATGGTTTTACCAACCCATCTGCAAGGCGAAAGAGTCATCAGAAAAATGAAACCCACATCTGACATTCAAGGAGTAATCAATGAGAACAGCAACCACACGAGGCGCCTGTCATCGCCAAACATGATCAACGATTGATTGACAGTGAGTTCCATCATCAAATCAAATTGAATGGGGTGGTCTAGACGCGTCGGGTTTGTCGTGGTGAAGATAGCACGTCGCGCTTTGATCTGCGACACGAGCAGCGCAAGCAACAACCACGACGACACCTCGCCCCCCCCAACACGAGGGTTGATCAAGAATAAAAGAGGAAATGGAGAAAGTCCGGGGAGAAGAGGGACAGGAACAATGTACATACCGACAAGGTTGGATAACTAAAATGCCGACTTACGAGCGGAGGATTGAAGCCGGTCCCGAAATAGCAGCGGTGCGGTTGGAAGGCCTGAGATTGTGAGGAGAGGGAAGACAGGTCACGGGACCAGAGGCGCTGGGCGGCGAAAGGCGGGAGGGGAGAGAGAACAGCACCAGCCTATTACAGGGCTATATTGTCATCAGCAAATCGCAAAGACAACAGCTATGGGCTACGACAGGAAATAATAGGGTAATGGGGTAATGAATAAATGAATAATAGGCCATCATAAAACAACCGCATCAGAGCCGCAGGAGCGATTCGCAACGTGCTTGGTAGTCCCGAAGAATGGCTAATCGGTAGTGCGTGGCCACAGCGTATGAGGCGTGTGATATGGGGGGGCAGGGAAAGCAAACAGGGCCAGTATTGGGGGTAATAATGACACAAAAAGGCAGCCAAGGTATGGATCTGGATAACAAGCGTACCTTGACAAAGAGCAGTGCACCACAGAGCCCTTTTTTTTTCCTGGGGCGAGGGGGGGAAGATTCGGAAGGGGAGAAAGTGGAGGCACGGGGGGGAATGGGACGGGCGTGGAGAGAAAAGTGACGGTAATAAAAAATAAAAAAGATGATAGGGGAAAAAAAAAAAATAAAAGAGGGTTTAGCAAGGACGATACATACAGGGAAAAATGTAAGAGTGTACCAGTAAGTTATTTTGGACAAATTAGCAGTGATAGACGGAGAGGGAAAAAGAGAGAGGGAGAGGGAGAGGGAGAGTTAGTGCCGATGAAGGGGGAACAGCGGGAAGAGGCAAGGAAGCAGTGGAAGAGGCGGAATGCCACTCTTCCTGTTCCGGCCATGGCGTCGTGCCGCTTTGAGCAGTCTTAGGTGTGAGATGCCTTCAATCCTCAATGATAATGTTCTGGTATCAAAGTATTCTGTATGAAATGAGTCTTCCACTTGATATGGTTCTGTTAGAGTTAGTAGATAATAATTATTGTAGTATTGTTATGGTCTGTTCCAGTTCCTAGAAACGATGCTAGTGTGGATAGTGTTTTTTGCCCACGCAGATCAACCGCGATAATACATGACATTGGTATTAATCTGAAGGGCAGAATCCGAGCTTTAATGTCATAAAATATTCCATCGGGTCTTCGGAAATAATATAGAAAAGAAATTGTGGCTGTCAAGTTAGTGTTCAGTTCATGATGCTAAATATGCCAATATGGAGTGGAGTATGAGCATAAAGCGAAGAGTGTCAAATCAGTATCCAGAGACGTATGGGAATAATTTCCTCTTTCAAATTTGGGGGGAAAGTCGGAAACGAAGGAACCCTGGAGGAGACTGGAAGAAAGAAAGAAAAAAGAAGAAGAAAAGAAAAGAAAAAAGTGAAATGAACAGGGCGTCTGCTTTCCTATATACGTCCCAACCCACACCCAAAACCAACCCGCCCAATTCCCCTCCCGATCTGGTCAAAAGAATGGACATTCAACACCAAGAACCAGCCAAGTGGACAACGTCTAAATACATATTCCCTCGGCCCTTGCAAGGATCGGCCTGGGTATATGGATCGTGGAGATTGTTTCTTTTTGTGCCTGTCCCACCTGCCACGTCCTGGGATGCTCCACCATTTTGTCTGAATGATTGGCTTTATTCCGAAGATCTGAACTAGTCATCCTGTGGAGGGGCCTTAGGTTGTTGGAATGGATAGGATCAAACTACACGACGCAAACTGCACTCCTGCGACCATCTCGAAACGGTGGTTTTTCCCTTCCACTTTTCAGGGCAGAAATCCTGTAACAGGCGTGGTCGTTATCCCCCGATTAGGCGCCTGTTTGCTGGCTTTGCCATAGCAGCGTATGGTAAGGCTCATATTATGAGGTTGGCTATCGCGATCTACGGTGAATCCTACACATCACTCACTGGATTTCTCCAAAAAAAGCATGGAAGGCCCGAGTGTAGGACAGACCTAGTAGTACAGAGTGGTTGGATCGATGGTACTTCCGGTCTCTTCCAGAACCTATGTAGGAATGGACATGAACTAACGACATGGAAGCCATGGATACGGATTGCTACCAATCATCGAGGCGGACATATACCCAAGGTAATGCCCTCGCTTCGATGAGGTTCGATGAGGGCTGGGCAGAATATGTCTTCGTCATGCTGTGTATCAACACCTTGGGATTTTCCTAGACAATAGATATCACATTCAATTGAAATTAGGCTATCTGATTGTAAATCCTAAGAAAATTGAATTGTCTTCCCAAAGTTCTGGGGAAGATCATGGAAGACTGCTTTTATTGGGTTGAGCTCTGTATCACGTGATGTGCCTTGCCAGCTACGTGACCGTGCCCATCATCAAGCAAAAGCTCCCGACGGCTGTGAGTCCTTCTTACTACACACGACGCTTTGTTCTTCCAACCTGTTCTTCTCTCGTCAGAACTGCCACTGTCGCTGCAGTTTTTGATACCGCGACATTTTTTTATCCGATTTGTTTCTTACAGACTGAACCTTGCATCATGGGAGACGTCGCCGTGGAGAACCCGGCGAACAACGTCACGCCTCACACCAAGTCAAGTCCATTGGACAGCATCCCCAACATAGACTCGCTCGAAGGCACAGGTACCGATGGAGGCGACGAATATGCTACACTGAAGAGACTGCAGAGACATCTTGAGTATGTCTCCTTGAAACCTGGAAACCGTCGTCTTACGGTTCAGTGCTGACGACTCGACAACAGGTACATTCAACTTCAAGAGGAATACATCAAGGATGAGCAGAGGTAAATCATTCTTTATTTAGCGCATATTGATAATCCGCGATAATAACCAGTTCTTAACTATAGGAGCTTGAAGAGGGAACTTGTCCGTGCACAGGAGGAGATCAAACGGATACAGAGTGTGCCCCTGGTGATAGGACAGTTCATGGAGGCTATCGATCAGAAGTATGGGCTCAACCCGCCTCTCATTAATGTCACCTACTAACCGGAGCTCTAGCACTGGTATCGTGCAGTCTTCGACCGGTTCGAATTATGTCGTCCGTATCCTGTCCACGCTCGACCGTGAAAAGCTCAAGCCGTCGTCTTCCGTTGCCCTCCACCGTCACTCTAACGCCCTTGTTGATATCCTTCCTCCCGAAGCTGATTCCTCCATTGCCATGCTGGGCGAAAACGAGAAACCCGATGTGTCGTATGCCGACGTTGGTGGTCTTGACATGCAGAAGCAGGAGATCCGAGAGGCGGTTGAGCTGCCGTTGACACATTTTGATCTGTACAGACAAATCGGTGGGTAAAATGGTCGTGTGGAGTGAAGCGCATGCTGACAAGATGCAGGTATCGACCCCCCTCGTGGTGTCCTGCTCTACGGCCCCCCGGGAACCGGTAAGACCATGTTGGTTAAGGCCGTGGCCAACAGCACAACCGCTAGCTTTATCCGAGTCAACGGATCAGAGTTCGTTCAGAAGTACCTGGGAGAAGGTCCTCGTATGGTCCGAGATGTTTTCAGAATGGCCCGCGAGAACTCGCCCGCTATCATCTTCATTGATGAGATTGATGCCATCGCCACAAAGCGTTTCGACGCCCAGACCGGTGCAGATCGTGAAGTGCAGCGTATCTTGCTGGAACTGCTCAACCAGATGGATGGTTTCGAGCAGACTAGCAACGTCAAGGTCATCATGGCCACCAACAGAGCCGACACTCTGGACCCAGCCTTGTTGCGTCCCGGTCGTCTCGACCGTAAGATCGAGTTCCCATCGCTCCGTGACCGACGAGAACGCCGACTCATCTTCACTACGATCGCATCCAAGATGTCGCTTTCTCCCGAGGTCGACCTGGACTCGCTGATTGTGCGCAACGAGCCTTTGTCAGGTGCTATTATTGCCGCCATCATGCAGGAGGCTGGTCTGCGGGCCGTCCGCAAGAACCGGTACAATATCATCCAATCCGATCTGGAGGATGCTTACGCTGCCCAAGTAAAGGGTGGCGAGGATTCGGACAGGTATGGCTTGGCATCCCTATTATGGCCTTGGTTCGTGTTTGCTAATCAAAATTTACAGGCCCGAGTTCTACCGCTAATCCAGACGCTTTTCATGTTACGGGTTGGGACTTGGTATTGTGCACGGCGAAAGGTTGGCAATAATTAGTTGTATCATCAGTATCTAGGCGACCATATGTAGTACAATGACTGATGCCTTGGGGGTATTTCCCACGAGAAAGATCAAGCGTATTATTGTATTTGCTCTGCTAGAAAAGGTCGCACATACTGTCCGCGTGATAGTCGAGCGTAAGCAATAGCTACAAACAGCCCAGTGTCGGTTGTTCATCATGTCAGGTACACACGAGTGAGGCGTGTTCAGTGGCGGTATGCAGAACGACGCTAGGCAGCGCTATCGGACGTCTTGCATCATCGACGACAGCTCACTGAGAGGGGATGCATGTGAGATAACCAAATCGGTAGCTTCCTATACATCCCAAAGCACTGCTAAAAATACAGCTCACAGGATGCTACTCTGTAAGAGGGATAAATGTTATCGCCGTCAACGAATGGGTCGAATAGTGTTGAGCAAACTGCACAAGGCAGCCCTCTGTCTCGTCGTACTTATCAACTGATCCGCTTCCCGCGACGATCCAGTCGACGGAGCCCAGTGACGCAGGATTGCCCCCCGGTGATTGGTTGATTGGCCGGTCCGAGGAACCACAGTCGCTCCGCAACCAGTCACCCCATCACGTATCTCCCCCAGACCTCCTCTCTCCTCTCTCACCTCCTCCCATCTCCCTCCTTCTACCTCCTTACCATCTCTTTTGACCGTCTCTCTTGAACCCATCATCATCATCATCATCACTGTAAAGACACTCTTTTACTCGTTCTATACACTCTCTTGAGCTGTTCCTTCTGCTGCTATCTTCCATCATGAAGTCGGCCTCCTTGCTCACAGCCGCCGTGCTGTTGGGCGGCGCATCCGCCAAGGTCCACAAGTTGAAGCTTGACAAGATCCCACTTGAAGAGCAGATGGTAAGTCATCACTTTCTACGCGATTACCATCACCGTGATGAGGTATAAGATGTGGAATTTGTAGCTGATGACCTGAGCTATAGATCACACAGAACATCGACGCCCACGTCCAGGCTCTCGGCCAGAAGTACATGGGCGGTCACTCCAAGGTGGACGAGCTATTCCAGGACACTTCCATCAAGGAGAAGAGCCGTCACGATGTCTTGGTTGACAACTTCCTGAACGCTCAATGTATGGATTTCCGTGTTGTCTATACTATACTGTTTGAGAGCTATTGCTGACATGAACCCACTAGACTTCTCCAAGATCGAAATCGGCACTCCTCCCCAGGAGTTCAAGGTTGTCCTTGACACTGGTAGCTCGAACTTGTGGGTTCCTTCGTCAGGCTGCTACTCCATCGCCTGTTTCCTTCATTCCAAATATGACTCCTCGTCTTCGTCGACATACAAGAAGAATGGCACCGAGTTTGCTATTCAATACGGATCCGGCAGTCTCAGCGGATTCGTTTCCCAAGACACTGTCAAGATTGGTGACTTGAAGATTGAGCACCAGGACTTCGCCGAGGCCACCGAGGAGCCCGGTTTGGCCTTTGCCTTTGGCAAGTTCGATGGTATTCTGGGATTGGGCTTTGACACCATCTCCGTCAAGCAGATGGTTCCCCCATTCTACCAGTTGATCAACCAGGACCTCGTTGATGAGCCCATCTTTGCTTTCTACTTGGGTGACGCCAACAAGGACGGTGACAACTCCGAGGTCACTTTCGGTGGTATCGATGAGGACCACTTCACTGGCGAACTGACCACCATTCCCCTCCGCCGCAAGGCTTACTGGGAGGTTGAATTTGACGCCATCACTTTGGGTGACCAGACCGCTGAGCTGGAGAACACCGGTGTCATTCTGGACACTGGCACTTCCCTCATTGCTCTTCCTTCCCAGCTTGCTGAGCTCCTGTAAGTTAACTCGCCTGGTTATTTCTGACTGCCTCCGCTAACAATGACCCAAGGAACAAGGAGATTGGTGCCACCAAGGGCTTTACCGGCCAGTACTCTGTCGACTGTGACAAGCGCTCCTCCCTGCCCGACCTCACCTTCACCCTGAGCGGCCACGACTTCACCATTACTCCTTACGACTACGTCCTTGAGGTGTCTGGCAGCTGCATCAGCACCTTTATGGGTATGGACTTCCCTGAGCCCACCGGCCCCTTGGCTATTCTGGGTGATGCTTTCTTGCGGAAGTGGTACAGCGTGTACGACCTTGGCAACAGCACTGTCAGCCTCGGCAAGGCCAAATAAAGGATAGACTCCTTGCGTCATGACGATTGCTCTGAAGTGCAGAAGTGAATTGCATATTCTGCGTATATAGGCATATTCGCAGCTGGTAGCTTTATGTTTTAGTTTCAATTGCTTGGAGATGGTTTTTCTCCGCCGACGGCTGCAGGCCCATGCTGTTTCGAGTGATATACGAAGCCGTTGAAATATGATTATTGTTGACTTATCGAGTGTCTCGTAACATGCATTTTGTGTTTAATTTAATCTTATATAACAGTAAGATAGGAGTAAGTTACTTTCGATATAATCCTCCAATACTAGCGATGGATGGCTTCAACCCTGTCGAGGTCTAGAATAAAGGGCCTGTATGTGCTATAGTTAGAAACAATATATCCTGCACCCGTCCTACCTGGCACGTCATATTAATAGTGCTTTTGAAGGACATAAAGAACAGATGAAAGATGAAATAAGCAGCAAGCAAAAAATACCTACATGATACCGTACATACTGATAAAGAAATACCACACAAAATATGGAAGGATAGTCTTTGACCTGCCGTGGTGGTCTAGAAACCAGCTTAAGAAGAAGCTCTCGCCCCGCACCGCCGTTTAGCTTCTCGTCCTTCAACCACAACAAAGCCAACAGCACACGACCTCTTGGCCACCTCGACCTCCACCTTCTGCAGAAACTCACTCTCTTTTTTCACCTTTCTTTTTCCTCCCATCCTTTTTCAGACATCAATCATTCAATCCATCCCACCTCTTGGGACTCGAGACACGACAGGATCTCCGTTGCTGACCTTTCTCCACGCCAAGCACGCGCATCAATTCTGCGTTTTCCGCCGGCTTCTGTCTGGATCCCCAACTCCCGTCGCGTCATCTCGTGGCAACCGACCCGACCTACCATCATCCTGTATCGAACCGTTTGATTCCCCGTTTCCTCCACAGCGAGAACTAGAATCGTTCCGCTGTCGATCGTGCTTCGCCATACGTCAGCTATCTAGATAGCTCCATTCCAGGAAAAAAGAAAAAAAAAACACCCGCTTCATCGCCGACTCGTACCGGGCGCATCTCGGGTATGGCTCCGTAGCTTGTCGGTTTCGATTTCACTCTCGCGTGCGATTCGCTTCAGCTGTTTTTATTTTGATTTATATACACAAAGGGCGAAAAACAAAGAAAAAGAAATAAGAAAAGACCGTCCGAGGTCGACCAAGTAGGAGCATGCTTCTCCGTCTATCGCCCAGCCTCCATTACCCGATCACCGTTACGTCGCTGCTCAAGCAGCCGGGGGACCTGGTGGAACGGGATGAGGCGCTCTTCTGGTATTTCTACCAGACGGCCGTCACGGAGGGAGATGGGCTGGGTAATAAAATCGAGGTTCAGCGCAAGTTTCCGACCAAGTTCGAATCGACCGTCGATGGGGAGATAGTGCAGTGGAAGATCGCAAAGGGGGATGTCATTACTGGACCGTACGTTTGTCTCTGTTGTTGCTGTTAGGGGTATGGGCTGACTGGGGTAGGATTGATATTGTGGAAGTCGATGAGCCATGTGCTCACGAAGTTCAGTTTGGAGGACTCTGTGCGGAGTGTGGGAAGGATATGACTGAGTGAGTATTATCATTTTTCAAACTGGTCGGAGGAGCGGAACTAATGCTTGGCTTTACTAGGTCTACGTACAATACAGAAGTCACAGACTCGATGCGTGCTCCGATTCAGATGGTCCACGATAACACTACACTCACCGTGAGTGCTAGGGAGGCAACACGAGTGGAAGAGGATGCAAAGCGCCGTTTGCTGGCCAACAGAAAGCTGTCTCTCGTGGTGGATCTCGACCAGACAATCATTCATGCTACCGTGGACCCGACAGTGGGAGAGTGGATGCAGGATAAGGAAAATCCAAACTACGAGGCTTTGAGCGGCGTTCGCAAGTTTCAGTTGATCGATGATGGACCGGGGATGCGTGGCTGCTGGTACTATGTCAAGTTACGACCTGGCCTAGAGGACTTTTTGGAAAATGTTGCAGAGCTCTTCGAATTGCACATTTATACCATGGGCACTAGAGCCTATGCTCAGCAAATTGCCAAAATCATTGACCCCACCCGGAAGCTTTTTGGTGACCGAATTCTCAGTCGAGATGAGAGTGGAAGCTTGACGGCCAAAAACCTCCACCGTCTGTTCCCGGTGGACACGAAGATGGTGGTTATCATCGACGATCGCGGAGACGTGTGGCGATGGAATCCTAATCTCATCAAGGTAACCCCGTATGATTTCTTTGTGGGAATTGGTGACATCAACTCGAGCTTTTTGCCCAAAAAGCAGGAAATTGGGGCAGGTAACAAGCCTGTGGATAAGACTGCGGTTAAGCAAGTGACTGAGAAGCCCCCGCCAGCGCCGCCTCAAGCAAATGGTACGCTCGCGAAACCTGGGGCCGAGGGGGACGTTTCAACACTGGAGCAGCTGGTGACTATGGGCGGGGGAGACAATCCCAGACTCCTGCAGGAACAGACTGACGCACAGGAGGAGACAATAATGCATCAAGTGGAGGACCGCCCATTGCTGCAGAAGCAAAAAGAACTGGACGCGGAAGAGGATGTAGCAGAGAGCAGCGATTCTTCTACCAGCGTGGAGGAGTCGCAAGAAGCAGCCAAGCAGCGCCACCATCTGTTGGAGGATAATGATCGGGAACTATTTCAACTGCAGGACCGTTTGGAGCAAGTTCATATGCGGTTTTATGATGAGTATGATAAAAAAAGGTCACGAGCGTTGGGTGGGCGGGTGGCTGCCCTCCGGGGCGAGAAGACACCGTCTAAAGAGAAAGATGTTGACCTGAAACTGGTCCCTGATGTGACGGATATCATGCCGTACATCAAAAGGAAGATTCTGGGCGGTGTCGTGTTGGTGTTTTCTGGAGTCCTGCCTTTGGGGACAGATACACAAAACGCCGACATTTCCCTGTGGGCCAAGAGTTTTGGGGCCATCATCGCACACAAAATCAATATGAGAACCACCCATCTCGTAGCAGGCCGTAATCGCACCGCCAAGGTCCGGGAAGCAACTAGGTATCCTAAGGTCCAGATTGTCACCACACAATGGCTCTTGGACTCGTTAACGCAATGGAAACGGGTGGAGGAGGGGCCGTACTTGCTCCCTGTTCACCCAGATGACAGAGGCGAGCCCATCTCCCCTTCTAAAGAGGAGAGTTCCTGGATTTCGTCATCCGACGAAGCGTCAGGGGGAGTCTGGACGGATGACGAAGAAGAGTTGAATGATGATATTCTCAAGTCCTCCGGGCTTACAGACATGTCACAACTCGGCTACGGCGAGGACGAGCAAGCCGCTATACACGATGAACTCAAGGACTTCCTTGGCAGTGATGATGAGAGTGAAAGTGACAGTGAAGTATCGATGTTGGCGGATGAGACAGGAACGACCAGCAAGAAGCGGAAGCGGGATGACGGGACAGAAAGTGGAACCGACGAAGACACAGGCGATGAAGGCGAGGAAGGGGATGAAGCGGGCTCGTCGCGACTATCACAGCGGATCAAGCGTTCGTATGAGCGAAGTACAGGTCTACGAGAGGTGGCAACCGCAAGCAGCACCAGCACAGCAGACGCCTCGCGGACATCACTACCGCGGGAACAAGACGTGGAGAACGAGGCGGAAGAGCCTGCAAAACGAGGGCAAGAAGTCAGCTATCCCGAAGATCCGGCCGAGGACGACGATGAACTCGAACGGGAGATGATGGCCGCATTTGAAGATGGAGACTACGACGCCCAAGCCGAGGGCGATATAGCCGCTGAGAATGGATGATCTTGTCCTTCTCCTCAGAATTCTCGTCTTCTTGTTTGGTACATACAAGCCTGCTTCATGTGCATGCGTTTCAGCATTCATCTTGTATATGGTTTCGCTTCCTCCCCCCTTTTGTTTCCTGAATTGGCGTTGAGAAGGAATCATCGTGAAGTTTTTGGCCACCGGACTGAGAGAGCAAAACACGACAAACTCCTTTGCTCTGGACAGATGGCAGTTGCAATGCGATGATGGGCATAGCGACGGCGTTGGGTTGACATGTTCTTTTCTTTATTTTTGATTTAAGGAAATTATCTGAGCAGACCTGTTCGATTAGGTACTAAATGATAGCTCCAGGCAATGAATCTAAATCATCACATATCAATACAGTAACAGTCATATATACATAAACCAAAACCAAAACCAACGCCATAATCATGCAGTCATTAAATCCATCAATCCATCAGTCATACACATCCCGATTAACCTGCCACGCCATAATCATCATCCAAAGATAAAAGATCGTATTCACCAACTCAAACGCAAACGCCGTCTTCCAACAATTACAGATATTATTCTGCGTTAGCCACGCCAGCGTCCGCATCGTATTCCCATGACTCTCCTGGTTTGTGACGAAATTGCGACAGTTATCGCTCACGTTCGCGACGATCCCGTACATCTGCAGCGAGGTCTCGATTAGGCCTGTCAGCCAGAGGACGAAGAGGATGAAGCTGCCCACGAGGACGATGCCGGGGAGGAGGAAGCGTTGGGTGGCGAGGACGAGTAGGAGGATGATGAAGAAGACGGCGAGACTTCCTGAGACGACCATGTAGGGGAATAGCCTGGTTGCATTATTAGTCTATTATTCAGATAGTAGACAGTAAACATGGCACGCACCATGGTATCCCAAGCTGCAATTGCGATTGCACAGCCATCAACCAAGCAAAAATGCCCAGACAAATCGCCGAACCGGACAAGACGACGAGAATCCAAACGTTGAATTGGAGTTCTGGCCAGTGATACCGGCGACGGTTTTGGCGATAGACTCGGACGGCCATTGTAAATAGAGTGTAAACAGTAGTCGCAGTAGGTAAATAGAGATGCAGTAGAGAGGCACAAAGGTGGAGGAATACTCCAGCTAATGCGGACAAGATTTATAGAGCACTGCTTAATCGACAACGCATCGGGCCATGCGATGCGTGTTTATCGTTGGCCAGCAATGGATGAGGCAGTTGGGATTGAATGCGTTGTTCCGCGGGGTTGAAGTGGATAAGGCGACGGTGATGCGATGGATCTATCTATCGCCTAGCCATCGTATCGTTAGGGGTGGTAGGGGTTCAATATAGTCCGTAGCCTGACTGATATTAATTATTTGCAAGAATGAAGAATTGAAGAATGATGATGGAATTATGGAGTCTTTCTTCTGAAAGAACGTGTGGTCAGGGTGCGATGCTGGAAATTGAGGTGGCAGGGCGAATCATCGTCAAATGGCGGTGGCAGGAGAGACAAACGAGCGATTGCGCGGTTATTATTGGACTGCAGATGGAGATGATAGAAGATGATAAATAGAGTATCATATTAATTAATTTCTAGATTACTTGCTTATAGTAGTCTGTCTCCATAGCATCCATGGAGTTGTAGTGGAGTTGTTTATTCCCCGCTATGATCAACATGCAGATACGCCATCAATGCTCTACATACTACATGTAGATAGATATCAAGTAACATAGAAGTATCATTGGAGTCATCTAGATCCTATGAGGTCCTGATCGGCCATGCGATCGTCGTCTAAAAGTTTTGCCGGTATTACAGTAATAGTCATCGTAGTCGTCAATTCTCATTTCCTCACAGCAACGTATCTCCCAACGCACTGCGGACCAACGAGCAGCCAGCCCGGATGGTCTCTGTCGCTCCAATCGTGTCGAGACTCGGGTTGACCTCGACCAGATCCATCGCAACCAGGTTGCCGGTCTCGTGGACGCATTCGCAGATGAAGTCACCCTCACGGAGAGTCAAACCACCACGAACAGGAGTACCGGTGCTGGGGGCCCATTGGGGGTCCAGTGCATCGACATCGAATGACAAGTGAATGGGAGTGTCGTTTCCAATATGGGCCAGGGCCATCTCGACCACGCGACCAATTCCATATCTACTACTGTTAGAACGCTTTCTTAAGGGACATAGAAGAGTCAGTCCTCACCTGTCAATGTCGTGCATGCTAAATGCCTTGATTCCATTCTCTCTGAGAATCTGCTTCTCTCCACGGTCAACATCCCGCAGACCAATGTACACCAGCTTGCGGGGGCTGATGGTGTGCTCGTCTTCCATCCAACCAAAGATATCCTTCTGGTCTCCCCGAGCCAACCGGGTCAAGAACGACATGGGCATGCCGTGGATGTTACCACTGTCACTCGTCTCGGGAGTGTTGATGTCAGCGTGAGCATCAACCCAGATCACAGCCATCTCCCGGCCAAGTCTCTCGCGAATGGCCTTAGCAGTGCCAGAGACAGTGCCGACGGCGATGGAGTGGTCTCCGCCCAGGGTCAGGACAAACTTGCCCTCCTTGGCGTGGTTGTAGACCTGCGAGCTCAGAGTTTCTGTCACGGCGCTCACCGATCGGGGCTTCTTCATGCCTCGGTGGTCGGGGTCATTCAAGGGTGTCACATTCTCGTAGTAATGCACGGTGTCGTCATAGTGAAGTTCGTAATCCAAGTCATCGCGGAGCTGGTTGAGAAGACCGGCTTCGATCAACGCCAGGGGAGCCGCTTCGACGCCTAGTTTGCACTGATACAAAGTCAGTCTTCTGATCTGTTGTCGTTGTCGTTTTCTCTCTCTCTCTCTCATTCTCGTAGTGGGGTACTGGGGATTCGTACCTGTCCGCCGTTGAATCCAACAGCCACAACACCCAACTGGTTGGGCTTGCTAAGGAATCGCTGAACAATAGTCGAAGGCTGAGTCATGATGAACGTAGATTAAGAAATTAAACAGAGATTGGAAAGAAGATGGTGGTAGGAAAAGACGATCTACAATCGGCAAGATAAGCTCTGGTGGAGAGCAAGTGGAGATCAGATCCGAGAGGCAACAAACGTCAACAGAAGAGTTGTTCCACAGAAGATGAAGAAGTTGAGTAGATATCAAAGAGAGAGAAGAAAGAAAGAGGAAAACACACGCCTTTTAACCTCTTCTTCCTGTCCGACCGGCCGTGGGGCAGGAATCCGTGGTTTCTCAACGCAGTCGCTAAAAACTGCTTTTAGGGATCAGGTGTTCTCCGCCCTCAGCTTCACTGCTCCATCGTCTTCCCCTAAGTACAGGTCGAGGAGAGCTGCCCCTTACGGCCTCGCTGCTACCCCCACCGTTGCGATCAGGACAGGTTTTCATTATCAATCGGGTCGGCTGGTCGCTGCGACGGCGGTTAAGGAGAAATTACGAAGCCATCGCCAGGTGGGATTCATGATTTCGTGGATTCAGCGCGTTCTTGGCGGTTGGATGGCTTCATTTTGCATGGATCTGCGTTGACACTGATTAATAGGGAGGAACTGATTGGGCTGGATGGGGAATGAAAAAGAAAGCAAGGATGCCAGGATGCCAGGAAAAGAAATTATATGAAACATTTCTATCTATATCCAGTTTACAGGGTATCATTGATAATGCGACACCATGGCTATTCATACAGTGTATATCCAAAACAACATTACGATCTCAAGATGAGCTCACGTAAGATCTCATCTGCCTTTTGTGCTTCCACACGTCCTTTCTCGCCTGTCCGCATCATCTGTCCGACAAACCATCCCAGTTTGCCCAGCTGATTCTTGCTGCGGATCTGTTCAACCATCTGCGGATTCTGACTGATCGCTGCCTCCGCCAGAGCAATGTACTCTTCGCGAGACAACGGCCGCAGTAACAGGTTTTCTTCCTCCAACAGCTGGTGGATAGGCCGCTGGTCTCCTTCGAATACCATGGCCAGCACCAACTTGGCTGTTGGTCCTGTGATCCGTTTGCGCTGCAGCTGATCGACAATCTCAGCCAGGGACTGCGCGGGGACCCGATCCGCGTCCCACGCCAGATCCGCCTTGGTCAGCAGCCCTCCCAGTTCGTGAAGAACCCAGTTGCCCGCCGCTCGGGCAAGACTTGCGCGGGCCTTGGGGTCCTGGTCCTGTTGGAGATCGCGGAGGATATCCACAACATCCTGGTAGTACTCCAATCTCGCGCCATCTTCCAGCTCAATCAACGGTTTTGCATCCTCGATGGGGAGTCCATATTCCGAGCTAGCCAGGAGCTTAATCAACTCGTCCGAGGCTGTTGGAAGTGTGTCGGTGAGTCTAGAGACAAGGTCTTCCCCGATAATCAACGGAGCCAGATCAGGATCTGGCATGTATCGGTAGTCCACCGAGCCTTCTTTGCCTCGGAGCCTTCGAGTCTCTGTGCTTCCAATCGTCCAGCCACGGGTCTCCCCTTCCACCACACCGCCGCTTTCGAGGACCGCAATCTGACGGTTTTTCTCCGCAATAATGGCGTCCTCGACCGCCTTGAAGCTGCTGAGGTTCTTGATCTCGGTGCGCTGCCCGAGTCCACCGATTCCATTGTAGTTGTGTGTGTGGGTGGGGGATTGATCCCGTTCGCGGATGGAGACGTTGACATCGGCTCGTAGACCTCCTAATTCCATACCAGTTGTCACAGCACTACATGATTGGAGTATCGACTGGATTTTCCGAACACACGCGGCGGCAGTGGCGGGGGTATGGATTTGTGGCATGGTAATGACCTCAATGAGTGGATGGGAGACTCGGTTGAAGTCGAGGAGTTGAGTAGATGGAGGGTATTCCTGAGATTTGGCCGTGTCTTGTTCGAGCTGGACCTGCTTGATGTCGATACGCACCTTGTCGCCGTCTTCCGGTGCAATCCCATCGTAGTCGAATAGATCGACGTAGCCGTTTCTCGCAAAGGGTTCTATCCAGTGTTAGACTCCGTGTCCACCATACAGTAGAATAGAGAATACCATAGTATTGTGTGATCTGGTATCCGGCCGGCTGATCCTGATAGAAATAGTGTTTTCGATCGAACCGACTGACGGACTGAATATTGCAATTTAAGGCGATTGCAGCGCGGAGGGCGGGGAGCAGCGTCGCTACTTGAAATTCCTAGACCACTCAGCCTTTCGCATTAAGCCATTGTCTGATCAAACGAACCGGTTGACTACCTGGGAATGCCAGGTCGAATAGAGCCACATTGGAATTGGGGATGTCGCTAGCCGAAGTTGACGCTCCTGCTCGACGAATGAGCTCCAAGATCCTTAAACAATAAATGCCCAGAAATGCAAATGATATAGACTAACTGGAGAATAGTTTGGATTCCGTGTTGAGCTGCGCATGGATCTCAATGCCCACGGTCAACTCCCATTTCTGCCGCGATGCTTCCTCACTCTCTCTTCTCTGTCTTTTATGCGCCTTTAAGGCCTTTGCCTCCGATTTCAGCTGTTTCCGAAGCGGTACATGACCTTGCGAAGCGGGCGATGAGGTCTGGAAGTGTCGAGTTGGACGGTAGGAGGCGGATCGGAGCGCGCTATGAACGGGGGAGGGATGCTGGGGAGTGTGAAGCTTTCGACATCGCAAACAGACGAAGCGGGCTGCTCCGCTGGTGTGGCGGAGCCACGGTTGAAGCATGTGTAGAATGATCGAGGCGATGGATTGGGGCGAAGAGGTTGACGTGAGAAGATGAGATGTAATTCTGGGGATAATTAAGGTAATCAATGGTTGATTGTTGGTGATAAAGTTGGAGTTGGGAGATGAGATTTGGGGCGGAATGAGAGCGGTATTGTCACGTAATTACAGACCGCTCTATGGAGAGCTACAAATTGTTCAAATTCCATGATGTATCTCAATATTCATTCTTTAATATTTGATAGATTAAGAGTTAAGATGAGAGATAGAAAAGAGTAAGAATACCTACTCTAGTGCTGGATATTTGTACAGATATCGATATTGTAAAGAAAGATATTCATAGTATGGGTAACACTGATACATTACAATACACTGTAATTAATTATATCCAACTTCAGACTCGAATCTTCTTCTAATCATCTTAAACAGATAAACATCTTAAAATAAAATAATAATAAGACCATATGGGTCTTTCCCATTAATCCAATGTTCTGCATAGCATTAATATCGACAATGTCATTATCTGTCCGATTGACCCAATCCTTTCGATGCATGTCGCACACCCCACCACGATCATCGCCAGTCATCGCCAGCCAACTCACCATCGCCTTTCTTTTTCTCCTGCATGGTTTCAATAATTCCGCAGGATCTTCGCGCTGGTTATCGTCATGCCTCAATTTTCAGCATCGCCTCTCTTCTCGTTAGGCCCACACAGCGTTTTGCATCGGAATGTCGGGCTGTGATGCTGCACTCCATCTGCAAACCATCTGTCGCGCCCCAGCAGCACAGATAATTCCTATTTCCTAATAATCGCCGTCTTTCTCGATCATCGCAATCGGAATATTAATCAAACACATACCGGGAATTCCTGGTCTTCTGCTTCGTGATCAGACAGCGAATCTGTATCATTTGGCGCCAGACTCTCTCTGCGACGAACACAATTGGGCCCCTCCATCCGCCATTTTCCCCTCGTTTTCTGTCACAGCGGCTGTTCCTGGCTTTCTGGGGATAAGATTATCATTTATCTGATTACTGGGGGCGAGAAAGTAACAACTGCAGTGCTATTTTGGGGATAAAACTACCATCAGACTCATCATCACCCTCTTATGCCCCCAAAGTCTCAGGGCCGATCTGTGTCGACTATCGAGTGACGGGCTTCATCCCCAAAGTCAAATCGTGGATTCGCTTATCACTGCCTCGTCCTGCGATACATCATAATAATTTATAAAAAAAGACAGATCCAACATTCTGCTCAGCATTCCCGCTGATCCTCGTTACAAATTCCAGCGCCTTTTACTCCACGGCCTTGCGCCTGGCATTTTTTTGTTTCCCCTCACCTCCCTTTGTTATGCCTCGATTGCCGTACCGACGACCTAGAACACATCGACCTTTCCCCCTTCATGGTGTCATTGATTGCTAGTGGGTCGAACAGGAATCAGAAATAAAAACGAAGAAGAACTCTAAAGATCTGAGCCGGCTCGGTCTTTCATTATTTAAACCATCACCATGCCGTTCCAATACTATGGATCATCAAGTCGCACTAGGAAGCCAAAGAAGGATTCAGGAAAGAGATCTTCGACGGCTTCGATAATCTCCCACTCTTCCCAGCCTCCGTCTAAAGGATCCAAAACTTCTGTGGAGAGACCCAGGAAAGAAACCGTCCCAGCAATGCCCTACGTTGAGAAGCCGTCAGTCAGACCGCAGCGCAAACCCGTCGAGCCAGAGAAGAAAAAGACTCCGGATGTCTTTGAGTTTCTGGAAGGCGAAGATGATTCCGACTCTTCATCCTCAGAGGATGACGATGACAGTGTGGATATTCCATCCAGCCAGGCCACCAGTGTATCGAAGGGCCAGTCGAAAACCACGCCGCCAGTTCCTGGACGTTTCCCATCCACTCGAACCGTGGACCAGCCGCCGCCACCTCAGCCGCAGCCACGAGTCTCTCAAAAAGCCAGTATACCTAGTCGAAGGTCCTCCGTTATGTCCAAGGACTCTATGGATTCCCGCCTACCCCCAACTCCATTGGATATCGCCCAGCTGCAGTTAGCCAGAACCAATGTCAACAACCGGAAAACGTGCATGGATGAGTTGTATGTCCCAAACGGATCTTCAACGGATGGCTCAACCCTGTCTGGGCAAGAGCTGCCTGATTTCCCTGAGGCTTACTATTCCAGGAACCCTACCCAGCTGCAACGTCATCCTCTACCCCCTTCCCCACCTAAAAGTCCGGAAGGAGACCTCCATCGGGACCACCGCAAACCAAGGAAGACTACCAGGTCTCCCCAGTCCTCCCAGACAACGCCATCTGGATATGGCCTTGTTGCTTCTCAGCTGAGCTCTTCAGTCGAAAACGAAACTCGCTTTCCTCCACTGTACCGGCGGTTTGAAACGCTCAACCATCGTGTCTTGCTCTATCTCCAGGATGAGATCGCACAGATGGAGGAAGATTTGCAGGTTCTTGACGAATATGAGGAGATGCACCGTATTTCCAACGCGGAACACGACGGGACCAAAGCCCTACCTGCCTCGCGGCGCATGGATGCTCAAGCCCAAGTCTACTCTTCCCTCCACTACAGACGAGTAGATCTAATGGGAGCGCTGGCCCAGAAGACGGAACAGTACAGTGAGTAACCCACTGCCAAACATACATGCCAAATTTTGACTAACAGAGCAAAGACACTGCGCTCAATGCCTATAACAAGGTCCTCCGGTCCCTCCCCCCAGCCTCGGAAAAGGATATTGAATCCTACCGTTCCTGGATGGGAGAAAAGCACCCCATCGTTGCCGCCGAAACGCGCTTCCTCGATCACGACAGTGATCTCGTGTCTCTAGCCCCCCGAGTCACCCAACAGTCAACCACCGCCCCAGTCTACTCAGCCATTGCCGTTGCCGCTGCCGCCATTCTCCTCCCTTTGTTGGCCTTTAGCATGATCCGGGAGTTCTCCGGCCGTCTGATCATCGTCACCATTGTTGGTGGTGCTACATCTGCCATTGCAGGCAATTACTCGACGGGCGCAGAGCGCTTGGTTGATGCACGAGATGGATGGAGATGCGCTACAGTGTACGTTATCCACACCCCTATTCCTATTTAAACCCTTTGTACCTTGACTAACTTAATCCGACTATAGATACTTTGTATTCATGACTGTTGCTGCAATGTTTATTCCCTAAACAGGGATTAATTGCAACTTGGACAACTCGAAACTAATGATTACGATTTTTCTTTGTTTTTTTGCCATGAGCGCCTCATGTAATATCTTGTTCAGCCATGTCATTGCCTGTCTGAGGAATGTTTTAAGAAGTCACCTGTTTAATGACCTATGAGAAATGTATTGTACTTGTTTCAATGACAGACTGAAGAGCCGCAGCTCATCATGCCAGCTACAAGATCAATCTTCTATCTTGTTGGTTGAGCATGATTTTTTTTTCGGGATTGATGGTTAGCATATATGAGATGATAGCCAGTTTATGTAGCTTTAAATATACTGCCATACCTTTGACTACTGCCTCCACGCTGACTGAATCCAAAGGCTTCAGGCTGGTGTAGCTTCCTCCTATGCCCGCACCTTGATACTACACTTCAACCCAGGCTTATCCCACAATATAAGCCTTCTGTGCCGTAAGGGGTGAATGAAGATGTACAGTGCTGCAGTTACAATGCAATAGAGGAAAAGAATTGCTGGGATAGCTGGTAGAAAGAGTGATAAGGACATGTTTGAATGAAAAGAAAGAAAACACAAGAAAAAGGCGATGCCAGCCAAATCCCACCTTATAGAGTATTTTATAGTAAGTCGTGCATAAATTATGCATTGAGTAATGAAGAGATCTCATCTTGCATAAAACACTGAATCAGCACTGATTCAGCTTCATTACTCAATGCATATATATTTATGCGAGCTGGGCAGGTATTGCTGCACCGCCAAATCACCGATGACAAGGATCTACATGGTCCGTATTGATCAATCCAGCCAGATGCGTACCATCGGCAAGGTCGAACAGATACTCCCACCACACCCGATCAAAGCCACTGGCATGCTTGTAGTCGCGACATGCGAGAAGAGTCACCGTCTCGAGGAAGCACGCGCCCGTGAGGATCTTGAGCGGATACAAATCGACTGGGTACAGAGGACGTCCCAGCCGGTCAACCGGCGGGATGCGGTAGTCTGTCGTTAACATGAAATCGGGGTCGTCAATGACTGGAGTGCCGAGGGGGATATCCCGCCCTGTCCAAAACACGGCCGACTTGGTATACAGAATCACCGCCAGATGGGGCCTCTCAGGGCGGAGATGATGGTACGCGTCTGCGAGAGGAACACTGAACTTGGGGTTGCGATGCATGCACTTCTCGCCGCTGGGGCAGCGAGTAAATCCGGCGTCCAGGAGGGCCTGGGTGGCTTTGACGAGTTGGTCGGGCACGATGAACTGCAACCGCTGTGATGGGGAGGGGGGAGGGGGGGGTCTAGTTTGCAAAATCGAATAGTCCAGATGAAAAGACCTACCTCGTTAAAGCTATATCCCTCATTGTAGATTGAAATGTGAAATAGAAGACTCGAGGAGGGTATTCTTTGTTGCTCAGCCACAAGTATTGTTTAAACATTGATGACGAGATGAAAATAGATACAAAGACTGAATTACCTCCACTTTCTGTGGCAGCAGATATTATACTACGATGGCCAGTCTAGGTGTTCCCTCAAACTAACTACTCAACTGGGCAGACAAGCAAGAACAACATAGGAGAATTCAAGTATTACGAATGTATACAAACAGCATAATTGTCCACTAAAGCAACCCATTTCGAATAGAAAAGATATAGATATCGACCAACTTACAACACGGTATCCCACCCACCGCCAAACCAAAGAAACCAGTCTCTAATACTCCGCGCCAGTTAAGAAAGAATTGCTGAACGAAGCAGAAAGTAACAGTTCAACCGAGAGAAAAGAACAAAAGCACCCGAGGTTGCATGACCTCCACGAGAATATCAATAAAGGTGGTAATAATAAAGTGTTGGTGAAGTGAAGATGTAAAAAAGGAAATTGAAGAACATGGACGAGAAAGTCGAAACAGATACACTGGCTCCCCATTTTCTCTTCTCCCCAGGTCTAACACCCTGTAGTTTTTAATAAGAAAGAGAGAGAAGTATGAGATAAAAGAACAAGTAAAAGATAAGAGTGAAGACAAAAATAAGGGGTCACATTCATCACTGTGCATCCATCATCCAAACCATTCCAAAACAGGCACGAGACTGTTATCCTCCTGCCATCATTCGTTTGCTCATGAGGGCACCGGTGTGCCATTCTGCTTGCTGCCAGGAGTGGCGCTCCGGTCTTGTGAATTGCCATTTTCCACAGTTGGCTGAGGGGTTGAACTCTGTCGACTCTGATGGGCCGCGAGCTGTGCCTTATTTCGATCCATCAAAGCAGCTTGCTCAGCAGCACTCCTGGCATAGGTCATGGCAGCAGCCGAGTTGGCATACCCGCCAGATGACGGGGGAGCTTGGTTCGAAGCATAGTTTGTGTATTGGGACTGTTGCTGTTGCTGTTGAGAGAGGTACTTTTGGGAAGGATTGGCGGAGCCAGGCGTCATGTACTGTGCTCGTGCCTGAGGAGTGGCATATTGAGGCGGTTTTTGAGGTGAGCCACGCCCCTGGCCATAGGGCACATTGTAAGCGGCTTGTTGCCCAGGTCGTGGTGTATATGGCTGCGGCGAAGCTTGAGCGGACGCCTGTGCTTGTTGTCCTGCATACGGAGTATAGCCATTCTGCCCTGGGCGTTGAAATTGCGGAACGGCATTTGCCTGGTTGTATTGTGGAGTCGCTTGCGAGTATGGATTATAACCTGGTCGCTGAGAGGGGGTAGTCGGAGGCCGAGGTCCCGAGTACTGTTGCGGATGGCCTGGGGTATAAGGGCCCGATGTCGAGGGTTGCCTCGCACCGTAGTAGGGCTGTGGAGCTTGAAAACCTTGGGCTTGCTGAACTCGAGCATTAGTAGCGTATGCACGCGAGTTGTATCCTCCCTGGAAGCTTCCCGAACGGGAGGCAGAGGCCACGTTGGATGTAGAACTCCGGGTGGCACCACCAGCTGCGGGCGCCATTGCTGCGGCTCGCTCTTGTTGCATCGTATAATCATCTTTCTCCATGGTGCCGTGATATTCGGGGTTCTCAACCAATATCTTCTGACTAATGTTCAGGTCTGCCAGTTGGTCACCATCTAATTTGGCAACAGCATAAGGTGGGAGATTCATAACGAGAGCAGTGAGACTTGATTTCAGTGTTTCATAAACACCTCTTTCTGCTTCAGACGGCGTGTCAGCGTTGCCCGCATCTGATGCTGTGTCTTTAGGTTCGGCACCCTGCTTGTTTGACGCCGACGGGTCAAGAACACGGATTCTTTGGTATGAACTAAGTGTCTCGAGTAGTTCTGAGACATCAAGTAGCAAGTCTTCCATGTCCTGATCTTCTTTTTCTTTTTCTTCTTGTCCCTCTTTCGACGCGTCGGTATAGGTTACATTGTCTGCAAAGTCCTCGGGGTTGAATGTCTTGACCATCTCCTCGAGAGTGCTTTCATCAAGCTCGCCAATGTTGCCAGGTTGCTCTGTGGGTGTAACCTCAGGCTCTTCATTGTATGGTATCGATAGTAGCGTGTGCATGCGTTTTTGCCCCCGTTTGCCCCACCATACCATATCTTTTGCGTCGGCCTGCACAATAGCCCCGGAGCTGTCGAAAGACGGAGCAAAGGATGAATAGATACCCTGTAGAAGAGACGGATCTTCATCCGTCCACAGAGACGAATCTTCAAGATACCTCTCTTCTCCATTGTTTGGAGAAGACTGTTGTTTTTGCCTCCGGTTCCAGTATGATGGGGAAGAAGTGACACCGCCGTATTGCAGCCATTGTCCTGACGGAAGAGGCGCTAAACAGTAATTATTCCGTTCTCCCGGGAAAGCCTTGAAGTTTGTTACTGCCTCAAAGGGATCGGCCCAGGCATTAAAGGCGTTGCGGGATGAGGACCTAGCTCTGCGCGGAGGCTCTAACTGAGGCAAAGATGAGCGAGGCTTAAAAACCTCGCCAAATGTCTTGGTTTCTTTGCTTTTCTCAAGGTTGTGGGGTGTGACCTTGGTGGTAGTGATACCGTTAGGAAGTCCGATTTCACGCAATGGTGCTTGCACTTCGACATACTTCTCCGCCTCAGTTTCCTCGGAAGACAATGGGACTTTGACAGACTTTTGCAGACTTGAGTAGAGCTGTTTCGGGTTTGAAGGATTTCCGAAAAGGGTTAAAACCAAATTGTCGTTCTTGATATCAACATTGGACGTAGGCGGTTTTTCCGGTGCCTCTGTGTCATCCTCTGATGCTTCTGTCTTGATATTGGATTGGCTCACATATGCCTGGCGAACAAGACTGTTCAAAAGCTTTTTGAATGCCGCGATGCGATTGACTGTCTCTGTCAACGGTGATCCATCAGCGGACTCACCATTTGCCTGGGATTTGTTTCTTTCGATCACGGCGGCAGATGCTTTTTCAATATCACCCAGGAATTCCTGAAGTGTGTTGTAACGTCCCTCCGCGACCCGTGATTGTATACTGGTACCCTCCTCTTTATCTCCCGAAGTTTTTGCGCGCTTTGAGCGAGGTTTCGCAGGTGATGATGGTAAGGGGCAGGAAAGAAGCTGAAGATCTGTGTCATTTCTGTAAAATTTTTTTTTTTTTTGGTTAGCGACATATACGAACTTTCATCGCCACTGATTCAGAAGGGAAGCGCGCACTTGCTCAATATATCGACAAGATTCCGCAGAGTCTCCTCGAGCTTTGCCTTCTCTTGCGCTTGCGCGACAGAGGAGCCGGCTTCTTCAGCAGGTCTCTCGTCGTAACTCGATACACGCTTCCGCTTGCCAGGCGTCGACAGTGCAGATGGATCGGGTGTGGCAAAGAGTTCGCCGTTGGTGGCGGGCATCATGGTTGCCTCTCCACCTTCTTCAGCGCTCATGGTGTCAGACTCGTCGCGCCGTTGTCAAAATATTTGCTCCTTCAACGCGAGAACACAGGGTTTCGTCTTCAAAAACAGATCGGATGCTGCACGGCAGATATGGCTGCAGATAAGGAATGCGAGGACGCAGACTGCACTCGATAAGCGGAAGGAAAATAAGAGAAGACACAACTTCAATCGCGAACAATGTTGATTTGGAGTGTTTTCGATCTCCGAGCGGATGCGCCAATGCGAAGCCCAGCAACGGAGATTAGAGGATGGGAATCGCAACCAGGGAGAATCCAACACAGTTGTAAACCCTGCGCCACAGCAAAATAAAAATCCGGATATAGTATAGAGCCTTCAGGTCATGGATCAATCCAGCAGCGTAAATCGAAGCAGCAAAAATAGCGAGGGCGAGATCCCGTCACGACCGGTTGGCTCTGCTTCAAGGCGGGAGGACGGGCTGGTGAGGGAGATCCTGCTCCAGTCCTGCGCGCCCAGAAACGTGATGATCAATCACGTGACCGCCATTTTTGCTCTCGCCGAGTCTCCGGCCAATTATTATGGACGACTTGTAAGCTTCATAGCAGCACTCAACAGCCCATTCGTCTTTTTTCTTTCATTCCGGAGAGTATCCGGGGTTCTGTGTTTAAATCAGATACCACATGACTCTCTTCATGGATGTCATCTGTCTTGAATCATGTTCCGAGCCGCTCGGGGGTGTCTTCTCTGAGAGCGGCGCACTTGCTCAGAAGTCGTCCCTGGCAAAAGGTACAGATATAATGTGCTACGAATTGTGATGCTATGGGAATATGCTAATGAATTTTCTTGGATCCAGGCAAGCCGTCACAATAGTCCCTCTCTCGCTATATACAAGACCAAATTGTCCAGCAATGCTTCTCACGGGCCCTTATCTTCATTCCGGTTCTTGACCTCCGACAGCAGCATCGCTTCGTCAGAGATTGAGTTGCAGCATGACCAACAAAATGAAAGTTATCAAAACTCAAGCCCTATCAGTGAACCGTGGAGGAGGATACGGCTTGAGTCCCATTTGAACAAACACTATTCGCCCTCTGATTTGAATCACACACGGGTGTCAGAACCAAATGAGTCTTGCTCGGAAACAAGTCAATTGGGGAAAGGAGGCTTTATTTGGGGGTTGGAAACGCAGGCAAAGTCCGAAGGGCGTGATACGAAGAAAAGGGCTGCTAAGAATACTCGCTCAAAATCAAAAGTTGCTCGATCCTCAATTCCGACACCCACCGAGTACCTTAACAATGCTCTTCGTACTCGTCGTGAACAGAGACCAGACCTCTCCAGGCCCAGCCAGGGAGGCTACCGTCCCGATTCTCCTCGAAAACCGAAAAAGATACCGAAACCTCCGAGGATGTCTTTGCAGGCCATTCTTGCCGATTACATACGACTCGTGGAACCTCTCCTGGCACAGACGAGTAACATGGACAATGCCGGGCCTGGATTGACTAGTGCAATGAATGAGGTTTTTTGCGAAGGGCATATCAGATATCTAACAGTGCGAGGCTATTCTCCTGTGGATGTAATGTCATGGGCATGGATCTTCAGTAGCAACACAGTCTATGAAGCAGTTCTTCGAATCTTCATACTACAAGGCGACCACAGAACCAAACATGGTCCTGTTCAAGAAGTCCCGCCATTTATACCGCTGCTTCTATTACGGCATAAAAGCCTCGATGCGAAAACTCTCCGATTACTCCTCATTTATTCTATTCATCTTTTAAACGGCCAGCCACTTCCAGCCGTTCATTCCTCCATCAAACCGGCCTCTGACGGCATGGACCTTCCCAAAATACAACCATCCGAACCCGCAAGACCTCCAGTTGATCCTACCATGTGTACCACCTTTGTCGTTCGCTTGCTTTATCATGCTCGCCAAGTGTGGCCCCAAGCACAGCTAGCGATTGCTCGTGCATTTGCTATATATTTGACTCTTCCAGACCCAAAGGAAAGCAGTTCAGTAATCGCCACCCAAAAAATGAACCAATTCCGGGCTGAGAAGTTCAACACGTGTCTTTGGCTACTCTCATTGCCTTCAAAGCCGGGTCCATTTATGTCGGCCTCCATACAGCAAGAAGCACAGTTTGAACTCCTTAAGGCGATGGCAGGACATACACCTGCTCTCCCGGTTACGCGACGCGGATACCAAGGTGTTGTTGCTGTTCAATTAGCTCATAAAAAGACATCAGCTGAACGGCAGTCTGCAGAGCTGAAAGCCCCATCTTGGCCGCCATGGAAAGAAGAAAGGCTGGGAATCGATTCTCAACGAGGGATTGAAGGAATGAAAAGTCGTGCGATGCGGGTCATGTCTCAAATGAAGGAGGCTGGCTATTCTCATACTCGGTGGGAAGAGGTTTCTACTATTCTGGCGGGATGGGACACAGATCAAAGCCCGACAGTTCAAACCAGATCTCTGACGCGCCGACCGCAGTCTTTGTCAGGCCCTCGTGGGAGCAAACCCGGACATCAATCGATATGGGTAGCTCGGATTCGTGCCACAAGAACTGTACGGGAAGCCTGGGCATGCTTTTTGTCGTACCAAGACCAGGGCCTCCCACCATCTGGTGCTATGTATGCCATCATGGCCGAGAAACTGATTTTCCGTAGAAAAGCAGTCGAGGGCTATTTTGACGAAAATAGCCATGCCCTTCCTGGTGATGGCCCAGAAGTCTTCCCTGAACCCTCCTCTGCTCGCGATCTGATATATGTACCCACGGAACCACCAACGTTAGATGAGCTTCTCAACCAAATGCTTTCTCAGGGGATCCGACCATCAGGGCGATTCCTGGCCTTGCTTCTCAGATCCGCATCCAGTTTCAGTGTTGGGCTAGACTACCTCAATTGCAGCAATCTCTCGGACAACCAAATCCAAGCTTTGTCTACTGTGTGGGGCCAGCAATCAGACTACAATACCCAAGCTCGAAAGGCTTTGAACGAATTGCCAGACTACCTGTTCTCGTCCTTCATAAGCTTCTTATGCAATTGCTCGGATTTCAATCGGTTATATTTGGCCCGCCACAATATCCGTACCGCAGATCTCTTCCCCGTGATAATGAGCGACTACCACACCATACCTTCGAAAACGACCACGTTATCCTCATATGTTGAAAGTTTAGGAGCAAGTGATGATCTCCATCATCCCAAGACTCTACCGCATGCAGTTCAACTGATAAAGCTGCGACATTCCCGCTATCCTCCAGCTTGGATTCATCTGTTATCGGCGCTCAGCAAGGATCGCATTAGTGTGCCATATCGTAAAATGAGCCGAGGTGTGCAGCGAGTTCTTGCCTGGCACGAAGTCATCGAGGTTATGAGGTGGATGAAAGATCGTGATGTTGAACCCGGCTTACAGGGATTCCATCTTCTTTGCACCAGCTTTTCGAAGGCAGTGGTTGCAGGAGTGAGGCATCCAGATGCCGCAGAAGAGGGACTTGATCTCGTGAGCGAAGCATCGCAACGCCGGGGGTCCTGGCACGCCGAGCATGTTTGTCTAAGCTTCGATGACATGGTTCAAACAGGGCTCTGCACCCTGAAAGACTATTTTGATCAGCTTGTTCTCCCCGATGCGAAGACCTCACACATTGTTGAACGCAGCATGACCTCAGTTGAGACTGCCACCAATTCCCAAGTGACAGTCCCCCCAATGCTCCATGTTCCTTCTCCCGCTGTTCTACACGCATTCGTCCGCGCACTGGGACTAGCTGAAGACCATGATGGTCTCTTAAACCTTCTTCGGTGGATGAGTCAATCGGCAACCACCCTGAAGGAAGCTTCGGATGAATATCTGAATGGCGAGAGAATGATGCGGCGTACCCTAGTGGCCATACGGGTGTTCCTCGAGGGATCAAAGGAAAGAAGGTTTCTAGGATCATCCAACCCGTCATATTTCAATGACTCTGAAGTGGTTTCATTTTCAGATCCGAACGTGCAAGAAGCATATGATATCTTCACAGCAACGCCTCTTTGGGGTTCTTGGCCAAGCGAAGAGGAAGTCTGGGATTATGTTCACTGGGAGCACCCGGTGCAATGATTGATTGAAGGGACAATCTTGTATATTACCATGTATATATAAATATTTTGTAAAAGCTAGTTTCATCAAATCACCATGATACCCTTTCAAGATTTAGATTGAGAGGTTGGATGTATCTTATGTAGAGGCGCTTAGCCACGGCAATAAATGGGGTTCCTCCCCGCAGGCAAGCTTATGTAGCTTTCCCCACGCCAGCTCTCCCATCGGACCATCACTCTTTTCCCTTCCTCGGTTATCACCTTCAAACCTCCAATTACCCCCAGATACTCACAAAATCAATATACATAATGCCTCCACGACTCATTCGATTCTCGTCTCCGTTCCTTCGACAACAACCCGGATTGTCTATTCGTGTCACAGTCTCACGATACAGCACAAGCACTGATGATGCTGTGATTAAGACCCAGCAAATCCCAGCACCAGGATCCGGGAGCATCCGTGTCCTGCTGCTTAACAGACCGCAAGCCAGAAACGCCCTGTCAAGAAATCTCCTCGATAGTCTCTCGAAACATGTCAAATCGATAGCGGCAGAGGAAGGTAATGGTCCAACACGGGCACTGATCATTGCCAGTAACGCGGACGCGGCCTTTTGTGCGGGCGCAGACCTCAAGGAGCGGCTTGATATGACCAAGGATGAGTGCGTATACTAGGATATCCCTTGTTACGTCTGATGTAGGCGTCTTTTTAAGCACCCGGGTGATCAGTTAAGGCTAACTTGTGCCGAAAAAAAATTCTACAGGACCAACCAATTCCTTGCTAAGCTCCGGGGCACATTCCGCGATATCTCCGCTCTACAGATTCCTACAATTTCCGCGGTCTCGTCGATGGCTTTGGGAGGCGGTCTGGAGCTCGCCCTGAGCACACATTTCCGTGTTTTTGGCTCATCATGTCTCGTCGCCCTCCCAGAGACTAAACTGGCGATTATTCCGGGCGCAGGTGGTACCTATCGCTTACCCCAGCTGATTGGGGCGAGTCGGGCCCGGGATCTCATGGTGACGGGGCGTCGTGTATCGGGCGCCGAATCGTACTTTATGGGGTTATGCAACCGGCTGGTCGAGGTGCTTCCGGAGGAGGCGCAGAAGGAGGGCGCGGCCAAGGACAAGGTTCTGCGGGAGAGTATTCACCTTGCGTTGGATATCTGTGAAGGCGGGCCGGTTGCCATCAAGCAGGTGCTGCGGGCTGTGGAGAACCCAAGTGAGGCGGCAGAGAATGAGGCCTACGATGGAGTGGTCAACACGGAAGATCGGCTTGAGGCTCTCAGGGCGTTTTCTGAAAAGAGGAAGCCTGCTTTCCGGGGACGGTGAAAGGCATCAGATGAGAGACCCGTCCGCAGTTTCGGGGAAAGGATAATGTCCGACATTACCCAAACGAGAGTGATGGAAGCCAAGGGAATAAGCGCGATCAAGTAAGAGAAACAGTATGACTCAGGCTGTCAACCTCGAAACCAAGCAGTTAATATTGAATGATGACTCTCGGCGTGAGTCATCTGCAGTCGCAATGCAGATAGGCTACAATATTTGGCGGTCTTTGTGGCGATATCAATGTAGTAATGATAAAGTAAGAAGTTGTTCCAAGAATAAAACAAAGCCTGGGGCAATGAACCCCGGTTTGATCTGACGGAGGACGGGCCGTTGATCCACGCGTCGATGCTGTGGATAGGTAGACGGTGTAACTATTCCGATATCTTATGCAGGTACCTTCAGTCTCTGCATTATTCTCCGCATTACCTGTCATATCTGGAGATGCAAATTAATGAATCGAATAAAACCATCGAATATGGACATGGATAACAGCACTAGGCTACCTATAGCAGACTAATTTAGTAACCCTGTGAATACGAACGCCTATGCAAGCAAGATCACAGCCACGCCATGGTTCTTCTTCTGGACACACTCAGTTGACTAGATGATATCACCGTGTATACAAACCCGACAATAATAGCAGACCACCGTAATCCATCACGAACCAGCCACTCTCGTTGACTCAACAACCTCACCCCTCTCTCCCTCCATGGTCAGCCTGTCCATCATGTCCTGCAGCTCCCCGCGATCTGCAAGCCTTGTATCGCATGCAGCCCCCATGATTCGCCCAATACCCCTGATCATGATTGCCTCTATTTGCAGCCATCGTCTGACCAGCGCCCACTGGTCAGTTGCCCACGGCCACAAGGCGCCAGGCACGGTCCGGACTAACAGGAATTAATTCGATCACTTCGTCGACTTTCTTCACCTTCATCCATCATCCTGCCTGTCATCTGGCCTTTTCATCCCCTCCCCCGATCGTCCCCTCCATCCTCCCTCATAAATACCCTTCCCTGTCTCCCTCCCCCCTCCATCTTCTTCTAGCGTTCTTTTTGTCTTGTCCTGTCTGTCCCATCGCGGTTTCTTTCTTTGATCTGAGGAACCGGTCTTAATCTGAAAAAAATAATTCAAAACAACACAAAAAAAAAAAACACAATAATCATTCAGAGTTACTCTTGTGCCATGACCTAGTCGCACTTGCTCTTACACTTGATACACCGTTTGATCCAAGTGAGTGACCCCTCAGTGGTCTCCTCATCTCTCGTCCCTCGTCTCTTCACTGCTAATCTACCGAGTTTCTAGGTATCAAGATATGTCCATGTCCGATCTTGCCTCCAAAGTCAAGCAGTTCGGCCTGACGCAAGTCTACTGCTCCGTCCAAAAGCCTCTCGTTGATATCGTCTTTGTCCATGGATTAAACGGGAACCCGTACAACAGCTGGACGAGCAAGTCCACGGGCACCTTTTGGCCCGCGGATCTCTTGCCAGAGGTTCTCGATGTCAACGAGGTCAGAGTCAGGGTTTTGACGTATGGTTACAATGCCAATGTTCATTCTTTTACCGATGGTGCTTCCAAAGATCGTATCCACAACCATGCTGAGACTCTTGCCTCTGGGCTTGCAGCCAACCGAAATGTAAGCAAAAGTCTGCCCCTCATTTTTGATCAATTACTAGTTCTGACTCAACTCTTTTTATAGCTTCGAGGATGCTCTGACCGCCCCATTATCTTCGTCTGTCATTCACTGGGAGGCTTGGTTGTGAAACGAGCCCTGATCTACTGCCGAAGTGTGTCAAATGAAAAGATCGAGCATCTCAGGTCTATCTTCGTCTCAACGTACGGCATTCTTTTCCTGGGTACTCCTCACAATGGATCTGATGTTGCAAAATGGGGACTGTTACTGCAAAACATCTGCAGCGCTGTCATGCCAAAGAAGTTCATGGAGTCCTCTCCGCAGCTTGTCGAGGCTCTCCGTTCAAACAACGAGACCCTTCAGAACATCAACAGCCTCTTCGCTGATGTTATGGGAAGATTCCATATCTATTTCTTTCACGAAACCCGATCCACGGATGTCAAGGGTACCCGTGAATTGATTGTGGACGAGAGCTCGGCGGCGCCCTATGCAGAGGGTACAGAACGTATGGGTATCGAGGCGGACCATAGTCATATGTGCAAGTTTGATGATGAGAATTCTCCTGGATATGAGGCGGTGGCGGAGGCTCTTCTGAGATATTCCCGGGATGCCCCTGATATGATCGCGGATCGATGGGTTGAGGAGAAGAGGACCCGGTTAGTGATGAGGCAAGCCAAGGCAAGCGAGATATTCCATGGTGCGTGATCCTTGATGACAGTATGAATGCAAGTCACATTATTGACGGACATAGAACAACGGGTAGATGGACCAATGATAAACGTACCAGATCGCCCCTCAATGATTGGTAGGACACACCTTCTTCATTCTTCGCCTGAGAATCCTGTTATTACCCTGAAGGAGTATGAGATTGAGGAGCCCCCTGAGCCTTCCTCAGCTCCACACAGATATGTTTAAATACCTTTATATTGGCTTTCTTCTGCAAATGGCGGTGGTTTCGTGTGCTTCTTCATATGCGGATTGAAAAGAATGATAGAGCCTGTAATATAGCAATGCATTATTATATTTTCTTCATGGCGTGTTGCAGTCAGGTCGTTGCTGACTTTTTGTCTTCCAGGTACTCTATCTCCACCGGATCGAATGACTGCAAGTCTCCCAGACCCGCGTGTCCTAGCAATTGAACCTCCCCCGAACGAACCACCCTCGCACATCGAACCTCTGCTTGTTGCACCACCAGGCTTTCATCCCAATGCGACTTTTGTTGGGATGCAAAAAGAGCTCGATATATTACATGCCCGGTTATTCAAAGCGAAAAAGCGCGCTGAGCGCCTCGTCGCTGTTCTCATCTGCGGTGTCCCAGGATCAGGAAAGTCCCACCTTGCCCGGCAGTACGTCTGGACCTATCGTGAAAACTATCCCGGAGGTATATTCTGGGTTGATTCCAAGTCTCGCGAATCGATATCTAAATGCTTTTGGGACATTGCGCAAGCGGCCACCTTGACTGATGGTGGAGAATTTCAGCATCCCGACTCCAAGGCACCCCAGAAGTATGTGGAGGTAGTTCGCAACTGGTTTCAGGCACGGGAAGAATGGCTTCTTGTCTTTGACGGGATCACCTTTAACCATGATGGTGACCTCAATCATTTCAAGCAGTTTCTTCCATTCAACAAGAAATGTAGCATCATTTACACATCCGTTGACAAAACTCTCAGAAAGAAACAACGGCTGTATGAGCCATACTGTCTTGTGGTCCCCTCTCTAACGGTTGAAGATGCATGCAAGCTTCTATTCAAGGATTTGGCCATCAAGACACCTACCAGGGAACAGGCCCGTAAGGCTACTGACTTGGTCAATCACTATGAAGGCTTACCTTTGGCAATTCATGCCATCAGCCATCGCCTTAGTGCGACTTCCAAGCCAATTGAAAAATATCATATCAACTCCCACTTGACAGATGAGAAACTTGCGGAGCCATTTTTGGGGATCATGCACGATCTCTTTCGGTTGGAACACCATCAAGCATTGAACCTAATCAACCTTTTGTCCTTCTTCGGCCACCATGTACCCGTTGGTATGTTGCTTCTAGGTAAAGCGGCCTTGGAGACATGGAATATGGATATCCTGGCCAGCAGCCGACCTGGGGAGCGTGGTGAGATCGATACAACACTGGGGATTCTCATCCGATATGGTCTTATCGAAAGAACCACCGACACCTACTCCCTGCCACAGACAAGTTTCTCGCAAAAGTCCGATGGAGACGACACGGTAGATATGAAAGCCATTATCCCGGATTTATCCGAGTCACAGACCGAGAGCAGCCAGGATGCATTCTTTGCCGTCTACCAGAATTCTGGCACTATCGATGTGATCAAAATCCATGGCGTTGTCCAAGGCTTTTGTCGGGATGAGCTCAAGATCATGGACGAGGAGAGAAAGGCCACTAAAAGACCCTCTGGTGACACCGGATTTTACGATTCATGGCTGCTTGTTGCAACCCGAGTGTTTTGCAAGTCCTATGAGAATGCAAAGCATAAGATGCAGTGTTCCGATGATCGTGGATTGGTTAGAGATTATCGAGAGTACGAGACTCACGCATGCAGGTTGCTTCAGAACTTTCCCAAGAAATCAACAGCATCGAGCTTGGTGCGCGAAGCTCGCGACGATCTGAGACAAGTGATAAAAAGCATTGGCAAGGAAATCGAAAACATCTCCCCCAGCTCCTCTCAGGAATCCCTCCAAAAACACAGATCTGTCTTTGACCGAACAAGTAGCTCGTCTTCATCGGTTCCCGGGTCATCGGCAGACGAGGCACCCTCGCGACAATTGACCTGGGATTTCAATGATGAGGATTCTCCCAAAGTTGAATCACCACAACAGGAAATTCCAGTGTCACAGCAACACTTTAACCTGCGGCCATTCCCTCCCCATATATATCGAGAGTCTAGTCTGATTGGCTATGAGGCCGACGAAGAGCCTGGGGCTTTTGTTCGGACCTCTCCGGCGCTTTCACAAATGAGCCAGGTAACAGAAAAGCCCATTCCAGCCCAAGAACCAGATCTGCCTCATTTGGGGGATGAGCGGGATTGGAAGCTTGTCCCACCAAAGCCTCGATCAACCAAAGGAAGGCAGTCGAAAAGGAGATCCAAATTCCCCCGCAACATCCATGGTCCTGAGCCCGCGGCCCCTATTCTCCATGTATCTCCAGTGGAAGGAAGAAGTGCGTCAAGCGGGTCTTTGGGCAAAGGCCGAAGGGGTTCCCAGGTTTCGGCGACCGAATCACTCGCTGCTATGCATGCAGCTAGTCCACCACTATCTCGCGGAGGAAGTGGTCATACGGTGAGCACAGTGAATACAGAAACCACTCAGCCACCGTCGGACAAAGAAAATGTTCCTACCTATGCTACTGTAGCAGCCAAGCGCGCACATGAGATAGCAGCAGCGGCGAAACCACGATCATCATCGACGCCTGGTGGTCGACACCGTCCAACATTCCTGCAATTGCAGAGCAAGTCTTCTACCGAGTCCCTGCGAAGTCGAGCCAGTAATGCCCAGGCGTCGCCGCTTGCCAGCGAGTTCAGACCAGATCAGATGAGCCAGTCGACTTATAGCGAGCCCAGTCAAAACATTCTTGCGCATAGATTAAACGCTTTGGATCTGCGGACAAGTCAAGGTAGTCAAGTACATTCACATCATCTTTTACATCACCCTTCTGCCATGAGACACTCGGAACCTGTAAGAGACATGTCTGCAAGCACGCCGTCTATTCTCACATATGTTCCACAGCTTCCACAGCTCCCATATGACAACAACATTGAAATCACGGTTTCACGAAGATTAAGCGCTGCCAGTCGAAAAAATGCTGCTGCTGCTGTTGCTGCTCAAGCGGCACACAACCTTGGCTCGGTCACTCATCCATCTGCAATCATGCCAGGAGTCTCTCCGCCCCCATCAATGACACCTGATGTGCCCGGTGGTTACGCATCTGAACCAGCTCCCGAGCCAATGACACGAAATCCTTCGGGGCAGTCTCACCAGTCCTGGTCAACAGAGCCAGTCCGATATCCACCACCAAGATTCTCACCCATGCCCCCTCCCAACACCGGCATTGCGCAGGCCGCACTGCCAACCGCACTCCCACAAATCATTCCTCAGCAACATACTATTTCAGGAACTGGGGGCTGGATAGGAGATATACAACCGCAGCAGGCTATGGGCAGTGCTATTCAACCCGATACTAGCTATGCCGCGCAAACCATGTTGAGATCAAGCGTCCCGTTGGATAACCATCTAAAGGGCCTGGACTATGGCTTGGAACCCGAACCCGCGCCGACATTGCACTTTGGCGGACATCAAGTGGATGTGCGTGATGCTCAACAGAGACTGTTTGGGCTTGGCCGGTTTCACGCACCGCGACAGGTCCCAGCATATCAACTATATCATCCGAACCTCTCGGGGCCGTTAATCCAGCACGAAGTGGCAGTTCCATCGCCTGAGACGTACGCCGTGCGTGCGCGGAGCGGCAGTTCCCCCTCTCCACCTGTGTTTGACGGGTTAGGGTTGCATTTAGGATGATGTGTTTGATGCTTTTTTCGTTCTTTCTTTTTCTTTTTTGTTTTTGTTTTTCGTCATCTGCTTGAGGCAGATGGTTTTTCTCTAGACGTCATGCATGCATACAGTGGAAATTGGCGTTGACGGTTTGCATTCGAGGGTGTTCATTGTCCAAGGATATGAGAGCATGCAGACATGGAGTTTTTATTGGGTTTGATTCGGCTACGAAATAATGTTTGATAGTTTTTTCTTTCTTTATCTCTTTTTCATATTCCAAGAACAAGGATATCCAAATCTTTTGGAGCAAAGGCACCGCTGCAGTAAATAATACCCAACATCTACATCATGAACCAGATTGACGAGGCCAAAACAAGGACAGCCTTGTAACAACCATGGTAACCAACAGATCAATGACTTTATATGCAAAATAACTCTATCATTCCAAGTTATCATCTGAACCGACCTTGATTGCAATGGCGAAAAGTAGACAGCCACTAAACCGTATCAGGAAACCCGACTGACCGTGTATCGACGTAATAAGATCAAGTCCATTATGACGTCGCCAATGACGATAACGACGAAAGAGGCGAGAGAGCAATTATAAGAGGCGATTTTGTTTAAATGGTCTCGATAGAAAGACGAAATTGGATTTATAAAATCGCAATACTTATTGCTGCTATTCATTACCTACACATTACTAGATCCCGATCTACTATCTATACAAAATAAACAATCAACATGTCACGAATCACTCCTTTGGCTACTCGATTGGCATCTGTGAGCTCTGCCGTTCCAAGAGCAACATTTCCTGCGTCGCCTTTCGCCGCATCAAGATGCATCTCTTCCACAGCCGCCCGGAGGACGGGCCCCGTTGATACGACCAAGGATACACTGAAGAAGGCGGACAGATTGGTCTCGGATGCAGCTGTGAAGGGAATCAATAAGGGTGGTATGTATCACCGTGGTACTGGTATCAATGAACTTCGTCATGCTAATTCCCGTTAGAACAAGCAACCGAGAAAATCAAGAACGCTGTTGGCATCGCCTCGGAGGAGACCAAGGCCAAAGGGGAGGAGGTCAAGGGTGAGACGGCCGAGGCCGCTGGTAAGAGTAAGGAGATGGCAGAAGAAGCAAAGGGGAAGACTGAACAGGCCTTTGGCGAAGCTAAGGATAAGGCTAAAAAGACCTTTGACTAGCTGATGGGTTGATGTTTGGAAGATGTAAAACATGAGACGGTTGTTGCTGTTGATTGCTGTTGTCCATTGTCATTTTTTTTTTCTTAATAGCGGTTTTGTGGCCAACCGTGCATATGGTGTACATTAATGGTATCATCAAAGATTGTTCGTTTCATTTTTTTCCAGTTCAACTTGGAGGAGGCAGCATCATAACGTATTCCCGAGTGCTGAGCCCGAATTGTAGCACGTCCTTGTCCCTCACTTCCACGTATCGTCCGGCTGGAATCTTATCCCCATTCACACTCGATCCATTTGCACTTTCCAGATCAATGAGGTACGGTTTGACTCGTCCGATCCGGTCTCCGAACTCATTCCGCTTCTCGACAAAGCGGAATTGAATCGCCGCATGCTGCTTGGAGCAACTCGGATGGTCCAGAGGGAAATCCACCACCAATCTCTCTCTTCCAATAAGCCAGCAGCTGCGTTCTTTCAGCTCCATCACCTCCAGGAGGTCTTGTCCTTTGAACACGTAGAGACGCCAGGGTTCCTTGGCTGACGCTTTCCGTGCCTCGGGGGGTTCGTGGTACTTGAGCACCACCGCTCCTCCATTTACTTCTACAGTATTGCTCTCTGCGGCCAGGCGCCCGGTGTTTGCGAAATTAGGCTTCTGCTTTTCAGGCGGAGGGGCCGATCCTTCCCCTCCCCTCGACACCTCTGATGTAAACGCGTCGTTCTGAGAGGGAAGTGGTCCTTTGGACCGTTGCACAGCACGTGACGGGCTTCGTGATTGTCTAGCAGGGGATCGAGACCGGGATGTGCTTCGACGTCTTCTAGATGGTTTTTCTCGATCATCGTAGTCTCGGTCACGGTGTCGTCGAGGCGAATGACGTCTGCGTCTCCTCCGGTCGTCGTCCGATTCATCGGCTCGTTCTCTGCGCTCTCGACGACGACGATCATCATCATCTCTTCTGTGGCTCCGTCTACCAGACGGGCTGCGGGAGGAATGTCGCCTAGAGCTCTCCTTATGGGAGCTTCGATGGTCGTCCCGGCGTCGTGAGCTGCTGCTGTATTCTTCGTCGCGAGCTCGTCGTCGTCGACTGTCGGGTGCTGGCGAGCGAGATGGCGATGGCCGTCGTCGGCGGTCATCGCGGTAGTCGTCTGATGCGCCAGCCATGGTAAAAAGCTCTGCTGTGGGTTTGAATTGGCCTGATTCTGCAAGCAGGGAAGTGAGAAGATGGTGATGTTTTGGCGGAATTTGATAACAGATGCGATCGGCACACGTGACTGTTATCGCGGGCGGATCGGAAGAAGCAGAACGAGGGGAAAGACGGACGACAACACTCGATCAACCAAGATTGCTGTTTTCCACAGGCCTCAATTATTCCGGGGGAGGCATCTGGTGTGCTTCCTTCCTTGAAACCATGCGGCCATGTTCAAGAAATCCAATATCCTCTGCTGTGGTGGACATCCACTGCTGAATCCCTCCGCATTCTCATCATCTCTACCGCCTCATGCTTCTTTCTCTTGGAGATCCTATGCAACTGCCCACGACTTCTCGGGTAAAGATCTCTCATGGCCTACAGGCTCATCCTTTACGCCGTACGATGTTTTCAAGCAAGAACGAGGCGCACCGTACTCGAAAAGCCGGTTCTACGACTTGGTCAAGATCTACCACCCCGATCGACCATGTAACGGGCATCCACTCTGCCGAGATATTTCACCAGAAGTGAGACTTCACCGTTATCGGCTAGTAGTGACAGCGCATGAGATTCTCTCTGATCCGACCAAGCGGGCAGCCTACGACTTGTCCGGCGCCGGATGGAGCCACCATTCTCCTCGCAGTCATGGTCCAACTCCTTCATGGGCACGCACCGGCTCGAGCGACTATGGCCCTATATTCACCAATGGAACCTGGGAAGACTGGGAGCGGTGGTATAACCGACATGGAGAGAAGCAGCGCCAGGTTGTCGACCACCGCACCTTTACGAGTTTGGTTATACTTCTTACGTTGTTGGGGGGCGCTGTTCAAGCATCATGGATCAGTCAGTACAGCACAGGATACGAAGACAGACTCCGGGAGATCAATGAAGAATCAACACGGTTTTTGGTCGGACGACGGGAGAATACCGTGAAGCAGACGGGATCATCGGATGCTAAAGTGCAGCACTTTCTCATCCGGCGAGATCCCACCGGGTTTGGATTGAAGGAGGAAGAGCAGCCAGTATATCAGCAGGTTCTCAATCCTCGCAAATCATCTGTGCCGTCAGAGAAGTCTGAGAGAATCGAAGCTGAAGGCGAACGATCAATGGGTGCAGAAGAACTTACTAAACCTGGTGCAACGAAATGATGCTACGCTTGACATTCTCTTTATTATTTATCTTGAGATATTACTGCAGTGCAGGCACTGTCTATATCATAGGGCTGTACAGACTGCCCATGCGATTTCAAGCCATATAATGTTGTACATATGATTCCAATCTCCATTCTTATCCTTATTCTTATTCTTCTGACTTGGTGGGGTTGAGTGTTTCACATGAAGATGTTATACTCACCTAGAGCCAGCCTGCATTCAACCCGTATTGTCAGGTCTGGATAATTCCAAATATCCATTCTCTTCTCATTTTCCGGTCTGTTTCTCAATGCTCTATATATACCTAAAACACCTCGCTGGACTGTCGCATATGGGACCGTCGCTGCGGCCGCGATGGACCGAGGCACTTCCGCATGCACCGATTTCCAGGATTTGCCAACTTTTCTCCAGATCCTTTTTTTGCAACCCCTATCTTTTTTCTTTGTATATTTATTTATTTCCTTTTGCATCCTTTTCTTTCTTTTTTGTATATATTTTGGCATCAGGAGAACCCCAACGAGAGAAGAGAAACCGTCTCTCTTCTCTCCTTGACTGCAGTTTCTTCTTTCTTTCCCTCGCCACCATGAGCGCCCTCAGCAGTTACATCGCTCTCCTAAAGGTCGCGCTACCCAGAATTCCCCTCGTTCTCAAGACCGTCTTACTTCATGGCCTTCATCTATCCCCCGGCTCGGGGAAACAAGATCTGCGCACCGAATTGATCGTGGTCGTCATCCGGTCTTTCATGGTTTCTCTTCTGCCCGTGGGCCAGCAGCAGAAACGCAGCATGCGCGATCCGGGCATCAAAGGGCCCATGTGGGTGTCCAAGGTCACCTTGCCACAGCCAGATAAGGATGTCGAGCAAGCTGTTATCAAGGCAATCGAAGATTTGAAACTGGGTGACATAACATACAGAAACCCCGGTGTTGTTCCCGTTGAAGCCGAATGGACCGGCTATCGCAAAGGCGTTGGGAAGAACGCACCGCAGCCTGAGATCTCGGAGGAAGACAAGTATCGCGAATTGCGGAAAGATGCATCGTCGGATAGTGTCATTCTGTACTTCCACGGCGGTGCATACTAGTGAGTCGATCAGCTGATATCTTGAATGTGTGACGTTTGTTCTAATCATCTGTGACTGCGCATCCAGTTTGATGGATCCTTGTACCCATCGCATTCCAGTTTCTCGTCTCGCCAAATTGACTGGAGCTTCCGTTCTCTCCGTCAGATATCGTCTTGCGCCTCAGAATCCTTTCCCCGCTCCGCTCGTCGACTCCTTGGTCGCATATCTTTCGCTCATTGCTCCCCCACCTGGGTCACTGCATGAGCCCGTGCCCGCCAACAAGATTGTCTTCTCAGGCGACTCTGCCGGTGGGAATCTCTGTCTGGTGTTGCTGCAAACCCTATTGACGCTGCGTCGCATATCCCCAACCATCCGCTTCCATGGCAAGGACATCCCCATTGAGCTCCCCGCAGGCGTATCGACCACCTCTCCCTGGTGCGATATCACACGCTCCCTGCCATCCGTGCACAAAAATGCCTCATTCGACTATCTCCCTCCTCCCCGATCCTCGGAAAACCCATTTCCATTCCCTGAAGACGAACACTGGCCCTGCGACCCCCCACGTGTCGACCCATACGTCCACGCCAACACTGTCCTACACCCGCTTGTCTCTCCGGTAGCCGCTCGCAGGGATCTCTGGAAAGACGCACCCCCGGTCTTCATCAATGTCGGTGAAGAAGGACTGGCGGATGATGGACTCATCATGGCCCGCAAACTGCACCAGGCTGACGTCCCTGTCGTCATCGAGCAGTTCGAAGGTATGCCGCACTGCTTCGGCATGATGATGGTCAACACCCCGTCGGGAAAGCGCTATTTTAAGGGTCTGTCGGACTTTTGTCGTGATGCGGTGGCCGGCCGCGTCAAGCCATCCGGTAACATGACTTATATTGGGTTCAAGTTGCGGTCCACGCGGGAAATTCCTCTGGATGAGCTCAACTCCGACTTGAGTGATGACGAGGTCTTTGAAAGAATAAGCAAGAGTGGCTTAGCGAGAGGAGAGGGAGAAAAAGCATACTTGAAGCAACTGACACAAAAGGCCAAGCTTTAAATATTTTTGGACTTTTCGTGGTACATATTTTGGGTTTTTTTTATAGACGGCGTTGATGTCATTTTTACGATTCCCCTGTTTATTTTTGGATGTGACATACCAGTTCATCTTCTTGCAAATACGTTTTTAGATGGTATATAGAGTATCACGCGTTTCTTTTACATAGGTACTCCATAGTATATAGAATTCTTGGGAGATTTGATATTCAACATATTGCAAAGTGTTCACTGTATTTCCATTAAAATAAATGAACGTGAATGATATAAATTCAAGCTTAAAACATGTAAGCCGCAATGGGAATATGTGTCGCTAAAGATATTCATCATCATCAATTGACGGATCATCACCCAAGTTCTCCACGGGTGTATTGTGATCCAATTTCAGTTTTGGTACAGACTCCTGGCTTTGTCCCTGCCATCTTTTAGGAGAGGAAAAGGTACTGCGACTGGATGTTGCAGCCGCTGGAAAGTCGGTGATTCGTGTTCCATGGATACGGATCTCGCCAGAGAGGTTGACAGCACGTGGAATGTCATCTACATAGCCATCCCAGAATCCCATGAGCTGTGCAATGAGTCGGAAGAACGCAACCACCATGGTAATGACAGGAGCCAGGATCGTCGAGAGATGTGACCAGCGCCACATCATGGTTGGGATCACAAAGGGGAACTGTGGCGCATCCGGTCGTAAGCAGTTGCCTTCACAAACGTCGGAAACTAAAGGATGGCAGTAGTAATCACACATGGTCGACTCGGAAAAGAACCAGACGAGTGATATGGTGATAAACCAGCCCAGGAGAGTGAGACGGATGCGCCGCGAAACCGAATCTCGGGTCCATAAGCGCGGAAGTCGAATAGAGGCATATAAACGGCCATCACTCTGCACTCCACATGTCTCACAGTTCTCCCCTGCATGAAGTTGATGCGGCTGTTTGGGATCTTTCCCAGATGCTAGACGTGCAGAAAATATGGCAGTGTCTCGCGCAACTTGTTCCTCCAGGCCACTGAGTCCCTTTTGGGCTTCACTGATGTTCTGAACCAGTAGCTTCACTTTGTCGTTAAATCGATCGAAAAACTTCTCGTCCAGCTGATCAACATCGACGGCAGATTTTCCTGCCGCATTTGCAAGCTTTAGCTTTTCCAGTATAGCTTTTTCGTATGCAGCATCATCCTCGTCTTCGCCCTTCGTTTCAGTTGGCTGTTCATCCAGAATCAATTGGAGGGACTCGATCGTATCGTCACCAAACTCATAAGAATCCTTGTCAGTCTTGGCATCTTGCATAATATTCTCCAAACCGCTCTTTGGCAAATTAGGCTTAATGAGCGATGGCCTTTTCCTCAGTAAATTATTTTTAGGCTGCACCTCTTGCTTTGGTTGTACATCGACCTGGGGTTGTGTTCGCTCAGGCTCTGTCCTCTGAGACCCTGTCCATTGAGGCTCTGCCTGTTGGGAAGGCTGCTCGGGTTCCTCTTTTATGGGAGTGGGAGGTTCGACAGGTGGTGGTATTTTCATTGGGGGCTCAGTGGCTCGTTCAGTCATGGGGGTATCTATCCAGGCGCCGGTCACAACAGGCGTTTTGTCGTAAATATTCTGTCTATCTGGGAGCTTCTGGGCCTCTGGTGTTTGCATATGAATTTGGCCCGGGCTCTCAGTTCTTGACAGTTTGCGAAGTAGTGTATGCGAGTCCCGTTTTGTTGGGCTGCGTTTGTTAAAAGTGGAATTCTTGTACACAATAATCGGCGTGTTAGGGATAACATCTCCCTCGGTTGATTGGTGATTTTTCTGCTCCGGAGATAGACCAGTTCCCTCTTTGGCCGGTGAAATCCTGTTGTAATTGCTCGTAGACCGTTCCCCGAGAGCACTTCTGCTTGTCAGATTGGGGCGTGCCGGAGAACGCTCACTGGCTTTGGCGAGTTTGGCACGCAAGTCCATGCCAGGACTTGATTTCGGGGTCGAGGAGTTTGCAGGCTCTTTCCTTTCTTCCTTCTTCTCTTCTTGGGGCACACTTTGATTGCGTCGACCGATGTCTCTCATCCAACCTCGACGTTGTGTTGCGCGGCTGCCCCATGTAGAGGGGAGGTTTAACGAAGGCTTAAGGTCATCACCGTCGTCGTCTGGCGCATGCTCTTGGACCTCTTCCTCACGTCGCTGCAGATTCTCTGCTGTCAAGGCCAGCGGTGTTCCCGACCTGCTGAGCACAGGTGACTGGTTAGTTGTCGCCCGTCTCAGCCGCTGTTCGTCCTTGACATGCTCATCCGCAATCTCGCCCAATCCATCAGAAGTGGTGAATATGTCATCCTGATGTCCATTCGCATTCCCCCTGAACCCAGATCCTGACGATAAGCGCCTGTTTCGAGTGTTTCGTGGTTGCTCCCCTGAAAGATACAGGTCCTCGTCCGGGTCCTCTAAATCCACCAAACTGTCGGCGTCATTGATCCTCTGGTAGATATCCTCGAGTTCATTCGGGGGATTCGACTCTGGAGAAAAGGCAAAGGCGCTCTGTCTTCTCCGAGGGCTTGGGGTGCCCCGCGCGTAGGAAGTAGTCTGTGGGAAATCCTCCGCCATCCTTGGGACGCGTGAGGCAGCTTCGAACGCCCCTCTCAAGGTCTGTGTTTGGCTGAAAGTTCTCCGATGTCGAGCACGATCTTTATCTCCAGGACTTAATCGAGAGTGATCGAAATTATAATCAAGATGATGAGGGTCGCGGTGAGCTCGGCGAAAGGGGGACTGTTGCTGCTGCTCGGGGCTGCGACGCGACGAGTGTCGGTCACTCCTGCGGTCAGGAGTGGGCATGGCGACAAGTGAGAGGCTGGTCGCTTAAAAATCGTAAATAATCGCCCATTCACTCAAACGCGACCGGTGTTGGGGGACGAGAAATGCAGTGAATAACGATCATAACAAGCCGTCGCGAAAGTTGAAGCAGCTGGAATCCACCGTCCCGAACGGGTTAGCGGTGCGGAGGAAAGAATGGCAGCCAAAACGGCGTCATCATCGACCGGAGCAGACTGCAACATCGCATCGCCCGGCCGCTCGACTCTGATCGCCATGGTCTTTCCACGTCTCAGGTGATATCTGTGGATCTGAAACACACGGTTAGATCTCTCATCCCGTCCATTTTCCCATCATTACCCCAGCAAACGATTTGAAGGTGCTGTTACTGACTGACATGTGACTAGGTCAGTCGTATTGATCATCGACTCCACACACGGGCCTTTGTCTCGACGAATTTCCAATAATAAAAATATCATTGCGACCGACAGCGAGGGAGGACTTGTTGAACAATCACTTTTTGGCGCGGGAAATTTTTTGAGCAAAAAAAAGACACATCGACGGAGCCAGTATGGCCAAGTCTGCGAGACGTTCTGGGAAAGGCAAGGCCCCGGCCTCTGCTTCGTCCTCTGGAACCTCGACTCCCAATTCCCAGGCAGGCCCTCTGCCTCCATTCACAAAAGCCCCTTCTTCTCTCGAATCGTTCCTCGAACCCCTCTCTCCGCAAGAAGTGTACTTGATCCACGTCGATGTTTCCCCACAAGACCTCAAGAAACAAACCTTCTTCGTCCCGACCCTGATGAACGTCGCGATCATAGCCATCATAGCCCTACGAGCTTACATGGTTCGCTATCACTATCCGGCCATGCTAGCAACATTCATTGGGCTCACTAGCTCCATGACGGTGGATACTTCAGTAATGACATGGCAGGAAACGGTAAAGACCATTTTGCAGCGGACTGGCACCTTGCTCATCGATTACATCCTCGTGACCGTCTTCTTGCCCTGGCCGCTCCGGTTTTATCAGGGTCCTGTCAAGTGGCGCCGGACAGTTGGCTTCCGAGATCGCGAGATTATTGTCCGTCGCAGCCAGCGCAGCTGGAGTGAAAAGCTGGAACGCAATGTCTGGATTCAAAAGGACGAGACAACAAGGGATAAGATTGTGGCCGCCGTCACACCGGAACGTATTAAGAAGACCGGATACCTGCTCGTGGATGCAGAGTGGGATCTGGATTACGATGCCATGATCCGGGCACACGAGCTGGTGGACCAGACGAGAAAAGGCAACGGGGTCCAGCTCGATGAATTCCGAACAGCAGTCGTGGTCAACACCGATACTCATGGCTGGCTGATCTGGCATGTTGGTGATGAAGAAACCGCCCAGGGAAAAACACGGTCAGCTCAGCGTGACCAGATCCTGACATTCAAGGAAAAGCTCACGGCCATGGGCAAGGAGGATCTTTTCTTCCGTTGGGTCGAGCTGATCCAATATGAGAGTACGCAGCCAGGCGGGTTTACGCCTGAAAGGCAGCGCTCCGCCATGGTTCAAGCCAAGGCGCTCTTCGAGAATGAAGAAGTCGACTTTGCTCGCTTCTGGCAAGACGTGGGTGGGTTGGAAGGTTTTTCTGATCTTGATTGATTTGTTGTTCAAGTGTATGCATATGCATGTTTTGCCTGTGCTGGTGTTTCTTTTCACTTTTTCTTTCCCTTTCTTGCTTGTCTTTTTATTTAGTCTCGGTTTATATTTGGATACGGAGCACGTCTTATATGGAGGTCATACAGGAAGTTAGAAGTCGGCCATTAGAGAGCTACAGAAAATACGCAGTACATACGGAGTATATCTCAGTAATACCAATGAAGCATTTCACGTGTTTTTTTTTTTGTTGTTGATTTCTCCACATAAATCACTTCACCGAAAGCAAGCAAAAAACAAGTCTATCTAAAAATCGAATAAGATAACCAGATAAACGAAAATATTGCGTTTGACATATATGGGTATCATTGAGGCTTCCCGTGATCAATTTCCAGGACATAACAATAACAAAATCAGAAGCATTCCATCGTTTGTTTTCAACAATATCGGATATAAAGATATGTCAAGGGTTGCAACTCAGCGGTTGCCACCCTCAAGTCGGTAATCAAGAGACCAGAGTCTCTCCCAGGGACGTGATTTGACGGGTCGTCGACCAGAAGCTGAACGCGAAGACGACGCACTCATGTCCTCGACCCGGCGAGACAAAATAGACTGAGAGCCGTCTGGCTTTCGCAACTGCTCTTCTGGAACAGCCGCACGTAATCCCTATTACGATCTGTCAGCTCCATTCAGGAGAGAGACGTAAACACAATGAAAAACCCACGGGCACCCGTAGGATTATCACGGGCCCGGGCGTAGGTCGCGGCGAACCTCGTCGAAGATAGGGGCCGCCTCTCGTGGCTGAGAGCCATTTTCTGCCTCAGCTGGCCGTACTAGATCCGCAGTAGACTCGTTGGCAAGTTGGGACGGCGTCGGCGGTCCCCGTTTGGAAGTAGAGCTGTTTCGTCGGCTATCGAGGCTTTTTGTCAATGTCTTGGCAACGTTTCCTCCGTTGGACGTACGCTTTAGTCGAATGCTGCCCTTCGCGTCGACATGGGCTGATGCAACGGTGCTTTTCCCCAAGCCCGGAGTAGCTGGAGCACCAGGCTTCTCTTCCGTAGCATCCAGGAGGTACCATCGAAGGCCATCAGATAGTTCAAAGGGATTCTCGTCATCAAAGGACGTGCCATCGCTGACTTCTCCAATTGACCGACGATCAGGATTTGGGCCGTTCAACGACTTCGATAGATCCACGACCCGCTCTTCAATCTTCGTAATTCGAGCAAGAAGCCAATCCCGAGTCTGGAGTTTATGAACATCTTGTTCACGTAGGAAATAGTGGGGTGCGCCGACGTTGAACGCAGCCCAGGATCGAATGGCTTGGTTTCGGGTCGGTAAGAACAATGCAAGGTCCCCTTCCTTGAAAGATCGGTAGGCAATCTTATCGTGGGCTTCACCTTGGGTCTTATGGTACTTATCCCGATATCCTCTGGCTTCTTTCTGCCACTTGCGTGCCAGTAGTTCGATATCTTTCACACGTTTGACAACCGCGTCTCCGAAAATGTCCACATCAAATTCAGATAAAGATTCCATGAAGACCATAAATTTATCAGTCTCTTCATCGGCACTATCAGCCTGCAACCAATTCAGAATATTTGGATCCGGCTTTACTGAGACTACAGCAGACCGAGCAAGACTGTCACCAATATTGGAAGAAGCGTTGACCTTTGAAGCTCTTTGGACAATGATATTGCCATCGTGCCGGATAACAGTAAAGCCTAGCTGTTCAAGCATACGGCCCAATTTCTCAACTTGTCCGAAAAGCTGCTTTGAAAGTTCCTGAGACCTCTCACTACGGGTCTCGTTCCGGGCCGCAGCTTGCTGCTCTGATTCTGATAATGCTTCAAGTTTCTTCTTCCACAAGAAGGCGTCATCTTCGGACTGGCGAGCCTGTACTTCGGCATCGGCCAATTTTTTAGACAGGGCAGCTAGTTTCTGCTCTTCTTCCGCGACTCGTTCTCGAAGGACATCAGAGCCTGTTTCACCTGCGGTAATTTGGGACTGCAAACTCTTGAGTTTGTGGCGCTCATCACTCAGCTCGGATGTCACAGTAGATAACTTCGATCTCTCTTGTGAAAGCTCCTCTGTCACTCTAGATAGATCCGATTCGCGGGCATTCAAGTCCTTCTTTATCTCATCGCCTTCAGTTTCCATCTGGTTTAAACGCTCCTCGAGTTCCTTGCTCTCGGCTATTGCTTTAGTGGCACTCTCTTCTGCGTTCTTGGCATGAATTGACAAGCCTTCTGACAGGACTTCGATGGCCTTGGTTATGCTTGTCACCTCGGCGGGCGCAGAACCACCAGGTGATAGATTCATAAAGATGGCTTCCAAGGCAGTTTGGTGTTCCTGGTCTCTCCTTTCAGTCTCCGCCGATAGCTTTTCAAGGGCGTAAATTCTGGCCTGAAGGGTATTTTCTCTCTCCTTGTAGGCTTGTATCTGCCCACCCAAGCCGTTTGCCTTTTGCGTCGCTTCCTCCAAGACGGAATGGGTATCTTGAAGATCTAACTCAAGCTGCTGTATCCGTTCATCGGATTCCTGCTTTTCATGTTCCCGGCTCTCCATTATTCTATCCATTTCTTCCTCGAGCACTTCTACTCGAATCCTATAGTTTTTCGCTTCGTCCTCCAAATACTTGCGTTCGTCTTCGAATTCGCGCTGTCGAGCCTCAAGATTTTTAAAAAGATCTTTCTTCGTAGATTGCTCCTCTTGAAACTTGTAAGTGCTGGTCTCGCGCTCGGCGTGATGTTCTTTTTGGAGCCTCTGGACCGTGTCTTTTTCCGTTGCTAACTCTGTCTCAAGGTAAGCGATACGTTGAACAAGTGCTTTGTCCTCCGGTGACTGGTTCGATGGCATGTGCCGCGAAGATATGGAGGATCGTCTTGAAAGCGTGTCGGGGTGAGGCGATGCTGGCGAGCTAGGGAAATCAGGCCCAAAATTTCCGCTGATCGGCCGGCCCAGTTGGCTTTGGCGATGGAGAAGATCCTCCAGCTTCCGGATACGACTCTCAGAACCTTTCAGCCGCTCCTCCAACTTAGATTTTTCGTCCCTTAGACTTTTAACCATGTCATCCCCGCGAAGTAAAAGTGAGCTTCGGCTCATGTCGAAAATACTTCCTTGTTTGAAAGCCTTCGCTCTGCGCTTTTGTTGGCGTGTAGGCGCATCCAAGTCCTTATACGCTTGGGTTAACTCTTGGACCAAGGCAGGTATGCCAACCTTGATTCTAATCTCTTGAATGTACGATTCGATTTCCTTTCTGTTGACTTCAGGCCATTCAAATTCCTGGCCCTGAAGATTGACCTCAATCCCCGGAGTTGAGGTCTCGGGGAGGGAAATGAAGTCGCCCATATTCTTCATCCATTTTTTTCTCCTCCGCTGTTCCTCATCTCTAAAGACAGCCATTTCTTCCGCTAGGGTCAAAGAATCGGTTTTCATTTTATCGTTCCATTCTCGCCGTCTCGCCGATTCGATTAAGACGGACCCGTAAATCATTGGCATGTGAAAAACAGTAAACATAATATCAAAGGCATCACTTCCAACATCCAAGTTGAATATTCGGGACTGCAAGTCTGCAAGGCGCGATTCAACAGATGATATAATTCGCATATGGTCCAGAGTGGTTTGCATCGCAGCGTTATATCGTTGAACGGCCTCCTCAAGCCCGGCCTGAAGATCGGCACTGAACTCTAACAATGATGGAAGGAGGTCCTTTGTATGGTTGAGTGCAAGTCTAGACATATTCACCAGGGTCTTCTGGTTATTGGGCAGAGCAAGAACGTGCTCGTAGTCAGAACTGATTTTCTTAACAATGGTTTCCACTTCCTGAAACAATCCATCTGTTCCTTCCACACCTGACGGCAGGGCATCATCCACTAAATGTTGGGTGTCTGACACGATCTCAGTTACCGCTTTTTCGACATCCTCAACCTGGCGGGCGAAGCGGGGAGACACGGCCAGCGCTTCAGACCCGGCTCTCTGCACCTCATCCACATCCACGAAATCCCGTAGTGTCCCCGAAGATTTGTCTGCGCCCTTTTTGGGAGTTGATGGGCGCCCTAAGAAAAAGAAATCTTTGCGGGCCGGTATGTTCTCCAGGGTCGACAGAGCCCGTTGCCATCCGTCGAGGGCCGTCTGCTGTTCCTTCAATAAATCGTTTGCCCAGGACTGCGCCTCCTGGAACCGATTTTCAAGAGTTCCTACGTGCGATTTGAGATTCTCGAGAGCGACACCAGCAGCTCGGTTAATGATATCGGTCCGTTCATTGTGCTCTCGGATACTCTTATCTATGGACTCGCAACGTTCAGACAGGTTCAACGCCCACGTCCTCCTTGTCATGTATAGATTCCGCCATGATTGTAGGTCATTCTGGTTTGCGAGGGTATCGGGAGGGTTATCGGGAGTAAATTGTTGTGGAGGGGGGAGCTGTGGCGGGAGCTCCTCGTTGCTCGGTTCATTAACGTATCGCCGATCGTACACAAATATCTCATTCTATACGTAGAGGGTCAGTATCGATTTGCTAGGCTTAATATGACAAGAAGTGTACAGGGCCGCCATACTTCTGTGGCGAGGGTTTGGATCTTGACGTTCTTCCCACGAGCCGTCATTAGTATCTGCCGTTGGGCAGGTATTGAGGTATTCCGGGTAATCCATGATCGTAACGCATCAGGTCTGAAGATCGAAAATTCATAGCGTCAGTTCCACATTCCCATAATAGTTTGAGAGGGAAGTAGGCCCCAGAACGGTCTGGGTCCCAGTGGAGTGGATAAGAAGGAATGAAGGGAACGTACGAAGCAAACGACACAGGGTCAGCAAGTAAATGCTCACCCGTATGGGCGATATAAATGTGCAGAGACATCCCCTCCTCACCAGCCGAGCAGAGCCGCTCAGTAGGAGCTATAAAGGAAGAGAAGAGGTGTGGGAGGGGAGGGGCGAGGGAGGAAGAACAAAGAGTGCTTGATATAGACGCAAGTGCAGGACCAGCTTCCCCCGGAGGATCACCTTATCGGGCGGTTGTTTTTAGTGAGTGACACCGTGACACGCCCCCCGGAACCGCCAGTAAGGAAATCCCCCCCCACCGCCCGACCGACACAGAAAAGCTCCGTTTCCGATGATGGCTCCTATCGCATCACAAGATGCGTCTTTCGAGCCGCCACGGGGTCTTGTTCCATGGCATCTGCAACGATTCCGTCCCTGCCTCACCTGGACCCGGGTGAGGTTTCCTTGCTAGAACTTGCAGCCGATGACCCTCGAGATGCCGTGTCTCTGTCGGAGAAGGAGGCGTTGATTTTACAGCTCTACAATCAGGCCCAGGAACAAGAGCTAGAAAAGGCATTACTCCAGCAAGGTATGTGCACATCACTATGTTTTAGGTTTCTTTTTTTTTTTTCAACATCACTAATCTCTATTACAGAACCGGAATCACTCTCTGGAAATGCTGAGGAGCAACTGGCCACCGCGGAGCGTGAACTTCTTGAGTCCAGAGCCACCTACACAGTCAGGAGGAAAGCAGTAGGAACAGTTCTTATGACAGATCCGACCCTAAAAGCCGTCCACCTGAAAGCTTCGTCTCCAGCTGAACGGTAAGTCATATAACCATGTGTACTGTTCCATGTTCTAGAATCTCATCTAGGCGCTAACGAAATTCTAGCGCTCTTCTCCGTCTGGTCAATCGCCGCGATGTGCTTTCCCTGGCTCATGAGAACCTGAATGCTGCACATAACTCAACTTTGAAAACATTGTCGAATCTGGAAGTAGAGAATCTACAGACACACCAGCAAAACCAAGAGCTAGTGCGCCAACTCTTGGAACTAACAAGCCAAGATTCCTCGTGGCGAGAAAAGCTTGACGACGCGGATCTCGAGACACAGCTCAAGGAATTGGAGGCTGACCAGAAGAAAAGCAAAGCCAAATGGGAAATCATGAAGAGCATTGCAAGCGCTGTCGTCGTTGGCAGCGGCATGAACTGGGCTGAGGATGAAACCCTCCGAGCCCTCGTCCTGGATGAATCAGATGATTGATTGCATTATTCCCGTGTTTTGATGAGTTAGGCAGTATGAATTGGATATTTCGCGCAGGGCATTAGAATTACATATGTATTTAGGTCGCATTTACTCCATCATTCCAATAAAAAGATTTGATATGCATCAAAGCACTGATACTAACATTCTCCAAAGCGAATCACTGAATATAGCAATACGATTTCGGGACGATTCGAGACCGATCCAAACATGGGATGAATGAAGGATAAACGCGACCCACGTGACATCACCGGCTCCATCGACGGAAGCGCATCGTCATGGGAGGCTTGGGTTCGTAATCCATGCAAGCAGCCATGATGGCAGGGCAACGCGAGCAGACATGGATGTCGGTGACAGAGAAATAACAGCAGTAGAGATACATGCAAAAGCGATCCATCTCCATGTTGGAGAAATATGACAGCGAGAGAAGAAAAAAAAAAAAAGACAGTCGACAGACACACCAAAAGAAGCCGGTGTTTCCACTTGGAACCAAACTCGATGACGCCGACCCTACCTTACAGAGTACAGACTCTCGATAATAACTAATCATAATACAGGGTCTGTATTATTTCTGCCTCCCACTGTACTCTGTTGGAATGCACTTAAGTCCTACATAGTACTTACAGTCCGTGCGAAGCAGAGCATCATGTTTTGATAATCAGCCTGCATGTCTGGAATAATACCGACTGTTCTTACAACGTACTTTTTCTGCTTCTTTCTCTTTTGCTCTGACTTACGGCCAGGGGTAATCGATGCAGAAATACTCCGCCATCTCTCGCAGCCAAGAAAGCAGCTGTTTGCAATGAACTTAACTCCATCACGGAAGAATCCATCATTGGAGAAGGTCAAACGATTGATTGACCCGGTTGCTCAGACATTTTATCCCGGCGAATCTGCAGCCATGATTTGGTAGCCCATATATTAATACTAGACAAACACGGTTCGCCTGTGACTGGTACTTTTGGCATCCAAATAAACATAACACACCGCGTCAAGGATACTTTATTAAAATATATATATATATATATATATATAAAGTGTCTATCCATGCCTACTACCTAGTAGTAGGTTACCTACATGTACCTATATTGACGGGAAAAGTGACAATCGGAAACAAACACAGCCATCAACATTGGGATGGGAATACGGAATAGAGCAAGGAGAACTGTAAGGTATCCACGCAGTCTATTCGATTCATCGAGACCATTGATCGACCTTTTATTTATCTGCGACTAGAAATACGGAGAAATAAGCGTGAGTATCAAACATAAACCAGACCTCAGATGCATCCAGGCTGTGACGCCGTACGCTCAATAATTACCGCCCTCTCCGATAGTAGGGAATCAAGCTACCTTGGGAACACGGAAAAAAATGGGCATCTGAAAGGCCAAACAAAAATAGTTCGCGTGGGAAAAAGTGAGATAAATTAGAGTAAACTAATTCTGGCAATAATTAGCACCATTATCAAAACATCATCATACTGAGGGGTTTTTTCTTTGAGGTGCCGGTAAGGGTGTATGGGGTGTTAGCTGTTGGTATGCACCCGAGGGACCACTGTAAAGATGGGAGGAAGAAGTTCCCATAGCCATGGAGTCATAGGGGTTGGGAGTCATAGGACTCTCAATTGACAAATTCTTAGATGCCGTTTCCATCTTTTAGCAGCTGATTCCCTGCAGGGCCAGGATATATCTCAAAGCAATGGCCGTTGCGCGTATGGATTACTATTGCCGGTAGTGAGCCAGTATGGTACGACTGCTGGTAATTATCCACTATGACTCTGGGTGGGAAAAGTGGTGGATGCAATAGGGCGTAACGGAACGGTATCGTACAACGGATGACGGTGGAGCTGCATCAGTGCAATTGCCCTCAGCCCAGCGCCTACCTTTGTCTAACCAGGAGGCAATTCCGCCCTGGATAAGACCGAATTGCACCATACAGAGGAGTAGAATCCCGAGTTCAAGGGCCTCAGACTCTCAGTGATGGGAGGTCACTCACCCACTTTTTCTGCACTGCTCGGTTGGCCTAAAAACTACATGAGTGCTACTTGGTGACTGGGCAGGATAAATAACGGTAATGACCGGTATGGTACGATACCACCCATTCCCCAGCGGGCGCAACAGCCAGTCCTTGCTGTGCTGCCCACCACTTTGCCTTTCCCCCCTTCAGTGTGTAAGTACGGAGTAGGAGTGGCCCGCCTTCCCGTCTCTCTCTCCTACTACTACTACTCTCCCCTCTCCCTCTCTCTCCCTCCTCTCTCTCTACACTCACTCCTCACTCTCTCTTTCTCCCATACAAATCCTCCTCCCATACAAAAAAAGTACTGCATATCCGCATCGGTGAGTTCCCTCAAGTAAACATCCCACTTCTGATCATTGTCTCGACACCACCAACACTTTTATTTTTTTCTGCGTTCCTTCTCATCGTCTTGTTCGATTGTCTTTTTTTTGCACCTCTTGCTTTGGTTTTTGCTTCATGGCTGCGCAATCTTGCTGTCGCGCATCTACCACCGCGCCTTTTTTATACTTCCAGAATCAAATAAACTGACTCAAATTGTCCACCACAGGCTATTTCGCCAACTTTTTTTAATTTCTTTTTTGACACGACTTGATCGATTTTCAGGTGAGTTTCTTTTGCGCGTTTTCTTTCTCGTGTCGTTCGACTTGCGCCCGGTCGCGATCGCTTTCTGTTCGGGCACGCGCAACACACTGCACCAGTTTCGCTACCTGATTTATTCCATTTATTTCCCTCCCTCTTGCGCTCTCGAGCGTGTTCTTTTCCTTGGAACCCTTTCCCGTTCACTCGTCAGATCCTTTAGTGGCAATTGCTTTTCCAATTCTCTAACCACATCCAAATAGAACCCATCCAAAATGCCCAAGGAAAAGTCCACCCGCAAGGCCGCCACCACCAGCAAGGGCCGCGGCGGCGGTACCGAGAGAAAGAAGAAGGGTATGTCATGCCTGATTGGCCCGTGTAACTGCTCTTGACTGACCGTGTTTTAGACCCCAATGCCCCCAAGCGTGGTCTTTCCGCATACATGTTCTTCGCAAACGATATGCGTGACAAGGTCCGTGAGGAGAACCCCGGTATCTCTTTCGGTAAGAAGGCCCCGGTCTATCGATTACTCTGATCAAGATCTAACCCCAAGTGCAGGCCAGGTCGGTAAGCAGCTCGGTGACAGGTGGAAGAACCTGAGCGACGCAGACCGTCGCCCCTATGACGAGAAGGCTGCCGCCGACAAGAAGCGTTATGAAGAAGAGAAGGCTGCCTACCAGGACCAGGTGCGTGATGAAAATATTCCTCCCCTTACACAAATTTCCATGCTAACGGTCTTTGCAGCAAGCTGCCGCCGATGAGGAAGAGGAATCCTCTTAAATATACTTTCCTCTATAGGTCTTGAGTGTCCTGACTGATCGGCGTTTCTTGTGTCATTTTCCGCTAATTGTCTGACGTGTATCCATCGGTTTTCTTTTCTTACTTTTTTCACTGTTCTTTGTCACTTTTAACACAACGGCTTCTGGTATGGGATGACGGTGGTTTCTCTACTTGCTTTTCTGTTTATGAAGGGTTTTCGATGGGAAATGTTTTACTGTATGGACTGGCGGCTTTGGGACGAACTTGAATTTGGGACCCGGCGCTATGATACTGTGAGCGACGGGGTCCTTGTTTGAGAACTGGTGCGTGGGATATGAATTGAATTGAACTGAAGCTTGAAGCTGCAGCAAGTGATGTGAGGCAAGCAATATTGCTGTATACTAGCCTAATCAACCGCATCCTTTTATCAGTGTATATGGTATAAACTGGAGTATTTATATTGACTTATATTTCTTTTTTCTTTTTGTTTTCTTTTTCTTGTCTGTCTTGCAGCGATGATCAGGTTCTTCTGTTCTGGTACCTGACCTTTGCCTGGCCCAAGCTCCTCAGGATGACGCGGGGATCGCGGCCAGAACTCGTTGTTTACATGTCACGCGTTGCCGAGGCTGGTGTCTATGCCTGAGTGCCTGATTGTCTTGATGCCTTGGTGCCTGGGGATATGGTGATACAGCAGCTCTACTCAGTACGACAGCTTCAGTCAGAACTTAAGAGAAAGCAACAGCAAACTCACAGAAGTTGGCTGTCGTTTCATCTTTACAGTACCCGGGGGATCTGACATTATCTTCTCAACAATCTCAGGATGATTTCGATTGATTATCTCTACGGACTGTCTACCTACATCACCCAGGCTAATCTCAACAGCCATTCTGCTTCAACTGATTCAAGCTCATCGAGTCCCGTGATCTGCACGAATGTAGACTCATTTAAGGTTCTGAGCAGGTGACTCCTCTTGGACTGCCAAAATAATTCAATGCCATCCAAAGTCGTTCTCTTTCCATCTGCCTGAAGAGTGTCATGCTGATTCGTTCATTCTCACCATCCTCCGAAATCTTCAGGAATATTTCCGATGCCTTTTAAACTCGTTAAGAGTCAGAGCAGAATGATCTCGCGGGGTTACTCACCCTCCACCATCGCCCATCACCGCTCAATTGGATCGATTCCGCTCTGCGATCCCGCCGCTCGTTCATCATTGGCTTTGCGGCTCCTGCGCGGCATGAACACGTCAACGGCCTAGAGTTAGAGGCATGTCCATGTCATGTCTGCTGCTCTGCTGGCTGTCTCTTCTGTCTGCTGTCCGCTTGTCTGCCATCTGTCTCTGTTTCTGTCTCTGTCAGTCTGCTCTGTCGAGACGAGACTCGAGAAATCCCCAGGAGCCGCAAGTCACTCAACCCTTGGGGCTCTGGGATTGCTTAGATGCCGCCCCACTCGGCATTTTCTCTTTTTCTTTCAGTTCATCATTCATAACAATTAATATTTTTTTCTTTCTCATAATCATCTCGGGTCATTTTTTAGACTTCTTTAGACGGAAGCGTCGATATGCGGCCGAGGGCTGATCACGATCCCACCGATAACGCTACACTCTTCCTCCCTTAATCGACCCTTATTCCCTGTGTGTAGATTTTTGGCCCCTCTGATCAATCCTATCTATCCAACCCCTGTTTCTTATTTTCTTTCAATTTTATCGTTGCAAAAAAAAATTTGTTGGTTTGCTTCCCTGGCGTTGTTGCCCATTCCTACACTTATTATCCAGTGCATAGTGTGCGTTGGGTGTGTGTGCGTGTTTTGTCTACACATCTCATCCTATCGTGGTGCCATTTTATTGGCTCCGAATCCTGTATCCTGTGGTATATATCAAGGGCAAAGGAACCCATGGCCTAACCCGAGCGACTGACCATCATGGCGTTGCGCACATCTGCTAATAATGCAGAGGACGTTGCAGCTGGTTTCCGTATGTTTCGCGACCCTCTGCCGGAACACGCAACGGAGATCACCAGGCTCATTGCCGACCTTTATTCTATCAGTTCGTCCCTCACTAGTTTGGATGACTTGACCAAGAACCCTCCTCGTCGGCATAATCTGTCTATTGCCAATCATGACCTGGAACTGGTCCGGACCAGTTTGAAATATACCTTTGAAGACATCGTCGACTTTTTCGGTGACATCGAGGTACGAAGGGGATCGACTCGAGAAGTCTACAAGCAGACATGGGTGGACCTGTGCACCTTCTTCCGAGACGAATCGCAAGATTCCTTGCCCACTCGCCTGGCCAAGTACAAGGCCTTTCTGAATGAGCTGGAGGACTTAATCAAGGAGTACGTTCTCTTCCCATGTCATGCCTGCTATATCTCGTCTCCCTTGAGCTCACCATTCTTCGACATCAACAGTAAATACCCAGATGCCCATCTCATGGCTGGTCTGCGTAAAAATATCAAGACTCTTCTGGTCTTACAAAATGACCGGCTTGCACCCCGTCTCGATGCCATCTCTTTGAACGACAAGTCACCCCCGTCGAGTAATGCCAGTGCCGAACCGAGCAGCCCAGTCAGTGACCGAAAACCTCGCAATCGTAGGTCGTACGAGCGGTCTAGACCATCGAATCAATCTTCCCAATTGCCTACATCACCGTCATCAGCAACTTTTTCCTCGGACACTCCTCCATCGGCGCCTTCTGCGCCTTCTGCTCCTTCCGCTGATACTCCGGGGTCTCCTATGACCGGCTCCTCCACCAGCCAATCCATCAACCCCGATACTCTAATCGACCACTGGGCCAAAAATGTTTTCTTGAATGAGAATGCTGCCACCCCAATCCCATTTGTGGGTGAGAGGTCAGTCATGTATCACCGCGGGGGATAGGATCCATGCTGACATGGTAATTTAGCTCCAAATGCCTGGGTAAACCGCACCCGGGTGTGAAGCGATGGCTTCATGAAGAGGGTTTTGAAGAACTCTTTCAATTGTATGTCACATAGCATATACCATTGTCCGATTATATTTTACTTTTACTAACTTGGGCAGGGCTTTCCCTGGTCCCTCGGACCTCCGCGTGCATCTTTACCTGCGGGAAGACGACCATCGAGCTCGGATTTTGTGCAAAGCACCCCGTGCTGGAACAGGGCGGTCGGACTACTTCTGCCTGCCTCTGAACATGCTGGAGATCATCCGTGTTGGCTCCTGTTTGCAGCTATGCCGACGACGGCGTGGAGGCAATGAGCTCGAGCTCTGGGCCAACCTCAAATTCAGTGCAATTGAACGTATGTATTATTGGGGGGACCTAGAACGACCTGTTTTTTTGTACTGTTACTGACTTTGTCGGACAGAAATGGTCATCTTCTTTTGCACATTCCTGGCCCTTCGCTCACAAGACTCTGGCCGGCCAGTGGAACGTATTTGGGATTATGAGCTTGAGGGAGAGGAGGAACTCTTCGGAGGGTAGGTCAATTCTCCTGACAGCTGAAACAGGATCATACTGAACCTCTTTCAGCCAAATCATCGATGACAACTATCTCCACGCTTTGCGTGTATATCGAGATGACATATCCAGGACTGTGAGACTTCAGGCATCGGTCCACAGAGGGGAAATGAAACGGTAAGCAAGATGCAAACATTTCTTTATGTGAGTGTGAGCTAATTAATACTCTTCCTTAGTGCCCCCGTCTGGACAGCCTTTATCACTCCTAACCTTGGATCCCGAGCATGGATTCGCCGGGTAGATTCGAAGGTGGTTCTGCTGCGCGGAATTCACCAAGTCATCTTCACCTTCCCTGATTATAATCCCCCACAAACATCTCGAGGAGAACACATCCTGATGTTTACTAGCCGATCAGGTGAGTGTCTTGGTACCTTTCTATAAGGATAAGTATATTTACGGGTTTTATTACAGATGCACAAGGCTTTGTTGACACAATGGCCGAACTTGCAATTTCCCAATGAACTGGTCTATATCTCTCTGTCTGGGAGAACAAAAACCATGCTGCAAAAAGCTGCAAAAAAGATGAACCGTCATCTGCCATGTCTAATGACTTGAAAAATTATCATGAAATACTATGTCACCCTATATTTACGACCTAATGCCTTACGACTGATGAGATATATTGATGAATTTTGGCGGTATACCTGCACGATTTGTTTGTCTTCATTTTTGATACTACTTCAAGCCTTTGATCATGTTTCGGGTGGTTTTTTAATAATTCGAACCGAGTATTTCAATAGAAGGCAAGGTTTCTGTAAAAGTCGATTAGGATTGTTGGTATAAGTATGGTCATCTATAAACAAATGGGTATCTTGAACTCCAAACTAAAGCACACAAAAGTAACAGATTATGCATCCGCCTCCACCCTGTTGGCAGTCAAGGCCCCCAAATCTCCCAATCCAGCCAGGAATGTCTCTGCCCGTCTTTTGGTCCGTAACTCGTCAATCTTTTTTCGCCGCTCATCCTTGACTCGCTCTCGTTCGGCCTTTCTCTCCTGCCGGGCATCTCGCTCCCTCTGTGTCTCCTCCCGAGCACTCATCAGCTCCTCCATCTGCTTTCGCCGTACCTCTTCATCCTTGGAGAAAGCATAGAACCCTGTACCCCGGTTGCGCACCTCCGCGTCTGGGTTATAATGCATCTCACCCGGCGGGGTGGGCGACCGGTCCCTGCGCGCAGCAAGGTAAGACATCTGTTGTGCGGCGAGAGCAGACGGGTTAAATGCCTGAGCCTGAACAGTGGCACCGTGGATGAGGTTATCCGGACGAGCGGGACGCCAGCGTTCTGCGGCGTTGATGCGTGTGTCGCCTTCTTCCTGCTTGATACGGGCTGCTTCGGCGGCTTCCTTTCTGGTACCGCGGCGAGTACGACCTAGTTCGTCTTCGTAGGAGACTACGGAGGCGTTGTCATCGTCTTTTTCATCATTATCCTCATCCGAAGACCCAGTCCGCATTCTCTCCGCATCAGCCCATTTCTTATCGAAATCCACCAATCCCTCTCTCTCCTTCCGACGAAGTCGAGATAGATAGTCCTCCTGCTGTCCACGTGTCCGACTAGGTCCGATATCGTCGTCATCATCATCACTACTCGCAGCCAGATACGCCCCGCTTTTCAAGTCGTCATACATCCGCGCCTTCTCTTCCATCCGTCTCTTGGAACGGTGCAGCGTGGCGGCGTCCACGGCGCCAATGTCCGCGGTGCGCTGGTGCACCTGGCGCATGGAACCGGTGTCATCGTCGACAAGATCGGCCGCGGCGCGTTTCTGGGTGCCCTTGTTGTGCTTGGTAAAGATGTCGGATTTGGAGGCTTTCGAGGGCCGGGGGCGGCCGCGGGTATTGGAGGTGTCTTGGGAGATTAGAGAGGAGAGGTGGGTGGTGAAGGCGAGGGTGGAGGAGGAAGGTGTGTCTGATGCTGAGGATTGTTTTTGACGGGGATTTCCGTATAGTGAGTTGGAGGTCATGTTGAAATTGTTGGTTGGGGATTTTGCAAGTTGATGGAATATTTGCGTGACGGTGAAGGGCGAAGGGACAACGATCGACGTCTGACTAAGGCCGATTATGTATTTGCAGCCCCGCGCGAACCCCACGATGGCTTCATCTTTTCTCTTTTTCGTCATTCTTACATCTATCCAGTGGATTTCAGGTTCATCTGTCGTCCTCTTTTAAATCGCCTCCACCGGAACTCTAGAATTGTTTCTGTTAAAATTCAATTGCTCCATCATGTCTAACCCCATCTTTCTCGGTATCATTGGTATGTCTACACCCCTCAGCACTGGATCCCTCCCAGTCTCTGCATGACTCAACATTAACCATCAACCAGGTGTCGGAGGTGTTGGCTCTGCCTTCATCAGCCAGCTCGCCCGTCTCCCCAACCCCCCTATTCTCGTCCTCCTCGCTCGCTCGACCCAGACTCTTCTGGCTCCCGCCCCGGAGTACAGCCCCCCCATCCCCGCCGCCGACTGGAAGTTCGCCGTCGAGTCCCCCTCCCTAACCAAGACTGGTCCTTTGTCTCCTGAAGAGATCTCCGCGTACCTCGCCTCTGCCCCCGGCCGCTCCATCCTCGTCGACAACACCAGTGACCCCACCATCGCCGGCTCCTACCCCACCTTCCTCCGCAAGGGTATCTCCGTCGTCACCCCCAACAAGAAGGGTTTCTCCTCCGACCTTGCTCTGTGGAAGAACATCTTCGACGCTGCCTCCCAGGGCAACGCTCTCGTCTACCACGAGAGCACCGTCGGCGCTGGTCTCCCCGTCCTCTCCACCCTGCGCGACCTGGTCGCTACCGGCGACGAGGTCACTCGCATTGAGGGTGTGTTCTCGGGCACCCTGTCCTTCCTCTTCAACACCTTCGCCCCCTCTTCGGGTTCTTCGTCCGCCAAGTGGAGCGATGTGGTCTCTCAGGCCAAGGAGCTGGGATACACAGAGCCAGACCCGCGTGATGACCTGAACGGCATGGACGTGGCGCGCAAGCTCACTATCCTGGCACGCATTGCTGGTGTGGAAGTTGAGAGCCCCGATTCTTTCCCCATCGAGTCTTTGATTCCCGCTGAGCTGGCCGGCTTGCCGTCAACCTCGGAGGGCATTTCGCAGTTCATGGGCCGCTTGCCCGAATTTGACGGCCAGATGACCGCCATCAAGGAGGGCGCTGAGAAGCAAGGCAAGGTTGTGCGGTACGTTGGTAGCATTGATGTGGGCAAGAAGGAGGTCCGTGTCGGTCTGCAGTACTTTGACTCGGACAGCGCCATTGCCGGACTCAAGGGCAGCGACAACATCATCAGCTTCTACACCAAGCGGTACGGAAGCAACCCTCTGATCGTTCAGGGAGCCGGAGCTGGTGGTGAAGTGACTGCCCACGGTGTGACTGCCGACCTGCTGAAGGTGGTTGAGAGATTGTAAACCAATTCCCCCACGGGATATGTATATCAAACATGAAGCAACGCAACATGCAAATAGTATGTAACGAATGAATATGCACATGATTAGATCTATTCAACTCCTTAAAAACCCCTTGACAGCCTCGCCCCAGACGGTTCCTCTTTTATATAAATGCATTTGCGGTACATTACCCGCTTTCAATCCATCAATAGCCTGAGCCAGACCCTCCCCTAGACATTTATCCTTGATTTGCTGAAGAGGATATATATACGTATGAAATGCAAAGACGGGTGCTTTACTACCAGGAAGACAATGAAGAGTCTGCCGTTCACACCGAACAACCGTCTTCATTATCAGTCAGCACCCAGATATATCACTTGGGGATGGGCTCGAATCGAGATCCATGGTTGCAGAATCGTAGACTGGGACAGTGGCCATTGGGATGTTCTGATAGTAGACATCTTCACCTAGATAGCTGACGCGTTCATCGAATATATCAGTCACGATGATCGAGATACACACTCATGATCATTGACGGGTTTTTCCGCCTTGACAATGTCGATTGATCCAATCACCGACGCAGCACTAGATGACGATCCTGATAGAGATAGGCATAGAAAGATAATAGATTCTCGACCATTGGAGATGATCTGTTCAGCAAATGGGCCACAATATATATATACAAACAGGGGTATCGATAGAAGCAATATAAAGAGGTAACCGAAAAAAAAACAAACAAGCACCCGCTTCAAGCAATCGCATATTAAACATATCGCTCTGACCGGATCAACGCCACATCACATCACGCAGACTGATAATCCCATAGGATATCTTAACCCCAGACCGCAGAGCTCGTCAGGTCGTATTAGCCACTCTCTCCCTCGGACTTCTCCACTTGACCTCCCCATCCCCATCCTTGAACTTCATATAACTCAACCCCTCCTTCTCCTCAGTATAGACATCATCTCCGGGACTGTCCATCTCTACCCCGCGCAACCCAAACACTCTCCGCTGGCCGCTTGGCCGCTCATTGAGACTTGGCGCGCGAGGTCTCTGCATGCCCTGCGCCCGACCACCAATCACAGGGAACTCATACGTTGTCATCCGGCAGATGTATAGGACGATATCGAAGACGAGAAGGGCGGCCCAGGGGACGATGGTGAGGAGTCCGAGGACAAACTGGACTTGCATTAGCGGATACTATCTACATCACACAAGGCAGATGACAAACGTACGAAAACCCGGACCGCCCAGCTTTCGAGATAGATGAGGTCTGGTGGGAGAAGAGAGTACCAGGCCATTTTTTGTTTCTCCCTTGTCTGTAGTGTAAACAAATGGATAACGTTCAGCGGGTGATAAATCGGGGGATAAGTCGAGCGAAACCTCCTTGCATGCGATTATTTAAGAAACAGCGCATCCATGGGGCGCTATTAAAAGCCGGGGAGAAGTGTAGCTGTCCTGTTGCGTTGTGCGTGATTGTGATTCGAGCTTCTATTTACGGAGACCGTCGGGATCGGTTTGTGGCGGCAAGCAGGACGGAGGACTCGAGGGGGGTGTTTTGATGAAATAAACAATCCGAGAGAGTCTGCAATCTCACCAAGAAACAAAGGTGAATGAATAGTAATCAAGAAGGAGCGAAGAGAGTAGCAGAACAAAGGCAGTCGGGGAAAGATTCAGGGACAACAAAGCGCAAGTCGGAAGCTCCGCGAAGATCGGCCGAATCAGGCAACTGGCTAGAATTGGCAGTATAGCGTGATGTCATTTTGACAGGGAGACGGCTTCTGGTTACTATCTGATGTGTTCCTGAAGTATTTATTACCAGCAGACAGAGCCATCAATGGCATTGTTAGTTTGCTACCCAGGATAGGGGAGAATGCATCATCATTATCGATAGTCCTGGATGACTAGATTGAGAGTAGACATACAGATCACTATTTGGCAGCCATTGTCATAGCGTGGGGCAATGGCGCAGCTGGGAGCGCGTTAGACTGAAGAACCAACTTCAGTAACTGGATTACATCCGTTTATCTAAAGGTCGCTGGTTCAAGCCCGGCTTGCCCCATTCTTTTTTTGATCATTTTTTTTTTTATCAGAACGAGATTTTTTATTGTTATTCTTTTTGAAAAATAATTAATTGACCAATCAATATCAACACAAAATTCAGTAACTTTATTTTGGATTAACTCATGTAATCCCATACAAACGCCCCGACAGTGAGCCTGTGACTTGCTACTAACTACACCATAGCATACACATTCGCCCCCATATTCAACACTCCACATTCTTACAAAGCTTCGTTTTCTCAGCAATATTAAGCGCTTCGGCATATTAGCATGTTATTATTAGAAAAAGTTCATTACGTAGTATGCATGGATGCTTCCGTAAGAGTCAAACTGAGCTAATTGCAATGTCATCCATAGACGCAGTGCAGCACCAGTCAGGTCTGCCATACGGATAATCCAAGGTTTGCGGACAATTTCTACGAGATGTATCCAATCCCTATTGATGTTTGAGTAAGATACATAGCCTTCATTCTACTTGTAATCAAAGTAATGCTTCAATTTGAAAACTGCTCGCAAGGCATACATACTGTTGAAAGTAAAGAGTAAGATGCTGACATACTAGCCCTAACCGCGTAACCTTAGCAGTAAGCACAGTCCCACTCAACCTCATGGAACCATCCACCCACCCATAATGGAGTCAGCCAGAAAAAAAAAAAAAAAAAAAGGGAGACAAAAAAAAGAAAAAGAAATGGGGCAAGCCGGGCTTGAACCAGCGACCTTTAGATAAACTTGGAATGAATCCTGTTACTGAAGTTGACGCTTCAGTCTAACGCGCTCCCAGCTGCGCCATTGCCCCAGGACTTGTTGAAACGCTTCGTCGTTAATGTTCCTATGTTAAAAGACGAGATTTCAGATGTATTGTAGTTACATCCATCTTACCTAGTTAGGTAGGTATATAGTTACATCGGTTTAGATCGTCTATATTGTATTTGTAAAGTACAGGGAGGTTGTTATATTCAAATCCATATCCAAAATAATATCCCAATAATAAAACCCAGGGTCTATGTAGTATAAACAAAAATGGCTAAAAATCACAGAAACATAAGGCGTAAAATATATTTTCATCGTGGTGCGCGGAAATGCTCGTACGAGGTGAAGCTGGGCTCGTCCTGTTCAACAGGACCATACCCTCCCGTCCGCCATCGGTCCGTCGGCCCATACGTATCGCTATGCGCGGGCACTTGGGCCTGGGACAATAGCTGGGTTTCACTCTCGTTGTTGTGCTGGTAGAGACCGCCACCCACCGTCGGAACGGTGCCACTGTCTCCACGAGACAATGGCACCCGGAAGGCGGGATGCGTTTGCTCATCCATGCTCGGTCGATAAACATCAGGCATCTTAATACCTGATATAGATGGGAGTGAAGGTGCTGGCGATGATGCACGCGACGATGTCGGCGACCATTCGCCCAGGGCACTTCGGGGTGTCTGGGACCGCTCCGTCATTAGATCCTCGGGACGGCCGTAGATACCACCACCAAACTCGTCCTGGAAGTCTGGTCGGTCCTTGAAATACGAGAAATCAAGTTGGTTCTCCGCCACGACCTCAAAGGGAGCGTTAGGCGGATCCGTCAGTTTGCCCGGATGCGACTTGGACATGGGATCCAGTGCAATATCCGAGTATTCTCCCGACATGTCTGTCGAGTGAAGGCGGCCTCGATAGATACGCTTCAATACTTCAGCCGCCTTGGCGTGCACCATCGGGGTGATCAAGGGCTTAAATAGGGCCGGGTGGCCGAACTTGGTGTTCAATCGATCCGATGCCTTCTTGGCCGACTTTCCAGCAGCCAGCGCCTCAGCATCGGACAGATTCGCCCGGTTATAGAATTTGCAATCGACATCAAACTTCCTCATGCAGTAGACCTTAAAGGCCAGCATCAAAAACGGCAGTGGGACCACACAGTACACCATGGTCCATGTGCCTTGCACTTTGGTTACCAGAGCGACAATAATGTTTGACATGATAGTCGCAAACACCATACGGTTGAACAATACCCGCCAGAACAGACCCCCAGATTCGTTTTTGGTCACAAACACATACATCAGCAGGTATTTCTTCAACATTGCATCAATGCCAAAGTACAGCGCCGTGACCGGGAGGACGATTGGCTGCAATGTCGCAAAGCAAAAGGCCACGGTAGCATAGTACAAGAAGTAGTTATAGTAACTGGCATATTCAAAGGCCGGAGGTGCAGTCCATTCAATCGCCTGGCGAGGCGTGGGCGAAAGGAAGGTCTTGGCGAACCAGACCCAGATCAGATGAATCAGCTGCACGAGATCTATGGCAGCACCCATATTTCGTTGTAACAACCAGGTCACCCAGAAGGGAGACACCTGACACAGAGCGTTGATAATTTTGGCGTAGAATTGTCCGGCCTTCATGGCTTCCCAGGCATTCTCGTCGTGGTTCTTGGCATCGATGACGGTCGTAACAAATGTCCACGCAGCGGAAAAGAGCGAAAAGACCACCAAATTGTTGAAAACGAAGAACGCGTAGAGGTGGTTGAGGACATGGCGCTCTCGCGAAGTCTTGGTCACATCACCGGCCTGGATCGCGAGCCGGCGAAAGATGATGGGCAGGATGATATAGACCAGCGAGGTGACGGCGGGAGAAAGAATACCCTGAACAGCAGCCCAAACCTTGGGATTGGCACTGAGCGATGTTTGGAATGCCGGCCAGACTAGTCCCAAGTTGGACAAGTTGGACAAGAAAATGGCGATCATCGCGTTAGGTGCAATCCAAACCACTGTCAGAAGCGTGACCCAGATCATGTTGACAAACCGCTTCCACCTTCGCGCAGCCTTGGACAAAGGCAAGTTCTCCCAAATGAGATCGTGGGGCCGGGGAGCCAGCTGGATGGTAGTACCCTGCGGGTGCTTTTTGCGCGCAGTGTAAGCCACCGCATGAGCATGTTCGATCATGTCAAAACTGGCGAAACCAAAGGGCATCGCATTTCGGCGATCAATCGAAGACCGAACATGGCGGACTTCCTCCTCCAGTCTCTGGATCTTGTCCGTCAAGTAGTCAATGGCATCCACTCTGTCGGGGTGTCCGTCCCGCTCTTTCCTAGGCACGCGCATCATAGGCCGAGCAGGCAGGTTATCGGGTCGCTTGAGGTACTTGGCCAGCACAGTCTCGAGTTGCCGTACAGTTTCGTCATGTTTCTTGATCAATTCGGGGAGCAGCTTAACGTTACGACCGACGGAGGCTAGAGGCAGAGCGGCTGTGGGGTTGACCACGTCAGTAAGACGCATAATGCCCTCGACGGACCGGGCTTTTTCGGGAATATCGGTGATCTAACAAAAGATAATCAGCATTGCCCGTCAATTCCTTGTGGGGAGACTTACCATCAAGGTTCGAGCATGCAGACTGCGCTGATACTCGGAACTCTTGAAATAATTCCTCCGCAGTTCCAAAATAGCCTTGTAATTCCTCCAGAGGAAGAATACAATGACGATATCAAAGGCCCAAGCACAAGCGACCTGACTCCAAATAGCATTGGTCTTAACGTACATTGGGGTCATGGTGGCGAATGGGGAAAGATCCTTGGTGAGATCGGGTTCACTCTGTGTGATATTAATGGGAATCATAACCAGACATCCGATGATGCTCAGGAAGATGAAGATATTGCGACACATCTTAGTGAAGCGCAGAAAGATGGTAGCATCGAGACCGATGCAATCGACAAGCTGGGGCTCCTTGGTGCCCAGGACGGGTTTGACCCAGGCAAAGAAGCCTTTTCCCACAGGAGGAGGCGTATGTCTGCGGTCGGCATGTTTAACCTTGGGAGCATAGATGACAGAGTGACGAGGGCGAAAAAGCGAGAAGAGGAGGGTGAAGATGACAGCGACGGGGGCGGCAGTCACCAAGGAAGCATAAACGGCGTTCAATTGAAACTGCGATCTGCCATTAGCGAAAATTTCTGGATGGAATTGAGGATCTGGGAATAACACACAGCAGACTTGAATGGATTCTGAATGAGTTGGAGAAAGAGATCGGCCGACGTTTGAGGGGGTGGATCATCACGCGCCCAGAGGACGCTATGTTGAGGATCCATTGCGCGACGGGGAGAGATGCAGCATGGACGCGAAAACGAAGGACGAAGAGAAACGAGCGAGAAGAAGATCAAGATACAGAAGAATCCAAGAAGAGAAGAATAAAAAAAAGAAGGGAAAAAAAATGGGGAAAGAAGAGAAGATGGAGAAGAAAAGAGAGACAAGACTGAAAAGAGAGACAGACAAAGAGTGGGTTCTGGAGGCGGGTCTAAGCTGGGTGGCACTAGGGCTGCTTAGTCCAACGATCAAGGATTGATATGGAATTGGAATGGAATATTGGAATCAGGATAAAGAGCAGAACAGAAGGAATGAAGGGACTGAGAACTCGTGGGTGTCAACCGGGGATGAGAGGTGGAGGCACGAGATGTGTGTCTGGACCCTATTACTACTGACTATCCAGAAGATCACATCAGAATCATCCGCCGATCCTGCTGTATATGGCTGCATGGATGTGTCTATACATCTAATATCTCATCTCATCTACTGAAATCATCCGATGATCTCTTCTGATTTCAACAACACAGCACATCCTCAGCATCTTCTCATGCCCCCAAAAGAAAAGAAAGAAAGCTGAGAGAAATAAGAAATGCCGCCCCACCTCCGATCCATTGCTATTTTGGCGGGCCAATCAGCGACTGCCGTTCCCCTTGAGTCTGGAACATTGCAGGCTTTTTCTGAGACACGCCAAGAAGTGGGTTTCATGGATCCCGTCATGTCCCAATCGGGCAGTCTACGTACGGAGATACGTGGCATGGTATATACACTTATGAACTGTGAAGAGGTTATGAATATGGATGAGTACTATTCTGACATAGTATAACTACCTACATATTATATCTACCCAGAGAATAGGAGAGGATATGTAGCGGACACTAGTGCATGGGCTATAGCCAATAGTACCATGTCAACCGCTCGACAGCTGGCCTTTCTGAGACAATCTATCTTGGTGAAACCATCAAGACTGATCAGTTGGCAGATAGCTACATACTGTGATAGGCCTACATACATTAGTAGGACTACATACATGACCTATGTATGCACCACGGACTATGTACGAGATAGGTAGGTGTGAAGACTCAACACCATCAAATCAAAACGTCATTACTAATCAGTCGACGTCATAGCACATATCCCGCTGCAAAATCTAATACTCGACGGACTACTGTATACCGACTACGTTTGAAACTTCACTCCACATGGAAAGCAATTAATTTTTTCATCACTTTATGTACTGGTATTTTGGTATGTCGTCAAGTCTTCGTGATTCATCACCGGAGACCACGAGTCAGGGAAAAAAAAATTAAAACAGAAAAGAAAAAAGAAATTCATCAGAGGCGTTCGAAAACCCTTACAGCTGACCAGCAGAGTTGAAGTCCGCAAGAGCCTCCTTGACACGCACGCTCATGGTCTTCTCACCCTCACGCACCCACACGCGGGGGTCGAAGAACTTCTTGTTGGGCTTGTCAGCACCCTCGGGGTTGCCAACCATGCTCATCAAGTAGTCCTTCTTGTTGAGGACGTAGTCACGGATACCGGTCAGGTAGCAGTACTGCATGTCAGTGTCAACGTTGACCTTGACAACACCGTAGCTGATGGCCTCCTTGTACTCCTCCTTGCTGGAGCCAGAGCCACCGTGGAAGACGAAGAAGACGGGCTTGTCCTTGGAGGAGCCGGTCTTCTCCTTGACGTAGGCCTGGTGCTTGGAGAGAAGCTCGGGGTGCAGACGGACGTTGCCGGGCTTGTAAACACCGTGGACATTACCGAAACCAGCGGCAATGGAGAAGTAGGGGCTGACGGCAGCGAGGGCGTTTTGGATGGCCAGGATGTCCTCGGGCTGGGTGTAGAGGGAGTTGTTGTCAACGTCCTCGTTGTTGACACCGTCCTCCTCACCACCGGTGATACCGATCTCCTATTAACAAGATTAGACTCAAATATGGCATACATTGAACTGAGCAGAAACTTACCATCTCGAGCCACTGCTTCATGGGGGCAGCACGCTTGAGGTAGGCCTGGGTGGTGTTGATGTTGTAGTCGACGGGCTCCTCAGACAAGTCGATCATGTGGCTGGAGAAGAGGGGCTCGCCGTGGAGCTTGAAGTAACGCTCATCCTCATCGAGGAGACCGTCGAGCCAAGGCAGGAGCTTCTTGGCGCAGTGGTCGGTGTGGAGGACAACGGGGATACCGTAGCTGGGGGCAACGGCACGGATGTAGTGGGCAGCGGCGATACCACCAGCGATGGAAGCCTTCTGGCCGTCGTTGCTGACACCCTGTCGAGATAGATTAGTTGGGTTGCTCCTCATGTCAACAAAACATTGAAAGTTCTTACCTTGCCAGCGAAGTAGGCGGCACCACCGTTGGAGAGCTGCAGGATGATGGGGCAGTTCTGGTCACGGGCAGCCTCGAGAGAAGCAACAACAGTGGAAGAGGAGGTGACGTTCTATCAACAATGGCCAGTCAGTTCATGGATCCCAACTTCAAGGAGGGGTCGTTGGTCAACTTACAATGGCGGGGATGGCGAAGTTCTTCTCCTGAGCGTACTCAAAGAGACGGAGGACGTCATCACCGACGATGACACCGGCCTTGCGGGAGAGCTGTTCGAGGACACCCATTGTGATGGTTGATGAGGTAGAAGAGAGGTAAAGGGAAGATTGATAGATGGAGATTGGAAATAGATGAAAGATGAAGAACTGGAAGAGAAGAGGAAAGGTCAGCGAGGTCTTTCTTTCTTATAAACCTGACCGGACGACGAATACGGTGCCGGACAATTTAATAAGTTGGCAAAAAATGGAGGGGCAACGAGCCGCTAACGGAGGGGCAGCAACAGAAGAACTCACCGGACGGTGGAGCACCGGCTGAGGTCAGTATGATTTCAGTGCCCGAATGGAAACTGAACTGGTTTTGCGTGGAGCGATGTTGGACGAGGAAAAGAAGATCAGAAAAAAAAGAAGGAAGGAAAAACAAGAGTCAACCGGGAAAAGAGGGGGTGATATAGGTTTTCTGGCTGGTTCAGCAAGATACGGCTTGCGGTGGTTGCTTGTTGTGGTGGTGGGGGTGGTGACTGATGACGATGACGCCGTTTGGCTCCCTGCTGTCCCGAAAATCCCCGCGTACATCATCGTCCTGCCTGACCATGGGCCGAGCTCTGCTCCCGCCACCCGTCAATAGCATCATCCATTGCTATGCGCTTCATCATCCATCTGGCTTACTACGGGCACGTTCGATCCAATTCCATCTCTAGAGCTGGCAGGAACGAGATGGAAATCTGGGAAACGGACTGCTGGCTGGGGATTTCACCAGGATAGCATCACCTGGACCCTCGGACCCCATTCCCCTCATCTTTACCCTGCTAAAGAATTGATCCCCTTCTCCGTATTTCTTTCGTGCTTCATCCCAACGTCGGCGGTTTCAGCGGGGAAACCCATCCCCGTCGGTTCGTAGCTGCTCTTTCATTCCAAGGAATTCGCGCATCTTCCGTCTCGTGTTCAATTCCTGTTGTTGGACAGGGTCTAGATCTGGCTCTCTCCCCTGTGCAGTGTGTATTAATGGCAAAACAGCATCTTAAAAACACCTCATCTCGACCAAACAAGTATGTCCAATTCCCCAAAGCTATGTTCAATTAAAAAAATGAAGAATATGAAACGCAAGATCCAAAGCTCCTGTACAGGTCATGTGGACTTTTTCCTCACTCACTCTATCTCGATCTATCGCTTTTTCCTTCCGTTTGTATATACCGACAATATGTTGAAAATGTACTCTCGTATATGGCCAAATATCAATATGCAAAGTGTTCTGCAGTGTTGCTTTCAATTCGTTCCACATGTTCATCGCCCCTTCGTCCGGTGCCTCGGCTTTAGGCCGCGGGACTAGTGCTCGGTTTCTCCATCTCATAAAACAGGAGATACACCTCCTTCTGCATTCCCAACACATCCGACGTCTTGCACTCTTTAATCTTCTCATCCGAGATACGCCACCACCGATCATGCGGCTTGCGACGACGACGTAGCCGGGAAGCTCCTGTAGACGTCTCGATCGAGGTTCGCAAGGAACTGGCAGCGGACTTGCGCCGGCCACCATCCGTCGTTGGGCTGCTGGGATCAGGTGTCGGTGATAAGTTTTGTTTGGAGCTCGACGACTTGGACCGGGTGCTTTGGAAAGATACCCGGGAGCTCGAGGTAGTCGGCCGAGGGGGTGGAGAAGAGGGAGTATTCAATTGAGACGCAGCCTTTGGGGATTCCTTGGTCGAAAGAGCAGGGGACGACAATGAACCTCCTGAAAGGGAAGGAGATGATGTCGAAGTTGAGATGCTAATCCTCCCGGGATCCATGTCAGGCGCGTTACGTGGTCCTAGGCGAGGACTGGGGGCTCGAGAAGGATTTTCACTTGCCGCTCGACTCTGGGCGTAGGAGCTGAAAGCATCTGGCGTGGAGAATGGGGGATAGAGATGGTTACGGCGGAACGACTCGTAGTGCCCGCTGTTGTGGCTACCTTTGTGGCAGACAATCGCCAGCAGCTTGAACCACTTTTGATTGAGGATCCCTCCCAGGGGAAGTCGCTCAGGGAATGACACCTTTGCCGCGTTTTTTGTAGAGCTGCTGTGGTCGAAGATGGACCGCGAGAGGTGAATTGCAATGACCTTGGGGAACTTGGTGATCCGCATATGCCTTGCAATTCTCCGCTTGGGAGTGGAATCTGGATGTGGGAGCCTTACTCCTTCCAATGGCTGTTCTGGGTCATTTTGCAGGGCGTTTTCGATCTGCTGAACCTCTGCCTCCAGCATTTGACGCTCCTTCCCTGAACGGGTCCTAGCCAGTTCGTGGTTCTTCACATCCAGAGCATGCTGCAGTCGGCATCGATCGCATTTGAAATCCTCGATATGCTCTGTTTTGAGCAAACCATCAAAGCAAGAGCTGAGCGTTGTGGAGCTCTTCTGCGGTACTTGCAGTGTCAGGTTGACAAAGGACGTCTTGTTCGGCTTATACTCATAATGACAGAATTGACATTCGATCTGAGACTCCAGTTGACCTTCGAATGGGAAACCGTACTCGTTGTCAATATCCTTCAGCTTCGAGTCAATAATCGCAGGAAGGCCGTTTTCAGTTCCATCATCGATCCGAACCTCGACCTCGGCTCCGTTTTTCGATGTGTCGACGTCCTGGGCAGGTTCCAAAGTGCCCGAACCCGCAGGCGTTCCAAGAGAACCTTGCACCCTCTGACGTGCCTTGACACCGGCATGATACTCGTCACAGAGCCGCTCAGCCACGATCTGCAGGAACTCCTGTGCATCCTGCTGGTTGCGGCTGATGCGCGTCCGGAAGGCAAACTCGAGGGCCTGAACAAAAGCCCGTGCAGAAATAGTCTTCTTGTAGATCGGGCGCTCATTCAGTCGGTCCAGCATTTCTTTGAGTGCCCTGGTAATTGTTCCCTGCTGCAACTCCCGAATTTTGTCCGGGTTTTGCCCCCGCGAAATCTCACCCAAATCTGGCAGCGAATTGTATACCTCGGGTCCATCCAGCTCGCGTCGATGAATCTCCCTTATCAAATAAACCCGTAGATCCCCAAGACCGGCAAGGGCCTGTAAGACCGAATTGATAAAGCAGTCATTAGCCGGATTTGACAGTCCCACAACATTCTTCTTGCGATAGCTATCACTCGACTCATCCCCATCGATTGTGTAGTTGGGGCCGAAGACGTAGAACAGGGCGACCGCAGCGAGGGAGGCCCCAGCCGCATATGCGGCGACCGTCGTTGGTTTTTCCTGCATCAATGCCTATATATTATGTGTGGCGTTGGTAGAAGAAGTCCTGACGAGCCAACGTCGGGATCATGGCTCCGTCGCCGTCAATTCCGAGAAAAAGAGAAACGGTCTGTAGGTATTTCGAATGCGATATGCGTAGGGTAGCTCGAGTATCGTATGTATCCGGTGTATCCAGGTATTTAGTTTAAGACGTTGCTTCGGTATAGACTGCTATGGTCGAGACAAATCGTCAGTTCAACAGTTGAGTTCTTCTTCCCCATAAACCCCGAGCGTGCGGAGAGACCGAGAAACGGGGAAACAGAGAAACAACCGATGGGCAGCTTACCTATTAAAGACCCAAACGAGCGGTCCAATTCGGATCTAATCAAACACACTAGGGACAGATAGTCGAATAATAGATGAGGACAGGAAAAGGGATACTGTCGTGGGGGAGAGCAGAGAAGAAGAACTACTCCGTCTTTTGCCCGAACCTGTCCGTCTGTTCTCCTCGTCTTATGCCAAGCGCCCGTCGCGCTCACAACAGTCCGACTCCCACGACGGATTCTTCGGATCTCCGTGTTTCTCTTGCAGATCCCCGCATTGTTGTTGTCATCTTTCTTGGGTCGTTTCTTTGGTCCATATCGCCCTAGGAGGTGGACTAGTTGGTAGGCAGACAGATTTGCCGTTGGATGACTCTTCTGGGGTAGCAGGGATGATGATCTTCGATGGCGTTTCGAAGATCCCACGCCCAGGCTTACTTTCAAGTCAGGGACGAGTTGGGTCGCTCGTATTTTAGAAAATTGCTTGAATCATTATTGGGGTATGAAAGATGATCATCACTGCCGAATTTTAGGCCGCATACAGCGGTTCTTGGTGATGGTTTATGAATAATTATAATTATTGTTCCTGGTGAGTTGTTCGATGTTATATACAAGTGAGGAGACACCACCAGGGTACTCGAAACAGGATTGTCCAGCATGACACGACCATTACGCAGCTGACTTGATGATATTAATATTTACATCGAATCTCTTCAATACCACCACTGTGCAGCTTTGTTTTTTAATGTTCTCATTAAAACTGACCATCCAGTACATCTTAGATCATTGCATTCTATAGATTCATGACTTGGTATTTAAACATGCAACATAAGTTTTAATCGCCAGAAAGATATATCCTATCTCATCAGACCATCCCACCCTATGTGAATCAAATCTATGCCTTAGGCAAGGTAGCTACCTTCTCGTTGAAAAGGTCCTCGGCCTGCTTCCAGACACGGGCGTTGGATCGGTCCTTGAGCTGCAACAAGCTGGGCATCAAAGCCTGGCTGAACATCTCAGAGCTCTCACGGGGAAGGAGAGACGGGAGATGGTCAATGCTGATCACACTCAGAGGGGGGCCCTGGGTGCCAGCCGGCAAAGTGACGGGCACGGTAGGCTTGTCAAAGGTGGTGGTGATGTCGTAAATGGGGATGGGGTTGTGGGGGTTAGTGCTAAGCGAAAAATGAACCGGTTAGCGACGGCCAAGAATATTGTGATCAAGGCTGAAGGAACTCACGTATCAGCGCTCACGTCACAGACGACAGAAAGGCTTCTGCTGGGGGACGAGAGGGTTTCCACGTTGACGAAAGGAGGGATCTCGGCGGAGAGGTAGATGCAGTTGACGAAGATATCAGCATCCTCGACGATCTCCTTGAAGGGTCCACCTATGGATCAAGATCAGTACAAAAACTTTAGAAAAGGAGCGACAACCTAACCCTTCTTAGTCTCTTGAATATCCCACTGGATAATGTTGGACTCGGGGATACCGACATCCTTGGCCAGCTGCACAGCACCATTACCGCAACGTCCAAGCTACTTGTGTTAGCAATATCATCTCTAAAGGTAGAGCGATTCACTCACAGCTCCGATGACAAGGACCTTGGGCAAGCGGCCAGACTGCTTCTTGCCAGCCTCGAGAGACTCCTTAACCGACTCGATCAACAAGTCCTGGTTGGCATAAGGGGTTTCGCCAGGCAGAGACTCGCCTGCGGGGTGAGTCAACTGCCATGCCCAGTTCTTAACAGCCAATGCGGAGCCTGCTATGTCTTAGTATTCAATCTCCAGTATCACCATTCAACGAGTAATTACCTGCATATCCAGCGGACCATCCGAAAGCTGCGAATCGAAAATAAGTCAGTCTGATACTCAATTGACAGACCAATTCATAATCATTTGTGTCTTACCAGCAACTCTGCGTCCAACATCATCGGTCAAGAACTCCAGGTCCAAAAGGAGGCCACCTCCACGGGGCCACCGGCTGAGAACCTTCTCCCAACCACCCTGCTGCTTGTAGCAGTGTGCGAACGAAATGTGGACATGCTCGAGGGGGAATTCCTCTTCGGGCAACTCCTTGAGACCCAGAATGTAAGCATCCTTGGGGGCATCCTTCACCCAAGAGCCTTCCTCAACCAACGGCGCGCCAATCTATATCACAGAATGAGAATTTGTTTCGAACACCGGACTCGATTCAAAGTAACCATACCTTGGCGAATTCCTCATCTATTAAGCGCCGTGGTCAGTAAGGATATTATTTAAGAAAAAGAATCGGGATCGTCAATCGCACCATCAAAGATTCGCTGCGTCGAGCGCTCGACGGTCACTTCGTATCCGGCATCGATAAGAGCCTTGCAAGTGGTGGGGGTAACTATAAATCAAGCCATTGCGTTAGAAAAATAATCGTCATGCCAGCACTTCATGATTGCGCCGTAGAAATGTCCCATGAGCATCGAAAGAGGGGCAATTGCCCATTCAATGGTACTTACGGGCAGACCGCGCCTCAGCGGGCTTGGTTTCAGCACGCAACCAGATCTTGTTAGACATATTGAGATTCAATCGATAATATTCAACGAAGAAGATGTTCAGCCAGAATCTCTAGAGAGTTCGCAAAAATTATTATGACTACTGCTGGATCTATGACACAGACTTTCCCCCTCCAACGATGGTGGGGAAGCGTCGTTGTTCCGTCCCGGGGCTGTGACTCAGCGGAAGGTGGGCCGATGTCGGAATAATCATACAGATGTGATTTGATGTCTTCATGTCGTTCAATTGTATATGCATTTTGCTTGGAATTTGCTGTGTCAGATATGAGGAGTAACATTCCACTTATCAATGGAGTTCTCATTTGCAGCATTTGACCTAGGAATTGATGGATTGCCACTGTTTCTCAATAATAGCGTTGACCTAGGTCCCGTCGATATATATTCCAAATGATAAGGACTAGATAAATCAATCTCATAAGACTTTATAACAATCATTTTTTTAAAGACTGCCGTGTGATATCCCGCCTTTTTGATCAATCGATTGCATTCCAATAAATGTATAGCCATCGTAGGCCTTGGATTGCCCTACCTGCTTCTGGGGTCTGATGAAATTGTGGGTATAGAATTAGCCAGCAAAGAGTTTAGGGAAGGGTTGGCATTTGGGGCTTAAATAAGCACTTGATATATATTCGAGTTACTTTCAATCGAAAAAGAGATATCAAGTGGTGAGAAAGTGAGGGGATGAGATCCCCCAGTGACTTAGTGACTTAAAGAGAGCGAGGTGGCAAAGGAAACCGAAGATACAGACAAGTATGTAGTAGTGTACTGGATGAACTATCTCAACTTTATTCTAACTCCCTGCGAGATAAATTCTTTGATTTCTTGTATTCATTCAAGAGTAGTGTAGCTGACTCCTATTTCTCAAATATCAGAGTATACAAACACGCCTCAATATTCACATAATCATTAGACATAGCCTCCCTCGCTGATATCATCAAATAAGCTCTTGTTGGAGAAATGGCAGAGATAACAACAGAAATAACCCCCATATGGTAGAGCAACAAAGACGAGAGATTGACAGATAGCCATTGCTTTTTGTACCAGACTAAACCCAGCCAGAAGAAATTGTCCGTAGCAGAGTCAATCAGGTCGCCTTAGTCCGGCTACGCGTCCTGCTTCCGATGCCATCCGTGGGAATCGCCTTTGTCGTTGTGTCTTTGGCCTTCTTGGGACGGCCGGCCTTTTTCTTTTCACCGTTGGTGACTGGGGCCTCAGCGTCATCTTTACCAGCATGAGTGAATGTGACGTTCTGAGCTTTGGGTGGCTCTTCATCGGTCTTTTGCTTTTTGGCGGCAGGTTCACTCGAGTTCTCGGTGGCAGAGGCATCGTCCTTTTCGGCAGGCGCTGGGTTCGAGTCGTGCTCTCGCTTTTCACCTGTCACCGGTTGCTCTGCCTTGTCTTCGTATGGTTTCTGGGCGTCGGCAGCAGCTGAATTGGGATCCTGCTCAGCGGGCTTAGTCTCCCCAACGGGGTTAGATCCCTCAGCAGGCTTGTTTTCTTCAGTATGACCGTTTGTTTCTGCGGGCTTAGCCTGCTCGGCTCCATTGGCCTCGCTGTTGTCATTTGGTTGGTTTAACGCATCTTCTTTTTTTTCTTCGACTGCGACAGGCTTAGGAGTTTCTAAAACCAATCAACCTGTTAGCTCCGTGCGACAATTGACCAACAATGTAATTTCACCTGGCCAACGAGGCGATTACAATGTAGGTCGTTGACTGTTGGTTTGTTGACACTATGTAGGCGCCAATTCCACCTGAGCGTGGCGCGTAGTGTGCGCGGACGTACCGGAAACAGTAGGGGCGTTCTGAATCTCAGTTGGTTCGGCCATGGTTGTCAAAGGGTAGTAGATGATAACGGATGTTGGCACGTGCTCAGGATTGAGGGTCAATTTTAAAGCAAAGAAAGAGTCGCAAGCAAGAAGCGACTGCAGCGATCACTTAATTGAAGACTACGGATGGAAAGAAGAGGAAACAAATGAGTGGTTGATGATCGAAGTTCAGAGAAGAGCGCGAGGTGAGGTTGCGCGGTGACGTTTACTAAGGGCACCCTGTTGGCGCTAACCCAATTCATGCGGAACTCAATCTCGGCTGTCCCTCCAGTCTAGCACCACCACCAGATTTGGGGCACGCACAATCTCGCGCGAATCTCAGCTCGAGGGGCGCAAGCCACTCGCAGACGGCAGACCCCCTCCCCGACTCTCCCCCATTATTTCCGAAGATCGGGCTTCGCGCACCCTGTTGTAGGTAAGCAATGCCAAGAAGAGGAGAAAAAGATCCCGATGGCGCAGCTGAGTGGAGCAGCAATGCGGAGTAGGGCATGGTGATGCTGATGGTATGACGGATGTCGTCTCAATTTCCAGACATCCGCTTTCGCTTGTAGATCGGAATGACGAATGATCCCCCACTAGTAGTCATCGTTAACTACCGCAAGCTGGACCCCCTGACGCCGTTAGATGAAGCCCCAATCTTCCAGCCAGAGCCATCTCCTTGAGGAACTCCGTGTCTGTAGTAATAATACAAAAATCCCGAGATAATTACATTCATCACGTCAGGGTCAGGTCTAAGCGATTGAGCAAAAACTCCTCTTCTGGAGAGGCGTGGTCTTTGCCTGGTAGCAATTGTTGAAGATAGCCTGCAAGATACGAAGCATCTCCAAACTCTTCCTGGTCAATTGAGACCCGAAGGGCATCAAAGGCGGCCCGTGTAAAAACCTCTCGTTTGGGCTTGGCCCACGACTCAGGCCGGCCCGGTGGGAGGGAGTCCATAAACTTGAGGAAAGGTTCGATGTCAGGACGTGTAGGGTGGTAGATGGGCACAGATGCTGATAACATTGATTTGGGTGTGAATGTGGTGACCAAACCCATGAATTGTTCATATAGAGCTGCTGGCACCTCCTTGGTTCCCTCTTGTTGCATCATCAGCCGGCCCAGGCGAGCACCCCCGTGAAGAAGCATCGCCTTTTTAGATTGGTCAGCCATTTGATCCGGTGTTGATAAGTGTGTTTTGCATGTCTGAATGTAATATGCCATCGCAGAGCCCAGCCCTCGTCCGTACTGCGCCTCAGCATTGATCAGGTCTACCAAAAGACTGCCAAAGATCTGCTGCGCCAATTGTTTCGGTAGTTGACCATTGTTTCCTCCAATGTCTTGTTTGAGCAGCATATCTAGCCAGACCATGACAGTATCCTGTAGCCCCTCCGCAACCATAAATTTCAATAGAGTGGCAGTTGATGCGCGTGACATGAGCAGCATTTTTCTCGCCTCGGAATCCGAGGCAAACCACCACGAGACAACCTTCGAACCAGCCTTTGAGTCCTTGATAGCCTCACTGACACGATCGCCAGCCTGGGTACTGGCCAGGAGCAGCTGGGATTTCAAACAGTCACAAAGGTTGGTCGACGTCACAGAGCCCGAGGCAACCAGGTCATCAAAAACAGACATTGGTTCCTCCATCAAATTCTGTCCCTCAGCACCGGACTGGTCACGAGCAACGGCCGACTTCGAGGGGACCACCCGGAAGAGAGGATTCTCCAAGATGGCTTTGAGATGGCTATCGGTCGCATGCGCCGAGGAATTGGTATTTGCAACCATTGGTCGATCCCCATTTCTGCCAGGACGTGAAGACGAAGGCGAAGATGTATGGGATGGGGGATACTCGTGATCGAGCTGACGGCGAAAGGAAGATGTAAGGGCGCTTAGGAGCTGCTGAGACTCACGGGGAGTTCGCGGAAGAGGAGGATTGATCTTGGACCAAGGTCTAAAATTGAAGATCGACGTTCCCTTCATGATGGATAATGTATCGATGGTTCAGTAACAAGGGCAGTGACCCATTGATCGATCCAGGGTGATACGAGGCAGCAATGACTTGGTGATGGACACAGGGCGTTCGTTCGTTGGGCGGTGAACAGCAAGGTTTAGCGAGGATGGATTGCCTGAGCGCCAGAGACAGAGCAGTATCCCAGAGTCAAATACCGGTATCTCCAGTCAATTAATCAGTAGTAAAAGCAGAATGATATAGCAAAAGTAAAACACAAGCTGTCGATCGAGCAGCAACACAGTGGATGACGAAATCCCCGCTTTCCGACCGTCGAGGAAGAACTCATGCCAACCCCCCTCAAGGAAGTCTCACGCTTTTAGCGCCGCTCGCTAAACCAACGCGACAGAAAGTTGCCTCTCCCTTCAGACACGCCTTGCCCAAGCCCAAGTTCCACTCTTCAACCTGAATAATCCTAGAGTTCTCATTCCACACTCCCGAAAGCTCCTCCATCCTTTCCTCTTTTTCCTTTTTTCTTTATCTTGTTCCTTTTTTACTTCCTGGAGGCCTTTGTGCCCTTGTAGCTTTTGGTGCTGACCTCTCTCGTGAGGGTGCATCTGTGATCCGTTTCTCTTCGACTACCCGCTTTTTCTTTTCACTAGCCGCACCTTGATTTCTCCTCGTCCACGTCAACTCCCTCCCGATTTCTATATCCCGTCTCTCCGTCCCAGGAGATATTTAGATTCCATCAGAAAACATGTCTGAAGTTCAATCCAGATCTTCTGCCTCTCGAGGCAGAGTATCCGCTCGTGGTGGCCGAGGTGGTTACAGCTCCAGAGGTGGTCGAGGTGGTAGCAGATCTACAAAGACCGACAACTCAGAGAACACCGCATCATCGTTCGAAGAAGAAGGAGAAATTGGGCAGATGAAGAAGAAATACTCGAGCAGTCTCCCCATGCTGAAGGAGTTGTTCCCCGACTGGTCGGACGAGGACCTCGTCTTTGCCTTGGAAGACGCAGACGGTGAACTCGAAGAAGCAATTGAGCGCATAACTGAAGGTCCGATCCCGTCATTGCTACAGAATATTCTCAGTCGAATTGGCTCCCTTTACTGACAGTTTTACAGGCAACGTCTCACAGTGGGGCGAAGTAAAGAAGAAGACTACCGACCGGAGCCGCCCCAAAGCCAAGGAGGTTCAGAGCACCCCGACCGAGACTACTACACCCTCTGTTCGAGGAGGTCGTGGACGCGGTGGATTTGAGGGTCGTGGACGTGCTCGTGGAGACCGTGGTCGTGGAGGTCGTGGTGGCCGGGCTGGAGCTCTGGCTGCTAACGGAGCCCGTGCAGAGAAGCCAGCTGTTCCCACCACCACCGCCGTGGAAACAACAGCATCGGCCGCTACTCCAGAGACTGGGGCAAACCAAACCGAGAGCGAAGCTACAGCTGCAGAGACAGATGGCGCGAAGGATAACACCCAAGAAGCCAACAAGAGCAGTGTGATTCCTACTGAAGGTCCGAAGAAGGGCTGGGCTAGCTTGTTCGCCAAACCCACACCCCCGCCGCCTCAGCCTCAGAAGAAGCCAGCTCCAGCTCCCGCTCCCGCTCCTGTCCCCGAGAAGCCAGCTGCTGAGCCAGCTGCTGAGCCACAAAAGGCACCCGAACCTGCTCCCGCTCCCGCTCCTGCTCCTGCTCCTGCTCCTGCTCCTGCTCCTGCTCCTGC